AGCCGGCCGGCTAGCCCGTCGAGATTCTGCTATGCTGGCCTGAGCCTAGTCCCAGTAGTCGCGTTCTGTAAGGCAAGCGGGCCACTTCTGCGGCCGTGTGGTTCCCCTCTTGGGATTAATGCTCCTTGTTGTCTGGACTTGTCGTCCTTCTCGTGGCTGGCAGCACTCGTAGTTACCTAGCAAGATAGTACAGCTCGTTCGGACATTGAAAGGCGGTTTGCGATGACGGGCTCGGCTGTCGTCGGTAGTTCGCGGCAGTGCCTACAGAGCCTCCGTTAGCAGATCTAGAGTCGGAAGGACCAGTACGAGATGCTGTAGAGTGTCTGCAGGTACTCATAGGTAGTCGAGGAGCATGCTCGTACTATCGTACAGTAGACAGGTCCTTGTGCGTACGATGGCTCGCTCGACCCATGCTGGACTGATCCATTTGCCGGTTCCTGATGAACAGGGGCACGTCAGCAAGGGCACAATGCGCCAGTGGTGTGATGGGCGCTGGCCAGCTCGGTCGGGGCATGATCTTCCCCCTCTCTTGCAGCGGATGGCGTCCGCCAGCGCAAAATGAGCGACGCGCGCGCGTCCAATGATGGCAGCTGTTTGGCTTCATCTCCATCGACGACAGCAATTTGACATGCATAAGCTGCCTTGCTAGTGTGTGCCGGCCGCGGCGTGTGGTTGGCTGGCCGTTGCTCCCCATAATCTGTAATCTTAGTGCTAACCAATGCGGCGTAGCTCAGCACGGAGTGGTACCTCTAGCACGACGTGCGCCTCCGAGACCAGGGACGTACTCCAAGGTCGATAGCGACTCCACTGCAGATAGCCCCACCAATGGGCAATTTGCACGTGCTTGTGTCTGAGCTAAAGATGGTCATGAGCCATTGCCGAATCTTGGGTGGGATGGGAACAAGACGAGATGCAATATGATGCATCAGTATTTTTTCGTGGCAATTTACGAGTCCCAGATTCTGCCCGTGTTTACCGTATTTTTGAGGGAGCCTTGGGTGGGATATTGGGCTAATCTGTTGAGCGCGCTCGCTCCAACTACCTACGTGCTGCACTTGTATCGCCGGTTTCCCCTCCTCGTCACTGTGTTTGCCTCATGCCTGAACTGGTACTGTACTTTGGCAGTCGAGATCGATGTCGCAAACCGGCCGTGGAAAAGCCCCTAGTGAGGCTCACTCAAGTATGGAGAGCGAATCGACGCGTGGTATAAGACTCAGCCCGGCTTGTAATACTGCCACCCGCGTGCATAGATGCGTTTCAATATTAGCTGTCAGGGTATCCAAGTACGGGCTGCTGCCAACTTCCCGTGGGTGTGTTGCAGTGCAGGCGCTGACAGGGGCAACGATACTACATCCCCCATGGTGGATAATGCAGGTCAAAAAAAGAAGAAAAAAAAGGAGAAAGAGAGAGAGAGAACCCCAGAATAGTTCTGGCTTTCGTTTCTTTGCCTTTTTTTTTCTGGGGAAAGCATACGTGTTCTTGTTTGAATGGCTACTTCAACATGGAGAGCGACAAGGAAGTATATACAGAGTGGTACATGCTCTATGCACGTACAGTAATGCTGCTTTCGTACTGCGAGTTGGCGACAGCAAAAGTAAAAAAAAAAAAACCGTCGCATCAGGGATCATGCCGGCGTTCTAGAAGTGCCAAGTGCGACAAAACAAGTGCAAAAGCGGCACGGGTTTTGTTCCAGATGATAGACATCGACAGCGGTTGATGCAACGCAGTACCTGGTAGTGCCGCAGCTCGCAGTGGTCGCCCGAGTACTCACCGGGTCTCTGCTGAGCCCCTGTCGACGAGCTGGAGGGGTAGCTGGCGGGTACAAGTGTGTACCAGTAATACTGCTTCCCTCAAGAGTCACCGCAACGCGACGGCCAAGTAGCTCAGTAGGGAGCAGCCAATCCTCGTATAAGAAGCACGAGGCGTCTGGTGCCTGATAAGCTGGGGGACAGTTATCTCGGTGTTCTGCCCGTGTGGATATTTAGCCAGGCAGGTTAGGTTAGGACTCTCGGAGCACTAAACTTGCAGCACGCAATGCTCCATGTCGACAAACAGGATGTAGGTACTCGTAAGAGCTCAACTGGAGGGATGCTGCCTGTTTCGGAATAGAAGTCAATGCTAGCAGCAGTAGCCGTTTTCCAATTTGTGGATCGATCAGAAACCCCACACACACTCTTTTATCTTTTGCGGGACTGCCAGCTTGGATTCTTGGGTTAGTACCTTGGGAGTACCGAGTGCTGGGCGTGTAGTTTTGGATGCCCACGCCTGGGCGGTTGAACGCGGACTCCCTGGAATTTCACAGTAATGCCGTATGAGTACGAGTACGGAGTACTGTACTGTAACATGCTGCACTCAAAACATACGGGGTCTGGTGCAAAAAGGACAGGCTGGCCAGGCCTCGTTGGTGTTGAGAACTGAGGCTTCTCGGCGTTGAATCGACCTGATTGCGGCGTTTGTCGCAGGTACCGGACACAGAGCACAGCACGCAAGCGGCGTAAAAGCGAGCGGTAGTGTACTGGAGATGTGACCTGTACCTTTCGCCAAGGCACCGATGAATCTGGCAGAGTGTAAAAGATGGAACTTGGGACCTAGTGCAGAGCAAGAAAAAAGTGTTGATTTGAGGCAGCGGTTTGAAAATGTTTGCCTTTCCCTGCAATCGGGAGGCTGTTGGCCACGGAGACGGAGCCGAGGCAGCTGATTCAGGGCGGAATGCATAGGCTGGCCGTCTAGGGAGAGTGGCGAGTTGACGTGACGTGGTTCCCTTGTTTACATGGATCTTGGACGTACATATCGTATCGTATCTGACGAATAAGGGAAGCAAAAGTGTCGCATGTTGGTATTCTTCACCGGGACGAAGCCTCCGTGGTTTGGTGAGATGGTGAGATGGTGAGAGAGAGAGAGGTAGGGAGTTTTGGTTTTGTTGATGTACCTATTTTTGCTCGTCTCCTTGTCCTTGTACATGTACTTGTTTGTATGCGTGCCCCTTACCCCCCACCATTTTCCATCTTTACAGTACCTACTGTAAGGCACAGTATGGCTCTCACACCCAAAATGAAAAGAGAAAAACTCAAATAAATCAAATATAAAAAAAACTTGTTGGCCCTTTGCTTCTTCTTCTTCATCTCGGAAAACTATTGTGCGCCCCCTTTCGGCGGCTTGATAACAACAAGGTTTCCCCATCGAAGCGTGATTGAGTACTTGCAGAGCTGGCGTCATTGCCAGAAACCAACAGAAAGGGAATTTGGCACTACCAGGGCAGGCTAGCCACAAGGTGGTGCCCAGAAGCTGGAACTACCTGCAAGGTACTGCTGCGACAAGCGTGCTGACGAAACACTGGCCGGTACTCGCAAGACCAAAGACCAAAGAGGCACATGTGCAGGTACCCCCCAAGCCTCCGGGAAATGCAGCACCGCTCCCCCGATTGGTCTGATGCAAGCAGCCAGTGACATTGAAAGCCGCACCGCAAATCAAATGAAATCAAATCAAGTCCAACTTTTTGGCCCCCTCTGCCCTCTGGCCTCTTGCCCCCCTCTCTTGTCTTCACTCAATAAGACTTCCAGGTTTCTTCCAGGTCCCCTTTCTAGGGCACTCAGTCGCTGTCTGAGCCCGCCAACAAGCCCGCCGAACCCTCCACCTCTCCTCTCCTCTGCTCTCCTCCCTTTGGCCCTCGATGGTACTCGTACAAATACTTGGATGTGTCGACATTCGCTAATCCACTAAAAATCTGGCCCTCCAACCCTCCAAAACGATCCGTCACTCCCAATTTGATCCAATGCAAACTAGCGCACAAGCCCCAGCGCCAATGAAAAAAAGCCTCCCTGGAAGCAGGTCCGAAAAGCGCCCCCATTTTACTCAACCTCTTTTTTCTCCTCCTCCCAGCAAAGTTCCAGTTGAGTTGTATTATCTTCTAAAAAAACCCTTTTTCCCTTGAAGACGCCTCTCTCCCCACCTTTTCCCGGCTGCAACTGCGGCTTCCCCCCCAAAAGAGGCCCCGAAAAGGCCCCAAAGGCCAAGCCCCCGGACAGAGGAGAAATATGCGAACTGCACCTGCGTCCGTGCCGCTGCCTCACTAAACCCATCCAAACCGCCAAAGTTTGGGCCAACTTGGACGCATCATCAACCTCAACCTCAACCTCAACCTCATCCGCATCCACCTCCTCGTCCTCAACCTTGCCCGCCGCCGCGTCCCCCGTTCGTCAAATTTTTCTCGAGGCTTTTCTTCGCATCGTGTGCAGCGCCACTTTCTTATCTGCTGCCATCTGCAGTTTCTCGGGCGCATCGCATTTAAGGCGCAATCGAATCGCCCCAAACTATAACCTCGAATCGAACTTTCTGCGCGCCCCCGCAACCTTTTGGATCGTGGAGCGCATCATCCACCCGATACTATAAAACCCCCCCTTCGGCCGTCGAACTCAGCGTCTCTTGAACTTCATCTCATTCTTCTTCTCGTTCTCGCCCTCGCCCGATCCGGCACTATTGCATCGATATTATTCATCCATAACCACCACCACCACTACTACTACTACTACGTTGGCAGACAGCCTGTCTTTCGTTGGCTCTCTCTCTCTCTTGGCCTCGACTCGCCGTCCTATTCACGTTGACAACCCGCTTTTCGCTGTCACCTCTTGATCGTCGTCATCTACTTTGTGTCATCATCGCGCTGTGTGGCTATGAACGGCGACCGGAGCAGGAAACACACCTCGCCGCCAATGACAATACTACCTCCCTCGTCCACCTGGGCGCCTCCCCGTTCCCTCTGGGGTATATCACCTCTGAGCGAAATGCCCGACCTTGGCGATCGAGGCGCCGACATGAATTTTGCTATTTCTATTCCCACGCATCCTGGGCCGTCGTCTCGCAGCGCATCCTTCGCGACTCAGATGTCGCCATCGCAGAGGCTCCCTTTCCATCTTCCCCAGGGTCCTCTTCACCCGAATGACGCGGGCGCGTCCATGTTCGATTTTGAGCCGCATGCTCCCCCGGCGCCGGTGCGCGTGCTGATCCGACGCCTGCCGGCCACAACCTCAGAAGCCGACGTGCGCCTCATGCTCGTCTTCTCTCAGGAGCTGGTCAACATCGAGCTTATGGGCCCTGACAACCTTGATGGCGGATACTACCGCTCTGCTCTGCTACTCTTCCGAAGCATGAATGGCGCAACTGAGGCCCGAAACATGCTCGACGGCCGCGCCAACATGGACGGTCGCGCCAAGATGATTGTTGGCATCATAGCCTCGCCCGAGTATGGGTCGCCAGTCAGTGCGCCATTCGCCATGCCAAACGGCGCGCCCAATGCCAACTCGGACCTCTTTACGGCGCCAGTCTATCGTCCACAGCAGGCTCCTCTCGGTAACGGCTTTTCGCCCCGTGACGCAATGTCGCCAACATCGAAAGGCGGCCGCTTCTTCCCCGCTGTTCCTCCTCATCAGGACCTTGCTGCTCCGGATACAAAGGCTGGCAGCCACTACAAGAGTCTCTTTAACCCCCACTCGCCTATTGGCAACCATCTCGCAAACGAGGTGCCTGGGCGACTGGGAAAGCACCTCATCAACGATGAGCTCGGCGACGACGACGGAGAGCTCCTGAGAGACTCCTTTGCCTATGCAGGTAAGGCCACCCCGGCCCAGCGGAGAGGTACTACTCCCCAAGACCCCCTCAACCAGGCAATGGCAAACATGGCTCTCGGCTCGGGTGCCTCTTCAAACTCCTCGCCGATGCCCTCGTCGTATCTTGCAGGTCTACCTCCCATCAACGGCAACGCCAACTATATGAGTCTTGGACAGCAGTTGCAGCAGCAATCACAGCAACAGCAGCAACAGCAGCAACAGCAGCAACAGCAGCAACAGCAGCAACAGCAACAGCAGCAGCAGCAGCAGCAGCAACGTCATCAGCTCTCTCAGCTGCCGCAGCAAAACCCACAACAGCAGTCGGTGCCGCAGCACAACAACAATAACAACAACAACAACAACAACAATAAGCAGCAGCGAGCGCAATCTCAGCAAGACAAGCAGGAGAAACAGCAGCCGCCATACGGAAAGTCCAATTTCCCTCCCGTCAACCCTGCAGATCAAAATCCGCCTTGTAACACTCTGTACGTTGGCAACCTGCCTATTGATACATCTGAGGAGGAGCTCAAGGCTTTGTTCTCCCCTGTTCGGGGTTACAAGAGGCTGTGCTTCAGAACCAAGCAGAACGGACCCATGTGCTTTGTTGAGTTTGAAGACATTGGTCATGCCACCAAGGCGCTTAGCCAGCTGTATGGATGGTGTTTGCACAACAGTGTCAAAGGCGGCATCCGCCTGAGCTTCTCCAAGAACCCTCTTGGTGTTCGCTCCCCGCCCTCGCAGCCTCCTCATGGAAACATGCCTCCTGCCAGCGGAATGCCCCCATCCACGGCCAACGGCTTCACGGCGGCTAGTGGCCCTCCCCCTGGCCTGCCCAAGCCGCCCAACTTTGGCTCTCGGGGCTATAGCTCCTTTACCCCCAACAACCGAGGCAACGGCAACATGGGGACTCCTATCAATGGCAATGGTGCTGGCTCCAACTTTCAACGAACACCATTTTATAAGAACGGCATCAACATGCCGAAGCCTCATACTCCCTTTGCTTAATGCTGGGATATCGGCACTAAACACCAGCTTCCCCCCCCTTTTTTTTCTTATTAATTTTTACTCTCTATTGTTTTTCTTCTTCTTTGTTTCTTCTTCGCCTTCTTCTTCGCAATCGTCTAGTTCTTGTTTCTCGCTTTCATTTTCGGGTTCCTCCAAGGCACAGGGGCATCTTTCGGATACAACGATAAAGTTCAACTAGCATCAGGGTTTACGGACAGAGAGGGGCGCAACAAGATGTTTTTTTTTTCTGGGTTTCATTTTTTACCATATACCATCTGGGCTCTTTTGGTCGCATCGCGTCCCCTATCAACTACGGCTTTTTTCTCATCTTCAGATAGAGAGATGGGACAAGAGAAGGAGCGGACAACGGCGTTGGCTTCATTTGGGATTGATACCTTTTGACTTTTCTTGCCCCTTTTCTGATTGATTCCCCCTTTTTTCTTTTTCTTCTTCTTCTTCTTTTTAATATGCTTTTGGATGCAGACGAGATATCCTCTCGATTTGCGTGTTCTCTCCCCTTTTCCTCTGATTTCGCTTCGCTTTGGGAAAATGGACTACAAAAAAAAATATGACCTTTTGCTACTCTTGTTTTGATTCCCCTCTTCTTTGGTCAAAGAAAAAAAAATTGGAGAGAAAAACAGGTCCCCAAAAAAAAGCATGACTGTTATTTTTAATTTCTTTTCTTTTTCTTCCTTCATCAGCGCTGTGTATTTGGATTGGATATCTGGGAAAACATTTACTGAGATGGCTTCAAGTTTGAGATTATCATGTCCCCTTTGTTGATATTACCCCCGTCTGTTCTTTTCTTTTCTTTTCTATTTGTTCCCTTCTCTTCTTGGGTACCCAATCCCGTTGATGGCCTGCTGCTTTATTGCGGCCATTTTCAACTTCCCCCAGCGTCTTCATAGAAGCGTCCACAGCATGCAAATGCTACATACCAACTTTATTTTTACCTTTTAACCGGTCAGTCAGACGGAGTTGTTAACCTACGCTCTTGTGGTGGTTTTTGGCTTCAGCTACTTTGCCCCGGGACAGATGGACAGATGGACAAATGGACAATGGACAATGGACAATGGATACCAATCAGTTGCATGGTCATTAAGGGATTTTGCTTTTTTTTTGCTTTTTTTGGTGGGTGTTTTGTGTGGTTTTCTCTGCCTAATGTTTGCATGAATGGGATGGCTGCTGAATCTTGATTGGCATGGACAACGGAGTATCAAAGTTGGAGAAATTAGGAGCAAACCTTTCTTTACTTTTTCCTTTTCTATAGGGGAATTCCTCATCTTTTTTTTTTTTTTTGTTCATCTATTCCCTCGTCTTTCTTTTTTCTTACGAGAGAAGGACGAGAGAGATTTGAGTCTCAAAAAGACAAAGAGGAGAGGATTTGGCGATGAGGGGGGTTTTTTGTTGGACTTTTGAAAACATGTATGCTCATTGGATGTGGGAAAAACAAAAACATTTTCAACGGCGCGATACGACAAACGTGGCTATCATGGGAAATTACTTTGTGGTCGGGGCTGTTCAGCAGATTGCTTTTTTTCTGGGTATTATTCGTTTCTGTCGTTTCTACCATTATTATATAGTTTTTTTTTTTTTTTTTTCGAATGTCAATGGAGTGTCAAGCGTCTTAGCTTTGGGCAGCCGTCTCCACGTGTGATTCAGTAGTCGTGACACTGAGAAATGAAGCCTCTGCCGTAAACCAGAACTTTGCGTATCCCGCCATTGGGTGGCACCTCCATTCGTTGTCGACGGACCATCCGTCATCGCCGCCGGGGTCCTCGTGTTTGTCTTCGTGCTCGTCGTGATTGTGCTCGTGCCGCGGACCATCCTGGAACGCCACCCGTGTTCTGTAGAGTAAAAGGTTTCGGTTCCAATTCGTGGGACGAGACTCTGTCTGGACACACAGCGAACTCGGCCCAGCCACTCTCTGTGCCAGGTCTACATGAAGCCGGCATTCGCCAATGGCCCGGGATCCTCCATTCAGATAGTGGAACAGGATGCCTTTGCAGCATCCCGTGGCCTGGTCGCGGAAGACCAGAACAGACGCAACGCCGTCCAGCGGCGCCCAAGAAAAGTATTCCGCCTGCAAGAAAGCACCCTCGGTGATGGGGCTGGGCTCGTATTTGTCCAGAGGGAAGTCATCCGGCAAACACAAATCTTTAGAGGACCTTGATTCCGCGCCGCAGTATGCGCCAAAGAGCTCGACTCGCGGCACCAGGTCCGCACGGTTCGGCTCGCCGTATATAATGGTGAGGGGAGCGTCTCTGCCCAGACAATCGTCCCTGAAGGAAGAGCCGTGAGTCCCTATGATGACGTCGCCGGACTTTTCGAATCGAAACAGGTGGCACGGGGGCAAGTCATGCTGTTGGCGCACGCCTACAACGGTCAACCGGTCGCCTTGCGGGATAGGCAGGTAGAGCCATATAACATTGCGCTGGACGGTGCGTTTCATTTGGTCATATGTCGACCGAGCAGACGGTCCCTCCGGATAATGGATATGGATGTCACAGAGGCGTCCTTGGTTGCAGAAGAAGGTTATGCCTCTGATGCTATCCGATTCGACAGCAAACAGGCGCGACCAGGTAGAGGAGGGCTCATAGGGGGAGGTGTTACATGACGACAAGAGAGGCGGATTAGGGGTATTCCATATATGGGGGATCCGCCCTGTAGGAGGGAGTTTAAGACGTAAATGATTGTCCTAGGAGAAGAAAAAGATGAGATGGCCTGGGTGGGAAATGGTGGATGAAAGAATTGTACTCACCACGAGCTCTACTTCCACCTCATCAGAGAGCTCCTCGCAATTGTCAGGTCCAACAATGTACGCGGTATGCGTATAGTTTCCTCGCGAGTATCGTGGATGGCTGGGCAGGCGCTCGACCCTGCTGATGCCGTCGGAATCCATCGTCAGCCTCAGTATAGGAGGCAGCGTCTGAGACTCGCTCTTGTCAAGCCTCCCGCCTCGCTCCCAGGAAACGACATGCCGCAACGCCACGACCTGCGTCTGCGACAGCCCGTCTCTCGTGTCGGAGACATACGCCGCCATCCGCAGCGCCGAGATGCTCCTCCAGAACAGAGAGTGCGCCGAGAAGCCGCGGATCATCTCGAGCAGCTCAACCGGCAGCCCGCACAGCTGCGGCAGCCCAAACAGCCCGGCCACGGCGTCGAGCGTGTGCTTGTCGACTCTGCTGGGCAGAAACAGCGGCTGCGCCTCTCTCCAGGGCCTCCTCCACAAGGCCAGGACCAGGAGCCGCCGGAGCAGGACCTGCCTGTCGCGGACAAGACACTTGTGGGCAAAGACTTCATAGCAGCCGTGGTGCACTGCGGCGGCTTCCGGCGAGACAGCGCACGCCTCGCAGTCGTCGTAGTCGCAGAAGGTAATCTCAATAGCGTTGTGAGTGACGACAAAGGTGGCCAGCATGTCCCGGCTTGGGAAGCCAAAGGGAGGCGAGCAGCGATATGAAGCGGGATTGCTGCCACTGTGATAGACTAGAGAAGAAGAAAGAAAGGACGTTTGGTTACGCTGAGTCATCTTGAAAGAGGAGAGAAGAGAAGAGCAAAGACGTACGAGCCACGGCCGTCTCATCCGTCTGGATGCTGTCCGCGCAGATGCCGCACTGGGGCGTGAGCCTGAGGTGCTCCAGACCATCCATGGCTGATTCCTTGAATATCCTAGGCGTTGTCAATACGAGGCGATATCACGTTGCACCAGTTGCCTGTAAATGAAGCAAAAGATGCCATGAGTTGTGCGGTATGACAGCATCGCCAACTGGCTGAGGTGTTGTTTTGTCAATTATTATCAGCAGTCGATGCAAGGGAGCCGTTCGAGCGGATTATATAAGCACCGGTCTGGCTGCACTCGAAGTTCCTTTTTACCACAGCCGTGTGGCTGGGCATGCAGGAACCTCGCCGCCGCCTCCAGACGCAGTCGTAACAGCTGGGGTTACACTCAATCTCGAGCATCACAGCAAGTAGACGGCATACTCGTTCATAAACGATGGCTCCGTCTTGTTTAGGCCTGGTGGGTACTCTGAAGGAGCCGGTGGTTTGGCATAGGGGATGACTAAGCGCTGGACATACATATTAGGCGCTGTACTCTGTAGATAGGTATGCAGTGCTACATGTGGGTGGACAAATGCGGCCTCAAACTCGGACTCGAGCACTGCAGCATTGAGGATTCCGAATACGACGCACTGCAGGTGAGTACAGATGCGGGTTGGTTCGAGAAAGACTAAATGATGTTGTGATATGTAACCTCAATTGGCGATCTCAACCACCTATAGAGACCTATAGGGCATAGCATCAAATGCCATCGCCATAGCAAAGGTATAGCATAGAGTAGAGTCCATCCCTTGAATCCCTCTTCCCAATTTCCTAGCAAAGTTCCCTTTCCTCTCTGCTTTTTTTTTTGTTCTTTTCCTTTTTTTCTTTTTCCCTTTTGTCTGTTCCTTGACGTTCATTTCGTGCCTGGGTCATAGTAAAATGGAAAACCACCCCCCCTTAAACGCCGTGAAGTTTGTCCTGATCCCCGTCTTTACCACCTCTATCGTCTCTTTGGTCCCGTTCGAAGTAGGCATAATGTACAGTATAGGTGTAAATGACAAGTTTCTGCCCGCTTTTGCATCGTATGTGTGTGGTGTGTGTGTTTGTGTGTGTCCCTTTTCGGTGTCCCGTTTCGACCTTTTTTGGTTGTTGGTATCGTACATTCCCTGCCGTCCTCGCAATCTTTCATAAAGCCAGCCCATAAAGCCAGCCCACCTTAGGCTGGCGTGTGGAAGAAGCGCAAGATGACCTCATACATGGCAAACATCATTGCCGCGCTGGGAACCGTGCGCATAAGGTGAGGTGTCAGGCCGCCGTAGAGGCCCATGAGACCCTCCTCCTTCCAGACAAGCTTGAAGCACTGTATCAGGCCCGTGTATTTGAGCTTGCCATCTCCCATGGGAGCCTGTCGCAGACGGGTTCGCGCAACCTTGACAGAAGCGGGTTAGTGATTCATTCGTCTCCTTCTCCTCAAGAACTATTGTCAACGACAAAAAACTTACCTCGTGGGGATAGGCAATGACGGCAGCGACCAGCTTTGCACCTCCAGCAGCTCCGCCGTTGCCCAAGACGTCGACGACCTTGTCCCACCAGTTCTTTTCTCTGCCGCTGGCCTGGATCGCAAACTCCCTCCGCGCGAGATAGGCCTTGAGCTGCTCGTACAGCATCCACTGCATCGTCGACTCGACCACGCCCAGGTAGCTCGCGCTCATGCCCTTGTACAGTCCTCGGACGCCCTCGTCGCGCACAACCTGCTTGACGCAGTCCCAGCTGTTGCGGTACAGCCTCTGCGTCGCTCCGCCAGTGCGCTCAGAGACGTTCTTGTCCAGCTGCAGCCTCGTCTTGACCATCCAGATCGGGTTCGTCGCAGTGCTCGTTGCCACGCCTGCCGTGACGCCCGCCATGAGGTGCACCCACGGCGCCTCCTCGCCCCTGTTCCAGTACTCGGCCATGAGCCTCTTGCCGTTGCCGTAGACGTAAAAGTTGATGCTCCTGGCGGGAATGACGCCCACTAGATTCGGCCCCAGGCCCTTGAACAATGCGCGCGGTCCCTCGGTCCTGTACACCGAGCCTAGGATCTGCAGCGTCTCGGACAGGTGGTGCATTGCGCTGCGCACCGGATTCAACCGCTGCAGAGCTTGCGCCTGCGCCTCTCGGGATGCGCGAATCTGTGCCTGGTAAAAGTCGGATTGTAGCCTCGTCTTGAGGACATCGAGCGGTGCCGTAACTGCTGCAGCCGTCATGCCACCAACTCTAAAGCCCAGTTGTCAGTATATGCATGTTTCCCTCTAACTCTGTTTTCCCCCACAGGTCCAAAGCAACAGGGAGAAGCAAACATACCCTCCAGCCATAAAGTGCACCCACGACTTTGCAAACGGCAAAGCCTTGACCTGCCCCCTCGGGCTATCATCCGGCAGCACGTCGCCCGTCTCCCTCGACTGCATCAGCGCCGCATGCTCAGCCGAAGCATGCGAGTGCTGGAATGGTCGCCCATCGTCTCGCCCTGGCAGGTACGGAACAGCCGCAGGCCCCTGCTGCGCCATGGCCAGAAATTTGGTATCGCTTGTGTCTAAGGGCAGGTTCTTGTTCTTGATTCGTTCCGTCACGTTCCTTGTCGTTTTCCTTTCTGGTCGCAGCTTCGGTTAGGCAAGTTTTGTCGTCAAAAACCGCCGATGCGCAAAAATGAGTCGGTGCAACTCTCGATATGCCGCGGTGGGGTTGATTAAAGATGCGGCAGGAGATTCAGGCAACGAAACGGTAGAGAAGGTGATTCGCCTAGAGCTTATTGAAGAGGAAGAGAAAGAAAAAGTAAAACGAGGCTTAACGGCGATTGTGTGCAAAAGCCCGTTAACGAGAGGGGGAGAGGGAGAGAGAATGGGAAAACCAGTGAATCTAAACCGAAGTATGATGCGTTTATTGCCTCTTGATTTTTTTGGCGGCTCGGCTTTTTTTTTTTTTTTAACCTTCTTATCCTGTCATGTTTTTTTGTTTTGGTTTTAGCTCAGCAACGAGCCGAAGTGGCGCTCTGCAGCTAAAGCGGCTTCCGAAGTTACCCCAAGGGGCCAGCCCAATCGGTACGTACCGCGACCCCCTTACTCCAAGTCCGTATTACCAGATCAGGTACCTTAGTAGGCAGGTACCTTTAGTACCTGTAGTGGTGTAGTGGTACGGAGTACGGTATCGCTGTAATACAAACAGTCTCTTTAGAGATCTCACTCGCGGCCGTTTTTAGACAGAGGGAGATTAATAAGATATGCAAAGATAAAAGATCATATTCTCATTAGCCTACCAAGGTTATCAATCTGCCTAGTCCTGTTCATAATCCCAGCATATGCGCATCCAGACAAGCATCCCAATCCACAATCCGTCAAACGTGGCAAACTTTTTTCCAATCATATCCCATAAAAATCCAACCTAGTATTACCTATATTCGTATACGAGTATGCTATCAAGCGGGGTCCCCCCAATTCTTCCCTGCCGTCTTCACCTTGGGGCCAGAGGTGGCAGCGTTCCAAACGGCCGAGGCTCATAGTCGGGCGGTGATAGGATGGCAGCCAGATGCCCCGTCCGTGGAGGGTTCCTCGGCACAGTAGGGGCTGGCTCGATCCTGGTGAGCCGAGTGGTAGGGAGCAGCCTCCGCGGTGGCTCGGCAGCAGGGGCCGGTGCCAGAGCCGGTGCCAGAGCCGGTGGCATCATCGGTGGCATCACCGGCGCCGGTCCGGCCGCTGGACTCAATACGGGCCTGTACTCGTAGTCCATGTTCATGTTGCCTTGGCTTGCCGCGGTACTGGGGCCTGCGCTAGAGCCGCTGGCTGGCGGCGGCGGCGGCGGTGCTGATGCTGGCGCTTTTCCAGCTGCCTTTGCTGACCTGGATGCTTTTGCAGCAGCTGCTGCGTTCTTTGCTTCCTTATAGATGACTGCCAGCTCCTCCCGTACGTCGGCGGCTTCTTCGTCAGTAACGTTCCTCCAGTTGCATCTCGCGTGTTTCTTGGTGCAACCCCGACAGGCCGTTAGGTGCTTGACACACTGCAGGCGGAGGCGCCGGCACCGGTCGCAGGGAGGGAAGATGATCTCTCCTTTGTTGAGGGTGTCTGTCTTTTGCAGCACAAGGGGCCGGTGTACCTCGTTGGCGGGGTCGCCAGGGAGCGCCACTTGACTGAGTGCCATGGTGGCAATCGACTTGGAGTTGGAGGCCGCAGTCAAGGCTGGCGCCGCGACGGGGGCCGGGACTGGTGCCGGAGCGGGGGCTGCCGTCTCGACCGCCGGATAGGCAGCGGCCGGGGGTGGGTGATACGGCGGTGCTTCCAAGGTAGGCGGGGCCAGCGGACTTTGACCGGCAGCAGGCCCGGCATTGGGCGAGGCGGGCTGCGCATGGTAGCCCGGAGGCGGGCCCTGAGGTGGGCCGTTTTGCATCGCGGCCACGGAAAATTGGTGGAGAAGGTCCGTATGGATATTGGGCGGCGCGCTGCCGGGGTTCGCAATGACGGGGCGCTGTGGTTGGTTGATAGCCTGGAAGCTGGAGCTGGAGCTGGAGCTGCCGGAGCTGGATGGTGCGCTGCAGCTGGTGCCGGCATCGAGGAGCTGCTGTCGTCGGGCGACATCACGAATGCGGATCTCAAGCCTTTGGTGGAGAAGGTGAGCTCTGCCCGCAAGCTCGTCGGCCTTTCTGTGCAGATATGAGGCTCTTTGCTCGAGGATTTCAAGCGTCGCCAGCTCGGCCGCCTCGTCCTCTTCAAAGGTGTATTCCAACGGGAATCTGTCCAGCGCCCCAGAGGATATCAGGCGCCAATCATCTTCTATAATCTCGGCCTGCACCCCGTTGTACACGAAGCGACAACATCGTGAACCACTGGGCAGTGGCATGACCGTGAAGGCTTCTGGATTCGTCTTGGCATATGTGACAATCTCCAGCCAGGTGATTTGGTGATAGATGTTCGCCGAGAGGATCTTGATTGGGCCTTCAAAAAACCTTTCGAGCCCACGGAGGAACCGGGGACCTGTCAGTTTGGCCCCGAGATTGGCTGCCATGCTTTCCTTCCGATCCAAGACGGCTACATTAGGTCAGTATTACGCCCTCCTCATGCCGTGTAGTGGCGTAGGAGCAACATACCGTCATATTCATTAACGAGGTAGATGAGATCGTTAAAGGTTTCGACATCGCCCGGCAGGAAAGACAAGAGCGGGGCGTTGGGCCTGGTCACAAAGTTGACAACGGACTCTGGGGCCACTAGGTTGTATTAGCATTCAATGATTCTCAGCCTGTAGCGGCAATGAAGAATAAAACAACATACTTAAAGCAAGAGAAGACGATGACTGCATGCTTGGGTGGCGATGGTGAGCAGGATGGCTGCCGTCGTCCTCGAGGTCTCGCTTCCGCTTGTGGGGTTCATGTTCCGGAACCTGTGCCATGGCGGTTATCGCTGCCTCGGAGCTTGGCAGAAGGACGGCTGTGGAGTGGCGGAGAGAGCGGAGATCTGGAGAAGAAAAAGGTCGACAGGCAGGGAGAGAATCAACGTGCGATTCAATGACTTTCTGTCCCGGTTCAGGACAGATGTCGGAGGCCACGGAGGACTTCAAGGACTCAAAGTCTCCAAAAAGAAGAGAGATCAAATAAAGATCCGATAGACAACAGCGTGATTGCCGTGTATCCACGTAACAGGGGGATGGGTAAAGAAACCCAAGAGGCAGCGAGAAGGGCCCTCTAATAGAACGCCGTGTGCGCCTTGATGCGGTCAATGAAATCAAACGAGAGGGTGATGAGAAATCCGAAATGGAATGGGCGGGCGGAATTGTCTGGGTTATTGTAGGAAAGGAAAAGGGAATAAATGCTGGACCAGGTAAAAGACCATCCTATGCGGCGTGGCAGCAGCTTGTCGGATGGGATTGCCCGCTCACCCAGATGACTGTGGGTCTATCGACGGGCGGCAGCTGGGGGAGGGGGGGTCTGTTCAAGAGAAGAAAAGAAGGAAAAAATAGGACGGGCTGCTTTTGGTGCTCCTTCGTATCATGGATAATGGCCAGAGGTAGCGGTCGCAGTAGTGTGTGCCAGCCAGGAATAGCTTCAATGAGAAGGATTACATTCCCGGTGTGTAGACCGCGCCGTACTGCACAGGTACACCTTACATGCAGGAATATACCGGTATGTGTGCGTGCAAGAATTCCATGTGAAGCACCAGGCGTGGCCACTGTAGGTGTGCATATCTACAGACCGGTCGGTAGACTTGTATGGAGTACAAGTGTGATACCATGCTAGCCGGTGTCTTGGGCAGGATGTGTACAAGTGTGAAGCACGCGGTTCAGCATGTACGAGCATGTACATGTATGTTTCGACAAAAGGGTCCAAGTACATGCAGGCGGCGGCAAGGGGGGTGGAATTAACCACAAAGAGGAGACCATCACGAACAAGGGGGGACATGGGAAAGTGGCTTGCATGTTGGCCCAGAGAAGAAGACGAGAGGTAAGAGATGGCACAGCGCATTGCATTGACATTGATGCGGAATCAGAACGGAGCAGGAGAAGGGAGGCGGGGAAGGAAACGATCCGGAAGCCCACCCTTGGATGATGTTTGATCAACTCATGGTGGTGTTGTTGATGCCATCGTTGAACCGGCAGCAACGTCCTACGAGCACTCTTAGGAGGTTAGAAGTACTCATACAGTAGTACTGTGCGGTAACAGCTAGAGACGATGCTCCGTAATCAGCAGCGGAGAGGCGGGAAGGCAATGAAGAAGAAGGGAAAGAAGAAAAAACTTCCCGGGCGGAAGAAGAGGAGAAGGGACGGGGGTGAAAGGGGGGGACAGTGAATAGTGAATAGTGAATAGTGACCTGTCTCATGGCAATGGCCAGAGCATGGCGAAAAGGCAAGACATGGCACAATGTAGGGCGTGGCAGGGCAGCAGCGGCGTGGGCCAGTGCGTGGTGTAGCAGCGCGATTGACAGGGTCTGGCAGGGCATGGCAGGGGTGTGGCCGTCGATTGGAGAGGTGAGAGGGGAGGGGGAGAGGAAGAGCAGCGGCTCGGACGAAAGATGGGACATGAGCGTGTATAGCAGTAGTGGTATTAGTAGTAGTTAGTGTACTAGTATTGTATTGCATCCAGCATGGGATGGGGTCAAACGGCAACAGACGGGGAAGAGAGAGAGAGAGAGAAGCGACCGATTGTTGAGGGCGAGCAGCAAGCGACCTGACTTGACCTGACTTGACCTGGCCTGGCCTGGTCTGGCCTGACGCTGGTTGATTGGCGGCGTTGCGTGCAGACAAGAGTCAAGCCATCGGTCGCGGACTGGGTTCAACGGTGCTTTGGGCGCGGCAGGGGATTGAAGCCGTGCTGCCATGAACAATGCCTGCAACTGCACTGCACTGTACTGTACTGTGCGGTATTGTCAAGGTAGTGGCAGTACATACAGAAGAGAGACACAACCTGACATGGGTATTACCTTGGTACATAGTTCCATGGAAGTCCCCAAATCACAGACGCCCAAACAAAGATCGAACTCGCTCTGCCGCCGGACAGCCCCGGTTCCGAGCCCAAGACAAGCGAGTTGGCGTTTTGCCGTGCCCGCATCAGCCAGGGCTGGCATTTGATCCCTACTCGAGTCGAGTCGAGCTGTGCTGTGCTGTAATAGTAGAGCGCGTCCGTATTACTCGCTTGCTGTGTGATCGCTTTGCCTCCCTGTATATGCCTGGGCGGGTTCTGTTTGTTTGTTTGTTTTTTTTTTTTCTTCTTTTTTTCAATCCATTGTTATTATGGGATTATTATTTTCTTGGTCCCCCCCTCTGCTGGTGGTGTGTCTGTCTGCCTGTATGTCTGGTCCCCTGCGAGAATCATGTGTAAGAAACAGAAACCAAGACGCAAACAGCCATGGACCGCCGGCCGAGCCTCTCACCCTCTGCCGCATGCGCCAAGGCATAATAATAGGGGGTGCATTGCGCCCAACTCGTCACATCTGCTCTTCCCTTGTAGAAACCCGGTAGCAGCTCCGTAGGCGGCGTTGGACCATTGCAACGCCAAACGCCACCAACCAACGGCCGCCTTCGTTTTGTTTTGCAGCATGTGTCTGTGCCCAAGGAACAAGGAACAGAGCAATTCCTGCTCCGCTATCGAGTTGAGGCTTCGGACGGCCATGACGGCCATGACAGCCCAAGCCTTAACGTTACTCGTAACTGCCGGCTAGAGCATGGCAAGAAATGATCGTCAAGCGGACCGGGCGGCCCTGCTATGCCCCCAGAGTTCCAGTAGATTCCCGCGAAGTGGGCGCGTTGCGGCAATCCATCCTGTCCTGTCCTGTTCCTTGCCTGCAAGTCAGCCAGGCCATCAAGCTAAGGCAACAGCAGAGATTGAAACCAAATACCCAAGCACCGAGACATCCCGGTGTGCTAGTCGTGAGACTAGCTAGTAGCTCAGGTTCAGGTCGGACCAGGTCAAGCCGGCAGGGCCATGCCAGGCCAGGCCCGCAGTTGACGACGGCAATGCTAATGTACGAGTACGAGTGTTCCATTCGGTACAAGTACCAAATAGTGAGTCCAAGGTGTTGCGACTCAAGCCCAAGGTGTGTGTGTGTGAGTGTGTGAGTGAGAAACAAGCTTGTGTGTGTGTGTGTGTGATTTCTCTCGTTGGCATCGCCTAATACCGCATGCAAATGCAATGGCAAGGAGGCGAGGCCGTGTGGCAGCAGCGGGCAGCTTCGCCTAGGCAGCTATAGGACCTAATTCGTCCTTCGTGTAACATCTTGAGAGCCGAGACGGAGACCGACAATTGGCAAGCAGCCCGAAAACACCATGCGTGAATGCAAATGCAAATGCAAATGCACGCTCCATACGAACAACAGCTGGCTGGCTGGTTGGCATGCGTATGTATACCTACCGTACTGTAAGCATGCCCACATATATACATATACATATATCCATAAACCTACCAGTCTCTTGCAGCTCGTCCTGCGGGAGAACTCGTAATGACTGACTGACTGACTGGCAATGCAATGCGCCGTGGTGGTGTATGCATATCTGCCCACCGGTGCACTCGCCATGCATCATCACAAGCAAGCAAAACGCGTGTCAAGTCGAATGTGTGAGCAGACAGGGAGCCCAAGTCAAGAGCCCAACCCGGACAGAGGTCGATTGGCCACTGCACTGCCGATAGCCAGCGAACCGGCTGCATGTCGACTCCATCCCGGTCTCAGCATCGAACCCGGCCCCAAGCTGCTATCTGCCGCTTTTTTTCATTCGGAGCGTCTCCAAGGCTTGCCTCCCGGGCTCACGACTGCGTATTCGTACCCCCCTCCCTACCTCCCTCCCTCCCTCTTCATCTTCTTCTTGTGTACTCCGTAGTTGCTGTTCTTCTCCTCTCCTCGCCGTGAAACGCCCTCGCACACGCCCTCTCCATCATGCTCGGATGCCAGCCGTATCGCCGGATTTCTCGTCGCCCAATCTGGCCCGCCAACCGTACTCCGCAGATCGTTGGGTTCCACACCGCTGCAGCAGAGGAGATTCCGAAGGCTCGCTTCAGGGTATCGAGAGGAGACCGGAATCCATGGACCGACTGATGGTGAGCTGCTGCTTCTTTGTTGCCGCGGAGGGGCTTCTTTGTAGTCGCAGAGGATTGGAGAGAGTAGATGCAGGCGAGGAACGACGGCGGGCAAATGGCAGACATTTGATTTGCCGGCTGCTTTCGACAGCGGCACGACTACGGTGGTGACTGATGCAGGTTCAGTTCGGGTCGGGTCAGTTCAGTTCCGCGTCCTCAGGCCTCGACACATTTTGCCATTGATCCAGCTCTTTGTTGCCTACGAGTACAGTATAGGTACTCGTAACCTACCTACCTACCTACCTTGTCTTGTCTTGCCCTTGCCCTTGCCCTGCCTTGGCTCGCCTCGCTCGCCTCGCCTGTGTAGTTACTAAGGCAGTACCTACCTACCTACTGTAGCTTCTCAGACTACCTACATACCTAGTAGGCCGGGATCCGACTCTGACAGAGAAGGAAGGTTGTGCGGCCGCGTTTCCTGCAGCTTGTCAACCGACATCTGGCGTAAGCTCAGGTCGAGCAAGGAGTGGGAAAGTGCGGAAGCAAAGGGCCCCTTTTGCGTTCTTTCATTCCGCCCCATGGCGGTTTCTTTTTACTAGCAAGGTAAGAAGTACTAACGTGCATCGTGTATCAGCAGCGGTACAAGGCTGTGTGAAGTAACCTGTCGCCAGATATAGGTAGATACTACAGCATTACCACATCTCTAGCTCGCTCAGTCATCTGTGGCTTTACAAGGATCTATTCGTGGTTTACTTGCTCAACCTGCTTTGTCACTTCATGCTAGCAGGTAATTTCACCCAACTGCTCGTGCTACTACTGCACGGCACACTCAGATGCCGTTGACGGCCAGCGGTGCTGCCACCCGTCTCAGCAAAATCCGGATCGCCTACCTAGTAGCTGCAGAAGCTCGACTCTGAATCACACCACAGCGCCATGAGGTGGTCATGGCAAGTCTCCCTCATCCGCCATCGAGTGCGAATGTACGAGCACCGCTAAGACTCGCACAGGTTACGGATCAAGTCGCAATGCAACAGTGCAAACCACCACATCTACCATACGTTTACAATACTACTGTATTTACTCCGGCCTCCGTTTGGGCACACGCATACATACGCACACACACCACCACTTCCGCCTTGAGTAGGTGCCAGACCGAAGCACCCTTGTACCAGAGGTGCAGTACGAGTACTTGTACAGTAGACCAAGCAACCATGATAGCATGCACAGACGGCATGGAACTAACTGGGACGGAATAGATGCTGGTCCTCCGGAAGCTTGCCTGCAACAACTTTATCGGAAGATAACGGCCCTAATGCGACAGCCCATGGTTTACCGACAAGAGGGATGCCGCATCAACCATTGGCTACCGCTCCTTGTCAAGTATCAAGCAACCCGGCTCTATGGAGTACGAGCACACACGGAGGTGCTTGCCGCCCGATTCCATGTCAGTCGAGGTACACCGGCTAGCTGGCGGGCACCTACTTTCAATGCAGAATTAATTGGCCAACTTCCTATTGCCGCTGCTTGCATTGTTCACGCTTCAACTACTGTAGGTGGGTTCTAATAATACCTAGCCGATGCTACGTGTTTCAACCGGCTTACACTCGACTCTCAGACCGGCTGCACCTCAGAAGCACTGAGAAACAAAAAGGGAACGAGACCGAGCCAGAGCAAAGTGGATCAGCTGGTCCGGTCATGCAGTACGAGTACAGTACATGCTACGAGGCGAGACCACCAGGTAATGAGCAAGTTGAGTGGCACCCAGGATGATACTAGGTAGTATATCCTTGACGTGAGCTGCTTCATGTCTCTGCATTGCTGATAGTAATCGGACAAGTACATGCCTACCTACGTATTACTAGGTACGAGTAGGTCTCAGATCAGCTTCCACTGCCGAGAGAAAGAGCAAGGAGACAAGGGGAACATGCCCCTTGGTGAGTTGGGACAGGTCCACATCATCACAGACGCATCATGCTCGCTGTCGCTGCACTGCACAGAACAGGCATGTGCAGGTAACTGGTACTATTACACCATGCACACAACTGAAGAGCCATTAGTATTATACGTCTAACTGCTCCGTACTAGTAATACACTGCCTGAGTAGTACTAGTAGATTGATGAACCTATTCCTTGAAGAGGCTGTAATATTGTAATATTGTAATATGCTGCAATCCCACCAGAAACTACTAGAGTCATCTTAGTGTTGACAGGCACGAGTACCTTACTCGTAACACAGCTAATACAGCTAATACAGCCTTCACAGCCTTCGAAAAAACAGCTTCAGTTGGAAAATGCTAGTGGCCAACACCCGCCTAGTCCTGATCGGGAACAGCCCCTCCTCCACAGGGCCTTTCCCCCCCACCTCTCTGCCTCTGTCTCTGCCAAAAATCCCAGCCATCATGTAGCATCACGCACGCAAGCTTCATAGCAAAGCTCTCACCCAAGCTCGACCAATCCTTTCCCCTGTTGCCCCGGGAAACAACGCACACGAGCAGCAAGCCAATGCGCAGCAGCAGCAGCAGCGGCAGCAGTAGCAACCATCATGTCCGATAGACCTTCGCACAGAGGCGGCCGCGGCGGTGACCGAGGTGGCTATCGAGGTCGTGGAGGTGCCGCCGGAGGTGGCCGTGGAGGCTCTTCAGCGGCTCAGGGCGAGAGGCCCAAGAAGGAGAACATCCTGGACCTGGCCAAGTACATGGACAAGGAGATTACCGTCAAGTTCAATGGCGGCCGCGAAGGTAACCAACCATGGCCGTGTCAAACAAGACAGAAGACAGAAGACAGAGCTGACATGGGGGAACAACAACAACAGTCCGCGGCACTCTCAAAGGCTACGACGCCCTCATGAACCTCGTCCTTGACGAAGTGCAGGAAACCCTCCGAGGTCAGTTTCCCGTCCTCTCTCTTTTCTTCTTCTCTTCTTCTCTTACAACAGCTGTTTACTTACCCTGGAGCCATCACCATCATTTGTTGCCCTCTCTTCCATGCTGCTGCTGCTGCAAACTAACTAACACACACACTCCCAACAGACGAAGAAGGCAACGAGTCATCCCGTCCCCTTGGCCTCGTCGTCGTCCGCGGAACACTCCTCGTCCTCATCAGCCCCGCCGACGGCAGCGAAGAAATCGCCAACCCATTTGCTCAGCCCGAGGAGGACTAAGAAATAAAATAAATGGAATAGCCCCCATGACATAATGGGGCCACAAGACGAATGAAGAATAAAGGCAATGAAATGGGAAAAAGAAACGACACAAAGGAAGTTGGAGGGGGGAGAAGAATCAAGCCACAAATAGCAAAAAGGGTCGGCCTTTATGAGACACCACCCCTCCTCCGCGGGAAAGATGGAAGCATAAGCATGAAACTTGGAGTCGCATCGCTATGGCGTATACGGCGGGGGGGGACTGGTTGATAGATTCGGAATAATGGGCAAAGACTCCTCCCCATCTCCAGACGAGAGGGAAAAGGGAAACGTGGGGAGGGGAAGATGTATACATCAAATCTGACCATGGGGCGCCGAGATGGCAATAACCTCAGGCTCGAAGGGCTGCCTTTCGAGGCTCGAAGAAAATATAGCAAAAGGAAAAAACAACCTGCCACGTTGGACCCGTCTTGCTACGACTATGAGAGGAGTGGCATCTGAGCGACTCTTCACATGTACGATTCGATTGATTCTCCTAGGATAGCAGCGCCGCACAAACAAACAGACGGCTGCCAAATACTTCAGCCCTTGAGAGCTTCAAAGCCTACGCGAGATGATGTGAAATATGTTGTGAATAGTAATGTAAATTGATTGGCAGTAAGTTAGTATATAGCTATTTTTTTGGGCGTTATGTATCTGCGGACATGCCTCCCCCAAATATCTCCCCTTGTCCCATCCATCTTCCATCTTGCACTCTTGTATTCTTCTTCTATTCCCCCACGCTTCCCACACATAATCCAGAAAAAACATAACATTTCAAAATCGTTCAGTGTCAGCAAAGGCCGCTCGCCACATTGTTGTAATCCATTTCGTATTCTGTCGCAAACTCTCATCGACTCATTTACCCATGGTCTCTCGCAGAGCCGCTGCCTCTTTTATCTTGTCTCTGGTTCAGCTCGTCGTGGCAAGGCTTGCCGGACACCGTCAATGGTTTGCTTGCGTCGTATCCCCCATCTGTCTCTTCTCTTATATGCTGCGACCGGGCTCTTTCTTTTAAAAGTTTCTGCCTGGCTTGGCCGTCTTTATCAATTCGTTAAATGCATTTGCCAGTTGTTTCTTCAGCTCCTTGTAGCTGACAACAAAGCTGGTCTGTTCATCTCTGCTTGTCAAGCAGATTCTCTCATCAACGCCGGCATCGAGTTTGTTAAGGCAGCGTATCATGTGTCCAATGTCCATGACGGGATTTCCGTTGCTGTCCACCTGGTGGAAGACGTAGTCTCTAAAGAGCTTCAACATGTATCGCTCTCCGTTTTCCGACCACGCTCTATCGCCTTCGAATTCTTGCCGCTCATTGATGGTACCGAGCTTCATCATGAGTCTGGCAATCCTTCCATTTTCCAGCTCGCGGAACAGCTCAGAGTTGAGAGCATCTGCCCTATGCTGGCTCTGGTCAAAGGCCGACACAATGTGGGTCGCTATGCCTTGAATGAACTCGTCAATCGACTTATGTGCCGGCGCTGGCGTCGGCGTCAGTAGCCATGTAATAGTATCCCTCATTTCCGTAGAATAGGTCCTGCTCATTTGCTCCATGGCCGCATTTAGGTTGGTGAGTTGCAAGGGAAGGGTGCCGGTGGCAAGGCAGAGCAAGGTACGGCCGAAATGCAGCAAGTCTTCTTGCTGCAGTTCCTGGATCGGTCGTCTGACATCAAAGTGAACCACATCCAGTACGGAGCACGCGTTGAGGCGAATCCGGTTCTTGTCCGTCAGGATAATTTTGCTGACGTCCACACAGCGCGCTGCTAGGTTGTTGTCGTGTATCGACTTGAGGGCTGTGGCAATCTGGGAAATGTATCCCCAGAGAACCTGTTCGGTAACTGGCGGCTTGGGTTGAAATCGGCCGCCTGCTGCCACAGTTGGCGTGAGGTGTGCCTCGGCCAGCGTCTTGGACAGCGGGTGGTAGTCCTGCACAAAGATGAGGGAGCTGTCTCCAAAGGCTCTTGTGGTGAAGGCATCGTGGATGCTGACAACGTTGGCATTGTCAACCCGCTTCCACTCCTTGACAGATCGAATGGCATGCTCATTCGTCAGTCTAAAGCCTTCCAATCTCCTCAAGCAGTAGAGGTTTCCGTTTTTGGACGACGTGGCCTTGTACACCCAGCTGGGGTATCCAAATATGTTTGCATTTTTGCGATGCGTCGTATCCAAGGCAACTAGGGAGTGGTAGCTGTCCAACTGTGGCAATTGGGAATTAGGCATTACTTGCAGCGCCGCTTCTGACTTCTTCTGCATTTCCTCCCTCAGCTTCTCCGGTAGGAAGAATTCGTGGCTAAGGCGATGGTATGGCATCAAATCCTCTCGGTATGGCCCTATCGGGGCGTAGAGATGATGCTGCAATGGTTGTAATGGGGCCGCAAAGGCGTTTTGGGGTTGAAAATATGTAGACTGGGCACCAGCCATGGTATTATGCTCTTCAGCATAGGGGTTGAATGGCGTCGTGGCCATGTTTTGGTTTGGTAACCCAAATGGATCGTACGTGACGGTTCCATCTTGAGAGGTCCCATTTGTTGATACAGCCTTTTCCGTCGTTAGTGGAACCGGAAACTGACAAGGTCCTATGGGGACGAGGGGGCCGACGGGGACGAAGGCCCAGAGGTGGGTGAGGGGGACGAGGCACTCGAGGGGGACGAGGCATTCCAGGGGGACAAATGAGGTGATGGGAGGTGTGAGAGGAGGTGTGAGAGGAGGTGTGAGAGGAGGTGTGAGAGGAGGTGTGAGAGGAGGAGTAAGAGGAGGTGTGAGAGGAGGAGTAAGAGGAGGAGTAAGAGGAAGCCATACGGAGGAGGAGCTGAGATCGAAACCGGGCGTAAATTCCCGTATAGAAGCAGGGTTAAACATGGGCGCCTCGGTATCTGGTAAAGTAGATGGTGTAGCGGCTGTAAATCATGGGAAATCAGTACCGAAGCAAGTCGAATATCAGGATTAACGAGGCTTCCGACTTACCTCCTAGGCCGCGCGGAGTGAAAGACGGGGCAGTCACAGCTTGTGAGGAAAAAGTAGGCTTCTTGTTGACAGGTTGTAGAAGTGAGGGCGTAAAAGATGGCGACTCAACATTCAGCGCCTTTTTTGAGCTATGACGAGTACCAAGATCAGCCACAACCATAGAAGATGATCCAGGAACCAAGAGAGCATGTGCATGTGTATATAACTTCGACCTCGTTGGTCTCCCATCTAGCATATGATGGGGAGATCAACACCTACTTGTCTTGCTGGGGCGGATTCCCCTTGGTTTGGTCGTGAGAAAAGGAACACCCTTGGTCCTCATAGCGACAATGGCCATAGATGAGAACGTTTCTGCAGAGAGTCTCCTTGTTTTCTGTTTTCACGGTCAGCCAGGTCCGGTCTGGCAATCGGTTCATGATATGATATGCTAAAACCCACCTCGTGTCTTGGGCCTCGGGGACCCAACCTGGCGCCGAATGTCGGCAGTTTGATATCGCGACGTCGCCATGGTGGTCAATTGTATGTCCCGAAAAGAGTGCCGTCCCCTGGGCCGGATCTACGACTTCTGGAGGCGGGATTAGCTTGCGGGTTGAGCGTCGGAAAGAGCGTGGCAGCGATGAGCGCAAGTCGGCGACGGGTTCAAGAGTGTTTGAGTGTTTGGTTCAGTTGCAAGAGAGAAGCAGCGAGAGTAGAGCCGGGGCGATGGTGGAAGAAGAAGCAAGGAGGAGGAGGACAGAGGACGGGGAAGAAGGAGTATTTAAGGTGGCTTGATTTGTTTGTTTACCGACATACTGGATGGCAACAATCGTCTCCCATGGCTCAATTGATCGGGGCGGCGTCGCGCCCATGGACGAAGAGGAAAATAGGCTCGAGCCCCCAAAGGCAAAAAAGTGTAGGCACGAGAGTTGGTGATGAGCCGCGCCTCGTCGCCGCTGATCGGGTTGGTGTCTTTGGACGAGTGGGGAGACGCTGCCATCTCGGAACTATGGTGGAAGCCAGATGTGGGTGCTAGCCGGGGTTGAGCCGAGATGGGAGCCCAAGGCGGTACGGGTTTACTGCTGTAGGCAGTAGGTACTTACCATTGATGATGATGATGATGATTATATTTACCGTCCGTAGTGGGGATAGGCCCCGGCCTGGGTAGGCATTAGACGTGCTAGGCTAGCTACTCTCTATCTAGCAATTCATATTTGCTAGATAGAGAGTAGCTAGGTAGGTACTTACCATTACTCGGTATACTACCTAGGTACCTAGAACTACCTAGTAGGTATCAAATAGGAGGCAGATGGGTAATAAAGCGTCCATAACATTTATTGGACATTCAGTTCTACCTTCGACAACGACTTTACAAAGTACAGAGTGCCGTTCAACGGACTCGAATTATACGGCTCTGCTTCTGCAAATCCTTCAGACTTGTACAGGCTTATCGCGGCAGTCATCTTTGACAGCGTATCCAGCAGCATCTCGTCGTAGCCCGCAGCCTGCGCACATCTCACGGCCTCTACCAGCAAAGTCCTAGCTACCTGTCTCCCACGAGCTTCTGGGTATACAAATAGTCGTTTGAGTTCGCAGTGGCGTATCCCGGCAGGCCGTGAGTCAGAATACACTCCCTCAAGGCTTATAGGTCGCACAGCAACGCAGCCAAGGACGGCGTCAGTTGTTGCATCTACGGCGAGGAGAAGGGCCCCAGTGGGCGCTGCGTATTTTCCCGGTAGCCCGTTTAACTCGGCAGTGTAATTCTGGTGGGTCAAATCTTCGTCAAGCCAGGCAGTATACTCTTTGAAGCATTCAACTACTGCTGCGAGATCTGATGGGGACGTGGCTTGGCGAACAAGAACGGACGAGGTAGCAGTTGGCAGCGTTGCCATTGTATCGTACTGCTTAGCTACAGGGTAACCTGCGTATTGGAGAAGAATACTGGACTCAACACCACTATCAATGGAAAAAGAAGACATGAGATAGAAAGGGGAGAGTAAATCTAGTTATCAAAGCAGAAAGATTTCCCTGTAGACTTTAAGCTGCAAAGCTCAACTGACACACATCATACTTTTGCCGGTACCGGAGCCCCGAAGGATTCTCCAACAGCGCCGGCGCAATGCCTGATACACTACGTACCTGGTATTATTTCTGTGGCGGTTGATTCTCCCATGACAACCAAGCAATTTCTCCAGGTTGCCGCAAAGTGTGTTGCTTAGGTACTACTATAGGTACCTTGCTAAGATTTCAAAATCTGGCCTCTCTGCGGACTAATACAAAACTTAATTAGCCATTGGGGAATTACAAAATCCATCTGTCCTTGCAAGCCTCTTCCACACGAGCATTTACATCAATATTTGTGGATTAACTGGAGGCTCCGGCGAGCTTAGGCGGTTGGGCTCCGCTACAGCGATGAGGTAATGCAGCCCGGCACTGCATCTGCACCTTGATAAGCCGGCTGGAGCCCGCTATTATGACACTGAGACAGCTCCAAGATTCCTTATCGAACGTCAAGCTCCAGCGCAACACAATCACCAAACATCCGTGGCCAAACGTTCAGGAGGAAGAACGCCGTCACATGGAAAACACAAAAGCATCTTGATCCTATTCCCCATCCCTCCGGTTCCTGTCGTTTTCCTGGTTCCTGGCCAAAGATGGCCGACAACGCGGACGATACGGGACAGCTGTCACCAAGCCAGCAAGATGCCCTGCAGCAGTTTATGCAGTTGACGAACCAAGAAGCAAAGGATGCCATCCCGCTATTAACGAGATCGCAATGGAATGTGCAGGTAACATGATGCTCTGATGTCTCCCTCCCTTGAACGCTTTCCTGAAACATGGTGCGTCTTTGCTAACCATCCGCGGTAATGTCAAGATCGCCATCACCAAATTCTTCGATGGTGAGACAGCTGATCCAGTTGCCGAAGCAATGGCAGCCCAGGAAGCTCCGCGCTCGACCGCGCGCCACGAGAATCTTCAGGAGAGCTTCCTGGTGGCACCGGACCGACCGTCTGCAGCGAGCCGGCGAAACCGAACCGACGCCGCTCCCCGAGTTGTGCCTTCTCCGCCCGTGATCCATCGGACGCCGTGGTTTTTGGGTCTTCTGCTCACGCCGTTTAGCTTGGGCTGGCGTGTTGCTTCGACTCTCCTGCGCACAATCGGATACATCCTAGCATTCTTACCTGCCTCCATACGGCCGCGAACTGTTACAGCTGGAATTGCTACAGGGTTCCGAAGCCCAAGCGGTCGAAGGATGCTCATGCCTCGAGATGCAGCAGCTAGATTTAGGCGAGAATTTGACGAAGAGTACGGAGCTAATAGCCTCTCGTTCTTCGAGGGCGGCATAGCACAGGCCCATGACCTGGCCAAAAAGGACCTTAAATTCCTCCTCGTCTTGTTCATGTCTCCCGAGCACGACGACACCGAATCATTCATCAAGAACACACTGCTGGCTCCAGAGGTTGTTGAATTCCTCAACGACCCGGGCAATAACATGATATTGTGGGGAGGCAACATTCTCGATTCAGAGGCGTACCAGGCAGCTACCGAGTATGCTTGCACAAAATATCCCTTTTCAGCCCTGGTGTGCTTGACCCCAAAGGAGGGCAGCACACGTATGGGTATTGTGAAGCGATTGGTAGGCCCAATGCCTCCTTCGACTTACTTGTCAGAACTGCAAGCCGCCATGGAGAGATACGGCTCCGACTTGAATAGGGTACGAGCGGAACGGGCTGCACAGGAGCTGGCTCGTAGTCTGCGTGATGAGCAGGACTCGGCTTACGAACGATCATTGGCCATTGATAGGGAGCGCGCGCGAGAGAAGAAAGAGGCTGCCGCTGCCGCCGCCGCAGCAGAGAAGCGAGCCCTTGAAGAGGCCGAAGCAGCTGCTGTACTGGCTGAGAAACGCCGACAGTGGAAATCATGGCGAGCTCCTAGAATTTTGGCTGAGCCTCCAGCGAGCGATAGAAAGGTCGTTCGGGTGGCGCTCAAGATGCCCGAAGATTTGGGAGGAGAAAGAATTGTTCGGCGATTCCCCCAGGACGCCCCTATGGAAGAGCTATACGCGTTTGTTGACTGCCAGGACATTCTGCGGGGGGAGACTCTGGAGGAGAAAGAGGTAGATGAGCCGGAAGACTACGAGCACAAGTACGAATTCCGGATAGCATCAACACTTCCGCGTGTGGTGTACGAGCCAAGCAAAACTGCGACAATGTTGGAGACAATTGGCAAATCTGGCAATCTCATTGTAGAAGATCTATCTGATGACGAGGATGAGGATGAGGAGTGAAGAAGCCTGATAGACATGTGATACCGGTGGGACACCGATGGGATACCAGGTGAATTTTCTTTTTGACAGAATGAAGACGAAAATCAGTTCAAGATGAATATTCTCCACTGTGCTTGATACATTGCAACAATTTGATATTGCTCACGTGTGAACAAAGCCAGGATGCTTACGTAGAACGGCTTTTGCTGACGGTACTTGGCAGATGGTGTGATGAAGAACACCTCCAACCCCCCTCCGCTACTTGTTCTTCAATCCATGATCAGGGAGATGTGTGGCGGGATATTCCCAAGCCAAGGGTAGAGAGCTGGAGACGAGGGCTGGCACACGTGAGGCTGCATGGGGCCGGAAATAAAACAAATCTACGGACTCCCCCGATTGTTTGCTGCCGGGCCCCTACATACCTTGGCAACTTGGGACATGTGAACATATTTTATCATGAGCCGTCTATACGAGTAGAGTATCGTGAGCAAACCACAAAGGATTACGTAGAGTTTGAGGCTGTGCAGACAAACTTGGTCGAAGTTGACGCATGGCGGCCTCCTGGAAAACCACCAAGGCCAAGTTGAAGGACGAATGAGATAACATGGAAGCAGCGGGAATGGGTTGCTGGCCACCTATGGCGGTTTGCTAGTCTTGCTTTTACCCAATGGGATGCAGAGCTGGCAGCGAAGAGGTTGTTAACTTTGACGGCCTGTCTCCTCCACATCCTTATTGCTGTTAAGCTTGTGAAAGTTGATATCCTGGTAAAGCCGAAATCTATCGTGTTTAGCGGGCAGCCAGTGACATTCGCCCATCACACCTACTGAGAGAGACGTCATTAAGACGGGGTTCTGATTTTAAACCCCGAAATGGGTTTCTAGAAATCGATTTGACAAGTCTTGCCTCGTATTATAGGGATTTTCATGCGCAAATGTATAGTATTACCTGCTGCCATGGGCAGTGCATTAGTAGGTACTATATTCCGCTAGTGGTTGGACAATGATTCCATGTACTCGAAGATGCTGTAAATCAGAATGCCCGGTACTTGGTATCGCACCCACTGGCCCTAGTGCTGCCAAGTACCTGCTAACGCTCCGTAGATCCAGCTGCGCCGCCTTCCATTACGCACTTTGGCGATTGCTTGGGCAGCAGCAAACCTGCAACCGTCCAGAGTTATTACTGCATTCATACTAACTCGTCGCGCAACCCCAGACTCCCTCAGGTAGCAAATGTACCTCGACGGAGCTCGCGGAGTACTTGCAAGCATTACTTGGTTTCCACTGCAACTCTCGGTACCGGGCCAAGTAGCGCACCAACTGCACGACCCCCTGCTCGGCTCGATTTAGTGAGAAATGCAGCGGCTAATGCAAGTACCAGATACCCCAATTTTCTCGGGAACCAGAAACGATGGCAAAGTCGCATCTCCTCATGGTTTTGGGCTTGGAGAAAAAAGTACAGCAGGCCAGGCAGCCACGAAATTAAAGCCGAAAGGGATTGTCTCTGGGCCGACAATAGGATTGAATAACGGCTTCGTGCAGAGTCCATGGCAAATAAACCACAATTTGTGAGGCAAAAACGAAGGCAAAGAGGCCCCCCCCCCGGCTCGAGTCTCCGCGGATTGGGCGCATCAATCCTCCTCCAAAGTACCTGTTAATCTCCGAGGCTCTGGCGCAGTATCGAGGCAAGCATTGACTGAGTCGCAGCTTGTTACAGGCTACCTATTAGTAGTATTAGTACCCAGCAGGTGCTGCCACCAGGTTACAGACTTGGAGCCCTCAAGCCCAAAAAGCTCGATGCTGCAACCACCAACAAAACCTCGCCTCTCCCCTCTCGACTTTGCCAACTCCTCCAATCCTGCAGCCCGGCCTGGATTTCTGTCTGCTCTTTGTCTCCTAAGCTCGACGTATACCCGCTGACACCATCCCGGCTGCGAATCGAATGACGCCGGCAATATCCCGCTCTTGACTCTTGATTCCGCTGCCTCTTTATCCTCGTTGTGCCCCGCAAAAAGTGCCCAAGCCCAACGCGCTTCCTATCATCCGTGCTCCGCGATTTTCTACCAACGACGCCCGAGGAGAGATAATTTCGCTCAAGATGAAGTCCATGAAGGGTCTTTCTATGAATAAGATGCTGGGTAGCATCAGGAAAAAGACAAGTATGCGCTCTTCTCTCCCTTTGCCTTTCCCTTTGCCTTTCCCTTTCCTCTCGAGCCGGCATCCTTGGTACAGGTTCACGATGGGCGCCAAGACGATGATGCGATGCTCTCTGCATATCTTTCTGCACTGCCCGATACGCTAGAAATCCCAAAATGCTAACCATCTCTTCTTTTGTGGGCGATAGGTAGCTCAGATCGTTCAGCTGCTACGACACCAGGAGACACACCCGAAGTGACGGCCCATAACAGCGTGGTATGTTTCGTCGATTCGGCCGGCTGTCTTGACGGCGCAACGGCTTGTTGGACTTGGCGCGCGTCCTTGGACTAACCGATCCTCACCAGAAAGCATTTTGCGAATCTGGCGGAACCGCAAAAGTACGTAACCCCCGTCGAAGCTCTTGAAATCCCCCCCTGCCTGGCAATGTCCACTAACCGACGCTTGCTTGTCGCTGTCCAACAGAGCGAGGAGGTGCTCTTCCTCCCCCCGATTGTCGATGCAGCCGAGTCCTCGCCCACCGCCGCCGCCGAATGCGCACGCATCATCCGCAAATACATGGCCAAGGAGTACTCCTCGCGCCCGTCATGGCAGTACAATGCCATCATGCTGATGCGGATACTGGCCGACAACCCGGGCGAGACGTTTACGAGGAACCTCGATGTCAAGTTTGTAGACACGTCTCGGGCATTGCTCAAGGGCACAAAGGACAATGGCGTGCGCCAGATTCTCATGGACACGCTGGATGACTTTGAGCGCACCAAGTTTTACGACGTGAACTTGACCCTCATCATCACCATGTGGCAGGAGGAGAAGGACAAGGCGATTAAGCAGCATGGAGTAAGTGACAGACACCTTTGACCCTGCTATTTTCCCTTTGTAGTTTGATTCTCACTCTTCTCTTTGACTGTATCTTGAATTCAAAGGGATGGCCAACTGACATGAGGATTAGGGTCGAGCACCTACACTGCCCCAACGCCCACCGCAGTCGTTCGCACCAGATAACACATTCAACGGGTATTCGCAAAACTACTTCTCTCGGCACCACACGAATCACCGGCTGCCAGAACCCGCCGAGCTGACTAGCCGGCTGGAAGAGGCGCGGTCGTCTGCAAAACTGCTGGAACAGCTTGTTATCAACACACCAGCCGTGGAGCTGCTTGAAAATGACCTGATCAAGGAATTTTCAAACCGATGTTTGAGTGCTTCAAGAAGCATCCAGGGCTACATGGTGTCAACGGATCCCGCGCCGGACAATGATACCATGGAGAGCCTCATCGACACCAACGAACAGCTACAGACTGCGCTTAGCCAGCACCAACGTGCCATACTCAGTGCCCGAAAGCAACTGGGCCTCAACGAGCGATCCGAGAACCCATCGCCTGCCCCTGAGCAGCAATCGCTTCACGGCTCCGGTGCCCCTAATGGCGTTCAGGGATGGCAAGTCCCCAAGCCCGCGGCATCTTCATCCAGATCTAGCCCCGCGCCCCCTCCCAATGTCTCAGCTGGTAACGGAAAGGGCAAAGACACCGACCTTTACAGCCCTCCGTTCCATCCTCCACCAAACGGAAGCCAGCACCTGGACCCGGGCCGAGGCAGGGCGCCTCCCCCGGAGCCCGAGCCTGTGGAAGACCCATTCAGTGACCCGCAACCCGGCGGTTCCAGCTCCAACGGCCATCTATTGGTCATTGACGAGCCTTTCCACCCTGGTTTTGGATTGAATAATCATCGGGATGGCTCGTCAACACACGGTACCACTGGATCTGGCGTCGCTTCCGAGAGCCACTCGACACACAATTTGCACCCAGACTACCAGGTTTCAGACGACGAGGACCTTTATACGTCTCCTCCCAAGAGCAGCAAGGAGCCCATGTATCGGTACTGAAGAAGCGCCTTGAGAACAGAAGAGCAGGGATTTAGCCATCAAGATGTATGCACATGGGTGCACAGAGAGGAAAGAAGGAGTTTTTTTTTTTTTTTTGAAGACGGAGGATTTTTCTTTATTTCGCAGAAGTTCATGATGCTGCTTAGGCATCGTTTGCGACAAGATATGCTTTTTCTTTTCTTTTCCCCCAAATAACCAGATACGTTTGTCATGACCCCCCTTTATGACGAAATACCACTGCAACATTGAGCAAGCATGAGAGCGATATCTTTTGTCATTTACTATATACAAATTCGCGATTCGTCGTCAAGTCAAAATAGCGTTGAGCTGATAGTTTCCTACCGTCAAATCACGTTTGTTTGTTGCTTGAGTGATGTGACCCTGGCTTCCCCCTTTTAGCCTCGCCCTGGTCCATCTGTGCTGGTAGAAGGAAGGGGATTGCGATGACCCGATATACAGTACGAAAGTTGAAGATTCAACTGCCGAGTTGCCGATCTGCTGCTTGAAAGCTGAAGGATCGCGAAAAGGTAGTTGGACCTTGCTGACGTATGCAAAAACAAGTTTTGGATGGCTTTATGTCGCCCATCACGATAACAATGCTTGAGCCCTCTTGATGAGGAACCTGAGGAGGAAGCATTTTGTATTATTATATTTCCCATGTGCTGTTGGTTCGGAGTTTGTCTAGATTTGGTTTCCTTTCCGGTGTGTCTGTTGTTGTCGATTTATATAGACTTGGATTTGCTTATTTCATATGAAAATCATCCTTTCCTGCATCAATTAGTATCGAAGCATACAAGTACCGTCCCTATTGATGACAACGTCTCTCCCCGTAAGGTACTAATCTGGGATGTAGGTAGACGACATGTAATGTTTGGTGCCTATTGAGATACGTAGCGAAAAGCTCGATTAACACGTGAGAAGGTGGTGTTTCAATTCTGCCCTCCAGGCACGCCCACCGCTTGCCGAAACAATAACCACAGCTCCTCTCTTTGTATCGACTTCTGTCTTCTTCATAATTCATTAAAAACACGGCCAAATCATCGAATTTCGTCAACAACACCATGATCCAGATTTGGTTCTTGCGGACCCCTCAAACGTGCACGGCATGGCGCTCGTACCTTCTATACCCGCAAAATTCCAGCTGGGTCCTTTCTCGAACAATCTCCTGTACCGGAGACTGAAAACTCCAAGCGAAATACCTGCGTAAGTGGCCTGTTAGACGCAAGATATTCTCGGCGGTTTTGCTAAAATTTTCCAACTTTCTCTTCCAGACTCAAATGCGGACCTGATATCCATCCTCGTCTAGGCCTATTTCGCCCATCAGCCAAAGCCAACGCCAACAACGTTGCTAAAAGTCGAAGCTGGCTCTTTAATACCCCGGAATCACAGACTGATACATACTTTGCCCCTCTTTGCCTCAAGCAGGCAAGCTTCATGGAGAATGGGAAATCCCAATAAGCGCTTTGACAGCCTCTCTCTTGCCTACAAGAGATCCAGACTGCCCTCAAGAAACCACAGGCGGGATCATATGACGACAGAGGCCAGCGTCAGAGATACCGGGAGAATCCGGGAGAACCACTATCGTGAATAAATCCGTGGCCGTCTAATCTACACAGCTGAGAATCGGGGCCTGAATTTGAGACTTTACCAACGCCATACCTCTGTGGCGTCCGTGGTGTCGGCGAAATAACATTAGGTTAAACGATAAAGCTTGCTTTCAGGTACCGGACGAGACATGGTAGGATGAGGAGAATAGAGAATGGTCGGCCGATTTGAAGAACGCCACGTATGCTAACAAAGTAAATAGACATTTTGCTTCTATCCGCCGGTGGATTCCGGGAAGAATTAAAAATATGGGATCCAATAGCCCCATAGTACAAGGACAGAAGTTACTCTCCAACCAACAACATTCGAATCGATATACGGTTTATACTAGCGGTAAATGCCGATGGGTATTGAAAAGTGACCTCCGCTATGTTTATTTGTTTATATTTACCCTGGGCTGCAATTCGTTGCCATCTACGAGCTGGCTCTGTCATTTTTCCTTCTTCATACATCTCCGCGAGCATATTCTGCATGATACTCCCCCTATCCTTCCCGATAATATTCAAACTGTGATATTTAGGCACACATAATGTCTTTTAGGCATATCGTTGCAGCCGGTTTTGCCGCCATACAGGCTCTTGCTTCTACTGTCATGGGCACCGCATTGGAATCCGACCACTTTTCATGTGCTTCATCGCCCAGTGACAAATTCAGAGAGATGTCCAAACAGCTTGCCCAAAAGGAAGCCGTTGATCGAAGCTTGGGCCGGAGATCTGCTCAGGAGATTGACGTGGGTGTACATATACACATTGTGGCAAGCTCCGAGAAGGAGAAAGACGGGTATCTCAGCGTACGTCACATTCTATTCTTCCTCCCCCAACTCTAGTCCCTCTCCTTACTTCTTTTCTTCTCCTTGAGTCTTCTTATCTATCGCCTAACGCTGAAATAACGAATAGGATGAGACTGTTCAGGGCCAACTTCAAGTTCTGAACTCCGACTATGAGCCGGCCGGTATATCCTTCAGCGTAATAGCCATCGACAGAACTATCAACGCTACATGGGCTAGTGGCAACGATCTTGAGACCATGTGGTACTACCTTCATAATGGAACCTATAATGAACTGAACATTTGGTTTATTCCAAAGCTAGATTATTATGGTATTTGCACACATCCCGTAGCGGGCGAAGTTCTTCAATATGTCTACTACGAAGACGGCTGTACCATTCGTTCGGATACTGTCCCCGGCGGCAACGCACGCGACTTTAATCTCGGAAAGACACTCACGCACGAGGTCGGCCACTGGTTTGGACTCCTACATACTTTTGAAGGAGGGTGCGATGGCGATGGCGACTACATTGATGATACGCCTGCGCAAGCGACTGCATCTCAGGGATGCCCTGAAGGGAGAGATTCTTGCCCGGACAAACCAGGGCTGGATCCAATTCACAATTATATGGACTATTCAAACGAGTACGTTCGGAATGTTGCTTTCGCTGTTGGGATTCTTTGTTCGGGTTGTTCGCACGGCTAACTGGACTCGTAGTCCCTGCTACAAAGAATTTACACCTGGCCAAGTGGATCGGATGAAGAATGTTTGGGACGCATATCGAGTACAGGCAGACATATGGTAATGGCTGCATTCTCGTATCATGTTAAGGCGGCCATTTGCAGCATTTTAGGACTTGTGTAGAGATCTGCATCTACGGTGAAGCTTTTTACAGAACCATCTCTTTAAATGGAAAGGAATCAGCAAGAGTTTAGAACCCATATCCCGACTCGCTCGGTATTGCATATATACTGCATTTTCTGGCCCCTACCATCAGATTTTCAGCTTGGGCCATGTCGTCTTGCCAAATTTAGCGCAGAGTGACTGATACCCAAAGTGAACTGGTTCGGTGTTCAGAGTACACAAAGAATAGTTGGACGGTCGTCAAAGAATGTTCGACTAACATCGACAGCAAAAACAGCAACAAACACCCAAAAAACTACCAGAACAAGGCCAGGGCTTTGACAAATTTCTGTTCTAGATTTCCTTTGCGCGCCAGATATTGAGCTTAGTGAATTGCTAACCTTTGTGTTTTGTTGAGCCCGTAATAAAATGGTAAGCCCGCACAACTCTCCTTCACTCGGCATTTTCTCCTTGAAGACATATCAAGACGAAATACTAAAGCAACAATTTGTTTCGCCATCTCTCTGGTCAGGGCACTGTCACTTTATCATTTCTAACTTGTTATTGTGTACAGGAGACCATACAAGATGCCAAAACAAATTGACGAAGACGAAAGGCTGGAAACGACGCAGATAATGCATGAAACGTTGCAAATGATGTTACAGCTGATGGAAGACGTGGGGTTCGTACCACCTCAAGTTCGCCAGGATCAATCGATGGACAAAACAGAGGCAGTTACCCTCTGCGATGAGAAAATGGCCAATCTATACAAAGGCTATTACGACATGGTTGAACAAAAGAACCAGTTGGAGAGAGCCATCGATTTGTTGACGAGACAAAATGCCGAAAGATTGAAGCAATCAAAGCAACAGAAGAAGGCAGCAAATACTCGCAAACCGCCACGAAGAAGAGGAAATAAATGGGCGAAATCAAGACGATATTAACGCTGTCTTCTTTCTCCAGAAAGATACCGATGCCGTTGTTGCAGGCGAGGCTGAGTTGGCACTATGATGTCGGAGCAGCCGCCTTGGTTCCTACGAGTTCGATATCATGATCATTCACACGAGCAGACGATGCGGAAAAGCTTGCTATAGCTTTGTACTCTTTTCTTGCAAATTTCAGGATTATCAGCCTCATGCAAGAGAATGAATGCTGCAGGTGCTTCGGGCAAATCTATTAGGAGGCCACAAATCGAGACAATTGCCACCCTTCAACGAGTACATTGTACATATGGATGCAGATTAATGGAGAGGAAGTATTATTACATGCCAGGTCTATACTAAATTAAATATTAAGAAAACATTTCGAAGCCGAAACACCTTGTTCCTGACCATGAATGCAAATCCGCCCGAAATCCCCTGGATTTCTTGCTCCTCACGTGATTGTATATGGCAGCCTCTGCCATCCCATATCTGCATCTCTACTTTTTACAATCTATCAACAAGAGGTCAATCTTCGAGCAAACCAGTTGGCATCTATCTATCATTGCCAAATCTACTGCCTTGTTAAACACCCTTTTGAACATCACCAGAGCCAGATATCGGGATAATGGACCGTCATCACCTCGAAATACGGCATGTGATGGCTTTTGTGGCCGTTGCATGTTTCCACGGCGTCCTTTGCTTTTGGGTATTGTTTTCCAAGCACTGGCAGCATTGGACTATGGTCTTCTTTTCCTTTATTTGAATCATGGGCTAACGAAATGCATCTTGCTCAACAGGCCCATGGAACGAATTCGAGTCCAGCACGACCTTTGTGTCCAATCGTCGAGTGGACATTCTACGAGCTGTTCGACATGATTATCCAATACTATTTCGAAATGTTTTGACTTTCGTATCTCCAGGACGGAGCTCGATTTCTAAGCAATGGTCGTGGATCAACCTTGGAGCTGTACCGTGGCCCAACTGCGATTGATAATTATACCACCAGGGCGAACTATTGCGGTGGCAACGGCGCTACCATATGTGTTGAAGCATTCAATAAAAATATTTCTTCATAAATGGAGAGAAATACAAGGCTTCATCGGCAATGAATGCTGTTGACAGTTCTACCATCGTGGGATCGACGATGCACACACAATCCCGCGACTACAGTCCATCATTTACCATAAATGGTGGCAATATATACATTCAGATCCTGGCCAGCATTCTCCATCAGCCGGTAAATAGAATATCCACAAGTCCTTCTGTAACAGGTTTTCATAAATCCTCGTCCAGTCCAGCATCCATCCATCCACGCTTCCTCGCATACTCATCTCTCCCCTGCCACCCCCAAACCTTTGCATTCCCATTCGCAAGCTACTCCTGGTCCCAGCAGCGGGCGGATTTGATTCCCTGAGGAGTGTCCGTGCAACAGAGGCGAGGGTCAAAGAGGTTGTTGGCAGTACAGACAAGCTGCACTTCTTCCCCACTGCAGCCAACACCGCTGAAGACCTGGCACAAAGTGTCCTTGCTTTGGCTGACTGAGCCTGCCACGACATTGTCGGCGAAATCGAAGCAGTCGATGGCATTGTTGTAGGTGGTGTAGCGCGAGAACGAGATGCCGTCCTCGATTTGCTCTTCGCAAGTCTGGCTGTTCCAGAGAATGTATTTTTCCGTCGCCACTGCCCACACGGGGAAGAGGAGGCTAAGGGCCCAAGCTGCAGATCGCATATTGACTTTTGCAACGACTTTCTTAAGTAAAGAATGAGGGTAGAGGGCAGAGAAGCATCGCCGTAGCGGGATAGACAGGTTTATATAGTCAGCTGGATCGACATCTGCATGGTGGCATTAGGCACGGTAAGCTTAATAGTGGAAATGCTCCATACAGAGTAGTAGTAATGGCATCCTTTAGCATGCCAAGTCCGAGGAAGACAAAATAATTCCCACAGTCATCCTCATTGCATACATGACCTGCCTAAAGTTATTTAGAAACGTCGCATTAAGCTGTAACTGCATTCAGATCGCCAGTTCCGATGCTTGAAATCATCTGAAAGCTGTGCCCCGGGAGGAACCAGATTCCGAAGTTGAGCTTCCATCACCCGTTGCCACTGCTTCTACTCGCAGGGCTTTCGGACCATGTGAAATTATGAAGATATTCTGTAGCTGGTGGATTTAGCCTGTCGCAGTATCATCGACGCCACGGTGTATTTTTGGCAGTCTTTTTTTTTTTTTTTTTTTTTTTGGCATTCCACTCTGCTACGATATTCAAACGCGTGTCTACATACACTCATTAATGCTACAACAAAAATACAAATCTCCTTCTCCATCTCAATATCAACCCTTCTCAATTTCACGTTCGTTTTGTCTCTTTTTGCTAACCAATGCCCTCTCCAACTAATTGGCGGTCCAACGCTTTCCAGTTAGCCCGTCCTCACTAATGAGCCGAACCTGTGGCCCATTGGCCGGAATGGCGCCAAAACTTCCCTCTTTGGAGAGAGAATCGAAGGGACGAGCCGTTAGCGGGACATTATTTTAGATAATCTTCAAGTAGGTAAGGCAGACAGGGCTTCAGCCATATCATTCATATTCGACACGGTGGAGGACGCAACGCAACAAGGCAAGCAAGATATTGGACCCGAGATTCCCTCTTTCTAGAATCATGGATTTGATGAAATAAAACTCCAATAGCGGCCTCTGGATACGTGTTTTTACCCATATATTTTATCCATTCTAGATTATTCTTTCTATTTTACTTTTTGTGACGCAATAATTCTGCAGCAGTCTTTCCCCCCCGTTGACGTCTGCCTCCAGCTGCCTCCCACTTTCCTGGGTCACATGCCACGTAATCAAAGAGCCTGAAAGATTAAGCCAAAGGAAAATCGCCCTTTGATCTTTGAAACTTTCTTTCGTGGCACAAAGCTTTCGTTTCCAGCATCCTTGATCCTGCAGCCTTCTTCAGCCTCTCGTTTCGACCCCCTGAACATCGATACCTGAAAGAGCGATACCTGAAAAACGCCGTAACAAAGGAGTCTATTGTTTTGATTTCGTTCATTCCTAGGTAACCAGACATCTTCAAAGAGGTACGCTTCCATTCCCTTGCCTTTGACCTCCCGCCAATGTCCTTTGTTTTCTAATGGCGTCGTTGAAGCAGATCCTACAATGGATGATGAATCGGATTATGACGAATCGGATTATGACATAGAGGACCTTCTCGAGGATCTTCGACGACTTCCTAGAGAACTCCATCATTTGGCCCTAGATATAATAGATCGTCTCGAGGAGGTCATTATTCGATATGTAGAGGAGGTCATCGCCCGGAACGCGCCGAATGTGATGCTCGATCTGGACATGTTCCTAGATCACCGTCCATGCTATGCTCCCTATTCATGGGGGTTTCCGCAAAATCACAGAGCTCGCACTGCAAGTCGATACCAATATATCCGACAGCCACCAGCTCGACGAAACACGGCTTAATACAACAAATTTGGTATCTCTTAAGCCAAAAACGATCCACTAGCCACCTGGAGCTGCCTCTTGTGTTACCCTCTCCCCTTAAGTCCCCCCTGAAGCTTGAAGTCACTCTACATTGCGTCAGGGACGGTTGGACAGAGCAAAACACCAGGTTCTAACTTCATTTAGCTATACATCTCGCCCCCGAGAGCCCCAGTGAGGCGTTGAACGGGTGGATATGGTGATGTGTGTGTGGATGGATCGGGGTGGCTCGATGAATGGATGTACTTCCTACGGGACGAAACTCATTTTCAGCTAAATGACGAAGTATCTCAACGATGTGACTCGAGTTCTGTGACTACCCAACACCAACACTCCATAATCGTGATGAATGAAGCATCCCGTGCTCACATCAGCGCGCCATCACGGCATCTGACAAGGTCTCCAAGACGGATGGAGGAAAATTTCTCTCGTTGATTTCATGTCAAGCAGGATACATGCCCCCCCAACAGCTGCAAGTCCCTTCTCCGGGAGAAATGGAGATGATGACTCCACGCTCGGCCACGCCGGCGTCGAGACCCTTTAGTCCTCCTCTCTTCATACTGTCCCAGTTCCCCCCCTAGCCTCCTCGATCCAAGGAGGCGCCAACGGACCTTTCGATCCCTTACTGTCGGGTCTCGGGCCTTTTCGGGCGGCCCCGTGCTCAAGTAGCATCAGGCAACGATTGGCAGACCAGATACGAGGAGAATATCTGATAAAGTTCAGGTCGTGTGTGGTGGCGAAAAGTGTGAAGCTGCCTCCTGATTCTGAATCCCCATCATAGCTTCTGCTAGCCCAGCCTTCACCTAGCCGAGTGGTAGAGATTTCTGCCGGAAATGGAATCGAGGTAATGGACAGTAGAAGAGAAGAAAAGGCAGTTTTACTAAAGAATGAAGAAGAGGGTGAAGTCTCGAGGTAGCCGGAAACGTCGTTTGCATTCCAGTCGTGGCCCCGAGGATCTGGCTCATGCAGGCACCAAATCCGGCAGAGTAGCATTACGAAAACCCAATCTCAAACCCTCTTTTCCCTTTTAAATAGCGTTTCACAAGAAAGCCTCAACCCATATATTTGGATATTTTGCAAGAGAGTGTGATTTGGCCTTGCGGCGTCGTGAAGTTTCCTCTCTACTGGCTACACGATGCTACGAAGCAGTCTTAGCCACTGTCTAGCACCACTGATTATATGGTGTTTTGATGACGGATCAATGGAAAAAAAGGAAGACCAAGACATCAGATACCTGCCCTGCTTATTCCCTAACATGGATTTAGAAGTACCAACTAGTATGATATACAAAAGTCTACCTGCAAGAATGTAATTTTGAAAAAGGAAACTTCAGTCGAGATAACTAGCGAAACTGCATTTGTATAGCAGGTGCGATTGCATCAAAATCCCTTCATGGATGTTCCGTATAAGTACCCTCCAGGCAGGAAGAGGTTGTGGCAGGTGCTTTGTGTGCAGTTCTATACTTGCCAGCTACCTCCTGCTTTGTTCCCCCCCTCACTGTAAACTTCCTTCTCTTGATCTCCTTTCTTCCCCCTCATTTTCTCTCCCTTCTCTCTCATCCGTGTCATTTATTCTTCACTTCTTCGCAATCCAAGAGCTTCAAACATCCGGTGCAGAATCAAATCGGATTTCCCGTCCATCTTATACTTCGGATTTACCTCAGATCTCAGCTTGTCTCGGCTCTTCGAGCTTGCCTTGTTTCAGCTGCTGTCTCAGCTACTCAGCTATTCAGCTACTGCTACCAGGCCAGTACATCAAGCCACAACCCCCCCTATAAACTTCTCGCTGTATCGCCTCGTTCACTGCCTTTGTACCTCTACTCGTCGGCTATCCCCTTGTCTTGATTCGGATTTTCAGCCTCTTGAGGCGCCACTTGCCTCCCGCCTCATCCTCCCCCCCGGCCCGAACTGCCTCACAGAGCCACGATACGGTCTTCGTTTTCTAACAAGGCACCGTAGGCACACGACCATCACTGCTTGCTTCTCCAAAATGTTCATGATGACATCTTCCGAGAACGGCGGAAAGAAATGTCGCCCAGTCCACCCCCAATCCACCCAGTACTAGATACGGAGGAGACTGTCTAGTTGGTGGACTAGTGGAACGGGGCAACAAACAGTACGTGCTCTTGCAAGTCACGAGAAGATGCTAGAAACTAACTCAAGCCAAGAGGAAGAAAAATACCAACAGTCACGCCCGTTCGTCAGCCGCCAGCCACTGCTCCCACTCCCCAAATCTGGCTTCCCACCTCTCTCCGTTCTCTTCTCCGTGCTGATGCTGCTCGCCAGGCCTCGCCGGCAAACCAAAGCTGCAAGGGCGCTCAACCGATGGCACGCTTGAGGCTCGCGGCCACAAGAAGCCGTTCCGCTGCCGCCGGCGACGAAGTTTATTGCCTCACAAGTCCCACCCGTCTCGTGCGCTGCCTGTCAAGCGTCGGTCCGTCTGGGTGAGGCGGCGAGGCCCTAAGGTGTACTGGGACCCTCCTTGCTCTTGACCGAGAACTTGGTCGTGGTCGTGCTGACTCGCCCCTAGATGTCTTTGCGGCGTCAGTCGTCACCCCTATTGTCTCTATTGAACTCTACTAGATCCAACAGGGACGCCCTCTAACAATCTCGCACCCTGGGAGGCGAAGTACAGCCTCATATCGTGTCCTGTCAGGATGGTTTGGCATGCGTCACTCGCCTCCTTTGTCACCTCCCCCATCACGAAGTTTTTTTTTTAACGCCAGCAAGTGCCTTTGAAACAATTTGTCGAATCAAGCTCTGTACTTTTCCAGAGGTGGGTGTCTGACTTCGAAAAAAACGGAGACGTGTGTGCGTGAACCAAACTTGAACTCCCAACCTGCTTCATCTGAGAACACGCGTGGTACTACCTCCGTTCACCCCTCTGAAGCCCGCCACCCGATTCATGACTGACTTCTTGTTGCACGACTGCCTTGATTCAAGTTTGTCCCTGCTGCTTTCAATTCCGTCTTCCACCCCTCGATTCCGCCTCGTCATGGCTGAGTGACTAGCCAAGTGCATTCCCTTAGCCTTGTCTCCTTAGCCTCGTCACAGTACCTAGGAACTACACTCCCAACAGGCCGCCCCAAACCAAGAACGAACCCTTTTCTGCTCTATCACCCCCCCCTCTTTCAGCACGCTGTGAAGCCACTAAGGTAGGCAGTCCATCCAGCGGTGTCATGCATTTTATTCGACTCAGCCTTTCTTCACGCTCCTACTTCACTTTCAGAGCACTGGCAAACTCTGAATCTGCTCCGCCAGACCCATCACCTATGCTTCTGGGAGGGCAGCGCCCCAAGATGATAGCTGTGCTTGGGGCTCTTAAAATCAAACACGAACACAAATGAGCGAGCTGGCGGCATCATACACAGTACTCCCCCCTAAGAGCCCCCCTAAGAGCCCCCCTAGCTCTTCCATCTTCCCTTAGCAGCCGTCGTAGCAGGCAGGGCAATGGCGAGGCGATCCGAGCGGTGCCGCGGGATCAAAGCCTCTAGCTCGCAAGCCGTCAAGTTCTGCTGCAATGAGCCGCCCGCTATAGCTAGGCCCAAATCTAGGTAACAATGCTGTCTGCCCTTGTTCAGCTCTCTCTTCTCTTCAGTGTTCGGAGACGGTGCATTCTCTTCCCGTACGGTTGGTTGGCCACAAAAGATTTATATCTGTGGGCGTTTGGATGAGGGCATTCGTTTCATCGCTGCCAATCACGGCAGCCAGTTTGGACTGCAAGATGGACAAGGGGGGGAAAATTCACAGACCCCTCCCTCCCTGTCTTTCCTAACAAACGAGACAGGGACCAGCCTTCTTTCTACTCGCATTCAGAACTCCGAGAACCCCTTTTGCCTCGTCTGATTCGATCACTGCATCTGCAGAGTGACGAGAACTAAGAAAAAAAGACCCAGAGCCCCCTCTTCTGCCCGGCTGCCTACCTGTATTGTCACATTTCCCATCATCTATCAAGGTCCCGTAAGTGCGTACGAGTGTATGCATGCGCGCCCAAACACTTGTGTACGTGAGGCTGGGCGGAGTAGTTGCAGGCGATTGCAGACCGACATTCTGTCTCCCCCCCATCTGGTTCTCAGCCGTGCATGCAGGTAATGCCAGCTGATCACCTGCCACCTTGATTTCCTCCTCCAGAGGGATGGATACCTTGTCTCTCTGCCTCTGTGTCTTTCCCACTCTCCGTTTCTCTCTTGCACACACACACACACACACTCTCTCTCTCTCTCTCTCTCTCTCTCTCTCTCTCTCTCTCTCTCCCTAAGCTCTAAGCTCTGTAGGCAAAGTCAAGGTCAAAGCATGAAGATTGAAACTGGATGGGACAATACCGGTGCGTGTCGCCTGCCACAGTGATGAATGGCTGCTTCCAGCGGCCAAAATTCAGTTTCCTCAGCTCATTCCTGTGCTTTCAGGGGGGAGCCACAGCCACCGAGTGGGCGGGAGGGGCCCCTTCATACACACAAGCTGGAGAGTGAAGGAGAGCGGGGCTTTTTTCCCGTCTAGTCTCCATCTCTAGTCTCCATTTGCTTCCTGTTAGTGCAGTTGACCTCAACATGGGGGCGTGTATCTCTCCAGTGAATAGCAGGCCGGTAAGCAGACAAATTCCGTCCCTTACCCAGAGCGGCGAGCGACACCGCATCAGGACAAACCGGCCTCTGCTAGGTTAAACCAACATGGAGAAGACCAGGACAATACTGGACGTGTCGACCAGCTGCATTCACTTGTCCAACAGCACCATCGTCATCACCTGGACGCATGACAAACGCCCCAATGGTGGACGAGGGGGCAAGACATGGTAGGAAAATCATCAATTAGCATTCTGTGTGGACGGCTAACACGGCGCTGCAAACACATGATGAGCAGGGCAAGAGAGAAGAAAAAACGAAGAAAAAAAACAACTGACGTCTTGTTGATCGCACACTATAACACAAATTCAAATTTCAGACAGAGTACCCTCCCTTTCGCAGCCGCCTTCCGCCTGGTATAGCTTCAGCCAAGCCCATTCCGCGCCATGCCCACCGAACCGTCAGCCAAGTCCAAGGCTTTTTCTTTTACCGTTGACCCAACAGAAGAATTTTGCCAGCCTGCCTCCAATGAGCCACATTTCCCCATGCCACTGTGGCCCTCGTGTGCCGTGTTGCTTGGGCTTGCCCTCAATAACAACGCCGGTCAAGCCAGGGGCCAATATTATTCCCAAAGTGCTCTTGTGGGAAAAAAAAAAAGAAAGAACAAAACAGGAAAAAAAAGACAGGCGAAAAAAAAAAAAAAAAAAAAAGAACGGGCAGACAAGAGGAGAGAAAATATATCAAAATCATGTAATCGCGTAACTCAATCCCCAATCGTTCCAAGCATGGTGTGCCGTGAGGCTAATCCGTCTTATCTGATAATAAAATGTTAAAAAGAAAATTTGTCCAGGCAAGAGGCAAGTGAAAGAGAAAGAAGAAAAACAACGAATTGAAATTGAGAGAGCCCCTGGGCTTTCTCTTTTTTCCTTTTTTTATCTTTAAAAACATTTATAGTGAGGTGGTAATGTGCATGAACCCAAGGAGCACAGCTCTTCGTTTTTTTACAAGTGGTTGTATGGGGGGGAAATGAAAATGCACAAAATGCGGGAGCTGCGTAAAAACCGAATGTCCAATACCAGAGAGGCATCGAAGGCAACGGGGGACAAAATCAAAACCGGACGTATCAATTGGTTGTATGTATATTGGGTTCGTTGCGAGTCGAGGAAAATTTTCGATCAATCGGCCTGTTCTCTCCCCACTTCTTCTTTTCGCCGTTTCGTCACGTCATATTCTCAATGTTTCTCGGTGAGACAACGTTGCGGAATATCGTGGGCGAGAGGGATAAGCTGGCGTATGTTTCACTGGGGATTGGTATTGCAGCGGCATCCCGCACCCATTTCAGCTTTCCCCTCTTCCCTTCAGACACGTTTCTAGCGAGAGGACTCTCTCTGGCTCTGGCCAGAACCAGTATCTCGGGAACGGTTGAGGCGATCAATCATTGTCTTGTCAATGTCGTTCTTCTCCACCAGATTGCTGAGGCTCATGATGGAGCTCGATTGCTGTGACTGGCTTGTTGGAGGGCCTGACCGTGCGGGTGTCGAGGAGCCGCTCGATCCATTCTGCTGGGTGACAGGCGAACGACCATCGGCATTGCCAACACTGGCGGGATGGGGTAGTGCCGGGTTTCGGGGGCTGTGCCTCGATTGGCCTGGGTAACGCGAATAGCTCAAGCTTCCGGGACTGCTATTGTTAGAAAGCTCGGCAGGCGATCTCCGTCGATGATCATCTTCCGCAACGCCAGCTCGAGGAGGAGGTAACCGGTATGCATCTTCTGGATCTGGCGACGACCTGCGGCGTCTTCTTCCTGATAATTGGTCATCTCCTCTCAAATCTCCATACGACGAATAAGAGTCGGTAGGAGACTGGGCCTGCGGATGGTAATAGCTCCCAGGGGGTGGGTGCGGCGGACCTGCCGTCGGAGGATAAGGATGAGATGGGTGAGGCGGGTGATGGGGCGGATGAGGGTGAGGATGAGGCACGGAACTGGGAGCCAGAGGCTGGCCGTATGCTCCGAATAACTGCGTTCCCGGCGGCACGCCTCCCGGGACGGCCGAGACGGGAATGAACGCTGTAGAGCTAGAAGACGAGACAGGCTGAAAGATGCACTCCTGATTCATACGAGCACAGTTTTGGCATTTTCCACCGGGGGCGTTCTGGTGGCCACTGCAGCGGATCTAGAGAGGGGGAACAAAAACGTTAGTTACTGAAGAAGCAAGAGATTGACGATAACAAACACACAAGGGATTGATCCACACTGCGTGACAAACCTTTCTCTTTCGGCAATATCTGCAGGCAATGGAAGTGCGCTGTCTAGGAGCTTCCCGAGGGCGCTCCATTCCGGGCTGGCCATACTCCTGTCCGTAAGCAGGAGGTGGGCGCGGGTAATCGTGAGGATAACCATTATGGTGGCCCTGCGGGAGCCCTCGGTAGTAGTATTCAGAGGCATACTGATCGTGGTAGCCCGGGTGTGGAGGGTGAGGACGGCGGTCGTCGTAGTAGGCGCCTCGCGGCTCGGGCGGAGGATAGGCAGACCGCGGGTCTGCTTGCGGCTGCAGAGGAGGGAGGTATGAGGCTGGCTGTTGTTGACTTCCAGGGGGCGGAGGATATCCATTGACGGCATTCGGAGACTCATAACGCGGATCGCTCACGTAGCCTCGGCCAGCCGGAGGCGGAGGGCCGTAGCCGCTGGGCCGAGGGTCGTGGATGGACGGCAAGGTGACGGAGGTTGCCATTGTGGTTCGAGAATGCGGACTTCTGTCGGTATCCGGGTGAGGTGCGTCTCGAGAAGGGAGGTGGTGGTAGTATGAAGGGGGCGGTTGGTGCTTAATATCCTCTGGCCGGTGCTGCTGAGGATACTCTTGGCGATGTCGATCCTCTGCCATGCTCTGCGGAGATGGATAGGAGAAGTGGCGGGACAGAGAAGAGTGTGCCGCCGATTACCAAGTGAGCCGAATGATTCCAAAACCTCCAACCAATTCCCAATTGTTGGTGAGGAAGCGAAGGGGCATCTGGCGGGCCCGGATTGTCGAAACGAGGCGCCGGGAAACGAGTATTTTCAGTTTCGGGCACGACCTTGAGACCCCTGGCAAAAGGAGGTGATTCTAGGTAGTGACAAGTTGAGAGACGAAATAGAAAAGTTTTGCCAGGTAGGAAAGAGCAAAAAAGGAAAAGAGATAGAAAAAAAAAAGTAATGAAAAGTGAAATAGATTAAAAAACGGCCTCGTCGGGGGGAGAAAAGTAAAACAAGGCCCTCGTGGTCACCTTGTTACTTTTATGGCTGCAGAGTGGTTGACCACAGAAGATGTGGTGGCAGCGATTGGAGGTGGCTGCGGTGGCTATATGTGTGAAGACGCAGGGTGCCCCCCAGAGAAACGCCACGCTAGAAGCGAAGACGGAGAGCCAGAGAAGACGAGACACGCAGCAAATGGGACTAGCCGAAGACGAGACAGGGCGTGCTGAGTGTCTCTCGGTAGCTGCGTTGGTGGCGTGGGAAGGGCTTGCAAGAGGACAAGGAGAGAGAGCCTCCGGTGCGGGAGAAAGGAGGGAAGAAGGGGAAAAAAGCAACAGGAAAGGAAGGGGGAAAAGGGCACTTGTGTTGGCTGGCCAAAGTGACTTTTCCCAGCAGGCTCAAGGTGAAAAAAGAAGGGTTTTTGGTGGGGTGCAAAAGTGAAGGAGGGGGAACGAGATACTATGTAAAAAGAGGACGCAGGAAAACGAAGAGACGGCGGCGCGGGAATGTAAAGGCGGGCGGATGGCCCGGTGTCGTGCCGTTCCCAGCGCTGTGGCCCAGCTAAGGCAGGGCAAGACGCTAATGCTAGGGGCTAGTGGGTGCCCTTTCTAGCGCTGGTGGTAGTGCGAGAACGGGGGATTAGGGGAGTGCCGCAGAGCAAAAAGTGGGAGTGGTAGTGGAGGTAGCAGTACGAGTCCCCTCGGCCGCGTGGTGCTAAGGCTGCCAGCTACTGTACTATGCAAAAGCAGTGACAGCGACAGTGGCACCCCCGTAGTGTGGTCTGGTCTGTACTTGTACTCGTAGTCGCACTCCGTAGTGTGTAGTGTTCAAAGTTAGGTACCCAGGCGTAGGGGTGCGTTTCTTCTTGCGCCGTCCTCGTACCCTGTGCGCAAACTCAGCTGCACACACACCACCTGGTGCGTGACGAGTGCCAGGTCTGATTTGAAGTGTTGGGTGCGTTGGATCACGCCAGCTATGCCCAAGGTGCCTGTTGATGCGTGTCGGAGGCGAGTCCGGTTTGTGATGTGTATGTTTTTGGGGGTGTATTGTCTTTTGTCTTGGTTGTCGTCTTGTCGTCTTTGGCTTCCAGACTCCCACGGATAGAAGAAGCACTTATTGCGGGTACCGGATTGGTTTCCTGGGTCTTTGCAAGGCAGTGTCTTCTACGGATACGTGTTTTGAAACAAGATACAGCCAGCTACTGTACAGTACAGCTGCCAGCGGGAGAGAAGAAGAAGAAGGGTGTCAGCCGATTGCTTGATTTCAGTTGCACTTGCTTGAATTGGCCCTCGGTCGTCTCGTCGTGGCCGTCGAAAGCGGTTTCGCCAAACGAGAAATTGAAAATGTTTTGGGTGCAAGTTGCGTGTGTCTTCACCATGTACGAGTACTATGTACAGCGCCCAGGTCGTGCCGGGTGTGTCTTGAAGTTTGGCTGGGGATACGGCAACTGAGACCTGGGGCAATGCGTGTGTTAGACTCTTCTTCATTCATCCTCTCAATGCTTCTGCAAAGCCTTCTTGCTCAAGTGGGAACATGTCGGTCCGTGTGTGAGAAAGCGGGACAGCGCCGCCTCCCTTCCAAGCCAAAGAGTTCCGTCTGCCACGACGTGGCGTCATCCGAAAACCAGACATTAAAAAAAAAAAGAGGGTCGGGACGGGCCATAGCAGCAGGAAGCAAGAAGAAAGGGGACCGAGTGCTCTGGAAGCTCACAGCGAAAACAGATCAGACAGATTCACAGAAGGGCGAGACAGGGAGACGCCCAGCATCTTGCAGAAGCCATTGCCATGGATGTGCCCAGAAACTCGGTGGCGCAATGCATGCTAGAGGCTGCTGTTGGCACCGCGACCAACCGCTGCCAGGGAGTGTAGCAGCAGCCATTGCTCCAGACGTCGGCCACGTATGAAGCGCTCCATAGCGATGAAGCTGCATGGCTTCGCATCGTTTCATGCAGCATCCCTCCCCAAGTTGCCGCACCACTCAGACGCAGACAGGGAAGAGGAAAGACAGCAGAGGCATGCGTTTTTGTATGTGCACATACTTGCGCAGCATTGCATGTCTGCACGCTCGCATACTCCATCCTTCTATCCCATCCACTCAACCATTCGCAGCCTGTCACGGCTGGGCGATAGGATGCAGATGCCTTGGTGCCCACATATTGGTACGCACACATGGAAACAGACGAATCATTTATACAGAGCCAAGGGAGGGCAATGGGGAGACGGTAGAGAGAGGGGGCCGAGCAAAAGTACTTATGAAATGAGAGATCACAAAAGTACATACCAAGGATGATATGGCGGCACTCGACGGGATGATGATGCATCAAGGGCCAGTCAGGCTCTGGTATCGGAGAACGAGGCCAGGCGAGACGCTCTTGCCAGAGACGGGCCGGCAAATCAGGCGTCGGTTGCAGAGAGGGGGAAAGCCCGTAGGTGTTGTCAATCTCTTGACCGCAATTGCTTTGCTGCGTTGTCGTCGTCTCTGCAGAGCTGTGCGTATGGCTTATACGCCCCGTCTGGAATGGCAGGTCGAGGCGTCTCGTCGAGGCAATTCTTCGAGGCAATTCGTCGAGGCAACCTAACAAGTGACGTCCACCTTTCAGCGAGCAAAGTGGATTTGCCGGATGATGAAGAGGAAAAGAGAGGGGAAAATGAAGATGAAGACAGCCGTGCTTGAAAAAGAGAAAAGCTGTGGAAGTCGGTGAGGGTAGTGAAGGAAGAAATATTTGGGCAGGTACGCCCTCGTCTCAGCTGGCTGGTGCTAAGGTATTGGTAGTGCTACAAGACTCCAAGCTCATCAGCGCCGGCAGAGGCGGTATCTGTACTACCTCAGTAGTACGAGTATATGGCCTCAATCTAAATTGTCAACCCAGCCGTAACCATGAGTTACCAGGTGGTTTAGCAGTACTAATATACCTCTTTGGGCAGAAAGCAAACAGACTACTACGGGGTCATCACTGCAATCATCTCAGACTTTTCTCTCTCTCGTTCTGGCGGATCGTGCAGAACACTCACCAAGAGAATTGAAATGTCTTGGGTTCCAGGCAATACAGTGCGCGGGCCGCCAGTGGCGTGTATCCAGTGAGGTCACAGAGGGCGTGTGGCTCTCATCGGGTACGGGTACCTCCCTGGGCATGCGTCTGTGCTGCGGAAACCAGGTACTCCCTACAGCCACCATGGCATCGGGCATTGTGTCTTCTCCAGGGCGCAAGGGCTGGCAAAAGGGAAGATCCCTGCTAGTGCCAGAGTCGAGCGTCACTAGCAGCCGTAGTCGCCGTCGTCGCAGTGCGCTTGGGCTTGGTCTGTACGAGCACAATGACTGATGGTTTTGGCGCGAGTTGGCGTGTGGGTAGCACAAAAGCAAGGCCTCTGCTGCGAGAACCTTGTAACCTTGTCCTGGCTCAGCTCAAAGCGCAGTAATAACTAGTACATAGTACGAGTACCACTTCACAACGTGGACCACCATAGCGCTTGAGTGACGAACGAACATGAAGCCGTGCCCGCTAAAAGCTGTCAGATAAGACGGGGGTTGTCTCACCCAGAAAAAGGGCAATAGGAGCGGAAAACTGACGAGATTTAAGACAAAGCGCCAGTCGGTGGGGGTTTGAGACACGCTCCTAACCAAAAAGCCGGGAGAGACATCTCGACGTCAACAATTGACAGGAATGCGTCAGTGCCAAGTCGTCCGTCCAGCCGCCCATCCGCTCCCTTCAACTCACAGGTCAGCTATCACCAGATGATCAATGGGATTCGCGATCCAGGCCCTCTCCCGGGGCATCAAAACCCCACCAAAAGGGGGTACTCACTAGTGTTGATATCGTACAAGAACTGGTAAGCTGCAGGGAGTTTTGGCTTGGCCCTTCAGGCGAGCGCCTCGGGGCGCCGTGCTATCAATTCAAGCTCCAGCTCGGAACTAGTGGTAGTAGAGGAAATTGAACCTAGTTGAGGCCACTAAGCAGGCTGTTGTCTGGGGTCCCGCGCCGCGCCCGTTCCCTTCCCGCCATGGGCTGCGGGCTGCAGGTTGCAAGGACGGCCGCAGCATGCACAGGCTGCGTGCTTCAACCCGTTTGCGTTTGCATTTTGCTTTGCCTTTGGCCTCTGCGTACGAGGTTGCGTTTTGGAGACCCCTCAAACTGAGCTCGGGAGGGGGTAAAGTACCCCCCTTTGTTTCACTGCTTGGCAGGCTAATATGACGGATCAGTCTCTTCTCCCCTTTGTATCACCGGTCCAAGTATTTCGTCAATGGCACATGCCGTTGCTGTACAAGCATACAGGTACTTGTAGGCCGAGGTGGTCATTTCCGACCGCCTCCTTGCAAGGTATCAGAGCCATGGCGGGAAGAAACAGCAGTTCAAGGCGGTCCCTTGTAGATGCGACCATACCCAGCTTAGTAGGTAAGAGCAGCCCCCCGTGGTCCGTGGCCGTGGCCGGAAGCGGCTCCGTGTGTTTGAATCTTGAATCTCTTGTGATGAACGCACGCAAAGCAGCGGTTCCTAGGTTCTCTCCATAACCATTGCCCCGCCGGTTGCTTTCACAATCGAGCCGGGGAGGGGGAAACCACTAGCAGCCAGGCTGTACTTTCAACCTGTGCTTTTACGACGGGGCCTTGGACTTGGTTCAAGCCAGAAAAGAAACCTTGAGTCAGTAGGTCACGGTCCCCCTCGAGGCAAACCGCCATCGTCCGTTTTCCTGGGCGAATGACGTTGATGTTGCGCCCTCTCGTTGCTGTTGTTGGCTGTGGCAATCGACTTTTTGTCCGTACCTCATCTCGATCCGGCCCGAGCAAGCCGGCGCAGGGTCTCGTTTCGGTCCGCCCTGCTTTTACTTCGAGGGAAAGCCTGTGTCTGCCCGTAAACAAAGAACATCCAACTCTCAAAGTTTCACTCTCCCTCGAGCCGCCCTGTCCATAAGTCGGCCGAACTGGAAAGCTCCACATCCAGCCCCAAAGCGAGCCACCTGATCCTTTTATTCAGCCTTGTCCTCGGCTGTGGTACAAAGTACCCATACGAAAGCACCCGCAGCTACTTTTCAGCTCAGACTTGTTTCGTGTGTTGGCCCAGATGTCTGGGCTGGTCCCACCTAAAGGATTGATCCGTGTATCCAGTGGCACATCCAGACGAGCTTAGTATGTCAGGAGTAGAAAAAGCAAAACACAGAACTAGGGCCCAGGCGTGTCTGAATGCTGAAAATGCGATACCTGATGGAGGACTCAACTGTCAACTCTGTACTGTGTATGCGCGTGTGCTGTAGGAATGGCGCGTGTGCTCTGCGCAAACTTGCACAAATCATCGGTGATTGAGGCTCGATTCAATCTAATTAAACAATTCCCCTAAATCGGCGGTTCGCTCCGCTTTGGCACTAGCCAGGAGGTTGGACTCTCTTCAGTCTTGCCCCCGGCTCATGCTTTCCATGATAGGCAGCACCTCGGTTGTCTGCCAATGCAGGGGCAGTACTCCGTACTCAGCGTTCGCATCAGCAGTGGTATTAACGATGAGCTGACAAGGACGGAGCTACAAGGACGGCTCGTAAATGGCATCATTCGCGAAGCAATCATCGCCTTCGTGCGGTGCCAAGTAGAGGGTGACCCATGGCTTTAGCCATTGAGTAATACAAAGTACACACAGATCGCAAGCACACTGCAGTGCGTGCCCTACACTCTGTGTACCCGAGCTTACTCGATTGGTTGCAGGTAAATACCCGCCCGTTACACGACCAATTTCGAGAAGTCATATTGCCCTGTTTGCAAGCTGTTTTAGTTTTATTAAATGGTTTTATGGGCAGCAAGATTCAGAAAAGGGACAAAACAACAAGTAAAGAATAATAGGCTCACACCGTCGCGCCAAGTCTGTCGAGGGAGTGTGTCAATCAGTCATAGCAACTAATAAAGAGACACAATAGGATAGAAAGAGAGGGACAATGAGGGAAAGAGAGACATACTTTTGATCAATTGGTTGATACAGCATTGAACATTGGAGCCGTCAACGCAAGGGAGAGATGTTCCACTTCAGCTGCTACGTACTGTGCGCTGTACAGTAAGGAGCAGTTGGTTAGACAAGAGCGAAGCACCGAGTACCTCGTATTTCGCACAAGCATGTGTGCTCCTTGTATACAAGTAATTCAATAGCAAAAGACCCAATCAATCCATGTTACGAAGCACATTGGTACAAGATGGAGCCGCGGTAGAGCGCTTCACACGGAACAAAGCTAACAAGCGTGACCCTTGGGCGCGGGAGCGCCCTCTCTCCCGGCCGCCAGGCTTTCGGCATCGCCAAGGGCGACTGTGGTCCGAGCATAGAGATCTGCCTGTAATCTGGTAGATAAGCCGGGGGGGCTTGTCAAAAGCTCTTAGTCCAAGTCACTGGGCCGAGTACCGTATCATCGTGGCGGAAGCCCCTCCCTCTCTCCAGAGAGCCTCATCCTCTCTCTTTTCCTTTGCCGCGATCCATAATTGGTAATACTATTTTCACAGATGTCAGCAGCCTGCCATGCCGTGAACAAGCCACCAAATGCATGCTTGGGACTTGGACTTGGACTTGGAGGGGGGGACAAGCCAGCAAGCCACTTCCACCGTCCATGGAAGCCTCTAGATACATAGATAGACCCAGCCGCTAAAAAACGCCGTCGCATGGTTAGCCGACAACACGGCAGATTCCTATTGTTAGACCCTCACAAGTCCAGCTGTTCGTCTCAATTGCCATTGATCCCGGTCCGCAAGTTGAGCTTGGGCGCCGGATCATGCGTTGAGCGCCGGGTCCCTGCAAGTTGCAGTCTCGAGACACCTGCACAGGTAACCCAATGTGGACAAGCTGCGCCATATGTATATCGCCATAGGTCCTCCCGTGCATATAGAGTCGCAGTAGCACTCGTCCATGTACATGCATCCCTCTTGTCCAGCCTGCATCATTGTGGTTTTTTCGTCTTGGTCATTCTGGTCGCTATCCACAGGATCCAACGATTGGCGCATGCGTGTCCTTCGTATGGAGCCCGGTCGGATGGCCCACCTCACCTCCCCTCACTGTGATGCTCCGTACACACTCCGTTGTAGTGATTGGCATGCTGCCGGGCCCTCCCTTGCGTGGTTCTGGCGAGGAGGGCAGAGACAAAGGCATGCCGCGTGCGCCCCATACACGGCCCAGTCTACGGAGTAGAGGGTGTGAAAGGTGCTCCATACCATCGATGCTTCCATCTTCCAACCCCAACCTTGCTTCATATCAGGCAGAAAAGTTTCACACGGCGATTCTCTCTCACCAAAAAGGGAAATGAGGGGCTCTTTTTTAGACGTCAAGTCCGTCTCCTTGCAGCCCCTTCATTTTTCTCGTGTGGTGTACCTTCGGATGTCGCAGAACTCTGCCGTGTTACTGTTTGCTTACCTCGCCTTACCACACACAGCCTAAGGAACCCAAATCCGGCCGGAGGTGCGTCTGCCTGCAGCCTCTTTGTCAGTGTAAACAGGTACATGGCATACATCAACGGAGTCAACTCCCTACTAGCACCTAGTAGCTGCAACACGAACTCCGTACAGGTACATGAGTCCAATACAACCACACTTGTAGGTAGCGATGCATACTAAGGCATTTGTCCGTGCGCCGGATGGCTATTCGCACATGCGAGCAGACATGGACACCATATGGACCAGCAGGAGCACAACAGCCATTGTCGGTCTGCACTCGCTAGGAGGCCGAACCTGCATGGGAGAGGAGAGAAAGTCAAAGGGGAAAGCTAGGATCCCCTCAATCCTACTGCTTCCACATGGGTCAAGAAAGCATGCCTGCTTTCTTCGCTTTCCTGCGGCCGCCTTCATCGGCCTCGGCAAGAATAGGAGGTGCCTCCAAAGAGGTGGTCGGGCCTCACTCCGGGACAGGTCTGATGGCGATGTACCATTCTCATACACCCAATGACGACAGTTGGCTGTCACCGATTGATAGTAGAACTGATGAAGGGCGGGCGTAGTGCGAGATCTGACATGTCAGCTAGTCTTGTGAGCAGAACCACGGTGAGACTTGGTGACTAGAGTTCGTAGAGTTTATGATATGGCGCCGGCTACCCTGCAGTACGAGGCTGCCTTAGACTTTTTTTTTTAGTCTTCGCCGCCTTGTTCCGCGATAAGAGTAAATAGAGCGTTCGTACTTTATGATATGGCATATTTTGCGTTGGTGGTATGAGTAAGCGCGGTAAGGGAGTGTGATGCTGCTAGTAGTTTGGAACGATCGCGATCCATTCCATGGCGTCCCGCACCCTCCATCCACCGACTTGTCCAAAGTGACACAAGTCCAGCTGCCAACTCCTGTACTAGTCAGATGCAACTCCGCTGTTCAAATCGAACGACTGAATGACTTCCCTCCAATGAAGCAGGTAGAGATACTCCGCTTTGGTCGTACATCATCTCATGTCACCGCACATTGCTGCTTGGCAATATTGAGCGACATGCACGGGCTCAGACGGCGATGCGTACTACTATGCCCGTGCCACGCCATCACCTGAAAGGGAGCCTCATCAAAGGGCCTACTTGGCAACGTAGATGCTAGCCAAGAATAGCATTGCTCCATAGTATGCAGGAGAGGGCGGCACAAGGCGAATCGTACTGAGGCCGATGGGAATCTCACTGCTGTCGATGCACAACCTTGTCACCATGCAACCGGCCGACTCCCGTCTCGATTTAACGTTGCACATCCCTCAGTAAGGCATCACCACATTCGTTTGCCGGTGAATCTGGGAATTGGACAGGGTTCTAGTAAGTTTCCCTCTCGGAGAATTGGCCGCTTCCTTTCTTTTCCCCTTTGCTGGTAGCTGTGAAACCTCGGTGCCAATCGCCACACACCGCATGTGATACGTTGTCACTGCATTCTCTCATCGTTGTTGCACCCCTCCTCCGTTTCATCGTCCTGTACACCCACTCAACTGTTCCCAAAGACATTTGGTCGACTGGCTGCATTGTGACAATGACAAATCTGACCTGCACCTCGTGCTGTTATACAAATCAAGGGAGCAAGGCCTCTCGCACACTCCATGCAGTTAGTATACCGGTAGAACGCCTCTTGTCTTTGAAGTGCACAAGGGGCGCCAAACCGTGCGTCGGCCAGCATTCACTCTCCCACGTCGCAGAGGCCTGAAACTCCGTATAGCTCCAATTGACCAAGGCCGGCCATCCAGAAATCGAAGACACTTTGGCCGAGTGGTTAAGGCGATGCCCTGCTATCCTGTGAGATATCTTCAGGCATTGTGTTCGCACGCGCAGGTTCGAATCCTGCAGGTGTCGGGTTTCCCTTTTTGCTTCGTATTCCCTCGGCATTTTTTCCCATCTCCTCTCATTCTTCCCCTTCGTACAGGTTCTCCATAAATGCACGTACGCCCAAGGTGATTGTGACTGCATCTTCGTTGTTCGCATGCCCTGGAGCCTGAAACATCCGAGTGTTGTATGTCGAGTGGGACTTGGCACGCACTGCGACTTGGCAAAACCCCTAATACTCCGGTTATTCTCAAATCTTTGATGACGTCCATAGAACAACGAATGGGAGGATCTCTCTATCCATTGCACAAAAAGTGCAGAACTAGTGTCATGTATGTGGTGTTGTGGCAAATGGCCAACTGTCGAGGCATCGCCCGCCTTCCTCTTATCTCGGGTCTCGAACCAGCTTTGCAGATCGCAGGAGCCATTACCCCTCATTGATTCATCCTTAGTTGCTGTGCCTTGTATGTATCAATCACCCTTCTTGCCATTAAGGAGGAGAGTCCTCGGGCCAGACAGCTTGGTCCGCGCTGCTGCTGCATCAAGCACATATCCAATCTAATCCTTGCTTGCTTCCGCAAGCCGTCCTCGTGATAGAAATGCTTGGCTAAAACGTTGCGCCATTCCATTCACCCTCGGCTTCTGCAGCTGGCTTCAACCTGGTTCATAAGGCCGACATCCTTGGGGCCATCCAAAGCAGCACGAGTGTGGCAGGCCTAGCCATGTCTGGTCCTGACTACCAGGCTCCCCCACCACACCCCGATGCAGGTGTCGTGGCATCGTCAACCATGCATAGCGGTTCAACCCGCAGCTCCCCCAGAGCGCTCCGTAGATAGCGTCAGCTTTTTGGAGGGCGCCACCCTTGGCCGTTACCCCACCACGCCGCAAGCATGCTCAAAGAGAGTTGGCTGAGGTTACGAGCTGCGATGGCTCGGTTTGATGAGCACGAGGACTTCCTCCATAGTGGCTACGGCAAACAGTCGTCACAGGACTTTGGAGAAGCAGGTGATATGTTTTAATGACCTGCAAATAGATTACTGGATCACGCTTGATACACAATTAAACCGTACTCGCGGGTGGCGTTTCCCGCAGTATTGATGGAATGCTTCTGGGTCTAATGACACAGATGTTGTAATGAGCTTTATTGGCCACTCGGTCGTCTCTGGTGGTAGAACGTTAAAAAGGTTAAGAAGGTGAGCCGGCAGCTAGCGTTGCGTGTTTATTCCAGTCAAGACTGGCGGGCAAGCCATGACTCCGATCTGCGTTTTGTTAAGACTATGATTGTGTTGGAGGTGCTGCGTATGGCGGCGTTCCTTTGCAGGTTTTTGCTGTCCATGTTGTGACAGAAGTTGTAGGAGTCTGATGCATCGACATCTCTGTGAGTGCTGCTGGAAGTTCCTCTTTAATATTCGGTCATTTAGAGTCCTGTTTCAATGACACGTGTAGCCGTTTCTTTCCTTCTGTTTGCCTTCCTCTCTTCGAAAAGGACTAAAAGGACAGAATGGCTAGGTAAATCATTTGCCACATGCCTTGCATCCTGACAGTAATCGACTGTGGTTATAGTGTATAAGTGTGTACAAGCGGTTTCGGTAATCATGAATAATAATATCCACCTTTCATAGTCTTTTTAGGTGATATGTCCTCGTCCTGGCTAGTCTTCTCATCAGCTAACAATGCTCATAGTATTGAATCAGAGCATGGCGCTGAGATGAGGGAGGGTACAGCGAATCCACTCCCTTTCCAAAGCACTAGCCACCAACATGGCCGCCATGTTCGTACTCGTGCGAGCAGAATCCCACCAGACAGCCGGCTTGACCATAATAGTGGAGTATCACAGTGGTGGCTCCCGAATATCTGGAAACGCACCGAAGCTTGGCCGCTACAAGCGGCAAGCTATCTGCCTAATGAAATTGTGTTGTCCAATCAGTAGTTGACTTGGGATAGGTTCGCTAGAGGTACCAAGTATGGAGAACGAGTTTCCATCCTAGTCGTCACTGAGGTGCAGGGGAGGGGTGCAGGCAGGGCGTGCCAGCCACTCAATCACACAAGTGCTGGTACTCGTACTCATACGAGTACATGTATAGGTGCGCGTATGGAGTTCTTGGACAGAGGGCTTGTAACTGCCAGTCGTATTGCAGGGCATGTACAACATGCATGGTAATTCTGTGAGCAGGGGCCAATGATTTCTGTACAGTACGGTATCCATCTGCAGAGGTCTAGGCGTGGCAACGAGGGTGAGCTGGATGTGCGAATAGAGATGCGGGCGGTCAATTGAATGGGCACCATTGCCGTCCCGGAGATGGCCGCATGGCAAGAATAGATGTTGAGGCGGGATCCAAGTGCTAGAGTACCAGTACAAGTTGTTCGAGAATGGAGCAAAGGCGGCGAATAGTACCTGCTGAAGCAAGCCGGCCCTGTGCTGATGTTATTGGGTGAAGGCAGTATTGGACACGGAGTACCCCGTAATTCGTAGGGCTCGCACGCACGCAGCAGGAGAACGGACATGGCTAATGGCCTGGGCCGCCCGCCACAAGGCTCCTCCCGTCCTCGCCGGGTCTTTCTTAGTTGAGCTGCATCTTGTACTGTATCCGCCCCCCCTAACATGTGCACCCCCTTTCGGCCCGCAGCCATTCATGATTTGGCACAATTCAGCGGCGAGTTGATGCGAGGCGATTGACATTCTACCACGGATAGGAAGCCACGTAGTAGGAGCATGCAGGCGTATGTATGCTGATTCATATGAGTAGGTACTCATGCAGCCGTTCCTTATTACCCAACGCCTTGAACAAGCGTGCGAGCACCTGCTCCCTCCACGGCTGATCCATCTAACTAGCACCAGGTGGGGACTAGGCGGGGATGAGAATGACGAACGCTCCTGGGCAACGAGTAAATTTCCTGCTGGTTGAGGACCATCGCTGTAACCCAAGTTGTCGTTTATCAGCCAATGTTTTCTATGCATCTCGCCGTTTCAGTCCGCTCAAAAGGTCCATGGGATGCGGCTAGTTTTCGGCTACTGTGAGTGTGTGAGGTCGCGCTTGCGTACTGTAGCACTGTCGAGGGATGGCGCCTGTTTGCTGCTACAGTACAGGGATCCTGGACGCGAGCATGTAAACACATTCGACCCACAGAAGCGCAGCACCGTCGGAGTTACTTCGTACGTGCCAAGCGTGTACCAAGCACGGAGTACATACAAAGGAAAAGGAGTGCATGCAATCTCGACGAGAGGCTCGGAGAAGTTGAACTAGAGCAACTCCTGCGTTGGAATGCCGGTAGACGATGACAACCCTTGCTGAATTGGATTCAAATGGCTCGGTTATCAAGACAGAAGTGGTCGGATGCCCCCCAGTATTGGGCAGCAGCACGGCAATCCACCTGTAAAGCGATGAGTCTAGATTCTCACGAGAGTTGGTGATACCTGATCTTCTCTTCTCTTCTTCTCCATTCCATACTATTATGTGTTGAGATGGTGCAGGTCTGTTGGTGCCCATCCTGTGACTCGTCAAGGCGCTTAGCACATCTGCCAACTTGCATATGCCTCACGGGAATTGAGTACCTTGGTAGTCTCCGGCTTGCTATCGGGCTTGCATAGGATCTTGTAGTCCGAGGTACTCCGTAGAGTTTGAAACATTGGCTTACCAGTCAACTTGTGGGTTGGTGCCCAGAACCTTCAAATGGCTGGGCGAAAAGGGGGATGGGGGGGAATATTATCCGTGGCAGAGTTCCGAGGAGACGCAAATATCGACCATGTTCCGCAGCTAAAGGAGAAAGATAAGCAACAAGTATACGGAGTACTATACCTCGCCATTACAGCGCCCTGATGTGAATTGCTGCCCAAGTAGAACAATTGGATGACTTTTCTCGTTGCCGGCCTGGGAGGGTGAGTAGTCCTTTACGACAGAGGAGGGCACCAACAAGAGGGAGAGGCCACACACCTGCCTAGTGGTGTGGCTTCCCCGCCACGATCTGTCGGCCAATCTCCAACCGATCGAACTTGACAAGGTAAACAGGTGCTTGGAATAAGCTGTGAAGCTTAGCGAGATGAAGCATCGTACTCTAGCTGTCTGATGTTTCTGGCAAAGCCCGTGGGCATTTGGCTTGGGGAGGGCTGTAACTCTAATGGTGAGTCCACTGTACTGCATCAACAGGGCCGATTCCACGAGTACTGGTGCTACATCCTCCCTGTAGCTGGCGCCCCTAGAGTACGTACTCGTGGTGGGCGTCGCCCTTAATGCCGATCTTCTCAAGGCGAGGCTGTCTGTCTGAGCTGCCTAGAGCGTAGCCGGTGATTACAGAACGGTGGACGAGATTGCGGCCGAGCGAGTTCACTGCACCCTCGTTAGCTGCGATTCGAGTACTACTATGTATGTAGATAGAATCAGGCCATCTAAATCCTGTAGACCACGCAGGGGAGTGGAACAGGAATAGCCAACGACCTTACCTTAATCTAGCGTACTGACTACTTCAGGTAGCAGCTGCTCGGTGGCGTCTCAGGGCGAATCGCCGCACTGCCTTCAGCGCCTCAGAAAAGACCCCTGAGAGCCGGACTCACCTGCAGCGACCGTCAGTAGCAGCGAAATGACAGGCTGGCCATACTATTGGGAAAAGGTGTCGGAGTATCATGATTGTCATGAATTGTGGATGAACGGCCTGGCCGACGTTGATTTGCCATTCTGCCTAGCTGCTGTCTTTGCGCACCGCTCTTTCCGCAAGAAGCGATTGATACTAGGGCAGGTCACGAGTTTCACCGACCGCCTTCTTCGCTTCATCTCTTGATACAACCACAATTTTGAACTTGCAGCATTCTCATCCATGGATGTCCCCTCTTTCATTCGATCTCACCGTCTTTTGCATCTTCTCAGCTGGTTACCACTACCGCATCTTCATTCCTCTTGCTCACGTCCAGCTCCCCGCTCAAGAAATTCGATCGTGAACTAGCGTTCCATTCAGCTTCCTTTAGGCTGCTATCTAACCAATTCAACTCATAGCCGCGCATGGGATAACTTGGGTTTGCCTCCATCTACTCGTAAGGCCTATGAGGAGTAGGGAAGACGGCGAAACAATATGATTTGTCGTTTGAATCTCTGGACTGAAACTAGCTCTCCCTCCAAGTCAGCCCATGACTAACCTCGCGCAGGCAATTCCCTACAGAGGAAAGGAAACAACAGCGCGTGCAGATCTGACGGTCAGACATCTGGCGCCCTCTTACCTCCGCCGGGCCGGCCGGAAGACATCCGACAAGCGGCGACGCCAGTACGCTCAGACAATACTCAATTTCACTGGTCACCAACGCCCGTAGCCTCTCATAGTCTGTGCTTGTTCGCTCTAGCAGGGCGTTTGGGTGTTTGGGCTGTTGCGAGTAGTCGTACACAGCAGATGTCAATTACGAGCACCAAGTGCATGCACTGCCACTAGGGTGAGAGGAGTTGAGGGTCAAGTGCGTTGAAAAAAAAATAAAGATTTGACGTGTCATTCTGTCTCCATTCAAAAGCTGAATGGCAACGCAGAGGCAAATTTGGACAGGGTAAGTTTCGCACCAATGGATCCCATCGACGTCAACTCGAGTGAGCTAAGATAATGGTCCAAATCAGCTCATCACACTGGGATTTCCTTCTACGGCACATGACCAGTTTCCGAAAGGCCGCATCAGCTCACTGAATGGCTGCGGATTCGTGTGGGATAAGAAGAGAGGAGACACTCCTTGACCATCATGACTCCGAACCAGCTGGTGTGAGGGGTGGATGGATTGGGTTTGTGTCAGCGGACCCGTGGCTAGCCGGAGGAATCTGGGCGACTGTGACAGCATCCTCCCTGCCATTAACCATACACCATGTCCAAGCACTCGACTGTGATGCTAAAGATGGTGTGCAAACCCGACTCAGCTGGGAGGTCCCTGATTGGTGTGTGTCGAGGCCACCCCAAGACATGGCCCGGTCCGCCCAATGGCACACGTCGCCCGACCGTCACGTGAACAGGATCTCATGCATGCAACTCGGGTAGGCTGCAGCTCTCCCGACGGAAGCCCCAGTTTTCGGCTACCAATTTTACACCAGGCGGGCTGGAGACTTGGCCGTCCACAAGGGCCGACTCCGGGATGGACACAGAGTCTCAAACAGCCCGGGGATTGGACACCGCAGACACTGGGCACGTTTTGTGTGTTGCCCGTGTCTCACCGGGTACCAGGGACATGTCGCTTGCCACTCGTTCCGTTGACAACATTGATGCTGGCTGTTGTCCGCCACCGATATTAGCACCCGCTCCAGTTGACCCTCGGACGGGGCTTTCGATATACTCAAGAAAAAAAAGGGGGCGCCGATGAACAAACGGCGGAGCGAAAGGGGGATGGCTGGCGAAGGCGCTGCTGCTGGGCGCCAGGTGCCGTCTTGCTGCAGCGGACCAAGCAGCTGCTAGTTCAAGGGACGAACGTGTGCCACGTCGCAATTTCATCACCGCGACATAGCGTCCTCCTGGGGGGCTGGCTGCATGTCAGGTTCTGCTCGAGGCCGCTAGCAAACAAGCTGTTGCCGAGTGACTTTGTCTCACAGTGCGAATAGCTCCCGGTTCCCCTCCCTTCCAATCCTTTTGTCACTAGCTTGTTCACACGCCCCCCCTGGCAAACTCACAGGCACTGGACACGGATACTCGTACAGGTAACTCTGAGAAAAAGCCACAGATGGAGCCGCCCATAATTACGAGAGCGGGCGCAACGCACACACCAAACACAAGGGGTGGTTTTCCAATGCCGATGATTGTTTGATTCTTGCAGTGCCCAGGGGCGTTGAAAGTAAGACTAAAGACAAATATGGAGCCCCGGTTGGTGAGAACCCGGCCGCTTGCACATTCGGCTGGATCCTTCGAGACGGACGAGTGTCGCGTTTTCTGTTGCTACCTACCTTGCTACCGTACTATGTACCTGTGCAGGTACTTGAATTTGTTCACATGCCTACAAAAATCTCGCCGTGTCCAAACTCTCATACGCCAATTCTTCTTTGGAGCCACTGTTGTGTCGTCGACGGTGACCGGAGGTCTCGGTATCTGCATGGCTTCGGAGCAACCGTTGCCCAAGGCTATGGAGTGCTCGTACATACCTGCGCAGCCTCTCCAATGCAAGCGGGCATTTCGTCAGCGCCCCAATGGCCGCCGCGAGACGTATCATTTGAGATACTGTCCATCTTCCTGCATGTTGGTTGTACGAGATGGACAATATGCCTACTCCCTGTCTTTGATTTCCATGCAGCTGTAACCAAAAGAGAAAAGGTGGAATATGCAGCAAGACCGCCATGTTGCCACCCCACGGGACCTCGACTGCATGCACGTCCAGCGGTACGGCTCCACGAGGCCGCGCATGACCGTTGAGTCGAGTGGATGGACTGCGGATACCTCTCTGCTGGCAGCCGTTGAGCAAAGAATTGAAGCAGCTGGGCAGCCGTAGCCAACTGCTGTCTACGCAATTGGCACTCTAAATTCTACTTTCTGCAGCCGCCTTGTTGTCATAACTCGTACCCATCCGCAAGCGTTTGCAGCCCTTGTCAGGCCGTTGCTGCTGCCCGCGTACCACCGCCCACCCACCAGCTCTGAGTGGAGAAGAAGCGTTCACCTGTTGTCATTTTTCTGGTGCCTTGGGGTCCCACAGTCTGCCGCCAACCCTGTTCGCGTCTGTTGCGGTTTGTTTTGCGCCACTCCGTGAGGCGTAACGAATCAGAGGCCTGCTTCAGCCAAGTGCATGGGATGAACCTGGCAAGGTCTCAGTCTTGTGGAACGTGAGCGGCACGGCGATAGCATTTGGCGCCCCTTGTCGCGCTACCGGCGTCAGAATGGGGAGACGCTGCACGGAGCGCATGGAGGGTTGTGGAGATGAAGCACCCGATAGTGACGGGGGACGGAGTACTCCGGATGTACAAGAGCTCGCTCAATACGCGAGGCCTGAATGGTTCTCCACAGCATCCCGACTCTGCAAAGAACCAGCGGTGAACAGACGATCGAACGATCTATTCTTGGAGAGCGGACAATGATGCTCAGCAAGCTACAGCAAGCTACTCCATAGCGCGGAGAAGCAACAATGAGGCTTCCATCCGCCTCAAATTTCGTCAATGGCAAGAAAGGCGAAAGCGCTGATGAGCGCTTCATGAGCTGGGAAGAGGTCACGCCGTTATTGCCATTGTCTTATCAGCTTCTTCTTCCCAGGTTGTACGCACTAGCTCAATCATATCTGGTTGCTGTGTGGCTGGAACTTCTGGCAGGCTGAATTCCTTGCTGCCTCAAGGACGCAGGAAAGGAAAAGGCCAACAAAGTACCTGCTCGTACATCATGTACGAGTAGTACCAGCTACTACTACCTACTTATCAAGGCTTCCCCTGCAGTTGACTCCTCTTATTCCGTGCCCAGTCAAAAATAGCCCTCTCTGTTTTAACAAAGTACTCGTGCAGTACTTGATGGGGAGCTTCTGCTGCAAAACCCCTCCCCCCTTCAGCAGTACATGTATCAGAAGCCACACGCAGCCAGCCATTCGAAAACGAGCCCCTGCCGTGCTGTGCTCGCTTCCTCCACTTGGCATGCGATCAGCATCAGCGGATTGGGCAAGGTGCATATCATATCGACATGCCATCCTTTCAGAAGATTTTTTCTGAGCTGTACAAGGGCGGAGCGAGCCAATGATCACGCAAGCTGCGACGCTCAACTTGCCAACCAAACCCACACATCGGCTTGTGTCGCCACTAAGGCCATTAGAAAGTGTCGCCCGCGGAACGGTGCGCTCTTGCAGGTGCATAGTCACCCGTGATCCGCTGACACCTCGGGGCCCCCCCTGGACTAGGCTGAAGTGATGACTGGTGAATTCTCAACGAATTCTCGACGCATCAAGCGGTACCAACAACGCACCTCGGCGGCGACAAGAAGCTTGACATGCGTATAGAATCTGGCCACGTTTCTCCACAGACGCCGACTGCTGCAGGCTTGCTGCGCCCCCATAATTGCCAGCCCTCCTTCGCCCACAACTGTCACCACCCTGAGCCGAGAGAAGAGGGGGAGGAGGAGGAAAAATTCGGCATACTCGTTTGCTACGACTGAGGGGTCAATCCGGGCGAGATGCAAGGGAACAATGACCAATGCCACCTTTTACGCCCGATGGAGAGGCGGTTGCCTCGAAGATGAGCACGGAAGATGATAACGAGCAAGCTCATCAATCCATTATCCAGGTGAGCTCTGGAAACATGGCTGTGCCTAGCGCGGATTGTCCACGCAACCCGTTGCCGTCCTAGATCAATCTCCAGCGGGCAAGCCACCGAACAGTTACCGAAAGGAAAAAGACACGGTAGTAGATCCATAAATTCTTGTCGAGGATCCAGAAAATGGCACGCCATCTGCAGCCAAGCTGGTGGGTAAAAGCCAGCTGCTTGCAGGCAGCCCGTACTGAGCGGCAAAACAGGGTCAAGTATTTGCCTCACCGCCACGACATCTGACCCGACAACCGTTAACCCAAATCTTCGTACCTCGAGGTGAATTATGACATGAATAATCCCGCTACTGCTGCGGTTCCACCCGTGCTCTCTGGGCAATTGGGCTGCATGATCCTTGGGAACGCCAGTGGGCTGCGGTGGAGGATGCTGAACCCCAGCCTCTCGGATCTGCGGGCTCATGATCCGGCCCGCTTATCCGGAGGCTCTAGGCGGACGACCGATGGAGGTGCCCGGCTAACGCGGAGTGCCGTGGCAGAATCACCGCCGGTTTTTGAGACCAAGTCTCAAACAAGCCCCGGATTTCCTGGTATACAGTAAGGGGGGTGGACTAGGAGAGCTGGGTTGTTCTGGGTGAATAGGCTTGTAGTTTTCTTGCGGCCTCTCTGTTTCTGTCTGTGTCTCTTGACTCAGAACAGCGAAGCGAATGGCACGCTGTAGAAGAAGGGGGGACGGCCGTGAGCCGAGTCACTATTTCCGAGTGAAGTGCTCCGTAGTCACGGAGACGTATTGATTCCACAGCTGGAATGTCTTTATCTCACTGCTCCCTTGAATGATACTCATACCTGATTTCAACGACTGATGGCTGACTGGGGAATCATATGGTGTATATTCATGCTGAGGTAAAAAATCATTGGAGATGAGACTTTACCTTCCTTGCTTGTCCTTGTCTTTGTGGTCTTTGGGTAATCCAATCTGAACAAACCAGCCCGAAAGTCTCCATTCGTATCCGTAGCTGTAAGGCAATTCTTCTCCCCCTGGATGCCGAAGATGAAGACGGAGGAATCATTGTTGTGTCACCCAATTGAGTTTATGCAAAGAAAAAGCTGAGAGGCAGAAAAACCAAGGAGGTGAGGACTTGTGGTGTGAGAGATCCCAACTGCAACATTGCACTGATGCAATACACTCGTGACATGAGAATGCTGAGATATGCAGAAGATCTCATGCAATGGGAAAAGCACGCGATGAGAGGTGTACATATCTATCCGATGAATGCATTGGGGGGCAGCTTGGTAAACTTGTCCTGGGTTGCCCCAGGATTGTAGACTCAAGCTGTGTAGATGACAGAGAATTCTATATGCTGCAGAGCATCTATCCTGAAGAAGATGGCTTCGAAATTCAAGCCCAAGATTACTGTCCCTTCTCTTCGATATCAACAACAAAAGCTCCGCCGAGCAGAATGGCAGGTTCATCGATATTGTGATGCTCGTAGCTAGAATCAACACAAGTGTGGTCAGTGAATTTAGCCATTGGAGATACACCGGCCAGCCTGGTCTTGTTTGGGGGTGCAGGCAACGATGAGGGTAGGCGAGAATCGTGACGTGATAAAAAAAAAAAGGAATCATAATTCAGGGCATCTCTCTAATTCAGGGCATCTCTCACCTCAAAGTTCCCACTCCGCCAGCCTCGAGCAAGAATGCTGGACCATCCTGAAGGGTTTTACCGGCCCAACGCATAGCAAAAGCTCGCAGGATGTGTCCGTGTGCAACTATCAGGATATCGCCTGATACCTTGTGCAGCTTCTTGCCATCAGATGAATTTAGCACAGGCCCATGAAATCTTTGACGAATGTCGGCGATAAGACGGTCTAGGCGGTCGGTGACATCTTGCGGACTCCTGTTACATATCAGATATAAACTTGAGTGGTGTATCGTATGATTTTGAGACAAAGAAGGGTCGAAGGGCAGCATCAGAAAGGGGCTGGGGCGTGCACGTATTCTCGTAGATATAGTGAGCCAAGGGAAGGGCGCGACTTACTCTCCTCCCGGACAGCCATCTTTCCAAATGTCCCAAGATCCTTCAATACCTTGCTCGGCTCTCATTCTGCGGATCTCTGGGCTTGTGATACCCTCGTAGTCCCCATAGTCCCACTCCCGAATGTCCTCGGTAATCTCGACCTTGGCACCACATTCGAGGCCGCCGCCAAGCGAATTGCCGTGCGGTTGCCATGGCAGTGGACCAGATATACCAAGATTAAGCAGCTCAAAGGTGCGCTGTGCTCGTTTTCGTGGAGATACATAACTAACTCGGGGCAATTGCCCAAATTGATTAGCTTCTGTTTGCTGCCCATCATTCATCTTTCTAATTTCGCCATCTTTTGGTTACATGAATGGGAGGCCAACGCGTGTGGTACTCAAAGGAAACGGGAGTAACAGTGAGAAATAGAGCTGTTAATCGTACGGGGAACTGAAGGCGCATTGACTCCCACCAGCAGATCCGGTGTGCAGCACGGGGAATGTATATAGAGAGTAAGGGGTCTGGCGAAGCAAGACTATTCTGCGCCAGTCATGTATTTGAACTGTATGAACATGTGCAATAGATGTGGGGCCCAACATTCTGCCATCTCCCCGGGGAAATTAAGTAAATGAACCAGCAGAAAAGAAGAAATCAGTGAAATCAACTAGTGGGAGAAGGGCGGAAAGAGGCATCTCGTTCGAGAGGAGACCTCCAGAGTGGCGTGTAGAGGTGTACCGGCAACTTGAGCAAACAAAATGAAAAATGAGAGCTGACGTGTTACATATTTGAAACATTGAACACGGCTCAGTAGAAGTGCCAAGGGAAGCCAGAAAAAAGAGAAAAAAAACTAAGAGGTGGTTGCCAATCCCCTGCACCAGTGCATGGATGACACTGAACCAGCATGACTGGGAAGTGGAATGAGTAGGATTTGGCTTCAAAATCAACTCTTGAAGTGGTTCATGTAGCTAACAGGATAGAAGCATGCAAAACTCGACGCTGCAAGATGATGCCGGATGCTCAAAACGAAACCAGAGCAAAGGTTGCGGGACTTACATATGGCACAGCTGGTGGGGAACAATCAAACGGTCATCGCCCACGAGAGCCCTGCCCGTAGCAATGACTCTCTTCTCGCCGTTGGCCGTCAAGGGGATGTCGCTGCTACCCGTGTGTCGGCCGTTGAGTGACCACTCAGTCTCGCCGTGGCGGACGATGAAAACGCGGGGTGCAGCCATGAGGGCCGATGTATAGAGAGTACGAGCTGTTGAGGGAGGCGGGGTGACTTGGAGTTGACAGAGAGAGGGAAAACGACGGGAGTGTGAAGCGGCGACGCAGGCAGAGCTGTATAAGAGATCAAACTCGATGGAAGCGCTCAGTTGGCTCTAATGTGTATCCTCTATTTGCCCGGCAATCAGGGCACGATGTCGATTCCCTCAATGCGATGAGGTGCATCGACAGCAGATTAGCGGGTTGCCGGAGGGGGCGATTTAGCGGGCTTTGGTGATGTCAGGCGGCCCATACTGGACAAGCTTAAGCTGCTATGTTTGCGTTAGCACCGGCGCGCGGGCAGGGCAGCATTGCTTTATCCGGCTGTTGAGCCACTGCTAAACTCACCGAGCCTCGCGGATAGCCGGGTTTGCAGCGGGAGCCATTTCGTGGGGGGAGATTGTGGGTGAATGGGTGGGAGAAGAGGAGATGGAGGAGAAAAGAAGAAGAAGAGGGAAATCAATTGATGCTGTTGGAATCCCAACAACAAAAAATAGTGGAAGGAGCCCTCTGTGTAAAGGTACCTACATGTGCCTGAGCCTCGCTCGCTGTGGCTGGTGAGAAGAACCTCTATAGGTACTAAACCCACGCAAATTGATTCCAAAAGGCGCTTCTTCGGCACAGCCACTTGGCCTAAAGTGACGAGTGATGTCTTTTGTCTCTCATTTTCATTTCCGCAACACCGAGGCTCCCCAAAAAACTATATTCTCCCTGCGTATCGCGATTTCAGTCGCCAATATCCCACCGGCCTGCCCTCATAGCATCTCTCTCCTTTCTTCCCTCCCTTCTCTCCTCTCTTCTTTCCCTCGCGCACCGCTGCGAAAATCCTCCAGAAATGACCCCCATGGCATCATGGTCCAACGCTCAGCCTCGTCATCGTCGGCCTTGCCCCGCTTCTTACTAAGTCTCTCAGCCTCCTCCACTTCATCGCAGCAGCTTCACGGCCCCGCCAATAATGTCGACGCACGCTCACGCATTGTTCCCGCATCGCCGCCCGACTCTGCCTGCCGGAGCACTAGCCAAGACATAGAGCTGGTGGCCCTCCATCCCTGGAACAATCCTTCGGCCGCTGCGGCTACCCCTCGTATTGTCAAGCACAAGCGGGCGTCCTTGTCGCTGCCCGCCGTGTCGCCGTCCGCCCTGCCGGAGAGAAAATCTGCTTCGGGAGACAAGGATATCCGACTTGCAAGCCGTGGCAGCTCGGCTAGCTTGGGCCTTTCGGCGGCTTCGACTACTGATTCGCTGAGGAGGGGGATGACCCCAATTGAGCGCCAGAACAAGGCCAATCAGATCTGGAGAGACTACTGGTGATATCGTGGCATCCTGGCGACACACGACACCACGTTCTCCAAGTAATAGCCCGGAAGAAGAGGAAGAAGCAGTCTTGACATAAGTGGAAACAAAAGAAATAAAGATGGCTTTACCGAATAACCTGACCAAGCAGCAAAAGTTCAGAGGCGGCGTCTGGGCCGTGGCTTTTGCTGCCATCATCATGGTTGGAACCCTAACCGGCGCACAGCTCAAGTCGGACAAGCAAAAAGAACAGGTCAGTGGATTCCCTAACCTTTGCTACTCGCCCCTTTTCTTGCTCTTCATCCTGATTGGAGATTCCACGGCTTCTAACAACCCTCTTCAGGCCATCAAAGAGTTCCGCCAGGTTACTCCCACTGAACAAATCGCCATGCTCGAGAAGCAGCGAGGCACTCTTGTCGAGCAAAGGGCAGGTTTGCAGAAGAAGCTGGACGTTTTCAGGGAGCGCGTCCAAGAGAGGCAGCAGGAACAGGAAAAGTCCAAGAAACAATAGCACACTTTATAGGCTCTCTTGGCCCAATGAGAGGGAGGCCATGCTGGGCTGCCATGAGCTTCTGGGATATAGTAGCATCACCCTACATCATTCTTGGCAACAAGGGCCATTGAATACCCTCTATTTATGCCGGTGGATGGAAATCACGGAAAATGACTGGTCTTGGAAAAAATCACGATACCCATATAGACTTGTAACAAAAACTTTAATCCAATTGTGTTTAAATTGCCTTTTCTGGTTCATTGAGCATTCTGTTCTATACATTATGGCATGTGTCGTTGGCCAGAAAGTTCATCACCAGCTCTAGACAAAATCCGACCTTGGTTCCATCACCGTCCACTAGTAGTAACTAATCCAAACGCCCAATTCTGCAAATCCTATTCTTCCCGCCCGCTGCCTGTGACAAAAACAAGAACGGAAGAGAACGATGTACGGGAAGCCTAGCCGGCTTACTCCTCGATGCCCTCAGAGCTGGGCAGAGGAATTGCCTTGTAGAGGAGAATCAAGGCTGAGTGGGACTCGCCGCCGCCGGCCAATGCTTCAACCTTGTCGACCGTCACCTCGGATACCTTATCGTCATTGAACCACCACCAATTGCCATCCTCCTTTTCCTTCTTGCCCGTTTTGGGATCCACAGATCCCGTCTTCTTGACGTACGCCGTGTAGTGGCCGCTGTCGGCACCAGCGCCCTGATGGGTGACGACGCCACGGAGCTCGTAGAGGCCTGACTGGTTGGCACCATCGTCGTCGCGCAGAGCGGGATTGATCAGGGCATTGAGCTCCTTCTTGGCGGAAAGAAGCGCGGCCTCGCTCTCCGCCTCAACCTGAGCATCCGTCTTGAAAGTCTCGCCCATGACGGTGTCGGCGTCATCTGCCTGCTGTGGTTTGCTTTCCCCCTTCTGCTTCTGTTGCTTAAGCTCCCTCTCCGAAGGCAGGCCTGAGCCGCCGGCGACATCGCTCATGTCCTTGTCATGAGTCTTCTTCCGGCGCTTACGAGCGCGCTCAATGTCCTCTTCGTCCTTCCGAACTTCGCGGACCTTGTCTCGCACGGGGATCAGGGCGTCCTTGAGCTCATCTGAGCAGAACTCGACAATGTCCAATTCTTGAGGGAATGTGACTTTGCGCATGATCTTGGCCTTCTTCTTTGTTTCTCTTTTCCAAAAGAAGCGTACAAAGTGGACAGTGAGGTACTTGGGAGCCCGGGATATCTTGGACTTTTTGGTATAAGTGGCGTCTCGGCCAAGTACCTCGGATCTCTTCTCCAGCTTCTCACTTAGTGCGGTCATGATGCCATCTCTCAAGTGGTTTGTCTGACCATCAATGTGGCAGTCGAGTTTGTAAAAGGCCTCTCTCGAGGCAATCGCCTGTTCGCCACCATTTCGGGCTTCTTCCTCGTCGCACTCAAGGACTGAAGAGAACTGCCCAGCCATGTACTTTTCGACGAACGAAATGCTGGGTGTGTCGGGGGTGGTCTTGATTGTGACTTTTTGACCGAGTTGCTGAACGATCTGAGACCAGGCCTCTTCGGCATCTTGCTGGGCATATCCAGGGCCACTCTTGGACTTTTCAGCAAACTGGGGGAATACGAGCCTCAGTGCCGAGAGGAAGCTCAAGGGCTGGATAGAATCCTGCGTATTGCCCATGTTCTTGTATAAGTTGGAGAGCTGGGCAGCCAAGTCCGTCTGCGGCGTGCCCAGGGGGCTGTATGTTGTCAGGGCCGTCTGAAGTTCGGGGATTGAACGCAGCGTCTGCAGAGTCGAGTTCAGATAGCATGTATTTCCGAGATTGATGAGGCCTGCAGGGGTGGCACCAGCTTGCTGAGCTTGCTCGGCCTCGGTCATGTCCTCGACAAACTTGATCTTCTCTGCCGGGCGGACAAGGTCTCCGGCACCGTCTCCTGGCGTACCCATCATCATGATGCTTTGGCCAGCCTTGAGGTTCATCTTGTTCATTTCAGCGTCATCTTTGAGCTGGCCGCCCTTGATGAGGATCTTTTGGCGTTCGGGTTCGACGTTTGTAAGGCTGAAGAGCTGAAGCTTGAAGTCCAAGCCTGTCGACTCGGGATCGACTTCTACCTCATACTTCTTGCCCTGGTGCTTGACGACAACTACAACCGTTTGAACACCATGTTAGTTACAGAACGCATTACCCGTGGGACACATTCAGCAAGCTATTGGAGATAGCAAACTGCAAGATGATGGTGGGGGTTCACGAACCAGATATGGAAGCCATTGTTGCAAGGTGGCGGGTCGATTCAGCAGCAGCTGAAGGCCAGATCCACGGTTGAATTCGACGAGCTCTTTCTTCGGGGACAGCAAGGAGAGAGCAGGCAAAAGTTGAGTTTGTGAATATAATCCCGGCAATAAAGCAGGATGAAGTGTCCAAAGTCGAACGGGTGACACAGAGAGATGTCGAGAGAAGGGAAGAGAAGCACTGCGGAGCCTCGCTGCGTCACGGCAGTGGTACCTGATTGATGGCGGGAGGTGTGGCGCGTGCGGTGTGGCAGTTGCCAGCCAAGCTTGGAGCGATTCAGTATCTGGTAGCCTGTAGGTAGGCAGTAGGGGTTAATAAGCTGGCACGTGACGCTGCTACTTCAAGACGACGGTGTGGCTGGTGGCGCAAGCTTGGAGCAGCATTTGCACTGCTACTCAGGCCAGCAGCGGTCTCACAAGCTGCTAAACAAGGAGAATCACCACCTGTAGCTAGCCCCACCTTGCGCCTACAGACGTCAACCTCCTGCTAGTGACATGCGGACCCGAACCCCGCGGATTCCCCTGCCAGCTACCAGTCCACGTAACATTGAAAGTACGCCGTCGCCAGAGCTCCGGACCACAACCAAACCCGCGAATAGCTTCCTGCGACACATTGGCCCAACCCAGGGCACGCAGCAGCCTCAGCAGTCATGGTATGCCCCGGACATCTGCCTCTCGCCCATCGAGGAGCCCGCCCCTGGAGCTTCCGGAAGACCGCGGTGCGAGAGCCCCGGAAAACTGACCGCTGACCTGCTGCCATCCAGTCTCAATCACTGCGGCCGTACCTCCAATGCGTGCGAAGCAGCTTGACTGCCGCCCTGACCCTGTCCAACTTTGCCTCCCAGACCACCGAGCGCCACAACGTCCCCGAGATCGAAGCCCAGACCTCGCCCGAGGTCGTCCTGACGCCCCTCGTGATTGCGCGTAACGAGAACGAGCGGGTGCTGATCGAGCCGAGCATCAACTCTGTCCGCATCAGCATCAAGATCAAGCAGGCCGATGAGATTGAGTCTATACTTGTCCATAAATTCGCCCGTTTCCTGACCCAGAGAGCCGAGGCATTCTTCATTCTGCGAAGAAAACCAATTCCCGTAGGTGGCACTGGAGGGTGGCGTGATGATGCTCGCGATGCCCAGCTAGCTATCCGAGCTTTCCAAGCCCCAAGGCTGTGGACCTGAACTTGGAGATGGATCATGTTCTGACGCGTTATCCGAATTAGGGCTATGACATTTCATTCCTGATAACAAACTTCCACACGGAAGAGATGTTGAAGCACAAGCTGGTCGATTTCATCATTGAGTTCCAAGAGGAGGTCGATAAGGAGATCTCTGAGATGAAGCTCTTCGTATGTGCTCTCTTGTCTGGTGATTTTGAGGGACTTGAACTGACATTTGGATCTGCAGCTTAACGCCCGAGCACGATTCGTCGCCGAGTCATTCCTGACACCTGTGAGTCTACCACACTATAGATCCCCCCTTCCCCTGGTTTTTTTGCACGGGAAATATCTGGCTGACACTTTGTACCTTAGTTTGATTAAACTGCGTTAAACATTGTGTATCTACGAGATAGGATCCTCAACGATGGGGCCAAAGCGAAACTTTGTACTCTAATCCCGATTCAGACATCTGTCAAATACATTAGGCTCGAGTGGGATTCTCATGCTTCTGTAACATGCTGGCTTCTTCGTCTCTAGTCATGAAGGTGGTGAAGGAACGTGGTAGTCTAAATAAACAAACCTTGTGTCTACTTGGCAATGACTGCGTGCTATCTCTGAACAATTTGGATCAGTGTCACCCTCTCTTATTCTTCATCTGCTGGCCACTCACACTAGTCACTGACCCGTCATCATCGAGCACCTCCAGGTGGCTGTAGGATAGTCACATCTGGCTGGTTGCAATGAGAAACTGGGGTGTTGCACATCCAACTACCGATTGTCACCAAGAGCTTCATGTTGACAAAGCTCATATATATCCCAAACAGCCTCACCATGTCAAAGAAGACGCAGACCTGCATCATCCTCATTCATGAATGCTTCTAGAGGTGGCAACCACCAGCCTCTTTATTCTTTTGCATTTTTCCACTATTCGTGAACTCTCAGTATTCGTGAATCCTCAACAGCTGCCAACGAAGCAGCTTCGCCATGGAGCAGCTGGGAGGTCTGGCGGCCACCTGGTCGGTTCGGCAGCACTTTGCCTGCCAGCCTCAGCTTCAACAGTTGGCAGCACACAATAACAACAGCCCTCGCCTTTATTGCTATTGCTGCCCCACTCACTCTTTGATCGCAGGGAAATACTGCGAACCTTTCAACCCCTCTCCTCTCTCCTCTCCCTCTCCCTCTCCCTCTCCCCTCTTCATCATCACCTCCTCTCTTCTGAAGAGCCTCACGAAGCAAAACCCCCAACTCGAAGCCTTTCAAAGAAGTAAAGGACGAAAAGGTACGTTGTAGCCCAGAGATATAGCGCGTTTGAATATCGGCAGTCTACCGATTTCTTCTTTTGAGTAGCACATTGCTGCTGTTGTCCTCCTTTGCTGGTTTTGTGAACTCTTTTCGCCTGCCCTGCAAAATTCACAACAAGCACGTTTCTCTGCTCGCCATCAGCGTGTGCTTTCTTAAGCCCCCCCAGCCACCCCTTTATTTTTTTGTCCTGAATGATTGTTCTTTTCGTTATTCAGCCTGCTAGTATCCCGTTAACATTTCAATAGACCGACACCGCCAGGATGGCTTCGAGTCGCCCAAGAGCTGTTCAGGGCATAAGCTTTAGCGAAGCGCCCTTCATTGAACCTGCGTTGATGACGACCCATCCATCGCGTTTTCCGGATGGAGAGGATGATCAAGATGCCTCTAACCCCTCTTCTGGTTGCAGTCCGGCTAGCAACACTCAAAATGAAGCCAATGGCAACAGCCTGGAACTGAATCGTCAAGATGGGGTTCAGCGCAGCTCGTTTAACCCATCCGCCAGCATTTGGGTTCCCTCTTCATCGGCACAGGTATGCATATGCCATTTCAACTGTTTGCCTTGTCTCCTCTCCCTTTCTTTGTTCTTCGTTCTTCTCTTTGGCTTTCATTTATTTTCTTGGTTTTGATGCACACATACTCATCTGTGAATAGCGAGCTGGACAAATGGACAACACTCGTCCTCTTGTGGTTGGATACCCTCCTGGTTATCGAACTGCAAACTTTCATCAGCATCAGGACCAGGTTCCGACTCAAAATCAGGGTCAAAGCCAGGTTCAGAACCATACTCAGGGTCAGACTCAGAACCAATTTGACTTGGTTTCGTTTGCTCTGGCTCACACTCAAGGCCACGACGAGGATCCAAATGCGGGCATGCCCTAGGGAGGCGCCCCAGATGATGGAGACTTCGATGAAGACCAGCAGTCGGTGCAGTATGAATACGGTTTTGAGCCTGTCGCGGTAGAGAACCCAGATATGCAATATCGAAGTTACCTCCAAGCTCAAACTCCGCCTCATGCCTCGACTGCTGGCTTCTATCACGAGGTAAACAGTGACCCTCGCACAACCCTTCAGAGAATGGCTAATACTGGTTTTGAGCAACATGGCCGTCCATCGGCCATTCCGCACAGCCAGTCTCTCAACTCTCTTCGACCCAGCGAAGGGTTTTCCAGCCCCTCGTCCAACATGACTCCGCCTCAGCGTCGCTCTGGTGCTCATGTACGAGGCTATTTCAGCCCGGGCGTGTCGACGGTGGCCAGCGAGCCGCGCAACTATGCTCCACGAACGGCAGGATTGCCCGCCGCAATCAATCCTATTATGATGCAGCCTCCCCCGAGGTTTGATCTTGGGCTTGTTGCAGCTCCCGATCCTGACAGTGATCGCGATGCCCGGATTGTACGCCAAATTGTCAGACCTTTTGGCGTGCGTCTCAACGAGACAACTGAGCTGTCCGAGATTCCGCCTGATTGCTCGAACCACGCCCCAATCATGCAGGTGCCACGCTCGAACAAACTCCTACAGCTGACCAATACCGCCACGGGGCTTCCAACTCTGGCCGATGCCATGGACCCGTCCAACTTTCCCTTTATCGAGTCGGCCAGGTTGGCCAAACCGATGAACTGGGGCATTATCAAGCTGAGAAATGTGAGTGGCTATCCTGTCTCCATCCTCTGGAAACTCACCAAAGAAACTTGTCTGCTTACATTGACACGCAGATTCCGTTTTCTTCCACCCGTGCCGAAGTGATTGCCTTCCTCGGCCGCAACTCCAAGGTTCTAAACGACACGGACGAAGGTGTACACATCATCATGGACAAGGTGACGAGCAAGACTATGGACGCCTATGTCGAGTTTGTATCGCTTGAAGATGCCATGCGGGCGGTTGACAGACACCGAGCGAATGTTGCAGCCGGTCGATACAGCCGCCTTGGCGATCGTCCCATTGAAGTGGAGGTGACTTCTCAAGCCAATCTCATGAGGGATCTCTTCCCGATCGCTCGCGGCGTCTTTTGGAATGGTGTCACTCCCGAGATTATGCCTTTCAATCCCAGCCAGCCTTGGGAAAACTTCAAAGGTTTCATCTCCGAGGAGGAGATGATTATGCTTGTCAAACACGTCGAGGTGCCTCATCGAGTACGTGGCCACAGCTTTGTACTGCCCCCAACGACCCCATTCCTCTTATCTGTTCCTTTCTTTTCATCTCCTAGACGATTCCTTTCCCGATTTATGAGAAGAGTATGCTAACATGGGTGGATAAACAAAGTCTCTCTTCTCTCGTGATTGCCCGCAGCGCCCCTATGAGTGCTTGATCAGCACCATCAAGAAGTTTCCGTGGTTCTTGACCGACTGTGTGACGATCAAAGAACGAGAGGCCATCTACCAAGCTACCATTGCGCTCATTCGTCAACTTACTCGAAGCATTCTTTTCCACGAAGATGCCGCGCACTTGACTCCTTTCTTGCTCCGGCGTCTTGTTCAAGCAGCCATGCTCTGCCCTGGCTTCACACCATGCATGAAGGATGGCATCGCCTGGATCACTAACATGCAGGCTCTAGATCAGGAGTACTATCAGCTGCCACGTTTCGCGGACCGTTGGCGCCATCAGTATGCTATCGGCCCAAAGCCTGGATTCCCTCTTGACATTGTTGAGGTAAGTTGGCGCTATCCTGGCATATTTAACCTTGGATTTTCAGCAGACTAACAGCGTGTTCGTACCTTATCTTGACAGTGGTACGTTGCGATTATCCGTGAGCAAACTCACAAGGACATTCTCCTCCTTCCTCTTCGAGAGCGTGTTGAGCTTCAAGAGCGTGCCGAGCAGACAGACATGTACTGGGGCTATTTCTGGGCTGAAGTAGGATACATTATGGGTCCGCCGTTTGACGACATGAGCTTGGCACAGGCGGCTCATATGGAGCTTTCGGCCGTGGAGCGTATCCTCTCGCGTGCCTTTGGTCAATTCTAATGCGGCATGGTTGTGGCAAGGGGGCAATAGCCTTTCTCGAAAGTGACGACATTTCGGCGTTTGATTGTCGTGAGTGGGATGAAGTAGCCTGGGAGGGACGCCATGCTTGAGACCATTGGTATTTCTTTCTTTTCCTTTCTAGTACGGTATTTTCGCCTTTTATTTTCATTTGGCCCCAAACTGGGCGAAGGAGCGCTCTGCCGCGGTATGGACTGGGTGAGCAGTGGTATACACAAGACGGCGATGGGCAAACCTTTTTTTATTTTATTTTTTTCCCAAAGGGGATGATTGAGGATTGAAGAATCGATTCATTGGTGGCCTGGACGGCTCGAAATATTGCATTTGCTATGGGATGAGGAATCTAGTTGTCGGTTGTTTGACGAGGGTGGTGAATCATGTCGGTGGTACGCAGGAGGGACGATGATTTGCATTCATCTCGAGTCAAACCCGCAAGGCTGGGCCGTCGTCAGGCGAAATGGGGGCACAAGGATCAGGCAGTCCATAAATAGGAATCTGAATGGAATTTGACAGGTCACGCAGAACAAGGAGCACAGAGCAGTGAAAATCCCCGTTACTTGTAGGCGAAGTCGGTGGTGGCGATGATGATAAACAATGGAAGACAAATTGGCGTCCAAGCTTGAAGTTGCTTCCAAGGTTCAATACCAAATGATGGTAGGCAGGTGCCACTAACTGTATTTGAGTATGGTGGTAGGTGCTGAGGTCTACACATGTCTCTACTCTCTACATGTATCTAGCACTATTAAGACGGTGCCTTGGTACTTCCTCGGTACTGGTTACTGCTCGATTTGCACGTGGCATGATGTCGGCGAGGATGAAATGTCATACAACCGAAAGGGCACACCTTCCTCGTGCTTGGGCACATTAGTAAAGCAGGAGTACCTACTAAGATATGTAGCTGTACCTAGGACGGGACGGGACGGCTTCGGTGGTGATTTATCCGCGGTGCCAAGTCTCCAGCAGTCGTCCAATGCATGACGGTCATTTGGCGCCTGAAGACGAAATTAACATGGACAGCAATCGTGATGGCCAACAGGGTTTGCCTGTCAGGTACCCGGGCTTTTTGGTGAGCTTTGACTGGCTCCGTTGTCAGTGGTACAGACTCCCGGCTTACTACCTGCGCAATCTTGTCGGTACTACCACCTTAGTAGGTACCTTGCCTGTCTGGTCATGTTGGTGAAATCACGGAGGCATGCACCTCGTAGTCCGAAGGATGTACGAGGAAAATACCACCTGGGAGCCGGCGCCTTACGAAGTACAAGGTACGCCGTGGTTTCGTCTAAATTGCCGTCTCGGGCTCAACTCCAACAATGCAAGCCCTGTCAATATACATGCTGATGACCTTGACCTTGAGAAGAGACTACGCCATCTCCAGAGCCTTATAACGTGAAGCGACTCCTTTTCTCACCCTTCTCCTATACGATATCCCGTCCAGTACATGCATTTTTCTCTTCCCCTCTCTGCTTTGATTCTTCCCCAATCTATTTTCGTTCCCTTTGTGCAGTGTCAACCGTTGCTTATCATCATCTCGTAATATTTCGGATCAAATTCCCCTTATTCCCACAGTGCATTCTTTGTACCACTCCGTTGCTCCCGTCGTCGCTGCCCAGGCTTAGTACCTACGTAGCACCTAATCTGCTAGCTGAGATAGCAAGCAATAGCCGAACCCCCAGCGGGCTTCCAAGTAATTTTGCTGCTACCCGTGCCTGTAGTGCCCTAGTCTCTGCAAAACAACAACGTCAATTCTTTTTCTTCCCCCCTGATTACTTCTGACCTCTACCTTTCTTTTGGCACTGCCAACCTTCCAACCGACTCTCCATTCATCGTCAATTCGACCACAATCATGTCTACAGAAAACGTGCCCGCCGCCGCCCCTGAAAAGGTTGAACAGGCCGAGGCGCCAGCCTTGACGCCAGAGACGCCCCTGGCCAAATTCACGGCGCGTCTGGCCGACATTATCAAGCTGTCAGGCCATGGTGAGATGTGGGGTGTTGAGCTCTCGAGCGATGCCAGCCACGCCCCGACTCAGGTTGTTCTCCAGAAGTTCCTGCGAGCCAACAATGGCGATTTGGCCGGTGCCGAGAAGCAGCTTTCTTCTGCTCTGGCCTGGCGAGAGAAGTGGCAGCCGACGAAGCTCGTCAGCGAGGCCTTCAACAAGGACAAGTTTGGCGGCCTCGGCTTCGTGACGAACCACAAGGATGATGCCGGCAAAAACACCGTCATTACCTGGAACATTTACGGCTCCGTCAAGGACAACAAGGCTACCTTTGGCGACATCTCCGAGTAAGTGCCTTTCCCGAGAGGAAGTAAAACACCATGTAGAAAATATTTTCTAACTCATGTCGACGCTTGTAGGTTCATCAAGTGGCGCGCTGCTCTCATGGAATTGGGCGTGCAGCAGCTCCATCTCAACGACATCACAGAGCCCCTCCCAGAGGATGGCACCGACAAGCACCAGATGCTTCAGGTGCACGACTATCGATCAGTCAGCTTTTTCCGCATGGACCCTGCTGTCAAGGCTGCCAGCAAGGAGACCATCTCTGTCTTCTCCATGGCCTACCCAGAGCTGCTTGCGCACAAGTACTTTGTCAATGTGCCCGCCATTATGGGTTGGATGTTTGGTGCCATGAAGCTCTTCCTTGCGCCGGCAACTTTGAAGAAGTTCCACCCGATGACATCTGGCACTACCCTATCCACGGAGCTTAAGGGCATTGCCTCGTCATTGCCTCAGGAGTATGGAGGCAGTGGCTCCCCCGTCCAGGAGGGATTGACGGTGGCGCTCGTCGACACCACCGAGGCCGCAAAGGAGGAGGCCCCGGCAGAGCCACAGCCAGAGACCGTTGCCGCCCCTGTTGAGGCTCCTGTCGAGGCTCCTGTCGAGGCTCCTGTCGAGGCTCCTGTCGAGGCTCCTGTTGCGGCTCCCGTTGAAGCTCCCGCAGAAGCAAATGAGACTGTGATTGCCGAACCTCAGACAGTGGACATTCCTGTGAGGCCCAAGGAAGAGGCGGCCCCTGTGGAGACCAAGAAAGAGGAAGCCCCCGCCCCTGTTGAGCTGGAGGCTAAGGCTGAGGTGGAAAAGGCTCCTGCAGAGGAGGAGACCAAGCATGAAACCGAAGAAAAGAAGGCCGAGGAAGTTCCCGTCGCTGCCGATGCTGCCCCCAAGGAGGCTGAGGCTGCGCCTAAGGAAGCAGAGACTGCAGAGACCGCGCAGCCGGAGAAGACGGCTTAAGGGAGCACTCAGGGCCATCCCTCGTTGAATCGCAACGGTGATACACAGTGAAATTTGGGGGAAGCGGAGGTTTTTCTTTATTTCTTTTTTGATGTTGTTCTCGTTATGAGCGCGGGCCTCCTGTTTGCCTTGCCACTCTCCATTCATACCCATAATACCCTATATCATGTGCGAGAAGTGCTGTGCATTAGATTCCCTTAGATGTTTGCCCGCTTTTTGCCATTAATAGATGAAACGTCTGCTAGTTTACGATGGACGTTTTCTAAAATATACACAAGTCTATGTTCTATGTTTGACACCTTTGCATTGACTCTTGTTTAAACAAGTGTTATCCGGCAACCATATCACTCTGCTGATGTTCGACGTGATAACCTCGGATTGCTCGCCACGTCAACCCAACCCCCTTTAATACTTACGCATCTGCTAGCCGTGCTTTTCTTTGATCCTAAGAGTCAGGCCATCTCTGACAGGCCATGTTCATCATCTCCCGGTGTTGGAGTCGGCAATACCGGAGTAAGGTATGCGTCCCTTGCTAGATCACATGATGATCTTCAAAAGGCCATCATGATATCGGCAATGGAAGTCATATTTGCCACTGCAACCATGTTTGTACTTTGGTTAAATGCCCGAGGTAGAGGCTATTTACCTTTTTATTCCCACCCACAGAAGTCGAAATCGGAGATATCTCTCTTTATATCTTCATTTCTTCGGTAGCAGCAGAGCCTTGCAATTTTCTTACTCTGTTTCCCCTCTCCTCTGTAACTTTAGGACGCATATAATAAGCAATCTGCTCCGCACCTGGCCATCCTGGAGGCTAGTTTCACCACCATCGTCATCAAGCTCGGCTGCATCTCGTCGTGCATAACTCACTCCCCAGGCAATATGAACTTCCCAAATGATGAGTATAATGATAAACGACATTGTAGCACAAAGTGACAGAAATAACCAAAGTCTGGTCCATTTTTTTCCATGGCAAAGCCTCATGCTGGTGAGTGATTTTTTTTTTTAAACGATAATAACATGCTGCGGTGTCTGTCTCACCGCAACACCAATATTATCTCACCACAACTGGGCCTGTAGAGAAGAAGGCAAACCTGGAAATTTTTGTAAAAAAGCCTGGTTATCATCGAGGCGAACCTTTCAAACTCCAGTCAAGTTTAGGCTTCTCATTTGGCACTTCATTATCCGGCCCAGCCGAATATGGCGATTGCGCTAAACACCATTGCGGTGATGGCAGCAGTGGTACAAGCCCATTTTTGAACGGAGGAGATTGGCATGAGAGACATTGACTCAGGCTGAGGCTGAGAACCCTGCACTGGCAGACCGGTGAGGCGCCCATGTGAGAGCGCCTGCATACGTGGATGGCGATTTGGTGTTGGGTTGCTGTCGTCGAGAATGAGTGACTGATGCTGTGACCATGTTTTGAACACACAGCGGTGGATGAGAGAGCATGGATATTTTAACAACCACACAACAAGGCGGCCATAGATGCTGCGAGAGACGAATGGCGGTATGGAGGAAGCTGATGGGAAGATACACCGTCAGGTATCAGAGACTCATCTCAGACATCGGGGAGATGGCGCCTGCGGCCGTAGCATATCACAAATCACCAAATTTCACTCCTCGCCCAGTTTTGCTTTTTATATCCCCATGGCGTTGACAGGGTTGCCAACTCTCCCGTGCAACATATCCGTAATATATGATACGCTGACCGTCACATTGGCCGGCGTGAGGCTTTTTGGCGCCTAGAAGAAGCAGGGAGAGAGACAATATCACGGGCACATCACAAGGTGCGGAGTAAGACAAGGACAAGGCCTAGGTCCCGTCCAAAAGAAAAAGGGTAAAAGGGAGGATTCGGGAAGATTGACCAAGCCCATCTCTTGTTGTTTCGGATACGCAATGCCTGCGCAATGATTTTTATTTAGCTCGGGCGCCTCACGCTCACTTCAGCCGCTGGTCAACTTGCCTTTTTTTTTTTTTTTTTGTGTTGCGCCTCTTTTTTTTCCTTTTTCTCCTGCCATCCCCGGACTACTCACTTTTTTACTTTCCCCTCTTACTTCTGTGGCAGTGTATCCTGGATTTCTCGACGCTTGTCTCAGTACACTTCAGACACAGCACGCAACTTGGCAGCAGCAGGGGAGAGCTGCAACCGGAGAATAAATACGAAGGCCTCTCTGCTTTGGAAGAAATTCAGCTCTTCCAAAGAGACTGCGAGTGTGTGCCAGAATCAGCGAGAACAGAACGAAAGAGAGAAAGAGAGACGTACGAGACGCAAGAACAACAGAACCAAGCATCACCAGGACACTCTCACATCCCGCTTCACTTGTTTAGCCTCAATCCATCTCTGTCAGCCCCGATCCTCCACTCCCCCCCTCTCGCCACTCATACGCTCTGCTCTCAGCTTGGATCGTCTCGTCTCATTGCTTTTTCGGCCCTCAGCTCTGGCTCCTCACTCCCAACCACCCCTGAACCAGAAGCCCGGCCAAAAAAAAAAAAAAAAAAGGCCTGGGCTTGGCTGTTCGACTGAGAAAAAGGCGGGTTGGCAATAAGTGGCTTCGCGGCTCACTTCACCTATCAGATCAAGTAGACGCCGTCCCCGGTCTGGTCTGTTCAAGGGCAAGTCTGGTGCCATTTACGGAGCAAAAGTACAAAAGCACGCACAATCGCATACAATCACTCACACTCACTGTCATCCTCCGGAATATACCGAGAGTGTCAATCAACACATGCACAGACACTTGGAGCACGCGCACCTGTGAGAGCATCCAACGCCGTGCCCCAGCCCTGATATAAAAGGCACAAGGTACCGCATATATCTCTTCCGTATACTCGTACTTGGTACGGCTCCATACCAGCGAGGGTCGTGGACTGACTCCATCATAAAAAGCCGAGCTTGTCTCTTAGTCGGGGGGAGGCTCCTCTATTTATGTATCCCGTGGCCGCCCTTGCCTCTTGCTCCTCTTGCCCGCCTATCCGCTGCGCTGCTTATCTGCGTCCTGCTTAGTTGTTACTACTTGTTAGCTCACGCGTGCACCCGCGTTTTTGTCAACTTTGCCGACTAACGACGACTTAGCAGCATACCTGCGACTTTTACCTTTTCCCTCTTCCTTTTTAACCTCTCTCCCAGCTGGGCCTGCTTGTTCTACAAGCCACCGCGCCGCCTGATTCTCGTCATCGTTACTATTTGATTAGTTTTTCCGGGGCATCTTTCTTTGTTTATCCTCCGGCTGCCTTCCCTTACCTTTCGTTCACCTTCTTCTCTCTCCCCTTGTCCCTGGTCTTGTTTCTTTGTTTGCGTGCTGCTTCATGTTTGTACCCTCGTTGCCGCTATAACGCAATTCGCAGCCATGCTGTCCCCGTTTACCGGCATCGAAAGCAGCGGCTCGGTTTCCGCCTCTCCAGACGACTCGTCCAACCTCGCGTCGTCAAGCTCGACTCCCCCCACGACTGTCACCGACAGCGACAGCCTACACTCGGACGCCTCGAAGCACGATGTCATCACCGTGATTGACGACTCGACTGTCGTCGCGATCGCTCCGGCCCTCCCTGTGTCTGACGTGCCATCGCCGCGCCGGCCTCAGAGGGCACGAGCAAGCCTGCCCGTCTACAACTTGGCCAAGCTCAGCGGCACCAGCGCGCATGGCAAACGCCGGGCCAAAGGCGACATCGTGGCCACTCGCAGGCGCCGGACCATTGCAGGCAGCACTGTGACGCCTGGCGACGCCGATGTCGGTGCGCAGGGCCAGGTATCGACCAACATTGACGCGTTGAGTCTCGAGGCTTCCCCCAGCAAACGCAGCACCCCGCGCGCGCAGCGCCTGGCGCGACCATCGCCACGCTCGCTGCGATCAGTGTCGCGTCTCGCCGGTCCAAATGGCGGCGCGAGTGCCGGTGCGACGCCGGTATCATCCATTGCGGCCAAGCTTTCTGCCGCCAGCAAGCGCGGGCGCATCACCAAGGCTGTTGGCAAGCCGGTCAAAATGTCCCGCGAGCTGCGGCGCCTGCAGGACACAAAGGAGTTCAACCACATTGACGAAAGACCCGTCATCCACAGCGTCTGGTCCAATGGCAAATACGTCGACCCCAATCAGGCCCGAGAGCGCCAGACGGTGCGCAAGAGGGCAAATGTCGCGGTGGCGGCCGAGATCAAGGTCAAGGAGGAATCAGAGGAGCCTGTCGCCCAGCTTAAGCAGCGGAGGGTCAAAAAGTACCTCTCAAAGGGCCTCTATTCAGGACAAGAGGTGACGCAGGACATTACTCGAGGACTGACGGCGGCCGAGAAGAAGCAGCTGGCGCAACTGCCCGAGCTCATGCCCCGCAAGGAGAACAAGGTCATGCCCGCGCCCATCTTTACGGGCTTTCGAACGTTGTTGACCGGCCGCGATTTCAAGCTGCCCTTCCACGTCTGCAACCCGCTACCACCCGGACAGCCCAAGCCAGATGAGTGGAAGAAGATGACCAAGAGTATGTGCTATATCTCTCGATCAATGCCGCCCACGTGAGCCCCCGCTAACTGACATGCGCCCTCTAGATCGATTCATTGGCGAATCCAAGGAAGTCTGGAAAAAGATGCCGCACATTCTCGATTATCAGTCCAAGTGTGTGTGCAAGCCAGAGGACGGTTGTGCCGAGACGTGCCAGAACCGAATCATGCTCTATGAATGCGACGACACAAATTGCAACATCGGAAGGGCCCACTGCACGAACCGGGCCTTTGCCGAACTCACAGCTCGTCGAAACAGGGGCGGAAAATATCGCGTTGGAGTTGAGGTCATCAAGACGTCGGACCGCGGCTATGGTGTCCGCAGCAACCGCTGCTTCGAGCCTCACCAAATCATCATGGAGTATGCGGGCGAGATCATTACCGAAGAGGAATGCGAGCGACGAATGAATGAAATCTATAAGAATAACGAAGTAAGCAGAGACTCAAAGCAAGCAACGCAAGGCCGGGCTAACATACCTTTCTTCTACCTTGTCAGTGCTATTATTTGATGAGTTTTGACCAAAACATGATTATTGATGCCACCACGGGCAGTATTGCTCGATTTGTAAACCATAGTTGCAACCCCAACTGCCGAATGATTAAATGGATCGTCTCGGGGCAGCCTCGAATGGCTCTCTTTGCCGGTGACAGGCCAATCATGACCGGTGAGGAGCTCACGTATGACTACAACTTTGACCCCTTTTCGGCAAAAAATGTCCAAAAGTGTCTCTGCGGACAGCCCAACTGCCGAGGTGTCCTGGGACCCAAGCCCAAGGGCGTCAAGCCCATCAAGGAGAATATCAATGTTGCCACCAAGGGCAGGGGCAAGGGCAAGGGGGGAAAGGGAAAGCGGAAGCTCAAGGAGCTCAGTGGGAACGAACAGAACATGGAGCCAGGCGCCAAGAAGCGCAAGATGCAGCAGTCCAAACCGAAGCCCATCCGGACTCTCAAGGCTGTCAAGGCTCTGAAGCCACTCAAGACACACAGGCCTGCCAAAGCCCTGAAGCCCGCCAAAGAGCTGAAGTCTGTCAAGGGTTTGAAGGCCGCCAAAACCCTCAAACCCATCAAGGTGGTGAAAGCAAAGCCTGCCAAAGCTTCAAAGCCCAAAAAGGCCGTCCGCGTGGCCAAGACTGCCAAAAGGCCATATTCAAAAGTCAGCATCAAGGTCAAGGCCCCGGTAAAGGCCAAGCGCCAGCAAAAGAAGACGGAGATCAGCGCATCAATCACCGTCAGCGCAGCCGCCGAAATTACCGCCATCGTCTGAGCGGAAACCAAGCCTGCATGGCTATCCTGTTGTCCCTAGGACGAACAATGCGATTCAACACGGCTTCCCGAAGCCCCCCTCTGTGTACATTTTAGACACTGCCTGTGGCTTCTCTTGTTCGCCACTGCATTTCGCTCCGGAGTCCGGACTCTTTTACGGTCGTACCGGACATCCATTCGTTATCTCCCGGTAGGCAGTCGGTTCTATATGCCCTGGAGTAACACCTTTGTTATCTTTAACTTTTTTGGGGGGTTGGGGGGAGGATAAGGTCACTGATAGATTTTACCTTGTTTTATCTCACTTCTCTGTAATTTTTTTTCTTTTTCTTTTTTTTTTCAACTGGTGGAGGATCAATTTCGTGCGCAAAGGTAAGGGGGGGATGAGTTGCAAAAAAGGGTTTGCTTTCAAGTTTTTGCTTTCTGTTTTCGTCTTTGTTATCGTAGTAAAGTTTTGGAGTTTGGGATGGTAAACATGGTTTCGGCGATAATGAGAGCTGATGATTCGGGTATTATCTTCATCTTGGTAGTCAAATGTGACCGTCTTGTTCTCAGTGCTTGAATGACTGTGAGGTGATGAGGCTCTTGCACATTCAAGCTATAAGGCTTGCGTATCCAGGTAGTAGAAGTAAGTTTGCAAGGCGACCAGCTCGTATCTGTTCACCTTTCATCCGTTCACGTTAGCCAACCTGAAATGTAGGTAGAATCTCGATGCACGAGGCGATCAAAGGAGAGTACTGTACCTAACTGGTTCGGTCAGTCAAAGAAACTGGGTGAACAACACTTGGAAGGTACAGTGTTTTCGACACCTCGTGATGTTGCTGGACGGGTATCCTCAGTACAAGATCCTTTGTTACAGTAGTCGAGGACAACGCAAAACGGAAGCATTCTGCCATCTGTCTGTCGTTAGTTCCAGCATGACTTCGTATTTGTAATGGCGGTACGGACTCAACTAGGATAGTTTTTGGGTGTCTTGCCTCGAGCTCGACATCCACACCAGGCCGAGGTGTTCAAGCAGCTCGTTTCTTTGTGGGCTACGGCATGTTTGACGGCAGAGCCAGCCTTTGTCTCACTGTTCAGGTGCCGTGTCCAGCCAACCTATGCGAAACAATCAAAACACTACCGTTAGCTATCGTAGCATAGTTCAAATAGTAGCCAAAAGCTGGCAAATCGGCGCCTTCAGATTGAAGCGCATCTTCCATCTGACATTGACCAATTCCCAACCCAAGTCAAGTCATCAAGGTTGTTTTTCTCTCGCTATTTAGCTTACCAGGAGACTGTGCCCGGCCGAATTTGCACTCTGATACTGTTGGAGATGCTCACAGTTGAACATCACGGTGGAACGAGCCCCGTCTCTGCAGCGATTCGAATATATTTTGATTGGAGCTGGTTTGAAATCCTCGGTCTGGTGTTTATTGATTTCGAGGCATCTAGGAAGGCTTCTTGTCTCTAGAAGGGTCCAAATAGGTGTCTAGAATTTTTCGTCATGTTACCACTAGGTTGGGAGCATGGACGAAGACGAGGAGCGCGGCTTAGGAATTGCCGGTAACTGTCAGATGCTTTTCCTGCATGCAGAAGCTGCCGTTAACATTCCAGGAGAGCCCTCAACAGACTGATTATTCCCGTCATTACCTTCCTTCAGGTCACTTAGATTCTCACCTAGAAAAAGCAGAGATCCCCATGAAAAACAAAGAACAAACTCCCCAGCAAGGAGAGACTGTAGCCATCAGGAAGGAGGGAACACTATTCGCTCGCGACAACCGCAGTGCGAGACGACAAAAAAACGAGACGAAAGGAAGACTGATTTTGGTAGGAGTAGGTAGAAGAAGAAAAGTTGGTAGAAGTTTTCGCAGCCTGCAATGAGGGGGGGAGAGTTGAAATTTCTAGCTACAATGTGCAGGAAGGTGCACTCTATAGTGCAGCTGCCATCCAGAACTGCCATCCAGTTCCACGCCAACTACCGCTTGAATTTGCGTCACCTTTTTTTTCCTGTGTCAGATATTTTCTATGAACTCGGCGATGTTCCTTAAATGCTACGATAGATGGTCACATTTATTCAGAAAGATTTGTGACATACTAATGGGATATGGATATCTTGTCATCACAGCTTACACTGGCTGTTTTCGGTGATGTACGGTATCTTTACTCTATTACAGGTAGGTACCTGTACCTTATATTCTAGCGTACAGTGCCAAGGAGTAACATCCCACCTGCAATATCAAGCCCACCATATCCTACATTGTCCCGCCGAAAACCGGCTGCAATATTGTAAACAATGATCTGCGATACTTGCGTCGTTGCATCCTTTGAGCAGCTAGGTGGAGAAGAAAAAAGTACAAGCAAAAAAATTGAAAAAAACGCAAAAAAGAAAGGTTGAATGCCGTAACGAGGAATCGAACCTCGGTTTTCAGTGTTTCGCTAGGTCCACAAACTGATGTACTGTCCACTATACTATTACGGCTAGAGGATGTGATGCTCAGTGGGGAAGATTTGTAGTCTATAAAGGTTACCGGTACAAAGCCCTAATCATGAGGGGCGCTTCTCATCAGTTTGCCTCATTTGCATGATCATTTTATTTTTGCAGACATGGATGCATTTCTCAGGGCCATGTCAATAATGCAACCAGCTATTAATGTGCAGCTTTTGAGGTCGCTTTAGTCTGCTACCTCTCTTCTCAAAGCCCGTGGCTGGGCGACTTCTCCATAGGTACTGTACCTATACCCACGTAGAATGGATACCTCATGCTTCATAGTAGAGCAAATCACTCGGACTCCGATTTTGATCATCCTTCTTGCGTACTGCCATCTCTCAATTGCTTCCTATAACAAGGGAAGCCAACGCTTCAGCAACAGATTGATCCACCAAATAGTAAAGGATCCAACATTCATTCATTGTCGTCTGTGGATATCTTGTTCTCTCGCAAACTTCACATCGCTATAGGGTAAGCTATGATCATCCACTTCACAAAGGTGTCACTTTCGTGTAATGCTCTTCATGCTTTGCGGCCTGATTTTCAGCTCTGGCCGAATGTAGTAATATGGCGTCTTGGTATTACTACTCCGTTCCCGTAGCTGATGTAATAACACGCGGCTGCCAGGCAGCTAAGACATCTCCCTGCATAAAATGGGTTACACGGACGTGAGTGCTAGCATCGAGCTGAGATCCAATCCCTGGCAGTCAGAGAAAGGTTGGAGTTCCCTACCCCCTAGCATTGAGACGGGAGTGGTTAGCCGAAGCGCAAGTTGAGATGAGCAGAGACCTTATGCGATGAGCTCGACAGTCGCTTGTAGTGTGAAAGTAGCAAGCTTAGGCATGGTGTGATAGCTGAAAACACTCCTTGCTTCCCGTCACCAAATGAGGCTATCCCTGCATAGAGTGTCTCTGGCTAGTACAGTGGCAGCTGAGGTGACCCCTGTTGAACTGAAATGATCCTTTTGTTCATGTCTCCTGCCAAGGACGACGCTGCTCTATCAGCACCCCTACGTATGCATCTCCGGGTTCAATGATCGACCAGGATTGGGGCTGTCTGTGTGATGCTGTGCCGCTCTTTTCTCGGATTACAGCCCAGGATATTTGGTGGAGGTATAAGGGGCGACGAATACGGAAAGAAAACAGACCCCGTGGTGCGGCAGCCCGGGATTCTTCCCTGCTTCTTGTCCCGATCCATGCAAAGATGGCGACAAAAGTGGCCGTTTAGACCCGTTCATGTGGCTGTGATAAGTTCAAGGTGCAAGACCCAACAGTTACTCGGCGGGTTTATGCATGCGCGTACTGTAACACAGATGGACATATGATTACAACCTGTATACATCGTAGTTTCTATACTTGGAAACGCAGAACCAGCGGTTTACCTTCAGATGGGCCGGGCAAATACTTCAACGGGAGAGGAATCTACCTCACTCGTAACTTTATTTAAAGGTACGTTTAGCAGTCATTAAAATGTACCGAGTTTATTGTTGAGAGACCAAAGGCCCACGAAAGACGGCTGTAGCGCCAACTTACTATATAAGGTATTTCTTACCCCAATGATCAGGCTAGAAATGCAGGAGACAAGAGCACGACTTGTATACGTGTCAGTCGGTGGTAACACTACGCAGTAGATGTGCATTTAGTGTGGTTGAATCTCCGAAATCCTTGTCATTGCCTAGAGTGAATTCTCCTCCCTAATCTCGCAAGTGTTTGTATAGATCATCGTAGAAAGAGCTTTGTCTGGTAGCTCTCCCTACGGCCTACGACCCCATGCCACCTTGTTTGAACTTGGTCAATTTACTGACAAAGCGTCTGGAGAGTTCAACTCGGAAGTATAGTTACGTGCAATAGCAGTCCAAATGGATGGCGCACCCTCCGTAGTCGACCTAGACCACCATCTCATCTGGGACAACTATGTAATCCCTATCCACCGAGTGGGGGCTGCGGCTGGCGGATCCAGGAACGATAACCCCTTGATGAGTCCGATCTGGTTGGCTCAGTGCTGTGGATCTAGATTCAGCCCGGGAATCATGATCACCATGAGCCAATTATAATGTCTAGCAGCAATGATGTTACCTGTGAGCATGGGCCCCTGATATTGGCCTCTTATGAGGCCGCATATCAAGGCTAAGCAGCTGACCGGACTGATGGTTCCAAAAGCGGTGGTTGAGAATTCAGAGCTGATGCTCCAAGTATTGATGTAATGCTTCTCTTCTGGACCCCTCACATATACTTATCACTGCAGGGCGAAAATTGGCTACGGTAAAATAATTTGCTTCGACCGGATAGGACCAATTCCTCGTATCGACCAAAATAACCACGACTGTTGGTCTGTTCGATGGAGCGTTTTGTGCTCCAAAGGTCCGAGATGTTTTCAGCCACTTACAAGAGTTCCATATATGTGATTGGATACCCCTCAATAATGGAACAAAAAATATTGTATGTTTCTTATTCAGTTTATATCAGAGGACATGCGATTCCTCTCCTGTGGCATCCTATAATGCGGTGTCATCAACAAGGAGACCGACAAACAGAGTCCTCAAACTTTTCCCTCTTCGTCACTCGTTCATCATGAGCGAGTACGAACGTATTTTCATGGATCCTTGTTTGGCCTAGACCGTCATGGCCCAGCCAATCTCCTCTTGGCATCCAGACATGATCGAAAATGACCGCGCACGAAGCAGCACGCCCTGTCGTATCTACGCTGGGATCGTGACACAGCTTGATATTAGATATCCACAACACCACTGGAAGTATGGCAATCGGTCAAATCAGAAGACGAAACAAGATATAGCCGGGCCAGTGAGATTGGAGCGAGAGGGGTATAGCCACTATGCTGTGTTGCCAAGTTCATCTCCCTAACCAGGGAGAAGCTACTGCGCAACGGGTGTAGAAATACGGTCTCTTTCAATGCGTCCTTCAAGTATAAGTAGGCCGTCTGTCTCCCACATGAACTCTTCTTCTTTCTTAGTCGTCAGACAAACACTCCAATCTCTGTAACAAAACTTCCAACACCTTGCGCTCCTACCTTTGAGTCATTCGTTGATACAATCCACCATTCCTGCAAATATGAAGTTCTTCACCATCGCCACTCTCCTCGCTGCTGTTGCCGTTGCCCATCCTCTCGAGGACGCCGGCCTCGAGCTTCGCGCTGGTGGCGATAACAACAACACTCCCACCGACCGTCCTCACCTTTGTCCCCAGGGACTCTACAGCAACGCCCAGTGCTGTGATGTTTTTCTCCTTGGCATCATTGGCCTCGACTGCAAAACCCGTAAGTTAAGCACCCAGTGAAGAATAGCCTTGAAATTCCACCCCTTCTCATACGTTTTCTCCAGCAAGCGGAAAGGTTTATGACGCCAATGACTTCAGAAAGGAATGCGCCAAGACCGGTGATAAGCCTCTCTGCTGCGTTGCCCCCGTTGTAAGTGACTCCCATTCAAGTCTGCACTTGCTCAATAACCTCCTAACATCGCATCTAGGCTGATCAGGCTATTTTGTGTCAACCCGCTCTAGATGTTTAATAAGTTCTCGTTAGTGGTGCCCATGATGAGCTCATATTGTGTTGCTGAATGCCAATCTTGAGGCTGGGAAATTTGGCTGGGGAGATTGGGAGAAACTAGTGGGCATAGATATGTCGATCAAATTCTATCCGTACGCGTATTACTTATAATAACTTGAGTACATTTTAATAATGCCACCTGTGAGCCAAGAGGCTGCTGTGAGACTCTGATTAAGATGAAGCTTGCTTACCAACTCCTGACCTTTGAGACCATCGTAGTTGGATAGCTGTTCCGTTTTTTGTATATGATGAGACGATACCTCTCAAGATCCATTAAAAATTATTGAGATTTCTTTAGGTGTCAATCTTGAGGAACTGCCGTAGAAGTTTAACAATGAAGAAAAAGTACAAGGAAGAAATGGAGTTTTGAATTGAGGATATTCGGGATCTGGGCTATGTTATGATGGAATTGATGCAGCATAATGCCGTCAATACTTGTCCGCAACCACGTCAACATCGTCAGTCTCGGAGTTGAAGGTTCGTTTCCTCGCTAGTTGTTTCAAAGCACCCATTTCTCAAGTATCAGTGGTAAAGCGTAGTGTCTCTAATGCAAAGTAAGCAAAAGGATGAGCCCTAGGCTCGGACCAGGCGTCCTTGAATGTGGTGGGACCGTGCCATGCTTCTCCAATTTCATCTTCTATATAACAACCCCTCCCCACCTCGAGGTATGCGAGACAGGCGCGCCAGGATTCATGCGAGTGCTTCATCGGGTTGCCGTACGATATTTGCGTGATGGTTGGTTATCATGGCTGATTATCCTGCCTTGCGGAGCCCAGTAGACGCGGAGCTTGATCGCTCTCCGATATTCGACTGCCACATGAATTAGCCATCCCCACTCCAACATCTGTTTCGTCTCCATGGTCCAAACTCGAGCCCAGGCAGCCGCTAAAAGGAGGCGAGATCCAGACGATCAAGGGCTGTTTCATGAACCGCCGACAGGCCACAACTGACAATGAGCAGACCGGGACGCCCCAGCGCGCAAGCGCCAACGTCGAAAGACACATCCCGAGTCATTGAAGGAACCACCTATGCAAGGCGAAGGCCGAAAGCGAGCCATTGAACATACACACGATCTTGATCTCCAACCGTCTCCGCAGCGGCAGATGCTGAAATCGTCTGTTCCCGGGACGTTCGGCAACTCTGTGGCCGACAAAGCGGACACCAACCACCCGATCGATTACTGGAGAAGAGGAGGACGTTGACCTCCTCAATACTACGAGCCCGACGATCAGAAGCCGCGCGAAGAGAAAAGTGCTCAGTATCAAGATCAACGTTACGAGGCACTACTTGCCACCAAGGGCAGTTTCATGGTCAAATCGAAACTAGACGTTACCAGCGAAGGCAAAAGTCTCTGCAACAATCTGCTTGAAAGGCAGCAAACAGTTCCCGAGAACTCGCTGTTCCGCCATGACCTTTTCGACTCGGACTTGTCAAAAGATCCGCAACAGAAACGAAGCCCGAGTCCTCCAGGACATTTCTCGGCTCATTGTCCCTTCTGCCGAGAGTCTTACGACATACGGTGCTGAGCACCTCGAGATCCTATCGGAGAGTGTCAACGAAGGCTGGAACAACTCGATCCCTCTGACTGGGACGCGTCCGCAGCCGGACCATTCCGTTGGGTTTCAACGAGAAGCATTTACTGAGGAATAGCTGGAGAAGTTGTCGCTATTTATCGGCGACTTTATCGCCGGTAACTTATCCTAGTTTATGGCCACCTACTACATGTACTTTCCTTCCTCGCGTGTGAGGTCAAGTGCGGAGCTGCCGTACTGGATGTTGCGGACCGCCAGAATGCTCACAGCATGACTCTCGCGGCACGAGGTATCGTCGAGCTCTTCCGTCTTGTGAAGCGAGAGAATGAGGTTCACCGACAGATCCTTTCTTTCTATGTCTCACACGATCACCGGTCGGTGCGGAGCTATAGCTACTACCCGGTGATCGATGGGAAGGATGCGAAGTACTACCGCCAGCCTGTCCACGAGTTTTCCTTCGCGGCGCTCGAAGGCAAGGATAAATGGACTGCATATCAGTTCACCAAGAATGTTTATGACACTTGGAGTCCAGCTCATTTTAAGAGAATCCGCTAGGCCATCGACCAGTTGACCTCCCAGGTGGACTTTGACGTCCAAGCGCTTTCCGAGTCGACCGGCCTCTCTCAGCGATTGGAGAATCTTGCGCGGCCGACGGACTCTGCACCGCTACTTGTAGAGGATGAGGATCAGGCTAGCAAGGCTTACCAGATGGACACTCCGGCTACGTCCTTTTCGAAAATAGAGCTTGCGAAAAGGAGGAAGAGGTTCCTACGAGACTCTGCACCCCATATGTAGAAAGAGTATACCAACACTGGGATCCGAAATCACGTCGGCTGATAATCTATTTTAACCAACCTAAATTTGTCATCGAGATAATTGCACACAATATTTCCTAGGCCGTCCCGGATTCTGGGTGAATGTCGATATTTGCCTTATATTTAGGGACTACGCTTAAACATATTCGTTTACGTGCTATATGAATAGGGTAGTATCGCGTGTCTTTTATGATATGAGTTTCTATCCTGCAACTTAGGCCTAATAGCCTCTCATTTAAGTCGACATACAGGTAATGTTGGTGTAGGAGCTGTGTTGCAACTATGTGCGTTAACCGGCATACTCGCGACCAGGATGATAATCTGGGACATAAACTGTAGCAGATTTACATGGGATGCCTAAATTTATTACAAAAAGTGTCATTTTATTTGGTAACTTCTGCTGATCTTGGCCTTTGTGAAACTGTTTTCCTACCGAACATCTCGTCATGGAATAGGATCCTCTCAGCCACGCTTCACCGAAGCTAAGTCGCGCCACGCCGGCTAAAACGCCAAAGTGTAAAAAAGGCAGCCAACATCATACTCATTTTACCCACTTGCGCAAGGAGGAAAAAGAAGAAAAATTCTCATTTCATCCACTTTGGCATCTTTAGCTGTAGGGCTGCTCGGTGATGTCCCACTCGCCATTCATGAGGCGATAAGCACTGCCCCCCTGCAGGTACGGTCAAAGCCTCATCTATTGAGAGCCGCAAAATATGGATCAGCTGCGACCTCCTTTCTTGAAAGAAAATCAGCACTAGCTTATACATCCTTTGCATGTGAAAACACTGGCTTCTAGTTGTGAGTAATTTATTGTGTTTGTAGGAGGACATGTTGAGTCACCACCAAGCCTCGTGGCTTACTTGCGTTCTTGTATGAGTAAGTAGGCACAAAAAGTTGCTTAACACAGAGGTATATTGTATAAAGCAATGTATATAACTATATATCTACCTAATAAATCGTGGACCCAAAACAACAAGAATCCACCATCCAGTTCATCAACCAGGGAAAAGGCCCGCATCATGTAGCAAGTTGGTGTGCCGTCTCCAATTGGGCAGAGTAAGCTCCATTCTCTGCTCCAAATTATGTCGCGATCTTTCAAAACTCCCAATGTTTGCGAACACTTTTCGGGTTGCTGTTGAAGAGCGGCATGAAGACGGAGATCGTTGCGATGGACTGAATGCAATGTTGGTGACCCCCCTTCTCCTTCTCTTTCACATCCCCTCCAAACGATATACAGTGAAGATATTGCATAAAAGAGCGAACGCTCCAAAAAATTGGAACTAGGGTATATATGCAAAATGAACTCCAGAGATATGCCGACGAAGATTGTCCCTCCCGTATCATTTTGGCTTAGCAGGACCCACGGTGTCTACAGAAACAACACAACTATCGCAGCGTGGATGTTGGCATTGGTGCTCCGGACACTGCACATCTATTTCGTACAGCAGATTGCCCATACCGCATTGGCAACATTGCCAAGTGTAAACCACAGGCTGGGCCATTTTGGATGGAGCGAGGAGCGGTTCGAAAGGCGGTTCGAGAGGCAGTTTGAGAGGCAGTTTGAGAGGCAGTTCGAGAGGCGGTTCGAGATGCGGTTCGAGACTTGTCTCGAGAGTCCTTGTACTGAAGGCAGTTGAGTTGTTGGTATAAGTGGAAGAATTGCTTGCGATGTTGTGGAATGATAAGAGGGCGTATTGCCGTAGAATTGCAGTCTTATATTGGTATAAGTGAAAGAATTGATTGCGATGTAATTGATTGCGATGTTGTGGAATGATGAGAGGATGTATTGGCAAAGAATCGAGTCTTATATAGTATTCAACAACCACCTGGGATACGCATGCGCAAAAGGCAAAGGGAAAGGCGAATAGCCGGCAACATGATGGATCTCTTGAGAGGTTTCGGTCTGCAACTTCTCCAGTGGGCAGGCATCCGGTGGCTTGCCGGCCGAAAATTGTAATAACGCTATCGTCTTGACTGGCGAGGAGCGGTTAGGATTGGGTGCTCTGCCGCCGAATCCTAAGAGAACGAACAGCGACAGAGGTATAGGAGACGTAATAGACTTGTTTGGCGCCATCAAACTGTAGAAAAGGCGCGTGCATGGCGCAGCTGCTCGCCTCGCATATCCCAGGAAGCCTTGCAGGGAGGCGTCGTCAGGTGAAGAGTTTTCTCCATTTTTCCGCAATGACGATAGAGTATTGGCTTGAAAAAAAGTAGGCAAGTGTTGTTTGTATGGGCTGCTCATACTCAGCGAGACATTTGGTACGCCCATATGATTGCCATGCTGTCGCCGATGCTGTTCCGACCGACGAGGCTACATGAGCTCGGATCACCTCGAGTTACCCCTAGCAAGGCAACGGATCTGCGAGGGCTCAGAGTCTTTCATTTTGCTCCCATCTGCTTCCTCTTCTTTTATTCTTTGCTCTGTGTAGTCTCAGGGAATGAAGATACCCTTCTTGTCACTCAGTCGTGTGGCTCGGAGAGGAGAGCTACTCCCGGAGTCTAAGAGAATTCGAGAAGTAGGAGCCCTCATTGAGAGTTTCTAATAGAGTATGAGTGATGTGTCTTTATCTGGGACTTGGTATCGTACTCATCTACTGAAGGCTTGCACAAGCTGGGAAATCTTGAGCTGATGCCTTTATTCACACAGGAGCAGGAAGCTGCTGCAGCGACAGCATAAGAAACGAACAAGCATCTACGAACATAAAGAGCATAGATGGGTGGGTATTTATATGATATGCAGAATGCGAGCAGCTTCCAACTGCAGCTGTCACAAGAGGTTGGAGAGCCTCATGATGCATTGCATGCAACCCTTGCAGAGAGCCTCGATTTCAAAGCCCTGCCTGCGTGGCAACGTGAGCGGTAATGAATGGACCGATGCTCAGGCAGGCCTAAAACAAAACCAAGTCGCAACGGACATGTGGCTGCAGCGGGCTACGTGAAGGAATCCGAAGGTGTTGGCACCTTGTCCTGTTGGGGCATTTTTGGATGAAAACAGCCTTGAAGCCTCGCCCAGAGCCGCATTTGTTTTGGCTACCGAGGTGTGGGGGCGGGGGGAAGGAATAGGACAGCAGGAGGAGAAGATGAGAGAAGAAGAAACGCTATTAGAAATATGAATAATGATAACAGTAACAACATGAAGGTATCATGGCTTCATGAGTCGATATACATCGATATACTGTACTCGATACCTTAAGGACAGGCAGGGATCAAATTCCACTGCCGCCTGCCGGTATTGTTAGGACGTTCCTGCTATAATAGTGGGTTAGGCGCTGCAAGTTTAAATGAGCTGTCCGAGCTTAGCAAGGAAGGCAGGCATGGGTCAAGTGTATGACGTCAACTAATAGCACTGTGCACTGCCACCTAGTATTCAGCTCAGGTTTAGCACAGTAACCCAGTGCGAATTTCTATCGATTAGCCTTCTCCCGCTGCCGGGATCATCGCCAAGTAAGATTGCAAACAATTGTCCATCCTCTTTGCAAGTTTCATACTCGAAACACCAGCCAAACAAGAGCAGAGCAGAGCAGAGGGCTGCGGTCATGATGCCGCCATGTCGCGTCCGCATCACAGCAGTCGCTCCGGCACGCGATGGGCAGTGCGAATCATTCCCTTGTTCATCGTTGGCATCCTAGCCGTGGCCACTTACGCCGTCGTTGGTCGTCTCTGCAGTAAGTTTAATCGATTCTCTTCTCTCCTAACTATAAATGAAGACGAATTCCTGAATTCCTCCTAACCTGCTGTCCGTCTGTCTATCTAGTCAGCTACCTCTACAAAAAAAAGGGCCAGGATGGCGTCGTCACGGCATTCCTCGTCCTCTATTTCCTTTTCTTCCTATTAATGGCCGCCGCCTACCTACGAACCTTCTTTACAGTCCAACTAAACCCAGGCGTCGTCCCTCTGGCCCCCGAAGACCAAACCGAGCGCGAAGCGGCCGAGAAAGTACGAAAGCGACACAAACGCAACCGAGATGTTGAGGAAAGGGCATATGTGCCTCCGGATCCAAACCCGGACAGCCCCGGACTCGAGGCCTTCTACAGCAAAGATGTGTTTATATGCGAGGTCGACGGTCGGCCTAAGTGGTGTTCAGAGTGCCAGCAGTGGAAGCCCGACCGTTCGCATCACTCAAGTGATCTTGGCCGCTGCGTCAGGAAGATGGATCATTTCTGCCCGTGGGTTGGCGGCATGGTCTCCGAGACTTGTGAGTTACAGATTTTCCCCTTTCCGCAGTAACAAACAAGTCTTGTTCTGTATGGATGGCCACGAGAGAGAGAGTCTGGAGATTTAACAAAGTTCCGTCCTTTGTGGGAAATATAGCCTTCAATTTCTTTACGCAGTTCTGCTTCTATTGCGGCCTCTTCTGCGCCGTAGGCCTCGCCGTCGGAGCATATTCATTTCAACAACACCACAAAGATGGAGACCCCACCGATGGATGGGCTCTCGCAACAATCGTTTTAGCCTGCGTTTTCGGTACCTTTGCCTTTGGCATGGCGCTCACTTCGTTCCGCTTCATCCTCTCAAACACTACAAACGTCGATATGCTTAAGAGGTCAAGTACGCTCACCGTGGCTGTCCGTATCCCCCATTCCACTCCCCCCTCGGACAAATATCCCGTCATTGTATATCCCCTCCGTGGGCCGCCGCGGCGACCAGGCTCCGAGGGCCAGCAGCTGCATAATAATCACGGTCCCATCTCGGCCAGGGATCAGCTGGCAGAGCGCAAGTTTGCCATCCTCCGCACAAAGCCGCGGGAAAACCCTTGGAATCTGGGAGCCAAGGAAAACTGGAAGTCCGTCATGGGAGACAATTTCCTGGAGTGGATGCTTCCTATCCGACACTCGCCGTGCTGCAACCATGAAAACATGGAGAGTGACTACAAGTTTGGTCCTCTGATAGCCAAACTGAGGAAACGATATGGCGTCCCCGAGCTTGAAGCCCCTTCCCGCGGCGGTCATGGCATCGAATTACAGGAGAGGGGAAGCCGGCGTGCCAGTGATTGATTATTGATTGATTGACCCACTAATTCTCTTTTATTATTCCTTACTGCCCTACTACCATGATCCCTCTGGACTACTTACTGTTTCTATTATGTCTTTTTGTTTCCCCTATGGCGCTGTTTAGATTGGCTCTTTAGCACGCATTTGTTACCCTCTCTCTTCTGTTTCCGTTTGTTTTATTCATGCTGGTGTTTATTACTATGACGGGCATAGACATGGGGCCCTTTGTGTAAAACGTCCCTCCTTCGTACAATACATGTACATACCTAATTTATGAACACGACCAGGCAAGGTCAGCGGGGGAGTTTTCATTTACATGTCCAACTGGCTGGGGCTGGATGGGAAAACGCATCAAAAGGTTCATATGCGGAGCATGAAACATTATTAGCCGGCGACGCGATGCGGCCGACGACGATGCATGCTCAATAAACAAATACTAATTCCTTGGTATCTCTTTACGACTGGTCAGTTTTGACGCAGGCCACTCCTCCTCCAAAGAGAAGCGGACACATTTCTCGTGCATGCTGCTGCTGCTACCACCCTACATGCCAGTCGAGTACATACGCAGCATCGGGTCTGGAGCAACGGATAATTTTAACGTCCTGTTGAATGAACAATAAAGGCATACAACTTGCATCCGGGCGGTTCAGCCTATTAGCTCCATGCACGATGCCCAAACCGCCGGGAAATTCCAAATCTGCCAGCTTCAACGGTCTCCCTCGTGGACCGGTGAGACTCCCGCCCTCATCCAGGGAGGAATGGATGGACTAACCGCCGCCCTATATGAGGCATCGTATATGCAGAGCCAATGACGGTCCAACGTGGAGAAAGACCTTTCGTGATATCGCCTCATCGCCGCTCCAGGCTTGCTAATTTGTCTCTCATGCATTGCTGCACGACCGCTCTCTGATTCGCCCCTTCTCGCATCACCCCCCCTGTCCATCGTGCATGCACGCCATGTCAAGGGAGGGGTTGGGCTTTTCCCTCACGATGCGGCAGTTGATATGATGTACTAGCCGTTATGATCGCATCCGCAAGAATCTGCTGGACACGTCTTCATGGTGTTATGCGCCTAACGATACATACCTTTGCTCAGCCTTTTTTTTTTTTTTTTTTTTTTTTTTTTTGGTGCGGTCGATTCACCATCTGAGTTTCCGAGGGGTGCCTCTGGCGAGGAATGAGACATGTGAGCAGGATTTCTCATATCGAAACAACAGCTGGCAAGGGGGCAGCGAGCGAGCACAACTCTTTACATCCACCGAAAAATCCTCCCAAAAATCAGCCACCTTCCTTTCTAGATTGGCCTCCCCCAAAAGACGATTCTTGTGTACCCCAAGAGTTTGGGGGCAAAAACAGACGATTCCTCTGAAAGGAGCGCTATTTGGCAGCCTGTGCTTGGCCTGATTCTTGCCCTGAATTCGCAGAGTAATTGTCCGTCTGTGAGTTTATCGACTTGGACTGTGCACAGACGGTAGGGCTAACCTGGAAGGCTGAGGCAGATTGAATTTCAGATAGAGTTTAGAGTCCTGTATGATATGGATCATTGGGTAAACCTACTCAAAAAGGCGCAATACGTGTTCAATAGCATGCTGATTGATATAACGACCTCTAGTCGAGCAACTAGCATCCGTCATTTTCTTCGGCTACCGCAGAGTACGGACAGATTGGTGTAACCAAACATCCCGAAAAAAGTCTCACTCGACTGTTTTACTACGTACCTCTTTGCGATGTCTTCTCCAACATCGTCTACCGCGTCGGGCAGAATCACGGACGAGCGCATGATGCACCTCCGTGCCGAGTCCAAGCTCCGACAAAAGCTCATACAGGCCATCGAGAAGACGGCAGAACAGCTACAGATTGTGCGCGAACAAATCGACCTACTAAGGAACCAGCGGTTCGAGATCGACAGGCAAATCATGACATACGAGACTAGATTGCGCCTGAGGGCCGAGGTGCAGGATAATGTTGATGCCAAGGAGAGCGAGGCCGAGGAGTTGAGGGAGCAGCTCGCCACGGCGGTGCATGAGCTTGAAGACTATGACGAGACGACGCAGCTCAAGTCCAAGGATTTGTCGTCTGCTGCCTCTGATGAGGAATACTGATGCTTGAATAGCTGGGAAATATAGCGAGGATCTCGGTGATCACTTTCTTCATCAATACACTTCATCAGGACGTGATGAAGAAGCCAAAGGATAGGATAAAGCGTTGTCCTCCCGAGTAAAAACTAAATAGTATTCTTCTCCCCCAGAGATTCGTCTTCTTGTTTGCAATTCTGAGAGAAGCAAAAATAAATAAATCCGGTACTGGACATCAGCCTCGCTTTGTTGCAGTGATACTCCGTAAGTGGTGCCGAGATTAGGCAGATGAGATGTCTTGCATAGCAGTAGCCCGTCCCTTGCCTGTAGCTCTTTGATGTGGGTCGCTCCATAATACCTGTATTGCTGTAGTACCGATTAAGGGAAACTCCGACTTTGACATCGCGTTGTTGCGAGTATCGACTAAATAAATCGCCGCCGTTCACGTGTTGATGCATCTCATCTCATCCTCAACTTCCAACTTCAATGAATCCGTCTCATCATTATTCAGCATCGCCAGTTTCTTGGTCCTTGTCCCATGCCGTCGCCGTCACCCGGTAGCGGCGCATCTTCGCCGCTGCGCGATGCTCGTCGTTCACGCTTCACATACCGGCAGCTTGCTCAGCTGGCGACTTACAGCACAGCCACTCCTCTGCGTGTTGTTGCTCATATAGACCTCGATGCATTCTATGCACAGTGTGAGATGATTAGACTCGGCGTCCCGGAAGACAAGCCCCTCGCCGTGCAGCAGTGGTGAGATATCCTCTACTCACTAAGCGCGTGAAGTGTAAATGAAGAGAATGAGACTGACCGGCTGTTGCACCCCAACTGCAGGCAAGGACTCATCGCCGTCAACTATCCCGCAAGGAAGTGGGAGATTGGACGTCACTGTAATATCACCGAGGCCAAGAAGCTGTGCCCGGAATTGATTGCACAACACGTCGCCACTTGGAGAGAAGGCGACGACAAGTGGGCGTATCGAGATGATGCGGCTGCAAATATTGCAACGGACAAGGTGTCTCTTGATCCGTACCGCTTGCAATCGAGGAAAATTCTGGCATTGGTCAAGGATTCCCTGCCAAAGGACCTCCAGAAAGTCGAAAAGGCAAGCATCGATGAAGTTTTCCTAGACCTCTCGGCCCAAGTTCATTCGGAACTTTTGCGCCGCTTTCCAGAGTTGTCGAGTCCGCCTCCATCCGGTGATGTAGCTGAAAGCCTTCCTTTCCCGTCTGCTGCTGCCCTCGACTGGCGAAATGACAACCTTGTTGTGCTTGACGAGGACCAGGAAACTCTCGACCCGGACTGGGACGACGTGGTCATACTGCTGGGTTCTGAAATCGTCCGTGGCGTTCGCGCGGAAATACGGGAAAAACTGGGATATACCTGTTCCGCTGGCATCGCGAATAACAAGCTGGTCAGCAAGCTAGGCTCGGCTTTCAAGAAGCCTAATGCTCAGACAGTTGTACGCAGCCGAGCTGTGCTGCCATTCCTGACAGGAATCAAAGTCACCAAGATGCGGAACCTTGGAGGCAAGCTGGGAGATCAAGTTGTTTCTACATTCGGCACAGAGAGTGTCAAGGAGCTGCGCGATATCCCGCTGGACCAGATCAAGGCGAAGCTCGGCGACGAAACCGCCGTCTGGCTCTACAACACCATCAGAGGAATCGATCTCAGCGAAGTGAATTCGCGAACTCAAATCAAATCTATGCTCTCGGCCAAGTCATTCCGCCCCTCGATCAAAACTCCGGAGCAGGGAATCAAGTGGCTCCGGATTTTTGCGGGCGACATCTATTCCCGCCTGGTTGAAGAAGGCATACTGGAACACAAGAGGTGGCCACGCACAATCAATCTTCACCATCGGCACGCTGGACAAACGCGCAGCAAGTCGAGCTCGATCCCCTCAGGCAAACCCCTGGATGAGCAAGCCCTCTTCGCCCTTGCTAAAGAGCTATTCTATCAAATCATTGCCGAGGGAGACGTCTGGCCCTGTGCCAACTTGAGCCTGAGTGTTAGCGGGTTCGAGGAAGGTGTCAAAGGCAACATGGGCATCGGTGCCTTTTTCAAAAAGAGGGAGGAAACACCTCCACGACGGTCTATCGATACCGTACCAAACGAAAGTTCGATCATGGAACAACAGAGCAAGAAGCCACGAGTTGATAAATCTAGCATCCAACAATTTTTCCACAAACGACCAGCTGGTGATCAAGGCCCTCTTCAAGTGAAGGAACACCTCGACGCCAACCAGCCACAGCCCGACGACGCCAAATTCTCCTGGCTCGATCAAGAAGGGAATGACGCGGATAAGTCAAGCCACGGCGTAATAGGGCTCGAGGATTCAGCCCATCTCGCAAGCCTATCCTGCCCTAGATGCAAAGCTAGGTTTGGCGACGAGATATCATTGCAAAGTCACCAAGATTGGCATTTCGCCAAGGATATTCAGGACAGTGAACGTGTCAAGCCCACATTTGCTGATCAGCCAGCCACTTCCCGGGGCCATCCACCAAAGGGCTCTGGCCAGGCTTCTAAACGTGGGCGCGGAGGCTCAAAGCTTGAGCAGGGGCAAAGTAAGCTCACGTTTGGATGAGCAATCCTTTGCAGCCGAAGCCCCTGGGGCTTTATCCGCGCCATGAAAATTTTACTAGCAGAGCCTTCGGAATGAAGGAGCCGGCTAGACTCTGGTCAAACCATACCAGTTTTCTCGCATGATCAACAAGTCACGATGGTCAACGAAAAAAAAAAAAAAAACGCTCCACTGCAGCTTGATTTTCTCTGTTGATCCGCTGGCCTTGGATAGCCGGGCACAGCTCCGCTTGCCTTGAGCTCCGCACCATCTGTGTCAAGGTTTGAGAATACTCGGTTTCAATGGTATATCAACCGCATACTGATGTGCTTCGCGACGGAGTAATCATATTACTATGGCTGAATGAACCGGATGCCTCATGAGTGAACAAACAGCGGTGGACGCTTGATGCTGATAAAGCAACGTCTTTCAGCCATGTTTTTTTCCTCTCTGAATGCTTGTCCCGCGTGTGGTCGCCTGTTCCCCTACTCTTTTCAGGCAGACACGATCGTTGGCAGGCTCCTTTGAGCCCAGTCGTGATCGGTTTACCTCATACTACTCTCAATACGGAGCACTTGCGGCACAGTGCAGAAGATGATGACAACAGAAGAGACAGGGTGGAGAGGACGGCAGCCGGGCCGGTAGAGACGGCTGCATCACGCAGTCACAATATTGAGAGCAACATTCCAATACCGCATAACAATGTCCCAATAGCATGAGAGGCAATGATGTGTGATAGTACCAGCGATCGGCTCGAGTGGACTGGTGACGCTAGTGCATTAACCTGTTGTCGACTGTTGGGCTGCAATTAACCATAAGCATTGATACCCGACTAGGCCAGCAGGCAGACCTTTGCGCCCCCTCCTCTGGCTGAGGTAATATACCAGTCTACATTTTGACTTAGTGTATTATTCCGTACTGTAGAGTTGTTTTTGTTTGTGAATCCCTGGTGCGAGTACGGAGTAGATACGATGTGCCGCGGTTAGAGCCGACTCAATACCCAGCTGATAAACTCCCTCAGTCAAAATTCGACCTTTGAGATGGGAGACGTGAATGGATGCAACCACCACGCATTGATAGATCGAGCAGAGTTTTGGCTTGCATTCGGAACTAGCGTATGTGCAACAGGCGACGCTAAATTTCTAAGCGAAGTTTGTTGGCAGGCAAAAGTCAAGATGGTTATCAAATGAACGCTCGTCACGTACGAGTAATCCAACGGATGGTTTTCTTGCACAAAAGGCTGTGTGCAGTGAGTGCATCTCGTTCCTAATCGGGACGACAGAAATTCCGGATGCCTGTTCTTTCTCCCTTGGCTCTCTGCACACTGTCCAACTCTTAAAACCTGCTTTGTCCGAGCCAGGGATGATGTCTGCCTGATCGTAAGATGGCTCATCATGAGGTCGCCGCCGTGATGAGAGACACGAGTGGCGAGAAGGATGCACCAGCAAGCCAGTTTGCTTTTCGGCCCCTTGGAACATTGGCCTCTACCTCTCAAGGATCGACTCTACGTTGGACAGCTCCTTCGCCACAGGTCCAACTTCGGGCTCCAAAGGCAAAAGATAACCGCATGGTGTCATCACCACCAATGGCATCTTCGGGGCCAATCTCCCCGCTTCATGATCTTGTCTGCGCCGCGCGATGGTTGTCTGGAAAAGAAAAAAAAAAAAAAAAAAAAACTCCGTCCGCTGTAGGAACAAATCGTCGTGCCAATCCGTGTCGAGCTGCAATCCGACCCTCTTCAACGTGGTCTAATAATATATCTATACGCATCTTCATACGGCATGCGCCGTACTTACATGCGCAGCGCAGTCGGACGCAGGCTTGCAGACACGCAGACACGCACGTAATATCGCAGAGCGTTTCGATAGGAACTGCCCTTGCGCACTGCAACATGCCTATGCGCAGATGGCGAATCAACGAGCACTGAATAAGGTCCGAAAAGAAACCACAGAGCTCTAGACAGGCACGAGCAGCAGAGATAAGGAACTGTAGTTCATGCGTCAGGAACCATCGGCCAGGGTGTTGATGCTGGCGCGAGAAAAGAAAGGCGAACCTTGCCGTCGGTTGTTAGTCATTGTCTGCCACAATTCGGAGTAGACTAGTCGGTATCGGGAAATGACCGAGAAAGGAAAAGAGCAAGGAAGAGAGTCTGCAAGAAAAGAGACAAGAAAAACGTCCCGACAAAAAGTGAGACATGTGGGTACGGAGGCGTCGGCGGCGGCAGGCGAGAAAAAAAAGGAAAAAGGAAAAAGCAAAAGCAGCAGCTGCTGCAGCCGCACTGCATATCTCACGGCACGACGGATAGCATGTGCTAAAGTACGGAGTACATACCTAGTAGTACCTGAACAGGTACGACGGAGTACATGGCACTCGTACTTGATCAGCATCTCGGTGTCAGAAACCGCTTCGCCCAAACACAAGCTCCAATAGGCGGCCCATTCCTGGACCCGTCAGGCCATTCAACGGCGTTTGACGCGCCCTCCATCCCCGTTGCAGCGACGTGCAGCGAAGCCCAACGTCGAGGTCCGGGCGAGGCGAAGCGAGGCGACGTTTGGGCTCGGGACTGGCGCACTGGACTGCACTGGACTGGATCCGTCTCCATCATCTCCATCAATCACTCATCATCTTTTTCTTTGACAAGCCGCCAGTCCAATCCAATGATGAGAGCTCTGGTGGGTTCGGATAGGCACCACTTAAGCAAGGTCCCTTTTCCACTCCGTAGCAACGTAGGTCCCCTTTAGCTGTGCCGCTACTATACAGCTAGCAGTAGTCATGGCGATAATAAGGTATAGTGGCCTGGAAATTGGGAAGGACGGCCCTGCTTCAGGCTTATTGGGGAGCGAGCCTAAATAACACTGGCGGCATCTTGGGAGAGCAAGAGTAAAACAGTAGTCGATTTGAAGCAGCAGCAGCCAGTGCCGAGGAAGCAGAAGCAGAAGCAGAGCGTCGTGAGGAGGAGGAGGCGTTGCATTGCGTCGTCGTGCGTGCTGTCTTGTACTCCGTGCATTCGCTTTGTCGCGATTCTCACCAGTCAGCAGGCAGTTGTCCATCTCCATCTCCATTCCACCTCAGGTCTTGTCCTGTCCCGTCCTCTGGTCTGGTCTCGTCAACCCATCCAATCCATCCAATTGCCCCCCCCATCTCATTTCAACGGAGGTGGCCACAGGTCAGGTCAGCCCATCCCACCATCCACAGCTCGTCAAATCAATCAGCACTGCTCCAACTGCACCTGCACCTGCACCTGCGCTGCACTGCTGCGGTGGTCGCATCTGCTGTCGCCACAGCCACTGAAACGGTCTGACTGAACAGGGTGCCGGAGTGCAGCAAGCAAGGAAGCAGGGGTGTGAAGAAGAAAAAAAAAGGGCCAGCGGATCTGGAGCCAAGCTCTGCAGCCAACGAAGACCTGGCAACATTCGGCAGCATTTTGGGAGGTCACCAGTGTCTCTCGATGCTCCTCACTGCCCCACCCCACCATTCACACCAGATCATCCGCCTTTTTTCTCTTCAAGTCCAGTCGAGCTGGTGCTGTCGCTTTTTCCATTTCTCTCCTCTTCTCACGGCAAATACGACGATTTCTGCTTGGCTGCAGCCTGCCCCTTGTCCACTCTTCCTCTGCGGCTTCCATTCCTCCATCTGTCGTCCTTGGATTTGCTGCTTTCCCTGCCTCTTCATTTAGCAGCCAGTTCTGCCCCGAGGTTCCATCTTTTCTCTTTCCCTCTTCCTCCCTCCTCTCCTCTCTCTCCTCTCTCTCTTCCTCTCTCGCTGGCGTCTCTCGTTGCATTGCCTTTGTATTCCGTTGCTTCTCCCAAATCAAGTTTCGTTTAGCCATTGCCCATCATGTCGCGACCCACGACTCGCATGAACGAGTATTTCGTGCCCCGTGATGGCATCGATCGTGAAGTCATCTCTGCAGATATTTGCCGCTACCTTGGCAATGATGCTTTGGTGCGACCTGGCCATTATGAGGTATGCCATTTTCAGCAACGCCGGTTTTGACAACGTCCGACTCGAAACCGTCCATCTCGACTTGACTGGTCGCTAACATTTTTCTTTTCCCTCTCCCCCTTCAGAACCCACAGACTGGTCAACCCGTCCAAGGTTATTATATTACGGCTTATCGTAACCTGACGACCGTGAGTTTGCATCTTCTTCTTGCCGCTCCCCTTTCGGCCATGTTCATCGACTTTTTGTTTCCGGGCCCCGTTACTAAACAGATACTCCCCCGATTCGCAGGCCATGATCGAGGATCTCAAGGCCGACTCGGCTCGATGGGATAGGGAACGCCGCGCGCAGACCGCGCGCAACAGCAGCGGAGGTATCATCGCCTCGAGAGATGCCACTTACGGTGCCCCTAGACCGAGATCTAACTCGCCTACAGTCCAATACCGCTATTCCGAGACTCACCAGTCTCGGCAGCACCATGGCCCAACTGAACCACCTTTCCGAGATGATTCTTATCCTCCTCGTGATGGTCTTTATGACGCCCCAAGGTACCCAGGAACTGGCGCCCAAGGATATAACGGTGCCTCTGGCCCGTACCAGCCTCAACAGCAGCAGCAGGGCTACGCTCCTCCCAGTGGCGGTGCGTACGGCGGCAACGGCAACGCCGGCTTTCAGCAGCCTCAGCCATCTCCTGGACCCTCTGACGCCAGATACGTCGGAAACCCTCAAGGCGGCCCTATGATGAACCAGGGATACCAAAATCCGGATGGCCCGTATGTTTCAACTGGAGCCAACATGCCTCCCAGGAATTATCCCAATGATCCTTATACCGGTGGCCACCCTGGATCGTCCGTCCCAGCACCTCAACAACCCGTATATGCCTCAAACCAGCCTGTCCAGCCGGGATATCCCGCCCCAAACTACCCATATCCTAACCAGGCTCCTTCGGGCGCTCCAGTCTATGCTACGCAGCCCCAGGACCCCTTCTTCGGCCGAGGTGCGTCTCCCAACAAAAACCACCCCAAGCCTACATCCAATTTGAATTCGTTCGTCTGATTTTGTAGCTTCCCCAGCAGGCCAAACCTCTCAGCAGCCACAAGGGTATGCCTCACAGGGACATGCATATGATGAAACTCCTCCTCCAACTCGCACCTCTGTACCCCCCGCAGAGTCCCAAACACCACCTCGGGAATCAAGTACTCGTCTCAGTGACCGGGAAGGCGACAGGAACCACCGACCACCACCACCTCGCCGATAAGGGAGAGGGATATGCTTGAGGTGACACGTCTTGCGAGCCGTGGGTTGATTCTTCTGATATAATTCTTTCGTCAGAGCTCTCAGCCTGCCTCCCTGGATTTGAATGTCTTGCTCTCCCCTTTCTATCATTTAGATGAACTCCCAGGCAGGCACCGGTAGGCTCCCATGGATTTTGCACAAAAGAAGATCGAAGACCACAGGACAATATTCTAGACTGGATGGCCGTTCTTTTCTTTTTTTTTTTCTGTCTCAGCCTTTCCGGACCTTGGACCGATAATCACCAGGAGATGCGCCAAGTTTGATGTCTTTTTTTTTGTTCGCGCCATCTTCAGATCTTTTTCTTTTATTCGGAATCCCTCAGTTTGCATTTCACAAGTCATGTTTTCTTTTTTTCTGGGGCTTTTTGACAAAATGATGCATTTGTTTTTGTGCGGGATGGGTCAAATACTGAGCTTGTTGCCGGCTACAATGATAGCCTTGGATGAATAACGCCTGCATATGTTTGATAGCACTCGCTCCTGGCGCAAGGTGGGAAAAGAGAAGCGCAACTACGAATGCTTCTTGGGTGGTGGACTGTCTTGAAATCTTGCTGCCCCGGACTGGCCATGGGCGGAGTTATTTGTGTTTGTCTGGACTCGGTTTTCCTTGGCGATCGCTGAGCATTCTCAGCCAATGCTGGTTGTCTCGATCATGCCATCTAATAGAGTAGCAAAGCCGGACTCCTGGGCAGCAAGGTGAGCCTCATGGTTTGTATATATTAGCCATAACCTGTTGAAAGGATCATCATTGCCACTCTTCCCTTTTTTCGTTTCATCGCGTTGCTTCATTTTTGACTGCTGTTTGTTTCGCCTTGATGCATGAAAATATCCACGAGGAACCGTCTGAGAATATATCACTCCCGGAACTGGAACGGCATCTCTTCGCATGTTGAGTGCCAAGAGACGCACTTGTCAATCTCTAATCAGGATCAATCAATGCCGGAACGTAATTGCTTTCTTTCCCGTTCCAAGCCCGGATTCTCATGGTACCTCACAAAAGCAGTTGAATAGCCCAAGTTTTCAAGTCTCATGGCTTCACTTTAGTAATGTCTTTCACAAATGGATTGAGACCGACCTTGAGCGACCGTCGAGGTCAAGGTATTCTCAGCTGTTTCGACAAAGGAGCGGGCCATATGAGTAATGCCGTGGTTTCAGTAGATCGGACCTCCACGGCGATGCAAATCAGGCAGTGAGTGGCATTATAGATACCAAACCGAGTGCGCTACCTCGCCATGATCATTTTGGCTTGATCCGATGTGGTAGAGTCCAGGCCGTATGCCAAAGAGTAGAGCAGTCACCTGTAGTAAAGCCGACAGAGGTTAGCCGTATTCCAAAAAAGCGGCATTGCCAACGGTTCAAACGGTTTGATGAAGTGTATTCTTTCACACTCCAGAGGACATCATTCTGTGCGCATGGCGCCGGTAATAGGCGTTTGATGGTATCCGTGCGAGATTGCCTGTTGCTTTTGATCAGCAAGAGCTTGAGCAGCACATCATCTGAGGCAAGTAACGAAGACAGCACCAAACATCAATCCTTAACCTAGAGCAAATTGCCGAGAGCAGCTTGTCTTCATCTTGTCTGAGCAGCTGCTGTATGATAGTCTCCTGAGAATATTACACAGTGGAATCCATAGCGTGTACTGTCCGTGCAGAGTTCGGATTCGCACTTGACTGCGGTTGGAGAAATCCCGAGTCGCAGGAAGCTTGTCAAATTCAGATATTGGTCGTCTCTCGACAGCGCTTCTCGGCAACGATGAAGCTACACTTGACGGACATGCCATTTGGCTATATGGAGACTTGTTGGTTAGAAGCAAGATCAAAGACGCGCGTTTGGAGATTCATGCACGTTCCCGCGGCACCGGCAATTTGAGATTATGTTCCACTGCAGTAGCACACAGAGAAACGAGCCCATGGAAGCAAGGAGACAAGCCGCGACGGCGTGTTGAATCAGCACCAGAAACACGACGAAGATGCACAGAAAAGGCTCAAAAAGAGGGGGAAATGGATGAGAGCCTCGTTTGGAGGAGCTACGTGGAAAATTCCTAGCAGGTAATAGGTACCAGGTAATTATCTACAAAATGGCAAGTCGAAGCGGTGACTTCCCAGCCGAAGCGGTGATCATCCGGCTGTTCCTGCCACTTTCAGCTCCAGACGAAGTTCTCGCCAAAGTGCGCCAATAAGCTACAACCAGCTGCGCCTAGAAATTTCACCGGCATTTTACCAGCGAGTCTCATTGGGCTAAGGGATTCCCTGTCATCGCTCATTGGGGACTAGACGTGGCTGATAAACCTTGTTAGGCTCTTTGTAGTGATAACGAAAGGCGGCAGCATCTTGCTTTTGATTCGTTTGGATGTACATGCGCAGCCCTACGTCACTAGTAGCTGGTACAATCTTCACCCTAGTGCTCATCAGCTTTTTTTCAGGTACGGGGTACGGGGTGTCAGCCGTCGAGCCAGTACCTAGGCACCCGAAATGCAGGGCGAGGGAGCAGGAGATTTGATAGAATACAAAGCGCTTTCTGCACTGAATTTTATCGTGAAAGAGCTCCACAAAGATGTAAGGCTAGTAAGACAGGTGCTCGATGAGAGTCATACCGCAGACAGTGGAAATTTGGAGACGGGTCATTGTATTTCGCACGCCTAGGGCACCTCTTCCCATCTGCAAATCAGTACTACTACAGGTACCCAGTACCAGGTGGTCCTAAATACCATACCGTACCTACGTGTAGATGTTCGTGATGGATATGCACTACTAGATCACAGTATGACCAGAAGCAAGTAGAAAACCCTGGCTGGTGACAAGAGCCGCCGCCTCCAAAGCATCGACAGCATCGCAGTTTAGTAGCGCCAGGCATATGTACCCTAGGACTGGCGACCCTGAACTTCAATTTTTTTTTTAGCGCCTGCTAGCCCCCTAACTGGGCTGCATCTATCACGCCCAATCGCCTCAAGGGCTCTGAAAAAAACGTTCCGGCCGCCTGCTGCTGCTTCGTACCAAATACCCGTGGCACGGTGCTAAATTCCCGTCTCTTGTGCAAAGCTCAACAAACAATCTTTCATCACCGCTTTGTGCCGCCACTTTCTGCCTGGTCAAAATCTTTTTCCCGTCTTCGTTGCGCCAGCCTCAAACGGCCGTGGGTTTGAAACCGTTATTCCGTCTCGTCGCTTGTCGCCGTCGTTGCTGATCACCACAACGGTTATTTCTGATCTAATTTTTTTTTTTTGCATTTTCGTTTTTACTATTGGGTGGGCAGCTGGTGCTGGATAGATGCCCCGCCATCGGGTCCTCCCAACCTAACACCAAAAGTTGTTCGACTGAGCCCGCCTTTCCTCTACTCTCCTCCGCGCCAACGACAACAACACCCCTCTGTGTTGTCGTCCGCTCCTGTTTATACCCCCAAATATGGACTTTGCAACTGTCAGGGCCTTGCTGGCGGCCAGCTTGGACACAAACGCCGACAGCAGGCGACGTGCTGAGCTGCAGCTGAAGCAGGTGAGTTTTCCAGAACCATCTTTTGTGTCCCTCCACTGCCACCGCCCGCCCGCCATCCGGAGCGTGAATGCGGCGGCGGGATGGAAAAAAAAAAAAGAGGGAGCGAGGGATAGATGATGTCCTCATTCAAACGCTTGTTGAAAGGACGCAAGCTTTTCTTCGCTTCTTACGCTGTAGTTGGGGTTCTGATGCTAATGCGCTTCTTTGCTTCGTTGCCTCTAGGTCGAGGACCATGCGGGTTTCTTGATCTGCCTGCTTGATGTCTTGGAAGCAGAGCAGGACGCCAGTGTCCGCCTTGCCAGTACGTCGTCGCAACCCCTCCTCCGTGCCCTCCCCGAAGATAAGATATGACAACGAGTGGAAGACAAGAAAAGATGGGGAAAAGATGGGAAACGAAAGTGAAAAACAAGGACTCTAACAATTGTCTCTGCAGCCGTCATCTACATCAAGAACCGAGTAAACCGTTCCTGGTACCAGGCCGAAGGCATTCCCTCCGAAAGCTCAATAGCCGAAGATGAGAAAGTCCGAATCCGAGACCGTCTGGTGCCCATCTTGGCGTCATCCGAGGGGCTCGTCCGCCAGCAGCTTATTCCCGTTCTGCAGCGCATCCTGCAGTGCGATTTCCCCAGCCGGTGGCCGCGATTCCTGGAATTTACTCTGGAGCTGTTAAATACCAACAACCCAAACTCTGCGCTGGCTGGTTTGCAGTGCCTTCTCGCCATCTGTCGTGCTTTCCGATACAAGTCCAACGAGAGCCAGGACCGACAGCACTTTGACAACATTGTTGAAGCAAGTTTCCCGCGACTCTTGGCCATCTGCAATGAGCTGGTGAATCAAGAAAGCGATGAGGCTAGCGAGATGCTGCATTTGGCTCTCAAGGCATACAAGCATGCTACCTGGGTATGTATAGCCCCCCTCTGCTTCCCTTCCCCCCTTTCCCGAAGAGTAGACTCGTATTCAGGCCCCCAAGTTCTGGTGCTGACAATGTCACTACCTATCTAGCTCGAGCTTTCACCGTACTTGCGACAGGACCAGGTCAACATCGCTTGGTGCACCGTCTTCCTTCAAACCGTCTCAAAGGCTCTTCCCGCCGCTGTTGTGATGAGCGATGTTGCCGACCGAGAAAAACATCACTGGTGGAAGGCCAAGAAGTGGGCCTACTTTAACCTCAACCGGCTCTTCATTAGGTATTTGCGATCAGAAAAACCCCTTCTCTCTTAACTCCCACCTCCTCGAGTTGAAGAAGGGCAAAGAAGGCATGTAAACAACCAGGCTGACAGATGCTATTCTAGACATGGAAATCCTACGAGCCCAGGCAAACAAGACGGAGCTGTCCAGTTCGCGAAAAACTTCACCAACACCATCGCTCCCGAAATTCTGAAGCATTATCTACAGGAAATCGAAAAATGGGTGGCCAAAACCTCGTGGCTTAGCCGACCTTGTCTGTCATATATCCTAGTGTTCCTCGACGAGTCGGTGCGGCCCAAGGAGATGTGGGTGCACTTGAAGGCACACCTGACTAACCTCGTCACGCACTTTGTATTCCCGGTTCTCTGCCTGTCGCCGGAAGACGTTGAACAATTTGAAGAGGAGCCAGAGGAGTACCTTCACCGAAAATTGAATTACTTCGAGGAGGCGTCCGCACCTGATGTTGCGGCGACAAATTTCCTGGTCAACCTTACAAAGAACCGCCGAAAGGAAGTCTTTGAGATCCTCAAATTCGTCAACGCCGTCGTCAACGAGTACGAGCAATCTGCTGATGACAAGAAGAACCACATTGCAAAGGAGGGTGCTCTCCGGATGATTGGAACCCTTGCTCCCGTCATTCTCGGAAAGAAGAGCCCCATTGCCGACCAGGTCGAGTACTTCCTCGTCCGATACGTCTTCCCAGACTTCACCAGTCCCTTGGGCTATCTCCGAGCCCGAGCTTGCGACACCATCGAGAAGTTTGAACAGCTCAACTTCCAGGACCAGAACAACCTGCTCACCATCTACCGCAACATCCTGGACTGCATGGCAGACCCGGCACTTCCCGTTCGTGTCACTGCCGCCCTTGCGCTGCAGCCATTGATTCGCCACGAAGTTATCCGAACAAGCATGCAGCAGAGCATTCCCACCATTATGCAGCAGCTGCTGAAGCTGGCCAACGAAGCCGATATTGATGCCCTGGCCAACGTCATGGAAGACTTTGTTGAGGTATTCGCTACCGAGCTCACTCCCTTTGCCGTCGCCCTGTGCGAACAACTTCGTGATACCTATCTTCGCATTGTGCGAGAGCTGCTGGAGAAGGAGAGCAAGGCTGGGGACGATGGCGAGCTGTACAATGATTATGACGACAAGAGCATAACAGCTCTTGGCGTGTTGCAGACCATTGGGACGCTAATCCTCACCCTGGAGAGCACCCCGGATGTTCTTCTCCACATTGAAGCGGTTCTCATGCCAGTGATTAGCATCACGCTCGAGAACAAGCTGTACGATCTCTACAACGAGGCATTCGAAATCATCGATAGCTGCACTTTTGCCGCCAAGGGCATCTCCCCCAACATGTGGCAGGCATTTGAGCTGATCCACACCACCTTCAAGGCCGGAGCCGAATATTACCTCGAGGATATGCTCCCTGCACTGGACAACTTTGTCCAGTACGGCGCACCTGCCTTGGTCCAGAAGCCGGAATACGTCCAGGCCCTCTATTCCATGGTAGCTGATATGTTCAGTGATACGGTTGAGGGAGGCGTTGAGCGAATCTGCGCTTGCAAGTTGGCCGAGGCCATGATGCTCAGCCTCCGAGGCAGCATTGACAGCTGTGTCGAAGGCTTCATCAACATGGCCATGAACATCCTGGCTGGCCAAGAGGTCAAGGTGAAGAGCTACAAGATTCATTTGATGGAAATGGTTATCAACGCTGTGCACTACAACCCCATACTCACCCTGCAGGTTCTGGAGACCAACGGCTGGACGAACAGGTTCTTCAGCCTCTGGTTTGGTAGCATGTCATCCTTCAGCAGGGTTCACGATAAGAAGCTTTGCATTGTGGCCATTTCCGCCCTTCTCGGCCTCAACCACGATCAGGTCCCTGCCAGCATCTCTGTTGGATGGCCACGGCTGCTCCAGGGCATCACTGAACTCTTCCGAACATTGCCTAGCGCTATGAGGAGTAGGTCCCCCCTTGGCCCCCTTTGCATTCAATTTGTATGCTAACTATTGAAAAAAACAGATCGAGAGGATGCCCTCCGCGATGATTTCACTCTGGATGCTGGCTATGATTATGCTGACGAAGATGAGTGGGACGAGAAGGATGTGGCATGGAATGGAGACGAAGAGGCTGGCTCTGCTGGCGACGACGAGTCCCCTGAAACCAAGGATGAAAGTGCTGCCTATCTCGAATTCCTTAACGAGGAGGTAAGTTGAAAAGACCCCGAACGGAAACCCCCTTCCTAAGTACAACAATGGCTAACGTTGAGCTTTCATCTAGGCGCAAAAGTTTAGTCGCGTGATTGATGATGAAGAGGAGGAGGATCTCGGAGAAGACAGCGTGCTTCTTGAGTCGCCGCTGGACAAGATCGAGCCATACCAGCTCTTCAGAGCAACATTGCTGAGTGAGTATCCTCCATTGCTACGACCTACCACCCCTGTAGCTGTGATGGCATTAGCGCCTGCACTCCCTTTTCCTGTTGCTAACCAATGATACCCGATTTATAGAGATGCAACAAGACCAGCCCCAATTCTACGCGAACCTCGCCAGCCACCTTTCCGCTGAAGAGCAAGGCCTCATTCAGGACATTATTGTCAAAGCGGAAGAGGTAGCCCAGGCGCAGATCCAAGCACAGCAGGCCGAGATGATTGCTCCGCACGCCGCTGCTAATGGCGGCGCCAACTGAAAGCGGACGATTTGTGATTCATAGGATGGGAAACATTGGATGAAAGAACATCTTGTATGGATGCTGCTTTGTGGGGACTCGTGCAATTACAACCCAAGTGTCTCGGGCGAGCAAGCGTTGCTGTTTATGAGGAGATGAACTTGATGATATTCCCCTGTCATGAACCGATACGAGAAGGGGAGAAGGTGGGGAAACAAAAAGAAGAAGAAGAAAAAAAAAAAGAAAAAAGAAGAAAAGAATCTAGACAATGCAAAAGCTGCTGATGGAGAGGATTTTTGAAGGCAGCGGAGGAATGGAAGGACAACAGCCGAAAAGCCCCAGGCGTAATGAAAGGTAAGTCTTGCAGAAGGAAGGCAACATGGCTGCTGTCATTTGAACAGTAGCGCAAGAGGAAAGATTATTTGGATGGGGAATTTATTTTTATTTATCGTTTTTCTGTGTCTCGGGCGCAGGCTGGTGATTTGCCAATACGAAAGAGAACATAGGCATTGACAGAGGGTGTTGATGTGCGGCTGATTATACAGAAGGAGGGCACCATCAAGTATGTAGTAGGTAGCTTACTCGGTATTCCAGGTAATACTGAGTACTATTAGGTTAGTGCAAACACATAGGTACACAGATGTATGTATCGTGTATGTTGTGTGCATATATTCATAGGTAGCGCGTCAGTAATCAGGAGAAGAGAGGAATCGCATGTCAAAAGTTGGAGTTGAGATATTCGAGGTTTGTTATCGGCGCCGATAAGCCCAACAGCATGTCAGAATCCACTATTCACAGGGCTCACCCCGCTAAAAAATTCTTGTTCATATACTCGTACTGATTAAACATGATGTCCTTAGTTTACTATACCAGGACAACCATTATATCACCCGGAACCCGAGGCCGGAATGTGTCCTTTAATGCCGTACATAGTCTAAGTAGTAGCACCACTCAACCGTCTATGTCCGCGGCTATGGTGGCTTTGAACCGAGAAGCTTTATCATAAGATTGATCGTGGCTTTCCCGAGGCATCTAGTTCGTAGAATGCAGGTGTTTTGCTTCTCCAATTTTGCAAGAGTGGCCTGTTTCCACTCGTACGCCTTTGGGTTCTACGAGTACTTGTAGGCTTTTGCGGGATTGGCGTGTTTCTCCCTGTAGACTTTTACAAGAATGGCTGTCCTTGGCGGAGTTTAGTAGTAGCTTGATTTTCCTGAGATGTGCTCCGTAGTATGACTCAGGTTGCTAGGAGGAGTAGACGGCTCTATGATGGCAAATAGAGGGGGTCCGGCACGACGCGCACCCGAGGAAGAAAGAAGTCTCTGTGTCATTGATGTTTGCGCCCGCAATCGGCATCAACACGGCCGTCGCCATTGTCAAGTCTTGGTTGCTTCCGACGCACGATTCGGTCTCTGGCTTGCTGCTGCTCGCTGAGACTATCCGTTTTTGGATGCTTTGCCCTTGCCCCTCTCTACCTTTACGTGACTATATTAATACTGTAAATATTAATGTATGAATAACACTATTGTCTATTACTATAATAACTTGTTTTATTTTAAATACTTAAATACATCAAGGTAATAAACAAGGAACTTGTCTTAGATTAGGGTCAAACCCTCACACGATCTCGCACGGGCATAGACATGGTCAACTTGGCGGCTTGAGATTCAATGGTCTGGAGATGTCTGCTGTTATTTTTCCCACCAGAAACCCTCTTCAAAGCAGAGCCACAATACGAGTCCGAGTGGCGATGTCTCGGCATTTTTGCAATCAGACGAATGAACAATGGAGGAAATGAAGAATTCCAGTATCCCGATCCTTTCCCGGATTTATCCCCTGCTTGTGGCTCGCGCTAGCAGCTTGGCAGGACAGAACTTTGCAATGCCCCCGCCATTCGGGATCCGGAAATCGACAGGCCCGTTTTGTGCGTCTTGAGAATGTCCAAGTTCTTCTTCTTTTGGTTCTCAGACCGCCGTTGCAGCGAATCGCCATGCGCTTTACTGACCCGCCCCTGCGTCCCCCGCCAATAAAAACCAGATGTGGAAATACGTCACTCTGCACGCGGTGTAAGTCACCAGCACCGAAGCCGGGCTGACTCCCAACTCCCGTGTTGTGCAGCGTCCATAAAACTCTTGCCCGGAAAGTTTGAAAATCTCAACCACACTCTTGGCCACACTCGGAATCTCCCATTGGCATCTCGACAGCAGTCTCAGTCCCAGTCTCTCCTCTGTAACCTCTGTAACCTCCGTAACTCGAATTCGAACTTGGCCAGCGACCTTCACCATGTGCGGTACCAACAACGCTACAGCCGATCCCACAACGGCGGCTCACACCATCTCGGCATCAACGCCCTACCAGCGTGTAGATGATTTCCTCTCCAATGTGGGTAGCTATAAGATTATCGAAAGTATGGAAATCTGGGTTTTTGGATGTGTCGATTAGCTTGAGCTTTGATGTTGATGTTTAAAAAAAAAAAAAATATAGGCACGCTAAGAGAAGGCGAGCAATTCTCAAATTCTTTCTATACGACAGAGATGAAGTGCAAGATCGCAACGATGCTCAGTGATTTCGGTGTCGACTATATCGAGCTTACCAGCCCGGTATCGTCTCCTCAGTCGTACGAGGACTGCAAGACCATCTGCAAGCTTGGCCTGAAGGTTTGTGTCCAAAATCTGTCATTTGGGGAGCAAGTACTTACTTGTTCTTTAGTCCAAGATCCTCACACACGTGCGATGCAATATGGAGGATGCCAAGAAGGCCGTAGAGTGCGGTGTCGACGGTGTCGATCTTGTCATCGGAACCTCCAGCTTCCTGCGTGAGTACAGCCACGGAAAGAGCATGGAAATGATTCGGAAGACTGCTCTCGAAGTCATTGAATACGTCAAGAGGTGTGTTTCCATGCCCCATCCCTGCTATCGACTTCAAGACTGACACCCGTAACAGCAAGGGAGTCGAAGTGCGCTTCTCCTCCGAAGACTCGTTCCGTTCCGACCTTGTCGACCTCCTCACTCTCTACAAGGCTGTCGATAAGGCGGGTGTCAACCGAGTGTAAGTTTTGCCCAAATGGAAGCAGCAATCGTCCGGCATGCTGACAGGAGCAGTGGTGTCGCCGACACTGTTGGAGGAGCTACGCCACGAATGGTCTATGATCTGATCCGAACGCTAAGAGGTGAGGTGCCGCCTATCAATGGATCAAATCTGATCAAGTTTGAACGCTAACACCATAAACAGGTGTTGTGGGTTGTGATATCGGCATGTCCCCCTAATCCTCACCTCCAGGTCTCCCACTAACATCAGGTAGAAACGCACTTCCATGACGACACCGGCTGCGCAGTCGCAAATGCGCTGACGGCAATAGAGGCTGGCGCGACGCACGTGGATACCTCTGTCCTGGGCATTGGAGAGAGTCCGTACCCCCTATTGTGGTTGATGTGAGTTTCATGGCTAACTGTTGACTTTTAGGAAACGGTATTACCCCCCTGTAAGTATTTGTCGCACCTCAAGGCCTGGAAGGCGACTAACAAAGGAGAAAGCGGCGCCCTGATGGCTCGCATGGTTGTGACGTCTCCCGAATACACCAAGTCCAAGTACAACCTCAAGATGCTCAAGGACATTGAGGAATATGTCGCTTCTTGCGTGCAAGTGAACATTCCCGTAAGTAGCTCTTTCAAAAAGCATCTCTTTACCACAAATGAGTTATTAATGTTTGATCCATAGTTCAACAACCCTATTACCGGTTTCTGTGCATTGTAAGTAGTCGCTCGGTTGTGGGTGGGGGACCCTGACTAACTCCAAGACAGCACACACAAGGCTGGAATCCACGCCAAGGGTAAGTTTATTCACATCATCAGTATTTGGGCATTTCCCCTCGATTTATGCTAACTTTTTACTAGCCATTCTGGCAAACCCTTCGACATACGAGATCATTGACCCCAGTCTTTTTGGATGTATGTTACTAAAACTCCTCCTCCGGTCTACAGTGATGACTGACCATACTAGTAACTCGATACGTCTCGATCACCTCAAGAATTACGGGCTGGAATGCCGTCAAGTCTCGAGTCCAGCAGCTCGGATACTCACTAACAGATGATCAAATCAAGGAAGTGTATGTATCCTTCTCACCAAACCACGAGACCGGATCGAGGCGGGAACTTGCGCTGACATTTTGGAAATAGAACTGCCAAGATTAAGCAGATGGGCGATATTCGTCCACTGGCGGTTGATGACGCAGACAGTATTATTCACTCGTATAATTTGAGTCTGCAGCAGGCGACGGTGGCTTGAGAGGTGTTGCATTTTGGCTGTTAAAGTTACGGATCGGACGGAGGGGACTGAATATAAAAATACAAGTGTGATTTTAGGGCGGAGTATCAAAAGTGATATTTACATCTTCAGTACTCGGCATCAGACAGTCTTTTATCGAGGGCCTATGGCGCCATTCAAATTGACCGATGCCTACACGATACTTTATGACATGACATCTGCCTTGAGCTAGGTATTTAGCTACTCGGCAGATTGTTCACAAAGAGACCAAACCAAATAATATTGCCTACTTATTCATCTTGCTGAGGTGCTGTGCTTCTTGGTTTTGGATTGGGTACATCTTCTCTCAGCACAAGCCTAAGTGAACACACCTTGATACTTTCCACTAGAGCTTATGGCTAATGAAGCTTGTGGTACATAGTCAAATATATGGGCTCTAGGCGTTATGATGCTTTGTGTCCTTGGCAAGACTATCGTCCCTGAGAAAGCGACTGATCAACGGCCTGCTCATCAGATAACGAAGAATTGAAGCGATACACGCGAGAGAATGAGGAAATGGAAGCGGGATATATACCCCTCTCATATCAAACACGAGAATGCATTGTCTTTGTCCACAGGATGCTAAACATCTTTCTTTACAAATATCCAACATTAATCCTAGAGCCCTCAAGAGCATAGATAATGGTATCTACCTAGTAGTGCCCGCCGGATGGAGGCTCGTCTTCGGTGTTGAAGGTCCGCCAAATGCCATTCGAGGTCTGTTATCGGCGCCGATAAGCCACCAACAGCAGCCCCTTCGGCGGGCTCCGACCGCAAGAGTCACTGTTTCACCGGCCTGCCCCCCGCTATAGGCCTTAGCAGCTCACTAGAAGCACAGATAAGCTGCATCTAATTGGCACAACAGGGCCCTATGCCCCTCTCAGCAGCCGGTTTGGGCTTAGGAGCTGGGCACATGCTCTCGATTCTATTACCTAAGGCACATGAGCATCATAGGTACCCAACTCTCCTTCTGTACGACTCAGCAAACCTGCAGTCGAGCTTCCTTCAGTCACTCATCTTCCTTCTTCCTCTCCGTCTTTTCATTGCTCCTGCTGCTGCTCCTTTTGCTTCTCCCATTCCGCTGAAACAAATCAACTGCCTGCCCGCTAATAGAGCCCAATTGGCACGAGAGAACGACGCTGCTGTCGATTAACCATGACGACTCGGTACCGCGTTGAGTGTAAGCCTGCCCAATTGCTCTCCTCTCCCCCCTCCTCCATGGCATCTGTTACACGGAGAAAGAGGGGGGATGTAAATATACACAAGGGAATCTGGTGAAGCTGATGGAATCTTTAGACGCCCTCAAGACCCATAGACGGGATCAATTCATAGGTATGTTGCTTATCAAATGAGATTGGCTGTGGTCAACCAACAAGCTAATACATCGCCTTGGGGCCGTGCCAGAATGGATAAAGGGCCTCTTGGCTGTGCCATTTGTGCTCTACTCGCAACCCACGGGAGTGTTTGGCGATGATACCAACGTGGCCAAGATGGCCGAGGAGGCCCATAGACGCTACGCAGAGATTATGAGAGACGTTGAGTTGATGATTGATGACCACAGTGAGTACCGAGTCCCCTTGCCTCTTGTTGTCCCCTTACCTCTTGTTCCCACATAACTGAACCAATAAATCAAAACAGTCGCCCGCCAAAACCAAGACCGCGTGTTCCCTTCCAAGCTTGGAATGCTGGTGCCCACGGCGGGTCCTTTCTTCACACGGCTACCTCTGGAGGCAGCGTTCAAGTATCAGGACCGGAAGCGATACATGTCGTCAAGACGATATGTAGCTCCCTCTTTTAACGATGTACGCCTGGTTCTCAACTCGGCTCAGATCATGGCTGTGACGAATGGTGCTCTTCAGCTAGCCACCTTTGATGGTGATGTCACGCTGTACGACGATGGACAGAGCTTAGAGCCATCGAGCCCCATCATCCCACGACTACTAGGTACGCCATGCTTCTTCGCCGATTTTTGGACAATATTAATTACATGTCTTATAGATCTCTTGCGCAAAAACATCAAAATCGGCATTGTTACAGCTGCTGGCTATACCACCGCAGATCGGTACTACGGTCGTCTCCATGGCCTACTTGACGCCATTGCCGACTCCACAGACCTTGACCCTGTACAGAAGCAAAACATTGTCATCATGGGCGGCGAAGCCAATTATCTCTTCGAGTACGAGCCGTCTTCACCATACCGCCTGGCGCCCGTTCCGCGCCCAGAGTGGCTTACCCCAGACATGGCTGCCTGGTCTGAAGCAGAAATCATGGCACTTCTAGACGTGGCCGAATCAGCTCTTCGGGACTGCGTCCGCACGATGAACTTACCAGCCATCATAGTTAGAAAGGATCGCGCCGTTGGAATCGTTCCCAACCCTCCCGAGATCCGCATTGCGCGAGAGAGCCTGGAAGAGACGGTGCTGGTGGTACAGCGTATCCTGGAGCTAAGTGCCCTCGGCGCCCCTTCGCAGCAGGCTGGCCAAGGCGCTCAGGGCCGACGTGGAGTTCCTTTTTGCGCCTTCAACGGCGGCCGTGATGTCTTTGTTGACATTGGCGACAAGAGCTGGGGTGTGACCGTCTGCCAGCAGTGGTTCGGAAGACGCAGCGGGGGGACAACCGGAGCCGATGCAGCGCTGACTGCCATCAAGGGCGAAAACACGCTACACGTGGGAGATCAGTTCTTGAGTGCCGGATCAAACGACTTCAAGGCGCGGAGCGTGGGAACTACGGCATGGATCGCAAGTCCGGCAGAGACGGTAGAGTTGCTGGATGAGCTGGCGGACCTGATGCAGAAGAAGCTTTCATGAAGCTGCAACATTTCTTGGATACGCATGGGAAATCCCTATCTTTGCGTGGGAGAGGAGCAATAATTTTCTTTTTAATATGCGTGTGGGAGCATCTACTTAGCTATGTTCCGGATACTATTTGATAGAGCATCGCCAGAGGCGCTTTGGATATCAAGTTTTGATGTGTTTGGGATTTTATGATAGTCATGTCTACTGCTACCATGGCATAAACTTTGGGGATTTAGAGATATTGAATTCCACTTTCTGATCGTCACAACCATACTGTTCACTGTTCGTACTAGCGATATGACAAGAGAGTCTCTGAGAATTGTAGTTTGATGGCATATCACCCAGGGTATACGGTCATCCGGGCTATCCTTGCTGATTAGGATGAGCTTTTGCGTCAATCTTCATATTATCAGAAAGCCAGATTAGTCGACAACTATAAAGGCCATCTTGTTATGTCGTCATATCCAATTCGCATTGATATCGCATGGCCGAAGATCTCAGTTGACAAATAGCGTCTTTCTCCATGCTAAATCTCACTCATCTGGGGATTCATCTGATCGGCGGTAGGGCTCGGAGCTGCCAGAGCATGTGCGTATCGGCCGATTGATGTAGGTCCACTGGCTATGATTTTACCAACCATTTCGGGTCAATGGAGGCCGTAAATGTGAGCCCAAGGCAGCACCGGGAAGATCACTGCCGGGCCCTCGTTGGTTATTGCCGTTATTGCGGAGCGATCCAAAGGCCAGAATGGATCAGATCGACAACGTCGACTGCCAACAACGGAGGTGATGGCCGCGCTGTTTCCAGCCCAGTGGTTGAACTTGACCACCATGGCTTAGAAATATTTGTCTCTCATTACTCGCGAGTGATGCACCAAGCATTCATCCACCTGATATTACCACCGCAAAACTCATCTTGTCGGATATTGACAAAAGTATAGCCCACATCGTCGGCCGCACGAATCGGCCGTTGCAGCTCTTGTCCCCACGCAGCCAGCGCCTTTCTTCTACTTTTGTCTTTGCCGCTCCTTTGGCCTTGTGGAGTAGTTCCTCGGTATGGCGGCAGTGTGAAGACGTTCAAAGACAGGAGCTGCCGATCGGCAGTGGATACGAGGCCGGAGCGCATGAGTCGGTCCGCGAACTAACTATGGCCAAGTTGAATTTTTTGGGGATTACTATCACAGTTTTCGGTGGCGTTCGCTATTGTTTGACTATTTTGATGGCTTACCTCCAAGCGGCTTGTCATGCAGACATTTAGTAAACAAAGGAACAGCAGTCCCTAAGAAAAGCCGTCTTGGTGATTTGCCAAGAACACCATTGCTTTAGTACCTAGATAATCAAATAAATGTCATCTGTGATATGCTTACTCCTATAGAAATACAATGTCCGAGCATTGTGTACTTGCACCTTCCAAGGTCCTGTCGATAAGGAATCACGTGCTGCTTGGTGCTTGGTTGAGAACAAGAGGGAGGAGGGACCTTGATCCATCACCAAACATTTCTCAACAAAACACCAACACGAAGAAATCCGGCTATTTCATCAAAAACTGCAATAATCGTACGAGTCCGTATTCCCATCTTCATCCCCTTGACAGCTGAACTGACAGGCCAAGCATCTTCCCTGCTAGCCATGCCAATAGCTCCAATGGGCTTCTGTCGATGCCAATTCCACCAAGCCAACCTAAATCCTTAGCGTGTGGCTGTCAGGCATCTCGAACAGCTACATGCTCTCCTGCATGCGCATCACCTTACTCGGGATCGGCAAACCAACTACTGGCTTCGCCTACCGCCCTGGATTCGCTCAGGGCCGTGTTGATCAAGCTCTTTGAGATGCAGCACTTGTGAGTGGAGAGGGAATAAAATCGGGAATGGCGCAGGTTGGCGTCAGCAATGGAGAGACCGACGACGGCTCTAGTTCCTGAACCACCGAACTATATTCATGGTGGGCTATTTTTTCCTTCATGGTGGCGATGAACTTTTAGGGTCCTCGGACCCCCGGATAGGAACTGTTATAGGCTGGACGGGAGACGGCTCATCGCGAAGTGTCACTTTGCGCCTCAGTTTATGCCTTTTGTTTCGTGAGTTGGACCCCGAACCTACTCAAACGATCAGCATTGGGCTCTAGGAATTGGAGGGCATCACATGGACTGTTTTGGAGACAACACAGTCTAAATCTCTTCTTCAAAGACCCATCGATTTTCACAGTAAAGGGGCATGGCGGAAGGGCGCTCTTCTCCAAATCATTCATTACTTGCTACTCTCCCAGCTACGGCCAGCGAGCCGTCGCCCTTATAGCCTCTCCCTTTTCTCAATCAAGTACGAAAGCCTACAGAGACTACGCTGCCATAAACAGACCATGGACACACTTCCTCCGCCTCCCGCTGGGATTAATCTCAGCGAGAGCAGGAAAGCTTCCATCATGGTAACCGCGATAGTCACTTGGTTTCTGGCAGCCATCGTTGTTGGGTTACGCATCATAAGCCATCGCATTAAGAAAATAAGTCTATGGTTAGACGACTGGCTCATTATTGCGGCCTTGGTACTTTGATTCTGATGTCTGACCAGGTGGAAATTATGCTGATGATATTTCTTAGCTTCCCTCCTGCGCGCATGTCATTGGGCTGGGCATATATTGTCAGTATATCCTAGGAGCTAATGCTTCTCTCCTTCTCCTCAATCAAGCACTAATATTTTACCAGCTGTGAGCCGTGGCTTAGGGAAACATATTTGGGCCGACCCACCGGATGCAAAATATGCCTGGGCAATCGGACTGTTCGTCGCTGAATTGGGATATTTTGTGACCATTACATGCGTTAAATGGTCCATTCTTGCCTTTTATTGGCGCTCCTTCAAGGTCAGAAGCTCCGTCAAGATTCCTATATATATCTTGGCCGTAATAGTACTGTTGTGGGCTATTGCTGTTGTAAGTTCCCGAGTCCGAAATATACAAGTAAAAGCTGCCTGTCGTTTGCTAACCAGCAGTTATAGATCCTTGTCACCATCTTCCAATGTCAGCCTACCAGTGCTTGGTGGAACCGTTTTAACCCGACGCATCCCTTACGGCCAGATCAATACAGATGCACCGTAGATTCGGTCAAATTCTTCTACGGAAACGCAATCCCAACCATTGTCACCGACGTTTTGATGCTCGCATTGCCTCTTCCATATATCACAAAATTGCAACTTCCCAGAGGTCAAAAATTCGCTCTTGTTGGAATTTTTCTTGTGGGAATCTTGTGAGTGGCTAACATGTCGCCTTTAACCTTTGCTTCCCAATCGTTAGGATATCTGACCAGTGTGTATTAGTGTCACGGTTGTCTCCATCGTGCGTCTTCATTACCTAGTCCGAGGTAATTTGGCCGATCCAGATATCACTTGGAGTTTCGTCGACATTGCTCTGTGGTCCGTTGTCGAAGGAAACGTGGCAATTTTCTGCGGTAAGCATCCATCCATTGACTCCCATCCATTGAATCCAGCATAGCCCTCGATATCATCGAAAACCAACCGTCTGACTGATTCTTTGTTTACTCGTATAGCTTGTCTTCCTTTCTTGCGGCCTGTTCTGAGCAAGATCAGCTTCGGGTTTTTCAGTCTCTCGTCGCTCTCTTCCAAGAAACAGCAGCAGTCAAGTGGCTCACTGAAAATGAGCCACCATAACAGAGATGGCCCCCGGCCTTGGCAAGGAGATAGCCGATTTGCCACAACTTCTCATTCCCGAGCATACAGCACCGCCAACGAGACAGACGAGCACCCGTTTGCGCGTCTTACGGACGACGGCTCGGAGCGTAGTGTGCCCATCAAGGAGAGGCCAGACGGCTCACATATTGAACTTGGCAACATCTCTGGAGTGGGAGAGCCTGTTCAACCTAACGGCATAGTCATTACACGCGAGTTCCATCTACAACACCAAGACGTATAGACGAGATTCCAACGGCCCATCATACATTTCACACGTATATATTGTATGCGGAGTGCTTACTGCTTTAGGCACTCTTACAACTGCATCGATTGATGCTATCTGTACATATTCTTCCCGCTACATTCTGCGGGCTCAGTTGCTATTAGCATTTGCCAGCCGGTTTACTGGTCGACCACGTGCCGCGGAAAGCCTCGACACCTGTTAGGCCTTGCCTTAAATCGTTTCCAGGTTGTCATGACAAGGAATAGCACCGTGTCTAAGCACACATCTGAAAGAACAAATACCCAAATATTTAATCTTAATTCTACCCATCACCAATCAATCGCCGCATCTTGTTGACGAGACAGATGATGTTTCTATCTTGATATGCCTCACAATCAGCTGAATACCTTGCGACTGGTCTTCAAGTTATCAACCACCTCTTCGTCTTTAACCAGCTCCCAAAGCTCATCGATACGCTGGACAACCCATGGCTCTAGGGGGCCACCTTCGAGTTCCTTCATGGTGTCGGCCAGTTGGTCCGAAGTTGAAGCACCGATGATCATCTCATCGCCTGAGTGGTTCTTGAGGAAGGAGTGATGTCTCACCCATCTATATGCTAAGCCGGCCCGGCTAATACCCGACTTCTCGGACAATGCTCCGAATTCTCCAAGCATCTTCATGTATGATGGCTTATAGAACAGGCCACGTGAAAATTTCCCGGTCTTCGTGTTGGGGTCCCAGCTCCCCAGGCCTTGTTCGATATATTCTGGTGTCTTGGCTAGGAATCCACCTGCCATGGGGGAATACGCCTGGATAACGAAACCCAGCTTGCGAAGAGTGGGGAACAGTTCAGTTTCGTGGTGGCGAGCAGCAAGGCTATAGCTGCATTGGAAAACACTGGGCAACACATAGCCCTTTGACTTCGCAATGCCGTAGATTCTGAGGATCTGGCCGCGGTTAAAGTTGGAGATGCCGAATCGCTCAAATCTGCCTTTTTCGTAGAGCTTCTGGATGGCTTCCATTTGCTCCTCGAAAGGAACAGTTTCATCGGCGCCGTGAAGGAAGTACGTTCGCACCTAGAAGAGATGTCAGAAATACAAAAGCTTGAAAGAAGGTTCATACGGGAGTTGACTGTACTTTTTGAGTCTGCAGTGCCGCCAAGCTCTGTTCAGCTGACTCTTCAATCTTGCCCGCAAAGCCCTCTGCAAACCCTGTTGGCGCCTTGGTATCGATGGAAAACTCTGGGCCTAAATGCAGACTTCCAATGGTCATCTCTGATGCTCCACCGCCCTGTCCAAATGCATTAGTGCTTTTTCCTATTAGATCGACAAGTGGATGAACCCAGTATCAGAACTGTTTTGTGTTGTTTGTGGTAGCATCTTACATATAATCTAGCCGTGTCCAGAATCGAAATGTTGCGAGCACGCATAATGGAGATGATGCTCTGATGCTTGGTTTCATCGCCCGGGAACCAGGTATGAGTCCCTACAGCCAAAGTGACAGGTGATTCCTCAGACATTTTGAATCAATAGTAGGGTGGTTCTCAAGAAGAAAGAAGGTATCTATTCGATCTTTGAGAGAAGACAGCAAGTAATGCTTGTGACAGCTGCAACACAAGTGGAAATTGGCATATAAATAGCTGATTTGGACAGCAGAGCGCCATTTTGGTTGGAAATCAAAGAAGAAACTAGGTTGGAAATCAGACGTCAGAGCCACCACACCGGCCATCGCAGGTTCTACTGTACCGACTGACAACTGCGGGAGTTTTTGCCACCGGCCACAGCTTGGACATTGGTTGCGGGAAAAGTCCCGTCGACGGCCCCACTAGCAACACCGCGTCCGCTGCTCTCCACCATACGGCGGGCTTATAAATGCAGCCTGCCATTGATCACTAAAGGGCGCAGCTGAATATCATCATGGTAGCGCGGAGGCGGAGCAGGGGCGAAGAGTTTCGGTATAAATAAGGCAGTATACCCAAGCAACATGCCTAGAAGAAACGTCGCTGTCAATCCTATTCAATCTGTCCTAGGAGGCAAGACCGATTGCTTGCCAAAGAGAAGGAATTGGCATCCAGGCGTGAAAATTATTTCGTGATGCTGTTTGGGAGCCATTCCTTCGCCGGCTTTGCAGGTTGAGCCAAAAGCCACTTAGCCGGGAGTTGGCAGGTGAAGATAATGTCAAGGTATTGCCCGTCCATCCAAGACCAGGAAGGCTTACAGGTCTTCATACCTTGAGCTTCCCAGTACGGTAAAAAGCCCACAACCATGGATAATCCGATCTGCTTTTTTAACAGACGGGAAATATATGAGGGCATTGCCAATTGCAGTAATTATGGTACCTGTCGGCGTGTCCTTGAATCAAGCAATCCCTATGGCCAATTGTCATCCACTTTTCCGCGATGTAGAGATTTTACTGACTGGAGATGTCAATGTTTGCTGAAGCACAAAGCTCACATTTGGTCTGGCAAGCAGACACTTACTATAGGTCATGTCGCCCGCCTTATTTCGTTCAGGGAAACAGATACGTAATTCGAATATCAAGCGTTCGGAAGCACATGTACTCTGTCGCACAGGTCTGTTCTCTTCCGTCTGTTTGCTCTCGTGTGTGGCTGATTGTCTCACACGGCATGATGGTTCAGGGTAACATCAGCTGCTATAAAGGGGAGCGAGCTTGCGCCAAGCGAGCCAGTAATAGAAGCCGAATAATGGATGTTATCACGTCTTTAGTATATTCTTCTCAAAGCATTGGTGTGAAACACCACGACCAGCGCCTCAGACAGGAAATCAAAGCAGACGGATTTGCTTCAAAGAAGAATCATCATAAAGACATCATCCACACTTGTCAGGGCCAACCTTCTCATATCCAAAGGACGAGAGTTGAAGCCTGCGGACATCCTTCGGAAATCAGAGGTTAGCATTCGAGTTCGCAAGCGCCTCTAGAACTACTTGGTCAAATGTTCTTGTGACGAAGGCGCAAGTCCAGCAATCGGGTAACCAACTGTTGACAGCATGTGGATAATGATCTCACATCTTATCAATAGCTGGGCAACGAGATGCATCCGGGTATTGTGATGCCAATCAGCGGTGGAGAGCCGTCATAGTGTAATACATCGTCTTAGTTGTGGAATGCTTGTCTGGACATAGTACCGCCGTCAATCCCGGTACCACATGCCAAGATAATCGAGGCCACTTGGCGAGACATACTATCCTAGGCGAGAGCAAATCAACTCGAGATCCGTTTTAACGTCGTAGCCTGAATAGCTTGGCAGACGCCAATCTCCGTTAATCGATCGAAGGAGCACCATAGGATCACCTGAGTTGCCTGCTAGCATCTTCGTGCCACGTACGGGGTGCAAATGTATGGCCTAGAGCTTTCTGGAAAAAAGAAACAGGGGGGGAGAAAGTCATCCGATGTGATGGTGTACCAGTGAACACCAAAATGGCACATCTTTAACCTCATAGAGATAACGAGTCGCGTCTCGTGGACAATCGATGAGCGGTTAGCATTCGACGATGAGGGTCTCCCTGATCTGCAGCATTCAGCCCAAGTGTCAAATTGGCGAGATGGATAAGCCCATTTGTTTGTAAGTAAGGGAGCCAATTGCCAGGAACCACAGCTACTCAGGTGAGAGTAGGCTTGGCTGAATGACTCTTCTCCTTACAGTACGCAGCTATCTGCTATTCTATCATTTTGCATTGCCAAGATCGCATGGCTTGGCACCCGTTTGCTCTCACAGGACGGGAGACACATCCGCAGCGCTACGGCCTGGCCATCTTTATCACGAATCAAACACGGATGCACGCGAGCCTGTGAACCAAGTCGGCCTCTTGGGCAGCAGGGAAAAAATCCCATCAGAGGGCAGATAACCGTCCAGTGCATCCACAAAGCTGTTGGTTTCCCGAGTGTGGCCCATCTCAGGACTGTGGCACGCCTCTTTGGACGACGGTGTGAGTCGAGCCCATGTCGATCAAGCAAATTCCAGAATGGCAGTCGAGATTAAAAAAGGGCACATGTATTCTTGACCAAGGAAAGTTCATCCCACGGCCTATCCCTAGTTTTCTTGGCAGTCGCTTTGGCGATGTACTTGCCGTCGCCAAGATGAGCTTGGAGTAGTGGGACTTGTCTTGAATTCGTAAGTCTGCCAAGAGAGCAGGCGAATCGCCCTTCTCAGGAGCGGGAGGATGGAGGAGGCTTGGGCAGGACAATCCATCTTCCTCCTGGGTTCAACCTTCTAAAGCAAAACCGAATGTCCGCAGTATGTTTTAAACTCAAGCTCAGCATCAAATGTCGCACTAGCGAGGAGACTGTGGCGTGGCCGTTTCGGCATTCTTTCTGACTCCCGCGAATGGGAGTTGCCAGACACAACCACTATCACGCATAGTGGTACTACAATTAGAAGCAACAGCAGCAGCCAGGTGATTGCAGCAACACCTTATGAGGTTCCATGCAGGGGAAAGTTGCTCAGGATGACAAGCCTCATCCTTGCCTTCTCTCGGCCAAAATCGACAGTACAAGGGAGCTGATGAATTCTCAGGCAGTAGATGAACTAATATCGCCTTTGAATGATGAGCGGAGAGTAATAAACCTCGGCTTGAAGAAGAACCAAGCGCCCAGTCTGCTGGCCGTTCCTGACTGCTGATGTAATGATTCCTGGTAGCTGTTGATGAGAGGTGAAAGGGATAACGTCCGCGTAATATTTGCCAGTATCCACCAAGCAAGCGGTACCTGAACGTGAGCCCCCTGATAGCACATCGTTATAGAAGCGGGCACGCTTCCGAGTTAGTGTGGAGTCCTCGGCATCTCCTCCGTACCGGGCACTTGAAATTAATTGCGCAAACATTGGAGCTTTCGTAATTCGTTCGCAATTTGAGATGTACTGCACAGCAGGAAGCCAATAAGAAGAGAAAAGGACAAAGCAATGCTGTCTTCGGCAGTCTCAGCTTAATCACCCTTTACTCGTACTCGAATAAGTGGAAGAGAGGGCAGAAAAAGAAGAATAAAAATAGAAAAATCCGTCGTCTGACGGGAGTAAGATGCTTCTGTCAAATGGACCCAGAGTACCTGCATCTCCGTACCCGTACCTGGTACTGCGCTCTGTACGGAGTACTGGGTACATGTTTGTCTAGGCCATAAAGTGCGATAAGAGTGCTGGTGGATGCCGAACCGCTTTGACGAGGAAAAATTAGTCAGTGGATTGACGCCAGGGTAGCTTAATGTCTAAGACTTGTCGTCCTTAATCCAAACAACTCTAAATCCAGTGGCACCTGAAAGGCCAATTGGAAGAGTACAGGAGGATCAGACGGCCCCTCTCCGTTGCATTCCAAGTCATCATTGCGTTGTACTCGTACTTGTACTTCCTCCGGAGCACCTGGAACTGTTTCAGGCAGAAAGGAGCATCAAGGTTGCGTCCCGCCCATGGGTAGGTAGATGATGCTGGTCCTTTAACTTGGTCTTGGTCCGTACGCATAAGGGTGCCGATGTGATTGACTTTCTTTGATCCTCTTGCTACCCAGCTTCATGTCCATTGTGGCTTGCACTATCGCCGATCCATCACGGAGAAGTCCAGCGGATGAATCTGGCGAGCATGAACTATGACGCCGCTGCCTGTGCGGCCGAACGTAGCGCTACATTTTGTAGACGCAATGCATCACGGGAAAATCCAGGGCAGTCTGACTCGCGCCTTGACGTACTAGAATCAAATTTTATATGTGCTCCGTCCTGATTGATGCATGATGATTGGCATTGGTGCGTCAAAAGGAAACTTGCCGAGTGCTGAGAATTGCGCGAAAAAAAGAAACACCCCCAAATTATCAAGAGAGGCGCGAAAAGCGCGGGCTTGGCCCATCGTTTCTTAATACCGTCTGTTACCGAATGAGCGCATGGCATATCCAGCCTAGCTTGAAGATGCTTCCTTGCCTGCCTCGCTGGAGGCGCTTTATGGTGCCGACTGAGCCGGCCAGATCCAATAGAGATGTACAGAGCATGGGCTTCACATAGACAGTCCGAACTTGTACAAGCACATGCGTCAAGGAGCGGCAAGCAAAAGAGCTTAAGGAATAGCGTAGGGTGCGCATGTGGAGGCAAAGGTACCGCTGTACTCGTACGTGTTGAAATTGTGAAGCGGACTGAAGGAAACTGGGCAGGATAAACTTGGCAAGCTGGCTAGCTGCTGGCTTGTTGCTGTTTGATCCATTCTTGGTAATCCGCTTGTGATCCATTACCGTTCTCACGGGGACACCAATTGAAGCGGAGCATCTTCGCTGCTCCAAGGACCCGTGTACCTTGCCTGAGCGTTGTGTTCCGTTCCCGGCAGCGTTTCTCCGTACTCGGTACAAGCATCAAGCAAGCGGGAGCGCAGTAATCAATGCATGGAACCAAGTATGTGGCACCTTGCAGCGTTGAGAATCCGATGGCGAGCGTCATTTTCGCTTCTTGCCGACGGGTCCCCTCATTACCGGACGGGGATATTTACAGGTCAAATATGATGATGCTCGTGACTCGTTGCTGCTTGAACCAAGGTGCTATTATTAAACCCTCGCTCCTTGGCTCTCTCATCCTTGACCGTTCTGAGACCCTGCATTGGATGCGTTGCCTATTCGTCGAGCGTGTTATTACTGGATCCCTTTTCAATCCCGCTTGGCCTGGGGTTGCAATTTTGCTTCGGCTTTTGCTCCTGCGATGGCTGCCAACGGCTAGATAGGCTCTGCGGCCGACTGGATCGGAGAAGGGGAAAGGGGGTCGACCGGGGGGCAATAGCAGGTCGTAGTTGGCTCCTAGAATTACCTGTAGCCGTACTTGGATAGCCAAGTGCTGCTGTGATTGAAGCGCCCCATGCGCCTCTTTTTTTTTCTAGGTGGTGGCATGCGGTGGCATGTGAGGCGCACCGTACTCTGGCATCAGTCAAAGCACGAAACGGTGGTTGGGCGGCTTTGACAAGATGACCGGAGAGGATCAGGAGCTTGATATGGTTTCAACGTCGAATACGTTGCTTGTGAATTAGCTGAGGGAAGAGACTATTTCGAGATGCACATGTGTGATGAGAGACACGAAATTTCGTTACGGCAGGGGAAACCCAATTGTTTCGAACAGCATCAGCCAACCAGCTACTGTATGTGAGCAATGAGCAATTGGAAGCAAGCTCTGCGACAGGGTAGTGGTATTAGCAATGCCGTCGATTGTTACTCCTTGCTTTAGTAAATGTGATGGTCATACCCGGCCTGATGGCCCGCTGTTGGTGCCTCGGACTGGTGCAAGGCCTCTCTCAGCATTGCCTGCACGGCACCCGGAGTAGCATAAAAAGCGAGGCCGATTGCGAGCTGACATTTGACACGGGGACGGTGCACCGGCACGAAAGGGGGCCAGCGCGCGTTGCTGTGAAAGCATGGTGTGCCAGCACTCCATACCTGCACAGTACAAGTAAGCCGGATGACCGCATATATCAAAAGGGTGCCTACCGATGGTGCTTGCAAGGAGAAGTAATAGTACGAGTACTTGACTTCATATGCTCGTAAGCTGTCAGACAGACAGCTCGAAATCGAACTGCTGCCCTGGCTCGCCTGGCCTGGCACTGGGGAAATCGGAGTGCTATGTCGATCCCTTGGCTGATGCGTCAGAAGGGGCGATGGGCGGCGATCGGGGGAAATTCCACACGCATGGCCCTCGTTGAGAAGACTTAATCACAAGAGTGGCCCATTGCTCATTCCATGTCTAAGCCATTTGATTGTGCCAAGGAAGACCTCATTGCAGAACCTGTAGAAAGGGCAATGCCCATGGGGAGTACCGAGTACAGAGTCCTGGTTTCAATACCCAAATCTGCCAGGAGCCGCGATGTTGGAACATACAAGGGTGTTCCGCGTTACCGTACCTAGTACTCCGTACGGAGTATGTACACGTATTGCAGTGCTACGAGTACATTAGTAGGAATACCTGTATCGGGCAGATCAGCACCAACAAGCAATCAGTACTGTGCGCTACTTGGCTACCTCGTACTCGGAGCTCCATTCATTACGCCAAGCGGCGATCAAATATGCCTTCTTCTGGGTCGGGCTCATTGAACCTGTTTCTGGAGCTAACTAGCAGAGGTAGTAGGTGTTAGCACGAAACAGCCAGCTCTTGGAAATATGCGCCAAGGCTTGATTGATCCAAGCGAACGATGGTGGTTGGGGAAGAAGATAGCCCTACGGTGAATACTGTAGCTGTGCTGTAGCGTACGAGTAGCGATACGCGCAGACTCCAGCACGGGAATACATAGTAGAGCATCACCGCCCTGGGCTAGGCCGACAAGTAGCGATGTGGGCGTGAGGTCAGGTCGGTCGCCCAGTTTGGAGTCGTGGTCGTATTTGGTGTGCAGATGATGAAGTCTGCAAGAGGAGAATTCCGGAGAGGCGCGCATAATGTCAAGTGCATATGTTGGGTGGGAGGTACCTACGGGCATGTACAGTATCGCACACTCTGCAGCTGCACCTGATATCTTCAGCTTCTCGATACAGAGCAGGTGCATATGCAGGCGCCTGTACATTAGGTACCTAAGGCGCTCTAGGTAAATACTACAGCCAGGTACTACTAACCTACCTGGTAGTACCTTAGTACTTAGGCACTTGGCAGCGGTGCAAAATCTCTGCAGCGAATCGAAAATTAATCACCGGATGGGCCACCTCGTAGGACGGGGTAGAATAGCCTCATATCTACTGTCTATATCTACAGAGTATACGCAGCCAAATTGGAGGGTTTTTTTTATTTTTTATTTTTATCAAGCTCTCTATAAGGGTTTGGCGTTGAAAAAAAATAAAAAATGGCTGTACAGGGACTTGGCTGCATTAATCTCTGCAGCGTTTATTGTAAATGGCGGTTTTCATATCTGGAGGTGTGCCGGTCTTATTTGGAGGGTACGAGGAGCGAGGAGCGAAGCGAAGCGAAAGTTGGCGCCGATTACGGTACGTACCGAGTACATACTCGTACATGTGCCTACTCCGCATCTCCCACATTATGCCAGGGCATGCTGCATGTTCAAGCTTCACAACTCCAATGCCCGCACATATACAAAGGATTCTAGCTCGACGCACGCCGAGACTCTGTTGGGTCTGTTCAGCCCGCAGTTTCCGGCGTGGTATCCAAGCACTGTGCATTTTGCCGGCGTCATCAATTGGAATCTGCCGGCTGCTACGGTGCTCTGTAGAGCCTGTACTCGTCCAGCACAGCAACACTGAATCAGGTGCCTTGGCCCCTGTGGCACCCCAAAGGATTGCCCTCAACGCTGCTAGTAAGGAACATGTAAGTCAACTGTAGCGCCTTAGCCAGATTGCATGGTGCTAACGCCTTGGCATCGACACAAGGGACACAACGGACGACAAGCCGGTGCTGTAATGTACCGATGTATGTACTTTGTGCGTTGTACCTTGTACTCGGGCCTGGTGTGCTGTACCGTGTACCTCGACGTTCTGCACACTCCACGGATGGTCCCCTTCACCCCCTCCAGCAGTATATGTGCTTCTAGATTTGCTAGAGTCGCCTCTATTTAGACATTGCCCATTGTTTTTATTAAATGCCTCCACCTCCCACGCTTTGGATCATTTCTTCCTCGTCCTGTCTTGGCTGGCTTTACGGAGTACTGGATCGAGAGACGAACAGCACGGGGAACAATTCTCCACATTTTAGTTTTCTCTCTCTATCGCACTCTTCTTTTCCCTCTTCTTTCTTACTTCACCGCACACCTACTCGTACATATCTTAATTCCAAACCTGGAGTATAACCTCTCGACTGTCATCTACAGCATATTCCTACAGCCTTTGCCTCTTCTCTCCTTTTCACATCGACGCCGGGACCCGACTTGGCATCTGATTTGGTTCACCGACTTGATTTCACGCAACGAGCAGCAGCTCCCCAAGCATCGGCTTACAGCCCACCCCAAGGTGCTTTAAAAGCCTCGGTGGGGACATTTCGTTGCGAAAAAAGCCCGCTATACGACCGACGCATCAACGCGGAAAGGGTAAAGAGGACAAGAGCAGACGATTGGAACAAACGAAACGAAGTAAAAAAGGGAATGGGAGAAAAACAAGGCTTGAAAATCGACGCTCCGATATCTGCCATCATCCAACTCCACACATGCCGCCACCGGTCTGAAACGAAACCTTGACGACACCCATCTTCAACTCTTTTTCTTCTCCTATGAGGCACACTTAACCACAGCCAGCCCCTCCTCGACACCTATCTGCTATCTGCCATCTGCAGTCCTTCGGTGTCCAAAGCCAACCCAAGATTTACCCCGTGGAATCGAAGCAGTCCACGGCCAAAAAACCACCGTCTCGGCAACACCGCGGACTTGAATCTTTTCGTCATCGCTGCCGAGCCTGTTGGCTGCTGAGTGGTTAATTCGCCCAGCCCAATTACGTTGCAGTCCCGCCCCAGAGATCCCTCCCAGCAGGATCGTCCCCGAATCGAACGCTTCTAGAGAAGCACCAGCAGCGCGCTGATTCGACTGCAAGCCGGCGCCTAGACGCTAGAGAAGCACACGCAGCTCTCGAGGCACAAGCGGCGCCTTACTTACAGGTGCTGTACCACCGCTTCTCGCTTCCAGAACAGTGGAGCTCCAGCTGCCAAACCAACCGCCAGCCCAACCGCCAGCCCAGAGCTATGGCGCTTTCAGCAGGTCCGGGGATGCTGGTTCCTACAGCTTCAGCGCAAGTAGCGCCAGCAACCCCCCAGCCATTTCCGGCTGCAGACAGTGAGTGACTTCTTCGCTTCTTCGCTTTTGTTAGATAAGCCTTGCTGCATTTCGAAGGCGAACCTGCCATTTCCGCTCCCCCCCTCCTTCCCCCATTCAAAAGAGGCATGTGTGGCACCCGCAACGCCTCTTTTCTGCGCTGCAGGTTTTTTTCCTTGGCGCATATTGCATCTTCAACACCACCTTTTTTGCGCCTCCTGCTGAATAATTCACTCCAAACATTCAAACTTTTAGTTTGTTGTTTGTTGATATAAACCTATATTTTGCGCCCGCCTTACCTTTTCCCTATTTTCCCTTGAACAAGCCGGCTTGATATTCTTCTTCTATTTCTCTTTCTCTTTCTCCCTCTTGTTCTGTTTCAGTATCATCATCACCATCTTCATCAGCATCATCTTACTGACCCAATCTGCCGCTGCCCTCAGCGGATAATTGCGCGCAATCGCTTCAATGCTCCTGTGATAGCAACTACTACTTCAAAGCCGGTTCGCCTCCTCGCCAAGCGCCAATCGATCTCCCAGATCCAATCCTCGAGGGTGACGAGACGGAAAGCGAGGGCCCCATTGAGCCAGTTACACCCACGAGCGGCCGCCAATCGCAGGATTTTACCTCGTTGAGGAATGCGCATGACCAGGATCAGGACGACCGCAGCAGTTTCAACATACAGTCAGACCAAATCTTGCATCAGCAGCACCCTGCCGGCGCTGTGACATCTGCAAGCAAGGCCGCTATCCTCTCTTCGTCTTCGCGCAAGACGGCCTCTTCAACCCTGAATCCGATTCCAACTGCGCAACCAACTTCCAGACCAACCTCCAGACCAACCTCCAGCAGCCTCCTCTCCCCTACATTGGTTCCGCCTGTCTCAATTTCAAAGCCGGGCACAGCATCTTCTTCTGAGCTCGCCCCTAGCATCAGCAATAGCAACAAATCTCTTACAGATCTGACCCCCACTTCTAGTCGACCTTCTTTTCAAGAACTTCCCCCACCAGCGCAACGCTCAGGTCGGCTTTCAACTTCCAGCATCAAGATCACAATGACCAATTTCTTTCGCCGCCCCGGCGCACAGGACGCCCCGGTCTTTGAATCCGGATCGCCTACGCCCTCGGAATCTTCCTATCTGCACCGGCCCCCCACCAGCGGCGCTCGCCCAGCTACACGCTCAAGTCGCTTCTCATTTACACGGCCGTCTAACACGACTATTCGATCTAATTCTCCCCCATCTCCCGGGGCGCCACCTCTCGAAATGGTGCAGGCGGATAAGCAGTCTCTTGTTGACGAGACGGAGCTCAAGAAGAAGAATCGTGCATCGACCGGATTCAGCCTGCGGGGCCGAGCCGTCAACTTTGTCGGCACAACTGTCGGCCGCACTGCTGGGCGCCCTCCTAACAAAGGATCACGCCGTGCCAACAGTTTTGATGCTGGAAGCCGTGGGCCTCTTCCTCACCCGCATGCCAAGATAAATGCCGGCGATCAGACGTATCCCCCTGAGCGACAACCCTGGGCGATGCCCCCGGATGCGGGAACCGGCGCCAAGGCACGTCGCATGAGTTTGAGCCTGCCGGATGATTTCAATGTGGATGTCGCTGTGCTACAGGATGAGTTTGAGTACCAGAGCAAGCTTTTGGGCCGGCACGGCAAGCATCTTGGAAAGGGCGCCGCTTCCAAAGTTTCTCTCATGGTGCGCAAGGGCTTCCCCACCGAAATGTATGCCGTCAAGGAGTTCCGAGGCAAGTCGGGCCGGGAGAGCAAGGAGGACTACGATAAGAAGATCAAGTCAGAATTCAGTATCGGCAAGAGCCTACACCATCCTAATATTGTCGAGACTATCCGCCTCTGCACGGATCACGGACGCTGGAACCACGTCATGGAATACTGCTCCGAAGGTGACCTGTTTAGCCTTGTGCAGAAGGGCCACCTGAAAGGGGATGCTAAGCTCAAGGACCGCCTGTGCCTCTTCAAGCAGCTCATCCAAGGCGTCAACTACCTGCATGCCAACGGCATCGCCCATCGTGACATCAAGCTCGAGAACCTGCTCATCACAAAGGATAGCAAGTTGAAAATTACTGATTTTGGTGTTTCCGAAGTCTTCTGCGGCACACATCCAGGCCTTCGTGAATCCGGCGGCCAATGTGGTAAGAACATGGGCGAGATCCGGCTCTGCCGCCCGGGTATCTGTGGCAGCGAGCCCTATATTGCGCCGGAAGTGCTCTTGAAGAATGCAGATTACGACCCACGAGCTTTGGACGTGTGGAGTGCAGCCATTGTTATGATCTACATGACTTTTGGCGGTGCCATCTGGTCCAGGGCTGAAGCCGGCAACCTTCACTACGACAAGCTAGTAACGGGCTGGAGCAAGTGGAACAAGAAGCACGAGGACGAAAAGGACGCCGCCATCACAGACACGGACTATCCCAACTGCTACGCTCTTGATGTCGGCGTTAACCCTCCAGCCCTGCGACGCATTCTGCTGCAGATGCTCAACCCTGATCCTGACAGCCGCATCAGCATCTACGAGGTTATCACCAATCGATGGGTCAAAAATATCGAGTGCTGCCAACTCGAGTCGTACGACGATCCCAAGCACATCATTGATGTGACCAAGAAGGATTACGGCGGCAAGAGCGGCAGCAAGATCTTTTGCCATAACCATCTTCCACCAAAGACTCACGGCTCTCACTCGTTGGGCAAGATGCCCGGCCAAGCTGGCTATTAAGAGCGCCATACCTCATCCAAGCGCTCTCCGCAAGTGTTCGCCAGTATTCCATCACATATCGACCATCTTACGGCCGAGCCTCTTCAGTTTTTCTCATAAATTTTTCTTTATTCATCGAAATCATTTGTCAACATTGGGTGGAGCGAAGTGGCTTTCTTTTTTTTTTTTTCTCTCATCAATTTCACGTCTCTTTCTGAGCTGATCATAATAATTCCCTGCCCGTTTCCATCCATGTCTACTATTCTCTTTTCTCTTTTCTTTTTTTTTCCATGGGTCGGTACACTGTCCAGGTGGGAATAAGAGTTGTCACCTCACGCATTAGAGTTGGGAGCGGAGTGCTGAGTAACCCAAGAGGGAGAGTCAGCCCGGTTGGCGTTTATTTGGAGGTTGAATATCGTCCTTTTTCTTACGGTATTATTCGGGACTCACCACGTTAACCTTTTTTTCACCTTGAAAAGCTAGCTGGTGGTCTTTACAAATACGGTATTTCATTACAGAGCATACATGGGATGTGAGATCGTGAGTCGATCCAGCCCTTTTCTTCTCTTTGTTGGGTTGCATACATCAAGACGGGGAGATGAGTCCACGCGAGTGTCATGATATCCTTAGCCCAAATAGAGTGGGCGGCCAATAGTGTTTCATGCATGCATGGAGGATTCCATGCCATTTTCTTAATTTTCCTTAGTGAGTGTCACTTCAAGAGACGCGGAAATTCATTGAAAAAGAAAGTTCGGCTAGTTGTCTTTTGAGATTTGTTCCTCCTTTCCTGTGGAATGAAACGGGGCAGCCGCTGCAATACCTGAGAGGGGTGACAAGGAGCGCGCCCTGTGAGGGTATTTACAGAGTGGCAAGACGAGGTGCGCCATGCAGCGCGCCTTGGGAGGAGGCGCAAATTCCCATTCCTAATAGATCCCTGAAGATGTACCTTAATCTTGCCAATAAATTCAAGCATAAAAGCTGATGATTGCAATAAAAGAGACCAGTCATTTGAGCAGCCAAGGCAGTAGTATATCCTGCCCGCTCTCCCCACAGACCATCTGTTGGTGACATCGTGTACCAAATGACCTAAACGTATACAGCATCACGATCCATTGTAATATTGCATGGCATAAGGAGCGCGGCTGTGGTGAGACATACAGAGCTTCACGTGGGAGGCTTGATTGAACCACACGAACTCGGAGAAGGCCGCGGGAGAGGCTTGGCCAGTTCTCCAATAGCCTAGCAATCAGCTCTACACATTTGGCGCCAAGCCCGCGCGAAAATGAACAAGACTAGTGACAATCGACGTGGTGAGAATGTGGCAATGGCGAGGGATCTTGTGACAATCGAGAGCTGCTAGAACGGCCGCCAGAATGTTACAGCTGATATAGCTGATAAATTCTCCCGAGTCAGAAGGGGCTGTACAGGACTTATTAGGCGAGCCCGGTCAGAGCTGAAGGCTGCTTACAAGCAGGCATGGAGACTGGGTGAGTGAGGTGGATAGTTGGCAATAGCGCAAGCAGAATTACCACCACTAATGCTTTGACGTTTTGGCTGCATGGCGATGGAGGGGTGTGTGCCATACAAGCGTCCGTAAAGAAGGGTTCTAGAGAAGCCATTCCATTCGTCGATGAGGCGAGCTGTGTACTCCCTATCCCCTGTTTGAATTTGGCATGTGAAGCTACCTAGCAAAGGCAGGTTTTTCGGCCACTCTTTGAGGACGAAAGATGCGAGATACGAAGGGCTCTGGTGTTGGCCAATGTTGAGGCGCTGACACGGTCCATGTCACCTTGTCGCCTTTCTCATGCGTGAAGCACGGGCCTTGGCTTCAAGCAGCCCCTCTCTGTTGAAACCAGTGCACGGATGATGAGAAACAAATTTTCGCCGGTGCTCGGTCATGGAGGCGTCGCCTTTGGCATACCATCTTATTCCATCGCTAAGCTAGCTGCATCGCATCGTTTGGATTGATCACAGATATGCATCCGATGCCGTTGTCGGGCGACAGCTGCCGGCTTGGCTGCAGATCAGCCGCAGGGAGTCGAACGCATGTTGCGTGTGTGCGGCCAAGGGTATTCGACGCATAGCCGTCTTTTTTTTAGCCAGGAGATGCGATTGCCGTGCTTCGATCAGCGGCTTCATCGGCGTCTTGCGATATCGGCTGCATGCAACGGGAGATTTCATCTGTCGAGCTTCGGCGCAATGGTGACCGTGATTCATCGAAGAAACGCCGAGTCCGATGGTCACTCCATCGCCGACTGACTCGTTTGCCTAGCACCTTGGGTCGAATGACAACCTTGGTCTATTGTTGGATAACCGCTTTACGCGGTTCAAATAGTATGCTCGCACGCGAAAGCACGAGCTGGTGAACTGTAGTACCAACATCCAGCTAGGATGACTACTAGTAGACCTCTTGGCTTGGCTAGATCTCCCTTGTATGTCGAATCCCTCAGCCATGGCCCCCAGTTGTTGCCGGTGTGCCGTAGATGGTGTGAAGATTGCATGTGAGGCTATTCTTTGGAGCATTTTTGGTAGGACCCTCAGCGGATGTAGAGAGTACTTGACGGCGTTTCGAGGGTATTTTATGAAAGTAGTATGTACTTATGCAACTTCGTAGATCTCCAACACTGACCGCTCCCATCTTTGAAGGGGGCGTGTGCAGATCTGCACATGCGGACCGTTGACTTGGCACTTCGGATCGACCTACTAGTACCAAGTCAGTTTTTCTGATATATTTTGGGGGCCAACTGTACTGCGGCTCAGATGCAAGTCCAACACCAGCAAGCGAGTCAAATCGTGCCTCGAGTGCGGAGTATGAGCGAAGATGCATCTCCTCGGAGACGGCGGCCGAATGACGTTAGAGAAGGACAAATTGCCGTCGGCCACAACGGCTTATACGGAAATTGATATGTAGGGATGCTTCCTAAGAGATCCTTCATAGCTTGGATAATGGAGCTTTAGCCTTACTGGGCTTCTTGTGCCTTTAGGTTGATATCGACGTGGCAAGCGACTTCGGATGGCATCCGATTCTCCTCTTCGGCAAAAGTCCAATCAAGATGGGCCGTGGCATAGGTACAAGGATGATGGCCTTTTCAAACTTAGCAGCATTCTAGAAAAGCAGATTAGGATTAGGCAAGGGCTCACCTTCAAGCTATCGATACTATACCAAACCTTGCGGGCAAATCCAAGATCCAAAGACGTAGAGGTGTAGGCGATAGTTTCTGTTGGCAAGTTCAGCCGACTCTATTTCCAGGACGGCAAAGTGGTTCATGTTCTGTTGGGGAAAGTTACCATGTGAAGGTAATCGCCATTACTGAGATTCAATCGGAGCGGAAACATAAAAAAAGTCTTGAGAGATGTAGGTAGCAAAGAAATAGGAAGTCTTGGGAACGTGATAGAGAGACGTGATGTCACATGATTCGTCCCATCAACACCGCAGAATGGCAGAAAAGGAAGGAAAGAGGTAGGAAGATAGGCTTTCCACCGCCTTCACTCTCCGACATACTAATTTTTCTTTCTTTCTTTCTTTCTTTTTTTTTTCCAATCTGTCTTCATCCCTACTCCCAGTTTGCTACGGCATACCTGGAATTGTTTTGCCCGTAGTTCCTCTCATTGCGGCATATCGTATTTCAATACTCTCATTTATCGAACAAGAGGACCACGGAGGCTGGAAGATGATTCGTCCAGATCAAGCAGATGAATTCGGCCAGTGTGCGCCGTCAAATATGGTAGGTTGCCCCGTCTGCAGGATGCTACCTGGGACGATTCAAAGACTCGTCATTGAACAAAGGCTGAACATCAACTCTAGTTGAAAGCCTTTGATAGGCGAGTGGCAGTATTATGCGATCCAGCCAGTTTGAATCAAGAGATTAGCCTGGCTAACTTTAGGGACCTTGGACTACGATGACGCCGCCAAAATTCGACAACATCATTTCAACCAGGTAAGCATATTTCACTGAGGCCCTGATGCAAGCACGAGCGTGCTGTGCTTTTTTACGATAAATCGCAATCTATTTGCGCAGAAATCTTCAAGTCAGAGCATAGGAATACACTTTTCATTTCTCCTTTCCACCATTCGCGCAACCGAGCTGGACGATTCACAACCATCAACTCGCTAGAAGGAGAGAGAGACAGAGCTGTATGATGACCAGAGTTGTTTCTTGTCCAATAAACTGCATCCAAAGAATACAGGATCATGCCTATATTCGAGCCACACTCTTACCACCATTCACCAAAATCCTCGTCAAGACGGTTCGCTTCGGATTAACAGCGCCATCATGATAGCCTCCTACCTGAGCCGCTGCATCTTCGAACGACAATTGTTACAGAGTATGTATGTTGGCTGGTGAATTCTGCGCTGCCGCAGCGGAGCTCCAAAGATCTATGAATTCGGCCCAAACCAGAGCATACAGTATGTCCACCAAAGTTGGCTCTTTCCGCTCACTCCTGCTTGTGTGTTCTAATAGGTGGGCAGGATATCCGATTTCGCCAGCGGTACTATCACCTCTAGGAGCAGATTCCTAGCAAGGCACAATAATCACTGGACTCGCTAAAGCAGGTCAATTCATCACAGCAGATTATTCATCTGCTTCCAAAATCCACCTGCTTCCAGTGGATGTTTGCGTCGCTCTACTACAAAGGCCACACACAATGACCTGCTACATCGACCCAGACTACTGCCTACAAAAGTTGGACGACCAAATCTATCGCAATTGATTTTGTCAAGGCAACTCTTGCGGATAGGTCCAAGAGAGCCATTGCCGACTACTCGTCGTTTAAGAATGATATTTCCATCAAAAGCCGCCGTCAATGATCCTCCACCAAGTGGCATCACAAAATCGCATCCGTCACTAACATTGGATGACAACGTTTCAAAGCAATGAATTACTCAAATTCTATGGGCAGTCTTGCCAATATCATACGAAAAAGAAAAAAAATCGATATTCAGTATCGCCTTTGGCGCCGTGACGTCGGTCGGCGTGAAAGTTGATGCTACGTCATTGAAGGATTCCCTCCATCCACTAAATCTCGCAATATTTGGCGGCATTGCTCCTACAAACGAGATCCTAAACTCTTTTCATCCACCGCTCTCTCTTTGCAAGAAACCATCAGCCTGCCAAATACAATATCATTATTTACATTGCTGTATAGCATATTGATCAATATCATTCCCAAAATGCACCTCTCAGGACCCTCCCTGGTCTTGGTCGCCACGGGCATCGTTGGCTCGACATGGCTCTCCGGTAAATCCCAAATCCTAAATCTTCGCATCAAGTTTCGCATGACAACAAGCGATTCTCATTCATTCCGCAAATAGGAGCCATCATATCTTTTTCGATTGGTGGAGCGCCAGCTGCTGCCGCAATGAAACAATCGTCCGCCAAAATCTGGGCTGAGCTGTACAAGCGCGGGGCGGCTTCGATGCCAAAGTTCGCCATTGGCACTTCTCTGGCGTACCTATTCGCAGCGTACGACTCTTATCGTAGCGAAGGATCATGGGGGAGCTACCTGGGAGCTGCTGGTTGCGTTTTGTCCATTATTCCCTTCACCTTGACAATTATGAAAGACGTCAATGGGCAATTGCATGAAGAGGCTCTTAAAGAAGACAGCGGGGAGGCGCAAGTGACCACAATCCAAGTCGAGGGCCTTCTGGATCGATGGATTACTCTGAACTTGATTAGAGGCCTCTTGCCGCTCGCAGGAACTGCCTTGGGCTGCTTCGCATTTCACCGCGATGGGTTCTAATGCACTCGTACATTTTTATGGAGCCATTGATAATCACTCAGCAAATGAGGTGATACAAGACGTTGATATGCCACCAGGGTACATCAACACTAGTTTCAGTTCTGTCAAGGCATGGATCACAAATCGGAGGCTATGAACATGATGGCTCTATTTTGTTTCCAAGCTTTATGCTTCACTGCCTTTAACCATCGGTGATTTTACATTGCACTGGTTACACTGCTCATGCACTCATGCACCAGGTAATTTATTTCAGTCACACAGTCAAGGTGACAGATTGGCCACCCAGCATGGAAACACCAGAATCAGGAAATAATGACACCGCATTGTACGACATACTCATTTCCTTACAGCTAATTGCCAGTGAAAATAAGAGAGAAAGGCAGTGACCAAGCCACATTTGGAGATCCGAAGCAAGCACCTGGAATACCCAAAGGCGTGATAATTATCGGTCTCGAGTTTACCGGATACTGTCGCAGAAAATGTAGCCCGTTGTTGGCTTTAGCTTCCGCGGCATCTACCAAACACTCCCTTATCAAACATTCGGTAGACTAAGCATTTGATCTCCCGTATTTTGCCCTCTGCGGATTCACGAAGGAGGGTGGAGATGACAGTCTGCCTACTGTTCTTTTCTGCTCTATTCTTTTCTACTTGTCTCCTTTCCCTTCTTCTCCTTTCTTTTCTTTTTTTTTCTGGCAATATCCTGTGATGTCAGATTGTTTGCCTGAAGTGAAACAACAAAAGCAATGACTTTCAGGGATCCTCATCCTTCTTGGTACTAGGCACGGCGATAGCATTGCACGGCCGAAATCAAAGCAGACAAACAAATCATTTCTCAATAACGGCAAATTATATTGCTGGAATAACTGAAAGATGGATACTGATAACGAATACCGTGGCAAGCTGTGGTTTGCCGACAAAATAGATTCCTTTGCCAGGCATTACTTCATACTAGGGGAGAAGCCACGATAATGGATCGAAACTCGACGCGCATGAATGCCAACAACAGTGGTATGAATAGTTTGTATTGGCGCCTGAGCAAGGTCTTCCGATCTGGATCGGGGGTCGCCTTTGCGGCCATCGAGCACCTTTCAAACCCCCAGTCCTAGACTGATCAATCCCCTGTTGTTGCGGAGCCGCATACATGGTTATCGCCGGGAAGAAACTGAGATAGACAGCCAATGCGCAGAAGCAATGGATGGGTCCGATGGTGATGGACTGACATTCTTTTTTTCAGCTCACAGGCACGATCTGATTGTGAGCACAAGTTGGTCATACGCAAAAAAATACTGCGGTGGGTGAGAAAGCCACCAGATGTGATCCCCGGTTCCAATGAGACATGAGAGATATTATTGTGCCACGAGCTATTGGCACAATATGCTGACCCGCCGGATTCTCTGTTCATCTAGAGAATGTCAGTCTTTGTATGGTTGGGAGAAAAGAAATCGGAATCATCAATCTCCAGTCGCCAAAAGACTATGGCATTTTCTGGCAACATGATTCAAGCCGAGGCTTTTCCCAGTGAAATGAAGCATGAGACGGAGTAGATCTTTCGAAAATGGACTTAGCCAATCCTGATAAGGACGCAAACTCGAAAGCATAAAGAGGTGCTTCATATTTTCGAGATGATTGACAAGCATATCTCGACATGTGGCATTGAGACTTGCACTATTTTTGCACATTTTGCATTCTGTCATAAAATCTAGGTCCATGAGACGCCTCAACCATGACGAAAAAGCCTAGCCGCGCGAAGTACGCCTGAGAGAGTGATATGGCTGCAAGTCTCAGCAAGGGGGAACCACGTGCTCCCTCGAATCACATTCCCAATCACCATCGACCGCTTGGTCAATTACTTACATGGTGGCAAATCGAAAACAAATGCAGCCGAGATTAGGCGTGAAGCCGCTGACCATTAAGCTCTATTGAGTATCCCAATCAATGCTGAGTGTGCCGGGTGAGAGATTCTGGTACACTCCTACCCTGCGACATGAGAATGCGATATGCGAAATCTCTGATGCACCGTGGAAACGTGCCCATGAGAATCCGATTACACGCTTTGATTTGACTCTCTTAATCCGGCAATGGAAGCTTCTTAGCATGATAGGAACAGCAGGCGTCTCGGCTTCCTGAGAGAAAGAATCGGCAAGCGGCCATGCAGAAATAGCCATGAGAAAAACAAGCATACCTATTTGCATAAATTCCCGGACTGGGAGAGTTCCTTCCGGACTGCTACGATAGCCTGTATCAGGCATGGAAAGTATAGCGTGGCCCTCATGCGAGTTCAGCAGGTAGGGCGCGGACGCTGGGAGGCATGGCCAAGAGCCTCATCAACACACCCAATGGCCCTTCCTTATTGCGATTAGAAATATTACAAGCCAAGAGCATCAGGCACCTATCCAGGGCCCCCGCGAGAGATGCGAACTTGAGGCGGCAACCCAACTCCACCTCGGCATATTATCCTGGTGATCCGATATGACAGATGAAAAGCTCGACGCCACAAGCGCGGGAGAGCAAGGCAGACCCATGTATGCCTGTATGATGTGGGAACTGAGTGCTGAGAGTGTGCCAACAGGGTACGACTACAGTTGTAGTGAGTAATAACCAGGCTCGCTCGAAAAGCCATGTCTCTAACTTGGCAGATCTCAAGCACTTCTGACAAGCGTTTTTTTGGCACAAGCTACAGGTGACTGACTGTGTGAACCATTGTCTCAGCCGTAGTCTCACGGCTCGATCCAGATCCGGCTCTCCGGAGGTAGATCCCACGCCCGCCAGTGTACCGCAGCATACATACAGAGGACACACTAGCAAAACGAGAATCCAGGAGCGGCCATGAGGCAGTCCTCGCGGTTGTTCTGGCTTTAGGTGTTAGTCGGTCCGTGAAGGGGAAGAAAGCAGGCTGGCATAAGGTAAGCATCAAGCCTTTTCCTTGTCATGTCTCGCGCCAACTTGCGCTGTGCTTCTCCCGCTCTGCCGCCTTCTTAGTTTTTCTGCCTCTGTCCGCCTGTCCGCCCTGCTTCTGACGCTCTTGTCTTAGTCTCTCTTTCTCTCTCTCTCTCTCTCTCGTCCACCGGAGCTCTGCCACTTCTCCCCTGCTAGACTCTACTCTAGCCTCTTGGCGAAATATCCAGCTCACCGGATCTTGGGCTACGAGCTGCAGTCGCCCCGGTGTCTAGCGCACCCACCTCGACCATCATTTCCGGAGACGTCAAATCGGAGGTTCGAGGCTGTGGCTGTGGAGAAGACAGCCCAGACAGCGGCATGATTTTCCAACAAAAACCAGGTTTCTTTCTTTCTTCTTCTTTTCCTTTCTTTTTTTGGCGGTGGTATTTTTGCTTTTTCTTTCCCTTGCATGTAAATGTTTCTGAGACGAGGCTTGTGATTTGATGTGCGCAGTGATGCCCAAGAGCCCGAGGCACTCCTTGCTCATACCTGCTCGTACCTGCTCGTACTCGCACCAATTCGAGGTTCTCGGACGGCCTTTGAGCTCCAAGACACCTCCCCATTCATCCAGATTGTCACGAAAAATGATGCAATGAATGAGAAACCATAAGCATCTCATGATAGCGTGGAAAGAACTCGTGGAGACGACGGACGGGCAAGTTTCATGCTCAACAGCAGACGATCATCTTCCGTCACATTTTGCCATGCCCTCGCCTTCTCTCATGGCCATCCTCACTGCGAGTTCAGGTTCTCCGTACTCGTACAGGCCTGGCCATCTCTCTGCTTAGCCGATTAAGCCTAGGCCCACAGTGAACGAATCAGGCTGCAGTGTGTGTAACTGATATTCGAGACAGCAAGGATTATCAGTCTCCCTTCTGACTCAAATGTTTGCATGGTTTTGGCGCCGCCAGCCAGCCTCGCGCTACGTCTTGCTTCGTCACTATTGGTACGTCCAAATGCGCCACGTATTGGCTCACGAATCTTCCTCTGCTCGTTGTCTCCCATCCGTACCTTCTTCCTTTGCCTCTGCCTCTCTCTTTTCACTTGGTCTTTTCAAAATGATCCTAGCTCTTTTGGTAGAAAAGTGTGTACTTGAACTGATGAATCTCAGATCGAGAAATCCCCCAACCAAGCCAAAAGCGCCACGCTTAGAGCTGAGGGAACTAAAAGAATGACGGGAACTAGCCCCGGGAATCCGGAGTCTTGCACCCATCACAGGCGGGACTCAAGCCACGAAATTGCCAAGTCAAGACCAGTCAAGCCCACTAGCGTCCCCGAACATGGTGTTTGCTTTTAGCCCAGACAGCTGAGCTTCTCTCGGGCATCGTTGCTGTGGCGTGGGGGAATGATGCGATGCCACAGTAAACGCCGATCCGTGTGAGAGCCCAGGGCGTGTTCCGCTTCATTGATCATCTCTGCTTTTCTCTGCCTAATCAGAGAGATCTCCATGATCCCATTCGCTGCCAGACCCTCACAAGAGGGGCCCTCCTACCACAAGATCTGTGCTCTGCTGATGCTACTATTCGGCACACATTGTATCCTTGGACAAGACGACGAATGAAACCGAAGCAGATGCAGGAGCAAATGCAAATGCAAATGCAAGTGTCGTGCATAATGATGGAGCATTTCGTGGCTGGGCTATCGTGACGTGGTTTTTGGCTCATTGAGAGCCAGCCAAGGACCGTCTACTTCAGATGCCTCTGCCTCCAATCTCTCACAGGCCATGCGGGTGCTTACCTGTGTGCCTGCACCTGGGTATGTGCCCGGTATCCGATGCTGCTGGGTGAAACACGGCACCCGCTTTATCAATATGACGGCCTCGCGGCCTCATTATTACTTTTTTTGTCGCAGAGATCTCTCTCATAGTGGCAGTTGATGTGAGTTGTGGCTGAGACATACTCTTGCCGTACTCAGCTCCTCTTTATGCAATGCTGCACACGTGTGTATATCACTCCCTCGTACAAAACTACTTGGGTCAAGTATTTCCCGTTGTCTATACTCCGCAGCTGTCAGAACAGGCGCATCTCTTTTCTTTTATCATATCGCAATCATCTTCGGTCGGCATAGATTTTCATGACGAGGACGCTGTTGATATTGTGTGTTTTTACCAGAGTTCTCTCAAATAGATTTCATAACACCGCCATTCACAGCGCTGTTTTGAATCAATAGCAGCAATGCCCATTACCACAATCCTCCAGCATCAGAGGGATAGAGAGAGGCGAGATCAGCCAGGTCCGGACCTACCCTCAACCGAAAATGACAGCATACCCTCAACAGGAGATGACAGCATACCTTCAATGGGAGATGACAGCATACCCTTAATGGGAGATGACAGTATGCCCTCAATGGGAGATGACAGCATGCCCTCAACGAAAGATGACAGCAATACTGGAACGCAGGATAGCATCGAAAAAGTCCGAACTGATTCGGCACGAGGCATGGAACAATCTTTTGGAGTGTCTCTGCCCAACACAGAGGAAAAGGCGGCGGAAGCAGTAAGGCGATCGGTTGAGCCTAATTCCACTCATCAGTTGAAGCTACCCAATGGCCCAAAGTCTAGCCGCCCGGAAGTCGCAGCATCATCTACCAAGCGAGTTTCCGCTGGGAAGAACAATTCAAAACAGACAATTACCAACCGCCCCATTGCAATTGCTCCACGGGTGGTCATTGCTCCACTGGTGGTCCCCCTCGATGGCCACAATACTGGACAAATGCCTCCTGCGAATAACAGTTCTGGGCTGGCATCCCAACAGATACCACAAAGCAGACAGATATCTTGTGCGGATAATGAAAGTCGACAGATTCCTTACCGAGGTCACCATGATGACCCGCCGTCTCCTACGGTCTCAGATTATGAGATTGCACGGCGTGCTTTCAACGCTCTCCAGATTCGTAATGATCAAGGCGCAGCACCTGGTATCAACAACACTCAGCAGGCAATTCCTAATGCTCACGTCAACGAGCAGACCGCTCCGAGAGTATACAACACTGTACCAACACCTCCTACCAGCCAGAGCAGTGCAGAAACATCCCCTTCGAGCCGCAGTGATGGGCAGGCGTCTCCAGCAGGCCATTATACAAAATATCCGACTCCCATTCTTTGGAATGCTGTACAAACATTAGAGACATATCCCAACTCTCGCAATAAAACGGTAAGCGGGTCGAAACTATCAACTGTCTATGCTAGCTGTTAACATGCTGTTTAGGAAGCTAGAGACCGGCAAAGAAATGGTGAGGTAGTCACTAGACCACAATCACCTGAAGAAATACCTGGTTTCGTTAGGATCATTGAACGACGAAGCTCGCAGCCCTCCAAGTGGCAGCGTCCACAAACAAAATCGGCATCAGCTCGACGGCGGTCGATGCTTAAACATTCAGTGACATATACCCTGCCGGCTGCGGATGAACAGACTTTCGTAGCTCCAGAACAACCAATGCCACCTTCTCAACACCCAATACTAGTGCCGCAATTGACCAGAACTTCACGACAAGCGACACCCCCACGAACAGTGATGACTCCGCGCCCGGCGGCCACTGCATATCCACCGTTAGCACCGCGGCCGGCAGTGGCATCACAAAGAATGGAAACTCCACAGCCACCAGTGATCTCGCAGCCTCCCAATCCGCAGCCTGCCTATTCGCAGCCTCCTTATCCACAACCTGGCAGCTCGCAAGCTTGCCATGTTCAGCCCGCCTACTCAGAGCCCACCCACTCACAATCTTATTATTCGCGGCCTGCTTGTCCACAGCCTGCTTGTTCACAGCACAGATGCTCATTACCTGAATGCTCACAATCCTACCAGTCACAGCCAGCTTATCCACAACCAGTCACAGCTCCATGGCAGTCAAATGATCCAAACCCAGCGGCAGATTCACAGTCAATGAACTCGTCAAATCCGCCTGAACCTACAGAGCCAACTTCACAGCAGGCGGAGGCGGCGAATGAGAGACCGAGGGAGCGCCTTCGCCGCCTCAAAGGAGAATGGCGTCACAATAGAGAAGAGTCCCTTCGAGCCCGAGATCAAGAACGTCCTCCCCTGCACGATCCTCAAGAATCGTCCATAATAGGATTCCTGCCAAGCGTTGGAAATAGAGTAGTTGAACATCTCATGAAGCATAACCCTTCAGCTGTCTCAGCGTCGAAGCTATCTGAGACGATTCCCAGAGAGACTGCTGTGCATTATAACAGCATTTTAACTTGGAACGCCCAAAACACGCAAGGCATCGAACATCCTTCCCCCCATGAGCACTCAACACCTTTCGACGGTGTGGAACCAAGAGTCTCGCATCAGCCAGCCTCTCAAGGAGTGCAAAGGATAGAGCCAAGGTACTCGCCTCTTGACAGAGCGCCATCCCCTCAAGTGCAAAGGATGGAGCGAATATACTCGTCTCCTTACAGAGCGCCATCTCCTCATGAAGTGCAAAGGATAGAGCGAATATACTCGCCTCCTTATAGAGCGCCGTCCCCTCAAGGAGTGCAGGGGATAGAGCCAAGGTATTCGCCTCTTGACAGAGCGCCATCTCCTCATGAAGTGCAAAGGATAGAGAGAATATACTCGCCTCCTTATAGAGCGCCAGCCTCCCAAGAAGTACAAAGAATGGGATCAACTGTTGTTAATGTCAGAAACATGCCAGTTGCTCAACAGATTTCTAACACAGAAGCTCCTCCTTGCCATAATCATTCTAGTACCTTGGTACCGCAGCATATTGTGCAATCACACCCATCTTCCAGAGTCGCTCTCAGAGAGTTGGATAATTCTCCGAATGGATTCGATGATTATTCGTCAGCGTTAGACCTGCAAATCGTAGAGGAGGAAGAGGAGATGGAAGCAGCGGCCAGCTCTGATAGCGACATCCGGGAGGTCTCCCACATGGACTGGCAATTTGCCAATCAGGAAACTTTGGGACGTCAAACTCGCGTTCAAGTGGCTCCTCAACAGTATGGGCAAGTAGCCAACAGAGAAGGCCCAAGGCCCCAAGTTGATCAAAGACCTCAAACCATTGTGGTTTCGGCTCCACAGCCCTCAACTTCTGCGTCTTCAACGAACTCACAAAATATCTCTAAGCCATGTGTTAAGAAGAGGAAGGATAAAGTGTTGCTACCGAAATCGCAGCATCCCGTTCGCCAAAAGCCGGCGCCAGTTCAAGTTCAAATTCAAACGCGAGCTCAAGCTAAAGCCCAAGCCCAAACTCAAACTCGGGCTCAAACTCGGGCCCAGGCTCGAGCTCAAGCAGTCAAGAAGCCAGCAAAGCAAGCTCGGGCGGGTCCCGTATCTGGCGGCGTTAACAAACGAAAATCCAGTCGAGTCGGCGGAACTCTGCCGCCAAAGACAGCAGCGCCTAAGAAGACGGTGCCCAAAAAGGCGGTATCTCAAGCTGTGGTGCCTCAAGCTGAGCCGTCTCAAACTCCCACACCCGAACCCGCGCCGTCTCAAGCTGAGCCGTCTCGAATTTCCATATCTCAACTTGTGCTGCCTCAATCAGAACCTTCTCGAATCTCCATATCTCAACTCGTTCTGCCTCAAACTGAGCCCTCTAAAAGAATACCCATTTCTCAACTTTTGTTGTCTGAAACTGAGCCTTCTAAAAGAATATCCATATCTCAACTTTTGCTGCCTCAAGTTGAGTCATCTAGAATATCCATATCTCAACTTGTGGAGCCTACAGAGATGCCAGAAAATGTGGTGCTTCGAACTGAGCCACGTCGAATCGCCATATCCCAACTTATGTCGCCTCAAACTGTGACAACTCAAGCTATCGTGCCTCAAGCCGCATCTCGAACTGCGCTGACATCAGCCAGGGAAGATGAGCGGCGACCTGTTTGTGCTTCGTGTTCGGGAATGATGCTAACTCAAGACGAAGTAGAACGTTGGCAAGAGGAAAGGAGAAATCGGTATTGCATCCCTTCGTTCAAAGACTCTTTTGGGGATGTGACTATGAGCGATTGTCCACAAGAGGAAAGGGGAAATCGTCCTTACATCCCTTCTTTCAAAGACTCTTTTGGTGATGTGAATATGAGCGATGGTCCACAAGAGGAAAGAGTAAATCGTTCTTACATCCCTTCATTCAAAGACTCATTTGGGGATGCGACTATGGACGATTGTCCAGCAAGCTCTGAGAATGAACCAACAAGGGGGATATTCAGCATCGATGCTTATCGTACAAGGCCTGTAACTCCTAGCCACGTGATTGGCTGGGGATGGTGAACAATTAGGAATTTTCGAATACTAATGACTGGGCAGAGATTCGATCAAAAGCATACCATAATATCAGGGCTTGGGAAGTGCTGTTCAAGCACCCACTCCGGTGAAGAGTCAATAGCGATAGGAATAGCTTTGTAGTGCGTATAGGTGTAGCTTAGACGAAATTGAAATGTACCTTGTTCAATCCTTTGTGTCTCTCTGAATGCCAATAAGCAATTCGATCGCAGATAAAGATGTGTAAGAACGGGGAGAAGAAAGGAATTTATTCTTTCATGAGAAAGAGGCGCCTGATGGAAGTTGAACTTGGAATCCTCATGACAATCGCCCAGTAAGCGTTAGGATGTCTACTGAGAATTGATGCTGAGACTGATCACGTTCATTCCGGGCAAAGAAAGCAATCCATAGACAAGCCAGTCGACCTAGGAACCAAACCCGAGGAGAAAAAGCCGTCGATGATGCGCCTAGCTTGTTGATCTGCGGCTCACATGGCCCGGCATTAATATGCGACCCAATGGGGCCAATCCGCTAGTAAAATGCGACGCTGGACCAACATCTTATTTCCATGGATTGTGTTCGCATATTGGATCCCCCCTCACGGCATCTGTACAATGGCGTCAGATGATCAACGGTTGCACGCGGTTGCACGATGTAACCTGGAAATCATGAGTTAGCTGTGGAACGGAATCTTCAATCTCCATTGCGGTGCACGACTGCGATTTCCAGTATTCAGGTACTGTCGGGACCTATTCCCACTGAAAGAAAAGTGGACTGAGATATGTAGGACAGGTTTTAACAAGCAATTAAGCTTAAGAAATAATATGGAGCCCCATGGATTTGTCGAAAAGTCCGTGAGAGTCAGGGGAGCATGGATTGCTGTCTTTCTCCGCATTGATCGGCATCGGCTCCGCTCTTGCCAACATGCTCTTCCGGGACCATTTCAACGGGTTGGGAAGATGAAAGACAGACGGTCCAGTAAGCCGACGGTACATATCATGGAATGGGCCCATTCTTCCTACCGCTCATTATGCATATGTTTCTCGAACCGTTTCGTATCTGCATCTCCACATCACCCCTCACCATGAGGTAGAGAACAAGCATCCCTCCGTGGGACAACAGGCCGCTACTCGCATGCAGCGTATCATTAGGTTAGGCAGAGAAGAATAAAAGAGGGGAAATGAGCTTGATGCAAGGGATCGTCCTCGAGAACGCAGTAGTATTTATGGACACGGTTCTCCCCTGGTCTGGAGAGAATTGAAATCTCAGACAAAAGGGATTGATGTCCTCCCTTGAACTGAGCTTCCCCTTTCTGCAGATAAAACAATTGGATATCCTGCATAGTGTAGGCCTGTTCGAATAGAAAGATTCTCTGCCACACAATGAAGATATTTCCGGCAGGCCTACTCGCGCTTGCCTGCTCTCTGGCAGCTGTCGTCGCGCAAGGCGGCAGTCCAGTCCCTTACAAAGTCCAGACACCACCCTTGGATACTGAGTGGACGTACAAGGTTGGCACCAATCCATGGCCGGAGCATCCCCGACCACAGCTCCAGCGTGATGCCTGGCAGAGCCTCAATGGCATTTGGACGTTTCAGCCTGCCGGCCCTGGAGATGGTGACTCCGGTAACCCCCCGGATGGCCCACTTCAGAGCGAGGTTCTGGTGCCGTCCTGTATCGAGAGTGGGCTCTCGGGACTGCAGGTGATTAATATCACCGATATGTGGTTTGCGACCAGTTTCAAAATACCGCATAACTGGCATGGGCAAAATGTAATCTTGAACTTTGAGGCTGTTGATTACCAGGCAGTGGTGTTCGTGAATGGAGCCAGGGCCGGGACCCACACCGGAGGATATTTTCGGTTCGGAGTGGATATAACCAAGTTTGTCAAATTTGGCGGCGACAACAGCGTGTAAGTCACCCTTTTTTGCATAACCGCAACAATGTTATTATCTTCTGTGATGGCAGTGAAGGTGTGGACAGATATGATATTGCATACTAATCCGGAATCAGAGCCGTATTCGTTCACGATCCAACGGACCTGGATGTCATTCCAATTGGAAAGCAGACTCGGAATCCAAGCCATATCTTCTACCGATCGTGCTCCGGAATATGGCAATCTGTATGGCTAGAGAGTGTGCCTTCAAACCATATAACACAGCTTGACATTGCTGCCGGTATGGATGGAACAGGTACGAAAACACCAGAATACCTCCCATGCGTTGTCCCGTGGTCCAGACTCACGTCTAACACGATTCATAGTTTCCGTGACAGTCCACAGTTCGAACAAACAAGGTGTCTCTGCCAAGGTATCCGTCATCGGACTTGACGGTCGCATCATTGCTTCACAGAAAGGCCCTTCCGATGAGGAGTTCAAATTCAAGGTCAAGCAGCCAAAGCTGTGGTCCCCAAGCTCTCCGACTCTGTATAACTTAACTGTGACTCTTGGTGATGATGAAGTATCCAGCTACACAGGATTCCGCACCATTTCCACTGGTAAGGTTAAGGGTATTCAAAGGCCGCTCCTAAACGGCGAATTCACATTCATTTTCGGTACGCTTGACCAGGGATTTTGGCCGGACGGGCTGTATACGCCGCCAAACAGAGAAGCCATGGTATATGATCTGAAGATGCTCAAAGGATTGGGCTTCAACGCGGTCAGAAAACATGTGAGTCACCCGTTTATCCGTCACTAGGTAGTTCCTTGTTGATTAGATGCTAAAACAAGTGATTTGTCGCAGATCAAGGTTGAGCCAGACTTGTTCTACCGAGCTTGCGATGAAATGGGTCTGATGGTCATCCAAGACATGCCCAGTCTGACTAACGACGGGAATCGGCCTCCTAATCCTGACCAGCAGGCGGAGTTTCAACGTCAGCTCGAAATTTTGATCAATGAGCATAAGAGCTATCCGTCGATTGTTACCTGGGTTCGTTCTCTCACCCCGTTGCTCATAAGTGGTCACTGATTCGAGCTGACACCAAACACATGATGCAGGTCATTTATAACGAAGGATGGGGACAGCTCAAGGGCCCACCATATCCTGAGTTTCAGCTTGTGGAAGTTGTTCGTGGCATCGACTCAACAAGGCTTATTGACGCGACGACAGGCTGGAATGATCATGGCGCAGCGGATTACTCAGTGAGTTGATTGTCGTGTTCAATCATGTTTTGTAAAGCAGAGAAAAGAGGGCTGATGAATGCGTGATGATTAGGACAACCATCATTACGCAAATCCGCAATGCGGAACGCCGTTTTATTCCACCCCTTCTTCTCCGTACGATCCCAACCGTATTGGGTTCCAGGGCGAGTTCGGCGGCATTGGCCACAACGTGTCAATCGAACAGTTGGTTTCCCTTGTTCACTCTTGGTCTTTCAGCTGTTGTGAGGGTTCATTGGCTAACAAACAATCAGTCTTTGGAATGTGCAACAGGCCATCAACACCATCAATCAAACTTACGAAGTCAATGCTGACCTGGTTTCGTACAACTATCGCGCAAGCGTCCTGTTCCGCGAATTTCGCGAGCAGGTCGAGCGCTATGCTTGTAGCGGCGGCATCTGGACACAGACAACGGATGTCGAGGGTGAAGTCAACGGCTTATACACGTATGACCGCCGTGTTCTGCGGCCAGATCCGAGGCAATGGATAAGCGATATCAACAAACTATACTCGGCTGCAGCAGGGAGGCGATGATGGAACCTGTAAGCCCGTACTCGTAGTGCAGGGTAGTGGTAGCTGACATCAGCTGCTCAACGATTTCTGAATCCCAATCGAGATCTCATGTGCGTCATTGAAAGTAGTGACTGTTTTTCTTTGGTCAGAAACATTGTCTCTTCTGGGGAAACAAGTGAACCCACTGTAGTAGTTGCTGCGTGGAGATGCTTTCTCGAAGTGACCTCCTAGAGGATTCTTTGCATCGTGAAGCTGTCAAGGCCAAGGGCGTTGAAAGATGGAGAATTTTTGTTGAGGAGCACCTAGTATTCAATCCTCCTGTATCTGACCGCATTGCTCTGTTCCTGTAGATGTTGGGATGTGCTGCCTCAGACATCAACTCTCAATGATGCCTTCCACAACTCCATCTCGCAAAAACTCACCCCCACCTGCCACATGCAAATCAGACTGCTCCTGCCCGCCAAACAAGGCTACATTGAGAACGTACGGATTCCCCGTATCTGATTTTCTGACCATTTGTCCCCAAAGCGGCTAGATCAGGTCCTTAACGCCTCCTTCGTTCCCCACCATCCCGCAATCGTATTCGGACCTCTGACCGCTAGGCAATTTCTGAAAGTTTGCAGCCAAAAGAATCAAAAGCCAGTTTATCGTCCCACAATCATGTGATAGAGCTCCTTTCCAGCATATTCGTCATGTCATGAACGGGGTCCAATGCGGTTATCAGTTTGATTTCGACTCTTGCAGATTGGTCAATTGCACAGCGTTCTTTTTGGCTTGTGACAGCCTGCTCGACCGCTCAAGAACAAGGACAATAAATACCTAGACGACGACGATACAACTGGTTGTCTCGGCTGCCCTCACAGCAGGTTGCAACATTGGCTCGACGGAAGGGCCCTCGTTATCCGATACGTCTGATTGAGCGACTATTCTTTGATTATCGACTCGACCATCCCGAACGAGCAATTCCAAGATCCTTCTTCTCTTCCCCCGGGTGATATATATCTACAGTTGCAAATTCAATGTCGGAAACAATGACTTCGGACGTCCATACTCGCCAGCGGCGAGACCTTTACCATGAAGCTGATGTCGTCGTCGTCGGCGCCGGTGTCTTTGGCTGCGCGGCTGCCTTTGCTCTGGCAAACCAAGGACGCTCCGTGCTTCTTCTCGAGAGGTGGATGCACGAGCCTGACCGGATTGTGGGCGAGCTGCTGCAGCCGGGCGGGTTGACGGCCCTGAGGAAGCTGGGCTTGGGCCACTGCGTTGACGACATCGACGCAATCCCTTGCTACGGCTACAACGTCATCTACCACGGAGAGCCATGCGAGATTCCTTACCCCAGGCTCAACGAAAAGGGCGAAGTGACACATGCGTGGGGAGGAAGAGGGACGGGCGGAACAAAGCCAGAGGGATGCGGCTTTCACCACGGCAAATTCATCTCGGCGCTCCGCAAGGCATGCTTGGGTCACAAGAACATTACAGTCGTCGAGACGGAGGTTGTCAAGACCATTCGAGGAGAGCACACAGACCAGGTCCTGGGCGTGGAGTCAAGGACCACGGTCAACAAGGAGACGGGAGAGAAGAAGAGCGACTACTTCTTTGGCCAGCTCACCATTGTTGCCGACGGCTACGACTCCAAGTTCCGAAAGCAGGTTCTGGAGACCAAGCCCGTCGTCAAGAGCAAGTTCTATGCGCTGGAGCTGATCGACACCAAGCTGCCGCTGCCCTTCCACGGCCATGTCATCATCGGCAACGCCTTTCCCATTCTCCTCTACCAGATCGGCACCCACGAGACCAGAGCGCTCTTCGACGTGCCCGCAAACATCCCCCAGGCCTCTCCCGAAGCCGGAGGCGTCCGCGGCTACATCAAGAACTGTGCCATCCCCGTGCTCCCCGAGTCCATCCGCCCAGCCGCCGAAAAGGCCCTTGCCGATGGCAAGATCCCCCGCAGCATGCCCAACAGCTGGCTCCCCGCCGTTCCCCAGACCCCGAGTGGCCTCGTCATCCTCGGCGACGCCCTGAACATGCGGCATCCCCTCACCGGCGGCGGCATGACCGTCGCCTTCAACGACGCCCTGCTGCTCGCCGAGCTGCTGCATCCCGACCGCGTCCCCAACCTCGAAGACACGGCCGCCATCCGCGACGCCATGAACAAGCTCTACTGGCGCCGCAAGAACTTTACCAGCATCATCAACACTCTCGCCCAGGCCCTCTACTCCCTCTTCGCTGCCAACGACCGCCAGCTGCGCGCCCTCCAGATGGGCTGCTTCGAGTACTTCCGCCGCGGGTGGACCGACGGCCCAGCCGGCTTGCTCGGCGGCATCATCCAGCGACCCCTTGTCCTGGCATACCACTTCTTCTATGTCGCCTTTGTGGCCATCTGGATGAACGCGTGCAACGTCATCGGCGGCCCGCTTGGCTTCTGGAAGCTGCCCCTCGCGCTGCTCGATGCCCTTCTCATCCTGTGGAAGGCCTGCATTGTCTTTCTGCCAGTTATCTGGCGAGAGGGCTTTCAATGAAGAAATCAAAACCCAAACTACCTTTTTTTAATATCCTGTTTCTTTATATGTATATGTTTCTACGTTTGGATGAAAAACATCAATGTTGGATTTTCTTTTTACGTTTGCCACGGGCGAAGGCGCGGAGTTTCACGTGGCTGGTACGCAATGGGTGTAAGAGGGTGCTCCCTTTTATTTGTATGAAGCAGAAGAGAAAGTTATAGCGTGTGGCATGACCTGTTGGTTATATAGACTGCAGACGGAAGAAAGAGAGGCAGGGGTAGGCATTGGATGAGAACAATGTAGTTACGCAGTTATGGCTAGAAAAGATGCTAAAGACGTTAGACAATCACAATACTTACCTGGTTTCATATGAATCTCTCTTTATGTTTCCATGTTATAGCTACTATATCTAGCCTGTCTATGCTAGGAGCGAGTGCGGATTCCACGCCGCGTTGCCTGATGGATGATTATAATAGTAAAAATCGCCGGCCTTTGAATCAAGATCCGGCGGCGTCGACTAGATCAGTCTCACGCTGCTTGGTATCATCCATAAGAAAGATGGGCCAGTTTTCCCCTTGTATCTCCCGTCTATCCCTCTCCCGTCCACCACTCCGGGCTCCAGGTCTCAGGTGAGGCGTCTCCTATACACGCCCATCATCCAACTCGCCCTCAAGACGGCCAGTCCAATGGCCATTTTGATGCTGTCCTGAATAACATTTAGCTTGCTGCCACCCACCTCGTGCCACTCGATCGGCACTTCGGCGACCTTGATGCCAGGACTAGTGCCAATAACACTGCCGTCGCTGCCCAGGACGGGCGTGGCCGGGGCGGACTCGGCGAGCATCAGCATCTCAATGTCGAAGATCCAGCCTTCGGCATGCATATAGGGGACAATGTGTGGCAGGGAGGCGCGGGTGAAGAGCTTGAAGCCGCACTGGGTGTCGCGGATGCGAGACGTGGCGGGAGGCGTGAGGATGGTGAGAACCAGGTGGAATGACCGCATGAGGAAGTTTCGAAGGGCAGAACGCTAGGAGAGACAGGAGAGATTAGCATGTATGCGAGATATTGCGAAATAGCTTAAACGAACCTTGACAACTGCCTCGCTGCCAACAAGATGGGCGCGGCTACCAATGGCAACTCCTCGACGGGAGCCATCAACGACCTCTTCAACCCCCTCAATCAATCTCCCCACGTCGCTAAACCGCGATGCGCCGTCCGCATCAGCAAACAAGGCGTACTCGCCGCGCACATGGCGCAGACCATGAGTGACACCACCGCCCTTGCCTCTATTCTTGGCCAGAGAAACAACCCTGAGGACATCATGCAGGCCATTCTTCTGCGCAAAATCAAGCACCACATCGACAGTCTTGTCGCGACTCCCATCATTGACAATGATAATCTCGTAGCCGCTGAGGCCCAGCTCCTTTGCGTCGGCAGCACCTTGCGCATGCCGCTTCTTTGCAGGCACGGCAGGGTTCTTGGTGCCGGTGCTGCGTCCAAAGTGCTTGTCCAGGTACTCCACGGCCTCCTCCAGCGTAGGGATGACACGGTCCTGCTCGTTGTACGCCGGGAAGACGACGCTGAGGAGAAGCTCGGCGGGCTCAATGGAGCCGACGTCGGGGGTTGGGTATGCCTCGTGCGGGCGGACTCGCTGCTCGGTGAGGCGGCGTTCTGCGAGCCATCGGTCGTACCAGCAGGGAAGAGGGCGCGGCGTCGTCTTGCCAGAAGGGCTGCTGGTGATGTACGTCTTTTCGGACGAGAGGACAGGGCGAGGCTTCGGGGCGACGAGGTGGAGGAGAATGAAGAGCTGTGCGCATCCCGTGGTTAGTTAGCTGTGGCTTCGCAGCGATGAAAGGGGGCCAATTGAAAAGATCGCATACGCTGACAAGTCCAAGCAGGACTAGCACCAGAAAGAGGGCGAGGAGGATGTAGACTGGAGTCGCTCTAACCCAGGCCCAGAGCGGCGCAGGGAGCTCCAACAGCTCTGTCGCAAAGTCCATTTTTGGAGTTTGGCGGCTGGCGTGAAGCCAAGATGGGAGAAGAACTGAAATGCGTCAGACGGCGGGCATGTGTGGGAATTGCAAAGACGAAAAGGAAAAAAGAGGAAAAGAAAAGAGAAGCAGGACGAATATATAAGTCAGAAGGACAATAAGAAAAAAGACAAATGAAAGGAATGTGAGATATCGAATGCCAGATGCCGCAAGTTTCACTGACACCTGGCGAATAGTTAGTAGTTAGTAGGGATTTAGTACTGCATGATGCGCGCCGCCAGCAGTGAGGCCACAGTTTCGAGCTGCAGGGACGGATCGTCTCCACACGGCAAGGCTGGCCAATCATGGGTGGCGGGTTTCGGCTCATGTCAGTGCCGTTTAGTGGAGGCCGGCGGTGTTCATGCGGTGGAGAGCGCTGTGGCTTCCACTATATTGTTTCTTAGTTGTATAGGTAGAGAACAATACACCTCGAGTCCAATACGAGGGCAATAGATTAAGGGGTCTTTACAGCAAAAACACTAATGGTCACAGGCAAAAATAGATACGTTCAAGTCATTTCTTTTCTAATCAAAGCAAAAAGGAAATTAAAAAGGAGAGAGAGAAAAAACATCAAGATGAAAAAAACAAAGCTCGCCTGTGTAATCCCACTGTATCAATCAAAAGCGCCCATTAAATAAATCAGTATCCAAGATGATGAAAACAAAAGACCCGCGTTTATATGAGTGTGTGTGTTTGTGTGCCGATTCTTTCTATTCCACCAAAAAAATGTATTTCATCCCATCATAAATGAATGGCTCTCTTTATGCCGCCAAAGATTCTCGTCGGTGCTGATGAGCTTGCAAAACATGCTCCACGCCGGGAGCACGTCGTCATAGTCGCTGTGCGCATAACATATGAAAAAAAATATTAAAACAAAAAGTAAAAAGCAAACTCCGGATTTCCCATGTTCTCTCTTTTTTGCCCAAAATAAAAGGCCCATCAGGGGCAGGAATAGCAATGTTGGCGTGATGCCATATCCAAAATGTAGCAATGCAATAGACTGAAATGATAACGACAACAAAAGAAAGAGCAAGTGTTGATATCGATAAACAATCGAGTTAAACAGTGACAGCAGGTGCTTTTGAGCTAGCCCAGAGAGACTTCTTGGAAAGCTTGCCTCCGCTCTTGGAAAATCTCTTGGACTTTTTTGTAGATTCAGGCTGTGGGACGGAATCTTCTTCTGGGAAGACGTTGATGACAATGGACTGCTTAACAACGGGGGCAGGGACGGGGGCAGGGATTGGGGCATTGACAGCAGCGGGGACAGCGGCAGCAACAATGGGAGCAGGAGTGACGGCGGGCTGGGGTTCGCTCTTGGGAGTTGCAGCCGTCAACGCTTCAGCACCTGACTCGATTCGCTCCAGCTCTGTGAATCGAGTGACCTTGGCAGCTTTACGCTCCTTGGAAGTCTTGCCGTTGTGTTCCGGGGAGGGGTTGCGGTCTGTCGATGCAGGAGTGGAAGTAGACGTAAGAGTGGTGGCAGAGGTGTTGAGGCTGGCATTGAGGGTGCTGGGGAGAGAAGTTTCGGACTTTTGCTGCGAGCTCAGCAAGTCAACCTGCGGGTGGGTATAAGTCCGCAGGATCGGGGTGGGCGCATTGACAATGGGCGCAATAGACGCAATAGAACCGAAGCCCCTCATGGAAGTAGGAGGGCGGGAATCTCGAGCGGCTCCCTTTGCCGAGTTTGCCATGGCAATTCGCTCAATTGAAGAGTCAGATGGGCGGCGATGGCCCGGCCGCGGTCGACGACCCCTCTCGGCAGCAGTAGGCGGTGGGGGAGCCCGCACCACGGGAGGGCGAGCAAGCCTCATCTCGAGATCATCTTGAGAACTCGTAGAGCCGCTGGAGCTCTCTGATTCTTCTGGGCGTCGGAAGAAGCTGGTTAGCATCTTGCGGATCAAGGTTGCGCACAGAAGCAGCAGCAGAAGACGACAGCGACGACGAACCTTGTGAGGAAGTTGGGCTGGTCCGGGACGTGTTGTAGCCAGACACAGACACCCGGACGGCCTCCTTGCCCTTGGCCGAAGCGGCGTAGGCCGTAAACTGCGAGCCAACGTCGGGCATGGAGCCGGCGATCTCGCGGCTGTAGCTTGCCGAGTAGGGTGAGACACCTGTGTAGCTGTACGCTCGGGGCAAGCGGACCATGGGGGTGGCACTCTTGTCCGTGGGGTACGAGACATGGGACAGGCTGCTGCCAACGCGAGGGGCGCCGGGCATGTTCATGTGGTGGCCGGACGCAGCCATGGCGCTCCTCCGCCGGTTCTGTTCCTGGATCTTCTGTCGATCGGCCTCTCGCCAGCTAGGCGGCGCGCTGGCGATGGCATCCGTGGCAGCGTGCGTGGGGACATGCTTGTAGGGAGTCTTTTCTGTCTCCTTCTTCTCCTGCTCGGCGATCTTCGCATTGTGTTCTTTGGCCTGTTGGCGGCTCTTCCTCATGCGCGAGAAGATGGACATCTTGACCCTCGTTTCCTGCGCGGCGTTCCCTTTTCGTCACTGGCCTTGGTGTTGCAGCTGAGGCGAGGCCGGGTCCAGCGTCACTCAAGGTTCAGGAAGCCCCAGATATATATATGCGTGCCAAGCAGGACGGGTGGTGTAATAGGAACCGGGGTATAGTAGAATAAGCTAACGGGGTATGCAAGCACAGAGTGGCTCCGCTGCGTAAGCTTCGGAAGGGCAGAGAGGAGTGATGCGGCGACGATATGCCGAAGAGTGTTGCAGATCCGATAGATTGACGTTTCAGGGGGAGTGATGACCGGGATTTGGTGCCGCTGCCGTTTGGCGATGATGTTGCGGATGATGCTATCTCGTCAACAGAGGGGGGAGAAGGCGAGAGAGATGGAAGTATGAAGAGCGGGACCCCGACTTGGCGTGACCAAAGTATAAGCAAATACTCGTATACGTAGGCACTCGGGCCGAGTAGTAGAGCAAGTTGAGGTATCTTTGTTCTCGGCTAAGGGTCACTCTCTTATATCTAGAAAGTTTGTTGTGCTTGAGATGGAGAGGTGGATGGGCCGCTTATAAGTGAGTGGGTGGATCGGATCAGATGCGAGGGATGCGATGGACTGGGTCTCTGCTGCTGAGCGGGTTCAAGGCGAGACAGGCCCTGCTCAGCGTCGGAGCCGGGCTTAGATGACGATCTAGCCGGCGGTGGTTGGTTGGTTCAGCTTCAGTCAGCCCTGGTCGTGGGGAGTTGGCAACGAGAGACGACAGCAAGAATAGGGGGAGGAGACGAGATGAAAGAGAAAGGAAGAGAAAGAGACAAGAGACAAAGCAGGAGTTGGGCTCCAGCCCTATGCCGAGAAAGCCAAGGGGAGCTGAATAATGGCAATGCAATGCGCAGAACGGAGGGGGGTTGCCTCCGGATCGCCGGGGAGAAAAGAGAGAGCGAGAGAGTGAGAGAGCGCAAGAGAGAAGAAGGAGAGGAGGGGGGGGGGGGGGGGGGGTGGCCCAATTGCGGTTAAGGCAAGGAGACTGTGGTGAGGAACCAGAACAGCAATGGATGGAGATTTTGGAGAATCGGGGGTTGCTGATGCAGATGCGGCGCCGGATGCAGATGGGAGAATAGTTGTACTTTTTGCGCCTAGGCGTCGAGGGCTGGGCACAGCTGAATGGTGGGCGACAAAAGACAAGGACGGTACAAGACGAGAACGACACGAGACGAGATGCCGGTACTGTCTGTACCTGTACATCCACCTGGGCGAGTCGCCCTTGGCCTTGTCGGCTATACTATGTACTAGAGGTAGACAGATGCGATGGCTTGCAACGGGGGCGCGAATGACTGGCTCGGGACACGCAGCTTTGCAAAGCGACGATGCAAATGCGGCTGACTCGAGGGATTGCGTCGTAAGACTTGTGCAGGTCGGTGGCACACGTGGTTGCAGGAGGCTGTACGAGGTAGTCGGTCGAGTACCGGTACATGCAGCATATCGGACTTCCAATTGGGATCTTGATGATGTGGGCTTATCAGGGATGTTTGATGTCCAGCGTCTGTACGAGTACTCGTACTGTACCGTGCCGCGCCTCACGACTTCCTTGACAGTACCTACCTAGGTATTCTGTCGACGTGAGAAATCGAGCAATCTACCAGGTTTGATGCCCCCTCCCTTCCAGCACTAGTTTATTTTTATCAACCATGTCTCACTATAGTAGACAATGGCATCATTGTCTTGGTGAAACCTTGTGTCAGAAGAAGAACAACACATCATCGCCATCTCCAACCCACCAGCCAAAAAAAAAAAAAAACTCGACCAGACGTCAATTAGCTGAGGCGACACGGGCCCTAGTACCTAGACACGGCCTGAGCCCCTCTAGAGGCCCATCAGTCATGCCCTAATACCGTTACTGTCACCGTTCGGGGCGGCGGCAGCCCGCTGGGCTAGGCACTAAACAAGAAGTAGTGCGCTAAATACTTCCGCGCAAAGCGTAAAAACTGGCGATGCGATCCCACTAGCAGTGATGGCAACCAGGTACCTGATAGCGGTGGGACCCTCAGCTCCAATGCTTGCATCCATGTTAGCATACGGTAGCAATCAAGTCGATTGATTGCAAGGCGTGCAGAATCCATGACCTACCAGACTGGTAATAGATAGTAGATAGCTTACTAGATAGAGGTGCCTGGGATTGAGGTCTGGTAGTTTTACACGTTTGTACTCCATACCAGTACCCTGGAACCACGGGTCGTCGAATTGACCGAGACACGGGACTTTTCTTGTCAAACAACCACCAGAGCAAATCAATATTTCCATGCACAAAGCATCGCCACCACCACCGCCGCCGCTCTCTACAGTGCATGATGCTACGTCCATAGTTCACCTGATCACACCACAGCGAGGCGAATGACAATCCATCCATCCTCTCTCTCTCTCTCTCTCTTCGTCGTCGAGTCGTGAGGCTTGTATTAGTAAACCGCTCACGTTCAACCCTCATCTCTCATCTCTTACACCATGGCCGGCGATCAAGGAACCCGAAACTCTGTTTTGGCTTGTCGACGTAACTGAGCATAAGCCCCGTGCCTGGTTGTCGCCCGTTCTTCTCTCCCCCTCACTTTGCCATCCACCATTTGGCATTGCCCTGCCAGCCACCTCCGTCGTCGAGTTCCACCACCCGCAGCAAATCAAAGCCTGCAGCAGATATGGTGACGCCGAAAAGCTGCTCCCTCTGGCTCCAAAGCAAGGTAGGCCCCAGGACCGCCTGCAGCAAATGCTCCTCGCCATCTCGTATTCTGCTCACGGACCCCCATCCAAACGGCCACCAAGTATGAGTACTTGCGCGCTGGCCACCAACCAATTCTCCCCCGACCTGGTGCCTGAAAAAAATAAACAAGAAAACAGGCCGTCATGCTGGTGACTTGCTAGTGCTGCTCAGTGCAACACCATGTTACTGTTCAGAGCATTAGGCGCTTACGGAGAGCTCCATGAGGCTTGCTTGGCTGAGATCCCGCTCCAACAGCACAGCGGCTTGGCGGAGAACGAGAGGGCATCAAACTTTGGAGTGCCTGAACTCAAGAAAGCCAGCGAACGTACCTGATCCCTGTCAATATTGGGTGGGCGGATATGGCGCCGCCAAAGTCCAGCCGCACGCACGCTAAAATAGAATGCATACAGAGTCCGGACAAGTAGAAAGCAGAGGGGAGCTTGCCGCGACCTCGGTGGCGTAAGCCATCTCCGGCGAATTCATGCTACCGTACGAGTATATCAAGAGTACGGAGTATTACTGGAGCATGCAGCATCATGAAGCTCTGAGCGGCTCTGTTTTCCATCACGATAGCATGAAAAAAAAAAAAAAAAAAAAAAAAAAACACCGTTCGTCTCGTTCAACGCTGGGCTTTCCGTTGCGCTGATTATGCAGCCGCTCGCCCAGCTACATGGCTCACTTGGCCTTCGCTTGTCTTGTTCCTATCGGAAGCCGCTGCTCAATCCGTGCGCAGTGGGCTCGGCCAGCAAAAACTGGGTCTCTCAATGCCAGGAGAGCGAACGGGCTGAGAAGCCAAGGGGAACCAGGAAAGGGAAGTGCCGCGATGCCGCTTCTTTGGTGATAAGGCAGAGATCATGGTGAGATCATTGGACGTGGAGATTAGGAGACTCCCGGCGGCAGCCTCTATCACAACGCCACCAGGAACGTGGCAGTTCCTCTGGTCGAAACCCGAAATGGCTGAGTTGTCAACCGCCATGACGCCTATCTGCCTAGTCCTGAAGCGAGACATTCGTCAGACCGCAGCGATCAGCGTGCACGGCTTCCGTCTGCTGCCGGGGCCTCGACTTCAATCATGCACGGAGTACCGAGTACGTAGTTGTACAACTTGCGCATCCCACATGTTGCAGACCGACTTGCTCCGTACCAGGTTACGGGACGGTAGCTGCCGTGCCGCCGGGACCCAGGCCAGGCTATCAAAGTGGTCCATCTTTGTAACATGAATAATAATAGTACTAGTTGCTAGCCAAAGCAATTGTCAAGGCCAGCACAGGCAAGCTGAGGCACCTCCGTGCTTGAGAGATTGGTTGGCGCGCGAATGGGACTTAATCAACTCCCACAGGCGGCCGACAACTCGGGATTATTTTCTCTCCTTCTGTTCGTTCCCAATTCGACAGACGCCATTCATTTCCAGTTAACTCGATGCGGATGCCAAGTCGATAACTATACAATAGCCGAATCCCGAATGCTACTAGGTAAGCAGGGTGCTCAATAGCAGTTGGAACTATTCGTACTCGTACCAATGGCGCAGTTTTCTTATCCCGTCCTGCGTGCTGAGCATTCCAATTACCATGCACCTTTAGAAACGACGTGGGGGCCGTATCCGGATTTCCAACACTACCAATATTCCTGTCATGCATGTATTATGCATATGTCAGTGTCGAGCGGCTATCCGGATCGAACTGTTCCACAAGGTTGAGTTGTTATCTTGAAATCTGTGCGTGCAAGGTATGAGAGATAAGGTCTGAAAGATAATGTGAGTACTCCGTTCACACGCGCCGAACTGATACCTGTAACACATTGACAGCTTAAGACTTGCAAGGTCAACCTCTCACAAGATAAGCCAGTGCTCAAAGCAACTTCATCATATCTCCGCCTCTTCATTTTCAGCCGCGAGTCCGTGGTTCTAGAGAGGCAATAGTCGTGTACCGGTGGTGCTGGCTGGCTGCAGTCCAATGCCGGAACCATTCCCCCTTCCCTCAAGGGTTTGCATGTACTGGGAAGATGCTAGACCTGCTTTGGTGACACACAGCTCTCCATCTGGTATGGAAGTCCGCATCAATCACAATTGCGGGCCAAGGCCTCGGTCCAGCGCATTGGGCGAACGCCTCCAAATTACCGCTTTGGTTGTAATAACACTCAACTGCATGGACTAGCGGTTCAGTACATGGATTCGTAGCGATCCATGTACTACAACTACACGCGCTGAGCACCCCCCTGAGCATACCACCGCCGTTCATAGTCGAGAATCTGAAGACGTGGCCACGCTAATATGCAGGCCCTATGTAAAAGGTGACCAGGGTCCTTCACACCGGTTGATGATGATGCATACTCTACGCTGATCAGGGATTAACTGAGAGCATGACGAGAAGCCCTCTCCTATTCTGCAGATGGAGTACATGGCTATGCGTTGAGCGCAACAGGTATGAGCATGACTGCGTTGTGGCTCAAGTCCATCTGCGTTGTATGGTGAAGTGTCGACCCATTCCTCGCGGAAGACACGCTTCGAGTAACCCGACCAACCGCTTGACTGCGCGGGCACCACTAAGAGAGGCAGAAGGCTTGTCAACTGATCAACAAGATATGGCGGCATGGTAGCCAGGCTGTCCAACTGGCAGTGCTCCATACTTGGGCAGTCGTAGCTGTCTCTCACAGCCCAATGGCTTATGCTATCAGAGACATGCATGATGGCGCACTCTGCTAAGCTTGTTGTTCCATGTTCATTCCGAACACAGCCAGATAAGACAAAAACGGTGAGAATGAGCGCCCTTGCTTTATTGGCCGGCCAGCACGAAGCAAGACAAGGCAGCCAGACCAAGGAGTTGGAGCTGAACAAGGCAGATTGATGAGGCCTCCCTGATTCGCTCCAGTTCTCACGTTGGCGTCTAGCCCATCCTGGTTCTGGCGGTGGCTGGAGCAACTCGGTGAATGATGCCAGCTTATAAGATGAATCGAAAATGTAAGGCGGATTGCTTTGGGCTTGGAAAAGGGAGAAAATCAAGGCTGCCACTTGGAGTCTTTGAATAGTCCCTTTTGCTCAGTCACTTCTCATAAATCACATCAAGCGTAGTATATCACAAGTTATACTTTGTACTGCATTTGCCTACCCTGAAATAATCAGGTTTCTGGCTGCCACATCATACTTGGACTGAGAGACGTAGATATGTTGGTCTAACCAGAAGGGAGGGCGCGAAGCCCCTTTGTGGTTGGCTCAAGTTCGCTGCTGCGCCATGGTGCTTTGGTTCTCATTGAGAAATGCTCACGGCACAGGGTAGCATATACTACCAGCGTAGTAGCGACGGCAGGGCAGGGCGGTAGAACTGTCTGGACACTGAAAGAAAACAGCGAAACTGGACAACGGGTTTAAGTCACTTTGCCGGGGACTAACCTCAGCCGAGACATACTCGTATCTGACAATCCCATCTTCCCCTATAAAGCGGCGATGAGCGTCGCGTGTTTGACTCGTTTGACTCGAGACTGCAAGGGAGGCTTAAATTAGTACAAAGGAAACGCCGCCAATGACATGCCGTCATGTAAGGAGTCATCAAGCGGGCCATTTGGAGAGCAGTTCCAGCATAGCGTAGAAATTGCCAATTGATAACATAGCTGGCCAGATAATGTTTCTATCTTGGGCAGTGCTCTTTGTGTAGTTAGTCTTGGCGATGGGATGACAGCAGGGAGCAGCGTAAGTTTAAGCGATTTGACTGATCAACTGTCCACTCTAACGTTAGTGTACCGTAGCCCCGGAAAAAGGAACGAACGGAAGAGGCGTTCCCCAAAAAAGGGACCAGGGGCCCGTGATGCAAAAAGTGGCGGCTGAGGTGCCGTCGGCTGGGGCGAATCAGGTCCCCGTTGGCTGCTAACGCTTCGCCCCAAATTCAAGACTGGCGATTGAGCTTTGAGTACGGAGTATGCCACGCTCTAAGCATATTTTTTAATTTAACTGAGGACGAATTAGTGGCTGCGGCAGAAGCAGGGTTGGCCAAAGATAGATTGATGGTACCCTGAGCAAGCCTCTCGATGCGACGTTTCGAAAGAGCAAATTAGACATGGCATGCATTGCGGCCATGCATCTAGGGCGTGGTTTCATGCATTATTGAATCATGACAGCCGGAAATTAATATAAAAAAGGAAGAAAAAAAAGTGACTGATCAGCGGGAAAAAAATCGATCAACTTACATGCCGTCGCTGGATGCGAGATGATGGATGGACGGACGAGATGGATGGGATTGGACTGGGTTCGATTGCCCTCTTTGCCTCCTCCATCCGGCTTCCAACCTCTCTAAATGCGAGGCCGTCGGCAACTGCGAGTCACGATGCGAGAATCAATCGAATCGGCACATCTCGTCAAGGTTGATCGTGCAACACGAGGCCCGCTGCCGAGGATCGCTGCCGAGGACCGGGCTATGTGGGAATCTGTGGGAATGGGGAATATGGATTTTGGGGGGAAGCCGGAGGTTTGGTCTGTGCGCAGCCGTTGGGCGGCCTGGCGAAATGTCACGTGCCGCTGTGGCGTGCTTGGGTTTCAAAACAGGTTGTTAGCACGTAATACTACTCCGTACTATTGACGCCTTAGGCTCTCGGGAGGCGAAAAAGAGGGAATAAAAAAAAAAGGAGGATAGAAAGCAAAAAAGGGGATGGAAGCGAAAAGGGAATGCCGCATTGGATGGATGAATGCGGCATACTGTGCCGTATTGCGCCTGTGAATCTGAGTGCTTTTGGGAGAAAAGACACCATACAGGTAGGTACGAAATCCATGAGCATGAGGGACGAAAATAAGGTACGAGAGTACATGCATGAACCTTGTCGATGCGTTAGCACAAGTCTTAGCCATCTGTTTTACCTTGGGTAGCATCCAATGCCGCAAAGTAAAACGGCTTTCTAGTGCTCTTCTTTTTGTTTTCCACCAGTTTGACATCCAACGGCCCAAGAGGCTGCAGCAGTAGAGACGCAAGACGGGCTTATCATACCTTAGTATAGTAGAGGTACGCTGCATGCGCTGTCGTGCTGCGTCGTCAGGTACTAACCTTTGGCGGTACGGAGTAGGTACATGCGGCCTCATACGGGCTGACGCCGAGCGCAAGGTACATCCAGGTGCTCCACGCAGGGACGGCGAGGCCAAACCGCTGGGTCAAAAGGCAACGGGAGTCTGTTTCAACCCAACAACCGCCCCCCCCCCCCCGGCAGAGGCAGGAAAATTCCGCTCGGCAAGGCGCTAAAGCCAGCAGGCGGCAAAGCCCAGCGCAGGTCGGTGCGCATTACTGCGAGTACGTTCAGGCGTCCGTCCGTCGCCCAGGCGGCAGCTCCAGGCAGTGGCACAGCAGGGCCCTCTCAACCCGCCCAAAAGAGACGCTGGACATCCGCCAGTGTGCTAAAAGCAGCAGAGGCCCCAATAGGCCCCAATGCCAGAGGCCAACGGCCCAGCACTAGGCGTTCCGTCCAGTGCCAGTGCCTCTCTGCTCCACCGCCGCCAACAAAGACGCCGCCCGTGGTCACGCGCTTTTCCCGCTTCCAACTATCCCCGAATTTCTCACGACTCCAGATGTCGGCAAGCATCCAGCCTTCAAGTCACCGTCTCCGACCATCAGAATAAAGGCTCTTGCCCGCTGCGCCGCGCGCGCACTTTCGCTCCTCTGCAGATTCGCAGCGTCTCGTCTCTGGTCGCGCGTGCCCGCCTCCCGAGATATTCCGTCACCGTCGCCGAGGCCCTCTGGTCTGACGCTCTCTGACGCTCTCTGCCGCCTGCCCCGGTCGCGCAGAACCGCTTCGCTGGTCCTTTGTGCGGTGGTGCCCATCCGCAACGCCCGCCCGACAGAAAAGAAGCCCAGCAAGAAGAAGAGAAGTCTGCTAGAAGCACACAAAGCGAACAAGGACCCCCCGACCGCAGCGTCTGTGTGTCGCGCGTCGTTGTGATTGCATGCGCACTGGACCGACCGCAAAAAAAGTCGTCTGCCCGATATCGAAACGCCACATCGCTGCCGCCCGCATCCCCCAACTACCCACCCAAGTCACATCCAGCCACGACAGGACAGGACAGGTCCCAACGACTCCATCGCCCTCGATCCCGAACCTCATCCCCTGTCCGAACCGCGAACAGCCGGCCTGCCATTCCGAATAGCTTCGCGCGCGCCCTTCTTTGCGGGGCGCAGTTACGCAAGGCACCGTGGCGGCGCTTACAATCCTCGACCAGCCCGAGACGCCGGAGCTGTCCCTGCAGCAGCATCTCGACCTCGCGCCCGATCTGGTGGGCTACGGTAGCCAACTCGTCACGGGGGACGATCCCCAGTCCTTGATGATGGCACAGCCGGTGCCTCATCAGGACAAGAAGCGCGTCAAGGTCTACGAGCTGCGCAACAATGACTGGTTTGATCGCGGAACGGGCTTCTGCACCGCCAAGTTTGCGACGGTATGTTTGCGTCTTCTTTGCGTGTCCTCGCCGACCCATGTCTTGCCTCTTGTCTCGCTTCTGTTCCCCACTCCCACCTCTTTTCTTCTTATTTCCTTTCGGCGACTTTTTGTTTCCTTGCATTTTGTAGTAGCTTGTCGCTGCTCTGATTGAATCAGCTGGGCTTGGTTGGGCTGAGTAGAGCTGGCCTGGCCTGGTCTTGCTTTGGCTCTCTCTCGCTCCTCTCCTGTTTGATTCATCTTGGCACTGCAAGCGATTGGCCCATTCAAGGGATACGCGTATTTGCCCATCGTCATTGTTGCTCTGATTGCTAATTGTGTCATGCGTTTGACGTATAATCTAGACCGAAGATGGCGGTAAAGATCCAAAAGTCATTGTAGAATCCGAAGACCAACCTGAGCGACTTCTATTGGAGACGACAATCCAAAAGCAAGATGGATTTCAAAAGCAACAAGGCAAGCTCGCAACGGCTCCCTACTATCCCTTTAGTCATCCCCATCTCTCTCACTTTTTGAAATATATCTCCTTTTGCCTGTGGCGACCCTTTGACTAATGGGGCTCAACAGAAACGCTCATCGTATGGCAGGAGCCAGGAAGCGGTGTCGATATGGCCTTGAGTTTCCAAGAGGCCGAGGGATGTGCCATGATCTGGTTTGTCTCAACTCCTTCCAATCCCCTTCGTTCCTTCTCCCCTTCGCCACTATCCTTGTCCATTGCGCCTCTCGAATCGTCCAAGATCGCCTCTCTTCGTACAGCATTGTATTGAGCATTGGCTGACAAAATCATGTGGTGGTTAAGGCGCTTTGTCAACTCTGTCCAGCAGCAATTCCAGCAGAATGCTGGCGTAGGTAAGGATTTATTGCCATGCTGCTTGCGATATGCAGAAGCAACAAGCTGACGCTTTCTCAGATGATAATCTCTCCGATGATCTCGCCATCGAAGCCATTCCTCCCGTCAATCTTCCCACTGCCGAGCTGGGCAACCTGGTAGAAATCGAGACTAGCATTAGGGTCATGAGCGCGACCGCCACTGGCCGCGAAGCTGTTACCAAGTTCATCGTGGCCGACGACTATATCAGCAAGCTTATTCCTCTGGTAGAGATTGCCGAAGACTTGGAAAGCCTCCCCGACCTGCATCGCTTGTGCAATATCATGAAGGGCATCCTGCTCCTCAACGATACATCCATCATTGAGCACGCCGTGTCCGACGAGTGTCTCCTGGGGGTTGTCGGCGCTCTGGAATACGACCCCGACTTCCCCAGCCACAAAGCCAACCATCGACACTGGCTCAGCAACCAAGGACATTACAAGGAAGTTGTCCCCATAAATGATGATGCAGTCCGCCGCAAGATCCACCAGACATATCGCCTTCAATACCTCAAGGACGTTGTTCTGGCCAGAATCCTTGATGACCCCACCTTCTCCGTCCTCAGCTCTCTCATCTTCTTCAACCAAGTTGAAATCGTTCAGCACCTACAGACAAACCCAACATTCCTCATGAACCTCTTTGGCATCTTCTCTGCCCACTACCCCGACACGAGAAAGCGGAAGGAGGCTGTCTTGTTCATCCAGCAATGCTGTGGTATCGCCAAGACCATTCAAGCCCCTGCGCGCCAATCTCTATACATCAACTTTCTTAACCATGGCCTGCTCCGCGTCATCTACTATGGCCTAAGACATGTTGACGTTGCCGTGCGTGTTGGGGCCACGGATATTCTGATATCCATTATTGACCATGACCCGACGCTTATTCGCCAAACCATCTTTCGGCAGATGCACGAGGGCACCTCATCGCTATTAGATTCTCTCATCGATCTTCTCCTTGTCGAGGTTGACTTGGGAGTCAAGACGCAAATCTCAGATGCTCTCAGAGTCATTTTGGATCAGGGAGGAGGCCCTGCTGCTGCCAACGAAGCCGCGGCCAATAACAATGCCAACGCCAACGGCAACAAGCAGCAAGCAGCCGAATTGGCCGCCAGGGCCAGGATGCAAATGCCTGTGGATCCGCAGCACGAGCACTTCCTAACCCGCTTCTACGAGTCTTCCGCTCTGAAGCTCTTTAGGCCCCTGATCGAGCTAGACACCCGCTCCCATCTGGACTTTACTGTTCAGGAGGCTGCCATGTTCTCGTGTCTTGTCGAGGTGCTTGGCTTCTTCATCCGCCAACACCATCGATTCAGCAGATACTTTTTCATAGTGCATAACCTGGCGGCAAGGATCGTCCAGCTTCTCAAGTGCCGAGACAAATACCTGCAGCTGGTTTCGATTCGACTCTTCCGACTAATTGTTGGCCTCCAGGAGGAGCTGTATGTCAAGAATCTAATCGAGAATGACGTTTTGGGTCCTATTCTTGAGGTTCTGGTGGAGACTGTGCCGCGGGACAATCTCGTCAGCGCCGCTTGCACAGAACTCTTTGACTTTGTCAAAAAGGAGTACTTGAGAGACATGGTGAAGAACCTGGTCGCTGATCATCGTGAGAATTTGCTTCTCGTTTGCCACATACCGCCTTGCCAAGACTTGATCACACGGTATGACCAGACTGAAGGCTACACGACCAACATGGATTACTTTGTCGATACAGACGACGATGTGACGAGGAGGCCACCCCACCTTAGAATGATGGAGCACCTACCCATTGATCTACGCGAAGAGGAATACTGGGATGCTTCTGATCCCGAAGACGAAGGAGAAGATCAGAACTCAGGAGATAGGTCATCTAGGAGCGGTGGCTCGTCTTCTGGGAAGCCTCTAGTTGACTATCCCTCAGACGAGGACGACGCCGAAGATGGCTTAGACAACGACACTGATGACCAGTCAAAAGAAGAGGGCGATGAGAGTCTCAATTTCAGCCCACGGTCGAACGTCTCGGCCAACGTGCCGCCGCCCGAACGTCTCTCTGAGAAACGCAGACGAGAGGAAGACGAGGATGACGATGATGAGCTGGGCAAGTTGATGCAGAGCAAGCGGCGCAACAGCAATTCTACGGAATCCAACTCGTCAATCGCACCGAGCCTCAACCGAAGGCGCAAGTCGAGTTTCACCAATGGGGGAGGTAATGTCGCACCCAGGAAGATTGCAATTAGCCTGTCGCCAGCTCTGAGGTCAGGCGGTCCTTCTCGATCCGACGATGACTCGTGAAAGAGGGACTTGTTTTAGCTGCAATGGTGTATGGCATTAATACCCTCTCTTCGTTCATCATCTCTTGTTCCTGTTCTTATTGCATCATAATTTTTCATTCGGCCATGACAATGTAAAGAGCAGATGGTTACTCTGTGTCTAAGGGTTGGTCCTCGTAAAACGGGGAGATGGCGGTGGGTAGGCGACGGGCGGCGTTAGGATTTTCCTCCTTTTTCCTTTTTTCCTTTTTTTTTTGGTCTGTTCATTGACCACATCATACTTTGTTTCATCTTTTTATCTTTGGGATGATGATACGGCTCACTGGCCCGTCACTGTTGGAGATGCAACGGCGGCGGCCGCAAACCCCCTTTTTGAGAAATAGAATTGACATAGCGGTGGAGGATTTCAGCGGAGGGATAAGGTCGGAAAGACAAGCAAAAGAAGAAGATAAAAAAACGTCCCAAGGACAGATGTTTTTGACTCTGGGATCTGGGATCTGGGATCTGGGAGAGCAGGAGATGGAGTTTCAAGCTTTGCGCTTGATTTGTATCATATCTAACATACCTATCAATGTAATGGACTCCTTCTTGGCCATAAGAGGGAACATGAAACAAAGCGAGTCACACCAAACGGGATAAAGAGAAGATGCAAACAATGTAATGCCCTCAGATAAATCAAGCGAGTCGTGAAGATGCGTGAGATTCGAGTATAATGCACTGCCGTGAAATTTCCATGACGCGATGCCTTCGATATTGCAGAATAGGCAGTGTGATATCTTCAAAAGTGTCTATGTCCGTTGTAGCCCTGGCCCCTGTTTTTCTCTTTTCCTCTTGTGTCTATTAGTTTTGCGTTTGATCATCATCATAGTCGTTTAAATTGCTTCGACCAGATTTCGTAACCTGAAATCATCATGGCTGTAATGTTTCTCGGGGTCTTTTCTACCGCGGCCACTAAATCCGCCATTCGAATCTCCATCTTCTCAGTGCCTGTTTCGTCTTCGTCGCACCTATCGAGCACCGTCAACCCAGCCTCGTTGCAAATAGCTTTGATCTCGGCTCCTGAATAGCCATCTGTGATACGGGCAAGTTCTTGGATATCCACATCCGACGCGAGGGCGAGGCCCCGTAGATGCACGCCGAAGACGGCCCGTCGGGCAGGGAGGTCAGGGGGACCAACATAGAGAATTTGGTCAAAGCGGCCGGGGCGGAGGAGGGCTGGGTCCATGGCCTCAGGACGGTTAGTGGCAGCGAGGACTAGAACGCCCGTGAGGGACTCGAAGCCGTCCATCTCCGTAAGAAGAGTGGTAAGCATATTGACAGAGCCTGTGCTCCTGGCGGCAGCGGCGGCGCCGTTGCCTCCAGTCCGGGAACCGCCAATGGAGTCGATCTCATCAAAAAAGATGATAGAAGGGGCGGCAGCGCGGGCGCGTTCGAAAAGCGTACGCACGGCACGCTCTGATTCACCAACGTACATGTTGAGAAGCTCAGCGCCCTTGACAGCGAAGAAGTTGAATGAAGATTCGGTAGCCATGGCCTGGGCAGACAGTGTCTTGGAGCAACCGGGTGGGCCGTACAGAAGGAGGCCCTTTGGAGGCTGACGCAGGACGTGACGAGAAGAGGGATTGGTATCCTGATGCAGCTGTTAGCAACAATACTTTCGTTTATACTTGTGAAGATGGCATGCGTAACAGGGGTAGAATCATGTTGCGTACCTTTGTGTTCTTGATCATTCGAGACAGAACCTTTTTGAGAGATTCTTGGCCACCAACATCTTGCCAGTGAATGGTGGGTGGCTTCAAATTTATGTCGTGCATAGCCGTGGGACGAGTAATGCGCAGGGCTTGTTCCATGTCATGAGAGGTAAGATAGTGTTCCTTTGGCTGCTCTGTCTCTTGAGCTATTTCTCCCGATACATCAGCGTCAGCATTGTGAGCAGCAGCAGCAGCAGCAGCCTCCTCGTCAAGCCTGTTGCCGAGAATTTTCTTGGCATTTAGCACCAGGTTTGCGAGATCGTCGCCATTATATGCGTGAGTCTTTGATGCCAGGCTGACGAGGCAAGATTCCTTTTCTTCAGCCCTTAGAGGAGGGTTGAAGAAGCGCAATATCTCGAGGCGTTCCGTTGCGCGAGGAATAGGCAAGGCAATATTCTCACGGAAACGTGAACGCTTCTGAAGCTTGGCTGGCACGTCTGCCAAGTAATCTAGACATGTGGCGATAACCACGACCTGAGGTAGAGCATTGGCAGCAGAGGCTGCTGCAGAGAGGTTGTCGAGCTCATCGCCAAGAGCGTCGATGACAGTGTCACGGTTAGACCGATCTTTGGCGAGAATGTCTTCGAGGCCGTCGATGAAGAGAAGACTCGGCTGCTGAGACTGGGCTTGCTTAAACGTCTCCCTGATGGATGACAGCTTGTCTGAAGACCTGATCCAATGAACTCGACCCCAGTTGGTAGCTGCGATGCGCTGCAGAATGAACGTCTTGCCAGTACCGTGGCCGCCATGGATGACGAATCCGCAAGATTCGCGCTCATTTTGTATCCAAAAAGGTCGGCCAAACCCTCTGAGGAACTGATTGATGGTGTTGATTTGAGAGGATAAACCAGGGACTCCCGTGACAGCCAAAGGACCAGATGTAGCAGCCACTTGCGCATCCTCAGGGGAATAATTGTCGCCCCCGGGCTGGAGAATCCGTACTGTTGACGAGGAGAGCTTGAACCGAGCTATGTTATTGGACTGTCCATTGACTGATATGACTTTGAACGTTCGGCGCAGTTTGTTGATGTTGACACCCTCGAGGACCATGCCAGGGAACACTTGCTCCGCACGGTCGAGAGAGATACTGATGGAAAACTCCCAAGACGGGGCATGTCTTGATTCTGCAGCAGCATCCTTCTGCTGATCGGCCTCCGTAGCAGCATCCTGAACCACAACTTCTTCTGCATCCGGAATCGCGGCAGGCTCCGCAAGAGTGATCCTGACTACATCTCCGAGCTTGAATCCTGTCGCCTCCTGAAAGGCCCTTGTCATCATGACAACATTGGCGCTGATGTTCTTTTCGGGGAGAACCCATAGCGAGGCTCCCCTCCGTTTGGTGGTCTCTGCATCTGCTGACGACCCATCGCCAGAGGTGTCGTCTGTTTGGAGGCTCTCAACGATACATGGCCGGCCGCTTTCAAGGCCGCCGGTGAGTGAGATGAGGGAATCTTTGCTGACGTAGATGCGAGCAGCGCCGAGGAGACTTGCTCTTTCAAGACTCACGTTGGCAAGAGGGCGAACTTTGGCGTCGATGCTTTTTTTCAGCATCTTTTTGTTTTGTTGTGTGTGGGTTTATTAGGGTAAAGAAAAAGAAGAGAGAAAGAAGAGAAAACTTTGTTCTAAACGAGACGGTGGGCGGCAGGAGGGTTCTAATTACATGTACATGGGATTTGGAAGGTGTGAATGACAACGATTGTGGGATGCTTGAAAGGTCGAGGACCCTTCCAAGAATTTTCCGTTTTAGTTACTTGTGGTACACTGTACTTGCCGCTGAGGGATGCTGGGGTACTTGTACATGTTCAATCCTGGCGATGCGCTTGTCGATTTCTTCTACTAGGCTACCTTTGTATACGTGTAGAGAAGAGGAGAGAGACGCAGGAAACAGAACTTATTCCCTAGTAAGCCCAGCTTTGCATACCATTAGGAAAAAGAGCAGTAGATTTGCAACAAATTTTGAGCTTCTACATAGAACCTTGATCAGCCCCCCTGTACCTACCCAAGATCTGGCGCACGGATCACCAAATGCATGTACTCGCTACCTGCTTTGCACTAGCAAGAGGTATTCCGTACCTTGCCCGACGTCATTGCAAAGAAAAGCCGTAAACTCCAAACCTCCAAATCGTCCATCCTCTTATTGGCATTTCCACCTCCACCTCCACCTCTCTCTGTTTCCAGCAGCTCAATGCGCCCTCTCTTTGGCAATCTGCCTGGATGATCTGCCCTCGATGGACACCTCGAGCGACAGCGACACTCGCTAACATTGGCGGCAGCTCGAGGCAAGGCTCCTCTCGCCATATTCTTCATCCATGCAAGGATTCAAGGCCAAGGCGCGGCTTCAACACGAACGGAGGGGGCGACGGCGATGGTCGCGAACCGCCGAACTCCTTGAATAACGCTCAGCCAGCGTCTCCTCTCCGGACAGCTGCGTCTACAACTGGACCGACCTCCACTCCACAGCCGAGACGGCAAACATGGACAACACCAGCGACATCTGCGGCTGACGCTGCCGGCCAGGGTCGGCGGCTGCGCAATAAACCAAACACTGGCGAAGCTCGACGACCTTGGGTTAGCAGAAGAGATAGAGGCAGCAAAGGCGTGGAAGAGGAACCTGACGTTACACCTCTCCAGGAGTGGCCGCAGCTGCAGAGAAGACAACGAGGCGTCGCAGTTCCAAAGAACCCTTTCTCTCCACGACAGAACATACAAAACCCGCGAGGCACCACAGACTCGTCGCTCGTCATGCTCATAATAGACGGCCTGTCACCCAACCTCAACGCCACAGACTTTTACCGCATAGCGCCAAACGATTTGTCAAATTGGCAGAGCGCCATCAAGAAAGGTACTATAGTTGTTTTTCTCCTCCCTCTATTTGTGTACTTGATAATTCAGACCATCTAACTCGCTCCCCACACTCTAGTCCAGCAGCAACGCAAGGTAGACACCCTCGAACCTCTGGGCCGCTACTGGGTCACCTTTAGCACAGGCCAGGCCGCCGCTTCGTACCGTGATAGACTTGTTCGCCTGCACAAGCTCAACAGCTTCAAGCTCCGGTCTGCGAGCGGCTTGTGGGAAAGCAGCGTTCCGTCGTCCCTGAAAGTTTCTCTCGCCTCTCCACCTGCAGGACCAGCAGCAGCAGCAGCAGCTGAAACCAGCGATGCCGTCATCTCAGACACACCTGGCACAGAAACCCTAGTCGACCTCGTCAACACTTTTACCATCGCGCCAGGCTCTCAAGCTATCCTTCCAATGCAGCGCAAAAAAGTTTTTCTTCAGCGGCCGTGGGCGAAACGTCTAGCTGGGCTAGTCGAAAACCTCGGATATGGGGAGCGGCCTTGGACATTGATGGTGGACATTTATCCCCCTACCTTGACTGCCCAAGAGCTGCATCAGTTCATCCGCCGAGACGGGCAAAACCGAGGACTCCGGTGGCAAGTCTCCATGCCTCAGCACCTCAAGACGAGCAGCTCGGAACAGGGGCCAGCGAAGATGAATGTCAAGGGAAGGGCCAGCGAGGAAAACGAGATGAACGAGCAGGAGGAGGAATCGGACAAGCAGCACAATCCATTCTTTTGGCGCAATGACCGCGAGACGTTGGAAAAGCTCAAGGGTCGGTTCATAGTCGCGTGTGCTGATGATGTAGAGGCACGGCGGTTTCGGCAGAGCTGGAATCATAGAACGCTCACAACAATGCAGCCACAGCCAGCGAGGTATTTAGTTCATGCATCAATAATAAACTGGTAGCTATCTCTCCATCTACTATCACATCCCATGCCATTCACCTGGCGCCACATACCCGCCAATCATCATGATTGCCACGCATTGCTTCTTAGTCATTGTTCTTCGTGACTGCATCTCAAATTATAAATCCTCCCTTGTCGTGGACGCTCTCCCGCCTTCTGCCTCCTCGATTTCTCTTTCTTCTCTGCTCTATTGCGACACTTGTCACTTTCTGTTCATTCACTCTTTTATCTTTGCCACGTTGCCCAGACTCCAAAGCGAACACAACAGCACGGCCCTCTCTTTTGGCCGCGACATGAGTAGTCATAGACACAATAGCAGTAATAGTTTTTTGTATTAAAACCCAAATTAATAGAAAAGGAAACGAGAGAGAAAAGGACAACGAAAAGGAAAAAAAAAAGGAAAATGAAAGGGGAAAAAGAAGACCGCAAAAACTCCGAACCGTAATTTGCTCTCTCTAAGGTGGGTAGGTAGGGGGTGGATTGAAAGGTCGCCGAGTAGTTTGTGGGGGAAATTTTTCTTTTTTTTTTTCAAGTCAAGAAACTCTCATGACCCTCATGTCCGAAATGTCATTACTGGCACAAAGCTGATAAACTGCAGGCCTCATAAACAGCTCGTATGTCTTGATCGCGTTGCGCTGCCGTCTCCATTATATCATACGTCAAATACACTCTCAAATCAACGTCGTGCCTCGCGTTTGCGCGTGCAGCATACAACTGTTGGACCCATTTTAGCAGCACTTGCCGCTGGCAGCCTCGCTCTTCTCGCCAACGTTGACACCTGATGAGGTTCCAACGTCGGTCTTCTGGTTGTCGATGAGGCGCTTCTTGATGTCGGCAGCTAGGCTGTAAAAGGCCTGATCAATGTTGATGTTGCTCTTGGCTGAGACTTCGAGGAAAGGAATGCCGAGCTCGTCTGCCAGTGCTTGGCCCTGTTCCGTGGATACAACGCGCTTATCCTCCCAGTCGCACTTGTTGCCGATCAGGATCTTGTTGACGCCTTCGGTGGCGTGCTGTTCCACATTCTGGAACCAGGTACGAATGTCTATTGGAAAGAAAAAAGGTGCATGTCAGCCCATGGCCTACCTAGAATAACTCCACTTTTCGTTTCGCATTCCTGTCTCCCGAGCATCTGCAGCAAACAATTGCTCAAAGGGGGGACCCGTTTGAACGTGTCCGCAGAATTGAGGCGGTTTGGCAGGCCCAACATCAGGAAACAGATAGATGGGGAGATGGGGAGCAGGAGAAACGACACAAGGCGGTGAGCAAGTGGGGAGGGGGGTTTCGACATACTCTGGAATGATCGCTCGTCGGTGACATCGTATACGAGCAGAATGCCCATGGCACCGCGGTAGTAGGCAGTGGTGATGGTGCGGAATCGCTCCTGGCCGGCAGTATCCCAGATCTGCAGCTTGACTCGCTTGCCGTCCAGCTCAATCGTCCTGATCTTGAAGTCGATGCCAATGGTGGTGATGAAGGACGGGGTGAAGGAGTCCTCACTGAATCGCAACAGACAGCATGACTTTCCAACACCGGAGTCGCCAATCAGAAGGAGCTTGATCTAGAGAGGGCATATCGGTTAGCATCTTGTTCGTCCTCGCTCCGTATCGCGGCATGGTTGCGTCGTCGTCGACGATGCCATGTGATTGGGGCCGCGCTTAGTGGCCGTACGTGGCCAGAGGGGGTGGGGGAAGCGAAAGGGGGGAAGAATGAGTCGTACCAGAAAGTCGTAGTTGCGATTGCTAGGCATGGCGGGCATTTTGGGCAAAATGTAGTCCTGATAAAGGGGGTTCGAGATGGTGCAGAGGTCGACTCGAGTGCGACGGTCAAGCGCTGGGGCTGCGAGACGAAGTGGCGGAGAGGCGGGAAAGGCAGAGGCGGAAAACTAAAGAGGTATCCGGCCCGTGAGAACGACGGAGCAGCGATGGCAAGCCCAAAAAAAAGGTGCAAAAAGGTGCTTCTCGTCGAGATAACCTGTGTGTATGTACCGAGTACGGTTTGCTACACGGGTTGGCGGCAGATCCGGCGAAAGACTCAGCAGCGAGGCGGGAGTCTGTTTGGTGATGCTGGAGCAAGGAAAGGCTCTGGATTGCACAAGACGCAGGCAGGACGTCAAGACGGAGACGAGGAGCGATGCGCGGGCGAAAGCGGGCGCAATTGAGCGAAGCTGGTGATGCAGGTGGCAAAGGCCGGAGAGAGGGTTCAGGCTCGTCGGTGAAGGTTGCAGAATCGAGGTTCTGGCATCTGGACAGCTGGAAGCGGTCGGGACACTTGGCCGAGATGCACGTCCAGCGTGGTGCCTACGTAAACTGGCTAGCGCATGTACCCTTTGCGCCGACAAGTGCTGGCAAGGTACCGACGGGTCGAGGGCGGCCGCTGGAACTGGGCTGATGTTTAGTGGGATGGCCACCTAAAACGCACTGGGGGACCCTCTGAAGCCGGGGGCCTGTGGAAGTCGTGGGCCTGTAGAAGCTGGCTGGGGTCTCAGTCAATCAACCTGAATCGATAAAAGATGGATTGCATGCATGGATGATAATGCGGTGTCCCAAGTTCAAGTCATGCATCAAACTTCGTGTTTTGGACATCTACTCATAAGCGGTGCATTATGTTTATATATATTTGCACAGGTACGAGTATTATGTGTACCTATGCATCCATTGTGAGAGATATTCTTCTCAGGGTCTAATAACCTACCACGGCCAAGGCAGTAGCCAAAACCCTCGGCAATCTACGCACGATCCCTTTGGGCCAGGCATCGAGATAATCGCTGCTAGCATCAGTACTCGTACTTGGATTAGTTTAGCAGTACTCAGTAGGCAGGCAGCAAAACGTATTGATCCAATGCAGCAGTCCCTTCAATACCAGCACCGCGAGGCCCAGCCAGTCGCAGCCTCACATGGTCCTGGCCATGAACTAATAATCAGCAGCCCTCTCTATCCTTTTATGGGACTCGACTCGTCTTCCTTGTTCTCGTAATCTTTGCCAGTTGGGAATCCCCGCCGCCTCAAGTTGCTACTACTAGTAGAGGCCAAAAGCGGGACAGGCTGCATACCTTAGCACTGGCACATGCACAAAGCCCCCAAGTCCTGCCCCTTACATGTAACCGTTGAAACATTGAACCTCCTTGGCTGTACATTCCATGACAAAAGTCAGGTACGTACCTCCTCCTTCATGCGCGGTCACTGGTCCCTGCATTCGGATGAGGGGCTACTGGCATTTGCCGGCTGATTTTTTCTTTCTTTCTTTCTTTTTTCCTCAAGTAGGTAGACGAGCAATTGTGGCTATGACACGGGGGAATTCCTTTGTTTTGGGTTTCTGCTTGGTTCGTTGATTCCAAGTGGAAGACGTCATCGGTCGGCGTTTGGATGGAGAGTTGTCCCGGGTTGTTGTGCTCCGACTTTGGCTGCGATTGACGGCTGGATGAAGTAACCATCACAGGATACGTGTATCCGGAGGCTTGGTTAATCCAGCCCCGCCATGCTGTGGCAAGGACCTTGAGGGGGGTTAAAATTGCTGTGAAGAAGCCTCACACCGCAACGGGTTTTGATGATGAAACTACCAAGTGTACATGGTAAGAGGCGGTTGGCGAGGCAGATGTATTACATCTTGTTTTTGTTTTCACTGTATTTTCTTCATTGCCAGCTTCATAAACTCGCCTCCCCAAATCTCGACATACAACACCATCCCAAAAGGTCCGGTGTATGAAGTCATGCTAACAGTATAGCTACTATATGGAATAAAACATTGCCAGACCGCCAAGTAAATACCAAATTGCAGCCCTCAACCACATTTATTGACACTCTACTCATTCTTCCCAAACACATCGTTCCACATCGCCGGTATCTCTCCTGGCGCCGGCACAACAACCTCCTTCTCAGTAAACGGCGGCGGCCCAACGAACTGGCCCCTCTCGCACAGCGTATTCATCGTGTCGCAGTACCGACTCCATCGGTCGCAGTTGGCCTGCCCAACCGTCTGCGAGCTCTCCCTGCACTTCCGGCTCTGCCCGTAGCACACCCTGACGCCCCCCCAACACCCTTCTTGGGTCGAGTACGCCGGAGTGGGCAGACCGCACCAGTTTGCGCTCTTTATGAGGCAATCTTGGGGGATGAGGCCGGCCGTCTGAAGCATCGGCGCCGGGATGGGGTACCTGATGGCGCTGTGCACATCGACGTGAGGGACATGGACCTTTGGGCCGGGAATTGGGTATGGTGGTAGGTCCTCCCGATAAATGTCATAGGTGAGGCCTGGTGTAGTGGCATCAACATATCCAGGGATGCTCGTGAGATGATCCTTTGGGACATCAAGAGGGCCCTGAACATTGCTGTTGAGAAAGATTTGTGCACAGCCCAAAAAATACTGCGGATCATTGCGATGGACGGCCCAGTGCAAGGCCAAAATCTCAGGCCGCACAATGTAGTATCCCGCGGGCAGCCCCCGAGGAAGATTTACGGACAGCAGGCCGTTGTTCTCGACGAGTCGATCAACGCACCACTTGCGCGTCACTGGGTCGTAGCCGTCCTCCCAGATTTTGAACCACCCAGCACCAGCGGCGCTTTCTGTAAACATGTCGTCGACCTTCTTGACGTATACGGCGCAAGGGCCTAGATGGCCTGGATCAATGCTGCCGGGCGCTTGAGCATCTGGCCAGAGGCGGAACTCAAACGTGAGAAGAGATCCTTTTTTTGCAGGACAGATGAATGACACTGCTTCAGTGCCGTTACGGCCTATTGGTGTTGTTAGTATGCCCAATGACAGTTATTTGGACTGAAACAAGAGAAGTGTATTCTCACCACAAACCATATCATCGGAGGTAATAGGTCGGATTGGAACGGTGGCCGTCTCGCCATCGAAAGGCGTACGAACGCATGTACCATCTCCCTGACTCTTTCGATCAATGAAGAGAGTCGTAAATGAAGTATGGGCACTTGCCACGGAGGCAAGGCCAAGCGATAACAGGCCAGCAATAGAGCGCTTCATGATGATGATTCAAATATCACAACCTTTTGGAACAATTTTGATGCGTAAAGAGGAGAGATATGGGGGCCAGCAGGGAATATGAATGGGGAGATTTTGACTCTGAGCTGATGGCCAATAAACGGAGGGCAACAAAGAACATTGAGGCAAAGTCCCGAGAAAGGGGTGAACTCGCCGCCTACTTTGTTCTCATAGTTCGATAGTCTCGGCCCAAAGTTTCTCTCCCCTGGTGGCTCACGCAGCCACCCGCTGAGGCTTGAAGAGTTTATATGTTGCGCCGATCATGCTCCCCCTCTCATCTGTCGTTTAGATTAGCCATCTCTGACTTGATGTTTAAAATAGAATCATCGTGTCTTGCTAAGATGTCGCGGAACAGCCTTGAAACCAGCACCTTGCACCGGAACCAGGCGAATTGTCTACAGCCAACATCCCCTATTGGACTGTAGTGTTTGGTCGGCGCCTGTGTGTGCGAGACTGTACGACTTGGCCCGGTTGGCCCCTCGAGTGAGTTAAGCCTTCACGCAAAGTATCCAACGAGGCTTGCGGCATATTGCGAGAATGGCACCGTTGATAAGTAGCGTAGAACCCATGGATGGTCCCACGATGAAAAAAAAGAAAAAAAACCTGTACCTTTGCCCGAGGATGTATATGCCGCCGGATGTGGGCGTCAAGCCTCCATTCACTATCACGTCGTATAATCACGCCGTAGCCGTAGCCAGAGCCAAAAATAAAGATTTTCAAAAAAGCATAAACACCATGAGTGGAGATTTCGTATAAAAAAAACACCGACAGCCTCCGCGAAAATCACTCATAAAGCACTCATCCTACACTTTTCACACCACTCATGGTACAAGCCGCTTCCAGTCTATGCAAGATATTCTGTATCTTCTCCTCTCAGTTGCCCTCTTCAAGGAAGCCCCCCCCCCCCCCAGAGTATTTGATGCCGCTATATCCTCAAAATTTGTCATGTAAAGATTTTGTTTAGTTTTTTTGAATTGTTAATTGTCTTTTTTATAATTTCCTTTTCATTCGTATGGTACACAGTATAGTACACTCGTCATGACGTCGGGTATTATTGCTTTTGCTTCTTCTTCTTTTACTCGTTGATCTTGGCGAGAATCCTGTATCTTTATTAGTAACAATTACCATGATGGCATTCGTAAGCAAGACTCACTCGCTGTCACGGAACAGCTGGTACTCCTCCTCACCGGCCTTGACAGGCGAGCCACCAAACTAAGATGCCCAAGTCAGCCAAATTACTCTTTTCATCACACTCCCCCTTGTCCAAGACTAGTTGAATCCAAGCTCATACCTGAGGAATCAGAACACGGTCACCGACGGCAACGCCCATGGGGATGCGCTTGCCATCGCGGTCCAGACCACCGGGTCCGACGGCGAGAACCTTGGCCTCGTTGAGCTTCTCGACGCTCGACTCGGGCAGGAAGATGCCGCTGGCGGTCTTGGCCTCGGCCTTGACGCGCTGGACGAGCACGCGGTCCAGGAGGGGAGCGAGGTTGCGGATGGATCGGATGGCAGACTGTGGTTTAGATGCCGTTGCGTTAGCGAATTGCTTCTTTTCCCTTGCTTCCAAGCCCCAATGACAACGGTGACAGCTCCCGAAATGTTATACGTTCATTGCGTATATACATCCAAGTCATCCAGCAGCAGAGTGCAGAGTGGGGTGTGTGGTCATTATTACGACTATTGCAGGAAGAAAGCAAACTTTGGGGGAGAGGATTCAAGAAACTGCCATACCATTGTGAATGATTGTGAAGCCGAAAGTGAGGTCGTGAAGCCTGCAATTGGTGCTATCGGGAGATGGAGAAGGAAAAAATAGCGGATGAGCTGGAGAAGCGGTTCAGATCGGCAACAAATGCTCTTTCCCTTCGAACGGCTTCCAGAATCCAGCTGCTGCTTAGCCGGCAATTTTTTTTTCTCTGCCGCCATGTCGGTTCGGGATTTCCCCTCTTCCGAGGCCTCTGCTCCGCGATAGCTTCAGGTAGCTCCAAATGCCAACCCCGCCATTCTATGCCGAATCCGGAGCTCCCAGGCTTCTCGGCCCGAGTCAAGGTGCTGATGAGGAAAAATCAAAAAAGGTTGAGCTTTTGGTGACATCTTATTTCATTGAAGACTACCTGGATGTAGATTATGTCCTGATATGTACCAAGTTACGAAAAAAAAACAAAAAAACAGACGCCGTCTATCCCCGTGTCGCCTCAACCGCCCATCCCCTCCATCACCTGTAAATGGTATGCCACTATGTAAAATAACCCTGAGGTTGGAATTGATCTGCTATTAAAGACATTGCACACCGCGCGCGCACCTGATTGAGAATCCAACATTGCATCGCATCTTTCTGTCATGGACCCCCTCTGAAAAACTACGTGGTATTCTGCCATTTCATCCTGTGTAAATCCAAAACGCCCAACCAAATGTTAGAATAGACAAGAAAGAAAAAAAGGAAAAAGAGGAAGAAGGAAGGAAAAGAGAGAGAGAGAACGACGGATTGGTAAAATGACAAAGAGAGAGAGGAATGCTCGGTTGAAAATGATGCAAGAAAAATGACAAGAAAGAATCAAAAGCCGCTATGAGGTCGCAGCTTATGCCTTCTTCGGAGCTGGTGGCTGAGCGTTTGGCGGCTCCAGAATGTGCTTGTGGTCACAAGCGGGAATCACGTCTCCATTATCCACTTGTTGGCAGATGACAGTGTCTGCCACCCATGGCTCTTCCAAAATCTCACCCATCCTAGCGCGAGACTTGGGGTTGATGTCCAGCATGCGATGGATGATGTGACGGCTTTCTCGGGGGAGAAGGCGGAGAATTCTCCAAGGGCCTCGGATGACCTCTCTTTTCTCGGTGGTGACGTTGACTCCAGGAATTGGGAGCGGCACCTGTTCGGGTGGGGGATCCACAGAATCTTCCCTCTTGTGCGTGTGGTGAGGCTTCGAATCATCATCGGGTAGGAATTCTCGAGCTGCCACAGACGACAGATCGTTGGTGGACTTGGGTCGCAACAGTTTGCCGGGGTCGTGTCCAGGAGTAGGGCTGGCTGCGAAGAGCTTGTACGAGTTGTCCGTCATGCGGGGGATCTTCCAGGGGAAGCGGCGCAAGGTCATACAGCAGAAGATGATGGCGAGAGACCAGATGTCGACCTCCTCGGCATTGTACTCTTTGGCGTCGTACACCTCGGGAGCTAGGTACGGGTCGGAACCAACAATGCCTGCATCAACATTGTTAGTATTTGAAAGTAAGGGGGGAGAGGGGAGAGGAGGGGCGTATATGAGAAAAGAAAAGAAGATAACTCACCTTTTGCTGGAACTGATCCGCTCTCAAAGGGATACTTGAAAACATGAGCACTACCAAAATCAATAATCTTCATAATGCCCTTGCCGCTGACTACCACATTGTCGAGCTTCAAGTCCCGATGGGCAAGGCCCATGCTGTGCAGGTAGGTGACGCCGTTGAGGATCTGCAAGAAGCTGCAACGAATCTCTTCGCGCGACATCTTGCCCGTCATGACAATGGCGAAAAGGTCAAAGGGGGCGTACTCCATCACCTCAAACCAGCGTCCCTTTTCCTGCAGGATATCCAGCGTCTCGATGACGTTGCCATGGTGGAGAGTCGATCCAACGCAGAACTCGGCCGTCACCTTTTTGTTGTACTCCCTCTCCGTCTCGTACGTGTGGCGCGCTCTAAACTCCTTGACGGCAAAGACGGTACCATCTTCCGTTCGACGCATGAGTCTGACGGACCCACCAGCACCAGACCCCAAGACCTTGCCGAGTTTGCCGTACTTGGATGTCAGGCCGTGGTCGTCGCCAAAAGGCAGCTGTTGGGTGGAGCGGTTGGCCTGACTTGACTTGGACGATGACTTGATGGACGACGGCGATGCGTCCCGCTTTTTGTGGTGGCCAGACTTTCGGAAGAATCGCTTCAGATCGGACATGGAACCCGTTGCTGCGTGGCCATGTGCCCCGTCGTTGGATCCGGAATCGTCGCTCTGCTTGGACTGCTGGGTGTACATTCCGAGGCTTGTTTTGGACGACGTGGGCGACGTCCCATGCTTCTTCTTCCTGGAAAAGACAAATCGAGGGTCGACTGAGTGACGGGTGGGGTGCTGCAGCTGAGGCGGTCGGCGGCCTTTGGCATAGGGGTCGTTGACATCGCCCCCAGGTGCCATTGGCTTGGAGTAGTAGAACGATGCCGCGCTCCTAGAGGGGCTGGATTCACGAGATACCGGGACAGAGCTGGGCCCAACGGAAAACATGTCCTGCCTATGGAGCGCCCTAGACTCTCCGCGCTGGTCATCTGTGGACGAGGCCCTAGACATGGCGTGGTCCGAGGAGGCTGGTCGATGAGTGAGGTGTTTGCGGTCGGCAGTGCGAGCAAGTGTCTTGTCGGTGGAAGTAGAAGTAGAAGGCTGAGGAGTGATGATGTGAGAATCGTTATTGACGGAGCTGGGAGCACTGGTTGGGCCGGCTTCTTTATTTAACCTCTTGTCGGGATCTGATCCAGAAGGCGTCAAAGGAGGAGAGGCCAAGGCGGAAAGCCGGGGGCTCCCATGAGGAGACTGCCAGCCAGACGAATTTGGCGTCGGGAGTCTCGTGGAGTCATTTGATCCTTCTTCACGGGAATTGACCTGGCAGAAGGCATCGCGGTTAGCCACTGAATGGGAGAGAGTTGACAAAGTAGAGAAACACGGGCCACAATGACGGGGCAGAAGCTGGACACCGGGGGAGCCGGAGGCGTAGGGAGATGAATCGGGATTGCAAACAGTCGGTGCGCTGATTAGATATATGCATCAATCCGCTTTACTTGACGTGCGCAAACCGATGCCGGTATCGTGGCGGAGCTGTGGTGAGCTCAAAACAACGAGACAAACAGACAAAGGGGGGGAGGCAAGGGGTATGAAATGAAGAGCAGAGACAAAGCAAACGAGCAAACAAACAAAAGGTCCAAGATGAAGCAGCTATCCTTGATAACGGGAAGAAGAAAAGCGACGGAGCTCTTACCCTTGACGCAGGCAGAGAAAAGGCCTCGAAACCAAAAGTGCTCATACGGCGCTCCTGCAGGGGCAATCCATGGTTCATGGACTTCTGGAAAGCCTTGATCTGATCGGCAGCAATCTCATTGAAGGTATCGAAGCGGTCTGAAGTGTTTGTCGTCGTCTTCAGGGAAGCTGGGGCGGCAGGCTGCGCAACCGGAGCCGTGGGCTCAATCTCCTCCACGGCGGAGGAGAAGCGGACAGAGGCCGAGCCATCGCGAGGTTTGCTGCTGGTGCTCTCCTTTGACGGCGATCGAGAGATTTGGTCTGCCGAAGTAGCAGTAGTAGTGGCAGTTCCAAAATCGGTAGCAGCAGTAGCAGTAGCAGCGGCAGAGGTAGCATCTGTTCGAAGACGTAATTGACATTAGATTTTGCACACAAAGATAACCATGACAGCTCGTCGTTATCGCCAAATTCAATCAATCTATCCACCGGTGGGGGAAGGCGTTTGAGGCGTCTCAGCGGATGCGCCGGACTCAGAGAGGAAACTTACCGGCAGCGGCTTCCTGCTGGAAGGGCGCCTTTTGGGGCTGTGACGACGCCATGGAGCAGGTCGTAAAACACAAAAGCCTTGGGAGCCCGCAGAGGTGAGGCAACGCAACGCACGAGATCCCAGAGGCACGAGCAGGACCTTGTGGGAGTCAAGTTTTGAGGGCCGGGGCGGGTAGCGCAGCGCAGCCCGTGGCCTAGCGAACGCTTTTTTTTTCGACTCGATTTCGGTTGCGCGATGATGGAAAAGAATGGCCGATGGTGGGGCTGCTGGCTTGGGGATTCCGGGCCACTGCAGATGTACAGGTACAGGTACAGCGCGGAGTCCGTACCCTCGGAAGTAGCGCCGCCGTCGGCCTGTACCTTTGGAATACGGGGGCCAAGCAGGGGGGGGGGCGCGGTGACGAGCGGTATGGCCAAGGGCGGGAGTACTGGGAGGTACCTATAGTACTCAGCAGCAGCACCTGGGAGCTTGGCAGGACCTTGGCCGGACGGGACGTGATACCTCGCAGAGGCGCTGCGTCACCGGTACAGGTACTGTTCTGGGTGCTGCAGGCGGCCACATGCTTTTCACAGGATGCAACGGAAGGGCCATCAGCCGCAGGAGGCGGTCACGGGAGAAAAGTACTGCGAGGTACCTTGCGCAAGCTGGTTGCTGTTTATGGGAGGTTCTGTAGCAGGCAGGTAATGCCCAAAGAGGACAATCAATGGATGTTGTTTGGCGTTTTGTCATCATCAAGATGCCCGCTACAGCTCCCATCCTTTGTAAGCCGTCCATGCGCAATGTACAGTAACTTCCAGCTGTACAGCCTCCCCCTTTGAGAGTCCCCCTCGTCTTTTGTTCATTACCCATTTACTCCGTATACAAGTACACTGTCCAACTCGCTCAACAAGGGCCCCCAAGCCCATTGAAATTTGGGCAGCGGCTTTTACGACACTCCGCGCAGGAACCCCGAGGCGCCGTACCGTTTCCCCTCTTTTGAGGTACCGCTACTTCGCCTCAGCTGGAGCCTTGGACCCGCGAGAAGCGCCCAATACAGATACTGCCGCCCCACGATACCTCATGCGGCGGTACCTCCCTCGCCGGCAGCGCGGCAAAGGTACCTCGAGGTACAAGGAGTCAAAGCTCATCGCCGATGCCCTTAGCCAAATCTACGGGCTGTTTGTTCCTTCGAGGCGCAATCTAGAAAATTCCCCCATCCTGGCCGTCACTCTATCGGATACGTTGCCTCACCTTGATTTTTGGATCCGGGAGCTGCGGAATCATCGAAGCGCCACGCTGGCCAGATTCTAGCTGCGCGGCTCTCGGATGCATATCTGCCAGCCCTGCTGTGTTTTTACCACGGTTGAAACCATTTCGGGTATCGTGAGGCGTCGATATCCAGACGCAACATGCCTCGGCACCGAGCTACTTGTACTTGTATGTGTGCTTGCTTACTATGTACGAGTATATCGTACCGTATTAGTGCTACTCCCTCCGTGGAGCTGTCTTGTCCTACTACGACTTACCTATCTGGGGAACCGACCTGTTACTTGCCGTCGTCTGGTCCTTGTATGGAGTCCTCAGCAACTATCTATTACCCACCCACGGGTGGTCTCTGACCCGCGTCTGGGTCCTACTTGTACGTACAGCAGAGTCAATGAAGCTTCCGTGGATACGCAAATACGGAAACAAGCACGCTGCCGCGGCCGTGATTGGCGACCGGGGGTAGCGGCTGATTCACTCCCGCCTCCAATGATGCGTCTCTGCATCTGTGCCTTCAGCTGTCCTCTGCCCCCTCCGCTGGTCCATCTCATCCGATGTGACTCCCACAAGAGGCCTTCATGTGCTTCGCAATCTGCTGCAAGTATATCTCGCATATCCCTGGCACTAGCTGGGCAAACAGAAGCTCGAGGTGGGTTGCTACTAGATCCAGCTGCTCCTTCGGCTAGTCTCGTCGAGTTGCATTGAGCCAACACAACACAGACAGATCATAGGACCAGCTATTCGGAACTTGGATGGTAGTAGCAAATTGCCGCACGTTGCCCAAGTCGGCCCGTCGTGACAGGGGCAGAATCACCCAAGGCACAAATCCAAATCCAGCATCCCTTGTTGCACATATTGGACAGGTACGAGTAATAATCTGTACGAGTACTGTCAAGTACTGCCTCGTAAGTCTGTTTGTTTTTGCCTCTCCCGATCGATATCCCAGGCGGCCCCACAGCCCACAGGTGGACATTCCCTCAACCGCTGGTGGCAATTGATATCTGCCGGCATACTCGTATTTTCATTCTCTTCGTTTGCACGTCTGTGGGTTTCCGTCTGTCTTGACATCAATCAAACGCAATCAAGTTTCGAATTTTCTTTTTTCTGGAATTGAATTCTAGCCTCTCGGGATCGCCGTGTATCCGTAAAAGCAGCCATCCCCGTCCTCCTCTCGCCACCCAACAATCAAGCAGGGCGAAGGGGAAAAAATTTCTTTCTCGCATTAGCCCGGCGACTGAATCATTGGCATGCCTAAAAGGCATTTTTCACCAACAGGATTTGCTACCTACTAGCCTAGTACTCGTATTAGCATCAATGCCGCTGCAGAACGCACGTGCCTCATTCGGCATCAACTCGCTATTTTCAAGAAACAAGCTTGCATGGGCATCTTGGCTTTCTTTTCCGTGACAAGCCCGTTTCCGAGTGGGGCCTGATCGCCACTTGAGCTTGATCTCCCTACCATGTAACATGATCTTCTTCTAGCCAGTTTCCAGATAGCTGCCGTTGAAGATTAACCGGGAAGGGAAATAAGGACTAATTTGTAAGCGGTGGGAAATGCCCATCCAGTCGTGAATAGCGATGATGATTGATAGCCTTCAACGATCAGCTATTAGACTACCTGGTCGTAAGAAATATACTAGGTATCAGCTATGTATATGCGTGTTCGAGTATATGTATAGCAACAACTTGAAACGCCTGTTGTCTCCTTATGACGATCATTTTGGTACACGCTTCCCCCCACACTGTGGGCTCAGCCAAGTTCTGGCATGTCATCTTCATGCTGATACTGTTTCTGAATGGATACGGCATCGATATGTGGTCCATAGTGGTTCCTCAGTTTTATTCATGGTGCCGCAACTGGATCTTTATCGATCAAGTGGATGTCAAGATGCGGCTTCCAGTCTAATATTCGGAAACAGAGCATTTTTCACTGAGATATTACAGGTAGAAATCGTAAAGTATTGATATGACAGTTGTTTGATTGAATAACTAAATAACTAATTACGTGTAGGTTCCAAATATTAGCCATTTATCAACTGTAAAAAAGGTTGCACATAAAGGTTCCCGCAAACACCGGCAGCCCTGTAAAGCGGAAACGTGTCAACCACTTCCAACGTTTCATGTGGTGCTGCTACAATCTGGCAAGCATCTTAAATGTTCAACAACTTCAGCGAGTTTTCCACGTCCTCGGATAACCTCTCCTCCAAATACCCCAGCACTCTTGTCAGACCCGCATCTCCGCGACGACATGCGCCACTCTCAAGGTGCGCAACGAGCCCGCTCATGGTTCGAAATTCCTTCTTGCTCGGCTCGGACCCCCCAGATCCTCCTTGAAAGAGAGACGGAGGATAGTTAAACATCCTGGACGCGTGGGCAACAGATATCATGTGTTGCTCGAGAGATGCTTTTCCATCGAATCGTCGCTCACTACCAGGACAGTAGAGGCACATGTAAACGCGGTCCGCGGGCAATTCTGTACATGTGCTCTCCACGGCCGATGAATCAAGTATCGCCGTCTCCTTTCCAGCAAGGCTCATCGAATCGAGCTGACTGCTGCTAGGAGCCAGTATCGCGTCCTCGCCTGAATCTGTGGTTGGAGTCATGACTCCCGAGCAGACTGATTCTTGTTCCGCGTCTAGGATGACCCAGCCAGAGGCTTCAGAAGTGCTGCTTGAATTGGTTATGCGGTTCTCATTATCCTGTGGAAATAGCAGTCTGTTGAGCTTTTGCCGGTCCATGCCCGACCGACATTTGCCCTTTTCTAGGTGTGCAACCATAGCTGATGGACTGGAGAAATAGGCATTGCACTCCACGCCACCAATCTTGCCCGCCATGCAAGGCATCTTCCAAATCGGATGATGAACGACAGATTTCAAATGCTGCCGCAAAGCTTTTCTGTCCTTAAACGTACGATGGCAGTATTCGTAACTGCATTTCTGGGACTTTTTGGAGGGCTCGAAAGGCTCCGGATGGACTTTATCTCTGATGTGGCCCAGAACGGCTTTCCAAGTCTTGAAGAGCCTCGGACAGTCATTACAAAAAATCACGCCGACGTGCCCAGTTTCTTCAACATGGCTGTCCGAGGCAGCTTGGCTGTCGAATATCTCGCCGCAGGTGTAGCAGTGCCATTGCATGTCCTTGACCGGATTCTGCCAGCATGTCTCGCGAAGAGCTTGGTGTTCCGTGAATTCTTTGTTTGACCGAAAACATTTGTTGCAACGGTGGCAGATGTGATGAGCTTTTGCCTTTCGGTGCTCCCGCAAGGCTTTCTTGTCGCGGAATATGCGACCGCATGTGCATTCCAAGGCTGTCATTGTGCTTTCGTCTCGCTCGTGCTATGGGTTTTGATGTTGATAGCAGGGCTTTGATGTTGATAGCAAGGCTCAGAGGTTTGGAGGACACGTTGGACAAAAGATTGGGGGAAGAACCGCTCTTTTAAAGGCGGCCTACAGCATAAAAGTAGTTCATTCATGAACCTTGTTCTTCAGAGGCGCGCGCCATGGCTTTCCAAGAGCCATAAATAGAACTGAGTTTGGTGTAGCAATGGGTCCTTTGGCGCAATTTATTTTCCCACAGGTACGAGGCCCTGTTCAGGCTTCGATACTTGCAGCAAGTCGGATGACGTGGTGTCAGGCCTGCAATCTGTCCTGTGGCTGGAGGCGATTCCCAATAACAAGGCTCACAGACAAAGACCGTCGGCCTGGATCCCAGGCAGCAGCAGACAGACTGCGACTTTGATTGGTGGTGATGCTCTGTCGTTGGACGAGTATCGAGACATCAAGTTAGGTACCTCGTTTCAAGTTCACGTGCCAAATGAGAAGTAAGGCAGAAGAGGAAAGGGGGGAGGAGGGGAAGAGAGAAAGGAACTTCGATTCGGAGGGAAAAAACAAGCCGAATGTCTATTGTATGCCTTTGTTCAAATCTTCATCGTACAGCTCGACGGAATCTTGCAGCACCTACTATATGTTATACACATCTCCGCTCCCCAGCCCTGTCCATTCTGTATCACAAAAATCCATCATCAAACGCCGATTCTTTTTCTTTTTGTCTCTTGGTATCGTTAAGCCACCACGTTGATTCCTATTGATTTGCACTGGAAAATGATGGACCGGCATAGTCCCTCGAGCGACAGGCCCGACAGCCTAAGCTCTGACTGCTTGATTTTTGCGATTTCGTAGACGTGCTTTAAGCTGATGGTGCCGACCGTCTCATGTCCAGGCTTGCTGACGCCTTTTCTGTTTCCCTTCTTGCCCACTGGTGCTCCCACGGCATTGAGCAGCAGCCAGGATGTCTGAGGTGTTCTGACGTCAAAGGTAAAAGACCGATCTGGGCGGACAGTGACTCGGCATGGCATTGGTGTACCGGGTACGATGTGTGCTGTTCTGGCATTGAACTCCTATACCGCAGTCAGCTTTTGGTCTGTTGCAAATACCAAATAGCAAGCATCAAGCATCAAGCATCAAGCATCAAGAAAATGATCGACCCAATGCAGCAAGCAAAACACAGAGTAACGAACCTTGCAAAAGTCCATGGATTTGACACCCTTGCTACCAAGCGCGGGACCGACTGGAGGGCTTGGACTGGCCTGGCCAGCTCCCACAATCAGCTTGACGATGGTGTCGACACCGGCGGCAGCGCCCTTTGCTTTCGACATGGTTGGAGAGGATTTGCACGAAGCGGAATGCTGGAGTTTCGGCGATGCGCAATATCGTCTCGTGCTCTCGATGGAGATTTTGTAAATCTTGAAGCAACTTGCATCTGCAGCCATTGGCAAGACGCTAAGACCAAAGTAGTGCTAGTGTGATTTGGGGGTCCACCCTTTCTTATCTTATCGATAGCCCATGGCAAAGCCGCCAAATTTTTTGGAAACACAGCAGAGCCCATCATTTTTGACAGCCATATCATCTACATTTCCATTTCACAATCAAGATTCTCATCACAATAAATTCGTATCTCCCACGCCGCTTCTAGTGCAGTGCGACAGAATTGCACTGCATTGTATTTCAACCATCAATTAATCGAAAAATTAGCCACACACGTCCAACTTGAGTTGGGACTAGACAGAAAGACGCACGATGCCCTCGACACATAAAAAGGACAAGCCCTGGGATACCGACGATATCGACAAGTGGAAGGTCGAGACCTTTACTGCAAAGGACAATGCCGGCGGCACATTTACCGAAGAGTCATCATTCGTTACATTGTTCCCCAAGTACCGCGAAGTCTACCTGAAAGAGGCATGGCCGCTGATTACCAAGGCGCTGGAGAAGCACGGCATCGCCTGCACGCTGGATCTCGTAGAGGGTTCAATGACGGTCAAGACGACGAGAAAAACGTTTGATCCCGCTGCCATCTTGAACGCGCGCGATCTCATCAAGCTGCTGGCACGAAGCGTCCCTGCTCCCCAGGCCGTCAAAATCCTAGAAGACGGCGTCGCGTGCGACATCATCAAGATCCGAAACCTGGTGCGGAACAAGGAGCGATTCGTCAAGCGTCGCCAGAGAATACTGGGCCCCAATGGCTCTACGCTCAAAGCGCTTGAGCTGCTGACGGAGACATACATTCTCGTCCACGGTAACACGGTGTCGGCCATGGGACCTTACAAGGGCCTGAAAGAGCTGCGGAGAGTGGTCGAGGACTGCATGAACAATATCCACCCCATCTATCACATCAAGGAGCTCATGATCAAGCGTGAGCTTGCCAAGGACCCCGAGCTGGCCAACGAAAGCTGGGATCGTTTCCTGCCAAACTTCAAGAAGAAGACGCTGAGCAAGAGACGGGTGCCGCTCAAGGTTACAGACAAGGCCAAGAAGGTCTACACGCCATTCCCGCCGGCGCCTGAGAAGAGCAAGGTCGACAAGCAGATTGAGAGCGGCGAGTACTTCCTCAGCAAGGAGGCCAAGGACAGGGCAGCGCTCAGTGACCGCAAGGAGAAGCAGAAGCAGGCAAAGGATGACAGGGCAAAGGAGCGAGCGGCGGAATTCGTGCCGCCAGAAGAGGACAGGCCCAAAAAGAAGCGGAAGAAGAGCTCTGAGTAAGATGGCTGGCCTGGCTTTGATACATCAGGTGTTGGGACGGTTAGGAGCGTTTGTTTATGTGTTTAGGAAGAAAAAAACTGCAATAATATCCAGAGGACATTTGACAAGGGCCATTGTTCATAGGAGCGCCTCGTTCCTCTGAGATTGTAGAAGGCAATGTGAATATGGCCTTTGTACAGTGCACCACACAACAGATTTATGTATAATACAAAAATATTTGTTCAGAATGTGGTGTCCGCAGTGATAAATCAGACCCTTCCGTGGGATCGAAAAGTTATATTTCCCCTTATATTAAATACCCAGGTTGACTCAATCATGATCTTAGAACGAATTGGATGAATGAGATATTGGTATATATATTTAGAACGGAAGAGCACGACGACGAGATAAACTCGTTTTATCAATTCTGGCTGAATCCCGAATCCCTATCATGGACTATATACCTCCCGAGAATAGCCTTCATGACAGCTGCAGCAGTGGCTGCTGCAAAGTCTTCCCAGACTTCATTCTTATGGTTGTCCGCATAATCACAGATTCCCTTCACAACGATACACGGAACTTCATCCCACGCCCCAGCGCCTTCCGTTTCAAAGGCAATGATGTTGTGTGCGTTGGCGATTCGATCGCGGTCTTGTCCGCTCTTTATGATTGTGTTTCCTGATCCTACTCGTCCGATGAAGATCTCTGGGCTGAAATTGGCCTCTTCGACAGAATGTTCTCTTATAAGTCGGTCGGCCAAACCACATCCCACGTCGGCACACGACATCTTAGAAGCTAAATCACAAAAGTCTGAAGCTGTACACCAGTCACACGATGTCCGATGTTTGTGAGCATATGCCGGGGGATATAGTGTATCCTGGGCAGTCCCTGGATATCTATAATCTGCTCGCCGTCGCTCTATTTTAGCTTTCTCTTGCAAATGTTTCAAGTGCTTCGAGGCGTCCCTCCGTAGCCGCGTTCTCATCACCTCTGTTTGAAAGACAGCAAGGAGGCTTCGGATATCCTTGCTAGCTCTCCCAAGACTGTCTTCGACTCTGTTCCTCACTGCAAAATGTCCAGGATATTGCCTTCCATAGTCATACTGAATAATGGCCTTGCTCACTACTACATCCCCTAGAAATGCGTCGAGGTTGGCGATGCGAGGGAGTCCCCCGCAAATTCCGACGAGAACAGCGAGTTTAAGGTTGTTATAGCTCGATCGCAAGCTAGCAGTCGCAGCAGCTGCATCATTTGTGCCCATGCTGGGGAGGATGGCAAGAACCACATTGTGATCTCCAATACGGCCAGTGATATAAGTATTCATGTCGCCATCAGCTCGGCCGTAAAGATCACGCTCGTCATCCCAGAAGTGGTCGAAAAGCAAGGTGACGGCATCGGCTTCGCGAGGCAAAGCGCAAATAATGGCTATGTGGAAGTGCGTGCGGTTGGCAGGAGGTTGTGGGGAAATCTGGTCACCCATTTCACGACTAAAGGACTCAGATAGCTTGGAGTCATTGAGGTAAGACCTGGTATTCAGATCCGGGGACGAAAGCGATCCCAGAGAAGATGACTGTGAATATAGTTGCTCCCGGACTCCGACTTGACTTGGAGTAAGCGGCATGATCGCCGGTGATGAGGCCTGAGTGGGTGTGAGGATTCCTGAGAGTAACGAAACTGCTTGGCTGTCTGGCTCCTGGTTGGTTATGGCCTGGCCCCATCTGCCAAAATCCAGATCTCTGGCATATTCGTCGACGCCGTCTAGCGGTATCTGGCTGAAGCCGTGGACAAGATGAAGCTCCAGTAGTCGAACAACATGTTGATATACACGCGACCTGAGCGTTCCACTGTCGAGTGCCTCTCCTTCTTCATCCTCCCATAATTCGCCATCTAAGCAGTTGTCAATCGCCATAAGAAGAGGAGAGTCTTCGGGTATCTGGGATCGCCATCCCTCCTTGCCCGTTTCCTCATCGCCGTTAAATACCTGGTCCACGTCGATGAGGGTGAAGCGACCACTAGGAACCTCAATCAGTTGGACGTTGTGCATTTCCGCTAATTTTCTAAATGGCTTGACGAAATGCACCTCTATGAGGACAACAGCTAGGGCAACCAATACCGGGCAACGGTGCCCTAAATCTAAACTGTCCGATATCTCATCGTCAGCTTCCCCACCATCCACAACAAGTTGGAAGTCCACTGCTCCAGCAGGATTGCCTCTAGGTAGCTGAGTTTGGATGAAAGGTCGTAACGGAGTTTTGCACGCAGTGGTTTGGAAGAATTTGATGCTCGCCGAACCCCAGCCTGGCTGGAGCCAGGAAGTACCGTTGAGGTGTAGAATGGTGGAGCCGATCATGAGCGAAAGGATTCGCTTCGTCTTCTCCGTGAAGAAGTCGTACCGCTCTTCAAAACATTGAGAGAGAGAGATTGGATTGGCCGTCTTATCGATTAGAAAGTTGCTCTTTTCAAATCCCATCTCGAAGAGTTGGCCACTGGTGAGCTTCAACACAATACGTTGCCAAGCTTTCGTTTTCGTTTTGATAATTGGCCTGCATAACCTATCAACCCTTGAGTGCCCAACCTTGATGTTTTTTGCATCTGGGATAATAAAGGAAGCCCCCTGCTCTTCAACGGTCTGGACGCGAACCTCGTGCCAATCCCGCTCCATGGAGAGAAAGATATCGAAATCAACCCCCCCAACTATATCACCATCGCCACGAGAATTGCGAACTCGGTTTCGAATAGATCTGACTACCGACTTCTGGTAAACCTTCTTCTTCTTGGTCCTCCGGTACGTGCCCAGTTCGAGTTTTGCCCCAAACTCATGCTGGTTGGGACAAGAGCATACCTTGCACTCTAACAGCGCATCGAAGATAGACTGGGCCGCCTTGCAGACGGTATATGATGGTTCATCAATGTCTAGGGATGCAAACCTGTCTGTCGGTTTCTTAGTAACATGGTGGGTGTGTTGTTTGTCGAGTTCGTCGGCACAGCTTTCCAGCGCTTTATCCACCTCGCCTCGCTGCTCCCCAGGTCTCAGCCACTGGCCAATAAACTCGAGCCTCGCCTTGTCAGACTTTTTTCGTATCTCATTCCAGTAAAGATTGAGCATCCCGAGACGAAATTGCAATGTGTCGAAGCCTGGTAGTACTTTATCTGGGAAAATTATAGAACCGAGGTGGACCAGGGCCTGATTGGCAAGCTCTCCATTTATTCGCGACGGGGTCTGCCGTGCTCGCACTGAGAAGTCTTGTAGTTTGATACACTGTATTATTAGGTGACTGTAGAAGACCCTAGTTTCTTCATCGGTATCGTTGGTTCGAGCAATATGCGCCATCTCCATGACTGACTTCGACGTTTTCATGAGCAGGTCGGAACCCCAGGCCCCATCCTCGGGAGCAGAGGATGTGGCCATCCCGCCTACTTTCAACTAACACGTCACGACTATAAATTCGAGTATCTGCGCCGCGAATGGCCTATCAAAGTGTTGCTCATTATTGAAGATGAGGTTTTCTTACAAGCATTGGGCGGGGGAGGGAAATACATGCGTGCAGACACTCAATGCGGCTCAGAGGAAGCTGGGGCAACGACCAATAACAGAAGACTCGAAGAGGGGCTCACTCTCGACATGCAACCATCAGACCTCCATCTCAAAGGCACTGCGTTCTGCTATAAATGCTCTTTGAACAGGTGTATCAACAATATGGAAGCTCAGATCAGGTACCTACCTGTACCTTTTAACACCGTTCCATTACCCTAGACTTGCGTAAACTTCAACTCTTGCCATCGCAAGGGCTCTTCATCTCCAGCTCACCACCGCAACTGCGTACGACGCGCACTTTCATCCGCCGCGGCAAATCAGGCACAATGTGCACCACCAACATCTACACCTACGTCTACCCAGACGGCCACAAGGAACAGTCTCGCCAACCCGTCTTCTGCTCTGCATCGCGGCGGGGCAAGGTCTGCATCAACAACGTCGTCTTCCAGCACCCCACCCAGTACATCCCCATCGAGCATTCTCAGACATTATCTGGCAGCTCTCGCAGCTTTCACAGCTCTCCCTTCGTCAGCCAGTTCCCGCCCACGCCAGAATACACTCCCCCATATGGCACCGGCAACTATGGCACCGGCAACCTTGTTGAGATGACGGACTCAGACGAGGACACGGACGAGAACGCGGACGAGATCAAGGGCGAGAACACGGACGATAAGAAGGACGAGACCATTGCCATACGTGCCACCCAGTGCTTGGAATCTTTCCAGAAATGTCTTCAGCGGGCGTCCTCTGTGCACCCTAGGGAGTTCTCAGTAGTAGAAGACCAAATGGCGAGGCTGTCTACATGGACTGCAGGCATCGGAGTTTTTGCTCCTGGGCGAGCGTCCATAGATCATCGCCTGCGATATGCACCGGAAGTGCAGAGTGCTGTCACTGGTCTTCTGGAGTCTCTGGACTACCGTATCCGTGCTTGTACGTCTCTTCCTCTTCTTTTTTTCATACCTCTTGATTAGTACTTTGACTTTCTCCCCGGTCTCTACTGCCAAATGGCGAACAAGTCAAGTTAAGGACTCACAGGCTCGGATGTCCTTGATGAGGGCAAGTTCTCGGCACCAGATACTCGAAGTGCTGCAAACGAGCGGTTGGAATGGTGTTTTGTAGACATCACGACTGAGCTCAGTCGTCTCGAAAAGACTGCGAATACAATTGGCAGAGCCAGCAACGAAGCCCATGTCCTCAATGCGAGCGATTTTCAGATCAAGGACGTCGAGGGAAATAACGTAGAGTCCCTCTTACTCAGAGATTTCGAGCGTCACATTGGCAGGCGGTTCCCCAACATTAGCAAGATAATCCAACAGAGGCTTGCTCGCACAATGCTCCTTCGACAGAAACGAATCCTGCACAGGAGGCACTACCAAGGGAACACTGATACTCAACCGCAGGAGGCAACACCCAAGGGTTCCATTACATTACTAGCTAGTCAGCTGATGGGACCTGCAATAATTCTATCCTCCGGTAACGTCAAGATAGTCTCTTTCGGCTCATCTGTTATTTCAGCAAGGAAGACAGCCGTCTTGAGTACCCATGAGGCACTTATATTCCCACCCGCTCCTAGTCCTGCTGCCGAACGGAAGTACAAGCAGCGCAGGACTCCGCGCGTAGCTGATACTCATAATACCTCACGGCTTGTGAAAGCAAAATCAAATGCGAAGTCAAAAAAGAAGCCCCAGGCAATAGGAGAGATTACTTGTCCTTATTGCCTCTACATGCTCCCAGCCCAGGAGGCGTCTGATGAATTAGCATGGCGGTGAGTACATAAGCTTGAACCCCCTTAGCCAGGAATCGCTATACCTGTAACATTACTGCTGTCTGGGAATGCTACTGAACATTCTTATAGAAATCACGTCAAGAACGACCTGGACCCTTATGTGTGCCTCTTTGAGGATTGTCAGGAAGCAGATCTGCTCTATAATGACAGTGACGAATGGCTCAGCCATTTGCATCAACACAACAAGCTCTGGCGCTGCTCTTCTCATCGCGATCTGGGGCCATTTTCTACCCGCGAAGACTATATCAAACATATACGGGAAGCCCATAATATCAACCTCAGCGACACCCAGCTCCGTGTTTTAGCGAAGAAGAATGCGCGCAAGGCGGTGAAGCTGTTTTTGTCGTGCCCAATGTGTGGCAAAAATGCGACCGAGGTTGATGGCCGTCTGGAGGACCACATAGCCGGACATCTACTATCTCTAGCCCTCAAGTCCCTTCCAAGTTTCTAAGTACGAGATACCAGACGACGCTGGAGAGGAGAAGGATAGCATTGGAACTTCACAGTCGCAAATAATAAGTACGGTCAGCCCCCTGGTGGACGACGAGAATACACTTGAATCCGGAAAGGATCACATCAAGGAGGAGCATCCAGATCCGTTCCTATTTCCATTTGGAGACCCGAGAGGCCATTCATTGGAGCCATCTCTAAGCTCTGGGGTATCCACGATACCTTCTCTGGGCTCTAAGTTATCCATGAGGCAAATTTCAATTGACCCGGTCTCCTTGCTCCCCAGACCCCAATATAGCTTATTGGCGATGAACAGGAGTGTTATGACTAATTCTAGGACACCATCGCACAAAATGCCTCATTTCTCCGCTGCGTCTAAGGATAAACCATCTTTTAAGAGGGATAAGAACAGTGGTAGCTTTCCGCAGCATGAGAGTATAGATGGATTTGAGGAATGGCTTCACTACAGGGAGAGAGCCGAAGTGGTTGATGAGTCAGTAAATAACGATATCAGAAAGCTAGCTTATTTAACTACTACAAGAAGTACAATTCTCAATTGCCACGTTTCCTTCATCACCTCTATCCCTCTCTTTATCTGCTGTCAGCTTTTTCCTTTCCCCATCTTCCATCATTCCTTTCATCCCCGGGCTACACTTACAGCTTTGAAGAGGAGGTCTCGGAATCAAACTCAACCACCAGCTTGCCAAACTGCTTTCCTTCGTCCATTTCTTGAAATAAACTGTTGATCGCATCAAGGTTCCCAAGACCCTTGACCGTCTTGCTGATAACTGGCGTAATCTTCTTTTCCTTGACAAACGCCACCATGTCCTTGAACTCCTGCTTTGATCCCATCGTAGTACCCTTGAGCTCAACATTAGCCAACACGGCCTGCATCACCCAGTCCATCTTGGGAGACACCGTCATGCCGTACTGGGAGATGACGCCGCCAGGCTTCAGGAGGCGGACCGTCTTGGAGACGAGCTTGCCGCCGGCACCGTCAATCACGGCGTCGAGATAGGGGCGGTCTTTGGGCAGGAGAGCAGCCAGCTCCTTTTCCCACGTTTCAGACCTGTAATTGATGCCTCCCTTTGCGCCCAGAGCCTTTGCCTGCTCTAGCTTGGCTGGATCGCTAGATGAGACATAGACGTTGCTTCCAAAGGCAACAGCGAACTGGAGGACCGCAAGCGCAACACCGCCGCCGATGCCCGTAACCAGGATGTTGCTGCCCGGAAAGGCGGCGCCGCTCTTGGTCACCAGCGCTCTCCATCCCGTAAGACCCACGAGAGGCAGCGCAGCGCCCTCGCCAGGCGAAAGGTGCTCTGGGGCCGGCTCAACTTCATCTTCAGGCACGACGATGTAGTCCTGTCCGGTTCCAGCCTCTGTTATCTTGCTGCAGCCAATGACGGCAAACTTGCGGGCGTCTTCGGGTCCAGCAGGGCTGGACTCCCATCCTCGCATGGGCGTAAGCAGCACCGGCTTGTGCAGGAGGTCTTTCCGAGTGACGTTGGGCCCGGCCTCGACGACAGTTCCATAGCCATCGGCAAATAATGGCGAGGTAAATGAGATGGCAGGGTATTGGTGGCGGCGGATGAAGAGGTCTCTGTGGTTGAGGGCCGCGGCAGAGATGCGGACGAGGAGCTCACCAGGCCCCGGAGATGGCTTGGGCACCTCTTTGATTTGGATGCTATGGCGAAAGAAACGGTGAGCCTTTGATGCCTTAAAGTGATGGGGTTAAGTGAGTTTTTGTATGAAAGTTTTGAAACTCACGGGTAGTAGACTTCTCCAGGCTTACCGCCTTCAATCTGTTGCAGAGTGAGAATTCGCGGCATGGTGGGGTTGTGTTTGTTTGAGTGAGTGCAAGTGAGTCCTTTTTTCTCTCTCTTGAAACGAAGCAGGTATAAACGAATTGTCGCAGATTCAATTGATTTTTCTTAGTAAAGGGTAGTCTACCCAGTGCTTATATAGTGTATCAATCAACTTTATATAGCCAGGCAAATGGGCGGAAACTATTTCCTCATGAGGGTTCACTCACTTATACGGAGTACCCAGCACCTAAACAGAAGGAAATTGCCGTTTATGACATCAACCCCGCCACGACTCACCGCGTTGACCTCGGTTACGGTTCTCTGCATTTGTCATCCTCAGCCATCAACAAGAGTTTAATTTTCATCTACAATATTATTTTCATTTGTTTAATGTTCAATTGGAACGGCAATAAGAATTTCAACTGCGATTACCGGCCGACGTCATGGTGCCGAGAGAGGATTTTGATTGATTGATTGATGCCTTGGGTGCAAGATATACTTAGGTACCTTGCCTTTCTACGCTGGCACCTTCCGTCTCTACGTGAAAATCCAGGCACCTCTTGCCTCAAGTCCCAGATCGCAAGAACGCACTTGCCATCGTATACTTCTGTCGAATACGATTACGAAGACGTGCATTTTGGATTGCAGGTGCCTTCAATTGCCCGGATTACATAAGGTGCTCTGCGCGATACGTACCTGATCTGAATCTTGTTCATCTCGTAAACGTGACCCGTAAATTGCTTCACCTCCTCTTCTCGAACATGTCCTTGCAACCTCCAAAGGCATTCTCTCTCCATCGCTCATATTGCATTCTCTGTTCAGGAATCCAGGAATAACGGGAAATTTTGCCAGCATCGACGGAACCCCACCTGCCAATGACCACATTACAATGATTGGTTGAATATGCACCTCCTGAAGCCTCAGATCGACGAGACAACCACCTCCGCTCCGGAGGAAGAGGACGGATTTGACGGGCCAGAGCCCGCAGTTTTGGGGGCTGGAGTCTTCCGTTTCGGCTCGGTCTACCGGGGAAGAGTCCGGCATCGGCGGGACGTCTCTGACAGCCGGTAAGCAATGCGTTTTGCCCAATTCCCGAGCCGAGTCTTACAAGTGAAGCCACAGAAAGCGATTGCCCAGCGATATGTCGTGCGTGCCTTTAGAAGATGTGACCTCTTCACCTTGTTGGATTTCTGGTAGGACAGCCCTAGCCAGATATCCTTGCAGTCTGGTTAGCGCATCTGGATTACCAGGAACCGTGATCCAACAGAGGTTGAATCCTTCGAGTTTGGGTCGGCACTTTGGAGGCAGGCCCGGCAGGCCCTTCCACAGCAGAGACAGCACATACAGCTAACAAAGATGTTTCCATAAATACCACGCATCTTTCTGCTGCAATCCCTACCCAAGTGAAGCCCCCCTTCGTGCTCATACCAGTCCTCCAACCCCCTCGCTATTATCATCTGTACGCCGTTTAACACGAGATCGACATGGCTCTGGAGTGGCTGCTGCATGTTTCAACTCGTTTACCATTCCTTGAACCCCGAGTGGGTATTAAGCTCACCGACGCTGAGAGCTGGGACAAAATCTCCGACCTGTCGAAGCTAATTTAGTAGTTGCTGTCGGCGCCCCAGGGTGGTCCGGGGAACAAGACCCCCTGATAGGAGATGATCATCGGCTTCAGTCCATGCTTTCGCCAAGTTGCGAATCGAGTAGCATGTTGGCCATCGACATGATCGAGTGATATGGTTACACATTTTCCAAGTGCAGACACGAGATAAAGACCTCGCTCATCCCCCCTTCTCTCCACATATATCGACGATATCCTTTTCTTAGCTTGGCCCGCGCCCGCAGTGTCCTCTGATGTTTCACCCTTGAGTTTGAGTTGCGGCCGATTCACAAAAGCCAATGAGCCCTCTGGCTCTGATTTTAGTCAACGTTGTGCTGCATCATGGCTCATACGGAGAGGTGAATACGACAGCGCGGCCTCCACTCCACCAAACAACTGAGCATCGTTCTCACCGGGGTCCAAGAACAAGCGAGTCGGGCTCTCTATATGTAATCAAAGCAACAAATCAATTCTGAAACAAAATTACCGCGGTGTCAGAACGTTGAACTGGATAAGCTGGCTCACCGGCCTAGCCAAATCCCGCCATACACGCCACGCACGCCATGGTCGCCGAGAATTGCGCCTCCAAGCGTCGGTCCGTCGATTTCGGGGTCTCGGCGATCGTGGCCAATGACAGGGGATCCACTAAAACAAAACTTGTCGGCGACTCTTTCATACAGTCGTCTCCTTCTTGATCAGGGTACTGATGACTGATGCAAGCTATGGGGTGTCATGGCAAGGGAGTGCTTATAATGGAAGTCTCACTCAAAATTTGAGTAGCCCGAGTGCAGACTTCCCCAGAGTCTCCCAAGTAGAGCCCGACGACCCGGCGAGGATTATACATCACTCACGACTCATAACGTAGGGGCTCTACGTGTCATTCCCCGAGCCTCCTTGCATATTTTGCCATCATTATTAATACGTTTACTATATTTTGGATACCGTCTCCTGGCCGTTTGAGGCCTCTAGTGCCCCGTCGTTTACTATCCAACTTTGCTGCCAGGAGACATCTCAGTTACTCGTCTCTAGATTGTTGTATATTGAGCCATCTTTATACGTTGCAACCATGACAACGACATTTCTCTCTGGGGCCGCCTTTGGGGTAGCCATGATGGCTGCTTCCTTTCATAATCCTGCCATAGTCATCGCCCAGATGAAGTTCGAAAACTGGCACATGGCACAGGCATTTCTCGCCGCCACCGCAAGCAGCGCGTGAGTCTAGCTATAGAAGTTTTCCTAAAATGTCTCTATGAGGTTTCGTGATAAGAGAGCTAACTGTTAGTGGATAAAGAGCCATGTATGCCGTTGCAGAGCGTCTCGAATACGTGAAGCTTAAGCCCAGAAGTTCCTCACCGATAGGTCTTTTCTCTAAATATGACGGCAACATCATCGGTGGCAGTCTCCTTGGTGCTGGCATGGCCTTGTCAGGATCGTGTCCAGGGACATTGTATCCTCAGCTGGCTGCCGGTGCCCATACAGGCTTCCATGCCCTGAACGGAGCCATACTTGGTGGCCTCTTGTGGACTGGGCTTCTTTCCAAGATGGTCAAGCAGAATAAAGAGAGAGCAAACACCGCCCCCATAACAGTGACTGCGAACGACCAACTTGGTCTAAGCAGAGGCGTCACATTGCTTCTCTTCGAGACTGTCTGTCTCTCGGTTCTTGCGGTAACGACACTCTATACTCCCAAGTTTCCCGGAGCCAAGATCCTCGGAACGGCGGGCGGCTTCATCATCGGCCTCTCGCAATTATTTTCACTTATTACCAGAAGATCCATGATAGGCATCTCTACCGCCTATGAAGAGTTTGGAAACTATTTCTGGTGGGTAATCAAAGGCGCAGAGCCCAATACGAGACCCATTTCATACAACAGCATTCTCTTCGCCAGTGGCGTGACGGCAGGGGCTTGGGGATTGCTCCAGGCCGTGCCTTCACTTGCGAATGCTCCTGTGTTTGAGGCACCACCGCTGTTTGCAATGGCAGGAGGTGCGCTTATGGCCATTGGATCGCGAATGGCTGGCGGCTGCACATCTGGACACGGCATTAGCGGCATGTCACTGCTCTCGCTGTCCAGCATGATTACAATTGCATGCACGTTTGCTGCCGGAGCCGTTGTTGCGCCTTTGGTTTATTGAAGTGTTTATACCGGCAATACTAGACGAAGCATCCTCTGACGACGATATTCTCCTATGCGGACTCCTCCTTACTGGGTACCTCATTGCTCGATCCCTTCTTTGCCGTCACCTCGATTTCAATCTTCATCTCATCAACCATGAGGGTGGATTGCACCATTGTCGCCGCCGGCCGTACACTGCCAAACCACTTCCTCAATACCGGCCAAACGAGAGGAAAGTCGGAGCGATCTGGAAGGATATACCGTACACGAACGACTTCAGACACGGAGGAGCCGGCGTCTCTCAGGGCCTTGTCGATATTGATCATTGTTTGTTCAGTCTGTTGGACGACATCTTCAGAGATCTCGCCAGTAGCATAGTCGTAACTGCATGTAGACATTAGTTTTTTTTTTTTTTTTTTCTAAGTTAGAGCAGGGGTCAAGAATCATCAAGCGATGCACCTTACCCAGTGGTTCCCGATACAAATACAAAGTCGTCGACAACGACGGCTCGGGAGTAGCCGATTTCGCCCTCAAACTTGGACCCGGAGGAGATGAGTTCTCGTGGCATTGTGTATAGGTGGTATATGAGTTATAGAAAGACAGCAAAGGAATACATGAATTATATACGATAGTTGGTAGAAGAACAATGGTAGATTTTCACTTTTTAATGCAAAAAGATTGAGCGTGACTCATTAATTTATAAATTTGCTGGTTTGCACGCCCTTTGTGACATGCAGCCTGCCACGTGAGGCTGGCGTCAATGTTTTAGCTCCCAAGATAGGTAGATAGTGTTCCGGACCGGACGCATGTATATCTGCCGGGCCATCGCAGACGTAAAAAAAAAAAAAAAGCATCGCCATCTGCTTAAAATAGATTCTGGGTAATTGTCACTTTATCTCCCAGCTTTATTATTTATTTATTTCATTTCATTTTTCTATTCCGATTTTCTCTTCCCAAATTCCATGCAGTTGAGAGTTGGTGATTTCGTTGTAATTTACAAGTGTATTCCCTTTTTCAAACCTTCAATACCCATCGTTACCGTTGACGTTGCTATTGTACATAGAAATACACAAATCTGTTTCATATCCGCTTTTTTACTGGCTCGTCAGCTCCTTGACCAATGCCGCAACCGCCTTCTTGTCCACGTCTTTGCCTTCCAAAGCAGCGTTCACGCGCTTCATCACCTCTCCCATCAGAGACTTGCCAGCCTTGCCGGCGCCATTGGCAGCCTCAATGGCTTGGGTGATCACAGCCTTGATTTCAGCCTCTCCTAGGGTCTGCACGCCGCTCCCCGCGATGTACTCTTCCAAGATGGAGATCTGCTCATTCTCCTTCTGCACCAGGTCTTCCCGCCCAGCTGCCTGAGCATCTGCAACTGCATCCTGCGCGCTCTTCTGGAGCTTGCGGATCAGGGCGACCAGCTGGACGTCGGTGCGGATCGGGGAGGTCGTCTTGGAGGCATTGAGGTTCGCGGACATGATGGATCGGAGCACGGAGAGTCTGGGCGCGTCTTTGGCTCGCATGGCAGTCTTGAGATCGCCTTTCAGCTTCTGCAGCAATGGAGGCGGGGCGTCGGCATCTGTTGAGTAGAATCGAGGCGGCCTGGCGAGGCATTGCGTCCGTGACAGACGCAGGGGAGCTTGTCGCGAGCATCGAAGGGCTGCCAGAAGAGGCATTGACGATTTTGAGGCTGCCATTGAATTTCTGTTGGGAAGAAGATTGGGGGAGAGGAAATAGCGAGAGGCGGTGATTTGCAAAGTAGACGTTGAAGATGATGGCAGAGGAATGATTCAATACTATTTGCATGAGGGGGAGCTTGCTGGTGAAAAATGGAAGCTTTCTCGGCTTAGCATAGTAGGGAGCTACCGGGTAGGCTCATCCCATTGGCTAACACAATTTGAACTCCAGAGTCCCTAACCACTCGCACTATTTAGAAAAACGCCAGTTCAAGCCCAAGTCACAGAACTCGGTGGCATCTTTCGCAAGTCGAGATTGAGCAGCTGTATCGTATAACCACACCTGGCTGTTCCTACCTCTGCGCATAACTTGGCGTTGGCAAAGGTCGGCTTCCGCGCTTAGAATCTGTCCAGTTCAGACTTGCTTGACTCGGTATTGGTAAATGCAACGCCAAGCTACCGCTAGTAACTCAATTGGCATACAGTCAAGGGGTTTCGATCCGAGAACTGCTCCAGTAGCCAAGAACAAAGAAGAACAGCCCTGGACACGACAACTGGCCTCCATTGGATCGAAATCTTCCTGTAGCCCTGGCACTCTGGTCTGTATACATAACGTTACAGGGCATATTATCTGCATAAAGTCCCTGGTTAGGGACCTTGTAGGATGATGGATGACCCTGCATGTGCAAGTAAGGTGGTATTCTAACCACATCATCAGTGCCCATGAAACCTGCTTCTGCCACCATCAGCCCCGTCAAGAGTGGCGTCTTGGTCTTTGGTCGACTTTGAGGATACCAATTGGCGCTGTAGTCTCTGCGACCTGCCCGAGTGAGGTCACTGGAGGAAAGTATGGCAGAGCCGAGCTATTTTCTGTGCTGCTGCTGCTGCTGCTGCTGCTGCTAGGCCCCTTGCAACCTAGAGCACGGAGTCCCTGGTAATGCTAGCACCTAGTTCGTGTGCCGTGCTGAGGCGGTCCTTGTCCTAACTCATGCCCTGGTGTGTTGGTCTGCCTGCAGCTTGTTAGGCATGAATGCGTATACTACTCCGGAAAGGAGCCCGGAGCAGCACAAAACACGCTCTAGACATACCTGACAGGTCAAGGCCCTTTTTGCGGCCTGACGCCCCTCCCAAAGGAGAAATGTTGCGCACGAGTGGATTCCACGGCGCGGAAATGGACGTGCTCTCCCTGGGCTATCGTGCCTGAGTTGTCGCTTGCCGGTCCTGGTCGGTGCTTGACTAACGGGTTCGCTTCCTACTCGTTCCCAGGTGCTCGCGTCTGATGCATCCCGCGGCATTGGTAGCGAGGTTAAACTAAAACTGGCCTGGTGAAGAAAAGGATTGGTAGCTTTTGCGGTCGTCTAACTCCGTGTTCATAGTCCATAGACGGGCGTTGTCCTGCCGTGCGTATTGTATCATATCCTCCCTTTCTGGGCCCCTGAATTGGTAGGGTCAACACCAAAACACCGCGTGCCTTTTCTACCCCTCTCCTCCTTGTCTGTGTTTTTTTTGCGTAGCAGCTTTGACAGTGTGCTTTGAAAAAAGAGAAAAAAAAGAAGAACCAAAAAAAGAACACACCTTGAAAGGCATTTCTTTGACATTGAGCTGAGCAACATCCCGCCAGTCAGTGTTCGGTTTGATCCATTGATGAGACAAGTGATAGGTGGGCACAAAGAAGTATAGATTGATACAATCAACTATCACCTAAGCAAAAGATCTATTAGTAGCATCGGAAGATGACAACTGCAGATAGGAGGGAAAAAAAAATAGAAGCCCTGAACCGAACCAGGCCCCTGGGCAGCTTTTACCTGCAACTTCCCAGAGGCCACATTGGATCTGTACAAATATGCGTACAGCACGACCAACACGTCCCGACAAAGAGGCTTTTTCCATATTTTGAGAGCTGGAAGCAGCAGAGCAAAAAGCATTGATAGCTCTTGGCCAAAGGCTCCCACGACGAAAGCTCCAAAGCTGCATTCCTCGTCTTGATAGGCCAAGAGCGCGAGATCTTGCCCTCCGCCCTCTCAACCGACAAAACTCCGTTGCTGGCCCCGAGAAAGACACTCAGACTGATTCATGCACACGCAGGTGCAGCTGCCTTAACGGTCAGTCAGTGCCTGCCACGGGCGGAGAAAGACCTGACGCTTATTGCTGAGGCAGGAACCAGATGCCCAGGCGCCACCTTCCTTCCCCAGAATCCACCCCCCCAAACCTTCTTTCAACCGCCTTCTCAGTCCCTTTCTCTCCTTCTCATCACCCCCTTCTCTTGTCTTCTCTTGTCTTCTCTTTTCTTCCATTTTCACAATTTTCGCAGCCCCATTCCTCCCCTGCAATTCACCACCATCTCTTCCATCATCCTCCATCCTCCGGATCAGCCATCGATGTATCCGCGTCCGTCCTGGCATCGTCGATTAGCGTTGAAACATCCCGCATCTCACCCCTAACAGAGCTATCCTCCAAGGCATTGCACATCGCCTCTTCCGGCAAGGATCCCTGGCTATGGGGCCCTTCCCGTCTTGATGTCTGCCCCAAACCATCCACTCGCCTCCAGCCGTGCTGGGTTCCCCGTCCATCGCTCATTCGCCAATCGCACAGTGTGACCATGGCCCTGGTCACTCCATCATGGGTGCGGCTTTCGTCCGATAAACACATATCTGCATTTGCCATGGGTAAGCCGCCAGCGTCCCGCATCTCGGCCTTGAGGATTGTTTGATTTTGACTTACAGAGGGAAATAGGCCTGCACGCGATTCGCCGAGTGCTTTGGTTAGCCGAATCGCTCTTTAGTAGAAACCTCTGGGTATGGGAATTTTTCTCACCCTGTACGAGGGATTGCTGGCTTCATTTCTTGCCTGAGCTACCAAGAGCTGAAAATCTTCCGGTGGCATACTGCATTTTCCCAAAGTCATGTTAATATTTGACCCTCACATCTAGTCGGCATTGATGCCTTGACTGGGGGAGAACAACCGTGGAACTCACCCTCGCATTTCTGTGAATGGGTACAAGCCAGTCGAATAGAGCAACTGACTGACGTTGCTGACGTTCAAGGCGCCGATTCTCTGGTCGCGGGCATCTACAGCCAGCAGTGTCAATAAAATCCAACTCCCGTGCAGTCTCTCAGCGACCTGGGTGGTTTCTATCATTGACCTACCAGTTGGCCATGGGCACATGGGAAGTGTCAGAAGACGCGATTCAATATCGGTGAAGCCTGCACTCCTCATCCATTCCTTAAGGCGCAGAGCTGCTCGCGGGTCCTTTTGAGGATGCATGGCGTCAAGGTATCCGCTGGACCATCTCGAAAGCGCGTGGTCTACTCAGTTCAGAAAGCGCAGTTCACATGCAGCATAGCAGAGGGAGGACCTACCTGGCGACAGCGTTCCATTGTCCGACTGAGCATTGAAATATATCTCAACAAGTTGACACCAGCCACCTGGTTGAAGGACGCGGTACATGTCTTGCAGATAGCTTGGCCAACGCGTTGAATGGATCCCGCCTGCCATCATCTGGCTGTGTACGACGTCGAAGTAGTTGGATGGAAACGTGAACCTAGGACATTACAACGTGCTTAGCCTATGCTTTCTTTGTTGCCAAAACAAAGATAGAAATGGGAATCAAAAGCACTCACTCTCCATTCAGATCGTCAACCTGAAGATCCAGGTTATCGGGCAACACTTCGGGAATCATATGCGGACTAATGTCTAATCCAACAACCTGCGAGTCTGTTAGCTTACCTCTACTAATCACCGCGACCATTCCATCCAAAGATATTTGGTCCATGGCTGGACAGATGGGCAGGCGGCTGAGGCCAGTCAACGCAACTTCCATGTTCTACATAATCAACCACAGCAACCTCGTGGCTTTCTCTACTGAGATACAGCCTTCGATGGTCACGTCGCCAACAATGCATCCAATATCATGCAAAGGAAATTCAATACATCAGGGAAGATGCTTTGGCCTTTAATTCAGCTTGATTTTGCAGTCGATGTTCCCAGCTTTGGCTCCATGTCCCACTCACGGAAATGGCTCAAAATAGCAGACTTGATCACGCACCTCTGCATCTGGATAATGTTCAGCAACATCAACAGCCCAATCTGCTGCGCCAAATCCACATTCAAGGATTTTATCAGGCCTGCTGATGGGGGGGAATATCAATCTGTTATCGAAGACGGTGAGAAGCATGGAGTGCATTTCTCCCAATCGCGCTATTTCTTCCTGTTTCACCCTGTTAGGGGACGATGGCTAAATATGGATTTGGGTCTTTACAACAAATCACATACTTCATCGATCGGCGCAAAATATGTCCTGCTAGCCAAGGCATGCTGCTGAAAAATTCGACCGTGGTGGTTGACCGTCTCCGCATATGTCTCGTCAAGAGGAACGGTGCCATCCCTACCACGAGGTGTTAGCGGCCATACTAGGCCGTTCAAGATGGTTGCTTGGGGCCGTCTCGTACTCTGCGTCCATTTTTCGTCACTTTATTATTTTCTCTTTCTGGTATTTTTCTTGTCTTTAATTCTCCTTTGTTCGTCGAGAAGGGGGTTCGAGATGGAGACACGATCCGCGATTGCTGTTGGTTACAACAGACTGGTTGGTATTCGAGCTTCTTTTGTATGGTGATATATGTCGAATCGACTGATACAATCACGATGGCCTGGTACTCGATGAGACGCTGCTCAGGTTTAAGGAGTCATGTGGTACCCGAAAGCGTGGCCCCAGTCCGGGCGTTCAAAGAGCCCCTCTCGCACCGGGAAGGCTCCTACAGTGTCGTAGTCAGACTAAAAGAGGCATTAGGCATACTGGTATCGTGACCAAACTGACCATTTGGAGAGAGGGAGCAAAGACGTGTCCCTTCTCCTTGACCGGAAACAGTGGAGCAGGTGTACAGCATCCGCCTGCATTAACCAGCTGAAGCCTTTTTTTGCGTCTCCCTCAGAGCAGATGCCGATCCTTCCTGCGTGAGCAGCACACGAGAGCGCTCGCCAACAGTTTGTGCTACCTCGTTCCTTGAGGCCTAGGTCTGCCAGGGGTATAATGCAGAAACGTCAAGGTTCAGCTAGCGTACTTGCAATGACGTACGGAGAGGCTGGCTGAGAGAGTCTAGGACTCTGGGGCTGCATATAACATCACGGCCCAAGTGGGAGTTGCGACATTACTACTGGATCTTGCTTGCTGGTGCCAGCGCAACGGGACAACTGCCATCGCTGCCCAAGCTGGCTGCAGTACCGTCGACAAGCATATCGGAGTCTAGATGCGTTTGACGAGGCGTGTCAAGGCAGAAATCTGACCCTAGCATGCTGAGAATAGGCGAGACTTCAAGGACCATCGTTCCATTCCAATAATACCACCAGGGAATTACCAAATCCGTACCTGAAACCCAGAAACCTCTTACCGCTTATGCTGGAAAGCTGGGAGGACGTGCGCACCTTGTTGGCGGAGCGGGAAGCGTCAGGGTACCAGTACGGCTACTAATAATACTATCATACAGTACGGGTAACAACTAGCAACAGGAAGTTGCGGTACTTGGTACATCTCGGGGCGCATATTTACGTCTATTCTGGCCCATCCCTTGTCTTGAGCTGTGGACAATATTCACAAGAAAGAAGGCGTCTTACCCATCTATCCCCATTTAGTGGACGCTCGACAGGCCGTGGATCATGGATCATGGATTAAGGACCATCATCGACGCTATCCTAAATCCTGCTAGATGCAAATGCCACTCCATCGTCTCAATAAAAAGTACGGAGTCCCAAGTACAGTGTGCTACTGTACATACAGCTGGCTGCTTCTATACTGCAAGATTGTGGCTACCAATGCCGGTAGCTCAACATGGTAAGAGCTATTCAATCCCTTGGGCAGCGATCAAGCAAAGGATTTTTTTTTCGGTTGGTAATACGTCTTTATACGAAATGATACCGGATTCTGCTCCGTGACGCCACAAGCTTTCCTCACCAACATACACCATTTTGATACCAAAATAATGACCAAATAACTCGCTATACTGGTGCTCAAGTTTTATTCCTGGCATGGATGATGACGATGTCTGTCTGCTTTAATATTGATTGGCGAAGGCGGGACATCAACTCAGCGCCAGTGTACTAGTACTCGTTGCTCCGAACCGGAAAAGAAACTGCGTCTCTCTCTCTCCTCTCTTTTTATTGGTGTGTGCTGAAAGTTCCAAGCGCTCCGTACGGAGTTCTCCCGCTTGGTAAAACCGACAGCTTGGTGAGAGAGCAGGGGAGGTAGGGTGGCACATGCCCACCTACTTGTCTACTTGTCCATATGCATGTGCTAGCAGCGATTGTGCCAGAGAATCAGTCACCAAAAAGTCACGACGGGCTCCCGGAAAGGGGGCTTGTTTTTTTTATGGTGCCGGTCCACAAAATGACGGCCATGACAATTGCTTGCTGATGGGCCAAGCCGAAGTGTGACAGCGAGTTCGCCAGAATAGTCACCACGCGCATATGTATCTGCGGGCAAGGCTTTGTCGAGCGTTGCAATGACAGCGGCTCCCCTCAACCGGCAGCTTCTCACCGCTCATGACACGCCAACCTTAGTCTTGCTGAACCTCAAAAAAGCCACTGCCACGTTGGCACGCGGGTTTGGGCTCCCAAGCTCGGGATCTTGATCCCGCGAGGTCATCTCAAGCGACTGCAGATCGTGTTTGTGAGAGTTGGGCCAGACAAGAGGCTCGGAGTGGAGTTTGCCAGATAAGCAAGCTTCTGGGTTTTTGCCCTTTGGCATCTGAACAGTTGTCATCCGCTAGCGATTGGCGACGGAGCAGATGTCCCACCTCTCGACGAGCCACAAGGAACTTCGGGTGCAGAGCCGCGGCTTATTGGCTTACCTCTGCGAACACAACCGCTACTTTGCTCCGTAAAGGATGGCAAAAGGGATGCGCGGCCGTCCCATGTAGAGAGCAAATTATCGGCTGTGCACACACGTCCAAGCCCGTGGAGTACGAGAGCCCAGGGCGGCATTAACATGACATATCCTGGAAATTCTGAATCAGCAGAAGATGCCACTGAGCCCAGCAGGCATGAGGGGCTCAACAAAGGCCAGGGCCGCCTGGCCCCCATGTCACAACAGGCTGATGGAACAGCGACAGCCAGACGCCACATTGCCGTACAAATACGGGCTGCTTGGGGCTGCGTAGCACTGCTAGCGAGTGCTCAAGGAAGCCAGTCTTTTAACCAAAAGAAAGGGAGAAAAAAAAAAGGAGACTTGAGATGAACACGGCCAGCCTTTGTTTGTGTATTAGTTGTGAACCCACTATGCCCCAGCTTAGCCTTTTTGCCGTGCCCATGTTTCGTTCGAGCTCGTCCTAGACCCGGAATGCCCGCAGACGTTACGTATGATGGGCATGAGGAACAGAGTCCCGAGCTAGGTGCTGGTCAACAAGCTCCTCACTCCTCTATGGGACTTACAGGGAGGCATGTCACACAAGCGCTGCACGGACCGGAAAAGAGCGGATTTGGCCATGCTATTGTGGCCATGCACACGCAATTCTGAGAGTACCGTGATCACTATCCTGGTAAAACTGCCAGTCTTCTAAGAGGCGGCGGAACTGGATATTTAACAAGCGAATTCTTCAAACGATGCTCTGGCCAGAAAATCCACTATGCGTCAGCTATTGTCCGGCATCGTATAATTTGATGCAACCAATTCACGCCACAAATCAAACGTTAATAGCCTGACTGTCAACACATTGACTCGAAAGAGGACGAGGCTGTTGCTCATCGCCTAATCTGCAAGTACTAGTTTGCTGCTGAGAAATGATACCAAGCACCCAGGATTGAATTAAGCAACACCAATTGTCTACACAATGAGCAATGATCACTTTGACGAGCTGATCATATGACATGCAGTTACCGCATTGCAACAATATGTCTCTCCGACTTGTTTCATCTCGATCAGATGCTCCTACGCATAACAGCCGTGTGCAGCAGCCAGCCTTACCATCGACCGAACAACCGCGTTTGACAACCATTGTGCCACAAGAGGGGACAAAAGAGGGCAATACTAGTTCTTCAAAGAAAGTAATAGGGCATGATTCATGTCCCCTGAACGCTGCGGACCGCTTCTGACATTAGCTTTGGTTGCGTGTGCATGGAGCCGTAGGCGGAACTATGGCAGGGGTGTCCCTGCCCTAGCCCCTTTTTGCCGACCCGAGTTGTCGGGACGTTGAACCAGAATGTCGGGTTCGTTTTCTGTTTTCTGTTTTCTTTCTTCTTATCTTTTCGCTTTTGCGGAAGCGATGAAGGCAAATCTGAGCATCTACTATCCCGAGCGGTTGGGGCTTGCTTCTGTGCTACGCATTCAGGCAATTCACTAGGATTTATTATTAACTGCTGAACATGCTAAATGTTGTCGAAGAGCCCTGCGCATGATGCGGCCGCTGGAAAGTACGAACGGACCAAAATGGAGATTGATAAGCACACGGAGACGACGATGGGGGCCGCTATCCGTGCCTTTGATGTTACAATTGGGGCTCATCTCTGCTATTAAAGCAGCAATTTAACCGGAGTCAAACGGCACTAGGATACTGGATTGATTACTTCGTACTCTGGAACCGTTTGATGCAATTTCTAGTCGGCTGAGCTTATAGCACGACAAATGCGCTTACAATTCCGACAGCTCCGCAACCTGTCTCATCCGCGGTCATATTCTTACCCGTTCCCATTCTGATCTGGTGCCCACACCTGGAGGGACTCAGTGTTGCCAGCAAAACTGACGGGCTTTTCCCGTTGGCTAGTGATGACCGATGAACTATGGGGTAGGGTTGCTGCTGGCACTCATGGACTGGAGCGGAGTTCCTTGGTAATGCTTGCTTCTAATCACCCATGTCAAACTGATTTCCGAAGAAGACGCCTAAAGAGAACCAAGAAATTATGGCATCCGTGCGGAAATGATACACGTATTTTGCCTGTCTAGCTCTTGCGGAAGTTTGGACTCCTGTGATCAAGGCAGAATAGTCCAGTATACAAGTACAGCTCGCCTCCAGGGCTGGTATGAGGCGATTCAAATTGTACCTGGATGGTGACGACTTGATACGTTTTGGTTTCGGTTACCACGAAGCATACATTGACCCCTTGCCCCCCCCCAAAAGAATCAGATGCAACGACGAAGCATCGTGCTGATTTCGCGGGATGTCACCCTAGTCTGATCTGATATCCACTTTCTGCTCTCACTTCCGATATTCAGGTACGAAACACGAGTACAAGTGTCGGAGCAGTTCCCCGCCAGGGATCTCGTGTTTCACACTGTCACAACCGTGGCGACTGCGCGTAATGAAACGTTTACGCATAAGAGCAGACGGGAAGCATCAACTTCACCTGGAGCAAAGCGTTGTAACGTCAGACGAGTGCCGACACAGCGGATCCAAAAGATTCCAAAGAAGTTCTTATTGCCGTCTCCTGTTACGAAATATAACTACAGAAGATGAGCCAGTACGAAAAAGCGCCCCCATAACCCGTCAGCACCAGACATGCATTTTGTGTACAAATTCCAAATCCAGCCCCCCCAAACCCCTTGGTGATGTAATAAAGAAGCCTACGCAACAAAGCATGGATCATCAGGTTTAGTGCTGACCTGCCACGTTAACACCATGTGAAAACGGGGTTCCTGCTTTTCACAGCTTCGAGGCGCTCCACAATGACCTTCCGTTGATGACCCATCTGTCCTTCCGCTGCGGCGTAGCCGAGATCCCCTTCCAGGTCGTCATCATCAGCAGCGTAAGAGATGTCCCCATAGAGCTGTTGAGCTATACTATTGCTATGCTGCCGCGTTGCAGGGGTGGCGTACGAGTATCGCCGCTGATGTTTCTGGTTCTGGTTCTGGTTCTGAAAGCGCTCAGGCTCGTATATGTTGAGCGCGCGGGACGGACCTTGGTAACCTCGACTGGGCTGGGACTGGGATTCCATTGTTGGTCTGGTAGAGTCAGGAACTCCGGGCGACTCATCAGGGCTCATAAAGGGGTCTTCAGGCGGACTCGCCGTATCGAATCTACCAGAGCGAGGCATTTCTGCAGGCGCTGAGGCCAGGCCGAGAAGATCGTCAACGGGGACGCGGCTGGTCGGGGCGGAGCCAGTGATATCGGCTTCATCCAGCGACTGCCGCTGAGCAGTGCTGCGGCGCATCTCTGAAGAAGTCATCCTCATGGGCACAGCAACAGGGATGTCGACGTAGTCATCCCAGACACAGACTTTTGCCCGGCGAGTCAACTCTAGCGGACCATGGTCGGGGGTCTTGAGCGCCTCCACGACATTCCAAGCTTGGCCCTTCATGACGGCAATCTGCTTGGCAAACATGCGCTCCTTGAAGTCTTCGTCCATTTGAAACACCTTTTTGAGGGCCATTTGCGTTTCACTCCACCATGCTGTCGACGTGAGCAGCGGCAGGAAGTGGTCTCGCGTCTTTTGTGAAAACGGTCGGCCGATGAGATCAACCGGAAGGAATAGCCAGCCAAAGGGAAAACTAAATGGTTCAAAATCTGTTAGCTACGACGCTTCACGAGCCGTTTATCGAGAAATTATGTCTACATGGGGGGAAACGACTGACCTTCGCCAAGCATCTGGATGCTTCCATGGCCACGAGAGCGAGTTGTCAATGGCACCGATTGACATATTTGGCTCAGCTTTTCTCCGGGATGAAGACGCCTTCATGGGCTTCTGGCGCTTGTAGGGGTACGAGGCTCGAGTAGGTTGAGGTGGCATCTCTGAGGCATCTATAGGTCTAACATTGGCCTCTTCTTCATCTTCCTCGGTAACGGGTTCCATGTTGATTTGGATAGGATCTGAGGCCAGCGAGACTGTATTCGTCTCCCAGTCCACTTTGACCATCCAGTTGTCGAGACCACGATCGGTATTCCTCATGATGTAGTCGAGAATAACCAGCTTCTCCAGCTCTTCCCGGAAAGACTGCTTCAACTGTTCTGTCCATACGAATTTGTTGGCTGCCGGGGACGATCCCTCTCCACCATCGCCACGCTGATCCTCTTCCTCATCACTTGAGGCTGCATCGTCGGCTGATGCAGAAGCAGAAGGTCGGCAGCTTTCGGTCCACCGCTTTTTCTTTTGTCGGTTGGCATCGTTTGAGCGGAATCCTGACCAGTACTGATCTGGCCAGGGATTCTCACGTAGAAAGACGTTGGCGTCTTTGAACCCCTTGAGGAAGACCTGGAAACTGCCAGGCTTAGGGGGGAGAGGCTTCTTCTTTTTCTGAAAGCTTCGCCGGTCCCAATAGGGATAATGGAAAGACTTGGACGACAGCCACACCACGTCTGTGTAAGGGACTAAATGCGTCCGTAATTGATGATCGAGCACATAGGCTGCCGCCTCGCTAACGTAGGAGAGATTGGGGATCAGACTGTCGTTTTGAGAGAGGCTCTGTCAGCATTTGAAGCATTGCACGGTGTTTCCAGTGACTTTGGAACTGGAGAATTAGACTTACCAAGCTCGCCCAAAGAAGCATGGGAACAGATTTCGATGTATCCATTTATTCCATTTGGGGTTTCCCGCTGCATATGGCTCCTCGTCCTTGGGCTTGAATACGCCGACAATCTTTCCATCGGGGTTGCGAGCAAAGTAGCTGCCAGAGCTTCCCTGCGAGATCATGCTGGGATGAACCTCCTGCCGGATTGCTTGTCGTACGCTCTCGATGACGGCATCGAACTGAGCCTTGGTCATGGCCGTTACCTGCGGCTCGGCCAAAGCCTCGGGAGATATAGGCCGTACACCCTCTGGTGGCTGGAAGACGGAGTGATGAATCTCTAGCCGCTCTTCCTCCCCTAGGCTGTGTCTACCCTTACGCTTGAACTTGGCCGCAATTTCTTCGGCCCAGCGTTCAAGTCGGGCATTGATGGCCTTGATATCCACGCCGCCATTGCTCCCTAGACGGCGGCGAAACTTGGGCCGCGAGGGACCAAGCTTGGGACTGGTGACGCTCGAGCGGTGGCGAGGCTGAGAAATGGGAGCATATCGTGGCGTAGATAAGGGTTGGAGAGATGCGGTCGATTCGGCAAGGAGGTCAGTGTCGGAGTCGTCGCTGAGATCTGCCTGTGCTAGGCGTTCGTACCCCGTCGTCCCGGAGCGGTATCCACGCATGGTAAAGAAGCGGGTATCGGTATCGTGAGGCACTGTCTCCGGTTTCGATAAGATTAAAATGGTATGTAGATAAAAACGTAGCCTTTCTGGAAGCCGTCGTCTCGTTTGTGGCGGTGACAGCGGGGGATGCTCAGCCTTGCCTCCTGATGATGCAGGCTCGGAGCGAGGTGTGGATGTTTCACAGGCTCTTGCTTAGTACAAGGGTGGCACAGAAAACGAGGACCAAGCGGGACAAGAAGCAGAAAGTGGTCGATTGAGGCTGATGCAGGCACTCCAAGTTGGTTGGGGGCAAGGGAGAGGCGAGAAACCGAGAGACAGTAACGGGTCAACGTCAACAGAAGGAGCGCGGGAGAAGCGAAAGACGAGATCACTGCATCATTCTAACGAAGGAATTGCGCACAGACGGAGGGGCAATCAATCAACCAGTCGTCCGTTGAAGCGGCCGACGCAGTGCAACAGGGCAGAGCAGAGCAGAACAGAGCAGAACAGAGCAGAACAGAGGCCTGTGTGGCGTGGCGTCTGATCTGGTGATGGGATGACGCGGAGAAGCCCTGAGATGGCGATGGTCCAAGCACGGCACGGCACAGAAACAGAACAGCGTTGACGCACTCACTGACAATAACAACCTGGAACTTAGGCCTAGCCGCCTAGCACATGTCATCGCGGCTGACCCGGTCCCTTCCCTGGCTGTGGATGGCGCGTCTTGTGGAAGCTGCCAGTTTGGCACCTTTCCTGAGCAGGCACTAGAGCTGTTTCTGATTATATAAGCCGCCGCCTCACGAAAGCCAAAGCCTCATGTAAGGGGGCGGGCTTTATTGGTGTATACGAGTATTATGGAGTACTCGTACGGAGACTTCGCAGTAATACGGGGCCAATGCGTATCTGCTTCTGCTTCTGCTTCTGCTTCTGCTGCTGCTGCTGCTGCATCTTGTACTGAGTATGCGGTTTCAAGGCCTCGCATTGTGATTGAAGCTGCATCGTCGATTGGACATCGCCGTCCAGCAGTCGAGTTGCGTGCATATGCGCACATATTAATAGATACGTGTGGGTGCGTGTTTGGAGCTTCGTCGTCGGGCAGCCGTGATGCCCACCAAACAGCCTCGACGGGGGCTTCCTCCTTGGCTCCGGCTCGAGACCTGCCTTAGCTCGCAGTAGCGCTGCCAAAAGCTACCACCGGGACGGAGCACTAGCAGCGATAGCACGGAGCGGCATCAAAGCTGAAACCCCAAGCATAAGGACGTGAAACTGTGGTTCAGCCGCATGCGTAGCATACATAGTGCCATCATGTGTCCGTATATGACTGGTACGATACCCGGGAAAAAGCTGCAGGGTCGTATCGAATGTCTCGGCTGGAGCGCCGTGTTGCGGCCTGACCAGTCTGACGCTTGATCTTCCCTCTCATCCTACGAGATGCCACTTCCTCCCGCGGCCCATGTACACCAAGGAGCACTGCTGAGCTGGCCTGGCAACCTGGCTATTCGTGTCATGTTGGGCAATGTTCACTCGCCCTTGCATTAGGCTGTGGGGAATAGGGAATAGGGATAGGCACCATTGAGTCGGCTCTCGGTTTCGTGAAACTCATGCTCATGGGGAGAGAAAGGCACAGCTCCACCGCCGACCGGTACGACGGTTCTGAGGCTACGATGCAACCCGGGTGTCCTCCTCGAAAGAGACCGGTAGACAATGGAAGAGAAAAGCAGGGCTGTAAATGTTAATGATATGTAACAATAAACCCTCGTAGGCCTTGTCGGCGTACATCAAGAGTGAGAAGAAGAAGAAAAATGCTCCATCGAATGACATCAAAATCTAGCTCATATCCTTGCGCTCTGGTCGACAATCTGTGGTAGAAATCAAACACATCTTATAGTCATCTCTGTTGGTGAGATGTTGGTGTAGCTGTTATTACATCGGTCTTGCTCCATCGTCCAGGTGGTAGTAGAACCTTTCCCTCCTCATTTTTTTACCTTTCTCCCCTGAAATATGGGCGACTGCAAGGTCCTGTGGCCCAAAATAGCGTTTTCTTCCCCCCCCCCCCCCCCATATGTTGTGAATCCCATCACTATATCCATCTTTGTGATCTTCAATTATAGCTCCTCGTTCATTGGAGAGAAGCGGGATGTGTTGCTGCCTCTAAAATCCCCTCGGCTCGCTGGATGGATTCGCTCGTCTTTGAAACTCCATCAATGCTTCTATTGTTGCACAACTCCAACTCCTCTATATGCAATGGATTCGGGCTGGACATCTTCTCACCAATCCACGAGTCCTCGGTCATTGGAGCTAATCCAAGCGAGGAGCCAACGACCCGTGGAAACACGTGCGCTAGAATTAGCCGTATGGAAGGCAGACAAGTGCAAATGATGCTTATGTTGACCTCGATAGTCGACCACCAGGCGATACTCCAGTGGTCCCATGTTGGATTCGACGAGTTGGCAAAGTGAACGAGCGATTGGAACCGGAGGATAGAGACGATGGTTGCTCTGGTGATGCAAAGTTAGTGAATGGCCGATGGCGGCAAAGATGAGAAAAAGGGCAAGATGAATCGCACATCACTCCCGTGAGAAACATAATAGCAGCACTTAGCTTCCTTCTCCAATGAGTGTCGAGTTTGTACAGCTGGAAAAGAGGAATGACTATAAGCCAAAGATCTGCCGCAACATTAATAGCTGCGTTTGCCCATCCAAACGAATTCATGCTGATGCAGTGCCCGTGTGACGAATTATTAAACTGTTCCCATGTAAAATTCAGTGGCACGCACTGCACGAGGGTTCCAATAGCGAAACTGAGACCCGAGGCGATGTGGAATATGATGGTTCCCCAAACCACTCTTCGAAATGTAGTCCCTGGAAACAAGTCAAGATAAAAGAGTGACAAGCTGATCTTGACAATGGTGGTCATGACCACGTAGAGAATCTCCATGGCCAAGAACCATTGAGCGAAGGAGGCAACGACTTCTGGAGTCAAGGTCCAAATATCTTTCCCCAACCCGTGCCTACTCAGTCCCACAATGTTGAACGCAATGCAAGGTATGCCGATAAATCCTGCTGCTAGCATCGTCCAGTCATCTGGCCCAAACCCCCGCCTGATGCTGAAGAGATACTTTGATAAAAAGCGGATACCGGCTATCAGAAGGGTTACAGAGCTAAGAGCAAGATTCATCGTCTTGAATCGACCAGCTCGATCCCGCACCGGAGCACCACACGCCGCCTGTGTAAGATTCATGGTGACTTTTGTTGCGAATGTTAGCCTCCTTTAAACCACGAGCAAGTGTAATGTGGGAGAGAACACGCGTACTTAGACTATCAGAGAAATCGCATGATGCCTTGAAGCAAGAAAAGGTTTGAGACTGTTGAGTCAAGCTCTTGCATACACAAGATAAATCAAGCTCCGAACAGGAGGTGGTGAAGCAATCAAGCTTTCAAGTAGCGGCCGGGTTAGCCTTTGTAGCATCAAAGGTGGTCGGATTCGGATGGCAAGCACAAGTGCCACTTACAGCACACAACGGCAGATGAATCGAATCCTGGGTTGGTACGACACGGGAGCCTAGCACTGGGTTTGCATCAGGCTGCTGGCTCGAGCTGATAGGTAGAATGGCGGCTGCCGATGCAGCAACGGCGGCCGCTACAACAACGAGTGATGATCTTCGAAGCATGGTATTGTGGTTGCAGTAATCAATGACGTGAATGAATGAAATGCCATCGAGATCTCGGGGAAGGTGAATCGAGGAAGGGTACCACCATGCTCATAATAAGAACCCTGGTTTGATGCAACTCCCTTCTCTTTTTCTGGGAGAGCAACCATCTCGATCGCCATCCGATAGGTGCTAATTCCTCCCTTGCTTCCCGGCCGCTTTGAGTGGAGCACCGACGCTCTGTCAGGCTGCAGGGGAAGAAGACTCATGAGCAAGGGGACACTGGGTCCGTACTAAATTTTTTTTTGACTTTCCAAGTAGTACTAGTAGTACTTTGAACACTGTGATATAGTGTAACAAATGTGAAAACATGGCAATGAAAGATGGTGGAGAGGGTGAGATATCCATCAGTGAGGTCGGCGAACATGGAGTACTCCAAAGGAAATAGTTGGGCGGCTCTTGGCCCCCCTCCGCGATTATGACTGCTCCACAGATGGTATCACTCAGCTATAAGCCAGTCAAAGACGACGCTACGTGTGCGTCGATGGGAGCGATGCGAGCTGAGACGGAGCCGTGTAAGAAGGAGCTGAAGGAGGTCGAGAATCCCGTCTGCAGCGCCCATCTGATACTAATCTGAATTGGCCATTGCTTTGGTGATCGTCTGGTCATGAGTGTCATCTAACCATGACGAAATATAGGTGAGAATGATACAAATTCTCAAGGTTTAGAGCAATGTAACGAAAGGGACCACTTTTGTCCTGAATCATCAAGATTCAAATCCCCTTCAGACTGTCCCATGTCCTATGACGATAAGAGAGAAAGCAGGTAGTCGACTGTACTCCATATATTGCCAGTCAGGCGAGAGTACAGAATGGCCGCTGCTGTCTGAAACACGGAATCTGCTTCTCTTCTCGCCCTCGGTCTACTAAGTGTCTCTCCATGCGGATGGACCAGACTTAGAAGACACCAGAGCGTCCCCCTTTCCTTTTTTTCCCCCGCTCTTTTTTTTTTTTTTTTTTTTTCCTTTTTCTTGTTATGCGGCTGTTGCGGATGAATGATGTGAGCTTTCGGGACGAGGGCGCTACGTTTCGTTTCGTTTCGTTTTTCTAGCCAGGACCTCTCCCTCTTTCCTAGTGCGCGATGTGAATGGCTGTGTACTGAGACAATGTGGATGAACTAGGGCGGAAGGCGCCCTTGATCAGGCTGGCCAACCAATTTGAGCCGTGTCTTGCCCAAGTTGCTGTTCCGTAAACATTATTTTGTGTCTGGATTAAGGTAGCGTTTGCCTTTCACTTCGTATAATTGTAATTACTATTTCGAAGTGTTAGTCTCGAACGTAGGTTTCTCCGAGCAGCTTTGCCCATCGTACCAAGATACTAAGTTATATCCGGGAGACAAGGGAGGGGTGGAGTTTCGGCGCCGTTGGCCCACACAAATCGGTCGGCTTGAATCGGTCGGGACCTCTTGTGGCTGGACAAAGTGTTCGCTTTTCATTGTTGTTGGCATTTAGGTGGCAAGCCATGCAGCGGGCTGAGAAACCGCCCAGAAACTTAATAGCCCTGCTTGTCTCTTCCGGAGAAAAAACCCCCCCCCCCCCCCCCCAGCCTCGAGCAAGGGGAAGTCGCACGAGATCAAAGGTAGTCCATCGTCGTAATCCTGGTGGGTGGGCTTAACAAGGGAGAAGGAAGAAGGAAGAAGGGGGAAATGCACACACACACATTTCTCAATAGTTGTGATAAGCTTGCCACAATTCCCACCATAGATATTCCGTACATAATTATGCACAGTACGAATCCCGCCGGAAGCATCTCGCTTTTTTATCAGGCTCCATATTATGGCGCAATGGTCATGGCCCTGGCTGAGAAGGCTCAGCTGTCTCCCAAGATTCTACCGGGAGTGGACATTAGGGCCGGTTTGCCACTGCAAAATCTGAGAAGTGAGATATTTAATGACTGCTAGACATGCCTCTCTTGGCCGCTCTTGGGGGCCTCTGCCTCTGGCGCAGTCCCGTAGATATGGTCACTGATCGGCTGTCTTTCCACTCCTGTCGGTGTTTGAGACCGTGGGTCGGCAGAGAGATCAGATCCGACACATATTACTTGTTGGTGGTTTATTATGCAGCGGCTCTTGTTGAGCCCGTGACGCTGCAGTGGCTTGTCAGTCAATCAGAGCTACGAATTATGCGACATCATTCTCCATCACGGACGGCCCCCATCGTGGAAAAACGCTTGAGGTATGGTCAATGTTGCAATTAGTATCTTGTAGATTGTTGTACCGTTTCCGAAGTGAAACAACTGGAGCAGGTGAAAAAGTTTAAGATGTGCATGCTCTGCATATTCATCATTATGAGAAGCAAGCGTATACATTCGAAGTAAAACATTAAAATAGCTTTGCTTTGCCGCCTTGCGATCTCTTCGGTTTCAAGGAAATCCAGCCGATCGTATTTAGAATCTGAACGGCAAATTCACATAGGCTTTTGTGTTGCCGATAGGGTGTCATATTTGGCGAGCAAGAGATTCCCTTGTTGTAAAATGATATTATTAAGGCAGCCTGTAGAAAGAATGAGAATGAAAGTGTTTGTGCGTGCTTGCGAACGTGACTGAAAACGTTATTTGGCCAAGAGTGCTGAATATCTCCTGTCACAGTGATGTGTAATTAAACATCGTCATCCCATAGATATATGACGTGCCGCTCTCCCAGTGCTCCCTTCAAAGTCAAGACTAAATCATCGATAGCAGTAAGAAACTTCAGGTAAGACGACACGGCAACACAATACCGTCGGTAATTCTCATCTCGCACAAGCGATGTGTTCAACTCGATCTTATGGTGCTGTGCATAGGATAGGGACTCAAAGCAGGTACGTACAAGAGGTACAGGGAGTCTTTCGGGGAGAGGGGATCCAGTCCGCAGGGCTTGTTCGACGATTGCCAACACGGCCATGATGTTTCCGATAGCACCATCATTCAATATTCCGAGAGCAGTAACTATTCTCTCTTGAAATTCCTTGGGAAGAGTAGTCGACAGATACAAGAGTCTTCCAAGTGCTTGGTTCATGTTTTGGCACTGCTCTTGAGTCTGACGCAGAGCTGCTTGATCGAAGGGACCCGCACTGAAGTCCACCTTTAGAAGGGCTAAGGAACCATTTAATGATGAGAGAGTCTCTGCAACTTCCAGTGTTAGTTCCTCTATGGCAGCAGCACCAATAGGTCCCTCCGGGTTTGTCCGACTCCAGTGTGATAAAAGTAGGGCGTAATAGTCTGATAGGGTACGAACGGTATTCGCCAGAGTCTTAGACACATGTCCGGTGGCAGATGGGGGCTTGGGGAAGAGTTGAACAATGGTCGCAGCGAGAAATCCCAACAAGACAGTGACCAATCGCTTCCAGAATGCCTCATAGCCTCTGCCTGGGTTTCCGTACTGCGGCAAATGGACATTGTCATAGCTGAAGCCAATGATGAGGATGAAGGTGACGCCGCACATGGCCGTTGCTTGGGTATATGCGAGCGGTAAGAATACCCTCAACCACATACTTATCACGGTGAAAACTGCCACGCTAGCGGCCAGCCCATATGGGTTGCCTGGGCCACTACCAGACCCTATGTACCACGCAACAAGGCCAAAGACTCCTCCAATCACTGTGCCGAGGAATCTGGAGATGAGAGAAAAAGTAAAATCAGCCATGTAGAGAAGCACGCATGTCTGCGCGGTGATGACAGCCCACAATCCCTTCTCGCGATAGAAGAAGCCGGCCGAGTGAGGGATTGATGCGGGAATGGCAGTGGCAAGTGTTACGACAACCATTCGCATTGCATACATGCCGGCTGGGTTGGTGAACCAACGGTAGGTCCCGGCAACGGCTCTGGCGACTGGGCCTGCTCGAGTAGGAGACTCGTAGCCTCGAATGAGGCGGAGCCGCTGTCGCACCTCCTTGGACTGTTCATCGGCCGCGTCTGGATCATCTTCACCGCCGTCATCAGACACCCCGGCGATGGGAATTGATTCCCTCCCACTGAAAATCCAGTGAAAGGCGTAACGTATGCGGGACGGGAGCCAGATGCGATGTCGCGTTTGCGACGTTGTCAACTGTAGAACGTGGCTCAGAAATGTCTCCGTTGCCGCGGCCATGCTGAGGATCCGCTCTTCTAATACCATGGCCACCATCATCGCCTGTAGAGACTGTGGCTGGAGAGTGTCTGATACCTTGAGCTGGCCATCTTGGTCAAAAAGATCAGAGTGGCACTCTATAATTGCCTCAGTGGTATTGGTAACACAGGACTCGCGGGCAGACTGTAACGCCGCTAGAGCTGTCTCCAGTCGTTGAATTAGCCCATCAAACACTTGCTGGGATGGCTGGCGTATCCATCGACGAGTATTGACGGTATTAATACACTCGGCCACGATTGAGATGGACTCTGAAGAAGCTTGCAGTACTTGAGCGGTTGTTTCGCGCATAGCTTCCATCATCCGAATGCGAAGATCGCTCTGCTCGGGCGTTCGCAGTGCTTTCATCAACTCCGCGTATTGCAAAACATCACGTTGACCAATCTCGTGACTGCCTTTTTCGCCGGTCGGTCCGTCACTCGAGTGCTTATCGTACTGCAAGCCGGCTTTGCTTTCTTTCTGCAGAGCTAAAATGGTGGTGATGTGAAAATCGAGCAACGATGTGCTGGCTATCATGGTCTGGCGGATGCATTCCTGTAGACCCTTGACATGGTCGGCGTTCCACCGGCCACGGGAAATATCTAGAGGGAGGAAGGCGATTTCCGGTTCCATGGCTTTATAAAGTGCAATCATGCCGTCCTTTGTTTGCCTCAGCTGCGCCACTTCCAGTTTTTGAGCAGCAAATCGTTTCTGAGTCAGGTCAAGGGGTATATCAAACATGCGGGTGAGTTGCTCCATTTTTCGAAGAACCGCATAGGAAGTAGACTGCGGGAAGAATATCAAGCAACAAGCAGCACCAATGCCGACACCTATGGCTCCTGGCTTCACCAGTACCTGCCCTAGGAGCGGAGTGAAGGTCGGGAGAAGCGGCCCAGTTAGCAAAAAGACATCGATAACAATGTTGCCGAAGAGATGAAGAAGTAATAGCTTGACGTTGTTTGCTCGCAAGCGTGACATGAAGTAGATGAACGCAAGTGACATGACATAGTATACAACCGTCACGCGGGCGTCCAGCATATGACCTTCGTAGACCAGTATCTTGCTGATGACCGTTGCATTTTGGCCGGTGCTCTGCGCCTGAGCGACGGCAGCCTGCTGTAGGGCTTGGAGTTGTGCTTGTGTATCCGAGGATGGACGGGCAGCCAATGCAGCCTTCATAGTCAAGATGCCCCAAGCCCACGCTAAACACATACCGAAAAGGAGCGATAGGGATCCAAGGAGGTAGATGAGAAGGATGCCAGCAGGCGGGGTGACAAAGAGAACCAAGGCGGCAAAAAAGGTAGAAATACCAATGCTTTGAAGAGACGGCTCAATGAATGTCAAAAGGGAAGCAACCCAAGCTGCTATGGAACAGCGGAAAAGAGTCTTAAGATCATTGCCATTGAAATGGTTGAGCAATGAGGGCAGCCCTCGCTTCTTGGGGGGTTCTTTCTTCTCAGTGCCATTGTCGGCGCCATTGTCGACAGATTCCTCTGCTGACATGTTTTCTGTATGTCCGCAACGACGTTTTTTTTTTTTTTTTTTTTCTTGAAAATTGCAGCGCAGGTGCTGGTTATAAGGCGGCGTTGGGTTCGGCAGATATAACTGCAAACCGCAACTAGCTTGAACCTAACTGGATGCTAATAGCTGAGTCAGAACTGAAAGAGACGTTGAGCCAAGCACGGACAACCTCGGCACCTGATCTAAGGAATAGTTAGCTGACACAGATCGGTATGGATCCTGTAGGGACGAATAGACGAATATACGATGCAATGCCGGTGAGACGGAGTGTGTATGCTTTAATAGCCGGAACCCCGGCTTGTAGCTGTATAGAGAACGAGGGGTAGAGAGGGAGAACAACTCAAGCAACTACTTCGTACCTGCGGCTGACAGATGTTTTAAGGAAGGGGGAAATGGTTTGGGAACGTCAACACGAGAAGAAGAAGAAAATAGTCATCTCATTAGAGCGACTAGGCATTTTGTCTCACCTCAATTTGGGCAATTGGAACCCGCTAGATCGGGAGAGGATAGTGGTTGTAACCTTGCCTGCCGAAGCTCAACGACTGGACCCTTGTGCCAGGGTAACAAGAGACGCCAGCCAGTCTTATGAAAGAGCACGGTGCAGTAATCTCTTTAAATCTGTTTTGCGTCTTACGCGCCAAGGACCCAAACGCCCGGGCGGAACCAAGGATCGGCCATTTCCCCTGTGCAGCCAGGTCGCAAGTCGTGAATGGAGGAGTTGATGTCAGTTTCGGGCGGCTCGGGTCTTCCGCAATGGCACCCCAAGGTGGATAATCTGTGGAGGAGTTTCCTCTCTCCATATATTCTCCATGGACCTCGGAATGGCAGCAGAGGACGGCGTTCCCCTAGCCCCGAGCCGGCATGGGCAGGGCTGATACGCGTATCTAGCGCCGAAGCTATGGGAGTACGGCTAAGGGCAATTAGCGATCTGATCGGAAAGGCGACATGCGAGGATGGCTCACGTTTGTTTGTGTGACCTGTAATACGAGTACTCCGTACTCCGCACAGTACCATCAAGTGCTATTGCAATGGCTGGGGGGGTTTGGTTTAGTGGTTGGTTTGAATGTGGAACAGGATAATCAAGATAATGAAGATGGTGGGAGAAAATGCGCCGCAAGTTTTGTGCCTCGTCTCCAGTGCATTTGATGCCTAATTCAGCAGCGGCAGGCACGCTCGTTTCACATCTTGACCGCTTAGCTGTAAGGGAAGGGTGCACTTGCACTCATAGCGCATCTTCCGACATGCTGGACGGGATGGAAGTACCGCTGCTAGCAAGCGCCGTGCAATGGTACATCAGGACAGCGGCACAGTGGCGGCTTCCGGTGAGGATATTGCCCAATGAAGCCCTCAGGATGCGCCTTCGCCCCCAATGCATTTTGCTTTTTCCTCCCCCCAACAAGCGAGGCCACTGAATAGATGGAACAAGCAGACGGAACTTCACACGATATGCAGGAGACATATGCACTGGCCTGTGATTGCCTGTGATTGCTACGGGTTAATTCCATGCCATAGCACAGATAGCGACTTGTGCCGCTCTCATTGGAGAGACGGCCAGCCACCATATGCGTGATAACGGCTTATGGAGGCCGCACTGAGGCCGCACTCTTTGATTCCGGTCTGTGGAATGCATGAGGCTTGAGGTCGAGAAGCATCATATTGGTCCGTTGGAGCTCCTCGCATATGCAATGAGGCAGCGCTGCGGGCGGGGCTCTATATAAGGGTGGTCGTCTGGACGAGAAGGCTGGAGGAAGACTTGAATCCCTATCCATTTCCAAAGCACAGAATCAAGTTCATCTTTCACTCAATTTTGTAGAATTACAGAGGCATCTGCTCCTCGTTCTATCTCTCACTGCAGGTAAGTCGTGCGGTGGTGGCAGACCTTGTATCCAACATCTACCTTCATAGTTACTAACCTACCACTCCAGTACCAATTTCAATTACATCAAACTACAACCTTCAACAAAGATGACGACCCTTACAGAGTTCACCTGCTTCCCCAAGCTCCCAGCGGAGCTCAGAATGGAGATTTGGAAGCGTGTGCCCCAGCCAGAGCGCATCGTTGGCTGGATCCCCTGCGGAAAGTGCAGAAACATCTGTAGACGCAAGTCTAGAAGCAGAGAGGAACAAGACGGAAAGCCACTTGCCAGACAGCGATGTATGCAGACAAATCATCCAAACTGGCTTGTCAAATATATTGTACATCCGCGTAAAGACGCCATTTTCGCGCCGTTGCACGTCTGCCGCGAGTCGCGGGAGCTGTGGATAACTCAATACTACAGACCTCCTCGACACATTGTTGTCAACGAGATGGGGGTCAATATCCCCGTCCAATTCAACGTGCCTTTCCTCAGCTATGAGCACGACATCTTCACCATGTTTGGGGCCTGGAGCTCCACTAGCATCTTTGACATGGAGATCTCAATGGAGGCGCCGATTGAACCGTTCATCGGCCTTGATCGGGCGCTTATCCAACATGGCGGATACGGCGAGATACTTGATCTCTTCTTCCCCGCGTCTACCCTATTTGAAGTCAACGAGCTTCCCGCTCTCAAGAAGCTATCTTTGATTACAATGGGGCCTCAGCCCCAGGAAGATGAGGACCAGGAGGATGGAGTGCTCATGCAAATGCACGCATGCGTGGCAGAGCACTATGATTGCCAGATAATCGATCTTGTGAACCCCGAGGTCGGGGAGAATTCCATCATTCTGAACGAGTGCCGACCGCGCCGGAAGCCCATCCATTGGTATACCCAGGAAAGGCAGTTTGACGGATACTACGACTACTGGAAGGCATGGCTGTGGCATGTCGTCGAAGCGCAAGCTCATTTTCTCATCAAATCGAACGCCGTTTCATGGTGGATGATTGTCAACTTTGCCATTGCAGAAAATCCTGCGTGGAACTTGCCCCGTACCCCGGAGGATTGTCCACTGTACCCAGATCAATGCAGCGGCCCGGTAGGACACAGGAGGTGCGTTATAGACAACTGGCAGCCCAGGTTTAAAATATCTTGCAAGTATCTATGTGAGGAGAAATGGGTCAAGGTCTTACGGGATGATCTTGGTGTCAAGATTGAAGGGCAGAAGCGGCCAATCGACAGAGCGGCGAAAAAGGGAGAGGATGAACGAGTTCGAGACTTCATCAATGCAAGGTATCCAAAGTTCTGGAAATGGTGGCAAGGCGATGTTGAGTAATTATGACAATTTGGAGATGAAGTCTGGGAGAAGGCTCTGGTTTTTATTATTATATAGTAGTGCTTTGGTGATTTCTTTTAGGTCAAAATTCCATATCAACTTTTCATTCATCTTCTTGATTGCTGGTGTCTTCATGCCACGATAGTGGCTGTACACGGACGTAGAATCTTGTGGTGAGATGGTACCATTGATCGGCAACTCAAGAGGGAGGCATTGCTTTCCTGTCCGGGGATACTAGGATCTGGACTTGGCAGATGTACTAAAACATGATAGATCTCCAGTTTCCAACATGGTTCACCCATGAGGCTCTGTCTGAGTATTACTACCATGACGCGCTATTATGTGAGTTTGAGCGGGATATTACTAGAGAGTGCATCTCGTGCCTCGTAATATAGTGGGACCTTCTGAGACACAATGAGCTCATGGACAAATCGGGGACCATGAATGGACAGCCACGTAGGCAATATTTTGCCTTGAACCCCCTTCTCCTCAGCTTCGCAGTCTAGAGCATCCTCCCTTGCAGTGGTAGCGTTGGTAGAGAGGTCCATCAAGGAATGGTGCCAAGCCCCTGCTGCATGTTGCAGCACAGCCTGGCCACCTGTCGCTCACCCACAGGCCAGAGAGATAAAAACAGGCAAGGGTTAATGGAATTTAATATGAGAGACTGCAGCACGGGAGGCGACTGGCGTGACCGGTGTGCTGAAAAAAGGCACGACTTGCAGCGCACTAAGGTGTGATGGCGGCTCGCAGCTGAGAAAAAGCAAAACATGTTTTTTTTTTCGTTTCTTTTTTCCAAGTTTAGTAACACGACAGTCATGGCATATGATATTATCTCAGCTGGCAACATGGGCTCTGTCGCATATTTCGTCGGCGGTGTTGGTAGAAGGAGATGCGCCTCTTCTTCTTTCTCCTCTTCAACTGACTGCTACTCTGGCGAATCATCAATACTGGCCGCTCAAGTCATTATCACACAGGCATTCATTTGAACTCTATTTTCAAGTCAATAAGCGTCTTCCGAGAAATGTCATTTACCAACAACCTCTAGAGACGCATCAGTCACTAGGTGCTCAGTGAGTATACCCCTCAAGCTCGGGAAAAATTCGTTGCATCTAAACATCAACTAACCATGTTCTTTGTCAGATTATCCGAAGACCAGTCTTGTACGAGCAAACCAAGGCAAAGATGGGGCTCCATAAGATGCCCGTGGAGATTCTCCTCAATATCGCTGAATTCATCAAGAGCGAAAAGGACCTTGGGGCTCTTGTTCTTTCATTCCGCTACGCGTATATAACGCTTAATAGTGTCTTATACGAACGTAACGTGTTTGAAGCTCACCCCCAAGATTCCTGTGTTCTTTGGGCGGCTAGGAACGACTCGTTGAATACGATAAAGCTAGCCTATGCCCATGGCGCAAACTTGGACCTCTATGACCTGCGGTCTGAGCTGAGAATAACCATCGTGTGGTCCAAAAGGAGAAGGGTGGATGCTAGAAGGATATTCTCGCCGCTCCACATGTCTATAATGAAGGGATTTCATCACATCACACGGTATCTCCTTGATCATGGGGCCTCTGTCGACATTCCGTCAGTCGGCCTCTGTAGCTGCCATGCCGTAAACTTCAGACCACTCTTTCCAGCATGGTATCCGCTCCACACAGCCTTGGCTCATGCAAAGGAGGGTGAAATATCGTCAGAGATGTTGATACGACACGGCGCGCGCAAAACGGCAAAGGAATGTCCCGGCCTTAGCTTTGAAACAATCAGCTACCAGCCGAGCTTGGCCAGGCTTGTGGCTGATTTGGGAGGCCTCAGAGAGAGCAATGTAGATGTCGCTGGCTTGGGGCCGCTCCATCTTGCCTCGCAAAGTGGGATGAACGATGTGCTTGAAATGATCCTCGAGGACCCTGAAACCGACATTAGGACAAAGGGCCTTGAGGACAACACTAGTGTTTTGCATCACGCTGTTGCTCAGCGAAATCTCAGCACGACAATGCGGCTTCTAGAAGTGCCAGGCGTAGAGATTGAGACTGCAGACATATGCAACAGGAACGTCGTTTTCGCCGCAGCAAGGGGTTGCAATGATGGGATCGTCGGGTCCCTGCTTACACTGCTTCTCGAGGGCGGTGCCAACATCAACTTGCAGGATACGCATGGCATGACTCCTCTGTATGCCGCGGCATCCAGGTCGACGCTTTATGACTATCCCAACTTCAAGGCCGTTGAAGCACTGCTCGCTCAAGGGGCCGATCCCTTTTTGTGCCAGGTGAACCACAACAGCTGGACCATCTTTCACCAACTGCTTCGGCCAGCCCCCAATATCGGGGAGGTGGTGGAACCACGTCGAGTCGCGTTGAAAAGTCTCATTGAGATGGGGCTTGAATTTGACACGAGATCCTGTACTCATAATGACGTCGGCCTCGACTATGACAGCGATGCCACGCCGCTGTTCTTTGCCGCCGCACAAGCCCAAGACCCAGAGTGCACCGAGATCCTGCTCAAGGCCGGTGCCAGGCCGGACACGGCGGTGCTAAATCGAGAGAATCCATTGCACGTACGGGAGGAGAGCTTTCTGCGAGGCCTGTTCCGTCATCTCTGGGAGACTGCGGGACGCGCGAGAGCTCCTCCCTTGAGCCAAGCTGGTGAGATCATTGCCATGCTCCTCCAGTATGGCTCCAGGCTGGAGGGCGTCAACGGTGAGGAGTCTCCGCTGGAGTTTGTGTGCGATCGCCCAAAGCAGAGGATGGATTACTCGCGGGTGGATTTTGTGCTGGAGCACGCCACGCGCGAAAATGTTTCTCTCAAGCATGTGAAGAGGGTCATCTCCAAGCATGAGCTCGCGTCCAGTGAGGCTACCGGTATGGATGCTGACCATCACAACATCGTGGTTCACAAGCTTCAAGAGTTTATAGAGAGGGTATTTCCTGGGGAGATTGTGGATGAGGACGCTGACGATGACATGGACGTCGATGTCAATGTTGATGACGATGACGATGACGATGACGATGTCGATGTCGACGATGAGATATACTAAACAAGACAAGGCATTAGAGGTATAGTAAAGACAGAAGAATGAGTTTGATTATTGTACATACTAACCATGCCATCAGATTTAGACGATTGCACTGGGTAACCAAAACGAGGATGGGGAGGGTAAAAAGCTGTGATGATGTTGATATTGCTGTTGTTTACTTGAGAGGTACAAGTGGTATAGCGGATTAATATGCGGCGCTTTGGAGGGGTAATGAGGACACCAAGACGGAAACAAGTACTGCCACTAGGAACCAAAAATCAAAAAAGCAAATACAATTAAGGGATCTTTCGTTGGAATTATTTAGGGTTTCCAAATATCAGTCGTTACTGTAATGAGAATAGAGTAGAGCAGTAGCATCTACAAGATCCATTGGTATCCAATACTTCGTATTCTATACTTGGAGAAGGCTGACGCATGTCACATATTCGCGGCCCACTAGAGCTCAATACCCACTTCGGCCTTGTCATCAAGCCACTCTCTCTCTCTCTCTCTCTGTATCTCTCGCTATCAAATAATCATCTCTTTCCTCTCGACTCGATCTTGAAGCCTCTCCTCCTGCATCTCCCCTCCCGCTGCCTCTGCGCCTACACCATTGAGCCGCCGAGACTCACGCTCGACAGCTTCAGATCCGACAAGCTCCCTCCTTGGGCATCCAATCCTGCCAATCTCACGTGGCGCGCAGATTGATTGTCTACAGCACAGCCAGCCAGGGATCCCCTAACAATCGCCAAAGGGCAGCCTCTTGCGACTCGACGAATAGCGGCGACCTCTTCTCCCCCCCTTGCATTCTCTCTTTCTCTCTTCTTCTTCTTGTCCTTACAGCCATGCTCGTCTCCCTGACGGTCGGCAAGGTTGACGCCGGCGTCACAGTGCTGCTGACCCCGGACAAGCGCCTGGTATGTCTCGCCCAGCTGGCCTTTGTTGTTTTGCTTTGCTTTGCTCTACACTGCTGCGCTGTGCTGTGCTTTATTTTGAATTTATCTTGAGCTCCACGTCTAACTGCTGCTATTTGAACACATATAGATCGAGTTCCCTTCCATTCTGCTGCCTCCCAACATCTCCTCCGGTAGTATCGTGGATATTACGGTTGGCCGCAACGTCAGCAAGGAGGCTGCTGCGGAAGACGAATTCCGCTCCCTTCAAGATCGCATCTTCCAGTCCTTTGGCGCCTCCGAACCCGCCGCGCCGGTCCTGCGCTGCCGCAATGCGACCCAAACCTCCGTCGTCCTGGAATGGGACCCCATCGAGCTTGCTACCGCCGACTTGATGTCCCTGAGCCTGTATCGCAACGGGCAAAAGGCCGGCAACATCCCGCGGCCGCTGGAGATGCACAGCACCAAGATCAGCGGCTTGGCTGTCGACACCGAGTACAGCTTCCACCTGGTCCTGCGGACGAGCGCCGGCACGCGGGCGAGCGAGAAGGTGGTTGTGCGAACCCACAAGATGACGGACCTGAGTGGAATCACCATTACAACCGGCATTCTGCCCGCGACGACGAGAGAGAACTTGACGCGTGCGGTGGAGCGCATCGGAGCCAAGATTGTCGACGGGGTGCGCATCGACACGACGCACTTTGTCACCACTGAAGGCAGAGGGACGGCGTGGGAAAAGGCCGTGGAGAACAACATCCCCGTGGTGCGGCCCGAATGGGTGACGGCCTGCGAGCAGAACGGCAGGATCCTCGGCGTCACCAAGTTCTACCTCGACGTCATGCGGCCAGGACCTCCCAGCGATGACCAGCTGCCTCCTCCTCCCGCCAAAGACGTGCCTCCCAAGGACACACCACCTCGAGCGTCACCACCGGCGCACGAGTCAGCTCCTGATAAGGCTCAGAACAGCAAAGCAGCGGCCGCCGCACCTGTCAACGGGAAGAAGGATCATGAGTCAGAAGCAGAGGCATCCAAGGCAGGAGATGATTCCAACTCCCCGGAAGACGAAGACGATGAGGAGGAGGAGGGAGAGTCGTCAGAGCAGAAGATCAAGTCGGGCGAGCATGCAGAGCAAAAAGTACGTCTAGAAGACGTTCAGGAGCAAAAAGTGGCACTGCGGCCTGTTGAGCCCCAATCAGCTCTTGTGGAACAAGTCAGCGATGATGACGAGGACGAGTCCAGGCCCGCAGACGGGGCATCGTTCCAAGAGGTTGAGCTGTAGATTATGCCTTGTTTTGCGGAGATGTACCAGGCGTATGTCTCCATGCTTCATCTACATGCAGGTGCTTTGTTATTCATATTCCACGCGCCGCGCTTTTTGAGTGAACTGAATGGAGGGAGAAGGGGACAAAGAAGAGAATACTACGGCTGGCTTATTTCTTTATTATAGGGAAAGGGGGGGCTTATTTGGGCGGACGGGAAAAGACAAAAGCATGGCATGCCGTTTACAAGAGAGCCATTTTATAAAGACGTTTTAATTTCAATGTTGTGCCTGTGTTCCTATATGCCTATTTTCATATGTGCTTGTAAGAGAGGAGGAGAGAGTGTGTGTGTGTCATTTATGCCGATGAATTTCAAGGAGGAATTTCAGTCCCTTTCCAATTCCAACATCGGCCTCTGTCCTCCACCCCCAGCCCACACACCACGTCCATGAGCCTCTCGGCCGCATACTCAGTGCTGAATAACTTCTCCTTGGGCACGCCTCCCCAGTAGTCTTTGCTCAGCTCCGTCTTGACCGTGCCAGGGTGATACGCCACCGCAATGGCATTGCCGCCCGCCCTGGCGCGCAGCTGAATGTCCAGGCTCTTGGTGATGCTATTCACAGCCGCCTTGCTCGCGCGGTACGAGAACCAGCCGCCGGACCGATTATCCGTCGTGGATCCCACCCTCGCCGACATGTTGAGCCAAGTAGCGTGCTGGGGTAGCTTCAGCACGGCCTCTTCCTCCGCCTCGTCCTCGTCTTCGTCCCCATAGTCGTCCTCCTCGTCGACGTCTTCGTCGTCGTACTCGTATCCCGGCGGCGACATGGCAGTGGCCCTTCTGGGCAGGAATCCAAAGAAATGCTTCGCCACCAGCAGCTGGCCCACGGCATTCACCCGGAACGACTGCAGAGCCGCGTCCGCGTCGACCTGCGCCGGCGACTTCTCCGGGTTGAGGAGCACGCCTGGCAGTACGCAGGCGAGGTGCAGGTGGTGCGAGTCCTTGGGGAACAGATTGTGTGCCTTTTGGGCGGCAGATTCGATGGTGGATTCGTCTGTGACGTCGCAGCGCACGACAAAGAGGCGTTTTGAGAGCTCATCTTTTTGTTGCTGTTCCTGTTGCTGCTGCTGCTGTCCGTCTAACAGTGACGATGAAGACGCCGATGACGAATAAAACGACGATGGAGACGACGGAGTGGAAAACACATCCCTGAGAAGCGCGGCCTTGGCCACCGCCGGATCAGCATGCCGCGTAGTTGCAAGAACCGGAATGGCCGTAGACAATCGGGCCGTGCGGCGCAGGACGTGGCGAGTGAGGGCATTGCCGATGCCTCTGCTGGAGGGGCAGATGAAGATCCATGGCGTTGAGGGCATCGCTGCGGGATGAAGCTACAGACGGCGGATGATGTGTTTTATGGCAGTGAGCATTACATATGGGTATGGTTGATGGCTTGAATTTTTTTTAACGCAGTGGATTTGATGAATATGAGATGATGAGATGAGAATCCTTAGAATCGCGGGCTTCAGCTGTTTGCTGGCGGCTCAATGACGCCAACTATTTCGTCCACGGTTCTGTCATCGACTGTCATTTGCATCACCATTTCATTTACATCGCGTAGCCAAACTTTAAAATCGCCAGCCAATCAGCTCAAACATATGAAAATTAATGCCAGGCGCTATGCCAGATTACAGTACAACTACTAAACAAGTAAAAGAAGAATGTCAAGACAAGACGTGTACGGGTATATGTAAATAAATACGACCATAGCTCGGTATATCCGTCCTCAAAAAAACATGCTCGCACTTCATCTTCAAAATCAAATACAGCATACAGCTACGTGATAATCTCCCCAGAAACGCCTTGAAGAAGAGACATCGCCCATTCCTTCCGCTGCCCTTTTTTTAGAAACAAAGAAAAACACGAGTAAAAGTATCAAGTCAGAATGCTTCTCTGTCCCCCCGTTGCGCCTATACAGTGTTGTGACGCCAATCATCCGCCGTTCTCTCTGCAAGCTGCTGCTGTCTCCGTCTCGCTTCACCGGCCAGTTCTCTCATCAGAGGTTCAATGATTCCCAAACCGCTTACATCGTCACTTTTGCTCATTGTGTCGCTCCACTCGCTGTCCTCAGACGCAAGCTTTTCCCCAATGAGTCCTGCCACGATCCGATCTCGCGATAGGCTTGCTCTCCTTGTAGGCGTCTTGGCCCGTTTGGTGCTGCGAGCTTTACGCTCTGCGCTTGATGCGCTAACTTCGTCATCTGAAGCCCAGCCTCGGCCATCCGCATCTGCAGCCTTGTTGGCGCGGCTAGCTGTCTTGATGTTGCGGCTCATGTCATCGAGTACAGGTACCAGAGCACGCAACCAAACGTCGCCATTGCGCTCAAGCCGACGGATACGGCGCTCGACATCTCGTAGCCGGTTTTCGTGGTAAGAGTCGTAGAGCCGCAAGATTTGCTTGTCCATCAGGTTTCGCTTGTGCTGCAAATACAACTCGCTGTCCATGTCACGCGAAAGCCGCATTTGGCCCATATCCGATGAAGGCGAAGCAGACCGTGACGGAGAAGGAGATGCCCCCGGTCCACTCTTGTCGTCTGGCAGTCCAGGTGAGGGCTGAAGATCGACGACGACAACGATGGGAACGAGGGTGTTTAGGGATGCCGTCTGAGGGCGCTCACTCTCCACTTGCACGTCTTCGTTATTTGGCGATTGTTCCCCCTCTTCGTCTTCTTTCTGCTCATCCTCAGACTTTCGTCGCTGCAGCTCTTTGAAGGCCTTTGCAGCTTCCATGTCTCTCCTTTTCTTGTCTCGAACTTTCTCGCGGCGGCTCTGTATTGAGCCTGCTGTTGATGGGCGAGAAGGCAGCTCCTTGTCAACTGCTAGCATTGATTGAGCAGACACAACCTTGCGAATACTACGCTTGGTGCTCCCGGAGGATCCATCGGTAGATTCCTCAGTGATGGGGGAGGGGAATCCGACGCCAGGTTTGTATTGCTGCTTAGCCCGAGAGTCACTCCTCCCTGGTGGTTTCGGAAGCGGCTTCTTATTGTATCCGTCTCGAACGGTCTCGATATCTTTGACCACGCTCAAGAGACCGTCAATTGATGCCGAGTGTGCGGGGTGACGGTGCCTCTGGCCAGCAGCAACAGCCATGCTTGAGGGCCTTGCTGGACGCTGCTGGTTGTTTGGCCTTGCCGGGTTCTTCTGAGGTCCCCAAACCACCATTCCTTGCGCATTTATATGCGGTGGATCTGTAACCTTTGGGAAAATACTGACGTAGCCCGGTGGCTTGGTCTTGGTCTTGCTCCCAATACTTGCCCCTGTAGATCCTTCTGTAGAGTATCCCGTAGACTGGCTGCTAGATTTGTGGTGGCCTCCAGTGCTACTCTGCGTGTAGCTGCTCCTCTCTTCCAAACTCGATGAGATGGACTGCTGGGACAAAAGGCCAGAGCGCTGTGTAGAAGGGGACTTGGGCAACCCAGGGACCTCATCAGCCGCAGTGGGGAAAACAGTGACGGTGCCATTTTCCCTCGAATATGTCTGGACGGCAAAGTTTCGTGGAAGCGTGGCATACTCGCTCCTTGTTCCTCCCACCTTTGGGTTGGTGTTGTTATTCGCATTGGCGGAGTTTTGTGTTGTCGAGTCAGGAGCAAAAGGCATAGCCTCGAGAGGGATCGAGATGGCAATGTGCCTGTGTCCGCCAATGGTGACGCCCGAGACTGCCGAGTCTGGGAGCTGAATGTTTTGGGGAGGCCTGGGAACTGATTTGCTTCTTCTCTTCATGGCCATGAATTTCGACCATTTCGACTCCCGCTCCTTGTCGTCTGGATGAGCAAAGGGAGCCGACATGTAGCTGCTCGACGGTGGTTCGTGATTCTTCAAGAAATCGGCTAAGCTCGTAGTGTCATCTCTGCTGTAACGGTTGATTCGATTGCGAGGAGGCTCGTCTTCTAGATCATCATCACCGCGGCTGTTGCCTTTGCCGTGATAAGAGCTTCTTAGGTTCTTCAACGCCATAGCGGGATCGATCATGGATGATCTCCTGTCCTTTTTGCGATCCAGTAATTCGTTGATGCCGGTGCTATACCGACGAAAGATGACAGGATTTGAAGCAAGTGGTGACGGAGGAGGGTTTTGGTCCCCCACCCAGGGTGTGAGAAATCTTGAACCAACAGAGGCTGCCATGGCTTCTTCTCAAATAAACTGAGCTAGTGGGCAAGTATCAGCAGCCAACAGCCAGACTGTAAAGGTGGCAACGCCCTTGCGTACTCGAAAACCCGCCCCTCGCTCTCCAAGTTTCTCCCTGGCCTGAAAGAAAACCTGGTGGCTATCAATTCTTGTAGACTAGGCGTGTAATAGAACGCATACAGACTGCATACGCCTCACAGTAGTCAGTCTCCTGAGGACCGAATTGTCCCTCGTGTATGCTCTTCCGCCCTCGATAGGGCAGATGTATGTCTCAGTTGGTTGCTGGGAGGGGGGTGTAAGAGGGCACTGGAGTGTGCTATGTATGCTGAGAGGAGCGATATTGGCCTACAAGGGCAAAGGAAAAAGAAAAGAGAAGGAAAAGAGCGAGCGAATGGGAGACCTAGCTCTGTCTAGCATCAAGCGGGTCTGGATGTATGGAGAAGGAGAGTTGTACAGTGAAAAAGAAAATATTAGAGGCTGATAATTGGTTCACATGGAACCAAGGGTGATGATGAAGAGAACGAGCTACGCACAGGGTGGCAAGTCTGAACACAAAAAGAAGAAGAAGAAAGAAAAAGAGTAAGGGAGCGAGAGGGTGTTGGCCCGTAGTTCGCCAGAGCGGAGGCTATGGAGATGAAGATGATGAAGAACAAAGCCCTGAAGATCACTCTCCAGCCATTATCCAAGCAATGTCTTTGACATGGGTCCTCTCCTTAAACATCGGGTCACTTTTTGATGAAAGGGCCTTAAGCTTCCCCAGCACCCTGGCAGTTGACTTGACCAGCCCCGGACCCCCGGCTGATGAGCAGGCAAGGAACCCGAGCTATCAAAGGGAACCTCCAATGGGACAGCGGGTATCTCCAGAGCCAATTTAGCTCGCAGAGTGGTCCCGTCTTTTGGTGGCGCGCTCCGCCATCATAGCCCATTGGCCGTCTCGGTCTGGGACATTCAGACTAACTGCAGTGACAATGTGCTATTGAAAGTGCTTCCTTTTTTTTTGTCTTTAATTCAGCAGGAGAATGGGCGGCGGGTAAGCGGGATGTGAAATCCGTCGCCAAGTGGCCGTATCTCTCTTCTTTCGTTTTCCCCCTCCCTCTTTGCTTTTTTTTTTTGTTTTTGAATCGGCTCCCCGTCGTTGTCCAACCCTGGCCACTCGCTTGTTTGACGGCTTGTTGATCCTTTGAAGTGAACATGATCCCAGAAAGGTTCTCGTCCAGGTCAACTAGGAGCATTTGTCAAACCCTTGCTTTCACACGTGTGCGTGTACCCGTATGCCCGTCATCTACCAACTCCCGACTGCCTGGCTGAGGAGCAAAGGACGAGCCGAGATGAACATTTGGAACATGAACCAAGCGATGATGGCAAGTTGCAGGGATCAAGGCTCCAGTTCGCTGATTGCCGTGGAGTCGTATACCGTGACAAGGATTCGTACCGTCTCGCTGCTCTGGGCCTCGTACTGTGCTCCGCACTCTGTCCTGCAGGGAGTGGCCGTGGCGTTCAACTGCGAGGGGAGGCAGAGTTGCACGAGTACTCACTCGTATGGTTCAAGTATGCACTGGCCCGGGCCAACGCTGAACATGGCCAATGCATTCATTGTCTATCCGGCATCAAAAGACTCTGAGCGGGCTACTGCATCGTGTACTCGTAAGCTGCGAGGGTGCTGTGGCGTCGTATCCAGCTTGGTAGCTCAAGCAACGAGCTTGTACTCTTAGTAGTACTACTTGGCACCGGTACAGTTGCAGCAGGAGTATTTTGCAGTGATCCATGGCGACGCAAGGGACATGGACCTGCAGGCGAAATTATCCACCCCGGGTACGAAGTGGCTCCTCCACTATACAGCAGAGTAGAAATGTCCGCTCGGTTCTGCCTTGTCCTTCAATGCGCTTCCCTGTCAATTCCGTCCTGGGGGGGAGAGAATGCCTGCATCGCTGGCTGAGCTGACACGAAGCGAAGATGCTGCCCGGGGAAAGGCCAAAATAGAAGGGTCGAGACAAGTCCATTGCTGCAGGAAGAAAAAGAAAAGAGAGAAAAAAGCGTGAAGCCATCAAGAAGTGGTCTGACATGCTAGTGGACTGCACTGTACCTAACTGTAGCTACAGGCACCTACTCAAGCTACTTGTAGCACCAAAAGGCCCGGCAACCAGCCCATTGGCAGCTTGCGACTGCCCACGACGACCAAAAGGCGGCTCTAATCTGCGCCACCCGCTGATCTGGCGCCGTTACAGCACTGCACCTCCCCTCTCTAGGCCCAGAGCGCAAACAAACTTGCTCTGCGCTCGTCCTGTAGACCTCCCAGGGCTGTTTCAGCTGCAGCTCGCAAAATCAGACACTGTCTCGTCATAGACAGCCCGAGCACGGAGAGTCATGCAACACCATTGATGCAGCTACCGAACTGTATGTACCTGTGCCTGCACGTCTAGACACTAATCCATCATCCACAGACAGACAGACAGGTCTCTCGTTACTCAAATGAATCCGAGGAGGATGCAGTTCACCAAGAAACACGGCCAAGGCGATACCACTCCTGCTAATTGCTCCGTAGGGTCAGTCCGAGATTCCCCTCCATAGCGACCTATCCTCAACCAGCGCAGACAGACAAAAGGCTACCAATCGCTCTAAGCCCGTCGAACCCATGAGCAAAGCTGAGCTCAAGCAGAATTACGCCGCACTTCTTAGCGCTTCGTATGTACAAAAGAAAGCGCCGGCTCCGCAAAGCCCATCTCCCATATTAAACCTGCTGATCCCCATGGGACTTCTCCACCGAGACTCGGCAATCGAATTTGCTTTTTGCTGCAGCCTCTCGGCGACCCTAAAAATCCTGGGCCGACACTAGACATTTCTAGCTGACAAAAAAACTTGGTTTGCCCGGCTGGTGACCGGACCAGGACGCGGAACACGGCCCACTGATGTGGTGAGCGAAACAAAGTAACCTGGCCAAGTTGTCTTGCGGCTGTCGGCGTGGAGATTCTTCGTAATATCAAGTAGTACCCCATCGAGTGGCTTCCGATCAAGTTCACATTAGAGACATTGCTTGCCAGCCTCCCGCCAAGACCCAGGCCAATGACACATTTGCGACTTGCTTCATATACCGGAGTAATGTGCTCCGCCATCAATCAACACAACACGTATGCCCGCTAGCTGCGGCATGCCCTGGTTGTAATGAGGTTAGGCCAGCATGCTGGATAGCATTCATCATTTCGTGATCGTAGTCTTGTAGTGGTTTGCGTAGATGAGCGGGAGATGGGCAAGAAAGTAAGATGGTATGTCAAGATCGACCCTATTATTTATAGATATGTATCAAAAATTCTGAACAGCCCCGACACTTAGTCTCCAATCATCACCACCTTGTATGAATGTTAATACTGCATCACAAGGAATAGAATAGCTGTTTCCAAATAGATATAGTCATAGCACTCCGTAAATGTTGAGAAGGCGACAGCTCTGTCTGCGTCGTGTAAATCATGCCCCAACTCCGAGGATAAAATCCATATGCCACGATATCACCACCCGCGCCCATATCCTCTATTAAGTGCCAAAAGTCGAAGTATATATCTCGCCCAATTTTGATCCGCCGTAGCAGATGCGCCGAGACAGTAACGTAATGTCTCTTCCATCATCCATGCTTTCTCATTTTCTCATCATCTCCTTTAACCCCTTCTCACTTATTCTCATGCACAGCAGATTCTTCCTTTACTAAAAGAAAAAGCATTAAGAAAACAACAAAAACAGAAACGAATACTTCATGACGGGCAGTTGATAATGCCATTACCAAACCCCAGTAATCTTGATATCAAGTTGAGGAAAGGCTGCAGTCGCGAGGCTCGTTCAGTCCCTCAGTTAATTAACCACAGAGAACGGCAGCTTCTCGTCTCTCCCGCGTCCTGTGACCTGCTCCGCTTCTATCTGTAATCTCACTTTTGTTGTGTGTTAGTTAATACCGATAGCATCTTGGGAGGGCAGTTCTTACAAGTGATAGACATAGCCAGAGGCCGGTATACTTTCCCCTACGAGGCCAATCTCTCCCCAAACAAGCAGGAGACCAATAAGAAAAGAAGGAAAATTACAAGGTATTTACACGAGATGCGACCCAAGGAGCTCCCGACAAACGCGGACGCCAATCCTTAGGCCATGCTATTGTTTGTGGCGAACCTACTGTCCGCCTGGCAAGATTATGTTTCAACGCCTAGCAATGCCCGTTCTACATGCTCCTCCCAACTGCCAAAGGAGACGGGGAAAAAAAGAAAAATTGCTTGAGAAAGAAAGGGAAAGGGAGCCAAGAGGAAACTATACTGTTCACCTCTTCTTGGGGAGAAACGGGTTCGGTTTCTTCTTCTTCCTTGGACCCTGCGGTATTTGTGGATTTGCCTGTATCACCACTGTCAGTAAAGCCGGAACATTTTGGATCATAATCATAATCAACCATCACTCACATTACCATTCGCTGCAGCAGGACCTGTTGGTGGCGCTGGTCTTGGCATTGCTGGAGGGACAGGATTGATAACTGGCGGAGGCCGTTCTGGCGGCACCATTCCAAGCAATGACATCGCAGAAGGGTCGGTTGGGGGTCTGATAGGCCTAGGTTTCTGGCCAAACTTGCCCATAAGACCACCGCTTGGCCGCGAACCGTCATTCGCAATCTATGCCCTTGTTAGTACACTTCTTGGGCACATTTCCATACGTAAAACATCTACTTGCCTTCTTCGTTACTGTCTGGCCTGGTTCAGAAGAGTCCAGCGGTCGCTTTTTGGTTTCCATACCGCCTGATGTATGGATAATTGGAGGCCCGTTTGAGCGCGGCATAACCGTATCTAACCCAGACGATGTTGTTGGGCCCGGATTTCCGCTATTACTAGCGCTGGGGGTTGCATCTGCAGGGTCATTACGAGAAGCATCTCTCATGACAATATCCATCTGCTGAGGGGGTGGTTGTGGGGGGTTTGTCGGGGTTGCAACAGCAGAGCTTCGGCCGGATGATGGCGTATATGCGTTTGGCTTTGCCTTTTCAAGCGGGCGTCGGAACATGGAGAGAATATCACCCTTTGTATATCGGTCTCGGTCTTGGGCGTCAACGATCAACTTGCGCCAGAACTCTCCCTGGACAAGAGCTCGCGAGTCACCTAGAATCCACAGCGATGACTTTGCTCGTGTCAGACCGACATTCATACGGCGAATATCCGTCATGAAACCAATGCCGCCCGTGGCACTAGCTCGGACGCATGAGAAAATGATGATTTCACACTCTCGTCCCTGGAAAGCGTCCGTTGTGTTGAACTCGATGATGTTGGTAATGTTTTCGCCATACCGGGCCTGGAAGCGAGACCGCAATTCGTAGAGTTGTGCCTTGTAAGGTGTTATGATACCAATCTTTCGCGTCAAGTCACACTCGTGGTAGTCTCTGCTAAATCTCTCGTACATTTGCAGCGCCACCTCAAGCTCCCTTGTATTGACAAGCGATTGGCCCTTTCTACCTTTCTCCTGTACACCCTCGACGTCGAAAAATCGGTAGGGAGCAAACAGGGTGTCTTTATGCCATGGAGCCTGGCGAAGCTGAAGCATATCCTGGCCATCCTGTAGTTGTGACTCGTAGAATTCCCTGCTGGGAAACGAGCTGATCTCAGGGTGCATTCGGTACTGCATGTCAAGCAAGTGAATCGACTTTGGGTGATTTTGTTGCATTCGGACAAACAAGCTCTGATCGTAGCCAAACCTAGCCGCAGATTGCGACAGAACTGTGGGAGGCAATTGCTTGGGATCACCGACCAGAATACACTTGCAGCATCCGTACTTCAATGGAATCAAGGCGCTCAGCTCCACGCACTGAGCCGCCTCGTCAATGATGACTGTCTCGAATTCCACGTCCAAGTTTCGGAACATTTCATGTCCACTTCCGCTGAGTGTCGCGCACAGAACATGGGCAGAATTCAGAATCTCCTGCTGAATCTGTCGGCGACGTAGTTCCATCTCACGCGCGATCGAGTTACCGCTGTCTTTGTTAGCGTCGATCTGCTTTCCGATCTGTATTTGTTTTCGCTTCAGCTCATCAAACTGCCTTGATAGAGAGTTGTGCAGTGATCGGTCATCCTGGTTGCGAGACTCGTCCAATCTTGGCCTGAGCTGCGCTAATTGCTCCTTCAGCTGGGCAGCCTCTTCGTGCAGTTTGTCTCTATCCGCTTTGGCTTTGTCCTTGGTTGTATCCCCTTCGAGACGGGCTTTCACTAGCTCATCTAGGGTAACGTCTTTGACAGCGGCGTTAATAGCTTCGCTTCTTCCCAGACGAAGGACGTTGATGTTTCGGGTTTTGCCATTTACTGTCTTGATGCCACTCTTCAATCGAAGCACCAATTCATCTACGGCAGCGTTACTCGGTGCACAAACAAGAAGTTTCTTTGGCCGGGCCTGGTTGCCCGCAGGGGCACCGATAGGCCTCACTGGAACACCAAGAGGAACTCCTGCTGCAGCGAGAGGAGCCTGTGCAAGCTGTTCAGACAGAAGAGAGCCAACCATTGCTACAATGGTCTTGGTTTTTCCTGTACCGGGGGGTCTATAGTTTTAGGGAAGAAAGAAAGTCAGCGCATGCTAAAGGGAAGAAGAAGAAAAAACAAGAAAGAGGAAAGGAGAAAGAAAGAATAGGAACGTCAGTGAAATGAAATATCATGTCCTTACCCTTGGATCAAGGTGAATCCATCATTCTCTTGTGCGCCAAGTACGGCGAGGGCTTGACCTCGATTTAAAGCCCAATTATCCATGTAATTGGATACGCGCTCCTCTCCGTAGCGCAGAATTGGTGACGGTTCTGCCTTCAAGATCTCGTCCATGAGATCGTAATACTGCAGACTCTCCAGGGCGGCATACTCTCTCTCTATGGTCGCCATGTTGGTGATTTTCACACCATATACGGTGGCGCCAGGGGTCAACATGGGCGAGAGTTGATTATTACGAGAAGCTACGCGATACGTCACCTCGACGGTGTCTTTTTTATAAGTGATACGATGGACTCGGGCCAGACAATGTTTTGCAGATTCATCCACCAGGGGATTTTCTGCTTCAGATACAAGGAGAATGTCGCCCTCAAAGACACCACGATCTCGCTGTGGGGTTACGGGCATTGTAAACGTCACTTCCAGGTAGCTGTCGACACTTGCGCGGCTGGCAATCTTCATGCCAAACGACTGGGTGGTTATTTCGTCCTTTGATGTGACAAAGGAGCGCCAGGCCTCAGATGCAAGCAACGGGAAGAAGGTCTCTTGGTATGACCTTGGGTCCACGTACTTGGTAGCGACCTCGGAGGCCTTGGGGCCGTTGGGAGGGTCGTTACCACCATGGAATATATCCCAGGCGAGGATGGTGTTGTGAAGTCGATCCATTGGAGGGATGAGCCGGGCTCTCATCTCCTTGACGGAGCGCTGCTGTCTGGCCTTTTTTACTGGCTGGCGTAGTTTATCTTGCAGGGCTTGACGGCGCCGCTTCTCAGCGTCGGTCAAGGACTTTTGGCCTCCCGTGCTCAACGCAGCAAGCTGATTATCGGCATCCGAATCATCGCTGTCAGCCTCGGATTCTTCGTCAGAGCTGTTGACCATGATTTCACTTCTCGAATGATCCTTGCCGGTGAGCCCAAGGCCTGCAAGGCCTGAGCCTTCGCCTTTGACAAACTCCCCACGAAGCGCCCTGGCCCGCGCAATGGCCTCGGCATCTCGCTTTGCCTTTTCCAGCTTTTCTCTTTGTCTGCTTTCCTTCAGGGCACTTATAGCTCTTTGGTCGGGGAGTTTGGCGGCCTTTGCTCTGGCTTGGCGTGCCTCGATTTGTTTGAGCAGTGGGTTTTCGACTGATTTGCTAAAGTCTAACACATCGTCTCGGTTGGAGCGACCAAGTTTGGACGTAGTAGCAGTAGCCGACGATGAAGCAGTTGCAGGCGCCGATTTGGACCACGCATCAAGTTTGCTCTGTTTCTTAGACTTGTCCTTGAGTGCCTGTTCTTGGCGTTGCTGTGCGCTTAGCCCTTGTTGGTAGATCTGCACTTCGTCATCGGTTTGTCCCAGCGCTTGAAGAAGTTCTGCACGCTGCTGATCGGTCAAGTTTGTAGATCGTACGTATTTTCCTGGGGTAGCTGTTGGCAGACATGCATCTGTAATGAGCTTGCGAGAGCCCGCGTTGATCTCGAGATCATTCTCTTGAAGTCGTTTAAGGATTTTGCAGAGAACGCGAACCGTAACATCAACAAGCCAGCGATCCTTTAACCGAATCATGTTTTCCATTCCACGAAAGTTGTCCTTTGCCGGAGCCAGGATCTTGATCATCATGTCTTTCTCACTCCGACCAAGCGCCGTCGCGGAAGTAAGCAAGCCATCCTCAGCAATAAGGGCTTCGGCGAGCTCCATGATCTCTCGGCAAAATTCCGTCATGATGGCATTCGGGATGTAAAAAGACCACGTCTCAATGTTCAGACACGCCTTGGAGACGAAGCGCCACTGCTCATTCCACCAGCGCAAGACGGTGGCGGCCGATTTAGAATCTAGAGTTCTGACTCGAAGGACTCCCGAAGACGGGTCTGCGAGACCCCTGAGAACATCTCTACTCATGCTTAGAAGAGGTTTGATCGGGCCCCATGGGAAGGGAGGGCGCAGGACGCGTTCCAGAGACCAGACAATAGATGCGAGAGTCTGGTCTGGGTGGTGTTGTGTCATTTGTTCCAGAGCACCGCTTCGAGAAAGTTCTCCAGTCCAGCTCTTCAAAACTTCCGCCGAAGCCTCTGCAAGATCCGAGTTCTCATGCACGGACAAGGCAGTGGTGACTTGGAAAGGTAATCGGTCAGCATACAAGTCATTCAAGTCAGTAACATCAAGCTCTGAAATGCGGCCGAGTATCCTGGCAAGCGCGTCTGCTGTGTCGCCAAGTGCCTTGTTAAACGTCTTGCCAGACTCTTCGAGCTTGTTATCACTCTTTCGTGGCCTGATCTGTTCCACCGCAATAAGGGGTGCCAAGGATACAAAAATATCCTTTGCGACGGAGACTTGGTCAGACGATGTATCAAACATTTCCAAGACCCCCTCCCAGAACGCCTTTGAGTTTCTTATGATGGCTGTTTGGAGCTGCTTGTTTGCGTGGATGGCCTGGTATTCCTCAGAAAGCAGTTTCATGTCCAGCTTCATGGCGGCACCCATGACTTCTTTGGCAGCCTCGGCAACCTTGAACGTAGTCCAGCCTTCAATCTCTCCATTTCGGCCAGACGACTTCATATTTGCTAAAATCAGGCCGAGGTGCTTGACGACAAGACTCGACGCAGCACTGGCGTAGAGATGTGTACTTCCCGATGCAATGAGTGTCTCTGGGTCGAGAAACGACTTCATGGTGAAGGTCAACGCATCAAAGCCAGCGCGAACGCATGCGGCTTGGCCAGGTTCGCCAATGCTAGAGTCTTTTGCCAGTGTTTCAAAGAGAGTGTGCATCAACACCTCGCAGGCGTCGTACCTGCGATCGCGGCTGAGAGACTGGAGCCACGGCTGGATCCACGAGGTAGGGAAAGGTGTAAACTGGGACGCAAGGTCGACAACAGACCAACAGTCTTCTAGGGACTGTCGTAAAAGAGTCTTGTAGACGGGGCTGCCGAAGAGCAGATCTGCAATGACATTTGGGCGAGCGTCACCAACGACGTCCCAAAAAGCCTTGGGGGATTTCTTCAACAAGCCACACAAAACTTTGATGGTGACCACAAGTACACCTTCGGATCGACAGAACTGGATGTGTCGGAATAGCAAGTCGTAAATGTTGAAACTCCCGGATGGAATTTCGAGGCTGCGGAGGCGGCTCAAAATGATTTCGTTGTTGAGTGTCCTGAGAATACCTTCGAAGCCTTGCCAGAAGCGTTCAATCTCCAGATACATTTCGCTGGTGGCTTGAGAAAGGTCCTTTTTGCTAATATCGTCTATTGAGCTGACGAGGCCGTCGTTAACAGCCCAATCAAACTGCTCCTCCGTCATGGCCCCGCTGTCAATGTTCTTCCAGTTCTCTGCTGCCCATCTACGGCGGTCTTCGTTCTTCTGGTCAAACAGGAAATAAGTCATTCCTGGTAGCGGATCTTTAGTTCCGAGTTTGAGGTACGTCTTTCCCTGCAGGCGCATGAAGACATATTGAAACACGGCCCGTTGTTCTGCGTTGGCCAGATAGGCCACACAACATAGAGCCTCGTAAACGGCGAGGTGGACCTCTGTGAGATGTTCGCCAAATTGTGACTTCTTGAAAACAGCGCCGGACTCTTCAATCTTTTCTATGAATTGCTTCGCCCAGGTCAGATTGTGGTCGATTCGATTGACGTCGAGGTTTACTAGCAGATCACGGATCTGCGCAACAGCTTCCTCGTTCCATCGCCTAAAGCCGAAGAGGTAAGCGACTGCATGTGTATCATAGCGAAGGTGTGGTTCAACTCACTCTGAAAACATTTGGAGATGGTGCTTGCGCTTCATATGCCAGTTGAGGACACATTCGGGGCAATATTTGAGACAGTTCTCAAGCCTCCCAGTAAAATCTTCCAGCCATTTGCCAGCTTCCTGCTTGTCGAAGCCAAATATCAAGCTGTTCCAGTAGGTAACCTCGATTCGCTTCTTGCTCTTTTCAATGCGACTCTGCTTCTCCTCGTTCGAAATCCTGGAATCGGGGTCGTCGAGGGTCTTGTAGTTCTCGTCATCCTCGTCGCTGATTCGTGGGCAGAGGAGATGGCACTCTGCGGGGATCTGTTGGAACTCTTCGTACCATTTCCCCAGCACCTCGTTGATGTCGGCCATTATATCGGACTACCAGCCAGGCAGAAGCCCATCGCTAGAAGGTTCATCAAACAATCTAGGGAAATGAAATGCTGTTTATGCACGGCTCTTTGCTTCCCGTTAGAGCTGGCGCTTGAAGAAGCAGAAAGGTGGTGAGATATAAAAAGAAAGGAACGAATGGGAACGCGCCCCGGTTACACAGAAAAGGCGAGAAGACGAGGCGAGAAGCAGAGATGGAGAATCGAAAGAGATGAAAAAGCAGAGAGAGATCGCGAACAAGGACAAAGAAAATGTGGAGTTCAATTGGCAAAAAAAGGGTACAAGCGCGAGTAGTGCAGTGGTACATGCCCCTCGTGCAAGCCCCCAGTGACGACAGAAGGTAGCACAGGTACCCTACCCCAAGTCTCTCAGAGTCTGATACTCCGTACACGGGCGCAGAAAATGGTACAAGATTGAGGAGCTCAGTGATGGGAAACCACTTACTTCCTCAAAAAAAGAATTCTCGTGGTGAAGAAATAGGATAGTGAGAAATGGCGGAAATTACAGCGCGTATGGCTTTTCGAGTGACCGCTCTCCGCTATCTCGTACCTTGACCTTGCAGAAGAGGTACCTGCAACTTTGCTGACTGGTACCTGGGCTTCTCCAACGCGCGACTTACCCGCAGCGATCCGCGTCTACAGGGCGCTTGCCGGGATTTAAATGTTTGTGTTTGCTCAGTGGAAAAAGGCATGTGCAAACAGATCGGGAAAATATGCCGCCGAATCGCCCAAGATCGGCAAACAAAGTGTGACACGTCAAGTGAGACTCGGTGATAGGGAAATAATGTAGTTTGAGGAGAGGGAAAGAGCAGCATCATTTTTGTTTTCCTTTCAAGCTTTATATGTTTACCATGGCAACCGCTGTGGAACATCATGAAATAGGTACCTGTAGTAGACGCAACTATGACGGTGTAATATAGGTCATGGTGCTTCCCTCTGCGAGCACCTGTAGCTACCCTACAAGTAGGTACGCGATTGTAGACTGCAACTTCACCACAGCAGTGAATGCAGCGTAATGCACATGGATACTAGTTGGCACCTATCAGTATCTTCGTGGATTTCTTTTGTGCAACAATAGTTGCGGCATGACTCAACGAGATATCTTACTTGCAGAGGAGTCAGGTCAAAAGGACACAGGCGGCTGGCGACATTAGCGAATCCTTGAACTCCCTTCGCTTGGCCACAGCTTTTCAAACAACTTCCTCACTTTTTTGTCACTTTACCTCAGATTCTCCTCACTTTGACATCGCAATTCTGGATATTTCACCTTGTTGCTCATAATGATTGGATAGATCGATAACCCCTGTGCAACACAATTTATCATTCACCGTGGATCTCCCTCTCGACTTCGCCTCTATGCCCCAGCTTTAAATTGCTGCTCTTCGCACGATAATTCGGGCATTTCTCCCCTCTTCTTCACCTTCATCCCGGCATCTACTGCTATTTCCATCTGCTAATACACGGAAATACAGCCAATGCAATTCCCTCCTCCCTTCTCTCGACATGCCGCCTCTGATAGTTATCGACTCTATCGGGGATGAAGATGTTCAATTCTTGACATCACGGATTGCCGCTTCCGAGAATAGGCGAAGAGCCACATCGTCGGCTACACTTGGCCGCGGCAGTGACGAAGAGGTTGGAGACGAAGAAGGAGACGTGGAAGAGCTGGTGGAGCTGTTTGAAGAAGAAGTCATTGACCTCACTGGGCACGAATTAGAGAATGGCGCCTATGGTCAGCTTCACGAAGGCGAATTGCCCATAGAAAAGTATCGCGATCCTCGTTCAGGGGCTCAATTCTCTCGTGGAGACTTACTGCAGGTTCGAAATGTCGACCTTGGGACTTACGAAATCGACTTCGTTCAGATCCAGATCATCGCACGGGATCGCTGCGGGCACTACAAGATTCGCGGAATCCCCTTTGTACGGACGAGGAAGCTACAAGGAAAGCTGCCAAAGAAGGTCAATGAGATATGCATGATACTTCACATTCAGAGACGGGACAATGGAGAAGAGCTCCCTGCGGTCCTCGTTGATGTTCCCACCACCTCGATTGTCAAGAGACGAGAACTTGTCATTACCAACGCCGTCTATCCAGAACACTGTTACAATGCAGCTGGTCTTGGCTTGCATGCTGTAAACGAAGAAGCGCAACAAAGATGGGCTGAAATTCATGGTAATCTTGTCTGCCGCTGGAAATTTACGATTTACTTCACCATGCAGCGCCAAAGTCGGGCTACAAGACCAGAAGAAGAAGTTCTCGAGCGTGTCCAATTGGACGACGTACCAGCTTCAAGATATCGCGTATCAGACGAGACACTTTGCAACCAGTGGCGGGGTGGACGCACAAAGGGAGGATCGTGGCACCCGAACAGGTCCGGAATTATTGATCTCGAATTGCGGTCTTATCACGGAAGCACGACTCGAACTGCAAGCAACAGACGGACAGGACAAAAGTATACATTCTTTGATTCCTTTGCCGGGGCAGGGGGTGTATCTCGTGGCGCCAAGAGCTCCGGCTTCAAAGTCCAATATGCCGTGGACAAATGGGCTGATGTCTAGCAAACATATCAGACCAACTTTCACGACACGGAGCTGTTCAAAATGTCCATTGATGAGTTTATCAAGGCTACAAAAGACAGACTGATGAGAGTCGACGTATTACATCTATCTCCACCCTGTCAATACTTCTCGCCGGCACATACACACCAATCCGTCCACGATGAAGCCAACATTTATGCCCTCTTTGCGTGCAGTGAATTGATCAACAAGCTACGACCACGCCTGATTACCCTCGAGCAGACGTTTGGTATAACACATGAACGACACTACCAATATCTGAAAGCTTTGATTGGAGACTACACTCAACTTGGTTACTCTGTGAGGTGGAAAGTCGTCCGACTCTGTACCTGGGGTTTAGCACAAGATAGAAAACGACTTATTATCCTTGCGGCCGCCCCGGGAGAAAACTTGCCCCCTTTCCCCAAAGATACGCATTCCGTGAATGGGGCTGGTGGCCTGGAGCCATTTACAACTATTGGAAAAGCAATTGGCTCTATTCACGTTGGTGACGATCTACACAACCTCGACAGCGTCAAGTATTATCGGCCCCGTCGCGCGCCGCTTGACCCAAATCGTCTGGCAGGTACAATCACAACAGGAGGCAGCGAAATGTACTATCCGGACGGATCAAGAGACTTTACTCTCCGCGAGTATGCCTGCATTCAGGGATTCCCAAAACACCACAAGTTCATTGGGTCAAAAACGTGTATCAGGAGACAAATCGGCAATGCGTTTCCTCCCAATACGGTTCGGGTGCTGTACCAACACCTGGAGGATTGGCTTCTGCAGCAAGATGGAATGACACGATATCAGTCAATACCCGACAACGTCTTCATTGTCGACGACTCTGACGACGACGACTCTGACGAATATTTGCGCTGGCAAACATCCTCAGGGGCACCTTCATCTCCAGAAATAGATGAAGATATCATGGAAATTGCTTGTCCACGGGAAAGGCGTCGGGGCATTCTCCACAGAGGTAGCCCCTTTATTGATCTCACATGAGCTTGGATGCTTTCTTTTGCCTTATATAATATGGGGTTTGCTGGTGTCATGTGCACCCGCTCTTTGTGCTTGCGATATATGGCTTGGAAATCTAAAGGAGAGATGGAAATGTCTTGATCATCTTCTGCTCTTGGGGTAATAGAGTTGAGAAGCCAGGCGCAGGATATTGCTCATTTGTCTTTGTTGTTTTCCCTCTTGGGAGAGAGTGTTGGGTAGGAACAGTTGTATGCTATTGAAGCAGAAGAGAGCAAGGCGATGCTCTTTCTTTGGAGCGTATACTAGAGATCTCGTGTAGGCAGAACCCTAATGAACGCGGCAATTGACTCAAGTTTGCATTGCCGTGAATATAATAGCGCTTCGTTGGCAAGATGATGCATCAAGTTGCCCACCACTTCCGTAACTATCAGCATTTCACATCCAGTGCATGAAGCAATCACAACTGGTTCAGAGACTGTTCTTTTCGTCCAAAGCCAGTCAATACTATGTAGTCTATCTGACTGATCTGGTTGGTCCGGTATCGTTATCTCAGTCACTATAGCGGTGGCAGAATGCCCTAGGTAGGCACCAGGGGATTTCTGCCAACTGACCGCCAAGAACTCGAGCACTGAATCACGCAACCTGCAAACGCCTACGCGTTTGTTCATGTTTCAACTGCTCATTTCACACGAAGCCTTGTTTCTCTCTCAAAAAATCAGCTGACCAAGGAGGGCTGCAGGCATCTATTTCAACCCTCTTCTCTTCCTTCCCAAGCTCTTCCTCCTCTCTTCCTTCCCCACCACTCGTGTTTCTTCTTCCCTTGTGCAAGAATCGCCCGCTGGTCCTTGAATGCAGAGTTTCTTCTTCTTTTTTTCCTTCTTCTCTCAACTGTTTGCATCTCCAGCCAAGGTATATGATCCTCTTCCTTGTATTGTCAGACTGTTGGTTCGTCTCATCCTAGCGCAGCGTCGTGCGCCCACGGAGAGGAGACTCAACGCTTGAGGCCATCCCATGCCATAACACCCGAACAAGAATTGTTTGCTCTCTGTACTGGAATTTCTTTCTATCTCTATTTGACACTGTGGGATATTCAGCATTCCCTATCTTCCACTCTTCCATTTTATCATCTCCTTCCTGACTGGGCCGAAATCAACCGCTTTGCCAATCACCTGCTGCGGCTCGCTGCCTCTAGTCCAAGATGACCATCAAGCCCGGAATCGAGGCCATTATGGGCCCTACCATGGTGAGCAGCCGCATTTCCAACAAAGATGATGGCTTAGTGGGCGATACTAACTCGAATGCCACCTTGGCTACAGATGAAACCCCCCATTGTCAGGTTTTCGACGCAAGAGGAGTTCGTGTATCGATTAGAACGAGGCACTATAATTGAAATGGAAAATGAAATGGCACAACTCGCAAAGCTCAACGAGCGTGGGGATCAATACCCGGCATGGGTAATTGGGCCCATACAAGGATGTCAGACCTCCTTTACGACTTCCTGGTTGCTTCTAGCAAAAAGTCCATCTTCCTCTACAAACGCAATCTTCCCCACGGTCACCGATAGAATAACCATCGACATTGAAGCAACGGTTCAAATGCCTCAGGGGTTATTTACCCTTTATCACCTGGCCGCAACGCGAATCCAAAACCCATATGAAGATGTCGCTGGTCTTGAGGGGAACTTCATCCAAAAGCTCGCGGCTTTCAAAGTGGATGTTCCACGTTGTCAGAGAACTGAAAGCGGTGAACAAATGGAGCTCAACGTGATAGGCCAGCTCCAGGTCTCTGGTGCATTAGATGACTTCTCTGGGATGGTGTTGGACGAGTCCAACCAGAGGAGCATCTCAATCCGGTGGGACATTTCTAGTCAGACTTTCGAGGCCGAACTTGATGCTCTACACTTTTTCGTTGCACCAAAGAGGTCTGAGAAGAGAGGGCCTGGCTACCGTGCCAGACTTGCGTTTGCAATGTTGCAGCATTTTCAAGCAGAAGGCCCCGAGATGATCAATCTTCTCGAAAAGTACCCCCATCTCGCACAGCCCAGCGACCCAGCGCACAAAATTTCTCCCATCCTTTTGAAGAAATTTGCCCAATTCAACGGCGATCATGTGGCAGCTCACGAGGGACTTGGCCGAATCAAGAACGGCCTCTACTTTGTCAATGGTTGCCCTGGTGCCGGCAAAACCGAATGGAACATGGTCATTTCGGCCCTTATTCAATCGCATCATACATATGCCGCCAAGAGGATCCCTCATCAGATTCTTTTTCTCGTCGATATCAACCAGACCGTTTCGGACGCAGCTGATAGATATTACTGCCTCTGTAAAGAGGCAGGGCTTGATGTTCAGATTATACGGATGCATGGGTGGCCATATGAGATGCGCAACTCTAACAGATTGAATCGATCAGGTGGACGGGGCGGGGAGGACGATGGCAATGAAGCCGCGGATTTCACCAAGAGTTTTCTGACCACCGTAGGCTTGACTCACCACGCCAAGCTGGAGAGAGATGGCAGACGTGCTCCCAATCTCGACGAGGCGGCCTGGGATCATTACGAGAAGCACAAGCATGACAGCTATCCTGGCCTCACGAAGCTTCTTGACCGAATCGAGAAGGAAGAGGTTCTCGACGGCGAGGACTGGAGGCTGCTTCGCCGCTTGGTCACTGGCTTGTACCGAGATGTCCTTGCTGGCGCTGACTTTGTTGCCACGACCCCTGTAGCAGCCTCTGGTAGCTTTGCCAAGTTGTTTCGCCCGGAGATTGTCTTTGTGGACGAAGCTCCTCATGCCCGAGAGCTGACGACACTTATACCCCTTGCATACTTTGATCCTGTGGCTTGGATCTTCACCGGCGACGTAAAGCAGACACGCCCCTTTGTTGATAGCTGCGGCTCTGAGAGAACGGCTCAGCTAAAAGGCTTGAAGTTTAATCCTTACGCGGAACAGCTACGCTTCAGCACCATGGCGCGAGCAGCCGCGGCAGATGCCCTCGATCAGAAGCTACTGGTCAACAATCGTGCATACGGTAATCTGCAGCGCCTTCCGTCTGAGATGTTCTACGATGGCGAGATGACTTCGGGGCATAGTGAGGAGGCTATGTATCCGCCAAGCACCAAGTATCTGAAGGACCATTTGGAGAAGCTCTCGGGAAAACAGAACCTGGAAGAAAACAGGCTTGTGGTGAGCTTTGAAACCAGCTCCGAGGAAACTCATCGCAGCAGCTTCTGGAATCCCAAACAGCACAATTGGGTCATTGAACAGGTGAAGTGCCTCTTGGAAGATGCAAAGTTCCAAAGCGTCTCTGGTGCCCCTGGAACGATTATGATCCAAACCCCCTACAGCACTGCCTACCGGCAGTATCACGGGGAGGTCAAACAATGGCCTGCGGAGTGGCAGAGCCGTGTCCTGGTCTTGACGGTTGACAAGGCGCAGGGCAACCAAGCAGACGTGGTATTTCTCGACATGGTCAGAACCACGTCGGTTGGGTTCATGGATGACCCTCAAAGACTCAACGTCGCCATCACTCGAGCGAGACAGGCCGAGATCATTGTGATGCACGTCCGCATGAACTATCGGCAAGCCAAAGGATGCCGACGCACTAAATACGCCACACAGGTCTGGGGCGATGCCCATGCGCACAGACGTCTTGTTCATCTGCCCTAGTTTGAACTACAGGTATGTGCTCTGGCAAAACTGATTGATGGTTCACGGCTATGTGGTTTTCGGGATGTTTGATTGAGGAGGAGTTGATTGGCACAGACTATGGAGGACCAAGTGTGGAATACTAGGCGTTGGGGATATGATTGTGGAATTTAAAAGTTGAGAGTGGGTTGTATGAAAGGAAAAAGAAAAATCATGACATGGGTTGAGCCACTTGGCTACAGAGCGGATGGAGGATAATGGAAATGTAATGTTACTATACGAATGGTATTGAGCAATCAGATAGATTTAGGAGCTTGTTGTGGCGTCTATGATGCTCCACGAAATGAAGAACAAGAGAGGCCCCTCACTCTTTCTTGGTGACCCATCTAGTGCATACGAGAATCCCGTATCGAGAATTCACATAATGACACGCAAGCTAGTATTATTACACGTTCTCAATACACTGGCAAGTCTCCTCCTGAATGACGGAGATTGTATGATGATGGTACGAAGCACCAAGACCTCCTTTGTTGAAGGGGGCTGGACTCACGGGCTGATCCGAGGGCCGCGCGCCGAATTCAGGCACAAGATGCGAACCAGCCGCTGCAGAGTACGTGGTTTGTTGTTCTCCGCAGCTTTGCGTTATCGTGCGTACAAGCATCGGCCTGACGCGAGCGCGAGTGACATTTGCATATCTATCCGGAAAATTTAGAGGATGAAGGGAAAAAAAAGGAGCATCTAGTACATGTAGCTAGTTATCGGAATAGCGGTCTCGACAAACAACCGTCGTTGAATTTGTGTATCCGTATACAGTAACGTCCAAATGCCCCGTATTTAGCACCGGGTCGCAGCTGGAGCTAGCCGAGATACTCCATTCTTTTGCATGAAGAAACATCGCGGGAATAACTCCGTACAGCAAGTGCTGAGCTGCAGTGAAGGGACCTGGACTCCGCTCCGGTAAAAGAGGCTGTATACAGTAGCGTGGGTCGGGGTTTTAGTTTAGGGTCGCCACGTGCTGAAGCTACAGCAATGTACCCTACCAAAGTCTACCTACTACAGGTATCTACTACGGTAATAGTGTGGTTGGTTCTCGCTACGGGATGGATCCAGATAGATTTCAAAAATATTCAACTGCAATTGTTGCATCGAGGTAGAGACACAAGGTGTCAAACTTTGCCGAGGGCCCGGTAATATATGGGGCAAATCTCGCACAAGAACAAAAGTATTTCTGGGTGGTTGGATGATGGGCGGACGGCAGACTGGCAAGGCTGATTTCTGCAGTAGCGCCAGTTTTCGCTGCTACAGTACCAGACAGTACGGACTGTTATTAACACCTATAAGGTACCTGTGGCAGTTACTGCGGCCCGCTGATCTTCAAACGGTTTTGGGAGCGATAGGTTGGTAGTTTGTAGCATCAGTCAAGTCACATCACTGTTTGCTTCTGGAGGATAGGATTGGTGACTTTCGAGTCATACCTCCTCTCTGAGCGCTGTCGGCACTGACGGGCCCAGGTGCCGCTGCCATTGGCTGTTGTGGTTGGACAAAGTGCACCAACTGGACTTTTCAACTGGCAGGAAATAAGCCATGAATCGTACAACAAGCACTCGTAAGACGATGGCGACTCTGCAGTCAGACAAGGATGCAACTTTGGTGTCTACTACCTAGGTTAGTACTGAAGAGTATAGTAGTTGCACGGGCGAAGTTTAGGGGGCGAGCTCGCTTGGGAGAAAACTTGGGGACTCGGCGATAGCTAAACTCGCCCGAGTTCTTTGCCCTGTACAGCACTGTACTCGTAGGTAAGCAGCGGCCATATTACTAGGCAGTTCCTTGACCTCCTCATACTGTATAGAGTAAGTTGCTCACTTTTTGGCGACTCTGAGCGAATTTGAGAGTCAGATGGAAACGTGACATTGGCTCCAATTATAGAACGATCCCAAGCAGCTCCTCCGCTCGTTCTTCAAACGTTCTAATACCTAAGCGCCGGCCCAGTCAGTGGGTGGGGGAAAAATCATCATCAGTCGATGGGGGAAATTCGCACCACCACCTCGGGTATTTTGGCGGTGCGTGCGGGTAGAGATACTGGATACCTCAGTATCCATCGCACGCTGCTGCTACGGGGCGGATACTAGGTAGGTCTGTACTATTACATGCTGTATTTTTGTATTACCTGCAGTTGTACGTAAGGCCCTGCAGGATCAAAAGTGCCCGTGCTTTGCTTGTGAGAGCTTGGGTCACCACCTGCGACACCCGCATTCATTTCCTCATTGCTACAGTAACTCACTGCTTGCCGGCAGAGTAGGAAGGAGCTGAATGAAACAAACCGAATCAATTGCTCGACTTGATCACCATTGATTTTATCCGAGCGAATCGTCTCAGCACCTTATTAGTATACAGCTTGTGCCAGGTCTTCTGTAATACTGGCTGTCCATTAATAGCAGCTAGAGAGTCACATCCCCTACACTACACGCACCCGGCGAGGAACCCATTGCTTTGCCTATTTGGGTTAAAGCTGTGTGCTAACCCATGCGTGCGCTACATTAGTACCTCGTACTAGGTGCTTGCCGCGTCTTTTCCACCAACTGCTCAGCCCTGTATAGGTACGTACAGGTCAACGGGTAGCTGCAAGAGAGCGAAGGAAGGGCCTGCTGACACTACAAAGCCCAGCACTCTCGTTTGCCTTCTCATCCTCTCTCTTACTAGTGAATAATCCGTCCCTTTTTCTCTGCCTGTGCCTCTCCATGATGAGGACTTCTTGACACCCCCAGAAACAAGGCCTTGGAGCAGTTCTCTCTGCTACTGCCTACCCCTGCACGTGGGCAAGACACCCGTTTTTTGGCCGTGGGCGGCCTCCCGCGCTATTCGATTCGAATTCGAGAGACAAGAGAACCTGAGCGGACCGACCTCAGGCAGCAAGGAGCAATGGCCTCGTCCAACTCCATCGCCACGAGAGCTGCCACGACCGACACGACCTCAATCGGCAACCGTGTGCGAGCCGCGGGCGGAATAGCGAGTCATGCCTTGGCGAGAAGCTTGCAGACGTTGCGCAGGCTGGCGCTTGGGAGCAGCGCCGTTGGAGTGAATGAGAATGTCAAGAGGAACGTCAATGGGCACGAGCTTGAATCCAGGAGCACCCACAACCACCTGGGTATACACAAGCGACATCTGGGCGGCGGCGCAATTGCTGGAATCACCGTCGGCGTGGTTATTGCGGTTGCACTGCTCGCCATCTGCCTGTACCCATGCTTCCTCTATTACAAGCGTCGTCGAAGCGGCCATCCACACCCGCCTTTCGATGCCGAGGTTGGCGTTGCCGGAGCCGGGCACGGTAGCAGCGCTTCTGGCGGAGCAAACACCCCTCCTAAACGCCTCTCATCGAGCGATTCATACAAGCAAAGGGGAGACTTGACACGCGGACGGGAAGGAGATGGAGGGAGCGCCGACTACGGCAATTGGGAAACCCCCATCGACCACGGCATCAACAATGGCTATTCTTTCCCTCTCAACACGGCATACCTGCAGCCTGGAGATCCCGGGTTCGTTGATGGCAGCATTGCCGATGAGTACCGGGTCAAGGCGCAACCATTCCCACTGCTAGGATGCGATGATGGCGAGTTTGCACCACCGGTCTCAGACGATCCTGAGCCTGGCGTTCTCAAAGGCACCAGCGCCGACTATTACAGTCCTCATATCCCATCCGAGGCCTTTGGCATGGTGGCCGAGCCTGACATGCCGCTGGACTCGCCTCTGCAGGCACCCTCTTCCCGTTCCAGCTCTCTTCGCCATAACATGATGCAAATGTTCCGTCGTAAGACCAGAGACGCAACGCTTGATTCTACCATTTCACGAACAACCATCCCAGAGGGAGCTCCTCGTTTTGGTGATGCTCAGCTTGATGGGGCGACTCCGCTGCAAGCCATAACGAGTGGCGACCATGTCGAGTCTCCTACAAACCTCTCGGTTGCCTCCCTGCCCCTCTCAAACCACCAACCAGACGCTGAAGCTGCGACTGAAGCAAGCCTGGCGCCAGTCAGCCCTCCCGTTAGTAATGCGCCAGAGCCTTCTTCCAAAGCCTCACCTCCAGAATCATCCTCATTCCCGTCATATCATCAATTCCGAAAATCTCCCTCTCCTCCTGTTGCCGCCCCCGGAACCGTAAACCCCATGGACATCATGCCCGCCTCCACGGAAACCGAGGTCTGGCATAAAACTGAGCACCAGCTCTACGAGGCCTTCCATAAGCCGTCGCGAAGCGACCCTCCCATTTTGTCACAGGATGGACTCGCCAACGGCGCCGTTATGCCGTCTCCATCTCCGACACCCCCTGAAACGCAGCTTCAACCAACCTTTATAGTACAAACTCCCGGCTCTACAAACCACACCGAATTCATTCCTGATAATGCCATCACCAACGGCGACAGCGACCAAGCACACACTCAACTCGACAACGGCGATGTCGTCATGCTGGAAGCAACTCTCCCTCCGAACCACGACCACAGCTTGACAGCAACAGACGGCCGGCACCCAAGCTACCCCTCCGATCATTCCACCCCACTGCCCCCCTCTTTTACCGATGTTTCATCACAGAACACGCCCTCGACCGGGTTAGATACGCCATCACCCGAGTCCGTGGGAAGCTCTGATTTTCGACATAGCGCATCGCCACACTCGGGCGCCGGTAGCCACTCTCCCAGGACCGGAGTCTACCGGTGCGATGAGCCTGGGTGTAACCAGTCCTTTGACCAACCACACAAGCTCAAGTACGTGACATGCCTTTAATGATTCCTGTTTGACTGTTCTGTGAGTGTGTTCATCTGTGCTGACGCCACCTCCTCTTTTCTAGACATCATCAGCGCTATCACAGTAAAGACCACAAGTGCCCCTACCCAGGCTGCGGCAAGGGCTTTGGCACCAAGACCCATTTGCAAAGACATATCAATGACAGGCACGAGAAGAAGAAGAAATTCCATTGCTCTATTGCTGGCTGCGATTATTCCAGAGCGGGCGGCAAGGCTTTCCCCAGAAAAGATAATTGGAAGAGGCACATGATCAAGATTCACAATATTGAACAGCAACAACTTCCAGAGCCGATTGAAGTCGACATGGACGTAGACGGAATATAACGGAGAGAAGAAGAAAGACTCTCAATTTTAGGAAAGTGGGAGGTGAGAGGCGTGAGAGGAGATGCATAGAGGAATCTATTCTCTGCTGGTCCATGAGTATACCACCTAGGATACCCGCTTGCGCGAGGGTGTTCCATGATGACACTTTGAAACTTTCATGAATACCCCGTCTATTGCAAGCCGCAAAGACGAATCGTCAAAAAGGCGTTTCTCTCAATGGCAGCTTTTAAAACACGGCTGGCGTTTTAGCTCAATAAGTGAGCAGTCCGTGGGGAAACAGGACCCAATCATAAGCTATATATATTATTCTATTTTTTTTTATTTAACAACCCTGGCAGGCCTCCATCCTTGCCTGCATGTTATGGCGTTGGCAATTTTCTTTCCTTCCATATGAGCATCAGGCGATGTCTGTCATTATCTCATCAAGTGCATAGGTTACAGAGTCCGACTGGGACATGGCATTGGAGCTTCGGCAAGCGCTTGGATTTTGCGAGGCGTTTTTAATCTAACTTATATTTTTGTATTATATGGATGGCCTGCCCCCTCCCTTTGTCATAATGGTAAAAAAAAAACAAAAATCTCTAGGGACAGGCTAGAGGGAGGCGTTCTTTACATCTACCTAGGCAGACAAGCAAGCATCCCTACAGGGACAAACAGTGCGCGATGGGTATATATAACATGAGCAGATGGCCCGGCAGAATAAACAAGGCCGTTGGTTTACTGCGAATATTCTGGTTTCTTCTCGTGTGCATCGTTTCAGCTCAGTTCTTTGATTAATCTTCTGACCAATTTTCTTTGCTCATCTGCGTTGAGCGACTTTTCGTCTGTCTCCTGGATGGCTCTGCCGACGGCGATGATGGCCTTGGTGCTATCGCTGTCTACCCATAACCTGCCGTTTCTGCCCGTTGCCGTCTCAAACTGGACGCCGGCGTCGGCAAGCTCATCCAAGACTACAAGCTTGCCGTGCTGCGCCTTCTTGGGCATCATCAAGAGACGGGCCATGCCGAGGGATATCGTAAACAACATGCCGCCCACCAACGGTCCGAGACCATCGGCTTTGCCTGTTGAGGCAGAGACACACTCGAGCTCGGCGTCCATGTGCTTGTTTGCGAGGGTGACGCGGGCGTACACCAACGCTCCAGGGGCCAGTATGGGGCGCGTCTTCTTCGTGGCGGACTCGAACGAGAGCTGAGGGAGGAGGGCGGGAGCGGTATAGTCGGAGAGGTTGACGAAGTAGACTTCAGAGGCGGATTTGTTGATGGTGCCGATGACGAGCTCGCCCACGCGTGGGATATACTGACCGGGCCGTCAGCCATTGGACAAGTGCAAACAACAGCTAAACCTTACCCTTCCATTTGACGTCTCTACCCGGATGGCGTTCTTCTGCCGGTCCGTCACAAGCTGGCCGGCCAGCGTGGGGAGGATGTCGCTCGGCGGCACATGGCGCAGGCCCGGACCCAGGCGGAGAGGCTTCTTTGCATGTGAAGGTATCAGCGAGGCATCGATGCGATCGCCCGGCAGGACAAAGACTGGTTCTGAGGACATGCTGCGGCGACTCTTTTTGTCTTGTGCAAGGCTGATTGCAGTCGCAGCGACAATCAACGATAAGCGGAACGGCGTCTTTGTTGTTTCTTCTTCAGCCTTGCCTGTTGCCTTTTGGGAACGAATTATTTTTCTGGCTTGATTGGGCGGATAAGCGATAAGCCCGGCTGCTATGGAGGGGCACGTCTGATTGGCTGCCGGCCTATCGCCGCGCCGCGGGGTGCCTGTAGCCTCCACTAGATTGGAAACTCGTTTGGCTGGGTTTTTTTCTGCTCGAAATTTTTTGTAAGAGGAAAAAAAAAAGCCCCTCCACCAATCCAAATCCACCCTCCTCACAATCATTTTGCTTGCGGATTGACGGAGGCAGACAAACATTCTTTTGATCTCATCTCTTTGGCTTTTTACACAAACTCCCACAAAACTCGTCCCGAATGTCTGAAAGCAACGGCGTCAAGGCCGCGGTCGAGCCCGGCAACCGGGTTGCCATCGGCATCACCTTTGGCAACTCCAACGGCTCCATTGCCTTTACCGTTGACGACAAGGTCGAGGTTATCGCTAACGAGGACGGTGGTATGTTTCGAATTGTCCCGAGTTTTGGATAGAGCTTGCTTTTTGGGGGGGAGGGGGAAGGCTATGTGGCTCAGCAGCCTCCCCAAAACTGCAAGCTTCCAAACCCCGAGATTTTGCTCTTTTCAACTGACATGTTGTTTGTTGCATCACAGACCGACAGATCCCCGCCGCTCTCTCCTACGTCGATGGCGATGAGTACTACGGCGCTCAGGCCAAGGCCTTCTTGGTTCGCAACCCGACCAACACCATTGCCTACTTCAGAGACTTCCTAGGCCAAGAGTACGACTGCCATCTCAACGAGGGGGGATTAGGATGACGAGACCAAGATATCGTGCTAACCATCCTGCCAGGTTCAAGTCAATCGACCCCACACACTGCCACGCTGCTGCTCACCCCCAGGATGCCTCCGGCGCCGTTTCCTTCACCGTCAAGGACAAGGCCGGCGAGGACGATGCCCCCTCAGAGGTCTCCGTGTCCGAGGCTGCCACCCGATATCTGCGACGCCTCGTTACCGCCGCCTCCGAGTACCTGGGCAAGAAGGTCACCTCAGCCGTCATCACCGTCCCCACCAACTTCTCCGAGAAGCAGCGCGAGGCTCTGGTCAAGGCCGCCAATGATGCCGACCTCGAGATCCTGCAGCTCATCTCCGACCCCATTGCCGCCGTGCTGGCCTACGACGCCCGCCCCGAGGCCAAGACTGAGGACAAGATCATTGTTGTCGCCGACCTGGGCGGCACTCGCTCCGACGTCGCCGTCGTTGCCTCAAGAGGCGGCATGTACACCATCCTGGCCACCGCCCACGACTACGAGTTCGCCGGTGTCCACCTCGACCAGGCTCTGATGGAGTACTTTGCCAAGGAGTTCATGAAGAAGCACAACGTCGACCCGCGATCAAACGCCAGGAGCTTGGCCAAGCTTCGTCTCGAGTCCGAGGCCACCAAGAAGGCCCTCAGCCTGGGCACCAATGCCCAGTTCAGCGTCGAGAGCTTGGCCGACGGATTCGACTTCTCCGCCACCCTCAACAGGACACGATACGAGATGGTCGGCCGCAAGGTCTTTGAGGGCTTTAACCGCCTCGTCGAGAGCGTTATCAAGAAGGCCGAGCTGGACGTCCTGGACGTCGACGAGGTCATCATGTGCGGCGGTACCTCTCACACTCCCCGAATTGCCACCAACTTCCAGTCCATCTTCCCCGAGTCCACCGTGATCCTCGCCCCCGCCACCAGCACCACCGCCATCAACCCCTCCGAGCTGCAGGCCCGCGGTGCCGCTCTCCAGGCCTCGCTGATCCAGGAGTACGAGGCTACTGATATCGAGCAGTCAACTCACCCCGCTGTCACCACCGTCAAGCACATCTCCAACGCCATCGGTGTTGTCACCGTCAACGCCGAGGGCGAGGACGTCTTCACCCCCATCATGCAGGCCGAGACTGCTGTTCCTGCCCGCCGAACCGTCCACATTGCTGCCGCTGCCAACGGCGGCGACGTCTTGGTCAAGGTCGTCGAGGGTGGCACCCACATCAAGGTCACCAAGCCTGAGCCCAAGGCCAGAGTCGAGGAGGTCCCCGAGGACGAGGACGACTCCGACTTTGAGGACGAGGAAGAGGAGGAGAAGCGCGAGAAGATCTGGAAGATTGGCACACCGCTTGCCGAGGCCGCCATCAAGGGCGTCTCCAAGGGCGGCAAGGTCGAGGTCACCATCAACGTCGCGGGCGATCTCAGCGTCACAGTTACCGCTAGGGAAGTTGGCGGCAAGGGTGGTGTCAGGGGCAACCTGCAGGCGCCGTAAATGAAGAAGAAGAAGAAGAACGGCAAAGAGGTAGAAGAGGGGAAGATGGAGGTCCAAAAAGCCATCTCGGCAAATGGGAAAGAGGAAAACACAGGCATGGCATGAATGTAGAAGCGTCCGTCACAATGGTGCCGGTTGGATGGGGTGCTAGGAGGGGGGAGGCATATCTTTTTTTATATAGATTTTTACGAGGTGAAGGAGGTTTTGCGCTATTCAAGTGATTCTAGAGAGATGGAGCAGAATACGGCCGAAAAAATATCCGGGTTCAGAGGGGATAAATAAAAAGGAGTCGATGTTGGCATTCCAATCAAAGCAGAAAAGTTGCTGTGTACGTCGCAACACACAAGTTTCGACATCTTGAACATATGTGTAAAAACATATATTTGATGAATGTAACCAGTGAATATTAGAAAACCAGTATTGCCAACCTCCGTAACACCAAGCTTGTAGAGCCCAAGAAGGCTCAACGAGATAACCAAGGACAAATAAAAAGATGGGGTTGGGGGAGTATCTTTCCTCCAAGATTCGCTGTGCAAAACGCAATCATCTATGCAGCTACGCTCCCAGGTAAACACCAAGCAACTAAATTATCTCTCACATCAGACTCTTCAATTTCCTTTGCACGCTTCATATGCTCTCTTTCACGCTCGCTGCTCCCATTCGTGGGTGCTAGGCTCATCAGACTGCCAACGCTCTTGGCGCTCATCAAGTCGTCTTCGCGGCTGTCGTCACGGAGAATACGCACACCCTTCTTAGGCGGATTGCGGTTCCCTCCCACTGTGACGGTTGAGAAGCTCTTGTCGCTCGAGCCGGAAAGCGAACGATGGTGATGAGAATGGGGACTTTGGTGTTGATAGGAACTGCCGGGGCGATAATGGGACGAGGAATTCGAGTGGTTACGGCGGTGGTTCATTGCCATGCGGCGATATTCATTGGGCCGAAGGGTGCCCGAGTTGTCGATATCCTCGTCATAGTAGTCGTCCTCAGAATCAGGGCTGGTGGCGCTTCTATGCTTGGTCCTCCAGCCGTTGCCGCCAGAGAAGATGTCCTCGATGCATTCATCAGTAGAGAGCTCCGCAGGCTGGCGAGTCCACGATGCTGCGAGGGTCCGACGATATAGATCTTGCACCTCGGCGACATCCCGATTCTTGGATAAGTTCGGTAGGGCTACCTTGTTATCAGCTTCAAGGTGATGATTGTTAATAAATGAACGCGCGCATATCAAGGGTGCACCAAAGATAATCTCAGGCGAGGGCTTACTTACGTCCTAAAATTTCATCTTCAACTTGTTCCGGCGCCATGAACCCTACAATTCCTCCAAAGACTGGGGCCGTTTTCAGCGGCGGCGCAACGAAATTGCGTTCACCATCTACTTGGATGAGCAGGATGCTAATTTTGAGAGTGCTGTTGACCTTGCTTTCTTGCATGAGATATCTGCGCACGATGCCATCCTGTGTCTCTCTCTGAATCTCATCAGACAGTTTTAGCTCCTTGGCACTCGTAGGACTCAGCCCAGCGCTGTTGGTTCGTCTTCTGGATGACGTTGGTGAGGCAGGATCTCTCATAAAAGTTTCGCTCTCCTCGACAAATTCGGCGAGGTTAATCTTGATATAACCAAGGGTGATCTTTTCGGTAAGCGCAAACTCTTGGACGATTTCGAGCTCCAGCTGACACTCATTGAGGCTGTTGTTTTTGTCGACGGACATGCGCACGCCTGTAATCACCTTGTGGAAGTTGTACTCCACCCGATGATTGGCAATGGCAGCCTTTGCAGTGCGGCCGCGATGCTCGGCATGCATAGAGTGAGTGAGATGCCATTTGATAAAGGACGTTCCAGAAACGAGAGGTACATTGTTCAAATCATAGATCTAGGAGATAACAATGTTAGACAAAGAGTAATCAGATGCATTCGAGATGAATTGAGCCTCATATTATATTCATTACCTTGAGATGAAGTTCAAACTTGGGCTAGACACAAACAGAATGCCGTTAGTAATAAGTCACTTGGCCGAACAAGAGATGGACGGAAATGGGGTATCGAATTGCCTCACCTTGCGCCCCTTGCCAACTGGAGGGAAAAAGGGCATGTTAGCTAATTGCTACCTCGATAATATCTACCACGAGGCGAAGTCTTCCGGATAAGCCGGACAGAGGGACAAATCGCGTCAATCGAGCTCACTTGAGCAAAAGAACGACTTGAAGCGAATGAGACAACGGATATCCAACCGTAACAAAAGGTATGAGCACGAAGGAAGGAATGTGACAGGGGCCACGTCCACTGAAAAGGCTGACGGGTGCGAGGTAGGCAGTCATGCCCATTCGGGCCGTGATGCTTCACCAATACGACAAGCGGGAGAGTCGGGCTTACTCAAGGCAGACATTTGTAGCCAAACGAGGCCACGGCTAATAATAACCAAGTAGCCAATGCCGGTAAGGCCTAGGCGGTTTCACTAGTATGAGTTGGTTTGATGCTGCAGGATACTGCAGATAGGAATAAATATGGAACTGGAACTGAAGCTCCGCGGCGCGACACGCTGATTGGCGCGAGCCGGTAAAACTAGCCGGAGAGAAGGAATTCTGGGTCAGCAGCCTCGAGATGTTGTTGATGGGCTGGGGCCGTGGGGGTGGAGGAAGATGCTGGGCCGGGGCCTGAAGGATGCGGAAGGTTGGACGATGGACGGCGGACGGATAGACGATGGATGACCAGCAGAGCGCTAGTAAACTCTGGATGGAATGCGGATGCCGCTCACCATGTGGTTGGTGCCGTCGCGAGCCCCTTTTGCCTGGTAGATGAGGTGGTAGTATTAGAGATGAGCCGCAGCCATCGTGGATACACGGATCTCCTGTCTGGCGAGCTATGGAGCATAATGAAACGGGATACGCGTACCTTTCAGGGATGAGGTCGCTATAAATCCGAACCCGGGTCTGCCGAGTCGTATTTGCGTTTGGTAGCGCCTCTTGACAGGGTGACAGGGATGTTGTTCCGATGAAGAAGAGAGACGTGTTATTGTTGTGCGAGCAATGCTTCAACAGCGATGATCAAAGAGATTGCATCCAAAATGGAGACTGGACTATAAAGGGCTGATATGAGCGGTATAGATGAATAAATGGCGAGAAAAACTATGCAAGATCAATCGGTTGGATCTCCAAATGTCTTGGGATTGATGGTTGAAAAGGGTGGAGAAGGAGAAGAAGTGCGGGCTATGCGATTTTGGATTGTGGCATCCATAGATGCAGAAGTCGCCTTGCGGTTGCCTAGGAAATGGCCGGCAGTATATTATAGGTAGGTCTATTACTCGTACAGAGGCGCCTTGATTTTCAGGGCGGTGAACTCTGTAATAATGGCGTGGCCAATACAGAGTTTATAGCAACAATAGGTGCAGGTACTTTGCACGTGAGAATGAATTGCCTCACAGCAAGGTAGGTATCACATTGGAGCCTCACAGCGGTATCAATAGCAACGAGAGTCAACAAATATGATAAATGATAGACACAGACGACATCGGCGCAATTGAGTTTGCCCCTGGAGCTTAAAAGAAAGTTACTTGATACTTGATTGAGGGTGTCACAGGTGCAGATAGTGATGTCATGGAGGATGTCGTTTTGTTTCGACGATCAGTTTACTGGATGGTGACGAGATTTTTGGATGGACATGTACACGAATCACAAAGAAAAGAACGAATAGGATATTGCATGAAGCTTTCATATAAGCCATTGGATGTAAAGCTCCTGATTAATATATGCATCAATCTGCAATAGATCTGCAATAGAGGTAGCACTGCAGCAAGATTGATTTGAACAGCGCTGCATTATACATATCATTCGCTGGTCACTCGCTAAATGATAATGCGATAGCTCAACTGCCCGCGCTTATCGATAACGCACCTGGCCCAAGAAAGTTTCCCAGACCTCGCAAACGCATCGCCGCAGCATCAAACCGCGTTCAAGGACGCAATTGGGCTTCGCAAAAGCTCTCCAGCTCGCCGTCCCGATGTCCTCGAATCATCCTACAGGCGGACAATCCGGTCCAGCCTCCAAAAAGCGCGGCGCTCCAAACACCGGCGCCCGCAGCGATGCGTTTCTGCAGAAGCGCGCCAAGGTTCACGCTGCTCGCAACATCCCCACGCAAGCTGCCGACGCTGCGCTCAAGGATGGCGAGCTGGATCTGGTGGCCTTTGTGGCTGCTCACGAGTTTGAGATCCGCGCTCTGGAGCAGAGCATGGCCACGTCCAAGGCTGTTAGGAGCAGCAGAGCCTTCCAACAAGTGCCCCGCGGGCTGAGAAGACGGACGGCGAGCCACAATCCCAAGCGGGTGCCTCGAAGGCTGCGGGCAAGGGCTAGGAGGGAAATGGCCGAAGACAATACCCCTCTGGTTGAGTCGCGAAAGAGGAAGCCGAGGACTACGAGAGCAAGAATACGAGCCCAGATGGCCAAGAGACTCCGGATACTCGCGGCACGAAAGAGGAAGAGGAAGCAAGACAAGGGTGACGACAATACGAAAGAGGCGGCCAAAGACGTCGGTGTCGTGGGGAGGACTCCGAGACCCAAGATACGGAGGAACGCGCTCAACGAACCACCCAAGCCGCCTGCAAAGTTCAGAAAGCGCCAGATCAACAAAACCTGGCTGCCGACACATCAGTGGCACGCAAAGAGGGCTCGCATGACAGAACCCAAGGAGCCCCTATGGCGCTTTGCCATCCCGTTAACACCGAACGAGAAGATTTACCGGCCAACGCACAGGGCGCAGGGAGAGCGTGGTACCATGGTTTGGGACATGACTTATATGAGCACGATTGGGCTTTATGGACACTTTGCAGGCATGGCAAGAGTCCTCCGGAAGGTCGGAGTGACGCACGACTCTTGCTGGGATGACAGAGGGAGCAAGTGGAGGCAGGGCACAAGGGCATGGACGGGCATCTTGAGCAGAGAGAGGGTCGGGGTTCGGCGGCCAATGTGCCAGTCGACTGTCATTTGGGATCCTGAGCCACAGCCACAATCACAGGATGCAGAGCAAGGACAGAGAGAGGGTGAGACGGAGCAAGGCAAAGATGAGAAAAAGACGCAGAGACGAGTTTTTATTAGAGTCCATCCTTCAGCTTTCCTAGAGCTGTTCAACGAGCTGCTGCGCCTGACAAAGATGGAAAACCCTCGATTGTACATCGAAGACCTACGATTCGAAATCGGAAGCATTGAGCTCTCTGGCCCAGCCTCCACCGAAACACTGCTTTCAGTCTTGACGGCATACCCGTCAGGGCCAAACCCAAAGAACAAACACGCCGAGCTATTCGAGTCATTAAAGGGGTTAACAAATCCGGCGGCGCTACCAAATAATTCGGTTCTAAACTTTACTGCCCAAGATCCTAGGTTGAGGTACCCGCCACGGAAGATGGAGTTTTCTGAGAACGAACAGGCACAGACGGACTTGTTAACCACAATCGCCAGTTGGCCCGCTGAAGAGAACTTGCAGCCATCGCTTTTGTTTGATCGACAGGTCCGGCACAAGGCCTCTTGTTTGCCGTCCCAAAAGTCCATCAATAGAAGGAGAAGTAAAGTCACATCTGGAGCGCTTTTGAAGCCAACAATCCTGGACCCTCCCATTCCCATCACTCTCATTGCATCGCGTTCTGCAGTGGGCACACAGGCGCAAGGAACATGGACTCTTCTTGCGCCTTGGAAGTGCATCACCCCCCTGTGGTACAGCATCGTTCATTGCCCGCTGGTCTCAGGTGGCAACCCGCGGTTTGCTGGGCTGAACGAGACGATGCAGGTTGCCTTTGAGCGCAGTCTTCCATGGTTCCCTGCTGACTTTCTCGGAACCGATGCTGGAGCAGAATGGGAGCTCGAGCGGAGACAGAGACGAAAGAGGGAATGGGCTAGACGGCCCAAGAGCAAGAGAGTCGAGTGGGCATCCCTCAATTTGGGCGCAGGGCGACAGGGCGAGATTGGAGACGGACACGCCTGTGATTTTGAGTTTCTATTCGGTCTTGTACAGCAGAGGCAGCGGCAGCAACAGCGGCAGAATAAGGACCCAAGTGCCTCGCCGGATGACAATTCGGGAGAGGCAATGGATGTTGATGGCGGAGACCCGGCGCCCATCGAAAAGAAGGACGTCACCGACGACGATATGCCGTACCTCAAGCTGTTGAGCAGCATCCCCAAGGCCGTATTCAACAGTCTCGTTTCGCCATCCCCAACAGTTCAACCACTTCCTCCAAATGCAATAGCATGTGTCCGGATATCACTCCTCTCACGAGGCGTCGCCAGCCCGTGTGCAAGAATCTACCGCCTCCCCTCCGTTCCCATCTCCATACCACCGTCTTCCGACGCCGAAGTCCCTGCGAGTATACCTCCAGAAGCAACCTCTCTCCCCTCTGATCTTCGTTCACAGTGGCTTTCGCGCATCCCTCCAACCTCGGCCTCGTCAAAGTCTGCATCATCTACCCATTCCCAGCCCAAGAGAAAAGCATCCCGATTCGACGACATGGAGACACGAAAGCGCCTTCTGGCACAAGAGCTTCTCGCTGCTCCGCCAAGCCTAGAAGGTACTCCGGCTCCTAATGAGGTCGACATCGGAGGACACCATCCGCTCGTGCCCAATGCAGAAGACCTCATTGGCTTCGTCACCACAGGGTCGTTTTGTCTGGCCAACGGCCGAGGCGCGGCCATTGGCAGCATAGCCGTGGAGAAGGTGTTGCCAGATGTCAGGGCAAACCCCAGGGAGGGAAGGCTGTGTATTGTGAGGAACGCCGGCGAGAATGTCGGCTGGATTGCGAGATGGGATGCTGTTTAATGGTGCTTTTGGACGTGGCGGGCTGTTTTTCTGTGTATGTGTATGTATGTAAATGGCGATGAATTCCCGGAGTAGAAAGCCAGAATTGCAGCTGATCAATACCAATAAGCGCTATGATAGCTGTCTTGGCATACCATTTATTATAGCTTAATCCGCATCCATCATGCATTCCCCAGAAAATGCTCCTCTTTGTAGCATGTCGTCGTTCGTTCTTCAACAGCCCATTTTAGTATGGAAGCGCTAGTTGGAGATCTGCCCTCACACTAGCATCAACATGACGATAAGGCAGGCAACCCCCATGAAAGGCGCCGTTGACAAGACCTCCAGAAATCACAAGACAAATCAAGCCGACGCCCTTGTGTATAAATGTTTCGGAATGCTCATCTGACGACGCCCTCTCCCATCTTCCACAAAAGAGAGACAGCGGAACTGCCGTCTTGCCATCACGACAGGCCCCATATAACACAACAGCCTCACAAATCAACTCCAACGAACTAACTACTTGTACCTAAACAAAACACACACAAAACACACTCATCAAGATGTCTTCAAACGACAAGCCGGCCACAATCACAGGCGGCTGCCTCTGCGAATCAGTGCGCTACACGGTGACTTTTCCCCCAGACCACGACTTTGAAAACAGCGTGAGCCCCATCTTCCTCTTCCATCATCCCAGGCATACAAGATATAAATATAAGAAACTCACACACGCCCAGTGCACAACATGCCAATGCGAGCAGTGCCGCAAAAACACCGGCTCTCTCATCTTCCGCTCCCACAAGCTGCCCAAGTCCGCCGTCGAGTTCACGGCAAAGTCGACGCTCAAGCTGTACTCGGCGACGCCGCACTGCGAGCGCGGCTTCTGCAGCGACTGCGGCAGCTTTCTCTTCTGGCAGCGGGACAACCGTGACTACACCTGCCTCACGGTCGGGTGCTTTGATGAGCCGGTCCTGGCAAAGTACGGGCCTCTGCTGACGACGGCCAAGAGGCATTTGTTCTGCGGGAGAGAGGTGCCCGGCGTTACGGATCATCTGGCGGGCGCTAAATTTGCAGCTGATGATGAATAAATAGTTAGTTTCTTGTAAATACTATTCTTTTTTGGAGTCCTAGGCAACGTTTGATAAAAAGTAATATATAAAAGAGAAAGAAAATATAAGAGTAAAGGAATCCCAATCATTCTCGCTGGTGGTATCTAGCGTTTAGCTGGCCCATTTCGAATAAACGCCGCCCAAATAATCAATATCCCCAATCCCATGTAGAAGTCATGGCAAAAACAATCATCTCGCTGTCCTTTTCTTTTACCCTCATAGCTGCCGAAAGCATGTCGGTCAGCGGTCAACAGCCAACGTGGTCTGGTCTGCTCCCAACGCCGTGTCTAATCCTCCTCGCTAATCTCGCTCTCGTCGTCGTCGTTGGCATTGGAGTTGCCATAATAGTAGCCGCTGTTGCTGTTGTCTTGGTCGTTGTTATCCAAATTCTCAAAGGCATTCTCCAGCTCTTGTTCTAGGTCGTATTCCAAATCGGCAGCATCGTTGGTCTCTTGTGCTTCTGCACCCCTCTCTTCCTCTCCCTCCTCCTCCTCTTCTTCGTCTACATCCATGGGTTCTGAATGGCTCTGGCTCTGGCTGGCGTGCTTCACCGGGCTGGGCAGCTTAAAGTCGACGTCATCCATCGGACCATCTTCCTCCTCCTCTTCCACTTCGGATTCACGCTGGTCCATAAAGTCATCGAAGCGCCGAGGAGCAGGGAAGGAGGGTGAGAAATGGGTCTGTCTAGCTGGAGCCTCTGCGCCCGGATATTCGATGAGGAGATCGCCATCATCGTCTTCATCCTCATCGTCATCATCGTCATCCTTCTTCTTTCGAGGCTTGGGCTCTGATGGCTTGGGCGGTTCCGGCACAGGAAGCATAAGGTCGACCTTTTTGGGAAGCGGCTTTCCTAACTGCTTCTTCTCAAACATCTTCTTCTCCAACGACGATTTCTTCTCAATCGGTTTCTTGTCTATCGATTTCTTCTCCACGGGCTTCTTCTCCATCAGCTTCTTCTCCGGCGTAGTCTTGTTGTCCGTCTCTGTCGGCTTCTTATCTATTGGCTTCTTGTCGACGGCTGGCTTTTTGTCGAGAAGGGGCTTCTTGTCGACAGGCTTCTTCTCTACCAGGGGTTTCTTGTCGAGGAACACCTTGTCGGAAGGCTTCTTGTCGAGATGCTTCTTGTCAAATTTCTTCTGCATCTCCTTGGTCTGGACGGTGATGCTCTTGTCATCAGGCTTCGGTGTCGACTTGACCTTGTCCTTGCTTGCAGCGCTCTTCTTGTCTCCCGGCTTTTGGCCGTTCTCTAGGTGAGGGTATCGCCGCCGCAGCTCCTCCGGGTTGCTATTTCCCGGGATGCGCGTGAGATTCATGTTGAACGTCGAGTCGACCTTGTCAAGGATAAAGGCCTTGCGGTCTGGGTCAAACCACAAGACATAGTCGTCATCGTCGGTCGAGCGTGTTCCGGCAAATCCAACCGTTCCTTCCGAGTTAGAAAAGTTCAAGTCGTAGGAGCTCGTCTTTCCGGGAAGAGAGGGTTTTAATCGTGCGTCAGATGCAGGGAATGACGGTTTGTGGTTATCTGGGCAGAGCAGTGTTAGCAGGTCTCCCTAGATTCTCTCTCGCGCCGAGGCGACGTACAGCGGATGCCGGTAAAGATTTCGTTGGACGTTTTGCCCAGCAAGCCATCGCCGAGAATGATGGGATAGTTGCCCTTTGCTGTCGGGTCAATCAGATCAGCCATGGTGGGCGACGGGGAATTGGGCTCGTGTTCAGCCGGTGTAAGCGCTGTGACGGTGATGGGCTGGTCGGATCATGCGCGGATGCCGAATCGCAGCATTTGCTGAGGCCCTTTATCAGCGGCCAATGCGGTTGTCCAGCGACTGGGAAAGGGAAAGGGAGCGAGGGCGATGGCGAGGGCGATGGCCAAGATGATGACGGAGAGAAGGGAAGCGGCCAAAACAGGCACGAGGCGCAAGCGGTGCACAGGCTCCCTTGTAAGTCGCCGTGCAGGAGTAGGTTGCAGCGGGTTGCAGTGGCTTCCAGCCTCTCGTAAGCTACATGTATGGATCAGGTGTTTCTTTGGCATGGAACGCGAATCCCCTCAAGGTACATGCTAGACCAAGGTATGCGCCTTTGACCGTGTTGGTCAGCGCCGGGCGGTGTCCCTTGTTGCGCGGGCGGTATGCGGGACTACTTAGTAGTACTTGCGCCGAGTCTGGAGAAGCTTCTGGTGGCGCTAGTACAAGTAGCATAGAATAGAGTCGTTGAGGCGGGTAGTCCGTGAACGGTATCCACCAAGACCAGAGGAAGCACGTACCCGTTGACGATGATGATGCTGGAACAAAGAGGGACGAGGCGGCCTATCAAAGGTCGCAATGCCTATTGCAGACTACCTGCCTAGTATCTTAGGTAGGTAATACTCTGCGAAACAATTAAAGGCTCTTTGGCCTCTGATCCTTTGTATCCTGTCGGCGTAAGTGCTGAGAAAGAGAGGCGTGAGGCGCCCAACTCGCGGGAGCTGTGACTAAGTCACGGAAAGCCGAGCCGCGCATGCAGGTACACGCCAACAAGCAAGGCCTCTTCAAAATGCTAAACAATTGACGTGCATACGAAGTCCAAGGGGTGAACTCTATCCAGGCACTATATCAGGTACCTGGAGGTTATTGAGATCTCGCAGGGCTGATTAGAGTTTGCCCAATTAAACTCTGCGGCGTAGCCTTTTGTGTGTTGCGTGCCAACATACCAGAATGGCACGATAGACTCAAGGTTTGTTAAAAAATAATTCCCAAACTAACAAGTAGTGTTCCCTGTTTATTATCCAGGTCCGCATTTGGTATCTGCAATAGGTGGTTGGCCGAGAATGACGATAGTCTCGGGGACTCATGATAAACGATGCTTCGATATCCGAGGTGTAAGGATCTCCCCGAATACATATAAAAGGTTCTTTCTTGAGATTTTAGTTGCAATTTTGCCACCTATACCTGTCGCCTTTGATATCAGACGTATGACCTGTAACTTTTATGATGATGTAGTCTTCTCCATGCTTTCCATACACCCCTTTCTTTGTGACAAGGCAGAAGCATAGAGACAAAGCGGCGTCGAATAACTGGTCCAGAGCGAGCACACGTCTATACACCGCAGCTCTAAAAGTGCCTCTCACTCCTATTCATAACTATGCCGGCCGCCTGAGTGAGTTCCCTCTTGGACTTGAACCGTTTGATCTCTGGACCAGGAGCGCAGGCGCAACTTCTGTGCTTAGTATGATCCAGGGAATCCTGTTTCTGATGAAGACTCGTCCAAGGAACTAACTAATTGGCGACATCTCTGCAGAGAGGAGGCTATTTGACTTGCGTGTAGCTGTCTAACTCAGGAGTTTGAGAACTTCCCTTGACCCATAGTGTTGCTGTGTGGCCAGCTATCCGCAGCCAGCTTCGGAGAAATGGAATCAGTCGCTTGTGTTCCAAAGGACCGAAACTCGACATATTTTCCCTTGAGATGTCTGACTTTACCTACAGTAGTTGAGATTCTGAAAAGTGTAGGCCCTGTAAACCTAGTCAGTATAACTCTGACCTCATTCATGCTGTCTAGATTCTTCAACTCATCATTACTCTTACAATCTTCGGAGGCATGAAAGCCTTAGAGTACGACCAACCGCAGCCAAGGAAGATTTCGATTTGACGATAGCATCAAAGCTCTCGTGGAAAAGAGAGTGGACTATATTCCGCGACAGTGATGTCGTGTCCCCTGGGATCTAGGGCAGAAGATGACAAGTCGTAGCTTGAACATAGATTTGCAAACGACGCGAGGCGCGAGGTTTTACACTCTTCGCCTTCACATCCTTTCTTCTCATATCATAACTATGATTGCTTTCAACAAGTTCAGCTTTCAACAGGGAGTCTCGCAGAAACGGAAGCATCCATCGATGAACAGCTGCCACCAATATGGCTATTTGTCACTGGTATTGGCTCTACGCGGTCATGTTCTCGAGTCATGCTCTCAAATCATGCTTCACTTCTCATTGCTCGGGAGCTTCTGACTAGAAGGAAGAGTCGGAGAGTCGTTTACTGCGGTTGGCCCTGCCATCGAGTAAGCAGTTCGGTACCAAATTGCGGTTCTCGTGTGGGAATGCCACACAGTACTCCGAATCGACTCTGTGTTTGTACAAACAATTCTACTACGACAAGCCGTCTGTGTTGTGCTTTCATCACCAACTTCTTGCATTCAATGTGCATTGAGAATCCCCTGGTCTCCTATTGTTGAAAGGCTCGGATTTCTCTGCTCTTGACAAAGAATCGATTGCAAGCTGCCGGGTAGCCGCTGGCGAGTTGACAAGCCGGCAGCACTAGGTTGGATTTTAGCACAGATGGGCCTTGACGCCTCCTCCTTATTACGCCCCCAGCCTGCAATCCGAGTTTTGAAATGACTTTGGAGAGCCATGTCTCGGCGTCTATTTCTCTCGTCCTTATTGGCAAAGTCATCGGCCGAAGCACCAACTTGGCCCTGCTCCTGCGGGCGACGACGTGTGTCTTGTTTCCCAGGTGGCCACTTGTAGTAGATAGGTAGCACCTGAGCAGCTCAACAATAACAAGACGGGACGTGTTTGCTTTGTGGCTGAGACATGGCCTTTAGTTGCACGGCTAGGCGTCAGCGCAATCCCAAATTCCCGGAGTTGAAAAGGTAGCAACCATGAAGGCGGATTTAAGGCCTGAAGGATCTGATACATGAGCGTCATAAAATATCGAGGTCCTTGTGACCGGTCCGGGCCATGCTGCAAAATGATTCAGATTCAGCTCCATTTTTACAATTCATGGCGCAGATGACAGCGCCTGTGATAGAGCAAGGTAAGCCCGGATGGGATTCCCGGTGCTAGTCTAGCAAGGACCGCCTATTCGTCCCTCCCTCCAGTGATGCTGATCTTGTACTCGTAGTAGTAGTAGTAATAGTGTGACCGCCATCTGCCTTCTGCAAGCTTTGGCCAAGCACTGTAGTAATATTCCACCGTCAAGGGTGTTGTCCAGACCAGTTGCCCCCCTTGTCGTCGATCACGCCCGTCGGAAAGGCCCAGCTCACTACGGAGTAGTATACCGCCTTGTTTCCTTGGTGTCACTGCTAAAAGAAACCGGGGTTGTTGAGCCCGGATGTGCCAAGAACTTGGGAGTTTTAAGTAGCCTAGACTCTTGGTAGGCGAAGCTAAAGAAAGACGGGCAACAAGGCAAACTTCTTAGGGCAGATGAGATGGTTTAGGGTCGGGCCACCGAGTAACAGCCACTGTAAGGATGGTGTCTCTCGACTATTACTCGTATGGAGTACATAGTAGGTTGGAAGAAACCGCCAACACCAAAATGCACAGGGCAGCTGGGTTGGCTGGGTTGCTTTCGTAGGGCAGATCTGAGGGCCTCACCCGCCCGCTCATCTGTATGGGACGTGCACAGCAGCAACAGCGGATCACGGACTGCCGGACGATCTTGCCCTGCAAAGTAACAGTACAAGTACTCGGGAGAGATTTGGCGCGGATGATAATTTAGATCCCGTAATACTAGTCTGTGGTGTAACGAAGAGCTGTTGCTTTTTTTCGATTGTGGCGGTGGAGTCAGGTTTGAGCTGCATCCCTCGGGCACTTTGCTGCCGTGTCACACACACGAACCGGAGTGTTGGATGATTTAATTGGAGGTGTGAGGAGTCCGTACATGAGCCTGGAGCTTGTACAGCAATGTCTGGTATTTTTTTTTTCCCTTTTACCAACCCCCATTATCCTGTCCCGCTCCCTTGTTTCGCCAATCATATACGATTTGTGATGGAGTCTGGGCTCTTGACGAGAATGACCAGGAATATGCTCCATTTGCCCTGTAATACGGAGTATGGAGACGGTAGCACTAGGATCTCATACGGAAGGCGAAGCATCCCGATATGGGGCGAGCAATAGGCGATGCTAGCAATAGTACTCCGTACTCGGCACTCGTGGCGATATCACCAGTAATATTGACAAGGTGAGCATGCAGAGTTTGGAGTGTGTGTACTCGTACGTGTGTCGGCATATGCTCCGCAACGTAAATCCGCTAGTGATAGGAGATGGGCAACATGGGGTCCGTCAGGCCTGCCCTGCTCGGGTTTCTGAATGCCAGCCTCAGCGAGTGGCATGTCTTTGACGATTTGACGTCTGTAACCATAATCTGTGCGCGTGATGGGCCGGCGGTCCTGCGCCTGCTAGCTTGTCCCCTCTCAGCGGCTGCGGCGGCCATCCTGCTCAGATGATGGTACCCAAGACTGAAAGAGTGGCAATTGGTGGGCGCTTATTATTAGGTAGATTTGGGCTGCTCTGCATTCAGAGACCCAAAATCACAAGCAGCATCGTGTCATGCTAGCGGACGATTGCCATCAGTCATGGGTAGGTAAAGTTTGAATCAATCAGGTGGTGGCTCCTGTGCCCCAGATTGTCGTGTCCTTGCACTTTGGTTCTTTTGATGTAAGTCAACGGAGAGAGAGCCGGCCCTCTTTGGTGTGTGAGGCGGATTGGAAAATGTGACAAGTGGTATGCAGGGCAGGAATGCAACGCCAATTAGAGAGCCTGACTTGCATAGAGACTGCTCGACGATCCGTCTCGGCCAAGATGGAGGGTGGTAGCGGCGAACTATGGTGATGGCCATCTGGTGGGCAAGCATCACTGGACGCTAAAATGCGGGCTCGGAAGCACTGATAGTGTTGGTGTTGGTGTTGGAGTTGAGATCAGCCCGCAAATGTGTGTCTCAATTCCGTGCAACCTAACCGGCCAAGTCGAGCTCTTGGCTCCATACTACGTGTCTAAACGAAGTACGAAGTATTAGTACTCGTACACGACCCAAGATAAACCAGAGTGAGAGGGAATACAAAAAGGAAAAAGAGCGCCAATGGGTGGCCCCAGGGTCCGGCATCACCACCCCGGCTCGTTATGGGTAGGGAGCCACCAAGACTAATGTTTTGTCACTCCAGGGAGAATATTGGCCACTCACCATGTAATCTGCACCTGTCATCCACACGCTGTGCTCCATAGGGTAACACGGTAGCACGGGCAGTGAATTGAAGAATGGGGAGCAATGGGGAGCAATGGGGAGCAGAGCCAGGCGTCCATCCATCCATCCCATTTATCCAGCCAGCCGGAGCGGCCCAGAGCAGCCGAGGGGGGACTGGAGGAGACTAGGAAAAGCCCAGGGTGGCTGGCTGAAAAATCCCCGTCAAGGTGCAGCAGAGCCGATGTCGTTGGCGAAGAGGAGAGAGGAGACTGAGAGGAGACTGAGAGAACCGCCGAAGATCGTCCAAGGCGGTTGGGCTTGTCGATGCAGGCTGGGTCAAGGAGGAGAGGCAGCGTTGTCGTAACGTCTCGTATTGTGATAACATGGCATGGTGAGAAATGGATGGATTCCAAATGTCCAGTCCGTCTCTGTTGCTGGAGTGCTTCGGGGAGAGAGGGATGCAACACAGACATCAAAATCAAAATCAAAATCAAATCCAAGTCCAATTTCAAAATGCAAATCCTTTTTGTGCGGCAGCCCCTTCGTCTCGTCTCAGGAGGTCCTCAGCGAGGGCAGGCGCTGTCCCGACTCGCCTTTGGTGCCCTAACCACTGAACACGGCAGGAGCGCAAGGAACCCTACACGGATGGATGCTTATACGTACAGTGGCGTACAGGTACTTGCCAGCACCCAAATATCGCGCCCATCAGAGGATTCAATGGGGCTGCAGCAGGGCAGATGCACCGCCAGGAGGGCAAACCGGGCTGCTATTACTGACATGTACTCGTACTTGTGCTGTACAGGGAACCAGACCCATCAAGGCAAATCCATCCTGTAACTGTCGATGCTTGATTGATCACCTAATGCTTGTACGCAAAGGTTCCCTTCGCACGACTCAAGCACAGCACTTTTGAGCGCGCTGGCTAGCGAGTAGATACGTGTACAGCTCATCAATATAATACACTCGTCATCGCTCAAGCGGTACGAAGGCACTAAGGTACTGGACCTCAAAAGCCTCCATCGCTAGGTGTGCTGTGGCACCGCGCGATCTCAATCAAGTAAGTCGGCGGCCAATGCCTGAGCCGCCATTCGTCCGCCCTTTGCGCGGGCTGCCGCCGAGGGCTATACAGGTGTAATACTTTGCTGGCCACGGGTATTTTTATTTTTATGTTTATGTCTATTTTCAATTTGCAGGGCACTCGATCTCCTCGCTCTCTATACCGGGTTCATCCATTCGCTAATACTGTGACCACCCCCTCTCCCCCTCTAGATAGACAGACAGGCGGCGCAATCGAGTCACGCCCAACACCATCCCACTCACTCAGAAATCACAAACAATCACCTTCACCGAGATTCACTAGCGGCATCGAGGAGGTCCTAGCATCTGCCAAGGGCCCCGTCGCATAGACTGAAAATCGGTGCTACACCCTCGGCCCTATGCCATCTCTAGTAAGCTGTGTGCTCTCATTGATTTTTCTTCTCGCGGCTCCTAACAAGGATACACACAGAGAGAGAGAGAGAAATTCGAATCATATTTTTATTTCAAGAGAGAGCTGCCTCGCTCCCCTCTATTAATCTACAGTGGTCTGGCTTCGTATCGTGTTGGTCGTATCATCTCGATACTCTCAACCCTTGCCCTGGCCCTCAACTCGGCTCGCCCCCCCTTTTTGTTGCCCTCTTTTTTTTCTTTTCTTTTCTTTTCCCTCTTGTTCCTAATTCAAATTTCGTATATCCCAATCCACCCCTCTCGTGAGCCTTGGATCGTCGTCTCTCCGAGACCTTGTCTTAAAAGAGCCCTTGTCCTCTGTGAGTCCGGATAGACACATCCCGAGTTCTGCTGACTTACGCTCGTACGCTCGTCCTCCCCCAGGCTTGCGACCGAGCTCCAAGACATGAGTGCCCACTGACAGCTGGCAATTGCATCACAGGGCTCAATCCCTGCCCTCTCCAATCTCACTCCCGACCTCCCAGATGCAAATCCCCACTACCCAATCGGGAGCGGCAGCCGGATCTAAATCGCTTGTCTCTCGACAGCTCTGATACCCACCATCAATCTCTTGCGGGTCGGGATCATGCCATGTACCACTACCACTGCTCGAGTTGTGCTAGGCACAGCCCATGGGCGGTCGCCAAATAATGTACCTGTACCTCCCTGCCGTTGTCTGTGCGCCTGCTGCCCGTATGCATCTCTTTGTTGGCCACCAGGTAGCAAATACCTGCACCTGCACATGCTCTACCCATCTGCGTTCCTCAGTAGCACCTTACGGCAATCTCTCACGGTCATAATCTGCCCACTGAGTAAGGGTACAAGGCGTAGGTGTCCAAGGTACGGCCGATGTCATTGTGCGTTAGCTGGGAGGTACCGCCTTGCATACCCCAAGCACATGTACTATATATGCATGGCCCCATTGTCCGTGTCCTGAAGAAAGCCCTGGCTGCTGCTTGTATCAAGCACCTGCCTTTGTTGCCCTCTCCAACGACGACCATCTTCATATCTCCGACACTTCTTCCTCTCCCAACTGTTTAAAGCCCTTGTCAATCTTTTCCATCTTCTCCATCTTCTTCCCCCTTCCACTTAGCCATCATCCACTTTTTGATCTCTCGTTTTTTACGCTTCTTTCATCCCATAGTCGCCTCCCTGCATCAGCTTGACGGACACGTTGGGCATGGCAATGGATCCATTGTCAGACCCCATATCGCCCTCTCTCGATCCTCCAGCGATGCCGGAGACGGAATCCTTCACCATCCCCGAGCTCAGCGACTCGGAGTATCTCACCGAGGTGCTGCGTCTGCCTGAGGGTAAGACTGAAGCTCAGGCTGACCAAGAACTGGTCGCTAGAGCAAACGCCGCTGGCATCGCCGCCACTCTGCCGTCCGTGGCCAGTCAACGACAACCCGCCAGCAACTGTTCGGTTTCGTCATTCGGGACTCAGCAAGATCGAACCTTTTCTAATGCATCCAACGGCTCGGCTAGCTCTGCCTTGACGCCTCACTCTTCCGTCTTTGGATCTCCGAGTTCTCTCTTCGATACCGGGTCCGGGGTGAGAAGAGGTTCGATTGCGAGCCTGACATTTTCCCATTATGAGCGATATATTTCCTCCTTGGACACTGCTACCATTCAGGCTCAACCTCCTCGAGTTCCCCTTTTTGCCAACGACGGTTCTGCCCAAAGCGTGGTGAGTTTTGGTTCTAAAAAGGGCAATCGTGCGAGCCTCAAGGACCGCCTACGGTGGAAAAGAAAGACCATCGAACCGGTGGAAATCAAAAGGTAGGGTTCCCTTATTCCTTCCACAAGTCTTGTCTTGTACGAGGCTATTTCTGCTTGCTCTTCATCCCTTGCGTATATTGAAACGATAAACTGACATCTTGTTTGCAACACTTTGATATAGCCCATGTATTAGCTGCCAAAAGATTTTCGGAGTAGAATCAGGCGCATTGCACAAGCTTCAGTGTGGCCACACGCATTGCGTCGACTGCGTTAGAAACTTGGTTAACCAAGCAGTTCAACATGAGTCCCAAATGCCACCACGCTGCTGCTCTCATCCCCTCCCAGCCCCCCTTGTCAGGACAATCCTAAACCAGGAAGCTCAGGAGACTTTTTTGCTGGCAGTCCTTAAGCTCGGCACACCTGTCGAGGATCGACTCTTTTGCCCAGATCCAGCTTGTGGCCACTTCATTCCGCCCCATAACTCTCACGATGCCAAGCACCCATTCGATCTCACATGCTTCAAGTGCCATGGTCGCGTATGCGCCATATGCAAAGGAACCGCTCATCCCGTTGGCGAAGATTGCCCCCAGGATTGGGAACTGGCTGTGTTGAAGAAGCAGCAGCAGCAGCAAGATATGGGGAGCTGGAAGCGATGCTACGAGTGCAGATCCCTAGTTGAGCCGACTGGAGAATCTCCCTACATGACCTGCCGATGCAAAGCTCGCTTCTGCTCCGTGTGCGTTGGTATCTGGGATCCCACAACCGGATGCCCCAATCTTTGCAACTTTGAAGGGGAATTACAGCGGCGCCAACAGAGTGAAGCGGCCATGTCCTGCGCGAATGAGCAGCGATTACGGGCCAATTCGTCAATTCAGCAACTTGGACTGGAGCAGCAGGAAGAGCTGCAACGCTTCTTAGATTACAAGTCACAAGGCAAAGACGCCTTACAGACACGCCACTTGATGCAAGAGGCTGCTTTGGAAGAAAAGTACGAGTGTCAGGAGGAGAAGCTCCACGAAAGACATGAGAAGGCTTGGACTCAGCAAGAAGACCGCCACGTTGCCGCCGAGATGGGGTTGCTCGAAACTCTCCATCAAGATGAACTGAACATTCATCTCCGACTCAAGCACATGGAGGCTTATTGCAACGGTCTTGGCCGGAACCCAAACTCGGATGCGCCAGTCAGAGTCGTCACTGAGCGAGACTTGAGAGAGCTGGGCCAACAGTATTACCTGCGAGATGACATAGGTCGCATGCGCGAGTCCAAAATCAATCTCATGAGGGAGCGGCAGGCTGTCAAGATGGAGGAGCTTCAGGCCAAACAGACAGAGGAATTCTCGCTTTTCCTGGATAAGAGACAGGAAGCGCTGGATAGGCTGGAGGCCCAATTTGTCCAAGAGGAGTCTCAGTTCAACGACACCTTTGAAGGTCGCCAGTCACGCCTACAGTCTCGATGGGTCCTCGCCATCGAGGTCTTGTGCAAAGAGCTCGAAGAACAGAACCCTGGTCAGATCTACCGCCGCATTGCCACACCACGATGGCCTGATGAAAGGACGCTTGAGGTCCGCAAATAAGTCCGGCCCCCTTTGCCACGACCTTGCAACATGACGACAGCCTTTACGTTTACACATACAATCACGGCCGCCACCAGCCCTGTTCTCCTTTGTTCGTTTCCCCTCCTTTCCCCTCCTTTCCTTTCTTTCTCAAGATTGGCAGCTGAGACATGACCATCACCTGAGCCCTGATTTTTTCATTTGTTCGTTGTGACCGCCACTGTTATTCCCCCAGACTTTACACGCATACGCATATCGCAAGATCAACTGTTTAATTCTAATATTGTTATACGAATGTCACATTCCTCCCCCTTCAACCGGTTACTGTTTTTCCTCCATACTCTCTTTTATAATCTTTTTAATCTTTTTTTTTCCTTTCATACTTTTATCAGCAGCATCGTTTAGGTGTTTAAGCATGGTGAAAGATTTTAACACTGAGCAAAGATTGATCAAAAACCAAGCAGGCAGGACTGTATCTATTTTTTTTATTCTACATCCCCTCGCTGCTGCGTCCTGGACTCTAATTCTTTTCTAATGGCATGTGTTGATGCCAGGCTAAGGGCTTTCTATTCAATGGATGATTGTTATGATACCAACCAAAAATGGGCGTGCGTACAAAAAGGGGTGTCGATTTGAGAGTTTGCCATCGAGCATTTTTAATGGATGAGGCCAAGGCGGAAACTGCTCCGGCCTGGGGTCTGGAGGCCGTGTCACACACACTATTGCAATTGCGCAGATAGCTGTTTGCTCGCTTAGAACAATGTGAACACCATTTACCTAAACTTGGTCCAATTTGAAATATCCGCATCTCAGCTGTCGTAGTGAGTGTGGCCGATGTCGCAGTGAAACAAAGACAAGAGTCAGGCATATGACAAAGAGTCCATCTGATGTACAGAGCCTGCTCAGAACGATGATCACATACGTAATCTGGTGACAAGTTTCACTTGGTCCTAGCATGACTGCTGCCTTGCGAGGTGTTGATGTGAATCATGCCATTCATTGCCTTCCATGTTACGGTGAAAGGACTCAGCCGTAGAGGTAGCATTTGCTTCCCATTGCAGTATAGCCCCTGGCGGGCTTCGCGCAACTTATTCCGGGTTCTTGGATTCCATGTTCCAGATTTCGGACGACCCCGGGTCAAGCTAATTCAGCGGGTGAGACATGCACCCGGCCATGGATCTGGGCTCTCAGCTGGCCATCCCCCACCACCCAAATATTTCCCCTGAGCCCGTCCATGGCTAAGAATAAGCCTATTTGATAGGCGCCGTGCCTTTGTTCCGGCGTGATTCCCGCTCTCCCCCCAGGACGCAATAGGTCTTGGTATGCCGATCTGGAGGGGTACTTCGAATTCAGTAGAAGCGGCTCTGGTGGTACTCGAAAGGGATGATGCTAGGGTGTCTAACCCGGGAGCTTTCCTAGCTGCCGGCCCGGAGAGTTTTGAGTAATACTACTCCGTACCTTGGTTGCCTTGCCAGGATGAAGCTTGCTGCCATTAGATGCCTCTTGTCTGACTAGACGTCATCTGTTCTGAACGGAATTTGAGACAAGCATAGCTGACAACCTTTTTTTATTTCTGATGCCGCTTTTCCGCGTAGGATGGGAAACCTGGTATCACTGTGATATGTTTCAAAGAGTGCAGTAGATGGTGTGTCCCTCATTTGTGTCTGATGGCGCTTAGACATATCGGCCGAGACACAACAAAATGATCGATTCGCTGCACACAACCTTGTGCCGTGCCATCGCACGAGTATAGCAGGGCATAGCACACCGCCGATCTGTGGTTAGCAACCAGCTGACAAGGACTCAGCACTCTTGTGCTATCAAGGAGAGAGGGTGTGTGTGAGAGAGAGGAGTTTTGTCGATCGTGCACAGTCATTTTGCTGTTTGTCTGTCTCGCCCACAGCAGTCACCACGAAAATAAAAGTCTCGGAAGTAGACAATCCCGGAAATCGATCATCCTCTTCTCCCTCTTCCCTTGGCTATCACAGACTCGGAAATAAAGGCGAATGCCGAGCTGTAACAGTAGGTGGACGTAGGTTTTGACACACACGTGGACGCAAAGATGTCGGCGAACCGAAAGACAAGGCCCTCTTCGTCTTGGTCCAAGTGGCGCATTTTCTTGTCTCACAGTAATTATACCAAAGCCACAGAGCATCCGTGAAGCCTGAAGTACTGGTACTTGTGTCGTTTCTGTGACTTGTTTCGCGCCATCAGGAGCATGTTTCCCGGTTTTCAGCGTGATGGTGGGTGGGTGAAGCTGCGCAAAGGGAGGGAAAAAAGAAAAGAAAGACAGCCATCGCGAATAACCCTGTCAGCTGAATCAATGGGCGAATGTCTGCCATGATTCGGCCTTCACACCAACAGATCAGGTCCGACGGCGGCATAAACGCCCATCTGCACGGCCTTTTGCTCAAGCTTTTACTCGTAGCAGAGCTTTCTTTCCACGCAAAGCAGATCCAGCCGTGTTGTTGCTTTTTCGCAGCCGTACAACATGATACATCTTTTTTCGGAGTCACGCGTAAAGGAGAATGACCTCCGGCTCCCGGAAATGTTCTTGGCACAAACTCCATGCTGTGTAACCAGCGACCTATGAGGCTGGATGAACCTCCTCATTCGGACAAGAAGCAGCCATCTCCATCATCGGCGATTTGCCGTCTCTGTAGAAGAGCGGCCGACGTGGCAGACAGGGCTTTGTCCGGGCATCGACGAAATTGATAGTACTTGAATCGTATGACTTGTTCACTGTCACTGTCTCAGCCTCAGTCTCAGTCTCACTTGAGAAGCTCTCTGTATCTTTCATCAAAGACCTACGAGGACTGCATGCGCTTGACACAGAGGAGTGGAGCAGACGGAACAGCCCATGTAAATGACCCCTGTCGAGAGTTGACCAGGTTTGGCACACAGAGGAAATGTCGGAGTTGGCGCTAGGCAATGCGGCTCGCAGATCCGGAAAAGCGGCCAATCTAATCCTCCGATGTCTACCGCGTGCAGCACGGAGTATTGCTGACAGAACAGCAAAGTTTCTGGGTTGGGGCTTTGGCTATCGCACGTGATCTTATCGCGACCGAGCCCCACGCGCTTGGCGCACCGAACTGGGTCGTGTAAGAGGAAAAAAACCCTGCCGAATAGCACAAAATTACAGCCGAAGGAAAAAAAATACGCCCTTTTTGCTACCCACACGGACTACCGCGATTCGCAACCTCTCGTCTCTCTCCTGCACACCTTCACCCATCAAGGACACACATCAATCACAATGGAATCCAGCAGCAAGGCTCCCGTCAAGCTCGTCAAGGTGACCCGAGTTCTCGGCCGAACCGGTATGAAGAGACCTCATTCTCTCGCCCTAGCATTCTCCCTCGCCTGTCTGCTGCCGCCGCCGCTGTTGCAGTTGTCGCCTTTGTCGTTGGAGTGTTCTCATGGAAAGATGGAGGGAAATTTTTCCATTTTCAATATCTAAGGGGAAAATATCATGAGAGGGAAAACTATATGGTCGACAACACAACAATTCGCAGATTGGCATGCAGATTGGCTGGGAGACATGTTAGGGCATGTATGGAACCAAGCACAAAAGACTAACGGAAACGTCCAGGCTCTCGTGGTGGTGTCACCCAGGTCCGTGTCGAGTTCATGGACGACCAGACCCGTTCTATCATCCGAAACGTCAAGGGACCCGGTATGTTTGACATTTGCGATTGCTAGACGGTGGCGTGTTGGCTGACTTGTTTGCACAGTCCGTGAGGACGACATCCTTTGCCTGCTCGAGTCCGAACGTGAGGCCAGACGTCTGCGATAAATTTCGAAGGTTAGAGCGGAGGAAAAGAAAGCAGATGGTAGAGGTTCTCAATGGCGTGAACGGGTACGGGTCATTTTCTTTTGGGTGTGTTCCAACTGGACATTACGGCCTCTTGTGACGACGGCATGAAACGATGGTGTCAAGTAGCGACAACCGGCAGGGCTTCATCCTACCTAGTCGGAAATACCTAGGCTCATTCTCATAAAAAAGATACAAAGCTTCTTTTTTTTGGTCCAGACATGGATAGCTGCCCGTCTCAGTTTCCAAGTGCCGATCTCGCTGGCTTTGCCAATGACTGACTGAATAACTCTGCTGAACAACAGTCCTCCTCTCTGGACTGAAAGCTGCCAAAGAGGCTGTGACATACACATATCCTAGATGCTGAACTACGTTTACGGTATCTAATGTGCTACCGCGATCACGCTAGGATAGTATGAGTATGCACCCCGAAGCGTATCAGTGCATATAGGTACAGCGGGATGTCTTCTTTGCCACTCAATTGTCTTGCTCCTGGCGTAAGCATGCATGTGATACCTAACAAGTACCCTTAAATGACAAACAACCACGAGTACACTTGTGCTGGGAAGCGTTCATATGAGACAAGTGGTAGGAATAGCACCACTGCTATAGTTGCCATAAGGGGCCAACATGATCTTGGGCCGGGTAGCAGTCACGTTGCCTCTCTTTGCTCGTATATCGGGCATCGATTCTTTGGATGACGCGTTGATCCAGTGAGAGACTGGACCCATGTTTCACAGCAGTGTCGGAGCACGCAAAAGAGCCTGGAGACTTTGGTGGCGCTTTCGTTTCTTCCTTGGGCGCTGTTGGGAGATCGGCCTAGATGCGTCCCGGGAGGGGGAAGATGGATTGGTGATCGATAATGGCAGTTCCAACAGCTCGAGTTAATCCTAAAGATACGAATCGGATCCATACCTTGCGATTAGCCTGTGGGGAAATATGAAGCGTCTGGGTTTTGCATCTGTTTGTTGTTTGTTGTTTGTTTGCGGTCGGGATAGTCTCATTTTGGCCATTCCGTTGTTGAGCCCCCGTTTCTACAGCGTACGAGTACAAGTACGTATGCCGTAAGCTAGACAGCCCCGGGATAGTTGAGGTCTCTTAGCGCGCCGATTTTAAGGTTGAGCCACTGAAACTCTCGACAGCTTCTGCCCAGTCTCCAGCCTTTCTGGGCTCCCCGCAGCAGCCACGCACATGTGAGAGGCACTAGGCTTCCAGCATTGATGCGCACCTGAGCTTTTTCACACCGAAAGTGTCTCGCTCGCACAGCATGTCATGAGCAAAGGATAGAGACAGAAGGACAGAAAATGACGATGGATTGAAAGTGGATCTTAATAGACGTGTGTCTCATCCATCAATTGGATACGTACGTGCCTTGTTACCTTGTTGATGCTCATTCTGGCGACGTGCAGGCGGTTCAACACACACAAACATGGTGTGAGGAGGTGCTGCAGCGCCCCGGTGATAACGACCTGAGCCATTTGGGCGCCACGGGCCGGTACTGCCATTTCCAGCGTTTCCAGCGTGCTACCTCCAGCCTCTTGTGCCACGCCAGGGCCCCCCGTAAGTGCTAACCGCCGCCAGCATTGCCTCTCAGCAGCACCAACCCCCCAAAGAAGAGCCGCTGAAAGCCAAAACATGCCACCAAACCCCCATAGTGGCCCATCTCCATTCTTCATCCCCCATCTTTCCATCCCATCTCCACGACATTATCCCCATCCATAGCCCGTTTGCCCGTTTGCCCGTCCCCCATATTCCACCTCCTTCAGCTACCTCCATCAGCCACCCACTTCAGCCTGCAGCAGCAATTGGAACTTATTCCGTCCTTGGCAACTGTCAAAAAATCAGGCCCCCGAATCGCTTCTTCTCTAGTCCAGCTCCTTCGCTTCGGTCTGCATCGCATGCCGATTGGCTTGTGCCGCTGCTACTGACTGTACCGTGCTCTGCTCTGCTCTGCTCATCTTGGGCCCCTCACCCTACTCTTTATTTTTTTTTCCTTTCTTATCTTCCCTTTTCCCATTTTTTCTTCCTTTTCTCGCCGGTGACGCCATCGGAGCAAGCGGCACCTTTCAATGGTCTCTCTGAACTGATCGACATCGCTTCCGTTGCTGCTCTTGGATACACGGGAGACAGCAAACAAAAAAAAGACCTATATAAGCTCCGGCTAAAGCTTGCGAAGCTCATCACGTCGCAAAGCATCGCCCTCACCTTCAAAAAGGGCTGTGACCCCCAAAGACATATTTTACGTTTTTTCAGTGAGTTTTCCACCCCTGCCTCACTCTCCCGCCACTTCGTTGGTCCATTATAGTTCGTTCCATTCCATGTTGTTCCTGCATCTCGCTCACCCGTATCCACATCCTAGCACCAACTCCAATCGTGGCGGCGCATCTCTTTTTTTCCCTCGCGAATTAACGGACGATACGAACACAGAGATTCGTCATCGCCTGCTGTCCAATCTCTCCCTTTCCAATCATATACGAGGCGTCGGGCCCCCTCGAAGGCGAAACTGCGCGCACAATGTCCGACTTTCGCTCTCCCATTGACACCTCGGTGCCGTCACTGTCGCTTCAGATGCCGCAGATGACGACGCAGCAGCACAGGCGAGACTATTCAGGATCCATTACACTAGACGACTCTACACAGGGCCGACCACCTTCCGGCGATGCTGGTGCTTTGCAAGAAGGCGCAGTAACCGATCGAAGACCCAGCGAGGGCATGGCGACGCTTCACCTGGGAACTGCTGCAGACCAACCCAGCCCTCCACCCCCAACTGATCCAGCCGTGTTGAAGTTGGTAGGCGAGGTGCTGGCATCCGAGGTACGAATCTTGCGGATGAGATGCGCACGCGTCATTCCGATGCTAACCACCCTCAACAGCAAGGTATTCCTGCGCTGCTGCAGCGCCTGAAACAGAGCATAGCTTCCGCAAAGGTAAGTCCTTTTATCTTGCATCTAGATGGCGGTCCTGGTATATGGGTAGCTGGCTGGACACCCAAGTGCTAGCTGCAGCTCTAGAACCATGGGGCTGGAACAAGAGAAGCGAAAAGGAAGCTGACGTCTGATTAGGAGTTCGGTACCTTTCTCAAAAAACGAGCCGGCCTGGAAGAGGACAGCGCCCAGACCCTCAAGAAGCTGGCGCGCGCCACCCAGGATAACATACGGCGACCCGAACAACGCGGGGGCACATTTGTCCACGTCTATGAGGAAATGGTCCATATTCACGAGCGCATGGCTGATAATGGCATCCAGTTTGCCGCCACACTTCTCCAAATGAACGAAGAGCTCCTCGAGGCCGCCGGAAACGCTGAGCGCAACCGCAAGGTCTGGAAGGCAAACGGCCTGGCCGCTGAGCAAAAAGTCATCGATCTCGAGGCTGCCATGCGCAAGAGCAAAGCAAAATACGACTCTCTGGCTGAAGAGTACGATCGCGCCAGGACGGGCGAAAGCAGGCCCGGTGGTGGCAAGGTCTTGGGCGCATTCAAGGCACACAAGTCGGCCGCCCAGCAAGAAGAGGAGCTCCTGAAAAAGGTTCAAGGCGCAGATCAGATATATCACAGCGCCGTCACCAGTCTCCAGACCGAAAAGGCCCAGCTTCAGACCACGACCCGCCCCGAGATTGTCAAGTCATTGCAAGAGGCTATCCGCGAAATAGACTCTGCTGTCGGGATGCAGATGCAGAGATTCGGTAAGTAGTAGCTGGCAAAATACGACCGCGAGGCAGATACTGATTGACGAACTCTTCGACAGCTTTGAACAATGAGAACCTGCTGCTAGGCAATGGTCTTGTCATTAGCCCTTTCAGGAACACAGCTAGCATCGGCCCCAACCAACCTCGAAGCATGCGATATGCCATCGCTTCCATCAGCATTGACAAGGACCTTGATGAGTTCGTGGCAGGATTCCACTCCAAGGTTCAGCCAAACCCCGGCGAGATCAAATACGAACGCAATGCGGTACGTTTCCAATGTCCAATCTAATTATGTCCGGTCCCTTTCATGCTGACATGCTTTCTTCCTTTGCCTTTAGGTCCTTGGTCCAGTGCCCAGCTCCATGGGTCACTCATCACTACCCTCTGTTTCCCACACTTCCAAGCCTTCCGTCAGCCAGGCTGCTCCTGCGAGCGGATACCAACAATCCCCACAATCCTTTACAATCAACTCAAGAACAGGCGCTGGCAACAACTTTGGCAGTCCAACAGCAGGCGGCCCTGGTCCTCAGGGAGGCCCGGGACCCATAGTACCGGCGGCTGCTTCTACTCCCACCAGTGCAGAGCCTCTGAAGTCGTTCCACCAGTCCAACCACAGCCGAACCTTTAGTCAAGGCAACATGCTGAACTCTCCCATCAGCCCTCAATCTCAGCCGTTCGGTGCAGGTCCAGCACCAGGAGGTCCTCGATTCCCCAACGGTGGTCCCAATACCACTGGCCCGCCTCAACTCGGAGCGCTCCCGTTCCAAGATCATGAAGGCCCATCAGCCAAGAGCGCTTCACCTCCTCAGATGGGACTTCCGTACCAGCCTCCTGGGCCAAGCGCTCCGCCAGCATACAGCGCTCCCAATCATGGTCCGCCGGCCTCCAAGCCAGTCTTTGGTGTCCATCTCGGCCGCCTTTATGAGAGAGACGGCCTCGCTGTCCCCATGGTTGTGTATCAGTGCATCCAGGCTGTTGACCTGTTTGGCCTCGGGGTAGAAGGAATCTACCGCCAATCTGGATCGCTGAATCACATTAATAGGCTAAAAACCATGTTTGACTCTGGTAAGTCCATGTCCATCCCTTCGACCATTTTTTAGCTGCTAACCAATGCTCGCTCGCGCAGAATCCCAGGCACAAGCCCTTGATTTCAGAAACCCGGAAAACTTCTTTCACGATGTCAACAGCGTTACGGGCCTGTTGAAGCAGTTCTTCCGCGACCTGCCTGACCCCTTGTTCACGACAGAACACCACAGCAGCTTTATCAACGCAGCGAGTATGTTGTCTCCCAGAAACCAAAGCCGCGGTGCTCTTTTTTGACTTTTTTTTGCTAATGACGCGCCTACAGAGCACGAGGACGAGATTGTTCGACGAGACTCACTCCACGCCATCATCAACAGCCTGCCCGATCCCAACTACGCTACCCTGCGCGCCCTGATGCTGCATCTGCACCGTGTCATCGACAATTCTCACGTCAACCGCATGAACTCTCACAACCTGGCCGTCATTCTCGGTCCCACTCTCATGGGCACCGATCCAAGCACCGCCATCACTGATGCCGGCTGGCAGATCAAAGTCATCGACACTATCCTGGTGAACACGTACCAGATTTTCGATGAGGATTAATTAGCTTGCTCTGCCCCTCTGAAGAATTCTAATCTCCGTGTTTCTATCATCTCCATCTATCTCTATTGCATGGCGTTTCCATTCTTTCGTTCCCTTGTTACTTCTTTGTCTCCCTTTCCTCTCACCTTTCCAATCTTTTGTGTCGGCTTGCTTTCGCTTTTGCTCTGTCCTTGTCACAGGTTTGTCGATTTATACAATCAATTTCCTTTACGTGTTTCCCCCCTCAATCCGCCACCCCATATTTTATCATTGCTATTTAGTCAGAACGCCTTTCTTTCCCGCCCCTGCTGGGAAAGTACTCTCTAAATATGCCTCCTTTGTATTTGTTCATAGCTTCAAGTGCTGAACGGGTCACTTGCTGGCTAAGAAGACCACGCGTGTCTTTGTTTCCTTTCTGTCATGGGGTGATGTGGATGGGACTGATGGACGGAATGGCTAGATTGCTTAAGCTAGGATAACGTCGAGGTATATATAATAGAATGTTGTCCTCTTTTTGGTCTCGCCCTTGTTCTTCTCCGTCATGATTACCCATGGCGTAATGCGTGTGTGTGTGTATATATATATATAAATCAAGTCATTCAATTTCAGCAGAGGTATCCTACAGATAAACAATAAGAAATCAACCAGCAAAAAGAGCAAACCCCCGCTTCAATCCCCTCCCTCCAATTCCCATGCCGTACACAACAAACTCCAAAAATCCCAGCTTGAGAAGAGTGAAAAAAAAAAAAAAGAGCAATGATTCGCAATGCGCCTCCGTCTACATCAATCTTTGTTTCAGAATATGTCACACCTTTCTTTAACCTCTTTCCTCCTGTATCACAGTTTTATGGCTTCTCCAGTTAAAAAATAAAGGAGTTGCGGAAGAATCCTTCTCTACTCCTTAAACCAAACAATATAGCAGAAAGAGAAGGGGGAAATGAAGAAGAAAGACAAAGAAAATGAATAAAAGGGGAAAGAAAATGCTATGCTTTCGATGAACACAACTCCTCTCATCCTATAGGCTTTTTTGTGTCCCCATTCGCTACCAACCCGACACACATGAGTCATAGCAATTAAGGTATTCATTTCCACATCTGGTATGATACGTCTTCCTTTAATAGGACAGACAAAAACAAATGTAAAAAACATTGAAAGAGAAAACAAAATGCAGAAGAAAAAAGGTACTGCCTTGAAAAAAAAAATGCATCGTAAGGCAAGGGCCTGGAGTTCCCGCTCGCCTTTTCCATTCTTCTCCTCTGCTGGATATAAACTTGATCATGAACGTAGCCATTATGCGCGCTGAATGGTGCTTCGTAATGATGAGATGAGTATGATGCTGAAAGAAAAGCAACTCAAACTTTGACAAGGAAAAAAACAAACGACCACAAGTATAATAAAGAAGTATAAGAAAAGGTGAGAGGGAAGAGAGCCGGCAAAGCCTAGAATCCCTCTCCAATACACACATATTAGTGTAATCTAATGGCTTCAAAAAGGCCTAGACTCAAGCTCGTATCATTCACGCCGACGTTGGGAGTGGGCTCACTAAGCAATTCCCATCGTCGAAGAACAAACGGGGAGAGTCTCTCCTGGGATGTCGGGCCAATCCCATACATTGCACCCATACCCCTGGCTGCTGTGCTATGAGGCATCGTCGTCTTTTCCCTATGGGCAAGCATCAGGCCATCTGTCGCAGTGAGCTGCGGGACGCTAAAAATGTAGAACAGGCGAGCGTCTGAAGACGAGTGCAAGTTTGGCATCATGCCGGGGACGAGAAGAATGGACTTGGCACAGTGAAGACGCAGGTCATCGGGCAAGCCATCTGCCAACACTGTGGTAACATCAAAGACTTGTTGCAGCAAGCTGGCACCAACCACCTGGCTCGGCAGCGCTTCAAGCGCAAGAAACAGACGACAGAGAGTCAGAACAGTGTGTGCTCGTGCCTCGTGATGCGGAGGCAGAACCAGCTTGCCTTGAGGAGTAGTGGTCATGACAGATGCACTCAGAGGTTCCGAGGACACGCTGTGTAAAAGCACAAATCTCAGCAGCATCGGTAGCCAGTGTTCGATGATGGGGATCAACAACCCCTTCATCTTATCCTCATGGTCCTTTGGCGCAACGACAAGTTCGACGAGGTCTGATAGCCTGTCGGCCAGGACACTGGTAAGCTGAGCCGTGTTTGGCGGCTGCTGGCCTACGACGATGGCCTCGATAACGCCAAGGAGCTTCTCGGCAAGGTATAAATTATTGCTATTAGCGACGGCATCATGGACATTGCTGGGGCTGGGGTTTTTGGAGGAAGTCGGTACTAGGTCCAGAAACCGCGAACGGGCCTGGCTCTGTAAATGTCGGGAAATATCTTCACTTAGGCAGGGAAGCATCGTCGTCCACATAATGTTTTGTGCTTCGATGGCGCGGTCCATAGCTTTGGCAAATAAATCAAACTGAGAGAGGCTTTGCGGCTGGCCGTCTTCATTCTCGGCTTGGCGGGGTGGTGGGATAGAAAGGTCCATATTCAGCTTAATTTGGCAGAATGGCATCGTCAGTTCGTTTGCCAGGCGCAAGATATGGTCATATGGCGCAGCCGACGCCGCGCTTTGATCCCCGTCCTGCTGGAAAAGATTGCTAACTATTTCATGGGCCAGACGGAATCCCGCTGGGGGGATATTTTTGGCGCTGAATACTTCTGTGACGTCTGCCGTATGCATCACCACCAAGAGGCGTAAGGCGCCCAGCACACGCTCGCGATATGTGCCATCGTCAAGTGGCAGGTTTGCATTCCCATCTCGGGCTCGAAGGTCGGCATATTCGACAACCGCGTGGCGTATGAGAGAAAGTAGGCCTTTGTAGTGATTGAACTGGATAGCCCGCTGGTAGATGCCAAAGCGGTAGGCCTCTTCCTGGCTGAGATCAGTGTCGGCAGGCAGATTCGACAAGATCAAATGAAGCAATTCCTGAAGATAGGTTACTGCTCCTGGGGACGTCAAGTCAGGTGGCGCCGCCGCATCAGCATCTCCCGGGGCGGCAGCTCGGGTCAAGCTTGCAGGGCCGACCAGGAACGAAACTGGTAAGGCATCGGTAATGATTAGGAGGGGAAACACAGCATCCAATCGCTTCCGGCTCTTGAGAAGCCGAACACGCCCAACCCAGTCGGACATGAGCTTGTCGAAATGCTGGGAGTCGAATAAACGAAGGCGGGTAAGAAGAGATGCGTGGATCCGACGATTGTCGTCCATCTTAGCCCAGCCTGCCTCCAGTCTGCGGATGATGTATCCAAAGAGGCGATTCATGGTCGGGTGGTCGATGCTATTGCCACTCGCCAGCAGCTTCTCGATTTGTTCCGAGACCTCGCCATCAGCGCCCGATGGCGGATTGACCATGTTATCCGAAATGGGGGAGCAGGCGTCGGTCGCATTGTTGCGATCGCTTTGGGCAAGCTCATGGGCCAGATACTTGGCAATCTCTTGGCGACTCGGCATCCGCCTGGAGAGGAAGCATAGCGAAGCAAGCAACGGGCGCGAAACTAGGCCCTGCTCTTGGTTGATGGCCTTTAGCCGCTCAAAGAAGATGTTGAATAAACGCTCCGCACCGCCCTGGGCGTAAAAAACCTGCAGGTTCAGATTTACAGTGTCGACGCAGGATGCGAGCACTTCGATATTGGTTGTCCTGGAGCAAAGCTTCAAGACGTCGCAAAGCGCATAAAAGTCCTGGGTCGCCTCTAAAATGGTGCGTATAGCGGAGAACAGGCGCAGAGACACTGGTTGGACGGACTTGACGAGCCTCAAGACAGTCTCGCGCAGGTGAAGGCCCACAGTGGTCTGCAAAGCCTTTGAGCTGCTGACGATTCTAGGGACGAGCTTTCGCAAGGGAATCGGATTTCTACCAGCCATGGCATCGCCCTGCACCGGCAAGCCCAAAGTGTGGTTGACGCACATTAGAGCGTTGCCAATATCACTTGCTTCCTCGACAGTAGAATAGTTGGCGGCTCGTCTTAGCAGATTAGCCCGGTCATCCTTCTGATCTTCAGTGAGGTAGCGTATTGGGAGGTGAACAAGCAATCTGGTGGTGCAGGGAGCATCATCGGAGTCAACTTCGGAAGGTTGGCTACAGGCTCCGCGAGCCACAAGCCACTTTAGGTACTGGGGAACCGAAAACTGGCCTGTTCGAACCAGTTCCGTCACGAGTTGGTAGACGGTCTGCTTCCGACCCCCATCTCCGACTGGTATGGTGTCCATGTGCTCGAGAATCGCACCAGTGACGTTAACCCTGAGCGAGCTCCAAAACCTGATTAAGTTGGCCGCAATGTACACCCTTGCCAAGCCGGGGCGGTAAAAGGAAGTAGCCCAGTCCACAGTAGTCCTCACAATATCGACTTTGTCATCTCCAGTGGCCCAGCATTTTTGGGGCAGATCACGGTCTATCTGGCTGAGGAGTGTTGCGTCCAAAAGCCGCACCAGCTGTGGTCGCCCAACCAATGGCGAAGCAGTGCTAGTAATAGATAATTGGCCATTTCTAATATTGATGTAGTGATAGGCTTCTCGGCCTGCTTTGTCATCCCGTGGTAAAAAGGCCTCTAGGGCATCTTTGTACTTTGGCCAAAGTCCTGGGTCGATGAAGCTATCGGGGTTGTTCCTGATGAGTGAAACCAACAGCGTCGAAAGCTGGCTGGATAGTTGAATGAGGATATCCTTGTCAGGATGGATATGAATGGTATTGAGATGTGCAAGAAGTGAATAAACAAGACGCCGTCCATATTTTCGGGAGCGCAGGATGTCAGCCCAGCAAATCTGAGCAATCAGGATCCACATGGGAATCTTGGACTGGGGGCTATGCTCGAGGCCAGATGTGATCCAATCGAGATAGTGATCCCGGTCAAGGAGCTGTTCGGCGTATAGGTTTGTGGCAAGTCGTATGCTAATCAAAACAAAGTCAGTTTGAACGGAGCAGGGCAAAAGGAATGAGGATGCCAACTTACGCATAAGTCAACTTGGCCTTCCAGTCCGGCTCACCAAAGGCGGAGGAAACGGACTCGATGAATTGCTCCACAAAGACGGTCCAATCCCTTATCCACTTGAACTCGCCTGCTATAGCAAAAGCGCCGCCGGGGGCTCCTTTTCGTTTAAAAGCGCGAATCTCGTTGGCACCGACGCACTTGGCCAGCCAGACAGCTCGTTCGGTCGGCACGCTTTTATTCAAACACTGGTCGAGAAGAGTTCGGCCGCGGATGCCGTGAGGGATCGTCCTACTTAGTCGGCGAAGAGAGATGGCAGGGTTGGCCAAGTCCTTCATCCAAACTTCCCTCTTGGTATCGGTCAGGGTAACGCGGGGAGGAGGTTTAAAGGTCGATGGAGCAGTGACGTGGCCGCGATGTCTGCGCTGGTTGAGAACACCCATGAAGATGGTGGATAGGGCACCCAGGCCCGTCTTTTGCTTGATGGCTGGGGATATTGTCATCCTCGCGGTACTCGTCTCGTTCTGATTGCCGCGATCCCAGGTGCCCTTCTGGATCGCTTCAGGGCTCCAGTCGTCTTCGTGGTGCTTGCCATTGCCGCCATGCCAAGGAAAGAAGTCGGCGTGTCCAGAAAAGAGGCCTCGACTGAACGGGTCACCACCCGTTGCGTTGGGCTTCTTCTCAGCAGAGGGATAACGTGGAGCGTTTTTGGGAACCTCGACGGTCCACGGCCTCGGGCGCCCATCCTTCTTAAGGGCTGGCGCAGGCCTCGGAGGAGCTGCTAATCGTCTCGAGAGCTCTGGATATGTCTGCGATGTCGGCGGGCGTCGTCTGGGCATGGGTAAAGGATGGTTATCATTGTCAAAGTCGGCGGCCGAGGCCCGAGAGGGTGCTGGGCTAGAGCCGTCGACGTCTGCAGCGTCAGCCATGGACGGCCCACGCGACGTGGTATGGCTCTGTGGCGACGAGGCAGCAGAAACAGACGCCGAGGCCGAGGCCGAGATTGATGCTGAAGCTGCGCTTCCGGGAGGGTCGATATTAGAAAGTTCGAGGCGCAACCGAGAGCCGACTCTTCGCGGCGTGGTGACAAGGCGACCATGGCCTTGGCCGAGGATTGTGTTCTGACCCTGCCCTTGGCCTTGGGCCTGGACAGGGTCAACGGAATCGCTCGAGGCATCGCTGAGGGCCGAGTCCTTGCGCACAGGCGATGAAGGAAACAGCTGCTGCGATAGAGCGCGTTGGGGCGGAGGCCGCTGAGCCGACGGCAGCGATGTGCTGCTGAGGGTTCGTTGCGGCGGTCGCGGGTGGACGCCGATGGGGGTCCTGGAGGTCATCTCTCAGACGGGAGGTGAGGCGCCATCCCGTTGTATTGCTAGTTATGAAGAAGTAGGTGCCAACGAATAGGTATGCGAGATGGAGGTAGATGCGAGATGGATGGGCAGGTACCAAGTCGATACAGTGCGATACGGGTAGCACTCGGGTAGTTTGGCTAGTTCGAAGAGGCGAATAAACGTTTCAAGGGCCGGTCGAGCCTGATGGCAGCTGCAGTAGCGGAAAGAGAGGTTGAGAAAAGTCGATATGAGGCGGACAAAGGCGCGAGGAAGATGAGTGGACGTTGGATTTTTTTGGGCCCCGAGAAGAAGGTACGGAACCGTCAACCGATGTCCGGCAGAAGGGAGTTGTATTTTCCCGCTGCACCCGAATATCAGCCCCAGCCTCAGGCGTTGCGACAGCGCGTGCGGCAGCAAATCAGGGCTCTGGTGCACGCCTTGCGAGGCCGATTGACGTGCGTATCTCGAGAGGGAGGATGCTGGAGAGGCGATGCAATGGAATGCAGAAGCAGAGAAGCAACGATAAAGTCCCAATGACAGAATGGAGAAAAGAGGGAGTCGATATGATGGACGGCAAGACAATGGCAGCGAGAGCGAAGCTGACGGCTCAATTCTCTTAGCACATCACCTAATAGTATTTTCTGCCGTCGCCAAGGCATGGGCCAGGGTATCTGTACCTGTCGCACAGCACGCTGAGGGTGTTCCGTATCTGTACCCTGGACACTGTGCGATGCTGACTGGACGCACAATTCCCACTAATCTTTGGGCCGCCATAGGTGGTGTGACAGCCTACAAGTACGAGTACAGGCAGGTACTGGGCCACTAAGTTCTGGGGGTGTGCGAGGACACTGTACAACTTAGTACCGCCACCGTTGGGGCTTCTCCGGCGGCTCGTCCCCAACGCAGATCCGGATGCTGGTCCTTGACAGCGCGGCTTTTTTTTCTTCTCTTCTTCTCTTTGGTGGCATTCCCTTGTCAACCCTTATGTAACGTAAGATGCACTTTTGGTCCAACAACTTCCTACCTGTACGAGTAGTGTAGAATAGATAGGTCAAGGTAGTAGCACGGGGCGTGGAGCACAGCAGATCTAAAATTACTGAATGCCAAGGTACAGGTACCTATACCTATGCCTACCAACCTTGGCCTTGGTAGCGCCAAGTCACCCAAGGCACAGCGCACAGGTACAGTAGGGTACAGCACGATAAGAGGCAGCTCGGATAATATCGACAGGGCCAGCCAGCATTTCCCTTTGGCGATTTGAAATAGACCAGACACTTTATAACAACAAAGCACCCAACCCCTATTATTCAGCTGCAACAAAACTCAAAGCGGCATTGGGTATCTCCTGCATATTTGGGCACAAGAGGGTTGATGCCTACAGGTACCAACGCGGAGGGGGGCGTGCAGTGCTGCCTCTTTTGGATGGGCAAACAACTTTAGCAGCGCGATAAGGCATTCGGTGGATTTGATGTTAGCAAAAAGCATCGCTCAGGGCCTGTTGGCGGGACTGCGGCCATTGGCGGGCGCTATGCATCGCCATGCACCAGGACTGGCGCTAAGCCACGGAAAGCTGCTTGCTCCGTACCTGATGTACTGTCCAGCAGTGGCATTATGGGGTAGCGAATGTACCTGTACGTACGAGTACTCGGAGCGCTACGAGCACAAATGAGATGCGCCACATGCCACCACGACATTTGCTGTGTGGCTGCGGCCACCCCGTTCTGCTGCACCATCCCCCATCTCCAAAATTTCCCCTCAGATTCGATGCAAATAACCTCTCGAGTAGCGCGGAGCCCAGCTTCATTATCTAATGGTCCCTTTTACGCTTTGGTCGTGGCATCCAGGTCAGTTCAGCCGCCCCCCCTTCAGCCGAGTCGGGACAGGAAATGACGAAACAATGTCCACAGTAGACTTGTTCGGAGAGACTCGAGCCTACGGTACGGGGAGATATTCGCAAGTTGCATGATTCATGAGTTGATACCACGTTTGTCGTCTCCCGGACGTTTCTCGTCATCTTCTGGCGTTGACAAGGGGGTTGCTTTTTACCCGGCCCGCCATTACGAAATATTCGCCTTGCCATTACTCTACAGTACAGCTAATTCCGAAGAGATGGACTAGAGGCCCGGAAAGGCACGATGACAGCAGCCAGACGGGACCAATTTCCATCAGACAAATGGACCAACCTGCAGCACGATACGTATCTGTCATATCTACAATACTGTGCTGTGCTGAGCAAGCCTCCGGACAGCACGCGGAATGCGGGAGCATGCAACCCCCGCACAAGATACAGACATGCATGCTCGTACATGTATAGGATATCCCATCTCCATCTCCAACCCCATCTACAGGACAAGTACTGTACGGGACTGTACTGTACGTATACGAGTATGCTGCGAGAGCAAGGGAGCCTCTTTTTCTCTGATCAAAAAGCGCATGTAATTCGATGCCCTTGCCCGCATGCGCATGCAGCCACGCGATGCAGACTGACAACCGGCGCAAATAAACTGGCCGATATCATGGATACTACCTTACCAAGATAGCACTTGTGCATGTAGGTACGAGACATGCGAGAAGCTTTCTCCGAAACACGACTCTCCCTTGCCTCTGCTCGCGAGCTCCATCGCTGTCGATTCCATCCTGCGTGGCGCTGACTATTAGTCAATACGCCTTCGGGGACAAACTTGGGCTTTCGACAGCCACCATTTGAGCCCCAATCTCCTCCCTCTGGGCGGGGCGGGAGGCGGTGAAGCAAGCCGGCAAGCCTTTGCAAGTAGTAATATCCTTCTCGGTGGTGTGTTCGAGTTTGCTGCATCCTCCCTCGTCGCCAAAAGGACGCCAGCCTAGCTCAGCGCCACAACGCAAACATGGCCATTTCATAGTGGACGCATGCGACTTGTACAGCGAGCTTTAGTAATACGACCAGGATAGTAGCATCTGTGCCGGGGGTGAACGGGCCTGGCAGGGCGGGAGGCTCGTTCGCCCTTTGGTTTTCAGGTCTCGCGGCCACAGCCCGGAGCAGTAGTCCGCATGCCAGTTTACAGGCTGAGACCCCGAGATTGCACTCCGCACGAATGAAAGGCGGCTTCGCGAATGCTAGTACTACCACTAGTACCACTGCTGCTAGGTAATAACGAGGAAAGGCTCGGGTCTCGCTCGTATCGGACAGCCAGATCTGCCCATCTGTCCCACTATGTGACGCAGCAGGTCAAGACAGTGTCTTGTCCACAGCACCAAGCAGATTCGCGAGGCTTACGATGCCCTCTTTTCACTCGATATCTGAAACTGTCAGCGTCTACAGAGTGTCAGGTATGTTGGTGGGGGATAGTGATGATGATGGAGATGATGGAGATGAAGAAGAGCTTGGTTCAAGCCTATCCATGATTTTGCCCTGCCTCCTTCCAACAATTACTGCATCCCAGACTCTGTTGCGCCTGTCAGCTATCCGATGTAAGGTATTGTTTGCTACGCACGGATAGAATCCCTAAGATGGGAAGCCGTTGACCGCTGCTGCTGCTGCTGCTGCCAATTTGATATGGAAGAAGCCATCCAACCAAGACTGTGAAAGTGTCAGTGCCTCTTGATACATGTAATTTGAGCCAACCCGGGATCCATCTACCGGGATCAAATGCACCAAATATTGAGATTACATACAAGCAGCTACGCGATCTAGGCCATCTCTCGAGTTCTAGTGGCTGCTTGCTTGTGGCACAAGTACAAATGCCCCAGCTTACATGTGATAAGCGGACGCCCTTGATCTTCACGGCTATCCTGAGTAAAGAGACCTCCTCGGCCTTAGGTCGTCGGATCAAGCCCGTTCCGCAACAGATCGGATCGGGTATACGCTCAATGGATGAGGGCAATCTGGCTTGGTTAGTGTACGGAGTACTATATTGGCAGTCGTGAGCCGAGGCCCAACACATGCTTCGTTAGCACAAGAGTCGGGCAGACATGGCACCAGCTTGTACGGGCACGACGGGGAACTTGGGCGCCCAGCAACCTGTACTCCATACATGCACGTCAAAAAATGCATGTGCTTCGTACGGAGTACATGTAGGTAATATTGTCAAGATGCAAGGCCACGTCAACCGAGTTCCAGTCTCTTGCTACCCTAGACTCGACAATCCCACTTCGGCGGCCCAAGGGAAACGCGCCTCTCTCGGCTGGAGTCTTTGGACTTTGCAGCGCATAAAATATCATCTGCATAGACATGCGTTGCATATTCCATATTTGATCTGATTCGAGATGGGCTGGTATGGCCGCTGCCTCGCGTGCCACAGTTGCTGCAGTTTCCCACAACATCACAGACGACCAAGCAGACAAAATCGAGGGACTTTGGCGTCCACGTAAAAAATCATGCGCATACACATAGTATGATATTAAGAGTGCTTTCCTTCTTATTGCCAGGTAACTGTGAGCATCGTGATGGGCAAAGGGCGCTATCGATTCAGAAAGAGGCCTCCTTCGATTGCATGTATCCGAAGCTGTCCAAGTCGTGATGGTAGTACGGCTAGATGTACTGACAGGGTCAAACTCCAGACCGCAACCGGTGAGGCAAACAGAAGATGAAACAACAAAGAAACGCAATATTACCGGTGCTACTTGGTACTACCGCTAGCATCACACAACACATGGTCCGTCACATTGTACAGCCTCGAAACTCGAGTCACGCACTCATCAAAGCTCACCAGCCCCGGCCTCATTGACGCTCCACTCGCTCCAGCCTTTCTTCTCGCCAGGGAGCTGGATGCTCTGCCATTCCTCCTTGGTCACCTTCTTCCACTCGTCAATGGGAATCCATCCAATGTACGCACGGTCGCCGAACCCGCCAATCCAGTACACCTGCGTAACAACCAGCCTGGCCCATTCGCTGGCGTGAATGGGGTTGCCAGGCAGCCAGTACTTGGCGTCGGTATGTTTGGTGGTGTAGCACGAAGCAAGCCGAACCGCCTCCTTAATATCCGGATTGATCGGTTCCAGATAGCCGATGAGCGAGAACCTGGGCAGGTTGGCAGCAGAGTAGGGCACCGTGTCTGGAGGCGAGTCTGACTCGGCAAAAGGCGAGGCTTCGTTGTAGTCCTTGTTGCCTAAGAACGGCACGTACGCGGAGAGGCGGGATAGAAGCGGGATGCGCTTGGACGGCGGGTACGGGGGAGTCCACTCCACAGACAGGGTGATGTTGGAGCCAGCGCGGACGTTCTTGAAGCTGGTAGCGATCTTGATGGCTAGAATCGTTGGATTGCCTTCATCTTCGCAATCAGCTATGTAATCAAGAAGCCCGACGGGCAAACCCTCGAGACCGTCCGGTCGTCTCTCCGCCGTGTCGGCATCGCTAGAAGATGACGACTTGGGAAATACAGTGGACAAGGTACCGAGCTTCGTGAGAGCCAAAACTCGACGGCCCATAACGGCCGACTCGTAGCTCGATGGGATTCGCCTCTCACCGACGCTGCCCGCGTCACCGAAGAGCGGAGCGGTGAGCTCGAGGGCGGCGGCATAGCCGGAGAGGCCACCAATGACACTGAGGAGCTTCATGATTAACTATTGTAAATGGAAGAAGCAATCAATGATGATTTTTGGGTCAGCAAAGTTAGTCAATTAGTCGTTGAAGCTGGGTAGTAGGCAACAGGCACGTTCTTTATAGATGCAGCGCTAGTCGTGCGATGCAAGGACGTTTGATGCCAATTCGACCTTAACCCGAGGAAAGCCTCTGATAGACGGACTCGAAACAAGAGGAATCTGGTTCGTTGAAAGTGAGAAGTAAGACGCAAGGGGAAGGGGAGTATCCCCTGCTCTGGGTCAAGTGATTGTCGATTGCGTTTGGCAGGTGACTGAACAGGTGACTGAAGCCTAGATTGATAAGATTAGATTCATGTCCACAATTGGCTAGCAGGTCGCTCAAGTGGGTTGATCTAACACATCAAGGTTTCTGACAGCTCAAGTACTTACATAAACTTCTTCGTCGATGATGTTCCAATAGCAAATCATTTAAAAGTGATGACATGTCTGAAATGGCATTATATGTATGATACTAATTCTATGTTTATCTACCCAATGTACATGAATGTAAGACGACATATTATTTCCCTACATACCTGGTACTATCTTAGTAAGAGTACCAAGAGGTACTACCGAAACGCAAGCAGTTACATGTGCGTTCCAGACATGGCCCAGTCACTTGATTCAACCTCTTACATCTTCAATAATCTGTCTTCCATGATCTTTGTACCACTTCGCCAATTTAGGAGCGGGCGCCAGCTCAAATGCCTGCACCAGCTTGATTATAGGCATCTGGGGATACGATTTTCTGACCTCGTCTTCCTTTATCATGCCGTCTTCTTCAACGCAGCTCCTGGACACTTCTAGCGAGGAAGCGCCGACATTGTACGACATCCACCCTTGCATGATGTGCTGTTTTGCTTTTCTCCAGGGCTCCATAACGGTAGCCGGCGGTCGAACTTGAGCCCGGAGCTTGGTGATGGCATCCATTTGCCACTTGTCCGTGAAGCTACCGTCGGACGCGCTGGTCATCTCGATCAGCAGTTGCTCAAGCCGCTCGACCTCGTCGTCGTCTTCTATATCGACATGGGCAAATGACTGGCTTCCAAATAGTCGAGCTACTGCATGAGGATGCCAGGATTGCCTTTCTGCCTGAAATGTGTTGCCTGCCATTAGGTGGATGGTGTGGACGTTTGGAAGGCGGCTTTCTTCACCAAACAACACTTTTATCGACAGACTGTTGACAGAGTTCACATCTAGCAAGACGGTCCTGGTTTCTTCGAGAAGCTTTGTCTGCAGAGAGGTGAAGCTGTTTCCCACTATGTTATACGGACAAAGATCCAGTATGTCTGTGTGCCCGTTGAACCATGCCCAGGATAGAGGGGCGAGAAAGTCATGGCAATATAGGGCGCCATTCTGTTGTGCAACGTATCGAGCTTCCCGGCAGACACGGGAGATGACTGGAGGAGGAACACTCGTCCATTCCAGAAACGAAGGCTGAAGGAAGCGGAACGGCCGGAAAATCTGCACTGGCAACGCCATTTCCCATATTTGGCATCTCAGCTCAGGTGGCAGACGCGAGAAGAAGGGAAACTCGGCTATGCCTTCACGGTGCGATTCGAGTTGGCGTTCGAGGTCTGTGATGCGCTGCGCTTGAAGAAGCTGAGTTTGCTGCAATCTTTCTATCATGTCCTGCACCTCTTCAAGGCTCTTAAGTGTTGGATCTCGCGAATTATACAGGCCTGACGGCATGGAGGTTGCCGTGTACGCTTTCATCACGCAGCAGGAGGGTTCCATGTTGACCATGGAGAGGAATTCGACGTTAGACACAAAAAGTCATGAACAATTTAATAAAGTAACAGTTTGGGCATGGGAACGGCATTGAAACGAGAGGCTGCTGCAGACACATGTGGCTGTCAGGGCGAGGATGAAGGGATCTTAATGTAGGCTCTGTCAACGGTAAATGTCTGTCGACAAGTCCATGAATGCACGGGGCAGAATGAAGGAATACTTTGGATCGAGGTTCGTCTTTCAACAACGGTCACTGTTGGCAGTGTGGATTTTGACGCTTTATCTCGTCAACTTGGCTATATGCTTTGTTTTGACAGTTGGTCACGATTTCTTTGATGGTCACGGATCCAGAGTGGTTTCTACTGCCGGATATGAACAGTAGTAGTAATGGTGATTCGAACGGCAATCTAGATGTTAGTCCTATACCGGTGGGAATATTCCAATTGAGATTTATTTTTCCCGTTAATAATGTAGAGTGGGTGTAGGGCAGGTTGCGTCCACGATCCATGACAAAAACCCTCGATAGCAGCCAGTACGGGCAACATACTATTGTCTTGTCCAAGGGTATCTTCTCCAGGACTGTACGGGTATGCTGCAATAGAAATCTACCGTGTGTTATAATAGTTAGTCTCTACCCATGCGGGGATTGATGTAATTGTTTGTTTGTTTTTCTTTTGTTGATGACATTCCCCACGTAGGCATGTAGTCATAGCAGTACTAGTAGTCGTTTGAACTAACCTCTCCACACCTTTGACCCTCTGGAACACAAAGCAAGAGCAGCAGCAGATTCCACTCAATGTGGTCCGTCATCCTCGGCATCTGGCATTGTTTATCTCCTCTCCTCCTCCCTTGTGCCATGCAAATCCTGCGTTGGATGCCACATGTTGTCATGGGAATGGACTTTTCAGCTCAGACAGTCCACAGACGCTAATCCCCATGCAGATTTAAGAGTAGTTGTACTCCGTAATCACATCAGCCTCTTGAACGCCTCCGAAACTCGCAACATCTGCAAGGAATCCAGATGGAGACATTGGATGTGCAGGGCCATCGGGCATTGACATCCGGTTGGCCGCAGGTATCGCAGCACCTAAGATTTGATGCTGAGGAGACCTGAAACAACTGCGAAGCTGAGATTCCGATCCCCGCTGCTGAGGTCATCCATCGCTGCCGCCCCCAAAAGATGGAACCCAGCCCCCCCCGTAGCGTAGCGGGTGCCACAAGGCGCTACAGGGCGCTACAGGGCACAACAGGGCACAACAGGGCACAAATCACGGTCGAGCACTGCAGTCGCCGCTCCCAGCGGTCCAGTGCTAGCACCCGATAGCGCTCCAGCTGCTGTCCACAGTGGGCATCGCACCGCCCCACACCCGCGATAATGCTTGTTGCTGCTGCAACCAACGATGTTGACTTTGAGATCCCCCCAGGCCGGCGGATCCAAGCCAGTCCAATCACAGCAACATCCCACTTACCCAAAAGGCTCCCCCCATGCAACTTTGCATAATGTTACCGTGATCGATCAGAGACGGCTCGCAAATCAAAACTCGTTATTGATTGATGATTGATGCGGCGACAGCACCAAAGTACCAAAGTACTCGTCCTCGTAAGACGAGACGGCACCACTATTGTAAGCTTTTGCGTTTTGCCTTGCCTTGCTCTGCTTCATTTGTTGTTGTCTTGTCCCCGCCCTTGCTTTTGTTTTGTTTTCTCCATCGTATAGTAGACTCTCCAGCTAACCCACTCTTCTTCGTCTTCTCTTTTTTGCCTTCTCTGCAGAATAGAATCATCAATTCTCCAGCATCTTTTTGCGGACTGGTTCCATCTTCAGCCGTCCATAAGTCTCGACCACTTGGACGATTCCAAAGAGACAAAGAACGCCCTGAGGGATCCGCAGACGCACATATACCCATACCCGATCACACATACTACTAGCAAATAGTATACATTCGCAGAAGCAGATATCCTCCGCCGCAGACGCCCACCAGCCAATCGATTCGGCGGGCAGCCTCTATCGCTATTGTCCCCCTGGTCGGCAGTCCCTCTCCACCACCGCCACGTCACGCCTTGCGGCGGGTTAAAAAAAATTATGGCCAGCTTCATGTCGAGTTTCTTCCCCGGCAGCAGCAGCATCAGCAGCAGCAGCAGCAAGGACAAGCCGCCGCGGGCTGGTGACGCCGCGCCTCGCCCCGTCACCCCGACCATGAACAACATCAACAGCTTCATCAACCCTCTCAACACGCCGCTGGGAAGCCCCAGCAAGAAGACGATCCCGCCTGGCGCCCACGACCTCCCCACAGTTTTCGACACCGCTATGAACCTGAATTCTGCCAGCATCGAGACTCCCATCAAGCTGGCGCGCCCGCAGAGCGTTGTCGCTCCGCTTTCGCCCGGCAAGGCCAGCACCGTCCAGCCTCCCCCTCAGCCTCACGTCCAGCCTCTGTCCAAGCAGCCGATCGAAGAGCTCAGCGCTGCGGTCCAGGAAGCCGTACAAAACGCAACAAAGGGCAGAGCATCTCCCGGCAGAGCATCGCCTGGCAGGGCATCGCCTGGCACGCCCCGGAGGCGGCAGGCTCACGACAAGGACAAGGACAATGCGCCCGTGCCTCGTCTCGCCGCCCACGACCAGGACCGCCAACCCCACCACAGCCATGCCGCGCTCTCTCGCCAGCAGCTCTACGAGACCAAGGAGCGTCCCATCATCGCAAAGAGGTTCAACACGGTCCGTGGCTTGACGGACGAGGAGCGGGAGATTCTGCAGAGACCCAATGTTCGCCGAATGGTCAATGTAACGCAGTTATGTAAGTCTTGTGGCTTGAGTCTTGTGTGTTGTGTCCATGTGTGGAGGGGCAATATCCATTGTTTCTTTGATGCTGCATTTCTGCCGATTGACTGACTGATTGACTTTCCTCTCCGCCACCAGATTTCCTAGATTATTACTTTGACCTCCTCACATATGTCGGCGCGCGACAAAAGCGGCTGGCCGCCTTCAAGGCCGAGTTTCCAGCACCCCCCGAGACGGACGACGAAACTCACGGACTTATGTGGTCCAAGTATACCGGTCGAGAGCGAGCCAACCTTCGAAAACGCCGGATCCGACTGAAACAGGGCGACTTCCAGATCCTAACCCAGGTCGGCCAGGGCGGCTATGGCCAAGTGTTCCTCGCACAGAAAAAGGACACGCGGGAGGTGTGCGCCCTCAAGGTCATGAGCAAGAAGCTGCTCTTCAAGCTGGATGAAATCCGACACGTGCTCACGGAGCGCGACATTCTAACGACAGCCCAGAGCGATTGGCTGGTCCGGCTCCTGTATTCCTTCCAGGATGATAAGAACATCTACCTTGCCATGGAATACGTGCCCGGTGGTGATTTCCGTACCCTTCTTAACAATACTGGGGTGCTGTCTAACCGACACGCCCGCTTCTACATCGCCGAAATGTTCTGCGCTGTAGATGCTCTCCACCAGCTGGGCTATATCCATCGAGATTTGAAGCCAGAGAATTTCCTCGTCGATTCTACTGGTCACGTCAAGCTGACCGACTTTGGTCTCGCTGCCGGTGTTTTAGCCCCGTCAAAGATAGAATCTATGCGACTCAAGTTGGAGCAGGCCTCGGAGACTCCAGTACCCTTTGGCAAGCCAATTGGACAGCGAACCGTGGCTGAGCGTCGGGAGAGCTACCGGACGATGCGCGAGAACGATGTCAACTACGCAAAGTCCATTGTCGGCTCGCCCGACTACATGGCACCGGAAGTCCTCAGAGGGGAGGAGTACGACTACACGGTAGATTACTGGAGTTTGGGCTGCATGCTGTTTGAGGCACTCACCGGCTTCCCGCCATTTGCCGGCGCTACTCCCGACGAGACATGGCGGAACCTGAAGCACTGGAAGGAAGTTCTAAAGCGGCCCGTCTGGGAAGATCCCAACTACTTTTTGAGCAACCGGACTTGGAGTTTCATAACAACGTGAGCTACAACCCCCTACCCCTTTTTTCTCTTCATCCAACTTTTTGTACCCTCTAGCTAACACAAGAGAACCTGTCCTTAGGTGCATCAATTCACGGGCCAAACGCTTTTCCAACATTAAGGATATCTACGACCACCAGTACTTTTCCGAAGTCGATTGGGACACGCTGCGGCAGACGCGGGCGCCGTTTGTGCCGGAGCTGGACTCGGAGACGGACGCCGGCTACTTTGACGACTTCGGCAACGACGCCGACATGGCCAAGTACAAGGAGGTGCACGACAAGCAGGCGGCGCTGGAAAACATGGCCGAGCGTGAGGAAGAGATGAGCAAGAGCCTCTTTGTCGGCTTCACGTTCCGGCATCGCAAGCCGGCCACGGAAGACGGCGTTCCGCGGAAGCGCATCCCGACGGACGAGTCGTCGTTTGGGACCATGTTTTAGGGCAGACCAATGGGATACGAGTGGTGCTATCGCAGGGCTGCATTCCGCCAGACGAGGTTTTACTGACTTTTTTTTTTTTTTTGGTTGTTGTTTTTTGGCCTCTATTCGTTTGGCCTGTCTTGATATAACACGACTGCGTTTCTTTTTTGTTTCTTTTTCTTTTAATCATGTCATTTTGTTTTGCTGCAGCTTTGTTTGACCTGCTCTCTCTGGTTATGCTCTCTTCCTTTTTCCTTTTTTTTTTCTGGTTACGATACCCCAACGTGTCGACCATTGGCATCAAAAACCTCACGCTAACTACCTACTCCCTTTAATGTGCTACCAGCCATTTCTTTTCCCTTTTTCACTCTTCTTTCGTTTTTCTCTTGTTTTACATCTCTCGTCATGTGTTTTTGTAAATGGATTTTGGAGTTGCAGAGATGGATTATCGACCAAAAACAAAAAGACGCGCGGGTTTGGTGTGAGTCTGGCTTTCTCATGGTATAAAGGACGGCATGGGGGGGAGGGCGCGGACTGCCGGGTTGGCCGGGCTGGCATTGGGATTCCGGGGGGGCGGAAATTGATGCATTCATGTAGGAGTAACGAGCACGAGTATATGGTACACAGGTAGACAATTGAATGTATGGCTTTGCATGTGCTTTGTGTCTGGTCTTGTGGTCCTTGGAACTTGTCAGCATCAAATCGCAAACGTATGCCACCTTTTTCCAAAAAATAATCTGAATTTATTGTCGAATCTGTCTTCTGCAGAAGAACCTCCAATGGCATCAAAACATCTTTCCAACTCAAGTCAGCAATCAACAACTCCTCCCATCATTGCCCAGTCATTCAAAAACAACAGAGAGGCACCCAAACACAGATATAAAAATAAAAAGGAATCCTTGCGCCACAGCCAATCTCTGTCAAGTAGATAACCTTTCCCATCGAGTTCTCTCGTCAAGTATAAAAAAAAGGAAAAAGGCGAAACAAAGGAAAAAGTGGATATCCCTCATTCAAACATTGAAAAACAAGCCCAGATTAACGACAATAAGAGAAAAAGAAAAAAAGGCAGACTCATTCCTCCCGGGGCGCTGATTGAGAAGCAAATTGAAGGGCGCCCCCGAATATCCCAATTAATCTATGAATTAGTCATTCATTTGACAAAGAGGCAAAAGACATGCGGCACATGTATCAGCCAGCTTTCATCCTTCATCTTTAGTTCACATTTCAGCCACATGAGCATCTGTATCTTGCTTTAATGGGCCCAATGAGAGCAGTATATAGACGTCGAATCCAGTGTGTTGAGTCGTCGTCGTCGAAGCGCAAGAAGCCCCTTGGTGGGCGTCTCCTTTTCGATATCGTTGCGGGTATTAAACCAAAAACAACTCCAAATGAATTTCTCCACCCATATTTCCCGGATACAAAACCATCAACCCGTGAGAAATAGTCGTGCTAGCAAATAAAAATTCAGACCCAGGTATCATTGCTTGAACCAACACGCCGTGGAGATGCCCATTCTTATGCGCCCAATTTCCTCCATACCGCCCAAGACTCGTCTGCGTTGCTTGTTGCAAACGGCCTGCATTATCAGCCATTCGGCCAGCTCTTGAAATATTTGAATTTTCATAGGGCAAGGGATCCAACCAGTGGTCGCGCGCCGTTTGTTTCGTCTCAACACCTTAAAATAACTCCACAACTAAACGCAGTGGCCGTTACAGACTCATCGTCAGCCACTCCCATTCCTGAGGACCCGACGCGCCGCCGGCGCTGTTGACTAGGTTGGATTGGGCGCCGCCCAAATTCACCATGCTTGATCCCATCATGGAGCGTTGGCCCATGGAGAAGTTGCCGTTTGACATCATGGCACTGGAGATGGAAGGCATGCTGGGGGTCGGGCCGAGTTGTCGCCCAACCGGTTCTCCAGGGCTGTCAAGATCCATGGCCGAAGAGGAGGTGCCCTCGCTCTTGCTGTGTCTGCGCTGTCTCTTGGATGACGCCGTGGCCGGCCGGGACGTGGATGATGAAGCTCCGGCCCCGGGTCCCGGTGTTGTTTTCAGTGGTGCAGCGGCGATTGGTACAACGCCTTTGCCGCCCACTATGGTGGCTCCTCCGTACTGGCTGCCCGGTGTGCTGCCTGCGGTGTGCTGCCCGCTACTGCTGGGGCTGTCGGCCTCTCTGTTGCTGCTGGGACGAGTTGCCGATGGAGGCGTCGTCACTACTTGATTGGTCGACGCGGCAACGGCCGCGACGGCTTGCGCAGCGGCAGACATGGACAATGTTGAGTTTTTCCTAGAGGCAGCATTGGAGCCAGTGCCCGAGTTCTTCTTCCTTGATCCTCCGACAGGGAGGTTGGCGCCGGACCCTCTGTTTCGCTTCTTGATGACGTCTGTCTTCAAGCTGAGGGGCCGCACGACACCGTGGAGCTTTAGGAAGAGGCCACACGCATTGCAGAGAGGCTGACCCTCGGGATTTCGTCTCCACAGCGGAGTCGTCTGGGTGAAGCAGTTGGTGCAAGTGGTGGGAGTGCTGCTCTCTCCTGGATTACCACTAACCGCATGCAGATTGGTCGATGAGCCATGCTTGGAGCTGGGGGGCGGTGAAGTTGGCCTGCTCGGCGCAACCGACGAGAAGCCCGAAGCGGTTCCTGGGGCATGGCCACCCGGAGAGCTGGGGAGGGACTGGGCGATTTGCTCGAACCCGCTGTGCTTGGCGGCCATGTGCGAGGGCGTGGATGCGTTTCGGGGAATTCTGTTCTGTCGCTTGTCGTTGCCCAGGCCAAGCGATTGCGAATGTGATCGGCTCAGGCTGTGGCCGTCCCAGTCGCCACTGGTGTCGACGTAATCAGTCGTGATGCCACCGATCTGAACTTGCTTGCGAGGTGGGCCACCGGGAAAGCGAGCAGCTTGGGTACTGAACTGCCCCGGGAGTGAGGCATCCCAGCCAAAGGACCCAGCCTCGTCGACGGCGGACGTGAAATCGCCGTGGAGGCCAACGCCGCCGCGGTCTAAAAAGGCATTGCTATCGTCTTCATCAGACTCGCCTCCAAAGCCAAGCATGTTTCCTTGCTGCATTGGTAATACAGGAGACGCGACCTGCGAATCCGTCTGGAAAACTTGGCTTGGGTCAATGTGCCCAAAAGAGCTTTGGGCGGTGCTGTATGCCGGCACAGCTTCTGAGCTTGAACTCGTAGAAGGAAAGGCAGCGCTGTTGCCGTTGCCGTTGCCGCCACGCGCACCATTGGAATCACCGTACATGAACTGGTGGTTCATGTGATGGCTTATGTTGGAGGAGCTTTGTCGGAAGCCCTGTGCACGGTGGTGGTGTTGGGGTGGCTGCATATCCTGGGAGCCAAAATAGACGCCATCACCGTCGGGCATGGGAGTAGACGTGGCAGACGGATAGCCCGAACCAGTTGGAGAGTAGAAATCGGGGTTGTTGAGAGAGGACTGCAGCGTGGCGTTGTTGTATATGGACTGAAAGGGTCCATTGTGCATCATGGGAGAAGTAGAGGGAGAGAAGGAGAAGTTGGATTGGAAGTGGCCGGAGCCAAGGACATCACCGTCCATAAACGCATCCAAGTTAAAGGCCGAGCTTTGGTTGTTGGCCATTTGCTGCTGCATGGGCATTGCGTTGGAGTTGTCGAGGGAGTATCCATTGAGCTCCGAGTCGTCCAAATCGAGGTTGAGGCCAGATGAGCTTGTGTTGATGGCACTCACATGAGGAGAGAAGTTGGCAGGCCGTTTCCTCGTCTTTTTCTCCATTGTTAGCAGCGTCGACAGCGGGAAGAGAGTGTGTATAATGGAATAATGTTGATAATTCTTGTGGAAAGAGAGGAGGGGTTGTGGGAGAGGGCAACTCAATGCAGGCCCCAGATAATAAAGTATAGGGCTGTGCAAAGACGTCCCAAAGAACAAACTTTTGGGGTACTTTGTGATGGGGAAAAGGCCATAGTTTTCTCTTTGAAAAAAAAATTGACTCACTCGGCGGTCGTCTATACTCGTCTTCCTGTCATGTCGAGGGACGTAATGAAATTCATCATTGTGTCCCCGCTGGTGAGGTGGCGGCGCAGGGACGGACTGCGCGACGAATTGATTGGTAGAACCCTTGCGGCCCTTGATGGGGATTGCAGAAGCCAGCGGCTTGGATGATTTGCTGGACTTGATGGCAGCGGTCTGCGGGCCGGAGAGAGACGACGCAGGAGGCTGCGGTGAGTTGTCGTTGATGGAAGCGCCTCCCTCTTCGGCGAAGATGAAGTCGTCAAGGTTCATGGCATCCATGCCCTGCGCATGGATGTCGGACGTCTTTCGCAGCTGCTGGGCAATGCCGCTGGGGGCGTTTTGCGGATGAGATGGCTGAGAAAGAGATCTGCGAGGCGAGGAAAAAGGAAAACAGAAAATATGTCAGCCAGTGCCGGGATGATGTGATGAAGAGCGAACCCGCTCCGCGCCCCCCCAAAGGAGGAGCCAAGCCATATGGAGCCTTTTAAAGGGCATCGATGCAAGAAACGCCAGACCAATCAAATGGACATGGCGAGGCATGAGACGGGGGAGAGAAAAATATAATACCTGTTGTGCATCTTCTGCTGCTGCTGTTGCTGCTGACGCCTGCGCAGGTTAAGAGCCATCATGCGCCACGTCAAGTTCTCCATTCGCTGCTGGTTCGGCAGCTGCTGCTTGGTCTTGGTGAAGAACTTCCAGATCTGGGCAGCTAGCGGATCTTCGCTCTGCATCTTGTCGAAATCGTTGTCATTAGACGAGCGGGCCTCCACCTTTTTGAAGCCGTCAAACAGGGCGGCGTTGAGGATGTTGTCTTTTGACGAGGAAGAGGCCGTCTGGCCGCTCGTCATGACGGTGGCGGCATTGCCGTTGGTAAGTGCGACATGGCCGTCTTGCGAATCCATGCGGGCGAAAATGCGGTCGGTACTTCGATGGGGATCGGGTCTTCGCGGGAAGCGGTAATCGTGTTCTGTGACGGTCGGGTGCATCGCAATCGGGCTGACAACTGCCATGGATTGCGGGAAGCTATGGAGAGAGAGCGACGCTTGGTGAAGATTGGGGGACCGGAATAGATACGGCCTTGCTGAGTACGTCTGTTGTACGGTCTGTATGTAGGATGATGCGAAGCCGAGTGGAGGGGTGACAAGAGACGATTAAGAAAAAAAAAAAAAAAAGAGCAACGACCCCTGTAGCGCTGCTTGATGGCGGCTGGCCTGTGACAGGCGAAAGTAGGTAGAGAGGGAAGGGGAAAAAAGCTGGCGACCGCTGCTTGTATGAGTGAATTGGGAAAACGGCCGCACTCTGGCCGGGCGGGTCCTTCTTGGGCAATCAACAGCTTGTGGTTGTATGTTCAGCAGGCGTGTACCAAGTACGAGCGAGTGCTGTGGCAGCGGCAGCAGCAGCTTTCACCGTCAGCAGTGCGTTAGTTGAGGTAGGACTGGACGGCCGAAAGAGGGCCTCGGTGTGGGCTCAGATCGAGCGAGAGCGGCTGCCCTTGTCTTGTCTTGACTTGTCCTGTCTTATCCCGAATGTCTGAGGGGAGAGACGAATCGAGTCGAGATGCGGCGGGTGCGGGCGAAAGCGGTGATGGCCGTTTCGTTGTTTTGTTTCTGGTCTGTTTCTTGGTTTCACCATCACATCGAGTCGAGTCGAGTCGAGCGAGATGCGGGAAATATGGTCCGAGTCACAGACAGAGCGTGATGCTCCGATTGTAGGCAATTAGCAGCAGATGGCTAGAAGCAAAAATGGAGACGTCAAGATGGAGACTGACCGATAATACTCCCGTCCCCGTACCTGCCGCGCTTTCTCATGATTACAGACAGATGCCTGCAGCGCCGTCTACTTGGAGGGTGGGTAGCGGTACTTGTTGCTGCTACTTACCTGTACTCTCGGGCTGTCGGGGAGGAGGAATCATGGCGTGGGCGGGAGCGCGGCCAAGTACCCATACCTGAGATTGGAGTACCGGATATCGACATGGAAAGGACCAACCCTCGTGGCTCAGAGCCGTCGGGTCCCACCAAAAAGTACGGAACTTGTACATGTACAACGCCAGGGACCTCTGCCGGGTGTGCTCTTCTATTTTTCGCCCCCTTCCCTTTGTTTGCCTTTAGGTTGCTATTACGCCCTGAGACAGTTTGCACATGTTTGATGATAAACACATGGCAGAAGCCTAAGCAAATAACCAACTAACCATAATCATCTCTCGTGTTTCCCAGGCGCTCAAAAATGGAAACAAGACGCATTACGAGCACGGGGCCGAGGCATACGGGTACTGTAAGTGCTAGTAGCAATTTGGCTGCCAAGGGTATCGTATACGGTACTGCAGACAAGTGTCTCTTGTACCGAGAACGGAGTCGTGCTTGCTGCTAAATGGGCTCCACCGCCTGGCCCCACCATCCCGAACCCTGAGACATTCCGTTCGTGGTAGTGCAAGTCGGTCGTTTTTGCTGAGCTTGGATTCGATTCTTAGTACCTGTATTTGCTAGTACGAGTATTTGGCACAGCTGATGATTTCCTGGCAAATGGCAACACATTGTTCGTCGAGGTGGGCAAGCGTGATCAGCACAGAAAGCAGGAGAGCGTAGCAAATCACACTCTCGGGCAAAGAGGTTGCAAGGTACCTACCAGGTAGGTGCTGTTGCAGAGCGGGGGAAGAACCAGGCGTTTTCCCTGCCTTGCTTCAGTTCAGTTGATCAGATGAATGTACTCCGTACTTGTACTCCCGTACTCGGCAATTGCTGGCTCTTCGTCTTGTCTAGACTGCAGCTGAGCACATGCAGCGCTACTACTTGCTGCCGAAGAAGCCCAAACTCATCAATGTCCATGTACATGGTACCATGACACTACCTAGGTAGGTAGCTAGCATGTGCTTCTGATTTGCAGCAAACTGCTACCAGGTATAGGGAATATATCCATTTGCAGAACAACCGCTCAGCCAGCCCCACGATGCGCAATAAAGGCCGTGTCTCCCGTTCCGACTCGCTCATGACGAGAGCATCATTTACGATATATTGGGTACCATTGAAGACAGGGTTTCACTCACGATGGAGGCGGGCATGCAACGGGTTGTCGACCCTAGTCCGTCTCTGCGCTGCCTTGTGGGGGCCTGGGCGTGGGGGAAGCAAAGAAAAATAAATGAAATTGCAATACTATTAATTACTGCTATTAGTAGTACAGAAAGCTCGCGTCAAAGATCAGCTGCAGTGCCTCCTTACGCTTGACGGATTATTCTGTTGGCAGACACGGAGTAATACCCCGTGGAGCTGTCTTGGTAGCTCGCTCGCGGCGCCTGGATAGGTACCTACCTAAGAACTCCGAATGTACCCATATTATATGGAGTATTGGTACCTTGCCTTGCCAACTTGCTAAAATCTATCGAATCAACGGGAATAATGAAGTCGCTGTCGACGGAATATCTACTGCTAGTACCTGGTAGCTTGCGGGCGACTCCATTGACAAGAGGCCGCTCGTACGGTAATACTCCGCAGGACGCAGATTGCCCTCTTGGCGAGCGTGGACGCCCTCGATTGAATTTAGAGCCATCAGTCATGGCTATTAGTAGCAGTATGACTACTCCATTACGGCATTACGGTGTTGACAAGTTGGGAGCAGCCATCAGCACCAGTGCGTGGTGGCGCTACGGTACTCTATACTCTTGTGGCCACCATGTTGCAGTCTTTTGTATTGGTACACGCAGCTGCGGCGCATGGTCGCATGCACACGAGGTCAACTGTACGCACCGAGTCCCGGTCCAACCCTGAATCGAGCGTGGCCACCCAGCGCCTCTTCCATTACAAATTCTGAAACTGGCAGCTCTGTAATAATCATTGCCATGCCACTTTTTCCAACGTAGGGCAATGCAAATGGATGAACCTGTGGCGTCTCGCGAGGCCGAGCCAAAGAACGTGCAGCATGTAGCCGGTACTAAGCAAAACCACAACAAACCACCATAGGTACTCGTTCAGCTGTCTCGTGGGCGGTACTGGGTACTCCGTACTTGACGCAGCCCATGCGTCCGCTCTTGTTTCTTATCTGCTAGCGGCAAGCTTTATCTCGCTGACCACTTTCTCTGACATGTGCTTGCGGGCCTGTCTCTGTCTCCAAGCGTCTCCAAGCCCCTCCAGCCCCTCCGATCTCGACTCTGCAACTCGTCTCGTCACTCGCTCACACACTCACGCACACTCACACACCCTCGCACGCTGCTTCTCTTGTCTTTGCCCTAAAACAGCTCCAACCAGCTCCCCCTCCTCGTTTCCCCTCCCCCTCCCTTGCAGCTCTCGCGACCGTCGAGCCTCTTTTTTCCCCGAGCCTCTCCCTCGAACCCTCGAAACCTTGGCTGGGCACCCCCACCCTTTAGCTGGCAACTGGCCGGTTCGTTCTCGTGCATCGGAAGCGCCAGCCCTTGCGCATCCATCGACCAGGGCCGCTCAGTCCGGCAAAAAGGCTGCAGAGGCACCAATCATGGCATTGCGGCGCCGCCATTGGAGGAACATGGCCGGTGCTAGCTGAGAGAGGCAAGCCGTCGGTACATGGACTACGGCCGCTGAGCAACTATTGTCTGTCCCAAGCTGTCCCCAAGTCATTTCCAAGGTTCTTGATGGACAGAGTGCTACCCTGCGCTCCCACGTTCTATCGAGCAGCTAACGAGCCGTTGGCAGGGTGCTCGGGCGGGCGGGCTTTAGCCATGCGTGCGTGCGTTGCGGCCCAGCCAGCTCCAAGCAAGGGAGACGATGAAGAAAAGTGCCTTTGCCCTGCCCGAACCACCAAGCACAAAACAAACACGACAAACTGCTTGCTCGTGTCACTGTACTCGTTCTTACTCGCTCGTACGCAGTACAATACAGTATAGTACGCGTACATGTACCCACGATACGACTCGCCACAGGCTACTTATTTCGTGCATTACGGTACCCGTCCGCTCCCCCCAGAACGAGGGTGCCGTGCGTATACGCAAGTGCCCTCGTTACGGAGCACTACTCTCGCCTCGGGACCTTAACCCCGAAGACGACACCCATTCTTACCCGGCTCGCTCTTCCGCGATCCCTCGTGCCTCTCTATTTTTACCCTGCTGGAACGGCGGCTCACCGATTTAGGCTCATTGAAGGATCCTGCGAGTGGCGTTCCTGCCGGAGCACCCCCACTCGGGCCAAGGACGCAAAAAGGCTGCCTGCATTCTGCTCGATTGGCTGGCCAGTTGCATGTTGCAGCTTGCGTGTTGCATGATGGTCGTCATAGTACATGGCCAATAGACATCACCAGACCGACCTCGTCGTCAGATAGCCCGGCCACCGGATACAGGTACGATCTGGGAGGCTGCATTGATTGATTCATATCCCGTCTAACCCGGGCTGCTCTTGTGCAACGTACTGTGCTCGTACGTCTTCTTGACATTCCCCTGTGCTCCGCACGAGTCGTCAACCGCTTGGCAGATCAGCGTGGCGAAGATGACCACAGCCTGCCTGTACAAGCACTATACCTGATGCTGCTCGGCTCACGCTTACGAGCACATACTACCGCTCACCTGATGGTCTTCGCCATCTTCGTATAGACGTGAATATCATAACCCAGAGGCCGGCTATTCTCCAGCTGAGTTGGCAATGATTGACGGGCGCCGGGCTGGCCTGCTTTTGGCGATGCACGTTCCAGCCGCTACCTAATGCTAACCAACTCCGTGTCGTTAGGGTATTAGGGCCGATACATCCTAGCTAGCCTTTGCAATTCCTTGGAACGGCGTCAAGCGCTGTGTCTCTCTTGTGTCTCAAGCAATCAAGGTCCAAGTTGTTGCTCGGGCATTGGACCCTACATGCATATCGGCATCAGACGAATCCAGGTGTTTCATCTCCGTTGGCACGGCTGTGGAAAATTTGCACATTGCCATGTCTCAGCCTCCTCCTAGCGTCCGCGTCGTGTCCTCGTCCTCTATTTATTGTTTACTGGCATTATACTCGGTGCTCGACAGCCACAAGCCAAGCCGCCTCGAAATCCCGAGTTTCTGGCGTCCACGTTCTGGGGGCTGTCAATTGAACGCCACAGAAAACAATACTTCAAGGCTGTTTTGTGGGCTCATAGCTGAGCATGCAAGGACCGACTAGATCAAATACTTGGTCAGCCGGACCATAGTCAAGCGCCACCAGCTAATAGATCCAGGGTGTTGGACGAGCACAGCATTGAGGCTCGGATATTAACAATCCCACGACGTCTCTTCTCTTCCAATTTTTTCCCCCTTGAGTGGGCTGTAAGGCCTATCGATAATCTCGCTTTGCTGCAGTGCGTTGAAATCTGTTGTTGCACTCGGTCTGATCTGCCGAGGCACCCAACGGAAGCAGACATTCCGTCTCATCTTTGAACAAAAGCGGTTGATTTGACGGGCGGAAGCGTCAAAAGCTGTCGGCAGTTGTCCGCCACAATGTTTAGCCGCAGACCTGAAAAGCCCTATTTTCCCGCCTTGGCTACTTGATCCTGGTGTCGTTTATACAAAGTTACACGAGTTCTAGCTCGAGTTCTAGACCGAGTCGTCTGTTAATCGATTGGCTTGTGAGAGATGTGGCTATTTACATTTGAAGCCCCTTGGTGAAAATGGGTTCGGATGCATGGAAGCCTGTTTGCTCAGCGCGCTTGACCAACAGCTTGTGCACGCCCGACTGCAGTCTGTTGACCTACAGTACTCCGTATACTTCGACCAAAAGTCGCTAGAGCTCGGATAGAAATTCGGTGATGCTCCCTGAATAGTGGGTTACGAGTTGTTCATGGGCAACCGCTTTCGTTGCGGTAGTGGTCCCCCGAGCTCAAGCTTTTTGTGAGCGAATCACTTCGTTTTAAACCCCGTGTATTTGCAAGCTCGAGCGGATGCATGTCGTAGCAATCTTGTTTCATCGTGGCATACGCTCTGGGCTCTAGATGGATCCTCTGGAGTAAATATACATGCTCGTATACTCTTGTTGGCCACTATCTGGTCAAAGCGACATGTCAGTCAACGCCCTTGCGGTTGGCAATCGATCGTGGCGATCGATCGCTACTCTTTGCTCAGCCTATAGCAGACCATGAATTGTTTACTTAACAATTCGCTGGCACTATCCACAGCGAGTCGATCATTGCTCTTTCTGTGGGTGGAGAGGTCAAGTTCTTTCAACCGTGTCGACGAGCAAACAAACTGAGTTGCGTTCCCTTATCCGAGCGTCGGTTCAGATATGCCCTCTCAGTGCCAGAGAGGGGTCTGTGAGAGAATGGGATAAAAAATAACAAGATACATGGCTGCATGGTCGAAACATATGAGAAGAGGGAAGCTTTTCCAGTATATGAATCGATTATTTATCACCAATGGGAGCGCCGCGCGTTACTCGCCATTCCAGTCGCTTCCCTTTCATCCAGCTGGAAAAACTCTCTCTCAATGAGAGGCCTTTGGTTGATCGCAGTAGCGACGCTACGTCTATTCACAGTGGCTGATGGGGCTGTTGCACGATCTCTCCAACACCAACTTCCAATTCACCAGGTCGACAGAGATGTCCAGCCGCCAGCAATCCCCTTGCAATTGAAAAACACGGCGCCAGGAACACCAATCAAGCCAGGCACGGAGCTCCGAATTCTTGCGGTGGGAGACTCAATAACCTATGGGTTCCTGAGTGACCAAGATGACGGTGATGGAAATGGATACAGACTGCGGCTCCGGCAGTATCTTTCGAGTGAGACAAGAAGCCTGGGTTGGAGCTGTTTTACCCCGTATCTTGTTGCTGATGCTCGACGTGCAGAAGACAAGGTTGTATACGCAGGAACAGAGACATCGCCAACGGGTAACATGACGGATGGCTATTTTGTATGTACCCGCGATTGATGTTTGTCGAATCACTGGCTAATCGATCATCGCATCAACACCAGGCTGCTTGGAACGGTAAAACAATCCAGTACATCGCAGACCACGTTGGTCCGTCGCTTGAGCAACGACCAAACATCATCCTGCTTCACGCTGGAACAAACGATATGAACCCCAACAGTGCCATTTCCACAGAAGGTCACGACCCTGTAGCCGCATCTGAGCGGCTCGGGAGCTTGATTGACAAGATGACTGTGGCGTGTCCCGACGCCGTTATCCTCGTCGCCATGATCATCGGAACCTGCAACGCCGAGCAATCTCCGCAGACCAAGGTGTTCCAGTCGCTAGTCCCCAAAGTGGTGACGCCCAGGCTTCAAGCCGGCAAACATGTCCTGGCGGTGGACTTTTCGACGTTTGGGCTCGGCAACCTGAGGGACTGCATACACCCGACGAACCAAGGATATCAACTGGTTGGGTACTACTGGTATGACTTTATCGCGCAGATTCCGCGGGACTGGATCACGGCGCCGGTAGGGAAAGATCCTGAGAGAGAGGAGAGTTTTGCTCGGCGATTGCACGCCGATACGCCTTTGTTGGGAGTCTTGTGTCTGTTAATCGTGTTGATGTATGCTTGAGGGTAGCTTGTGCCCTGCTCCTGTTTGTATTTGAAAAATATTCCCTCTTCCTTGGTCTTTTTTTGTTGGAGAGATTTCTGGATACAGAAAATCATATACTCATGCCATTTTTGGTGTTGCATAGAGCCTGCTGTCAAGGCCCAGATATTCATAAAGGGTATCGCCAACCTGCCAACGTCGAAGATGATCCATCATGCAGGCTTTGTATATAACCGATATATAGCAAACCTTGGGTTAATTTGGATTTTTTTTGGAGTCCTGAATTGTGATTGTATGTTGATGCCTGAGAAGTTGTTGCCTGTACTTTTGCATCGCCAGAGCAGAAGCTGTTAGTCATCAAGCAGTTCCCTCAGCCCCGCCATGGCCTCCAAAAAAAGCAGTTGACATCCCCTAACTCGGAAAGATACAAACCCATTTACAAACCAGAAAAAACAACCACGACTTTGCAACACGCTCCTTGACATCTGCCCCAATTGCTGCCATTGCATATACAGCAAGCAAAAGGAAAATTCGACGAGAATAGAGTCGCATTCGATCTATTTCCATTTGCGTTCAAGCAAGCATCAGAACGTTTGCGACCCAGCTAAGCAAGCTCCATCTGCAACTTGCCGAGCATGCCAAAAGAGAAAAACTACAACCCGGTGCAAGCCCAGCGCAAGGCTGACAAGGCTCGCGAGGTCAAAAAAGGTAAGCAACTCACTTGTACAGCTTTGGCGGAAGGGAGAAAAGAAAAAAAGAAAAAAGAGTCATCTAACAAGCAATTTTGCGCCTCGTCTATAGGAAAGGCCGAAGCGCAAAGCCGGCGAAATGAGAAGCTCGCGCGCAAGAACCCAGACCGAATCCAGAAGCAAATCGACGACCTCAAGGCCGTGACCGCGGGTGGAGGGAAGCTGACGCGTCACGAGGAACAGGTGCTTGAGGGCCTGGAGAAGGAGCTCGCGTCGGTGCGCAAGGCCAGGGACACGCTGGGCGACAAGGCGCCGAGCTTTGGGCGCGGCGGCTGGAGGAGGGACGGCGATGGGTCGAGGTCTGGGCCGCTGGGCAAGCGGCGGCGCGGCGACGACGACGGGTCGAGCAGCGATGAGGATGTTGCGGAGGATGTGAGGAGCATTCCCATGCCGAGAGACACGCCGCCGCCGATACCAAAGGCCGAGATGGACAAGTGGTACGCGAAGCGGAGGGCGAAGCGCAACGCCGAGAATGCGGCCAGACGACGCGACGCGGGCGACAACGAGGCTCAAGACGGCGGCGAGGAAAACGACCGAGGCAAAGGCAAGGAGAGAGAACAGAGGAATGCGGCGCCGGTGGTGGAGTCGAGGACCGTCTACGAGGCAAAGCCGGTGGTGCGAGATCTGCGGAAAGAAGCCGTGGCCGCGTTTGTTCCCACGTCAGTGCAGATGAAGATGAGCAAGGGCAAGGGACAGGGCGGACTGATGGAGCCAGAGGAGGCCGATCGGCTGGAGAAGGAGGGATACCTCAGGGTGGCTTCAGGCAGTGGGCAAGACGGGGCCGAAGCAGAGGAAGGGGAAGAAGAAGCCGAAGCCGAAGCCGTGCTTTCTCGGCATGTCGTGATGGAGGAGGTGGAAGACGAAGACGCATAAAGGGCGTCATTTCTACTACCTCGTTTTTGCCTTGCATGGTTTGGCGTACTCTGGGTTATGGTTCATGGCGTATTTTTTGAGTTTTCTGGGGACAAACAAATCAAGCTCATGGTGTTGAGCCTCATGTGGGATGGATTAGCAAGACATGTCCAGTTGTAGTCCAATTCCCAACTTTTTCTGAGACGTCAGTAAATCGATCATGATGCCCACGATTTGAATCTCCCAACCACAATAGACGGGAGTCTTGCAGTCCTCCTGAGCTGAGATTAGGTAAAGTTAGGCAATGCAGATGATATGAGCCTCTCGGATGATATTCCCCATGTCTCGCAGCAACAAAAATCTCGGCGGCGCAAAATCCTGTCTCAGACCCAAAGACAAACCAACCCCTGAACGCCTAGACCACCCTTCTTTTCCTTCATCTGATTTTTTCTTTCTTTTTTCTCACCTCTTCCTTGGCAATGGCAGTTACCATTCGTAATATTTTCCGATATATACGAACCTTCTCCAGAATATTTTTCTCTTCCGCCCCCATCCATCCTCCACAATGGAGACTTCCGATAGGTGGAGAAGCCCGGAGTGCTCCGTCTCCCGTCCGTGGTGAAAAAAACCATCTCCAAGCGCCGCTAAATTTCCCAGCAAATGGAGTCCTCTCGGTCTCTCTCGGTAGGGCGGGCTGAGCGGGCGGATCTCAAATTAGTCAATCTTTATTATTCGAAGCAGATGCTTAATCACGGGCATCGTGCGTATGCATGACGGAGACGGGGGACTCGCTCAATGGATGCTGGAGCGCGAAGAGGCGAGGCGGTTGACCTTTGGAACTGCAACTAAGGCCGGCCCAGGGGAGAGAGACATATGGAGAGAGGAAGAGAGCCGAATACGCCATTTCGAAGACTGCTGATATAATGGCAATTCCCAGCTTATCAATCGATGATCACACAATCACAAGCCTGTTACCGGCAATGAAGCCGACAAGGCAACGGCATAAGAAGAGCGAGAGGAAAAAAAGAGGATCTCCTGTCAGGGCGGGCGGGTGGTGGAACTGGCGAGCAGCAAATGGCGAGTTTCCATTACCTACACTCGGCCATTTTGCCATGATCTCGGCATAGCGAAAGCTTCAAGCTGGGGGAGAGGGTTCCACTCCGACGAACGGCTCTCGCCCCACGCCGCCCACGGATATAAAGGCCAGAAAAAAAAAAGGTACCAGCTATTAAGTAGGGTGGTAAGTAGCCGTAGGGCGCCTGTTTGACATTTTGCATGGGCACGACATCAAAAGTAACTGGGCCTCTCACCTCCTCCTTCTCTTTCTTGCTCATCATCATCCTCCTTTCTTGGTTGGCTTTTGTTAGTTGCGATATTTTGCCTCGGCTGGCAACCAATTTGATACTTTTTGCCGGCGATTTGTGTCTGAGTCGGTGTATAAAGAGTTTGAAAGTTTGAGATCAAGTTGATTCCTCTTCAACAAGAAACTTTCTGGGGAGGAGGAAAAAGGAATAAAGGCAACCATGGACGCCCGCCGAGTCAACTCAAGAGCGATTCACGATGACGCCGAGCCCCAACCCGAGTTCAACAACTCTGGGTCATCGGACGACAAAGACTTTGTAGACGTTGGAGAAAAGGGTACCGCCGCAACAGATGAAAAGCAACAACCACAGCAACAAGTCAACGATGACCTAGAGCGTCAACAGACGATGAGATCGACGGCATCCTATCAAGAGACTTATCCAGAGGGCGGACTCCAGGCATGGGTTGTCGTGGCCGGCTCTTGGTTCGCCATGATTGCCTCCATGGGTCTGATGAACAGCATCGCCGTCTTCCAGGCCTATACGCTCAGCCACCAGCTCAAGGGCCACAGCGAGGGCACCGTCGGCTGGATCTTCTCGATTTACACCTGGCTGGCCTTTTTCGGTGGCGTCTATATCGGCCCCGTCTTCGACAAGTACGGGCCAAGGTGGCTGGTCATCGCCGGATGTGCGTGTACCGTGGGGGCCTTGATCGGCATGAGCTTTTGCACAGGCAAGTATTGCTCTTCTTGCCTTTGTGCCACACATCCCGTCTTCTCTCTTGTTCTCCTCGTTCCGTTCCGTCCCGTCCCGTCCTCGTGGCTAACTCGAAACCCCCAGAGCTTTGGCAATTCATCCTATCCTTTGGCATCCTTGGCGGCATGGGCACGTCACTCACCTTCACCCCGTGCATCGCCGCAGTAGGCCATTGGTTCAAGGCAAGACGAGGTTTCGCCACTGGGCTTGCATCAACGGCAGGAGGCATCGGAGGCATCGTCTTCCCCCTCATGCTCACTGCCTTGTTTGAGCGCATCGGCTTTGGTTGGGCCACTCGAGTGCTCGCCTTGATATGCCTCGTGTGCGGGCTCATAGGCATCTGCCTCGTCCGATCCCGTCTTCCTCCGGCCAAGAACGCGACAGCTCATCCCGATTTCCGCATCTTCCGACAGATTCCCTTCCTCCTGACAACTCTGGGTGTCTTCTTGTTGGAGTTCTCCCTCTTTATCCCCCTGACCTACATCGCCACCTACGCACAGGACCGGGGCTTTGACGATGCGTTTGCCTACCATCTCTTGCCAATCATGAATGCCGGCTCCGTGATAGGACGAGCGCTGCCGGGATATTACGCTGACGTTGTTGGAGCTTTCAACGTGTGCCTCTTTTCCGTGGTGCTCTCTCTGGTCTCTTGTCTCTGTGTGTGGCTGCCCCTGGGTCACACAAAGGCGGGCATCATCATCTTCTCCCTGCTCTTCGGCTTCGGCAGCGGCAATAGCATTGCCATTGCGCCGGTTTGCATTGGCCGGATGTGCAAGACGCAGGAGTACGGTCGGTACTATGCCACGACCTATACTGTTGTATCTTTTGCGTGCTTGATTGGCATCCCCATTGCCGGCAGCATCGTCCAAGCCGATGGCGGCTCCTACACGGGGCTCATCATCTTCACTAGCTGCATCTACGTGGGCTCAGCAATCCTCCTCATGCTCGCCAAGACATGGCAGCTAGGCTGGAAGAACTGGCTTGCTGCGTATTGAGACAAGTCGTCATCAGTCTCCTCTCACGGACACACGATTTGTAGGCACAATCACCTGCCTTTGTTCCTCTTGTGGTGAATTTGAGAGGACCAGCAGCTGGTTTATTATGGCTCATTTCATTGATAGATATCCACTTGGTTTTGGCGCTGGTGTTTCGGTTGATTATGAAAAAGGAAAAGCAACTGCACATAATGGGGGAAGAGGCCATGTTTCACTCGCATCGCATTTTTTTTGTTTTGTTTTTTTTGTAGCAGAGAGTTATGCAGGGTTATCTAGGTCGCATATAGAAATGACGAAAATTTGATGAAAGCGAATAAATAGTTGAAAATACTTAATGAAGTTTGTTTTACTTTCTCGTCCGCGGTGCTGGGTGGTATCATGGTGCCTATGTGCCTTTATATCGGATCTCCTATATTCGGACTTCCGATTTTGCTTTCTGCTGTTCTTTGTCAGTTCTTTTTCTGCTTTTCTAAATCCAATTCGGCGGTCCAATTCGCCACTTATACAAGAAAAAGAAAAGAAAAAAAAAAGCCGCTCTTGTCTCGTCTACTGCTTCTCAGCGTTGTTTGACTTTGCAATGTGAGCATCGTGAAGTTCTGCTACAGCTGGTATAATCAAAGCTTCAATCTCCTCTTCTGGATCTCCCTCTGGCGCCTCGTCCGGTCGTAGCGGCCTCCCCTCGGCATCGCCCCAGCCGCCGTGCCGAGCCACGCGGAGCCAGCGGTCTTCGCGGCCTGGGGCAACAAAGACGACCTCCCACTTGCGCGTCGAGAGGAGGTTCCCGACGACGAGGTGGTGCTGGTAGCGCTCAAGGCTGTACCGCGCTTTGTGCACGAGGATACGGGGATCTGTCTCGAGCTTGAAGCTGACAATCATGCCCAAGGGAGCCCAGCCCTCGACAAGACTCTTGAGGAACTTGGGGACAGGATCGAGATCAATAATAAGGCGCTTGGAACGCGGCACACGAGGGGAGGCATCAAAGTTGTCAAATGTCTCCTCGTCCTCTATTTGTGGTGATGGTGACGGCGACGACGAGTTCTTGGGGTACAGCTTCTCAACAATATTGGTCGACTGGATCTTATGCTCCGAGAGCCGCTCGGGTGGGACGAAGAAGTCTGACACGGCCGCAGCAAGATAGAGCAGGCCGGATGAGCCCAACGGCGCCATAAGCCGGGCCACGGCGCGGAGCTCGTGCAGGTAATCGCCGATGGTGACAAAGGGCAGCAGCAGGAGCATGTTGTTGCGGCGGGCGCTCTGGTACTTGCGCAGGACGTCGAGAATCCTGTCCGAGTCGTCGGGCCGCACGGCGACGCGGCCGTCGGCATCCTCATGGAGGAGATCGAGTAGGCAGTCGGTGGAGTGGGAGTAATGGCGAGAGTAGGGGAGCAGGCTGAACTGGCGATGGAGGAAGATGACTGCATATCCAGCAGAGAGGAAGTACTCGGCGCTGGTAGCACCACGGGTACCAGCAGAGAAGTTCTAGTTGGGTTCGGTTCAATTCAGCACAGTACTTGTCGAAATTGATTACAAGCGCCAGGACAAGGCAAGTATGTCACATACGTCAATAAATCTCACAGTATTCTTCTCCAGCGGAACCGTCGTTCCTCCCGAGGTGACGAGCACAACGCGCCGGTTGGCCGCGGCATGCTGCGTTATGAAGGCCTCGGCCAGCGCAGCATGAGCGGCAAGCTGCTTGGGAGGAGGATTTGTGGCGAAGTAGGCGTCCTCGGCCTGCAGAGACTCCGTCGCAGACATTGTTGCGATTTTGGTCTTGAGTCTGAGTTGAGGTGAAGTTGCAGGAAGACGGATAGAGTTGGTTAAGCCGAGTTGAGCTTCCAAGGTAAACTACTAGGGATGGCGGGGTTTATCTGATAATATGCAAGTCAAAATCCGGAGCAGGCAAGGGTAACTTGCGCCTGAGTTAAGCCACCGTTGTAACTTACACTTTGAGAAAAATCAAATACCTAAATAGGAATTGATTGCAAATAATGACGTTAAAAGTAAATAAGAACAAAGCGTGAAGCAACTCTCCTCGCTGCGTCTAAATATATCCAAGCTGTGCTCACAACTACGGAGCAGCTCCCATCATGATATCACCGACCGGGGCAATGGAAGTCTGCCGTGTCATACCATTCATCACGATACAATCCCAGTCCCATCGCCCATCGTGACACAACATCTGCAACTGTCGCTTTCCGCCAGCAACCTCGGCATCTGCAGGCACTTACAGTATGAGACACATGGATCTTGGTTCTGACAGCTGTTTATTGCCTTTTTTGACCGACAAACTTCCGCCGGCTCCGGCTTCACGCTTCCCGAGGCCGACACTCCGAACAGGCGCTGTCACCGGCTCTCGGCTCCGTATTATCCCGCCCAACACAATGTTCAACTCGCATGTTATACATGAAAACTATGGCAAGCGATATCAAAGCACGAATCTATATACATACAGTCATAGAGTATTTATTGGCCCCTTTCATCTAGCCCTTCTCTATTTGTTACCGCCCCCGGGCAATCTCCACGCCCTTAGTGGTAGGCCCTGCAAGTGCAGCACCTTGGGCTTGATATACCACACAAACGTCGCGACGCCGAACAAGACGCAGAGGATGTTGACGGTATAATATCCGTCTCGGATCATCTCGCAGCTTCCGCCGCCGTTCAGGCACCGCTCCTTCTCGCTCTGAATGGCGCACGAGAAGGCTTCCGTGACGAGCGGGCCCTTCAGGTTGCTCGTACTCTTCGAGCCGGGATGGCACGTCGCAACAGTAAAGGCATCTACGAGCTTCAAGACGAAGAATCGGGGGAATGTACCTCCAAGGTTAGAAACGCTAAAGGGGGGTCAGTAAATGTAAGTTTATAGTTATCAAGTCACAAGAAGATAAAAAACCCACGTTGCAAGGAGTGTCATGTATGTTCCTCCAATGACCGGATCCGAAACCTTGGCATGGAATGCCGAGATGGCCACAAACATGATTGTGTTTGTAAATGTCGAAAACACATGCTCGCCAATGACAACGAGGAAATACCAGGTCGTCACTCCCTCCGCGGGGAACATGGCCACCGTGACTTGAGCAATCAGCGCGGCCAACAGGCGGCCTGCAAAGCCCCAGCACCACAACCGCATGGGCGTGTACTTTTGCGACCACATTCCGGCGTAGTATCCGACGCCAATCTCAAAGGGGAAATCAATGAGGACTGTGAGAGCCATGTTGTCCTTGCCAAAGCCCTTGTCGAGGAGCTTGAGGTTCGTGACGCCGTCGTTGGCCTGGAACCCAATCTTGGCAATCAGGTGCACGATAATGATGGTCTGGACGTTTCGCAGCTTGAGGATTCCCCACATGATGCGGTAAACGTCCCAAACGCCGTCCTCGTTCTGCGACTTCTCTTCGCGCTTGAGCAGGCCCAGTCCAATCGTGACGATGATGTAAACCCACCCCCAAAAGGTGAGATAGCCGCCGAGCGAGACGAGGCCATCGTCGGAAGGCGTATTTCGAAACCATTTGTTGGCAAAGTCGGAGGCGTTGAGGGCAAGGAAGACGGTGTAGGACATGAAGTGGCCCGCCGTGAGGCCCACAGTCTGCGCCGTCGAAGCATACGACACGTTTCCTGGAGTCAGCAGCGTGAGCGCCCAGCCGTCGACGGCGATATCTTGCGTCGCGCACATGAGCACCAGGAAGAACCACCAGAGCATGAAGGACCAGACGGTAGGGCCCTCGGCCTTGCCAATCTTTTCCATCATGTCCTCCACGTTGGACCCCAGCCAGAGCATGCCAAAGCCGGACATGAACTGGATGGGCACGATCCAAGTCTTCCGTCGGCCAATCTTGGAGCTCCAGACCGCATCGACAAACGGGCTCCAAAACAGCTTGAGCGAGTAGGGATACGACGCCAGACTAAAGGTGCCGATTTCGCCGTACGACATGTGGTTCTTGAGCAGGAAAGGCACGGAACCCATGGCAAGGCCCATGGGGATGCCCTGCAAAAAGTAGAGCAAGACTAGCAGGAGGAAGCTCCTCTGATCCTGCGCGGGAAGCTGGAAGAAGCCCACGTCGGTGCCCGTCGGCGTCTTGGGCACAGGGTCGTCTAGGGAAAAGCCCTCGCGGGAAATGTGGTTTGCCGTGACGCTGTCCGAATCCTGGTGGGTGGCGGTCTTGCGCCGCATCTCAACGCCGTTGCTCATCTTGCCGTTGCCGTTCGCCTCCCGCTTGAGCGAGAGGGAGGGTAGTGGCTTTGATGTAGGCGACTGAGGTCGTCTTGTACGGAGACCCATATAGGACGATCTGAACTCGCTCCGAGTCGGCAGCGCAAAACGATCAAGGAAAGTGGTGGTGTTGTTTTGGAATGCGTTTGCGCGTCTCGGGTCGTCGGCCGGGCTGAGGGGCACGAGAACGGCGGTAAGAAGACGCTTGCTAAATGGCTTCTTTTCTTCTTTCTAGGGTCTCATGTAGGTAATCAAAGCGGCAATGGGGAAAGCAGAGTGGTCGAGGCTTTGGCGATGAAAAGAATGGGTTGTTGAAAAAGTCGGGATCAAACGTGTAGCGTGTAGCGTGAAAAATCCGAAGTACTCGTAGAGAAAGAGGACAACAAAAGCAAACACTGGCGGCAGTTTGACAAAGAAAGAAAAAGAAAAAAAAGGCAAGTAGGGACTCGTCTAGTGCATCCAGGCAGTAATCGTCAAGATGAGGTTTGCAAATGATTGGAATATTGCGGCGCTGGGTTGGTGTGTTTTCCGCGACTTGGAAGCTACCGTGGCCTCTTGGGCGATTTTGTCCGGTTCGGCTTACAAAAGACGGAGGCGAGGCTTGCCACTGACTGCCACGCGAAGCGGAAACGAGCAAAGCGTTGAGCAAAAAGAGAGTTTTTGGCAGCCAGGAACGGGGACTAGCGCGGGCCCTGCAAGTTTGCCTCCAATTTTGGCCAAAAATAGATGAGATGCTCTTTGATATCTTTTTGAGGATTCTTTCAAAAAAAATAATCCAGATGGCAGTAATACTCAAGCCAGCGACACTTGATGAATTAGACAGTCTTTTTGAATATTCAGACAGAGGATGGGAGAATATCACTGAATGGATGGATGCAATTAGTAGTGAATGGATGGGATGTAATACGAAGCACCTCAAGGGGTCCAAGATGCAGGCTTCAGCGCTACAGCACCAGCCCAGCGCACTAATTGGCATACGCACTTGGCTGGTGGACTCGCTGTTGCTTTCAGCGTCAGGGCGCGCCGGTGTGGGGGAGAGAGCGGAACAAATAAGATCCAGTAATCCATATCAGCCAGGGGGTTTTGCTGCTTTGGGCATCTCCTCGGCTCGGCTGCTCGCATGACAGGCTGCAAGTCTGGTTTGTTGACGTTCTTATCTTATCGGCGAGCCTGCATCATCGCGCAATCATATGCTCCTGTGCTGGCTCACCTCCAACAACGGCCGACATAAACAAAGACGACGCAGCTCGACGCGCCGCCCAGTTTTGCAGCGGCAGAGCAGAGCAGAGCAACGATGGATCCATCTGCGGATGAACTGCAGGTCAATCCTCTCGACGAAGAGATTGCATCGCTCAAAAAACAAGGCAAGTCGTCCGGCCCTCGCGTGTCAATCGCTTTGCGCATCACATCACATCACACACACTCCCCCAAACTAACAGCCATTCTGCTCAACACAGTCGCTCACCTCCGCAAAACCCTCAAAATCGAATGCTCAACAATCCTCTCGTCGCCCTCCATCAAAGACGTCCTCGTCGCCTCCTTGAACCCCCAGCCCACCCCTAAATCAGCAGCCCTCCGCCCTCGCAAGCCCCGAAAGTCCACCGACCGCGACGAGCACCTCCTCCTCACCCGCTCCAAGCAGCAAGAAGCCTACAACCAGCAATGCCTCTACCGAATCTGCGCCTCCGTTACCGCCTTCAAAGTCCACGATCCCGACCCTAACGCCGTTGATGGCGGACACGTGCTCGGCCTGCGCTTCGAGGTCATGACACGCGGCCAGTTCCTGCAGCCCTACTACGTTATGCTCAATCGCCCGTACCCCAACAGCAGCAAGGCCCTGCGCATACATCGACACACAGTTCCGCCGGCAATCCCGCTGCCGGGCCTGGCGGCGAGGCACTTGCCCGCGCCCAAACAACAGTCGGGCAGCGACAGCTCAATACCTCTGCCGAAACAAGACCTTGAGAGATTTGTGAAGTCGTTGAGGAGAGAAATTATGAGGTACCACAACAGGCTGGGTGTTTCAGCAGACCTGCGGCGCAGTCTAGGAGCCCACAGCCAGGCGGCAGCAGATGGGTCATCAATACCTCCAAATGCCATTGTCGACGTCAGCATTGCCGACACCGAGGCCAAGCAAATACGCCTGACTTGGGCCGATGAGAGAAACGGCCGCCTGGTTATGGACGATGATGGTAAAGTGGTCAAATTCATGGTGTTTGGGGCAGAGGGGAGAGATTGGGAGACGACAAAGCAGCTCACGGAGAGCCAGGGGCGGGTCGAGGATGTTGCCAAGATGTTGGAAGAGTACGCGGCCGGGAGAGACTCTTGACGGAATCTGTAAATGGTCAAAAACAAGGCGTTTGAGGGAAATTCAATTACAAGCATGGCGTTCCGGTCCGAGCAACTAGTATAAACATCTTTTGGGAAACGGAAAACTACATGTCATTACTTTGCAGTTCATGTTAGCAGCATCATATAGGCACAGTGTCACACAAAAGACGACCAAAATTTATAACCAAAAATCAATTTAATCACAATCGACAATCAAAACCCTGCTTCCCATACCTCGATTCCGGCTGTCCACCTCCCGTCGAGCGTATCTTCAGCTTCTTGCACGCCAGCGTAGCCCCCTTCATGAGAAATTCAAAATTAAATATACTGAATTCAATAAACAAAAAGAGGCGGTGGGTTTGTGTTTCCCCACCAGACGTCCCGTAACTCATCAAGGTATATGCAGTATTATACTGGTCTCCCTCCGGAGCATTAGATACACTGCCATTACAGCCTCCGCATCACTTATATGCTTGTTTTTTGGCCTTACAGGAACAAAGCAGCAATGACACCTCCGAAGAGAGCCATGCTGACGCCCTGGGTGCGGCTAACAGCACCGCTGATTGGCAGGGGAGTGGTGCTGTTTCCGGTAGGGACCGGGGCTGCGGTACCGGGAGCAGTACCGGCGGGAGGAGGGGCGCAGTAGGCACCGCTGCATCCATCAGCAGGGAAGCCGGGGGCGTTGGGAGGAGAAGAGTAGGTGGGAGGAGAAGAGGGAGAAGAGGGAGTGCAGTCATCGCCAGAGCAGCCGGCAGGAGAAGACTGAGTAGGAGGAGAGTAGGCAGAGGTGGACGGAGCAGTGTAAGCCGGGGCTGAGCTGTTACCGGGCACGGGGTAGGCCGGGAAGGGAGAAACAGCGGGAGCCGAGGCGGGACCGGAGGGAACAGCAGCCGAGTTGGAGGGAGCCGGGTAGCCGGCAGGACCGGTTGGAGCCGGAACGGTCTGAGTGCTCAGGGTGACGACGCCGGTGTTAGTCGCAGCGGGAGCCGAGTATGCCGGAGAAGAAGCAGCCGGAGGATACGCCGCGGTGGATGGACCGCCCGGGTGAGCGGTCTTGGAAGCCTCAACAGGGCAGAAGGTGGTGGTCTCGGGGATGACAATCGTGGTGGTGTGGTGGCCGTTGGCTGGGCAGTTGGTCACCGTGGGAGCACAGCTAATGACGGTGTGAATCGAGGTGACGCTGACCGTGCTGACGCTCCAGACGTGATCAGGCTGCTCAGGCTTGCAGTTATCGCCACAAGGATGAACCCAATGCCAATCATGGTCGGCTTCATCATCGCAGCCATCAATCACAATTCCCGGGTGTGACGGATGCCAAATGTTAACATATCCGGGAGGAGGAGCAGATGTAGGCTTGTTCTCGGTGACGGCCTGTTCGTTGATACCCTGGGGCAGGTGAACGCTGAGACCGGAACCCAAGTTAACAGACTTGGTCATGTCGGTTCCGAGACCCAGCTCAAGAAGACCGAGACCGGAAACGGCCGTTGCAGCCGTTGCAGCAAGAATAAAGGACTTCATGTTGATGAAATGAATGTGTTTGAGTGAGTGGACGGGTCAAAAGATCCCAAAGAGGTAAGTTGAAAGAATGCAGGGGGTGTGCGAAAATGCAAACAAGGCTTGCTGAGGAGAAAAGAGTCAGGAAAAAAAAAAAGCTCGGCATCAAGGAGGCGAGATGATGGTCTTAAGTAGCCCGCTCACTCTGGTCCATCGGGATGAAGACGCTTGTTGTTCATCTTCATCTGCCCTCCACACCCTTCGCTTCGCCTTCAAGCCTGGGCCCTTCTCATGGGTCGTCATGGGGCATCCCCGTTGTTGCGGGCAAGCTCAAGAGGGGGTCAGCTCAGAAGGAAATTGGAACCAGAGACAGCGGTAGTGACACCGAAGGGGGAGAGCGCCTCCTAGCAAGCGAAGATCGGATACATGCTGGTAATAATAGTAGTAGCACTGCTCCATAGTAATAACAGCAGCATCAGTTGTGGTCGATCCTGACACATGACTCCGTGCATCAGCGGAGCACAACATGGTGGCAACAATAACATTGTGCTGTGCCTGTACTTGTAGTATCCGGTTTTAGATCGTCGAAGCAAGGCAGTCTGAAAGTGACACTAGCTTGTCATCTCCCTCTTCTTTCCTTTGCATCCATCCACAACATGGTCACGTCGTCGAGTCTCAAAGCACAGGGTTCAATATGTGCATATGGAGAGACAACAACAGAACGTCTTTATGCCCTTGCATGACGCCGCCAAGGAGTAGATCGGACGCTGTTCCTGCGCTAGCGGCAGGAGAAGAGCCTCGCTTGAGAAGCACCGCACATCATTCTCTAGCACTCGCTTTAGCGATATCAGCGTCTCCTCCCTTGCCTCTTTCTCCCCCTATTTAGGAGGTCTTTTCCTCTCCTGCTAGAGGGTCAATGTGGGGCTGTCGCTGGCTTCCTCTTGATGCCCAGTGTGTCATCATCCTCTGGGGGAAAAGCACACACTGAAGTGTTCATCACGGAGTATAGCATGGCAAATCGCATCTTGTCTCAATGCCCTTAGCTTGAGGTATCACAAGAAAGTGCATGTATAAGTGAACGGTTCTGTAACACCTCAAGGCCACGCCGGTGCTATGCCAGTGAACTTTGTGCCCCCGGTCATCCGTCGATGGAGTCCTAGAGTATGATTAATTGTGGAGGCCGGTGGGTGATCATCTCACACCAACTTCTTTGGTAGCATGCGGGTAGATTTGGTCGGCTTTTGGCCATAGCTGCCGGCCGCCGCCAAGGACGGCTTCAACACAAGCCTCGATATGAGCTTGTGTAATGCGGCAATGGCAGCAACCACAGCACTCGTGACCGTGGTATGATGCTGTGTAGCAGGTGCTACACCAGCAATCGGTGTTGCTCGTATGACCACCCCTGAACGCCACAGCATGAGCTTGCCCGGAGATTGTCGCTCGTCCGCGTTCTTCCTTCGAAATTGCCCACGCCGCCACCACATGGAAAAACCTTGTTCAGCTGTGCCAGTCACCTCTTGTTGATGTGGTATTTGTGCCTATGCAACTGCCAGCGACGACAGATAGGCGGGTCTCTCTCTCAAAAAGCCATTTAATTTCCGCACCCCGGCCAGCCACGCTCCTTGTATGCCGAGCTCCTAGTGCGAGGTGGCCATCGCCTGTGCTACCAAGCTGGAAATAGCATCGTACAGTCTGGGGAAGAAAGCGAAAAGACGAAAAAGGGAAAAGGAAAAGCGACATCAACATCTAGACCCTCCCAATCTCTCCACTTCTTGTGGGCAAATTGGGTCTGTGCCATTGCTAGCGTGTCACAACGCGCTTCTCGAACGAGCCATCCTTGACATCGTACTTTGCTTTGCCTCGACAGGGCGGCCAAGGAAAGGAGGAACCCGGCTGAATTGAAGCATTTTATGCATATAAGAAGCGCAAGAAAGGGTCCGGTATCATACGTTAGAAGCTTAAAGCATAATATCGGCACAGGATTTGGGTCAAGCATGCAAGGTGCCTGTCTGAATATGAGGCGCTCGTATCAATCAAATGCGTGCGAATTGCCTCTCATTGATGTTCTTGTGAAAGCAGATGGCATTCACCTACGTGAGTTGAGAATTCAAATGCAACGTATTGTGCACCAGATATCATTCGAAAGTACCTTGTGATCATACCAGATAGTTTGTATAAATGGAGCGGGAATGATCCCACAATTCATCTTGTTCGGCGGCCTCGACAGCTCGTATCCCATGTGAGTGTCGTTACAAAGCGTGTGTTTCACATGCCAAGAGTCCCTGTTCAGGGGAATTGCGATCTCGATCCTAATAGAGTCGGCGAGCAGGGTTTCAGGGCTAGTTAGCACTCCATCGCATGTTTTTATGCTCGTCCGTAAAATTCCCATCTCCACTTCAGTGATCGGAATTTCGGTTCTTGTTCCAGCATAGTATAAATAGCATAGTTCTTCTTGATTTGCCTCCTCGCCTCCTTTTTTTTCTTCTTCCATAGCGTGTCACTGATGCCGCTTCTTCCACCAAGCCCAAAGGGGGCTGTACCTTCAATTTTTTTTCTTGAAAATCCCAGTTTCATAGCACAAAGAAAAAGGCCAGCACACATTCTTTGTGCACCAATAGTGTCATAGAGGATGGAGTAATGCAGTGTCACTCCAGTACTGCCGGGTAGCCTCGAGATATGGGTCAAGGCTGCAAACTCCATATTTAAAAGAGCAGGGCTCTGCGAAGCAGGGTAGGACGAAGCAGGGTCGTTGACTCTGTAGGGCATATGCGCGATGCCTGTGTCTCATCCATCTCACCACTCGAGACGTTGTCTGGATGTAGCCGGAGGAAGTGCGATCGTGCCAGCGCCAACTGTTGCGTCGTCCGCTGCAGCCTCCATCCTGTCTTCTCCATCTTCGCCATCGAGCAGGGACCGGTCAATATTCCACAGTTTGACTCGCTCGTCAACGATGTCGGTCCACTTCCTTATCAGGGGGTGAGCCTTTGCCACATCAGGGAAGAGCACTTCGTCGCCTTCATCGGTTTCCTCGACGTCGTAGGTCCAGTTTCCGTCAGGGGCCCAGTAGTCAGAGCTAAATATCTTGGTAACACTGAAGTCTTCTCTGGCCTCTGCCAGCAGCTTGGAGGCTTCTGCGGCTTCTTCATCACCATCAGGCCTGCTCGACAGAGCGTTCTCGATGCCTTCCAGTGTGCCGAGCAACTGCCCTGCCACCAGTCCTATCGTGGCACCGAGACTGAAGCCCTCGTCGAATCCAGCTTGGATGGTCTGCTCCTTTGCCGCCGAGATACCTTCTCGATATCCCGCAGTTGTGTGTTCTAGCTCCAACCGCCGCATATCGGATGGGTGAGGAGGGTTTTCAGGTTCGATCCAAGGCGTGGCGACTGCATTCTCGCCGGGTATCATCCCTGATTCATCAGGCCAAAAGACATCATCGAGCGAAAAATATACGCCGCGGGAGCGAGGGCGGTCTTCCAGCGCGGCTCCCTGGCCAGCATCGCCGCCCCCGCCCTGCGTGAGATACTCGTCGTCCATCGACTGCTCGACCGGGCGAAAATGCATGTTTTTTTTTTCTTTCTTGCTTTTGAAAAAATCAGCCTACGAAAAGGAATACGGTGGTAGGCACATTAGGCACAGAGCAGAAGCAGGCAGCAAGCGCTTCACAGACTCTGGACAGGTACTCCGTACCTAGGCAGCAGTTACGTATCTCTTCTTCTCTCTCTGTGTGTGTCTCTCTCTGTTTCTGTCTCTGTTTCTGTCTTTGTCTTTGTATCTCTTTTCTCTCTTTCTGAGCTTGAGGATCGAGCGGATTTCCGATTCCAGGCAACAGGGGGGGAGACGCCGAGCCTCGATCGGTTCGATCTTTACCGCTGGTGATGGAAAGCGCGCCGCAAATTCTCTCTGCCGCAGCTTTCGAGCCTTTTTTCGAACTAGGATGTATTCTTCCGGGCTAGCATTTGAAATCCAGCCATGGCTGCCCCCCTGCTTCATTAGTCACATAGTGCCAATATTTTTCGGCTGAACTACGACACAATAGGGTGGTAGTGGTGTGTCTTACTGTGTGACTTGCGACGCGTCTCCCAGAGGCACTGTGTTGCTCGCACAGAAAGCTGAAGCAGTCGGTGCAATTTCAAGTTGCTTCTGTGTGGTCTTTGACGGTCTTTGACACAACCAGCGTTTCCGAGACAGTGCGTGTACAGTCTCGCTATACTAGCCCCAAAAATAGTCGAAGCCGGGAAGAGACGTCGCCCTGCAAACTCACCCTCCCTTGCTTTGGAGGATAAAGCTCTCGAGTTGTCGGTGACACAAACTAGGGGGGAAAAAAAGGAAAATCCCTGGTGTAAAATCGACACCGCCTCTCGAAAGAGACATGTTTCCCACCCACGAGCCCTCCTCTCTTTGCCTCTCTATCTCAACGTTTCTTTCTTTCGTCATGATTTTTTTCCCCCTCTCAGATGTCCTTTAGTCTTTGAATTCAGAAAAGCAAAAAAGGTGAAAGGAAAAAAAAAAAAAAGCCCAAGAATGATGCCACCTTGACGTAGCCTTGCCGAACTCTCCAATATTGCATCTCGGTACACTCACTCCATACCATACCTTACATACTTGCTGTATGTATGTGCTGTCATATCAAAAATTCTTTTCCAAGAATAGGTTGCCGTTATCTCGGCGCCTTCCCACCCTTTAACAGCAAGTGCCTGTTCCTGGGCCGCCACTCGGTATGCATGATGAGTGAGGCTCTCTCGCCTAGATCTTCGTGGTGGTCATCCTGTCTCTCCCTTGTCGTTGCGTTGCGACACGACACGACACGACACGATGCCGATGCCAACAACAACACACGCAGGCAGGCACGCACACGGCCCTCCCTGCTGAACAAATAGTAGGGCACAACTTGAATTCAAATCATGCCACGTATTCCCTACCCTCCGGATTTCACCGTTTCCATTAATCATCTGCCCTTGTGGCGGTCAACAACTGGGCTCCGCAACAAATCGTCCATGCATGAGCTGTTTATGGCGCATGGCGTCAACTTCGTCTCAAGGCGGTCAGAGGTGTGAGAAGAGGCCCAGGTCCGTTCAATGCCTGCTTGCCTTGCTCGTTCCGCTTTGCCTTGCCGCCTTGCCTCTTGCTTGTTTGCTTTTTGGGCCCTGGTTGCCGCCTGCGTGCCTGGTCTGGTCCGGGGGTCCAGCCAGTCCCCATCCCAGCATCGTGGTCGTTGTCATCGTCGTCCACCACGTTACTACAACAACACCACCACCACCACCACCATCATCATCATACTGGCCACACGCCGCGTCTGCTCCAGTCTAAACCCGTCTTTCTGCTTGAACGGTTAAAGACGCCCATCACATGGAAGGATTGCTCTCCAAAAAAAGACATGGATAGATGCAACGCCACGACAACAGCAACAACAACAACACCCTCGCCCACACCAGCATGTCGCGGCACACCAATGGTTTCGTCCGCCTTGCGGTGAGAACGAAGCAATCATGCAGTCCCTGATGAGTTGTCTCATGTGGCCAGACCAAACAAAGCTTGCCGAGTTTCTCTCACATCCCCATCCTGGGTCAGAAACGGTAGAACCCAACAGTAGGTCGCAGAAAGGAAATCTGCCCGAGCGGCTGAGACTTGAATCAAACCTATCACGGACCATCGTACCGGAGCTATGGGAGGATCGGATCGGCCCCACCATGCCATGAAGCGGGACGACGGCGCTCCATGTGGCTTTCTTACTGTACCATGTACGAAGACTCCGTAAGCTCCCTCGTGATCGTCTCTTTTGGCGCGCGGTCTCTCCAAGAGGGCCAACGGATACCCAAGAGTGGTCGTCTGTGCCCATTCAAGAAAACGTGCCAACAGCTGAGTCGTCCCCCCGGCCCCGTTCGACGTCAGGGAAAGGAGCCACCCGGGCATGGATGCCTTTACAGCTTGCATTTGCCATGCCATGCTGTGTTGTGCTGTTCCTGTGCCTCTGCCAAGCTCCAGCTGAGCGTCGAACCAGAAGACTGTACGCTCATTCAGGAGTGGGCTCCGGGGATCGCTTGGATGTCATTGTTTCGTTATTCTGCCCCATCCACGACGAACCACTCGTTAGAGAGGAGTGCGTTGTTCAACGTGTAAGCAAGGCGCTCTCTCTCCGTCAAGGCCCGCCCATCTTGCCACCAGAGTAATAGGCCGGTGAGGTTTGTCTCCAACACTACGGAGTACTAGTGTTAGGCTTATCAGCGGCTCCCCTCGCACACCCCTACCCCCATGACATCTCCCTGTCTGTGGCTAGGTTCTAACTCACCGAGTTATTGAGTTTTCGAGTCCTCGGATTTCATCGCGAGGTAATAAGAGAGCGGCGTGAAAGGGGAAAAAAGTAATGGATGGGAAACACTGCAGCCACCGTCACAGATAGAGAGGCGAGGCTCGGGGAATTTTCTTTTGTTCTCCCGGATTCACGCCAGTGCATTAATCGTTAGTGTCATTTTTTTGAAGGCAAAAGGCTGGCCCACAGTAGCAGCAGTAGCAGATTCCTGGTTGCGAGACAGGGGAGGGGAGGGGGGGATGGGGGCAGCAAATAGTACGAGTCGTCGTGACAAGCATTGCCTGCCTACCACAACATTGGAGCAGAGAGTACAGTACGGAGTACAGTAAGTATAGGGGCGGGTATTGGCTGTGCTGCACGATACTGTACGTGTACTCGTACGGTGCTCAGTTGGGGAAGTTGGAAGCCCGCGTCGAAGAAGCCCCGGAACGCCGTTCTTGACAGACACCCCATTCATCCCTCGGGGCCGCCCGTTCCTGGAGCTAGAAAGGGCCGCTTCGCCCAGCAGGATTTCAACGCCCCTCCCCACCTAGGCTGTCATTTGCCCTGTCGTTTGCCCTGTCATTGCCCGCTGGCACGACGATGGTTCCAAATGTTGATGAAACGTCGCCTTTTGCTGCCTCTTTCTCAACCGGCTAACTACCGAAAAGGGGGCGGGGAAGCGGACAACAGGGGTTGAGGCTCTTCGGGATCCGGGCCGTGCACGTCATCAGCTCGTCTTTTCGTCTCTCTGTGGTCTCGTCACTCGACGAGTTTCAAACGAGGCAAGGGAAGCCAGGCCATGGTTTCCAATGCGCGCTATGAGCGAAGGTGGTGTGTATGCTCCCTGGCTCCGTACTCGTACTCCGTATGTCCCCATATAGTGGGTTCCATGTGCGTGTGAACTGTCGGATTCCTTCTTGAGAAGCTGCGAATGTGGTTCGGAAGCCAGTGTGTCGTTTCTGGAATGCCCTGCCGTCCTGGTGCGTTTGCAAGTAACGCTGCTGCCCTCCGGTTTGCGACAACCGCCATGCCGATTGATTTTGCTCCACAATCTTTTGGTCATTGCTGTCCCGGCCCAACGTGTCTTCCCGCAACCCAACGCGACGTCTAGCAGCGCTTCTAGAAAGACGATGGGCTGTCCTGCATCCATGCCCCCAGCTCATCCCCTACCCTTGCACCTGCACGCACAAAGACCCCTTCCCGCCTAATGAGCTTCCCCCCCACTGTAGCCACGACGCCCAAGTTGTAGAGCGTTGGGCCAACCCTAAAACCTTTAGGTTCCTCAACACCAAGCAACCACGCCTTTCTCGTCGTACTCATCTCATTAGTACTTGGTACTCGTAGTCACGTCTTCCTGGGTTCGGAAAGCAGTGACTTTGCCCTTTTCCGACAAGCCTTGCCATACCCATCAGCTCTCGTCTGAACGCCCTCCGTTATCTCTCTCCTCGTCCCGCGTACGGCTTGCTAGCGCCCCCGAAAGGCCTCCCAGTCTCACACCCATTCCGCCGCCCACCTCTCGCCAATACAAGGCAAACACTAAGAAAAAAAAGAAAGAAAAAAAGAAAAAAAGACACCCCTGTCGATCACACAAGGGTAAAAAAAATCCTGCAGGGGCCAACATCAGGGGTTTGACTGACCGCCAAGGGTAGACCGCAATATCGGGTGCCGCAATCATAGCAAAAAATAAGCCCGACCAGCGAAAAAGCCACGCGAGAACCCATCGAACAGGCGGCGAGCTCTCAAAAGAAGGCTCTCACCGGGTCGGTGTGGAAACAGTTTAAAATATCAGACCGTTCCCGCAACTCCGTCCACTTTTTCGTTCCTTCATCCAACAAGAAAAAACGGTGGCCCTCGAGCAATCGACCATAATCCGACCTCTCCTTCCGTTTTCCGAGCTTCCGGACGTCTCTTGACCAGTCTCGCCTCGCGACACGACCATCAGCACCACTGCAACCACTATCCAGCTTTCCTTCTTTCTTCTCCACAAGCCAAAATGCGCGGACCATATGACACCACTGGCATTATCAAGCCCAACTCTCCTCAGCCACCAAAGCCCAAATAATGATTTTTTTTTTCTTCTTGGGTTGGCCTCCTTGTCTTTCGCTTGCTTTCCCTATTCACAATGTGACAAGCTGTACCAGTCAGGTGAGTCCTAGCACCCTACTTCCGCCCTTCTTGTCATATTTTCATGAGCATTGCTGACGGTGACCTTGCAGCTGTCTTTTAATAGTAATACGCCGATCGAACCAAGCTCCCGATAACGATCGGGTTTCGAACGACTCAGCGTTTCTTGGTAATGGCGGCAATCTTCTTTCGACTGTTGATATACTTTTGGGTTTCGGATAATGAATCGGTTTTGGGAGCAAGAGAGGGAAAATAGACTGGGAAAAATTTGGGTCAGGAGCTATCCGTCGCGCACCCCCACGGACGAAAAGGCAATGCCGTGATATAGAGATATAATCATCCACATGAGCCCCCATGATCTGGGTAATGTTTCTTTTGTTATATATCAGGCGACGTCACCGCCTAACGCAAATTAATGTCTACCTATTAAAAATTCTTTTGTTAGAATATGATGAAGAGAGAGCAGAACAACGAGTTGAATCATACCTGTCTGAGTAAACTTGAGGAGTTTGTGCGTGTGTTTGTGTGTTCAATGAGCCAGTGGCTATCTTGCTTGTGCCCTGAAGAATCTTTGATGGCAGTTGGGCAAGATTCAGAGAGCATCCACGCCGACGCGCTGGTCGTCGCTTTGGACGCCAGTCGTCCACGTATGAAGAGAAAGAACGTGTGAGCTGGATCATGTGTGAGAGGCTAGTGGAACGGAGACGTCGTCAGCGCCGTAGGTGGAGAACATGACACCCGGCGAAGTGGGACTTGATATGGCCGGCACGGCGTCGGGACTTCCCTAGTAGGGCACCGGCGTATGACGGTTGGGCCCTGGGAAATGCGGTGATTGCTGCCCATGGTCTTTCCCCCATGATAGCCGGATGGGGGATGCATGGACCCTGCGGCAGGGTGGTACATGGGGAGAGGCTGGAGAGGCTGGGGCCTGCAAGCGCAGGGCTATCCTTTTGCATCGCTTCTGGATCTCGCTGCCGCCCTGGCCAGCTCGATTCGCTGATGTTGAAGCCCCGGCCCAGCTACTGCATCTTGGGCATGGCCATGTGGATGTTTGTGGGTGTTGGCGGACATTCTGCGCCAATGCTAAGAGTGCAGGATGCGGGACGGTGCATCTTTGCATCTTTGACAGACGCACTAGATGCCGGGACGAGGTTGGGTTTGGTGTGGCTAGAGTCCAGCCATGTGTCGAATCCATGTGCTCATCTGTGCACCCACCGGTGTGTCCAGCGGTACATACAGGAGGCCCATCATCCGCGTGTCTGCTCCCCTGCAGGTCGGTTGTGCGTGTGTATGCGTGTCTTGCAAGGCAAGGTAGGGTAACAGCAGAGGTCAACTGCCGTGGCTACCTATGATGCCGGCTTAGCCCGTACCGTCTGCCGCACCGTTTGAAAACTGGGACTGGGGAGGACAAGAGAAGAGCAGAGAAGGGAATTCAAACGGCCGTATGGCCGTATGACCGTATGACCGTATGACAGGCCTGAGTTTCAGCTTCAGCTTGGGCGATGCAGGCGGATGATGCGTCCTTTTATACATACCGTCAAGACGGCGGTTTGCTCTCACACACCCCTCCGTAGCGTCCCGCGACTGCGATTGTGATGGCTCGCAAAATAAGGTGACTTTTCCTGATCCGTGATGCTCATCCCGGGCAGCAGACGTTCTTGTTGGTCGTGAGCAGATGGAATATGATGGTGGGGTTTTTGGCCATATCGGTAGTATCCATTGGAAATCCATTGGAAATCCCATAGGAAGTCGTCAGACGAATGTGGTGGGTGGTGGGGGCGGGGTTGGGAGAAGGTGCATCTCTTCATGCAGCAGCTGCTCTTTCCCTTTCCCATGCCATGCCATGCCATGCCATGCATCCTGTCGAGTTTGCCAAGCGCAAGCACGTCGGATACGGATAGTTGCGCTTTCCTCATTCTCCGGCTTCTCTCGCTTATTGCCCTTCCTCTCGCTTCCAAGGTTCTTGTAAGCGAAGGATTAAGGCAAGATGAACAGGATAAAGGCAAGATAAAGGCAAAAGTCTCGCGTGTCGACACTTGATTTCCTTTTCATATCCTTCATTCTCTTTTGCGATTTCCTCGCCTCGCAGCTCGTTCTTCCCCCTCATTGCATTTGGAGGGCTAGGCGATGGGGAATTTTTTTTTTTCTCCAGTGACGATCGAACACTCAACTTTAATCCCTGTGTCCTTCTCTGCAGACAATCCCCGGTACCTGCATTGCGGTCCAAAATGCCTCCCACGTCACTTTGCGCGTGGCCACGCCTCCTCATTTATCGACAGGCCCAAGGCTCGCATCATCGCCTGATTTGCCCGTCACTTTTCGTGGCGTTTGCTGTAGAAGGAAAGAAAAAGCGACTTGTTAAGGAATCTCTCGGATTAGAGCACGATGCTGGTGATGGCGTGTTGTGTTAGCAGGTTGATGGAGATGTGATACGCCGGACTAGTGGGTTGGACGGCTGGTAGCCGCAGAGCCACCTCGGACGATTTGCGCCCAATACTCGTACATCTTCCCGGTCTCTTTATTGAACCTTGCTCTTGTCGTGGTTCGCCCTCCTTATCAAGCCACGACGGCCGCCAGCCCCCTGTCTTGACGCAGCTCATTCCAAATGTGGGTGATGAATAGCCGCCTGGGAAATGCGCTACCAGCCGGATGGTGGTGCTCCGCTGCATCAACGAATAGAAATGACACACATCCAGTGTATCATCGCCCTCACACCAATGGCCAGCCATGGTGGCATCGCCTGCCTCGGCCGCTGTGGCCCAGTCCTCGGACACAGGTTTTGCACGCTCAGCGTATCAGAGGTATCTTACCAATTGAAAGTCTGGGCCGCAAGAATCAAGCGAAACTGGCTGTGGTTGGATATTCCTTCTTTCCAGCAGATGAGATGATCAAGTTGGCAAAGGCTGGTATCATGCAAAGAAAGCCCCTGGATACTATTCGTGCTACAACAGGTGTTACCACGGCACCAAAGCAAATAAATGATGAAACACAATCTTAAATTACTATCAACAACCTCTCGCTGGTGCCTATTGCCTAAAACGGCCTGACTCGCAATGTCGTCGGCCACGACATACAAAACATTGGTGCTGGACAAATATTTTTGGGGGCATTTTTTGTCTCCTTTTTCAGATTTTTTGTTCTTTCTTTCTCAGTTTGATTTTCCCTCCTCGGCCGATAACGATACTCTCTTTCATTCTACCATCTATTGTTCCAACATGCCTAGAAACACACAGTGACCCTCGAGGCATGATCTCCATGGAACCACAAGGCATTCGTTCATTCGGTAAGCAAGCCCAACATCGCAAGCATCGCAAGGATTGTGCCGTTCTCAGGCTTGACATCCCCAATGTATCCAACATGTCCGGATCCATAGCGAGCGAAAATGATGGGCGACTCATTGAAGTCGGCAACTGGTCCAGGGCCAGGCACATGATCCTCAACAATGGAACACTCAGTCGGGAGGTACCACGCCTCGCATGGCTGCATTCCGTAGACATAGAGAGCTGTCAGGCTATACGATGCCGGCAGTTTGCTCTCGAGGGTCGAGCTGATTGCCTGAGAATTCAGGGACAGCGTGGTGCGCTGGTAGGAACCGAAATTCCATGGGAGGTCCCAGGTCTGCTTCATGATCTTCTCCAAGTTTTCGTGGCTTGAGGCAGCAAACCCGCCGCCAAAGACGACGATGCCACCACTTGCGGCATACTGCACGAGCCTCCGCGATATGACTTCGCACCTGGCGCGCGCGATTCCTCCATCAGCGACGAATATGGCGTGTGGGTCGGAACATTGAGTAAACAAGGTGAATGCTTTCTCTGTCGTCTTTGCGTGCCATACGGTTGCTCTCTCGAAGAGCTCGTTCAAGAAGCTCGCATGAGACTCCTGGAAAGTGAGCTGGGCCTGCTCTTCGCCAAGGGTGAGCACGAAGATGAGGGGCTTTGCTGACCCGGCAGCCGAATCATGGGCAATGCTGCTCATTTTGTTTCTAAAGTAGATGGATAGAAGTGGACCAAGGGAGCCAGGAGCAATGGAAGAGTGTGCTGTGTATGTTGAGGTTGAAAGGGTTGATTTGCAAAGGCAAGTGGGCGAATATTTATGTTTGCCGGTTTGTCCAAGACTCTGAGAGTTCTGCCTTTCTTCTCTTATCTTACTCTTGTCTTTTACAGCATGTTTGCAAAATCGGTGGCCGACATTATGCATATCGAGGCGGGCCTAAAAGCATCTCGCTACTCACCAAGGGCATGGGCTTCACCCCCTGGTCGGCATTCGTCTCGTCGGATTCTCATATATGCTGTACACCTATAAAACTCTTACGATTATTAGGTCTGTGTCACAAACATGCTTCCCTTGTCCCAACGCTACACGGTACAGGGGAAGCTAGTCTAAAGTGGCCCGTCCTAGGAGCATGTTGCAAAAGCATCCGTCGGACTTCTCCAGGGCGGCCACTGCATCAATGATCCATGGTGCTACAGTCATGCATATGGATCCACAAAACATATTCCAACAGTCCAAGGATGAGAGCAGATCGAAGCTGGCCTGACGTACAAGACTTGGACTTGACTAATCCGTCGATTGCTGTCAAAACGACAACGGCTCATGGAAATATCAAAGGTACATTCTCCGTTCTTGGGGTTCTCGAATCACAATTAGCAGTTAAGAGAGTTGAAGGTGTGTTATTCTGTCTTTCATTCTTTCTCGTCGTCACACAGGCATTTCACGACAACCTCTCAAAGAACAGACCTAAGCGCTCTCCTATTCGGGGCCCCCCAGCACCCCCAGAAAGGTTGAATGGATACTAAGACTTTTTAGATCGGTAAAAACTTCTGTATATGGCACTGTTCCCACCATCCACTCGCACCGGTGTGATAGGAGAAGCCATGTGCATAACGGGGATCAGGGGTAGAGATCACTTCCCTGAGATGGCTATGCAACTTGTCAAGTGACAAGATGGTTACAATACAGCACAACAACAGACCAAACTGCTACTCTGATAATATGATATTTTATTTCTTAAGTCTAAACAAGACACCGAGGCAGATCGGGGCAATATTCCTAGGAGCGCATCATCTTCTTGCTCTGGCTACCAAGCTACCAAGCAGGATCTCGACCATGCTTTCGTGTACCACAGCATAAGAAGAGGGATGGGGATGAGGGGCATGGCAGAGCTGTGTGGGCAAGCCATCCAAGCATGATGGCTCTGGTGTGCTTCAGAGGGGCATGCAATTCGCCCACCTGAGCAAACAACCAAACGGCGACTATTGGCAAGCCACTCAAGTCGAGGGAGGTTGCTGGGCGTCCTTACTGGTTCTAGGCCTTGCTTGGGGCTGGATGGGACAAACATCCTCATGCATTACATGCTTCCGTCGCTTCTTTCTTGTGAAAATTCCTTGGACTGGCGACCTACGCAGCTTGGGCGCCTGAATACCCAGCTGAGGCTGTTGTTGCAATCTCAGCTGTATGGCTATTATATCTATAGCTGGCATATCACAGTTACTAACGTGGGAACGTATGAGAAAACATCAAGGGCTTGCCAGCATCTACAACCTCCTACTGCCATGCGATTAGGCATAGCCCGCTGTGGGTGGGAAATGACGGGGCGGGGCCGATTGGAGGGGCCGGACCCGCACCGGTGTGCCAGGTTTGTTCTTTGGTCGTCTATGTAGTAGAGGATGAATGTCTCCCAGTTGATGACAGCATGCCTCAGTGAAATGTGCTCGTTTGGTGGACCATGCTCTGATCCTTCGTTTGGCGGGCTGTTCATGTTGAGGCACCAGATGAGTGCTACTGTACTTAATTTGAGCCGCCTTGATCTGTTTGTGTCTCCATGGCCAAGACCCTGGTTCTGTCCAATGAGCTTGAAGCGAAGCTCGTGAGCGGCTGGCAACTCGACGCAAGGATCCAAGGGTCCAGCCATTGTCTGTCGAGCACCATGAAGACTCGGTGAGTCGCTTACAGAAGATTGTTTGGCTCTCGATTGTCAAGCTGAGTTTCGTTTGGCATGCCATCGTGTTGGTCTGGCCGGCAATACTAGCACCAAAGCTGGCAAGCTGGATATGGGGGTTGTTGCCTTTGCCGTTGCCTCTGCCTTCTTGGGTTTATCTGTCTCAACTCCACAGGACTCGACTGCCCTTGTGGCCAGAGACGGCTAGGATAAATTGTGCGGGGATAGCTGTGAATCCTGCCTGGAGATCTATGGGAACGACCAGCTGCCGAGGGACGCGCTAATACCCTTCTGGCCGCATACGGTCAGGGATACAGCAAACATCCGGACTTCAGGTGCCATTCCCCAGCCGTCCCTTCGATTGGGCTGGATGCTGCTCGTCCTGTTCATCAGGACTAGGACAATGACGGCGCTTATCAGGCAGCTCTGCTTCCACCGGCCCCAGTTGTAGCCTATAGGAAGGTGGTGCGATGCTGTGTGGCTGCGGATCTCGCCTAGAGGGCTGAAGTTGCCAAGGCCCGTTGTCATAGGTGTAGTGTATTCGAGTGGATGTCAATGATGGCTCTGCGTCTCTGCAAACAGGCTCTTGGCTAGTTCGCACGACATCACGATTCGGCCGTGATTGTGTGGCTGCTCTGAGATGAATAACTCTTATTTAGGGCAGCAATTTTTATGATGGTGTCGTCGAGCCTGGCTAACAGCGTTCTAATATCTTGCAAGCTGGTAAGAGTTCGGACATATTCATCCTATCGAGATTCTCCCTGTGGCGAAACTTCAAAGCTCTCGCCGTCTCCCAGGATCCACGGAATGGGACATTCCGCAGCGTATCGTGCCAGGGTTGGGAGTTGATCTGCCCGTAATGATGCCACGGAACTTACAATGTATCGCCCTATTTTGGGCGAGAGGCGGAACACACTCCCTCCCCCTACAGCGGCCTGCATGGCCCTTCTGCACTTGGGAATTGTGAACCCACAAGGACGGGCTGCCTTAAACCTTCGGCAATTTTGTCTCGATTTAGTCGGGTTGCCTTATATTATCTTTCCCCTCTCCACACAGGGGTAACGGCCGACTCTCGGAGGTGTTCATGCTTTGAGGCTTGCCACATGTAGCATCGAGTGTGGGATATGAGCTGAATACAATATCCCTTGTCTTGAAATTGAATGCATCTCGTATTCTGGAATACGGGTGGGTGGCTGTATTCTGTTGCCTGTTTGTATCGCTAAGCTTCGTTGGGCGGGCAGTTTGATCCAGTGGCGCTGTCCGCTATTTGTTGTCGTGGAACAATATCTGCGAGCAACATCGTATCTTGATCAACGCCCGAAAGCATCTCTGACGTAGGAAGGCTTGTTTGATTACTGGAGCTTCTTCTCGGTGTCCAAGAATAGGCGTTCCCTCTCCCCATCCCCTTTTATTCCGCCAACTCAACGATGCTGCAACTGCCTCAGCCAAGCCCCCCGTATATAGCATTTCACGATGGATATTCACCTAAACCTCACTTACCAGAATTGAACTGATAGACGCAGTGGAGTCTACCATTATAATAACCCACTTCCTTCACTAATGAAATGAACTTCTGCCATCCCTGGGGTCAAGCCAAGCGGATGCTTGCAAGTGTTTAAGAGGTGGGTGACGCACCTAAGCGATAAGGGCGAGTCTAGAGCACCTGCTGGAATTCGGAAACCTGCAAATCAGACGAGGGGCAAAGTTTAGATCTCCAGGGGTGATAGGAAGCCGATGGCTCTACCGCGTGTGAGGGCTGGCAATCCTGGCAAGTGGTGAGAGTGTGGTATGGCTTCCCCATTTGCCTGTGGGTGCCTTAATTTTTACCTTGAGTTCCACTGACCGGTCTGGAGAGATGGGGCCTTCTGCGAGTTGCATGGGACGGCACGAAAGTTGTGCTTGTACTTGATTCCGACGCGGGTGCCGGCCCATGTCAAGCTGAAAAAGCACATGTCGAGATTGTCAACACGGGAGGCATGATATGAATGCTATTCGTCCGGAGTGCAGATCACTCAACGCAGGTCTAGAATCTAGGTCCAACCGTACGAGAAAGAGACTGTAAGTGAAAGTTATCCTGTTAAAATCGCCGAGGCACCAAGCTGTGCAGGTTAAAAAAAGGTGTCCGGGGATGCAGGGCACGCTCGCTAGACCTCGACCGCGTCATCTGGATTAGCAAGCCCCCCCGGAGATCACTCCGTCGCTTGTGACTATTGTTCTCCCTTGATCGAAAATCTTTGGTGGACTATATTCGATGCAAAAGATACGGGACGCGGGATAGTATCACGGACATTCGTTGCCAAGCCACGTAGCACAATTTGAGTCCTTCAAGCCGTATCTGCATTACACTTCTCCCCCCCAAAAAAGGCAAGAGAATGAGCTAGAAAGACGACTTGAGGTAGCAAACTGTGGACAGGTATCGAGCGGCATAAGTGTGGCACAAAGCTCTGCCGTTCTGTGTGATGGGTTTGCATAAAGGCATAGGGATACTGCATAGGTTGTGGCTTTGCCTGCCGCCATGTCCTCCATCCGCGGACCGCCGGAGAGTTGCCTCGAAGCGTGATCTTGCAGGCCGAGATTGCGAACGGCATCTATTCGTGTGAGGATGAAAACTTGGTAACACAGGAAAGCCTCATTCACTAAACAGGCACACCGGGATGTCGCTGTCTGGGGTTGATTGGTGAGACTGAGGGCAAAGGAAAAGGGCTGAACGATGGTAGGCTGGCAGTGCAGTGCACGTATGCAGGTTTCCGGTTCGAGAGTCCGTGTGTACCCTTGTCTAGAGTGTCTGGGACGGCCTCGTACGAGCACGTCCGAAGAACACGGCCATGGCTGGACGGCCCAAAGCTCAGTCACCAGCGGAACGAGCTGCAGATGTCAAAGCGCCAGGAGAAACACAAGGAAAGAAATTGCCACTACCCTTGATGCTGAGTAGTACTACGGCGTCATGACAAGACAGAACTTGCTTCCAGGTTAGCATTCGCGCCTCGGAGGATCCATTAGTAGCTGATGTTGATCCGGGGTAATCCAGCAATTCGGAGCAATTCATACCCAGCGGTGCGATCAAAGTCGCCGCACTTGCTTAGTGCAAGGCACAAGCTGCCCGCTACGCACAGCATGGGTGCCAAAGTGAGCTCCAAGTCAGCACCAACGGCCCATTCCCACCTCTTGTTTTGCTGGGGGCTCCACCCGAGTCGCACGGCCATAAGCCTGAGGGTTGGATTCAGTGTGGGGATCAAAACGGACTGTCTGGCCTCTTCATCCTCCTCCCGCATGCAAGCACGGGAAGCATGGAGTACTAGTAGTACCTGCTGAACTGCCGAAATTTGGACTGCGCTAGGCTTTGCCTTAATTCATTCCCTTCTCTCTGTCCTGCTTGGCGGATCGTCACTCTCTATTGTTGGTGGGTCTTGTCTCGGAGAGCTTCTCCATCAACACACGAAAGGCTTGCTTGGTACTGAGTTTGAGCAGCGGCTCATTGTCTGGGGGTTGGTTGTCCATCTTTCCCCTCCTTTCTCTTGTCTATTGTCGTACAGATTAGACAATCTGTTGGTTGGCCGTTCCGCGTCGGCAACATGGTGGCCGTCGACCCTGCTACGCGGAAGCGTGTGCTTCGGGTTATCATCGTGTCTCTTCTTCTAGATTTGGTAAGCTGCAGCAACCAAGAGGAGGCATCGCAAGCATCGCGAGCATCGACCATACCTGTAGGATAGACAGCTGATTTGGGAGGCACCCAGATATCCTTTACCTTCATCCTCCCTCTATTCCCAAAGCTCTTGGAGTTTTATCGGGACCGCGAGGCTCCCAATCTGATCCACCATGACGCATCTCATGCCACTCTCCTCCAGCAGGTGCTCGGAGGGCTGAATGCATACAAGGCGTCCTTCTCCCGACCCATTGATTCCCGATATGACATTGTCCTTCTCGGTGGAGCACTTGGTTCCTTGTTTTCGTAAGTATCTGGCAACATCATCACACACCACGGCTTTCTTTGAGGGGGGGCCTGCAGTTTGTTGTCTCAGCTACTGACAAGATGCGTCACAGCCTCCTGCAAGCCATCGCGTCTCCTATGATCGGTCATTTCTCTGACCGCTACGGCCGCCGCTATGCGCTGCTTGCATCCATGTGCGGAAACATGGTGTCTGTGCTCCTCTGGGTGGTGGCAGTCGACTTCCGCACCTTTGTGGCCAGCCGTGTTGTGGGTGGTCTTTCCGAGGGCAATGTCCAGCTTGCCACCGCCATGGCTAGCGATATCTCCGACGAAACCACACGAGGATCCACCATGGCAATCATTGGCGCATGCTTCTCGGTCGCCTTCACCTTTGGGCCGGGCCTGGGGGCGTGGTTAAGCACGGTTGCCACGGCATGGGCGAACCCGTTTGCAGTGGCCGCAGGATTCAGTTTGGTCTTGGTTGGTGTCGAGACACTGTACCTGTACTTTTACTTGCCAGAAACTCTGCCCTCTTTGGCTGGCGGAGAGGCAACCCAGGGAGACGGGCCCAGCAAGAAGGATGGAGAGCAGACACCGGCCAAGGAGGTGGCGCGGACGAACTCACGCTTCTTGCTCTACGCTACTCATTTTGTGTTTCTCCTGTTCTTTTCAGGAATGGAGACGTCTCTGTCCTTTATGACGTATGACCTGTTCCAGTTCACCTCTGGGAAGAATGGTAGGCTGCTTGGGTACATTGGCCTGGTGGCCTCTGTGTTCCAAGGAGGCATCACTCGCCGACTGACTCCCCTCTTATCGGTACGTATCGGCACAGTCGCCTGCCTCACGGCCTTTATTCTCCTCAGCCGTCTTTCCACGCTTGGAGGCCTGTATGCCGCAGCGACCTGTCTCGCCGTCACATCGGCGACAGTTGTGACGGGCCTCAACGCTCTTAGCAGCTTCGAAGCCAACGAGCACGAACGTGGAAGCAAGCTGGGTATCATGCGGAGCTGGGGCCAGCTGGGTCGTGGATTGGGGCCGATCGTCTTCACGAGCGTATATTGGTGGGCTGGAAGGGAGTATGCGTATACGATGGGTTCGATGGGAGCTCTTGTCGTTGTCACGGTCGCATTTCTGGGGCTGAAGGCTCCCAAAGGGATGACTGGGCCAAAGTCAGTTGGAAAGAAGGGTCAATAAAACCAACGCAAGGAAATTTAGTCGTCCACCCAGCGATAGAAGCTGGCTGTGACGCAGCATAAGAGGAGCGAAGAGGCAAATATCGTAGAAATGCGGAAACATACACGGATAGAAGGTGACTGTACAGTAACAGAAGCAAGCAAATCGAACAAGTTGGTAGATAGAAGATTGGGTTCATTGGGAGTCCAATAAAACGGATGAAATCCGAAGCACTGTTTTTTTTTTCTTGCAGCATATCTATCGATTACAGGAACGCGTCATCACTTTGGAACTTTGTGAGGAAGGAACCAAGCGTGGTGTGGTGAACGCTTCAGGCATCCACATGGCAGGAGAAGGACCAGATGAAGGGCATCATCTTGGGAATGTCTTCATTAAATTGGCAACACGCGTAGTAAGAGGGGCTTTTTGTATGACCAAATCATAGGCCAAACTGAACATCTTTTGACTAGGTAGGCACAGGAAAAAAAGCAACTCAATGGGCGAGAAAAAAAAGAAAAAGAGAGAGTCGATGGGAAATCGAACCACCGCATGCCCGCACCCGGATTTGCACCAGGATCCTTGGCTATCACCTACGCAGAGAGAATAGGAGTCCAACGAGTTGCTCTTACTCTATACGGGCGCCAGCTTGAACCACTCGACCATACGGAAGAGCGGTTCTGTTGGGATACGAGGCACATGTCCGGGCTTATAAGGGGCAGCAAGGCGGTAAATGGCCAGCTGGCAGCTGTTTGGACGCCGAGGTGGTACATGCTGGGGCTGGGAATACACAAGCAAAGCCTCATGGTAGCAGGAGGACGGCAAACGCAGAGGCAAGATTGCCCATCGGGAACTCATAGGTATTGGAACGATGAATAATAGGTAGTATTAAGGGAGAGATGCTATAGACAAGACGCTCTTCTATTTCCTCCTCCAGGAATCCCTAATCCTAGAAGCTTCATCGTCAATAAGGTACTCACTGGTGAGTGGATAGAATTGAATTCTCACCTTCTTCGTTCCATTCCTTGCCAGAGCGAGGAGCTGACGATGATTGGCGTCCCGTTTGTGCGACTTCCGAGAGAACTCAAAGGCCTGGCGTTTGGGTCATTTGGCCAATCCACCAGCTCCCTCTTTTCTCCGTCGAAGGCATACTTCTTAAATTAAGATTATTGATATACTCTCCAAAAGACGACGCAACCGCCAGAGCCTCACTTGAAGCCCAGCAATTGCACAGTTCTTTTGCAGAGTATATCAATAAACTTCTCGGAAGAAGGGTATCTACGGCGATGAAAAGCAGAAGTTGGTGGTATGGGAAACGAACAGGTAGTGGCATAAGCAAGGTTGCTATGAGTTCCATGGCCAAGAGTGTGCTTGGAACTCTTCTGAGAGGTGACCAGATGCACAAGGCATTCTTTGTTGCAAGTCACCAATAGGTGGACATGATCGGAGTGGTGGCTGAGGTGAAGTAAAGGACCACGGACCACGATCCTACTTCAGAGACGTGATAGTTCCATGGTAGGAGTCAGGTCTCTCATCTTTTCCTACGGTTTAAGAGCTTAGCAAATGAGTACATAGATATTCAGAGCTTCATCCATCAACGTTGCGACAGCCACCCTGGACTCCATGATGAAAGATCCAGTTTGGCTGAGTAGCACAGCCACGGCAAGCAGCGCATCGCACAGGTTATGGACACGGTAGGACTCACTAGGGACAGAGAGTTTCCATGGATGGAATCAAGGGTCACGCCGAGGCAGCTCCTTTGTTGGTAGATCGACTTAAGCTTCAGCTATGTCGTCGATAACGGGACGGACGGGCCCACGCTAGGTAGCTAGAGAAGCTGGCGCCTCCTAGCATATAAATACCATGGCGCTTGCGAGCGTCGACGGCAAATTGATCCGTGCCCAGTGCAGCGAGTGAAGCACTGGGTACGGCTGCTTCAGACGCGCAGCTGCATCCCCAGCGTGGGCCGACGTGGACGAAATCTTCTGGACGGGGACGGGGGGCGGCAGCAATTCAAATACTGATACGCACGGGACGGCAGCCTGATACTCGTCATATCAACCCCGCCTCTCCCCTCACTTCCAACTGACTTTTCAGGCACTATTTATGATACATCGCATTCATCCTGCGAGGGAGCTGCACCTCCTATTCGGCGCCTACCAGCCAAGCCAAGGACAGGTACTGTACATCGGTCGATGAGAGCAGGGCAGGGAAAAACTTGCAGCGGTGGCAATGCCCAGGTGATGAATAGAACGCATGAAGTGGGGGGGGGTTGACGTTTCATGGTGAGTGATGAATGGAGGGGCTGATGGAGGGGTAGCAGCAAGGAGGCGAGTGAGTGGGTGAGGGAGAGAGAAAAATCCTTTGGAGAGCGGGAAAAAATGGCTCTGGCGATATCACATATTTTACAGGGGAGGTCGAATTACTAGTCCTACTGTAGTAGCTGCAAGTGGTGATGGCGGAGCCAGAGAGAGACCGAGCCCATGTAGGGAATATCTATGGAGATGGTCTCTGGAGATGAACACTACTCGTACATAGTATAGCACGATTTCGTCGATGAGAAGAGAGCAGACAGACGTCTTGCTCCTGGGCCTTTCACCCACCGAATGCTTCAAAGCACCACGAGTGCAAACCATCATAATCTGCTCATCACGACGGCTTCACTCACCGCCATTGACTCACTCCTGTGGTGTAACAACCCGTGTGATGGAAGATAAGGAGATAGCAGGTACCAGTACATCGTCCGAGTTGAAACCCAAACGAACAGCGTTGAGTTGGGCAAAAACTGGCGCGCGCCAGCAGCCGAGTGTGGGTGGATTGGGCAGTGAAAAAAAAAAAAAAAAAAAAAGAGAGAGACAGAGAGAGTCAGCAGGAGAAGGGTAGCAGCAGGCTAATGGTTCCTCATTTTGGGATTTCGTCGTACCCATTGATAGCTTCCTTTGAGCATCAGAGCGTAGCCCACGTCAGCTGTTTTTCTTTGTCTCTTCTTTCGCCGTCTGTTTGTGTCATACCGAGCCGAACTTGAGGCTCTTGTGTGATATCATGGACAGCGGCCGATGACTCTTTGGGGTTTGCCTAAAAGACGATCCGCAGAGGTAACGAATACTACAGGCACTCGTACTATGTACTACCTACTACTCAGGTGCTACTAAAGTAGATGGTTTAGCACGTACTGGGTACGCAGGATGATCAAAGCGGTGGGAGTGCGTATGCACTGGCACCCCGTACTGCAGAAGGGATAGGTTCGCTGAAACTTGGAAGCGCTGCAAGTGATGGCCGCCATCCATTTAGGCATCAGGTCGGCCCATGAATGAACTCCGCGATATGCTTCATCTACTCGCGACAGAGCTCTGCTCTACGTAGTACATAGTACGTGATGGCTTGCAAGGAGTCCCAAGGCTTCCATCGGTCTGACTCTTCCGTTCCAAGGTTCTTTGTTTGCACACCTCAGCTTTGCCTGTACTGTATGTTCCACAATCATACCAGATCGTATCGTGGCGGGCACTTAACAAGGGCGAGCTCAAATCGCAGCATCCCATTGGCCAGATCGCCCACAGCCACTAAGGCGCTCAGGCGAGGAAAAAAAAAATTCTTGCGGGTTTGCGGTGCGTTTGAGTGGGAAACGGCAGCGTAGAGGAAAATATCATTCGTTGGGGCTCGCTCCTTAGGGCTAGGCCAGCAAACGGACGCCGCTTATTTTGCCCCTCCTTAAGGCTTTTTTTTTTTCACAAGCCCCGTTTGCTGCCCCGCGTGGCAGAAAAAAAAAAGCACAGCAATAGCGCTGCACACCCCTCCGCCCACCACCTTTTAAATCTCCTCCTCCCACCATCTGCTTTCGAAATTTTCTTCCTTCTGCTCTTCGTCTCGCATACCCGGTTCAAGCATCCGATCTGCGAATTTGTATGTGCTGCCTCTCCCTCTGCCTTCGCCTTGGTGATTGCATCTTCCAACACCTGGATCATCATCACCATCATCGTCGGAAGAACCTCTCGAGCTGACTCTGCTTGCCTCCAGTCAATTTAGTCAAGGACTACACAGCTCTCACGCTACATTTCACAAACCGCAAAAATGGGTAAGGAGGAGAAGACTCACATCAACGTGGTCGTCATCGTACGTATTATCCCACCACTTTCGTCGGCATCGTCCGCCGCTCTGACTCTGGAACATTTGTGCTAACCACCGTCCTCTAGGGGTGCGTATTCCGTCCATCATCATGAATGAGATCGATCGAACACAATACTGACTTGCGACAACAGCCACGTCGACTCCGGCAAGTCGACCACCGTGAGTTACACCCTCTGCCTCTCGCCTCCGCATCAAACGTTGCCGTTTGATGCGGGGAGTCTACGCTTTTGAATACACAGCTAACCATTCGCCATACAGACTGGTCACTTGATCTACCAGTGCGGTGGTATCGACAAGCGTACCATCGAGAAGTTCGAGAAGGTGAGCTCAATCAACTGCTTTCGCATCAATTTCCCCTTCACATTCAATTGTGCTCGACAATTCTGTTCAGAATCATCGAGGCAACAATTTTTTCGTCACCCCGCTTTCGTTCCATTACCCCTCCTTTGCAGCGACGCAAAATTTTTTGCTGCCTCTGGTTTTTAGTGGGGGTGCACCAGCAACCCCACCACTACCTCGCTGCTCTTTGCCATCGTCTACCACTTCCCAGTCCTCATTCAACGATCTGTGTCTCGTTATTTGCAGCGATGCTAACCACCGTTCCCTCAACAGGAAGCCGCCGAACTCGGCAAGGGTTCCTTCAAGTACGCTTGGGTTCTTGACAAGCTCAAGGCCGAGCGTGAGCGTGGTATCACCATCGACATTGCCCTGTGGAAGTTCGAGACTCCCAAGTACTATGTCACCGTCATTGGTATGTCTCGTCCCATTCATCCAGCCCCCGCAAACCAGTGCTAACCAGGACCTCACAGACGCCCCCGGCCACCGTGATTTCATCAAGAACATGATCACTGGTACTTCCCAGGCCGATTGCGCCATTCTCATCATTGCCGCCGGTACTGGTGAGTTCGAGGCTGGTATCTCCAAGGATGGCCAGACCCGTGAGCACGCTCTGCTCGCCTACACCCTGGGTGTCAAGCAGCTCATCGTCGCCATCAACAAGATGGACACTGCCAACTGGGCCGAGGCTCGTTACCAGGAAATCATCAAGGAGACCTCCAACTTCATTAAGAAGGTCGGCTTCAACCCCAAGGCTGTTGCTTTCGTCCCCATCTCCGGTTTCAACGGTGACAACATGCTCCAGCCCTCCACCAACTGCCCCTGGTACAAGGGCTGGGAGAAGGAGACCAAGGCTGGCAAGTTCACCGGCAAGACCCTCCTTGAGGCCATCGACTCCATCGAGCCCCCCAAGCGTCCCACGGACAAGCCCCTCCGTCTTCCCCTCCAGGATGTGTACAAGATCGGTGGTATCGGAACGGTTCCCGTCGGCCGTATCGAGACTGGTGTCCTCAAGCCCGGTATGGTCGTTACCTTCGCTCCTTCCAACGTCACCACTGAAGTCAAGTCCGTCGAGATGCACCACGAGCAGCTCGTTGAGGGTGTTCCCGGTGACAACGTTGGTTTCAACGTGAAGAACGTTTCCGTCAAGGAAATCCGCCGTGGTAACGTTGCCGGTGACTCCAAGAACGACCCCCCCATGGGTGCCGCTTCTTTCACCGCCCAGGTCATCGTCATGAACCACCCCGGTCAGGTCGGTGCCGGCTACGCCCCCGTCCTTGACTGCCACACTGCCCACATTGCCTGCAAGTTCGCCGAGCTCCAGGAGAAGATCGACCGCCGTACCGGTAAGGCTACCGAGACTGCCCCCAAGTTCATCAAGTCCGGTGACTCTGCCATCGTCAAGATGATTCCCTCCAAGCCCATGTGCGTTGAGGCTTTCACCGACTACCCTCCCCTGGGTCGTTTCGCCGTCCGTGACATGCGACAGACCGTCGCTGTCGGTGTCATCAAGGCTGTCGACAAGTCCGCTGCCACCGCTGGCAAGGTCACCAAGTCCGCTGCCAAGGCCACCAAGAAATAAGCGATACCCATCATCAACACCTGATGTTCTGGGGTCCCTCGTGAGGTTTCTCCAGTGGGGCACCGTGCGCTCACTTCTACGACGAAACGATCAATGTTGCTATGCATGAGCCTTCGACTATGTATCGAGGCGCGTTAATTGAGAGGCTGGGAATAAGGGTTCCATCAGAACTTCTCCGGGAATGCAAAACAAAAGGGAACAAAAAAAACTAGATAGAAGTGAATTGATAACTTCGACAACCAATTCTGTGTCTCATCGTGCCCATGTGAAGCTGTGTAGATTTTTCTGCCTTTGTTGTTGTGTGATGTGTATTTGCCGAGTTGTAGATCACATGTCCCGCCCTGTTCTGTCGTTCTGCGCTGTAGTTTAGGTGTGTTTTAGCGACTGAAGGCGCTAAAGGAGAGTTGTCCACAGGCTATCAAGCGCTGTACATCTCCGCTAGGGATGCTGAAGCCACCGCTGAAAGGGACAAGGCTGAAATCAATCCTCCTCCATGTCATTTCCCAACACCGGTTGCTTCGAAGCAATTGTCATGTCAACCACTGTTTGTTCATCAAGTGCCAATTCATTCCAATCTCCAAAGTTAGTCGTGCAAATTTCTGTGAGGACTACAAATCTATATACATGATATGCTTATGTACATGGCATCGTGAGAGGGGAATCGTTGCTTCATCTAAAAACGCCATTGGAAATATCCTTGCCCATGCCATCGTCGTCGACGCTTCCTTGTAAAACTCATCTCTCTCTTTTTTTTCTTCTTCTTTCTTTTTTCTTACCATGTTTTACTCGAGCTTCGACTCTTTCGTCTCGTCAGGGCTAGGAGATTGCGAGTCCTCGGATGTTTCATCTGTAGGGATGTCCGAGGCAGTCTCCGTCGATGAATGGCCGTCGTCGTCCTGCTCAGTATTTTGCAAAAGGTCAGATTCAGCACTCTCAACAGACTCGTAATCTTGAGCTTCTTCCAGTGGCAGGTCATCTTCTGCGGCTTCATCCTCGAGTATGCTGACGTCTGGTGTTTCTCGCATAAGTTGAGACCCGTTGTGCCAAGAAAAGTATTTGCCGGTAGCGATCCCCTCGACCAGAGACAAGAAACGTGATGCCTCGGTTTCATCGAGGGTAAATGGTGTTGGATCCGTGCTTTGCGGAGGACCGGCTTGGAGGCAGAGCTCTTGCCTGTGGCCTCCGTGTCGGCCTGCGTCAATGCTGCTGTAGCACAGAGTGTGGCCGTGGAACTCGAGTTCGACGGTTTGATGAATCTCCAGTCCCATGAATATGTATGGCACATTGATAGTGGCTGTGGAAGGTTTGCGTGCTGTTTTTGCCTTGGTTACCCATGCTTTGGGGATTGAAAACGTGGCTTTGCTGGGTGTCTTCAGAACACCCTGGGGGAGATTGAGCTCGCTTTGAGATAAGAATTCATTGACGGACTCTTGGCTTGTGTCAAGCGATAGTAGATCATTCTGCGTCAGACGAACATCTACACTTTCGCCAGGTAATAAGACGTCGTTGATATGCTGCGCTGCAACACCAAAGAGGGCCGAATCGGGGGGTAGAGAGAAGTTAGCAAGGTCGGTTTCAGGATTCACCGGCAGCCGGAGTTGTATTGTGGGGGGTGCGGAATCATATTTTGTGGAGGAATGATTCGGATCTGGAGAAAAGTTGAGAACAATCGTCACGCGTTGTGTCACGGGCTTGTTTTCATCCATGATGGATGTAAACGATGCGGGGTGGGGAAGGACAGGTGAAAGCAATCGACGGTGCTTTGCCATTGCAGCGGCTGTCCGGGAATTCTTCCCGTGAAGCACATGTCCGAACGACGCTGTGACTTGGTGGACTGGTTCGACTCCTCTGTCTGACTTGAGATCGGAAACCATTTCGGAGAATTGGGCTGAAATATCGTCTCGTGTTGCTGCAGCTTGGCCGACTGGTGCGACGAACCTGGACCACTGCCTGAGCCTGTCCTTCCAAGACATGCTCCTAATTTCTCTTTGATGGCTGACAAAGGCCCCATCTTTGATGTTGCTAATGTCTGATGGTGATGCAATATGGACACTGCTTTGATAATCCTTGGGTGTCTGCTCCAATAAAAGTCGCAAAGCGATATCAGCAGGGGTTTCCGTGTTCTTGACTGTACCCGAGGAAGCAAGATCCTGCTTCTGCAGCCAAGAAATTTCGAGTTCCTAATATTTCATTAGTCCGGGAAAAATCTAGTGGGATAGCAGCTGACGCATACCTTTTTGTCCTTATTGTATGCAATATGCGTCTTGGTAATTCGCTCCAGCTCTTGGAGCAGTTTCTCGTCTAGGTCGTGTTCTTGAATGTAGTCCGAAGAGATTTTCTGACATCGAATTGACTTGACAGTTTCGTCAAGGTGGGAGAGGATGACGGGAATGGTGGACTTTTGGGCATAAATGTTGATCCGGTAGTCATCAAAGCTTGTGGTGATTTTCTCCTTGTTGGACTGATATAAAAAGTCTCTGGAGAGCTGCTCCAGTACAGCGCTATTGGGATCTAGGATGGAAATGTTAGTGTGTATTCGCTCATCGTCAAGCAAGCATCGGTAAGACTTACGGGCAATCAGCTCAAAGATGCGAGGTTGTAGCCAGACAAGAGTTCTGCCCAGGCCCTCAACCTGCTCTTGAACCTCTAGGTTCCATATGATTTGCATAATCATAATCACCTGTCGTTGCTTTGGCCTAAGCGGCCCCCAGTGGTCAGGCTTTGCAGCCACCCATGGGTCCTGTTTGGCGATCCAGGGGTAAGGAAACGGCTTTCCTTGGTCTCGATTGGACATTATCAGGCGCTTTTGGTTAAAGTATTTGGCAAGTTGGTTGAAAGTGAAGCCGTCTAGCAGGGTATTCGCCAGAGAATCGAAATCCCTGATTCGCAGAATCGTCTTGTCGGCGGGCCGTAGGTCATCGATGTTCTTCATCGCTGCTACCATTGCCTCTTCATCACTCTCTTCTTTCTCGTCCACCATGTTATCCCTTTCAGTATCAAGCTCGACCGTGGATTTTGGTGCATCTTCTTGAATTCTTCGTACGGCCCTCCTGGGTCTTTTCATTTCGTTGGGATTCTTCAGCATGATGGCGTCGATGTGCTCCCCAAGAGCTGCAACAGAGACGCTCCTGGATTGCACGAGTTCATCATGGAAATCCTTCCTGGGCAGAAACCCACGTTTAGGTTTGGTCTGGCCGGGCTCTGCGGTATCGGTTTCCGCCGTGGCGGCTCCATCTTGTGGAATCCCTTGCTCTAGTTGATTCGATTCGTCTGCGTCGAGTCCGTCTGCAGCCGATTCTTCTGTAGCAAGCTCCTTTGCGCCAATATGCTCTGCGACAGGCTGTTCTGTGGCAAGCTCTTCCGCAAGCTCTTCGGGATATTCATCTACAATTTCTTCTTCCAACTGTGGCGCAGCTCCCACTTGTGTCGCAGAGCTCGTCTCGGTTTCAAGGGCTGCCAGCCCCCAATCAGGTATCTCCTCCTCCCTTCGATGACGGGATGGTTTGCGGCTGGACGACCTCTTGGGCGGCCTCTTTGATGTCTTCTTGGTCGATCTGTTAAACTCGCGCTGGCTGATTCGCCCCGATATCAGCGCCTCTATCTTCTCTTTGCTATGAATCACGGGGTCGGAGCTGTAGCATCGTCGCTGGATCCATTCTTGACGGCTGTGTAAGCTGCGGATGCTTAGCGCAGTTGGAGCGGATAGAATCGACGAGGAGAGGCGGTTAGCAAAACAGACACGCGGCACGTTCGCCGCCCTGGAAAGCATTGAGACAATGAATTGGATGTGACATAAACGGCAACATGGAATGGGGCAGAGCTTGGTATTGTCCCAAGCAAGAGTGAAGTAAAGAGAGAGTAGCTTCTAAGCTTTGTCTAACCATCTTGAATTTTGTGTGATAAGGCGCTATCGATAGCTGATAAAAAATCGTCACCGGAGAATTTACCCCATAATTACTAAATCAGACGCGCTTCAGCCTTTGTGGCGCGTTTTCTCTAAAGATTACACAAAGCCCCTCGTTCGCCAATTCACAGCAATTCGATTGGGTAAACCATTTCTTCTCCAGTATCTGGTTGTATTCCGAGCGCATAGTTGCCATCAATTGCGCATTCAGCCATGCCGCCTTCACAGAGGAGACGCCGTCCGGTAGGTTCAAACTCAGCAGTGAATGGAGCTCCGTTTGCTTGCTTGCGCTTGCGCTTCTTCTGACACACAGACCCAATCAGGTAGATGATGAGGGAGACTCGGAAGAGGATGCTCGTCCTCGACAGCGCCAACACATCGAGGCTTCGGATGCCGAGCAAGACGAGGACATGTCGGACGACGATCCAGAGGTGACCGGTGCTTCCTCGACTGCCGACAATCAGATGGCCAAGAAGCTGGTTCGATATGCGATCTCGTGCGAATATTCACGGACGGCAATAAGGAGAGACGGAATCAAGGAGCGAGGTATGAGAACTGGAGTGGCAGACACCATGGAGAAGCAGCAGTCTGCTAACTGGGCTGCGGTATAGTACTCGGAAAACAGGGCCGTTCGTTCAGAAGGATATTTGAGTTGGCGCAAACACAACTGAGGACAGTCTGGGGTATGGAGCTGCGCGAGCTACCTGTCCGTGAAAAAATGACGCTGCATGAAAAGAGACAAGGTACGTCAGCCGTCGCGAAAGCACTCTGGGACACTTGTAGCTGACTGTAAACGAATGGCAGCCATGAAGTCGAACGCACAGCCAAAGACCGGGTCGGGCGCCTATATCCTGTCTTCAACATTGCCAGAAGAATACCGAAGCGCATCGATCCTGAAGCCATCCAAGGTTCCAAGCGCGGAGCAAGAAGCAACATATTCCGCATTCTACACAATGGTCGTTTCGATGATATGGCTAAACGGGGGAGAACTCAGCGAGCAGAAGCTGCAGCGATATCTCATGCGGCTCAATGCCGACCGAATGCTGGCGAGCGAGAGAACAGAAGTAGCGATGAAGCGGATAGAGCGACAGGGATATGTGATCAAGAAGGTAGACCGGCCGCCAGTCGGTTACGAGGGCGACCAGACCATCACCTGGCATGTCGGCCCCCGAGCAAAGGAAGAAATTGGACTGGATGGCGTCATCGGGTTGGTGCGTGAGGTCTATGGCCACCCTGAGGATGAGGCCTTTGACAAGAAGCTTCGATCGAGTTTGGGAATCAAGAATAGACCACTCACAGAAGGAGGGGAGGATTATAATGATGCAGGCATGACAAACGGTGTATAACATAGGCGATGGATGATACCATTGGCGGCGTTGGTGATTCATAGAACTCAGAATTGCTTCTTCTTTTCTTTTCTTTTCTTTGCTTCTCTCTTTTCGAATTCTTGTTGCTAGCTTTCGGGATACTCTAGTCGTTGCTTAATTAATGGGGTATCTTGCCGTCTGAATTTGCCGTTCCATGACGCCATCCTCTTGTGCAAACAATACACAAGGTATATATATATATACATCTCTCAATAAACCAAATATTGCCGTCTATAGCCAAGTCTTTCTCGTAGCAGGCTTCGAAGTCGGATATGGAATCAATCTTCTCGGGGTGGTGGAGGCCCGCATGGCTGGATCATTTTCTGCGTGCCAAATAAAAAGGGCGTCAGCAAAGAACAGGAGGTGGCCTAATTTGTCGTTCCTTTTACGTGCAATGGAAGCGGGAGTACACACCCTGATCAGCTGAGCTCGCGTCTTTGTCAATGGCTCGTTTTCCGCCAGCGAGATGTATGTGAGGAGCGGTCGGTGGCCGACGATGGAGGCATAGGTATCTCGCTGGATGTTTGTGCGCCACTCCCAGCTGGATGTATCGGGATGGCCAGTTCCAATGTATTTGGCCTGGAGACGCTCGAGTTCTTGCTGGTTGCGAAGCTTGTCGGCCTGTTGTGGTGTAGAGAGCAGAGTTAGCAGGGATACGCGATTGAGAGCGGCACGAACAAGATTGCAGGCCTGGCTCCTTACCATGGCTGTGATTCAGACGCAGTAACGAGATGTGATAAGCGGCAAGTAATCTGGTTGATGTTTGAGAATGGAGAGAAACGGAAATTGAGCGTAGCCCAACAAGAAATTACAGTAGTATTACTACTAGAATTACTAGATCCCAAACGTTGATGGAGTCAGCCGCAGCTGAGCTTAGACGCATTGGCAACCGGCATAAACTCGGCTAAATAAAGGCAGAACCGGGGCGATTTATTTCTGCACCATGAGGTCAGCGATTGGTTCGTGGTTGACACATGCCATTTTGAGCATCATGCGCTTCTGCATCTGTACCTGTGCTGTACCTGTACAGTATAAATAGCATTATTATTATTTTAATTTCCATTCTTATCGACAAACCGTGTTATTCATCGAGTGGGCTTGTCACCACCTCGTTTTCTTTCTTTCTTCTTCCAAGGTTGCAAGGCTGGACAAACTTCAATCTTGGGGCATCTCTAGCCTCTCAACTGGGCTAGCTGAGTTTCTCTTTTCCAGCTTACTCAGAAGTACTACTGCCTTTACTTGACGGTATCGGCATCAAGAGTGAAACGAAGCGCGTCTGTCACCGAAAACAGAGAAGCATTTTTATCTGGGAATATCAACAAACCAACTTTTATTTACCACGTTCATTTCCCGCTGTTATTATTTCAAGAAATTGAAATCGTTTGAGAAGTTGGCTGGCTTTCTCTTCTTCCACCGGTTGAAGGGAGCCAACCATTCACAGCCATGGCTCAGCCAGCCATCACCCCAGAACATTGGACAGAGCTCATTGCCGCCAGGAGGCAGAGGCGTCTTTGTTCGGAACACGTGGAAGCGTTGAAGCGCTCATGCGCAAGCGAATGTGGGAAAAGACACGTCTCGGAGTGCACAAAATGCTGGTCCCTGGTCCTCGAGAGGATGCGCCAGCGCTATAGCGAGAGCCCAGAGCGCGAATGGTTTACGTCTAGGAAAGCGTTTTACCAGGAGCTGGAAGGTCTCTTTGCAGACGCGAAGGAGCACAGGACAAGTGTCAGGCAACTCGAGGCGCGGATAGAGTCGGAAAAGGAAGCGTGGTATCGATGGATTCTTAGGAGACACCAAGAGTTCATCGTCACCTGCAACGATCAGACTGTCCACGAGGAACTGAGAAGCATGCTGGATGACCCGGACCGGTCACGCGACGAGGTGGTGGGCATGGTGTGGCGAGGGATCGGGAAGCCTCCCGACTGGGCGGAGCATGTAGATGCATTTGCCGTCGAGGTTGCCGCCGCGGGGGGGAATCCGGCCGCCCTTCAGAGGCTCTACGTGAAGGAATTCTTCATGGACCATGAGACGGGCGAGCCGCTGGAAGATTCGAAGCCATATCTGGATGAATATACTTCCAACGAGAGCATGGGCATAGAAGAGATGCTCGGGAAGATGAGCAAACTGGCGCAAGAGCTCAGGGTTATACGGCCTCACCGAGAGTCCTTGATGTCGCGGCTGGACGATCTTATGAGGGCCAGGATGGCCGATGAGCTGAACAAGAAGCAGCAGGCTAAAAGCCAAGCTCAAGCTGCCGAGGAGCGGATAGCGGGTGACGAGCTCTACGATCTGCCTCCCTGTGCAGTATGCGGAAAGGTCTTGGACACGCACGACGTCTTCTCTTGCACGGTATGTCAGGCCGTCGCACAGATTGGAGGCGACCAGGGGCTCACGGTTTACTGCTCTGAGGAGTGCTATGACGCTGGCCACGTATGTATTCCCCTATCATTGATCCTTCCCATAGACACCAGACCTACGAATAACCTGCTAACTCTCTTTCCGCTCAGGCCAAGCACGTTGGGGAGATGCATCGATGCCATGCTGGAGACGACTGCGTGCAAAACCGCAACAATGGACAGGACGAGGACGTGGTTATGGAAGACGAGGCTGCACTAGACGCGTTTGCCTGCAAAGAGTGCGTGGGCTTGAAACGGATGACACTCTTCTGCTCAGAACGCTGTGCGTCTGAAAACATTGCCAGCCACCTACAGGAGGAGCACGAGACGAAGATGAATGCAGATGAAGTTTCCAGCCTAATAAGTTCGTTATCGGACGAGATCGAAACGATCCTTCGTCGAGAGAATCCCGGACTTCGGATGGAGTTGATGTAATGGGATGGCGGCGTGCTTTTTGCATATTGCAAGTGTACTACTATATAATCATTATCATGAGAGATTTGGATGCTAAACGTTATCTACCAATATACCTTATTATCTTCTTCATCGCGTGTAATTATGACAAACAAAAGAATCAGTCGCTTTGTTCTGCACGAGCTTCTACTTGTCGGCATATCAAGACGTCTCCGCAGGTTGGGAGGCAAAGTGAGCTATAGTATATAAGCCACTCTAATTAGCGTGGTTCGCAACGGGTTCTATGGTCTAACGGTTATGACTCCGGATTTTGATTCCGGCAGCGAGGGTTCGACTCCCTCTAGAACCTAACCCGTTATTTTTTTTTTCTCCAGTATGCATGTTTGCATTTTGCAATATTTCCTTTCTTTTTACAAGCCATCAATTCCAAAGAGTAAGATTTTTTTTCTCTAAGAGGGATAAATCGTCAGCGACAGCGACCAAAAAATGAGACGTCGCCGCAGAGGCGACCTGACTCATAATGTCTATGGCGTGTATATAATGTGAGTGAACGGCTGCTGTGATGAAGAGCTGAAATGAATGTACATGAAGACGAAGTGATGATACTACGAATACCAATACGAATAATCCTTCATCTTTTCATATTGATCCCATATGCTCAAATCGAGAGGTCACTCAGTGGGTGCCAAATAGCTTCTCTATTATCTCATGGCGAGCATAGGCATAGCTTTCTAGTATGCATCTATATCTATACGTCTATGTTTTTTCCCCTAGTCATACAGGTATCATTTAGTTCTCAGTCTCTTTACTGCTTCCCTTTTCACTCGAGCTTCCCTTTTCGCTCGATTTATCCTCTTCTTTACCCGCAGCGCCCTCACTTGCGGAATTGACCAGTCCGTATTGAATGGCGTATGCTTCCACCTCTTCATGAGATAGATAAGGCAGCTCCTTGGCAGCCTTGACATACGACATATTCTCGACGTGGCCCTTGGCAAAAATGATGTCAATCTCTTCCAGAGATCTGTTTGCAGTCTATACTGATTGTTAGCGAGGGTGGAGCAAAACTCGGCATACAAAGAGATACTTACCTCGGGGTAGAAGAAGTAGAGAACGGGGAAGAAGCACGCATTTACCACGGCAAAGAACAAATACGTTCCCCAGCCGATCCGGTTAATCATGACCGGGGTGATCATGACAATAAAGAAGTTGAAGAGCCAGTTGGTACATGTTGACACGGCGTTGGCCTTTGCGCGAGTCTTGATGGGACTGATCTCGGCAGGGTAGAGCCAAGGCAGGGGAAGCCAAGTAGCTCCAAAGGACGCGATATACGTGAATAAGCCGACGGCGGCCCCCTTGGCCGCGCTGGGAGATCCCGGAATCAAGCATGCAAAGGTCAGGACCATGGAAAGCATCTGGCCAGCGGTTCCCCAGAGGAAGAGCTTCCGGCGTCCAACTCGCTCAATGATGAACCAGGACACAGTTGCAAAGGCAGAGTAGACAATCATGTTGACACCACCGAGCAGCATGGCCATGTTGTGAGATTCGCCAATGGAGTTTTGGAACAGGATGGGGAAGTAGTAGATGACGGCGTTGCAGCCGCCGACTTGCTGCATAAACTGGGACGAGGCGCCGAGCAACATGCGTCGGAAGTGCTGCGTCTTGCCGTTGGTGAAGAGGGCCTTGACGGGAGTGCTCTTTTGGCCGGCGAATCCTGAGGCTCTGATGGAATCGAGAATGATGTCTCGCTCCGTCTTGGTCTCTTGGCTGTCGATTTCGTACCCGCGGAGGGCGGCAATGGTTCGCTCTGCCTCCTCATACCTCTCGTGTGTGAGGAGCCATCGCGGAGAATCAGGTAGCCAGATCATTGCTGTGCTGAAGAGCAGGGCGAAGGTGATTTGGAAAGCAATGGGGAATCGCCAAACCAGGTCATCGGGTCCATACGATGCGCCGTAGTCGATCCAATACGCAATCAGCGATCCAAAGGCAATGATGCCTCCTTCGATGCAGATCAGAAGACCGCGGTTAGACGTCTTGCTGCACTCGGCTTGGTACGTCGGGACGGTTGAGGTGTTGATGCCGTTTCCAACACCCGTGACGATGCGGCCAATGATGAATTGCGCCAGCTGGGCATGGCCGCGCATGGGGGTGACTTGAATAATGGTTCCTAGAATCATAATGATGCCGCCGAGGATAATGGCACGCCGACGGCCGAGCAGGTCTCCCACGGCCAGGATGAAGACAGCGCCTATCAGACAGCCGATCTCGTAGATGGCTGTTACTAGGCCCTGCATAGTGGAATCTCTAGTCTCTGGGAAATAGTCGTTGAATACCGGAGAAGAAATGATGCCACTCATAACACCCTGGTCATAGCCAAAGAGAAGGAATGCAATAGTAGCAATGGTTGAGACGGCCATGGAGAGAGGCCGCCCTGAAAGGCCAGCAAATGTAGGAGGCGCCATGATGGATTATCTCAAGACATACAACGTGTACTATGTCTACGGTATAATACAGAGCAGGCGTTTGCTCGACTTGAATAATGGGGAACCGAAACCTGGAGGAAACATGGGGTCGAGCATCGTTATATATATCGATAAATGTATACTTGGATTGAGTCCTCTGAGGCCCAAGTCGGTCAAGATACTTGATCAGTTCAAAACGGTCCCTTATCCACATGACATCATAATGGCCCGAAGCTGTTGATCTTTGTATCGAAGCAGATTGCAAAGAGTCCTAGTCCGAGGCACGCGAATTCACAAGGTGGGTCGTGGTGACGATCGAGCGGAGCCCGTAGATAGAGATTGTATGAGATACAGCGGCCAACTGGATGGACTCTTGTTTCTATTCAACGTAAGATCTTCATAACTGTTTCACTCATTATGCGAGCAGATGGAGATTTTCGACTCTAGAAACCCGGTTGAGTGGTTTATCTAGCAGAGTTGCGGATTTACACCCGCGTTAGTTTTGGATGCAATTACAAAGCCAGTTCTCCTCTCACTAAATATCGTTCAGATGATTCAAATTCATTGGCATTTGTAGTATTTCCAGCTCATACTCGTTGATGCAAAACGGAAACCTGTGTCTCAAAGACGTTGACTTGGTTGGATAGCTTCGAGCTTTTGATACACGTACCCGGCTCTCGACAGCCGGAACCTCACCGGCACACTCACAAAAACAACGACGGTTCCAGTTTTTGTCTCCTCAAATCAGCACTTGCGGCCCATTGAAGCGAGTCATTTTGCGACGGAATCCGATATGCATACTGGGATCTTCCACCCTCTTGATTCGTGCGACTACTGGGAACGGGATGCCGAGTGTCGATCACCACATGCAAATCGGCGCCGCACACCCGAGACGTGAGGCTTGCCAAAAATTTCGATAGCCAGTGTGTGTCTCCGCTGAGATGGAGGAGTTTGGCGTGCTTTTGAAGCACATGGCCTTGACAGAATAAGGGTTTTCCTGGAGATAGTTCCCGACTTGTTTATATGGAGGAGCCCATGGGGTTTGGTAGCATGAAGACGGGGAAAGACGCTGACTCTCGTCCAGACGTCCATTAACGATGCACTAGTAAAGAGGTTCAAGTTAGGATTCAGCAAAACGGCTATGCATTCAGTCATTTCTATATCCAGATTTACATCACTCGGCATAGCTACCATATTCAGCTTGAAGAGCCTCAATCTTGGCAATCGCAGATTTCAAACCATCAATACGCACATGTACCCACCCAGCAATCCACCTTTCCAGGCAAAAGCAAAAGCCACGCCCAGAATTTTTAAAAACTCTTCTTCCTCTCAGTGAACAAGACAACGATCATTGGCCCAAATCTTGCTCCCATTCAGCTCAAAAAATCTTCAGGTTTCGCAGGTCCAATATTATTTTCCCAATAAGTCAAACTGTGCCAAGATTATGACATCGTTGTGGATCTACACGAAGAATCGCTGTCTCGGACCAGATCCACAAATACGCCGGAACCGAATATCGGGACCGAGTTCTGTGTCACCGTTCAGGCCTGAGAGGGAACTTTCTATACGGAGGAGTTGGATGCGATAGGGCAACTCTTATCAATACCGAGGCGAAGCGAACCATTTGCTTAACTTGGTAGCATTTGACTGTTAAGTATCTCGAGAATCATACAGGCCCATCTACCCTAGAGTCGATCTCGTAATTTCTTAAAGACCATAAAACAAGCGAAGCAGTGTAAAGGGAATGATTTCATATTTTAGTATTTACTATTATGTACATTGAACGCTGCTAGCCTGAATACGCCGTGTCGTTTGTATCATTCCTTGTGATGCAAATCATGTGCTGGCTATATCCAGCAAGCTCGGGCCAAGATGATGTGCATCAAAGGGTGTGATAAGGAGAGTGAAATCGCAAAGGCAGAATAAAGAAATCGGGAAGAAAAAGAAAAGGAGGAAAAGGAACAGAGAAAGACAGCAGATGACATGACAGATGGCGACGAAGCCAGTCCGCATTGAAAAGGAATTGTGGTAACGCAAGTCCGCTTCAAATGCGTGCCGACCTCTCTGAAGCGCCATACCAGCTACATCTGCCATTCGCCTGGGATGGTGGATAAATCGTAATGGAGAATTTTGTGGATTCTGCTCATCGTCAGGAGGAATTGGTAGCCTCACTGCTGCTCTTTCGGAGGCGATCCACGACAACTAAGCAACAGCAGCTTCATCACCATGCGTTGCGATCCCAGTTGGGGTCTGTGAGTATTCATTTCCTCAGTCAGCCTCAACACACTCTCAGCGAGCATAAAAGACACTCTTGACATACCCTGGACAAAGGCGGCCAGCACCTTGCTGCCGGTCTGCAGCAGTGGGTGCCCCACGACAATCTTGAGGAACTTCTCCAGGCCGGCTCGTCGGTTCTCGATGACATCGTCGCTAAAGCGGTTGGTGAAGACCTTGCCGGGCAGGGGCGGGATCGTCACGCGGGCGCTCTCACGCTCGAGGATATCGCGGAAGTATTCAAAGTCGGAGTATCGTCTGCGCACGCTGCTCTGGCGCAGCTTGAAGGCGGGGATGTTGGTGCGGCAGAGAATCTCGTAGTCGGTGTACATGGATCGCCCCATGCCGTGCGTTCGAGGATTCCGTACCTGTTTGTCGCAGCGCAGAGGAGCATTAGTAATGCTGTAGGATGATGACGACGACGATGTATTCAGAACCCATATCCCCTTCTCCTCTTCATTCCCTCATCCTGTCCATATTTCGCCTCTCTCGATCCTACTTCTTTGTGTCGAACCCGCCCCATTAAACTACAATGCTGTGCTGTGCTGTGCTGCTGTCCATGTCCTCACCTCAATCTCGAGAAAGTTCTCTGGCGGCCCGTAGATCTCGTCAAAGCTCTGCTGCCGCGTGTCCGGCATGGACTGCATGATGGGCCGGTGCAGATCCGGCGACTTGCGGGCCGCCCGCGCGGCGTCCTGATTGTCCGACAGTTTGGCGGTGGTATAAAGGCGACGGCTATGGTTCGAGATGTACGCACGCGCGCGAGAGGCAGAGAGACGGCCTTCTTTGATGAAGCGACCGAGCCTTGAGCTTGGCGGTTTTTGGATCCGAGGAAGAGCAACGGCGAGCGACTCTGCTGCGTATCGCCGAGCCACACAGCACTTTGCCAAGCTGCTTGGAGTCGAGTCGGGAAATGCGCTCGATCGTGTGATCACCAGCCTTGGGCCAGAGGTGGAGAGTGACGAGATAAATAAGAGCTGCTTGCACAATCGCGGGCTGAACGAGGTGGGGTTTGCAGTTGCTGCTGTTCACGTGGGGGAGAAGCTTCCCCACCAGTTCTAGGGGCGGGTTATCAGTTGAGTGCAGATTGCTTCATTTGCCTTGATATTAACCAATGGATTTGACAAGCAACTCCAATTAGTTATCTGTTAAGATGCCTGGAATCAGGTACCGCTGCATTGGGAAGAAATTTATTCACCCTGCCGCTAATTAATTCTACATGAGTGCTGGACTTGTTGATCCATGTATCAATCCTATACCAACTCCAAGCCTCTTTGTTATAATCAAGTTGGCGTCATATTACATGCAAGTATCACAGGAGCGTACCCAATTTGAGCCCAATCAATGTGCTCCCGATAAATGAGAACGTGAATCATTAATTCCCACTACTTATCCCGAATAGTCGCTACCCTGGCAATATAATCCATGATATAGATTCAGCCATTATCAGAACGCAAAGCTAATGATATCGCACCACGGCTCCCTCTGACAGATTGGTTACTTGAACAGCCAGGACTAAATACCGAACAGCAGCGTCTTTTAACCATTACCTCAAGCAGTCTCTGTGCTACCTGGCACATGCCGTCTTCATTCAATCTCATGTTGTGGAACTTGTGCACAGCGTATGTCTTAAAACCGCTAATGGTAAATGAGCCCCTGAACACAGCACAGAATGACGAAAAAGTCGCCTCACCTTGCTCCCAAAACTCCATAACTAATTAACCTTCACTTATATCCAGAAATTTGAAGATAGTAATAATAATAGTAAAGGCATTGGCTCATCTGGATGATGCTTGATCACGAATGCCCTGGTGGATGGAATTGCTGGAAGTGCCGCGTGGTTGAGGCCATTGAGCATTTCAAGGTATCCTCCTGTCATGAATAGTAGCTAATTATAGCTCCATATTCTTTTTCATTACTTCTTCGTTGCAAACTTCTGGTGGATTGCACGAATCTGCTCGTCGACATTGACATTCTGAAGGTGATTGAGATGAGCTTGGCTCTTCCCCTCCAGATGTCCATCGTAGCTTTGGGTGGCTGCCTTCTTTCGTCTGGCTTGCTCATCCTCCGAGAGGGCGTTTCCTGTCGCAGGGTCAAAGACATCGCTCCTCTGGCTGGCAAGTCGCTTCAAGTTGTTCGCCACATCAACGTGAGCAATGTTGGACGTAGCATAGCGCGATTCGGCCTTGGCCTTTTGCTCCTTCCAGCTTGGATCCAGAAGTTCGACTGATTAGAGAGAGAGAGAGGTTAGCCATTGTTCAGGTTTAGCATCATCTGAAACTTTTTCACTTACTTCGCATGTGCGCTTCGAGTTCGTTGAGGGGAATCTGCTGCTTGCAGTTGGGACATAGCGCCATCTGCATTCCTTGCTTGGTTGCCGCCTTCTGTGCTGCCCGTGGCACGTAATTCTCCCTTATCTTCATCGGACCAAGTCCACCCCTAGCTTCTGAATGAGCCTGTTGCACGCGAGATTGCGCTTCAGACCTTTCTTGAATTCTCCGAGACTCTTCTTCCTCCTGGGCAGATTTCTGTGGTTGCTGTAACTCGGCGCCGTAAACCGGTACTGGGGATGGCAACTGTGGCTGCTGCTGCTGTGGTGCGTACCCCGTATGCACAGGAAGGGGGAAAGACGCTGGAGGAGCTGCTTCGACGACTGCGTTCTGTAGCTCGTCCTCATCGCCAGGCATGGCTTCTTCGATTCGCAGATTGGCACTGATAGACGCCTTGTTTCTGTCTTCTAACGAAGCGTACTGGAGGTCACCCAGGGTGGTGGGCGGCGGTAGGTTGGCACTCTCGTCGGCGTCGGAAAATGTAATTGTCTCGACGATGACAAAGTCACCCCAATCGATCCGAGCGAATTCGGCCTTTTCAACCTCCTCCTCGGCCTCCCTCTTCTTCCTCTCGGCCTCCATGTATTTGGTATATTCCGCCCTCTCTTTTGCTCGCTTCAGGACGTGGAATTTGTCCTTGATATTCAGCTGTAGCTCCGCTGTTCGCTCTTCCTGCAGCTTGCCGCCCTCGCCATCGAGTCCGCTCGCCCGCAAAAGTAACGTGTACTGATCGACAATGTGCTGGAAAAAGTTGTGGAACGTGTGATTGGGAATCAGGAACTGGAACTGGGGGTTGCCGGCTTCGCGCTGCGCCAGCTGTGTCATGAACTGCCGTCCATTCTTGGCCACGAAAAGCGCAGTCAACCGAATCACGTCCAAATCCTTCTGGTTGATGTGAGGCATTCGAGCGCAAAACTGAAAGTCGGGAGGCTTCGGCGGGCCCTTGGGCTTTTCAGGAACCGGGGCTATGCTTTCTCCCACTCGACCGGCCGCAATGTCGGTGCCGCGACCAGATCTGATCTCGCTCAGTCGCCACTGGTAGTAGGCGTGGTACGCATCTTCGAGACTCAGGAAGCTGAACTTGGGGTTCTGGCGTTCCTTCTCCCGGATGCGATCCTCGAATACCGATCCGTTTCGCGCGACGTATCCCGCAGTCTTTTCGAGAATGTTTCGAATCTCGCGTGGTGGCAGCACGACACCGGCAGGAGCTTTGATATCATCAAGCGCGTTTGACGCACCTCCATTTGCCACTTCTGCAGCCATTTCCGCAATCGATGGAAACAGGGCCAGATGAAGATGCGATTTTCCTGCTGTTTCTGCTGCCTTTTCGGGGAGTTGGAAGAGAAAGGCTTGAAGAGATGCAAAGCGATGCGATGGCGATGCAGCTTGGCTGGAAATTTCTTGGTTGCCTTGCAACAAGCAGCAAAGCATCGAATTGAGCCGGAAGCCGGAGCGGCGTTAATCCGCCCGCTGTCGATGTCGCGCCACGTCCGTGGTTGCATGCATGGGGTACAGAGTACATGTACCTAGACCCTGGTGGCGCGAAGCTCTAGGGATTAGAGGTGCCTGTACGGAGTATGCTTCCTGTTGTAGAGGATCATGTTGTAGAGGGGATCTTGATGCCAATTTCAACAGGACCTACATAATTGTATCTTTTTTTTCTCTTTTTTTTTTTTTTTCTTTTTTAAAGAGCAGAAATTTGGACGACAAAATCTTGCAGTCTTGTACTTGATCCTCCTTGCAGCCGCCTTGTCCAGGTTTCAGGTACCAATATTGCTAGGTACTATTAGCGGCTTTTTGGAGGAGCACATGTCAATTGGCCTAGAACAGAACAGAACGGAACACAGCAACAGTGGCCTCTTACAGGGAGCCTCGACCTCGCTACGAACCGAATCGAGCTCCCATTTCATCTTAGTGCGGCTGAAACCGTCTTCATCAAGGGCTTCGTGACGAACGGAAATGATGCGGGCCGTGCAATGAGATTAAGCCGCTGCACGTAACTGGTACCTGTCCTCTGCATTTGCTTAATTTGGCTCGCAAAATCCCTAAAATCCCTAAAATTTTGGATTTTATACATAAATCGGGACCCAGATTGAATCCATGCTTTTTCTGGAGTAGCATTGCCCTTTGCTAATTGGATCATCCTTTTAGTGCTAGTAGCCAATAGTACATCCGTAGAGCAAGGGGCCGCTCCAAACACGAGGCTACAACGGGGTCTTTTCTGCAAGTCGAGGCCATCGTCCGAGTACCTGTTGGATACTCGCGCTTTGTATGGTGCTAGAGCCGCACCCGCTGGTACCAGTACTTGTTCTGCGGTACATGGTATACATGGTATGGCTGTGCAGAGCACTGTGGCGCCAAGGCTGAACGTCCTAGGCCTAAGTCCTCCCTGTTAAGGCCACTGTAGCTACAATGCTGGAAGCGGACGCGAAGCTGAGAAACTGGTTGCGCAGCTCCTCCTCCCACCCCTGACTGGTTTGCCCATCACGACAACCATTTTCGGCTTCTTCTCCCCTTCTCCCTTTATTTTCTCTTCCTCTCCGTTTGCGCGCTGCGACGTTCGATCTGCGGCTGTCGGTTCTTTTTTTGCCCAGCCGAATTGGGCTTCTGTCTTATCCATTGTTCCTTTGTTCGGCTTCTTCCATGAGGCATCTTTATTAATTTCCACATCTCGTCTCCTTCGTTCGATACGCTCATTTACCGGTCCTAACTGGACATTTTCCAACCCCCGAGAGCTGGGTCCTCTATTCTCCCGTCGCACGAATCGGCCGCATTGCCCCGTCTCTACATCTCTACACCTTTTACCAACAATCCCCGCCAACCTCGTCGCCATGGCGAAAGCGACGGCGCGGGGCCGTAGCCCTCAACCTCCCCTCGTCGCAGAGAAGCAGCCCTTGGTGGCGCCAGTCGCATCCAGCAAGCCCAGCGAGAATACCTCGTACAAGTCTGACGGCGTCGTCGACAACGATGTCTTCCTGCTCCCTGGGCCTGACTATGTCGCGGCTCTCGGAGTGACTGTCCTGGCCACCATTGTGCGCCTGTTCAAGATCTACCTGCCCACCAGTGTTGTATTTGATGAAGTCCAGTGAGTCTCACCTCTCTCCTATGCTGTACTGCATCTCAGCTCCATTTTGTGCCATTGTGCTGACCATTCCCCTTCTCCTTAGCTTTGGTGGTTTCGCTTCCAAATACATCAAGGGCAAGTTCTTCATGGACGTGCACCCTCCCTTGGCCAAGATGCTCATTGCCCTCACTGGATGGCTTGCGGGCTTCGACGGCAACTTCGATTTCAAGGATATTGGCAAAGATTATCTGGAGCCTGGCGTTCCCTATGTCGCCATGCGTCTGTTCCCTGCGATTTGCGGCATCTTCCTGGCTCCCTTCATGTTCTTGACCTTGAAGGCTGTTGGCTGCCGAACGACAACCGCCGTTCTTGGCGCTGGCCTCATCATTTTTGGTAAATACACACTGCCCCTTTTTCTTCTTTTCATGATTTGTTGTTGTTTAGCTATGTGACCTGCTTGTAATGTTGGAGAAGCCACTTCTAACCAAGCCTTGTGCAGAAAACGGTCTTCTTACTCAGGCTCGTCTTATTCTTCTGGATTCCCCCCTGGTTGCTGCTACGGCTTTCACTGCCATGTCCTTCACCTGCTTTACCAATCAGCATGAGCAGGGACCGGAAAAAGCATTTCAATTGAGCTGGTGGTTCTGGCTTGCCATGACTGGTCTTGGTCTCGGCATTACCTCCAGCATCAAATGGGTTGGCCTATTCACCATTGCCTGGGTGGGATCCCTGACTCTTCTCCAGCTGTGGGTCCTCCTTGGCGACAGCAAGAACGTCTCTGTTGTACGTAAAATGGCATTCTATTTCCTTTCCTCCCAGCTTTGATTGCATTGAGCATTGACTAACCCAGCTCCTTAAATGTAGCGTCTTTGGTTCAAGCACTTCATGGCCAGAGTCTTCTGTCTCATCATCATTCCCGTTACCTTCTATCTCTCCATGTTCGCCATTCACTTCCTTTGCCTGACCAACCCCGGCGAGGGTGATGGATTCATGAGCTCCGAGTTCCAGGCTACACTGAACAGCAAGGGCATGAAGGATGTTGCTGCTGATGTCGTCATGGGAAGCCGTGTCACCATCCGCCATGTTAACACTCAGGGTGGCTATCTCCACTCTCACCCCCTCATGTACCCTACCGGCAGCTTGCAGCAGCAGATCACCCTGTATCCCCACAAGGACGATAATAACATTTGGATCATGGAGAACCAGACTCAACCCCTCGGCATTGACGGCCAGCCAATTAACGGAACTCTAGCATGGGACGCTCTGCCTCAGGTGCACCACATTGTTGATGGCACCGTCCTCCGTCTCTACCACCAGCCTACATTCCGACGTCTTCACTCACACGACGTGCGACCCCCGGTCACCGAAGCCGATTGGCAAAACGAGGTGTCTGCATACGGCTACGAGGGCTTTGAAGGTGATGCCAACGACCTCTTCCGCGTTGAGATTGTCAAGAAGCAGTCCAAGGGAGCCCTGGCCAAGGAACGCCTCCGAACCATCGAGACCAAGTTCCGATTGGTCCACGTCATGACTGGCTGTGCTTTGTTCTCTCACAAGGTTAAGCTGCCCGAGTGGGCTTCCGAGCAGCAAGAGGTTACTTGCGCTCGCGGAGGCAGCGTGCCCAACAGCGTCTGGTACGTCGAGCACAACGAGCACCCTCTCCTCGGCGACGACGTCGAGAAGGTCAACTACGCCAACCCTGGCTTCTTTGGTAAATTCTGGGAGCTCCACAAGGTCATGTGGAGGACAAACGCTGGCCTGACCGACTCCCATGCCTGGGACTCCAGGCCCCCCTCATGGCCCATTCTCCGCCGCGGCATCAACTTCTGGGGCAAGCACCACATGCAAGTCTACCTCCTTGGCAACCCTATCATCTGGTGGTCTAGCACGGCCGTCGTTGCTATTTGGGCTATCTTCAAGGGTGTTGCTATTCTCCGATGGCAGCGCGGATGCAATGACTACGCTAGCAGCACATTCAAGCGCTTCGATTATGAGATTGGCACCTCCGTCTTGGGCTGGGCCCTGCACTACTTCCCCTTTTACCTGATGGAGCGCCAGCTTTTCCTGCACCACTATTTCCCGGCACTCTACTTCGCCATCATTGCCCTTTGCCAGATGTTCGACTTTGCGACGGCAAGAATCCCCGCCGCGCTTGGCTACCGTGGTACTCTCATTAACCGCGTCGCCACTGTGTCTTTCCTTGTCCTTACCGCAGTTGTATTCACCCTGTATGCCCCGTTGGCCTATGGCACGCCTTGGACCAAGGCAGAGTGCATGCGTGTCAAGCTCTTTGACAAGTGGGACTTTGACTGCAACACCTTCCTCGACGATGTAAGTCTCTCCCAAGTGATCCCCGAACGCAAACTTCCTAGGCGTGGTTGAGCGATGAGGCGAGGCAGCAGATTAGACCATGACTGCATTGGCGAAAGAGGTGGAGAGATGAATCAAATCATGGGAGAAGGACAATTCCGAACAATCATAACTAACGTATTTCGATGTTTAGTACCAGAGCTATACCCTGACATCGCTTCCCCCGTCAAGCGCTGCTCCTTCACTGCCTGTTGCCGATATTGAGAACCAGAAGCCCCTGGCGCCGCCGGAGCCTGTTATTTCTGAGGCAGCCGTTCCCCTGGAGCCAAAGATCCTTTCCAAAGAGGAGAAGATTGAGTACCGGGACCAGGACGGAAACCTGCTGAATGACGAGCAGGTCAAGGCCCTCGAAGGCAAGGTTGAATTCCAGACCAAGTATGAGACCAAGACCCGCGTCGTTGACGAGCAGGGACGCGAGGTTCCCATGCCCGAAGGCGGTTGGCCCGATGACATGGTTGGTGGCGTTGCTCCACCCCACCCCGATGTTGAAGGTGTCGACAAGGAAACCTTCCAGGTTGAGAGCGCTGAGGTTCCGAAGGAGGCTACTGCCAGTCACGATGGCGAAAAGGAAGCCGAGAACCTCAAGGCTAAGCCCGCCAGCGAGGGACAGGAGGCCACCATTCAGGAGGAACTGTAAGGAAAAGCTGGTTGTTGTTTTGACTGGCTTGAGGTTCCTGAGTTTTGAAATTTTCACGAGCGAAACCAAAAAAAATCACGTCACATTCAGAGGCGGTATCTCAATATTCTTTTAATATGCGTCGCATTACTGCTTATGCCGTCGTGGCCAACTATTCAGGGGCGGCGTCTGTTTACAGACAACCCCCAATCTCAACCATTTGGAATGAATCGAGGGCTTAGGGACGATGGGGCGCTACGGGGAGGTTTATGTTTGGGCGGCGAAAGGAAAAATCTTCTTGCTCGACTGGGTCTAGATGAAAAGAAAACGCATTTGAAAAAAGTAATGGAAGAGGGGGTGAAAGGAGGGACGGAGAGAGAGAGAGAGAGAGAGAGAGAGAGAGAGAAGTTGCAGTCACTATACGATTGTCATCCATCATGTAGCGTCTGATGTACACCAATTCTTCTGCAGAATAGTCTCCTTGTTAAAAATACGTAACGTCTTTGTCATGACAAGCAACATTAATGTTTGGTGTTACTGTCTGTTTATCGGATGTACGAGTAATTGAACAAAATATAATTTTTTCTCCCCCCTTTTTTTTTCTTTCTTAACATGAGGCATGGAATTTGATGACTAGTATATGAGGTATATTTATATATATTTGGTATTCGTGATTACACCTCTGCCGCTGGTGATGTTTGATTTTTCTGTGTCAGTGGGTGCCTATATTCCGGCGGCAGAAAGTATAGCCGCGCACCAGCACCTGACAATCTAGCTTTGCCCGGGTCCTGCCCATCTCAACTCATGGGAACTAGGCTTTCGTGCTAACTCGGTATTTCTCAATCATATCAATCTGCAGAGCCATCGCATCATCATCATCTGCGGATTCGATTGAGCAAATGATTGGTCCGTGCGCTGACTGATATTCTGAATCAATTGACATCCATAATACACGACTTCAGCCAAGATGTGTCAGCCGTCGTCGGATGCAGACTCGCAGCAGATCCCACCAATCGAGATCGGCTCATTTATTGCCCTACGGCCTGACAAGAGCGAATTCATTGGGAGTGCCAGCGGTGTCTTCTTTGCAAACACCGTCTTCCGGGCCTTTGCAACTGCAACCACAACCTCCGGTGGTTCTGGCTCGAAGCGTCCCCAGGGAGATCTAGAGGGCCTGGGGGCTTCAGCAACGCCGGATCCCGGCTCTGCCCATGAATATGTTATGGCCGAGGAGAAAGCCCAGGAGGAGGCCGTTGGAGATGATGCGCTGGGGGTAGGTGCCGTGGGTGCTGAGGATGCGAGCAAGAGCCCGGGGCTGCGATCATATGGCATCGGAGCACCTGGACTGGGAATCCCACCTCCTCCAGCCGTTGCAAAGCGGCTCCTGGTGGAATATTTCAGAAGATGGCATCCCTTCCTCCCCTTTCTTCATGGCCCTACGTTCTTTGACAAGGTAAATCGGTTCTACGACCTGGAAGGGGGTTCTCTGGCAGAGCCGATGAGCCAGCGGAACAAAGTGTATCAGGCCATCATCTTCCAATGCGTCTTCAACATTGCAGATTCAAACCACAACCAGAAGCAGGAACGGGAGCTGCCCGAAGAATCTCGCATCAAATCTGCCGTTGCGCTAACGAGCTTGCTGGGCATCCTCTCCAGCGGCCATGATATTCCCTCTTTGCAAGCTCTCCTGGCCGTGGAGCTGTATCTAATGACGCAGATGTCTCTAAGAGCGGCCTCGACTGTTCACGGAGCGATGACGCGTATCCTATACCACTGCGGGTTACACAGATGCCCCTTCCGATACGTTCAGTTGCCGCGCGATATATGCGACATGAGGAAGAGAATCTTTTGGTCTGCGTATGTGATTGACCGCCACCTGAGCCAGGTCTTGGGACACCCCCTAGCGCTCAACGACGAAGAGATCGACGTCTGTCTACCGGGAGCGCCAGAGGTTCACAACCCAGCCAGGCCATTCTCACCAGAGGTTCCGAGCGCAAACAGGTCGTATCAGCATGTCTCGCAAACGCGCTCCTCGGCAGCGGAGGACGACATTCATGCCTATGCACCAGTAGACCACCCGACATTTGGGTCTGTTTCCTCTACAGGAGACCTCACCGATGGTAGCACCATCGGGACCCATGAAGAAAGCATCAATACGGACCAACTTGTATATCGGCCGCAAAGCTTGGGCGAATCTATACTCGGCTTCCTCGTGACGTATTCACGGCTGCTCGGGCAAGCTCTCGACCTCTTCCACAAGTCTATCCACTGCCGGTCCATCACTTGGGACAAGGTGCTTGAGATGACGTCGAGGATCCATGCCTGGTGGAACACGCTCCCACCATCGTTCCAGGGAGAGGGGCTCACGTCGATTTTTGTAGAACCGCAGTCCCATCATGGCCCTCCCTTTGCAATATTATACCACCAACTCATCCTCATCATGAACAGGCCTTTTCTTTCTCTCCCGACGAATCGAACAGATTTTCAATTCAGTTTGCAAACCGCCGTGAATGCTAGTCGAGCCATCGTCAAGAAGCTCAAATTACGGCAAGGAGACTCGCCTTTGGTAGCTTGGCCGGGCATGTTGTCAGCTGCGTGGATGGCAGGGCTAGTCATTGCGTACGCTGGACTATTGAAACTCTACCCAATGGAAAAGACTATCCTGTACGTTGCGATTGTCTTTGAATCCTGGTAAATTGGTCCATTGCTGCTGATTTGGCTGACGATTTGGCATAATAGGGATCTGAACTGTGCCATAAAGCTCCTTGGCATGATGAGTCGAAATTGGACCAGCGCCCACCACTGCCGTGTGACGCTGAAGATGCTACTAGACAGATTAACGTCGAAGCCGTTCATGGATAAACTCAACCCAGCGCTATCGGCAGACCCGTCGTTCAGCGTATTAACAGACTGGAGCCAGCCTGTCTTTTCAACGTACCAGAACCTCCTCGAGGGAAGCCGCAGCAAGCGGCGACGGGTTGACCAAAACAACACTAATAACAGCAACACCAATAACAACAATAACGTTAACAGCAACAATAATAACTTCATGGGTGGTTCTATGAGCGGCTATCCTGCCAGCCACTTTATTGGACCCGACACGGGTTTCGTAGGCGGTGACAATCTCTGGGACTACCCAAGCTTCCAGCCTGTTTTGGAATATACGGGACCAGATTTCGGGTTTGACGCAGATCAGTTCTCCCAACAAGGGGAATGGGAGCGATTCTTAAGCGAGAATATGAACCCGGAATCGTCAGGACTATTGTTCAACAATGCCGGATGGGACACGTATCTTCAGAATATAGGAGGCAGATTGTAAGTCCAAACATGAACTTTTCTTGAATTTATTCTGTATAATGTGTGCTGCTTTATCGTTGTGATGTGTGAGTAGGGTTAGATACTTGTCGAATTTCAACACAACATGCTCCGACTGCATGGGCCATTATTGTGTAGGAACAATTGCTGCAACGTCAAAATGCTCTACAAATCTCAGACACACGCGGGCATGAACATATGAATTACGTAGAACATGGTTAAGTGGTACATGAGCCGAGAAACAAAAAGCTACCATACAAATTGCCGTCTAAAATCTTGGGACAAATCAAACACTTCACCCGACATCATCTCCCTTACAAAAGTCGTGCTAGAAGCCAAAGCAGGCTCTGTAGCCGTCGGAAGAGCCGTAGCAGTTGGTTCCATCGGCCGTGGGGGAAACACCTCGGCACTAGCTCTCGAGCTCACCTCGGGCAGGTTCCTTGACAGCGGATCTGGTGGGACGGGATATGTTTTGAATGACCTCGGATCGGTGTCTTCACGGGCCGTTCCGTTCGTCTCCAAGTCATCTGAGCCGCGGCCGAGGACTTCGCTTGCCCAGCGCTTCACCTCGTCTGCCGTGTTCAAGGGGAAGTTGTCCCAGTGGGCAATTGTGCCCGTCTTCTTGGCCTCTATTCGCCCTGCCGCGTCAGTTGTCGTTGCGGTGGCAGCCGTATTTAAGACGTCTGTCCGCTTGCTGGGCTCATGTTTAAACGCGTCTTGCAAGACGGCGTCATCTGACACCTGAAGGAGCTGCAGAAGCACTGCCTCGGTAACTGCAAGACGATGCTCAAGGGCCTCGATGTAACCCTTGGCAGGGCCACTGAGATTGCAGTCAGATCGACGAGTTTGTTGCTTGCTTGGATATTGATTACTGAGATGGCGCTGCATCTTACCGCTTGTATAGCTTCGGCCACACGCACTCCCGTTTCATATCACGGCATCGCGAACATGTCGGTCTGCAGAGCGGTCAACCGTGTGATCTCACTACTAAAAAAAAAGGCAAGCCACGAATCCCGATGATCCGTTGAACGGGATGGCAAATCTCACCTTTTTTCATCGCACTGTAGTGATGGTTTGATTATACATCAGTAACCCAGAACCCTCCCAACACCAAAGCTCCTCCCCCCAGTCTTCTCACCTTTTGCTTTCGAGATCTACAACCATCGCAGGCTGCGCGGCCACGGACCGGAGCCATGTGAGTCTTCCGCAAGTGGGGCCGGATGTGACGATGGGCGGCCTCGTACTTCAACTCATGATCCCGCACCGGATACGTCTGGATCTAGGCCTCTGAGCCTTTCCTGCAGGGAGGGGAGCAGAGAGACGGTGCGTTTTTGGGTGAAGAAAGGTGAGTTTGGATCAGGTGCCAGCAGTGTGGGATCGAGAAGCATTGATTGACAGGCAAGCGGCGGAAGGGGATCTGGGAGCGGCTAAAAGATATGCCGATGGCCAGAGCCCGGAACATTGAAGTTACATCACCGCGACAGTTTGCGCTGGTCGTTTGTAACGGAAGGAGCACCCAGGAAAATCACATAAGCACACGTATAGTGAAGAGGAAAGGGTAAAAAAAAAAAAACGGAACGACTCTTCTTCTTTCATCCTCGGAGAAGAATCCTTCGCCTTTTTGATTTTTCTATGGCGTGGCTCCTCATTGCTGGCGAATTGCCTGCAATGGTTTCAAGGCCGCGGAGTACTAATCGAGTACACGCCGTACCTTGGTAAAGTGCATGCGTCGTACCAGGCGGTACTTCGAACATACTCGCATACCAGCGGCCCCTTCACTTGGTGTGATCGGATCGCCTCCGTCGCCTCCACGGGTACCAACTGCAAGTGCAGAAAAGCAAGTAATGCGCTATGTCGACACGCTATTCTAGGCTGCTGACGCTTCCATACAGACAACTGATTACCCCAGAGCGCGGCATCTTGTGTGGAGAGCCGCATGTGGTGTCCATGATGCTCCTCTTACGATAAAATGTCCGAGGCATCTCGATGCATTGACCGGAATCACGTCTTATATCAGTCTTGACCATCCTTTCCCAACATCCCACGGCATAGCAAAATCATACACTGCAAGTCGTTATTCACTTGCTGGGCCATCGCAATTCCTATCATCATTTCAGCCTCAATCTCATCACATCTTCCTCCACCAACCGCAATGGCTACCACTTCCACTCTATTCCCCTCCTCCTTTACTCCCTTTACGGTGCAGACACAATCCTCACCCGATGTCTCCATCTATGGCATTCGATCGTACGATCCATCTTCTTCTCTGCCTCCTCTTCTTCTATTGCACGGATACCCACAGACACATCACATATGGCACCTCGTCGCGCCTCAACTAACATCCCACTTCTCCCTTGTGATAATGGACATTCGCGGCTACGGAGCCTCTTCCAAGCCTGCCAACAACACTGCCCTCTACGCAAAGAGCCACATGGCAAACGACTGCATCGCCGTCATGGATGCCCTCAGCTATGCCAACCAGCCCTTTTACGTCTGCGGCCACGATCGTGGTGCTCATATTGCTCACAAGCTCCTGGTTGATCATCCCACGCGCATCCGCAAGGCCATCCTCCTCGACATATGCCCTACCTTGGCAATGTACAACTGCACAAGCCTAGAGTTCCCAAAAGCCTATTTTCACTGGTACTTTCTCATCCAGAAATCCCCTCTCCCCGAAACTCTCATCAGTGGAGCCCCGCGCCAGGTCATCGAGGCGTTTGTTAGTGGCGTGAATCCCGACAATCTTGCCATGTTCCATAAGGAAGCCCGGGAAGAGTACATCAAGTGTATGGAAGACAAGGACTACGTTCACGCTACATGCCAAGACTACCGCGCTGGCGCTACGCATGACCTTGACGAACAGAAGGATGATCTCGCCAAGGGGAAGCTGATCCAGACACCTATCAGGGTGCTGCTGGCCAAGGACGGCATCGTTAGTCGTCTCTTTGACGGCAAAGAGGAGTGGGCAAAAGTTACCGCAGAAGGTGTGCCCGTCGAAGTTGAAGATGTTAACTCAGGCCACTTCATCCCGGAGCTGATCCCGGACGTTGTCGTCTCCAATATTCTCGACTTCTTTCAGTAACCACCATACTGAAGAGAATATATTGCAATGCCACATCAGTCACGCTGTCAAGGTAAAAGCCAAAATATATCAAGATACCATGTTTTGTTCTAATACATCTATCTCATTAGGTATATGGATTCCCACAAAGAAGCCGTTATCAACGGCAATTCCCTTCTCCGCCTCCCAAAAAAAAACTCTTCTTGGCCCTTGTTCTAGTAATGGCAAAACGAATTGGCAAGCTGGCCAAACGTGCATTCCCAAAATGCTTTCCGTGGTGCGCCCGCTCCAATTGATGAGAGTTAAAAGCAATAGCAGTCAAAAGTGAGAAAATCAAAGAGTGTAAGAAAAAAAAAAACAGCAAAAGCAGAAGAGGGCCAATCCGAGGGAAGACGAAGAAGTCAAGAAAAAATTGTGAAAGAAAAAAAAAAGAGAAGAACGAAGAGAGCTAAATGATGCCCTTTAGCCCATTTTTGCCGGTTCTTCCCAAAGGCCCTGTATCCATCGTGTCCAACCCGAAAATGAAAAAAACGCCATCATACTTGACCAGTGTTTTTCTTTTGTTTCCTTGTCAGCATTCAAATCGTTTGCCTCCAGCCATTGCCAAATATGCTCGCCATTCTAACTTCCCTTCCCACTCCCTCCCCAATCCCATCCAAATCTTCGCATTTCTTCTCGGGTGAATGGCCATGACGTCACCTCGCCGTTGATTATTATACATATACATTATAGCCAAAAGAGGCGACGAAAGCATTACAAAAAATAGTGTAAAATAGGGGAATCTTTAGAAAGCCATTTGTGATTCTTTGGTTTTCGTTCTTTTGTGTTTCTTTTTTTCCCTTTAGTTCTCGATGACAGTAGTCGTAGACAGTCGCTTGGTGGCCTCGGATCCTGAGGTGCTAATGGCGCTCAGGGTCAAGGATTGCACCGAGTAGCGAAGAGGCTTGGTACCGTCAGTCTGGTCCGGGGGGGTGTGAGGCTCGTCCGTAGAAACACGGCGTCCCAACTCGAACTCGCTGGTGTCATCGTCCTCAATCTCTGAGGGGGGAGCTGTGTCGAAGCTGGTGTCGGCAACAGAGGCATCTTCCTCCTTGTCCGTGGACGCATCGACGTCGGTTGCCGTCTCAACGTCGGTTGGGACATCAGCATCGGGTGCGACATCAGCATCAGCTGGGATGCCAGCATCAGCTGGGACATCAGCATCTGGCGCAATCTCCACATCATCAATAGGAACATGAACGTTGGTGGGGACCTCAGCGCTAGTTGGCGCATCAATGAGAGCATTGATAGTACGCTCCTGGCTTGGTTGACGGCTATGAGCTGTCTCCGTGTGCGTCTCCCCATGGGAAACGGGAACAACGCCGCCTCCTAGGCGAGCCCAGAACATTTGCTCTCTCAGACGCACGCTCTCCTCCCAAGCGGCCTTTTCGTTCTCTTCATCGTCGGCCCTCCAGTATCCATCCTTGACCATACGAAGGAATCCGAGGAACTGGCAGGTGGATCGAACGCGGACAGTGCAGTAACCGCAAAGAGGATATCGCTGGGCAGAGTCGGCTTCGCTTGTCCGGAAGCGGTAGTTGCGCAGGTACTCCGCATCTTTGCGAGACTCGCCGCACAAGGAACAAGGATAAAACTGCGGCTTGGGGGTGGGGAGGAAGCTTGGAGTCGTTGGTGGTGCCGGAATTGGCTCGACTACAAGCGAGCCATCGGCCATGGCAGCCAAGACGGTGCGACGAGCCAGCCATGACAGTCCTGGAGCGGCATCGAGGCGCAGCGTGGGCTCAACATCCTCGGTCAGGGCACGCTTGAAGAAGCGTGTCTCCTTGAGCTGAGGAATCGTCGAAGGGGTTGATGCGGCGCTGGTGATGGATGCGGCTGCGGCTGCGGTTGCGTTTGGAGACTGCGGCGTGTTGCTGTTGCTTGGGGCGAGGCTTGAAAAGGCGCTCAATGATGAGGTTGAGGCGTTGGAGAGGTGAGCGCTTGAGGTTGAGCCGCCAAGACCAATGAATCCGCCAATAGAACCAGCAGAGCCGCGGTTTCCAGGACGCTGATGAGAAAGGCGGGCAAGTGCGAGAAAATCCTCATATCCGGCGATATCGGTACGCAAGACAGGCTGGATAAGATGGGTAAGGCTGGTCGGAGGAGCCGGAGTATAGTGCGTCTCGGTGCTGTGTCCCGGGGCAGACGGCACCAACTTCTCAGGAAAAGATTGGTCTTCTTCCTTGGATTCGACGCCGGGAGTCGATGGGGTCGTGTTGTTGGTCTGGTCGTCGCGTTCCATCACCATAGTCTCGAGGACATGCTTTAGCTCGGAAAGCTGCTCTTGCTGCGACTTGAGAAGACTCTCGGAATCAGCGAGCTGAGCCTTGAGCTGATCGTTCTTCTTCTGCAAAACGTCATGCTGGAACTGAGCGTCTTCCTTGGCAGCAATGACCATCTTGTTTGCCTCTTCAAAGAGAGCCGTGGTGAGATTCTCCAGCTCCTGCTCAATCTTGCGCTTCTCTCTCTCTGTTTCTATTCTGCCTGTTGACTCTTCTGACAGCTTCTTTTCCAATGCCTTCTTCTCCGTCAGCCAGGCTTTTCGCTCGCTTTCCAGGGTCGTCCTGCGAATCCAGACATCGCCGGCCATCATCTCGCGTTGGGAGGCAATCTGAGCCTCCAACTCGCGGATGCGTCCGTGAGAAGTCTCCAGCTCATGACGAGTTGCTGATAGTGTATCATCAAGCGCGGTCTGGTGGTTGATGGCGTTGATGAGTTTTGTGCTGAGCGTAGCAACTTCGTCGCTGAGTCCGGGATGCTGAGAAATGGTAGAAGCACCATCGCTATCTTTTCTCTCTAGATCTGGGTGCGCAGTTGACGGTCTGTGTGCGCTGCTAGACGAGCTGACAGTTCGTGTTCGCGGATCGGGTATTGTGCTCATCTCGTGGGAGGGGAAGTATGAGGCGGCTTTTGACGCGAATGAAATTATAGGCAGGTTCGAAACTGACGGCGACTTGGGCGGCGGCCGAGGCCTGTACGATGACGATGACTCGTCGATAGTTCCTGGCACAGTTGATATTGACCGGAGATGGCTCAGGGATCTGGCTGATGATGAGGGAAAGTGCTGAGACCAGCCGGCAACGTGGATAAAGCTAAGGGATAAGTTGTTAGAGGTCGTTCCATCGCTTCTTTTCATCTCGCGGAGCAGAGATATTTGATTTAGAAAAAAATAGACAGGTAAAAAAGAGATATGATTAAGATGCGACGAGAGGCTGGAATGCGACAAGGTAAAACAGAAACTCAAAAATAAAAATCAAAAATCAAACGAGGTAATGATATGTTCGGAATAAACCGATGCAGGCAAAAATCATACAACTGGGGCGCGGCAGAGGGAAAGAGGGACGATGCATGCATGTATGACGTACGAATCCATAGTTGATGCTTCCTCGAAGCGAGGGCTGGTTGAGCCGAGAGTTTCCTTCCTTCTAGGCTGTCTGCCTCACTCGGTATTTTCGGCGGGCGATGCCGTCACTAATTATCGCCGTCCGCGTCTTCCGTATTCGTGTTCGCTGCGTCGCTGTCGGCGGAAGAAGAAATAGATGGAGAAAAAAATCCGGTTGGAAAGTCCTCCTGTAGAGGATGGAGGAAAAGAAGAGAGGAAGAGGTCTGATAAATGGGAGGACGACTGAGAAAAAGAGTTTGTCGAAGACGGGCTGAAAAGCTAGCAAGCTAGAGTCCAGCACTGGCTTGCCGCTGGCCGCAATCGGAATAATAAAAGGTCGTAGGTTGCAAAAAGTATGATATAGTGGACGGTACAGTAGGGTATAGTGCGAAAGGATGTACTATGCAGGTATCGAAAAGAAAAAGAATCCAAAAGGAAAGGCAGAAGAAGAAGAGCTGGGAAATGGCGCCAAGCGTTTTTGTGGCGTCGCACGCGCGCAGACGGTGTTGCGGAGGCCCGAATTGGGGAAAGAAAGTGAGCGAGAGGCTGATCTGATAGAGAGACCTAACAGAGAGTGACGGAGATCGACTGAGACTGCGACTGAGACTGGGAAGAAGCAGAAAGAAAAATCAAGGAACGAAGAGGCTAAGGCGGCGTCGACGGAAGCCGGATTACGGAGTAGAGTAATAAAGGAGGTCGGTCGGAAAAAGGAAGCGCGGCACGGTAGAGACAAGATTTGGCAGCGCACAAGCCAAGGATGTGCAATAAAAAACGGGCGTGGGAAGGGTGCCGAAAAAGGGTCTAGGGCGCGTATACGAGTACGGCGCCGTCTCGTAGCTGCCGCTGCGGTTTCTCTCCCTCGTGTCGTTTGGTGATGCTCGTGTTTGGTTTTCTTTCGCAAGAGGTTGATGTTGATATCTTGAACTTGTTGAGCCGCACTCGAGTGTGAGAGTATAGAGTACGAGTAGAGGAGGAGCGCAAGGCGGCTTATTGTGAGGGGTGCTTGCGGGTTCAAGAGGGAGCGGGCGAATACAGTAGCCTCTCCTGTGTCGTTTTGCCTTGTCCCCCCAATGGCGCCTTTTCCTTTGCGCGGGAGGCGAAAAAGGGCCGCCAGAACTGGTTTCTTTGGTCGAGCCGCACTGGACTACCCAGTACTTAGCAGGTACTAGTCGTGTGCTAGCTCCTGTGATGGTGCCAGTCTCCAGGTGGGCAGGATAGCAGAGAGCGGCAGCGCCACGCTCAAGCCTCGTTTCCGCCCAATGGAGTGGGCTTTTGACAAGGCCTGGTGGCGGAGTGTCACTCGGCAGAATTCGAGGCCCCGGTTCGATGTCTCTGCTCTTCTTGGTGATGCCGTGCCGAAGTGAGGAGAAGGACGACGAGAGGAGCGGCAGAAGGGGAAGCTGGGATGTGGATGATGTGAGATGAGATGGGGGAAGCAATCTTGGGAATAACGTTGGTTCTAGTAGCGTGTATATGTGCTTTGGCTTGGTTAGCTACGAGTTATGTACTGTACACTGCAATGATAGGTTGACGTGATGTCCAATGCACATACATACGTCAATCGAAAAGCGGCCCAGCCGATCTGGAGTTTGCCAGGTTTAGGCTTCTCCTCCTCTCGGTCGACTTGGTCTGCTGGCCTGGTTGGTTCTTTTATCGCCAAGGGCAGTTCTGGCCTAGCCGGTGGGGAATCTGATGCAGCAACGCAGCTCCACGAGGCACATGGATGCTTCGTACATCCAAGATAGCCGGGGCAAGGTGGAACAAGAGGCGAGTCAAGGGATCGCGCGTTTGCAGCAGGGTCCCCAGCTTTTTTGATGGCCGGCGGTTTGGCCTTGACAGCTGTGGCTTGGGGGAGTATTATGGCGTTGTTGTCCCTGTCAGTTCAGTAGGATTGAAGGGGGAAGAATGATGATACATGGAGGCTATCGAGAAATCAAAAAGAAGTAGTATTACAGTATAGAAGCCGGGGGAGGGGGAAAATGTGATGTGCTTTCGCTTAGGAACTGCAGATGCGAAAGTGCTCAAGCTACAGGCAGGTACAACCTGAAGGTGCGCGGTACAATACAAAAGCACCTCTTTGCTGCGACGCTCCCCGATAACCCTAACCCGCATTAGGCAGTACTTTCCAAAAAGACCGGATTGCCTTGCTGGATTGGGCAGTCGAAGCGAGAGAGAAATGATATCATGTGTGTTGTTTGTTTGTCTGTCTCTCACATCACTTTTGTTCCCTTTTCAGCTTGTACGAGTACATTTGATATTGTACAGTACAGGCTCCTCTTAATGTCAAGACAAGTCTCTGTGTCGAATCAACTACAAGCTGGAGAAGCTGAAAACAAATGACGAATGGCTGACGCTAAGGCCCGCTCCCGTATTCTGCCCATCAAGTTTACGGAGCACGCACTAGCGCTGCGTACTGGGTACTTTAGCAGCAAGGGAGCTGTGCAGCTAGCGCTCCGTATAGGCACATGTACCTTGTACCCGGCCGCTTGCGCAAATCTTGGCACTGGTCTCGATCTTTTTCCTTTTTCCCTTTTCCTTTTTTTCCTTTTTCCAATTTGATAAAATCAAATCACTCTTACTAGTACTATATCCCCCCTTGCAGAAAACACCATGACGGGCGGCTAAAGAGGTCAAAGCTCCCAAATGCCGTGCGGTAATATCGTACCTGTATCAGCTCAGGGAATGGGATGCCTCCAGAGTGACCTGCTGGGACCTGCAGCCATTAAAAGGAGCATGCAGCTGCTGAATACATCACATGTACATACATGTACTTACATGATTCCGACTCCATAATGGCACAGCAAGCTGCTGCTCCTTACAGCGCGTACAGCGCATCCAAGCCCTGTAAAAGCGCGTCAGGTGTTCCCAGATAACAGGGGTGGCCTAGGCCGACCCGCCTCTAGTCCGCCCCCGGCATCTTGCTCTTTGCCCTCGCTCGGCTTGGCTATGAGATACTACAGGTAATATTGACTGTCAGCCGTCGTGAAGCTTCAATTACCGAGTACAGTACGAGTATATGTACTCGTATGTGGTGTTTGTGTGCTGTATACTAGCCTATAGTAGCTCTTGCTGACTTCCATGTCTTGTATCACCAACTCCTTGCCTCGAACAACACATCAGACACACATTCATCCATTCGAGCAACCAACAGGAAGAGCAAGATGGGCCAATTGATTCAGCAGATTCTCCATAGCTCGGTCACGGAATCAATGTCACTCAAGCAGCATCACATCACAGCATCAATCAACAGATGGCCCCCCCTCCCGCGTTGCTACCCAACCGCTACAGCTCCAACTATTGTTCCCCGAACCATCAATAGAGGCCATCGTCACATCGTCCACTAACAGCAGGTGTCACTTGCTCGCACAAGTACTTACAATATGCAATACATAGCCTATAAACAACCTCAGCTGCGGCTGTGCCACTATTTGCTCGCTACCAACAAGTGCTTGCACGGAGCTTTATTAGATCCCATCAAATTATCCCCTTTGCAGCGCCCTCGACGAATCCACTACCTGAAACCGACGAGGATCATCAGGCACATTGCGCGCCCCCGTCTCGTATCACGTCAGTAGCAGGTACGAGGCCCTCGTCAAAACACAAAGCACAAAAGCATGCCATCATCTGCCTGCATAAGATATGGAACGGCTTACTCGACTTGCACGATCCCGAACTAGCCCGCTTTTACCTACAGCACTAGCACGAGTAAGCTGCCTTTCCCTTTCCCAGGGCGGCCAAGAGAGAGCAAAAACGGTGATCCCCCGTATCAGTATGGGCTTCGTTCTTCGTATGGCACCTCGTAATTGACCCATCAATAACCCCATCACACTGTACATACGAGATATCTGCTCGTAATCGTCCAAGCGCGCCGAGAGAAGCAATACTACGCCAGACAATAGCAAAACAACACAAACAAAATAGAGACGCGAATCAGATGAAGCTAACAAAAAGCTCAAAAATCGGAGCTCCCACGCCCAACGACTAGCTCCAAACTATCCGCCCAAATCGAATTGGCAGATTCAGGCACGCAGTTCAGATTCCAAACAAACAACTCGCCTTCCCCCGCACATTGGAAATCCTGCTACCATTACCTAGTAGATACATCCATGCACAGTAAGTACCGTTACCAGCATTACCTATTGTTGCAATGATTTCCCATTCCACGCAAGGGCCCTTGTGCTGGCCCTCGTCGCCCAATTTCCGTCATCATTTCGTGGCCGAGGGTGCCGCCTCGTTACTTAAGCAGTATTACTGATCATGATGACGAACATCACCACTGCCCAGTGCGAGTCTGGTCGCTCACTAATGCCGAGAAGAACAAAGGAAATTGGAAGAATTGAGGATTAGAAAAGCTAATTATGTCAAATATTATTACCGCAATCTGCTATACACATCTTCTCCCACGTGTGTGTTATCTACATGATTGCAAATCAATTTCCTTGCTGTGGCGCCAATATTCCTTGAGAAGTTGTTCTCATCAATACATCCGAACAAATGAAAGTGAATGGGGTATCTGAAATGACACGAGTGCTCCGCTGAGAAAGAGCTGGATCAGGATGAACAAATGAAAAGTGAGAAACACCCTTCCACATCGTACCATATATCCCCGTATAAACAATTATCGTATGCTTTATCAATCTTCCTTCCAGTCTGCAAATTCCGGCTCGCCAAACGGATTCCACTCTTGTCCAGGATAGCTCGTCGCGCTCATCTTGGGTTCGTAATCCTCTGGCTCGTAAAAGATCTTCTCCTCCTGTGATGCCAGCCTTATGGCTCGCTTTCGTGCTTCTTCCGTGTCTTCTAATTCTGCCATCACACCAGCGTTTACTGGTTTTATGGTGGCCTTGCCCGCTGCACTTGCAGAGCTTTCTGCCTGCTCGTTTGATGCTGACTGAGATGTGGCAGATGAGTTGCCGGCATCTCCAGCCACATTTGGTACCACCTTGGGCGTAGCCGCATAAAGGTCATCCTCCACCAGTTGCTGGGCTTTATCTACATCTATGCCAAGGTTCGAAGCCCGACTTGAATCATACGTTCCCTCTGGCTTCGGGCTGGGATCCAGATCAGGCTTCTGATCAGCCCCAACAGGCACAGCGGGACTCCGTGAAGCAGAGCGAGGACGGTCCATGACAGATAGATTTCCCTTTTCAGACGGCTGAGGGCTGCCTGGATGTGACATTCCCAGTATGCTGCCCATGCCACTGCCAGGTCGCGGTGGCTCAGCTCTGCTATTCTGGCTACCTTGGGAATTGTGTCGATTATGCCGGCTCGATTGCGTATTGAATGATTCAGGGCTCCGAGGACTGAGGTAGTCGGATCGTGAGTCAGATGGAGCTCTCATATGAACAGGACCTCCATTCTGTGGGCCTTGAGCCATTCGGGGGCTTCCTTGGAATTGGGTTGGCTGAGATTGCTGAGGCTGCTGAGAAATGGGTGGGGGGTGGCCACCTTGCCATTGTCGTTGCATCTGCGGATGGGGATGTTGCTGCATTTGCTGCTGTGGTGGTAGGGGGCCGAACTGGCGTCGAACGTTCGGGTGATATGGCGATGGCACCGTTATGCCCTCGCCATGTACCGCCGTATATCCTCTGGGGATGGGGACGCTTTCATAACGCGGCTCTGATGACCGCGTCTGGTTTCGGGGGGGAGCATTCTGTTGAGCCGGCCCAGGAGGCATAGTCTTTGCTCTGGGCATATTGGGTGGCTGCATAGATGGCTGCAAGTACTGGTTGTTAGCAGGCATAGCATTAGGCCGTGGCCCCTGCAACTGTCCTGGTTGCGGCTGATATCCCTGAGCATGAGGCTGTGGGATCGGGTTTGGAAGCTGCTTGGAGCTGGAAGATGGTTGGACATTGCCCTGGTTTTGGCTAAGTTCCGGTTGCTTCGATGTACGTCTCAGAGCGCCTAGCAACTTATTGCCCTTGATCTTGTCTCCCACAGCAGTCTTGTTCTGGCCCTGGTTCATGTTTTGTACCGGTTGTTGCTGCTGTTGCTGCGGCTGCTGCGGCTGAGATCTTTGGGAAATCTGCTCGCTCACTCGATTTTTGAGTCCTTTCCATCGCGATCCCTGGCCATCTTTCTGCTGTGCAGCAGCGTCTGGAGGCTGTGTAGACGCTCGTCCGAATGGTCCAGGAAGCCCTGGGAAAAGGTTTTGTGGTCCAGATTGGACTTGATATACCGGGGTTGATGCCTCTGAAGCAATGGACGCATTAGAGGCGCTTACCGACGGCGGATATTGAGGCCGCAACTGTTGTGCGGGATGCTGCTGTAAGGGATGTTGATGCTGTACGAGATGCTGCTGCGGCACAGGTTGCTGTTGTAAGGGATGCTGCATGGGATGCTGCCGTTGTACGGGATATTGCTGCTGTACGGGTTGCTGTTGTGTTGCTTGGATGCTGGCAAGTAGTGGTGATGACGGCGTAGAGAGTTGCCGCTGCCCTGCTGTATCAACGGGCCGCTGCTGGGATTCAGGTCTGGTTTGAGACCGAGGAGTAGCTGGCGGATCAACGCTCTGCGTCTCTGGCAGCTTTACTGTCGCCAAAGCCGGCGAGTGCAGTTGTTGATGCTGAGACACTGGTGTTGCAGCTTTGCTCGATACTTCAGACTTTGTAACTTGCGGTGACGGTTCCGGTGATATTGCCACGCTCTCTTCTGTTTGGTGTACAGAACTTCCTTCTTGCTGGATAGACTTGACATCCGATTTCTCACGAAGCGAAGAAATCGATGGGAATGAGTGGACTGACGGTGGCACATTATGGTGGATGGCAGAAAGTCCGACATTGTCAGCATCCGCAGTTGCAGGAAGAGACGCTTCAGGAGGGGGTGTAATCAAAACCCCTTCAACCACCTCGCTATGCTCAGAGGCATTGCTGTGCGATTGGACAGGGCCTTGCTCCTCTGTCTTAGAGGTGGACACGATGGATATATCTGGAGATACCGTCTGCGATCTCAGAACTTCCTCTTCGCTCACATTATCTCCCTCGAGCTGGAGAGCTGCCAGCTTTTCCTGAAAGATGTATTCTTGAACCCTGGGGGTCTTTTCATCCATTGCCGAGTCCAATTGGGATTCAGGAGGAGTTTCCAAACCCCCGTTGCCGGAAGAGTTTTGGCCCTCTGTAGCAGCAGTATTCACATTCTGCACGGGCACTGGAGCCTCAGTCGCAAGAGGTGGTAAACGAGTCTGAGGATGCTGTCGCTCTGAATCCTGACTGATGCCCTGTGGTAGCTGGTTGAACTGAGGGGATGCCAATCCTGTCGGGGCTGCTGCCCTCTCCTGGCCTCCAACTGAAGTGGGTAGCGGAGAGATCTGCTGGGTTTGAGGGTCCATAGGACCAACAGAGAAGGCATTATGATTGCCAAACTGTCTCTGCGGGGGGGGTTCTAGCGCACGCTGCGGTTGCTGCTGCTGCTGCTCCTCATAACGGTAATTCTGAAATGATTCTTCCAAGCCCAAACTAGACATGGAATCCAGAGGGTCCGATGTAAAATCCAAAGATGGCAGTTGCATGGGCGGTCGATCAGGGATAGCAGCTTTTTGATTGAAAGCTTGGATGTTTTGCCCTCGCTCGTCGTTCTGCTGCCGGGGCATAGCACCCAATGACGCACGATCCTGACGTGAGCGACCAAATAGGCCAGCAATGCCTGACACCTTGGCAATATCAGATATTCTTCTCTTGTGCGGATCTCGGCCGTCGCCACCAGACTCAAGTGCTGAGTTGGAAGTGGACGAGCGAGAGAAGTTACCCGGACCTATCTTGTGCTGTCCGCCGCCACCAAAGAGGGAGCGCTTACGATCCTCGCGGGGGTCAACGGGTGGCTCACCTCCAGCAGATCGTGTATCCCGCTGGCGTGCTTGGTGGCCTGGGTCGTCTTCCTTCCGAAGTGGCTGGTCCGAGGAAGGACGGCCGGAAAACCCAAGGAAACTGGCTCGCTTCTTTCTACGATCCGATGTATCCTCCGTTGTTACGCTGATATCGGACACCTCATCTCCTCGAAGCTGTATAGATGGCGGTCTAGGCTCAGTAATAGAGCTCCGGCGTTCTCTTGAGGTTGCTCTCGCAATTCGAGTCCCAATCTCTTTGAAGAGGCCCGAATTCCTTCTGCGCCCACGCTCATCGGCCTCTGGTCCTCCTTGTTGCTGCCGTATAGGCGCCGCTCCCTCTCTTGGCTGGCGGCCTTGCATCTGGGGCGGGTATCCTTGGCCTCGACCAAATTGTCGTGGGTCTTGTCCTGGAAGTGAAAACAGCTCCGGATAGCGCCGAGCAGACGATGGAGGCACATCGCTTCTGAATCGCCCGGGAGGCCCCTGAGCGAGAGGTACTGGAGCTGCAGGGAACTCCAATCCAAGCTCTTTATTGTAGCCATGATACATATCCTGCTGCGAAAAGTCTGTGCCGGAGCGCTTTTTGGTTAGGTGAAGCGGCTCAGTTAGATGGCTCTCTTCCAGCTTCCACGGACCTGCGGGAGGGAGTTTCTGGACTAGGCTACCAAGCATAGGCGCGCCTTGACTAAGTTGAGGGTTTGGTCCACCAGGATATTGCTGCTGCGGCTGTTGTTGTAGCTGCTGCTGGTGAGGATGATGACCTGCATGGGAGAAATGTTGCTGGCCAAATTTAGGCTCAGCACCCGCGGCCACCGGTACTCCTTGCGCGGGTTGAGGAGGGAGGGCCCTTTCATTGCGTTCCCCTTGACTCGCACCCGTCACGACCTCTGAGGGATGTATCGACGCGTCAATGCCGCTGACTGGAGAGAGGGGAGGAGCATCAAAGTCCCCACCATCGTCACCATCTTCGTCGTCTAGGGAGAAGCGTTCTGTGGCCCTCCGTGCTTTTGATTTTGTGCCAAATGTTGAGCCTCTCCTGATGGGTGGCAGACCGATAAAGGATGAGTTGCGCTTTGGCGCGTCCGAGCTATCCAGGGGCTGGCTCTGCTGTTGTCGCGCCTGCTCGTCGTTTGCAGCCATTGCCCTAAATGACATGGACAATCTCTGAGCCTGACTTTGTTCACCCTGATGCTGAACCATGACCCAATCATCCGGCGTCACCATATCTGGATTCAAGTCGGAGATTCTTTGGCCAGCGGGGAATACGTTCTCCTCCTGCTCTGCTGACACATAAGCCCCGTGGAGGAAGGAATTGGCGATGACTAAGTCGTCCGATCTGACGTGTTCATCGCCAGGCGGCTTCACAGCTGACGGGTCGAGGGCGGGCGTGTCATTTGAGACACTCCATGGAAAGGCGGATCCAGGGCCATCTGCGGCGTTCAAGGGGGAGACCGGGGACGGGTCGGGCAGCTGTGGCGGTGTCGTGGAGATGTCGCTGCTGGAATGTGGGGCAGCATCATCTTCACGAGGTCTTGGCTCGAGACTGAACCGCCATGTCGAGCGTCGTTGCGCTTTGTTGGGTATCGGATGGTCCGGAGGGATCGTATCGACCTAGTTGGAGAGAGAAGACAACATTAATATTGATTCATCACATCATGAGAAGCTCAAAGGGATGTGGATGTGGATGTGGTCCATGGGCAAGGGAGGAGGGTGGGTGCATGAGTGTGCAGGTCTGTGCATGTCTGTGCATATATGGGTATGGATATGTATGCAGAGAAGGGGGAAGGGCAAGGGGAGGTGTATGCGGGAAAATGGGTATCTGAAGGGATCAAAGACAAGTAACAGAGCGTCGAAAAAAAAGGCAAAAGAGAAAGTTGCCGTGTAATTCCTATCTCGTATGCCACCGTCACATCATGATGCCCCATTTTTAGTCCCGTGTAAAGGAAGGGCGGGTACAAAACATCCTCAATCTCAGAGCATCATTCAAGATAACCAATCGTATCAAGAAGAGTAAGCGTAAAAAGTGAGAAGGAGAAGAAGAGAAGAGAAAAAAAAAGTATTATTCAGTCGAGGGAAGAGGAAAGAGGGCCCACTCACTGCGAGTAGGGTTCTGGAGAAAAAATCAATCAATGAAATACCTTGTCCCCGCTTCCGCGCAGTTTGCTTTTGCCCTTGCTCAACAGTCCCTTGCCCATCTTTCCAGCTGAATGCATGAACTCCTTGCTCTTTGTGCCAATCTGGTTGCCCGAATGCCCAAACGCACTGCCGGACATCTGAGATGGCATCGACAACCCACCCAACCTCGAGCGGCCACCACCGCTACCACCTCCACCTCCGCTTTGTGGCACAGACGTGCTTGGCGAGCTGGCGTTGAGATACTGCTGGTAATAAGGCTGTTGGCTCGAGGGCTGAGCTCCTGCTGGCAAGGAGGCGTTGTTACTTGACCGAGGCGTCATCTGGCCTCCCGGAGCAGAGATGGAGGCCGAAAGCTCGGGATGCTCCGTGGTCAGATATACAAGCCAGCTCTCCAAGCCGGAATCTCTTGCCGCCAAGGCCTCGCGTGCTTCGTTGTATTTTGCTATCCTCTCCGACGGCGTCGACAAAGCCATGATATCCCGGAAGTTCATGGCTTTGGCCTGTGCAAGTGGGTTTGCATTAGGGGCAGGGGCTTGTGGAGCGGGCACAGACGCTGCAGAAGTCGGTGAAGACACGGCCGGGTGAGAATCCGAAGCTGGAGGTGGAGATGCCGTCACCAAACTGACGGAGCCCTGGTCAGCGAGCAGCTTGTCGTCGGCAATGGACATGCGCGCTTGTTCACGGGCAGTGGTAGAAGGTTTATCACTGATCACAGAAACAGACACTGGAGAAGGAGGCTCGGGAAGCGACGAATCATGCCCCGGGAAACTGCCGGATGGATTGGATGTCTGAAGCACCAGGGCACCCAAGCCAGATCCCGCCGCCGTTGTTGGTGCCTGCGATAGCTGGGATACAGGGCTATGGCTACGAGATTCGGTGCTCAAGTTCGTCACGGATGGCTCAAATGGTTGACCGGATGGCCCAGTGAGATGGACTGCAGGAGCGGCAGAGTCATCACTGGTTGGCTGAGCTTGTATGGGAGTCTGAGCCAGAGTTGTGGGAGTGTGGCGCTCCTCTTCAGCCTCCCAGGAAAACCTTCGTCTAAGGGATGATTGTGGCTCCTGTTGATCCTCTTGCTGCTGCTGCGGCTGAGGTTCCTGTTGTCGCTCTTCTTGGGGCAATTGCTGGGACTGCTGAGGAGAGAAAATCGTATCAAACGTTATCGTAGCTGCCTCTGGCGGAGAGGTGTTATCGGTTGATAATTTCAAACCAGATTGAGCTGAAGGAGCGGGAAGCGTCTCAGTAGCGGCTGGTGTGCTCTGGAGGTTCTCAGTTGGCGGCACTGGCGCATCCTCATGGCCCGGGCCCGAATCTCCTGCTGTATCCGCCCAGTAACTATCATAGTCCATAAGAGTGTAACTGCTCTCCCTAACGGCGCTCCGGCCCTCCGGAGGATGCAGTTGGGGACCATCGCTGAGCTTGACATCAGCAGGAGTTGCACCCGAGGGGCTAAGAGTCCGCATAATCTCGTCACTAAGCACGTCGTTTTCTTTCAACGGGCTGTCCTTTATGGGAGACGAGGAGTCTGTGCCATAAGTCTGCACTCTTTGGAATGACGGAGGAGCTTCAAAATCCGGCAATGGCTCTCCCCTGTGGGGCTGAAGAGGCTCTGTGGGAGTGATTTTGGTTCCTTGCGAGTCAAAGGGAGCCGCAGCGGACGGTTGGGGGCTAGGAGTTCGCAATGGTGGAATGACTGGAATGTTTCTACCAGGGAATAGGCTGTTGGGCTGAGAGAGAGGTGCACCTCCAGGAGCTTCTGACTGGTCTTCGTCCTCGGCTGGCACTGCGGGAGGCTGCCAACGAGATTCTGCAGTAGTAGCTGCGGGAATAGCAGCAGCGGGTTCGTCTCTATTCCCCTGATCTTCACTGATAGGAGCTTGCTTCAAAAAGTTGTTGTTGCTCGATGAGGAGGCAAAGAGGTCAGTGCCAAAAGCGGACATGCGAGCAAGGTCCGGCAACTTGGGACTAACAGACATTCTCCCACGATCAATCCCAGCTTGGGACTCAAAATCGGGACGGATTCCTTGGTTGTCTTGATGATCCCCGTGAGAGGAATCGTCGTCCCTTTCCCAGGTATCGCGCCTGTCCTCACTAGACAGCGGCTTTGGAGCAGATACAGTGGATTGGTCAGGTCCAGAGCTCGGGGGAACAGCAGGAGCCAATGCTAGTGTCTCATGGGCCTTGTCATCCTCCAGACGACTGTAATTGTCAGGCGAGTAAATGACGGGGGGAGGTTGGTCTGCAGGAGGTGGTGGTGGTGGTGCGGAAATTTGGGGAGACACGGAGCGATCAACAACTGGAGGTGTAGATGTGGGCTTTATAGCCTGCTCGAAGCTGGAAGAGCGTGACACATCATAGCCGCCGGGAGCTTGTTGCTGCTGTTGGATTTGTGAAGGCAGCTGAGCAATGCCGGCTAGCGACAGATTGCCGTCGCCTTCACGTCCTTGGAAAGCAGCCACGGGTTGAGGTGATACAACATGGCCGCTGGCAATCGACTCCGAGGCGCTACGAGTCAAGACGTCTGATACGACAGGCGAAGTAACTCCAATCCGCGGAGGCTGGTTTGCTGGTGGCACAACGGGAGATTGCTGCTGCTGCTGCTGGACTTGTGTTCGCAGAGACGGCAGCGCACTCAAACTCGAGGCTGGGCTGGGAGTATTGTGGCGAGAGTGTAGCAGGTCGGTGCCAGAGAATGTGCGCAGCGAGGGGTTGATTGGCGGAGGCGGAGGAGCTTCATGATCAGACTCTTCGTCGTACTCGTCAGCTCCCCAGTCGTCGCCGTCATAGCTCTGGACCTTAGCCTCGACCCATTTCCTCGTCTTCTTGCGGCTGACGTTGACCTGGTAGGTCGTCGATTGACTTTGCGGGTTTCTGTACGCCAAAGTTTGTCAGTGGAAAATGCCGAAAAAGTGTGTTGCGAGGGAGCAGCCATACAGAGAAGTCTGAGCACGTTTCACTGGGTGATTGTGCGAGTCCTCCATTGCGTCTTGGTCAGGATGCGAAACCTTCTAAGATCTATAGCAAAGCATGCTTCCACAAAGAAAGCACACGAGGCTGCGCGATGCTTTCGCCCTTTCCAGGCGGAATGCCGGCTCCAGCGACACTCTGGACAGGCAAACAATCAGACAAGGGAGATGGCGGCTGGTGTTTTGCGATTGCGAAAATTATTACTTGAAGCGGAGAAGTCGTCGGTAAGGGCCCTGAGAAGCTGCCCCAAGAGAAGACGCCGGCAATACAAATTATTGTTACCACAAAGACGGACAGGCGCTGCGATCAGAGATCGACACAGTTGGTGAGGAGGAGGAGAGAGAGGAAGAAGCGCGCGGATCGTCGTGGCACTTTGAGGCCAATGCTCCTGCTTAGTACAAGGAGAGCAGGTGATAGCAGTGGTACTACGGGCAAGTACTCCATCCCGTAGGTACAGGAAGGTACACTGAAATGTTTCTTCCAAGGCAATATACCAGAGGCTGGCGCGTCAACCCGCTGTGGCTGGTGGGTGAGTACACGCTTGAACGATGGCGAAAGCCGCCTGGCTGCGTAGCTGGTACTCTGTAGGACAAGGGCAGCTGCAGGATTATGCAAGTAGAGGCTACATAGACATAGAGATCGATGATCCTCCTCGCAAGTCGCTGTGGCTATGCTCTTCCCCCAGCTCCCGTGGCCCACCCCTAAGGCCCAATACGAGCAAGGACAACCCAAGTAACTCTCCATACTGCTGGGCCCGTAAGGATACTTGGGCCACCGTCCACTGATATTCCACGTGTGGCGCCTCGCAATCAGAAGCAACGTGGATTCATCAAATCTCCCTGGCGCAACTAGCCGACGAAACCATCCAACTCTCTCAACCATCATTTGACGGCTTCGCTCCTTATACCTTTTTCGAGTTACGTCTTACTCTGTCCAGAGCCTCTTTTAATTAATTCATCCTTGCCGCCATCAGCTGCTTGGATCGCCCATTTCCGACCCGAACCGAATACCTGGTCCCCTAGTCCAAGCTGTCCAGAGTTTAAAGTCCGATTTTAATATTCTACATCCGGTGGAAGACTAATCAACGAGAGCTGCAATCTTGCTGAGATTGCTGCATCATACTTACCCCGGCTAGCCACCTGATCTCGATCCTAAGGCTTGCTTACCCAGGGGGCCCCTCGAACGCACGCGCGGGAAACAGCCCTACCAATCTCGTCCTCTCAGTTACAGTCGCCAGACGCGCTGGTCGCAGTCCGGATCCATCAAGTCCCCCAGCAAATCAACGACGAACAAGATGGCTGTCGCATCTATTCAGGACCGAACCGCCGAGTTCAAGTCGGTTCTGGCCCAGGCCCAGCGTCGTCAGAATGCGAACAAGGTGGGCTCGCAGAGGAGATCGCTGCTCAACGACGCGCAAAAGTCTGCGGCAAATGGAGATGCCCGGGCGAGACGATCAGACTTTGCCAGAAAAGCGGCAGAGATTGGAAGAGGCATCTCGGCTACCATGGGCAAGCTTGAGAAGTTGGCGCAACGTGAGTGGCGATATGCTGGCTGGAATAGAATCATGGCATTGAATTTTCAAACTGACATTATACGCAGTCGCAAAGCGCCGCACTCTCTTCGACGACCGGCCCGTAGAAATCAACGAGCTTACATTCGTCATCAAGCAAGACTTGTCATCGCTGAACCAGCAGATCGGTGCCTTACAGACGATGTCGAAACAGCAGCACCCCAAGGCTGACCAGGAGGGCGAGCACAACAAAAACGTGGTGTACCTGCTGCAGGGCAAGTTGACCGACGTCTCGGTGAATTTCAAGGATGTGCTAGAGGCCCGAACAAAGAACATCCAGGCCTCGAGGTCACGTACCGAGAACTTTATATCCTCGGTGTCTCAGCATGCGCAGCCATCGCTACAGCAGTCTGCCTCGCCCCTGTACGGAACTCCAAACCGAGCATCGCCTGCGCCTGGCAACGACACCCTCTCGCTGAACCCGGGTCCCATGGGTGATCAGCAACTGCTGATGATGGAAGAGGCCAGCACTACCAACACGTATATTCAGCAGAGAGGAGAGGCCATCGAGGCCATTGAGAGAACAATCAACGAACTGGGAGGAATCTTCAGCCAGCTAGCCACCATGGTTTCCGAGCAGAGCGAAATGATTGAGAGAATCGACGCCAACACAGAAGACGTCGTGGACAATGTAGAGGGAGCGCAGCGCGAACTGATGAAATACTGGTCGCGAGTATCGAGCAATCGATGGCTAATCGCCAAGATGTTTGGAGTTTTGATGATTTTCTTCTTGTGAGTGTTTCTTTCTTCATACGGCATTGCAATGTGTTTTAAGAAACTAACTGGGGTTGTTCTTAGACTATGGGTTCTGGTCTCTGGGTAGAGAATGCAATTGGATTATAGACGACGCAGATGCAGCTGTACGGATACCACAGGACGGTTACGTTATTTTCCCCCGTCCCTTTTCTTCTTTTTTCTTCAACATGTATCATGTGTCTCGATGTATAAGGATCTTCCATGTTTCCCATGCTTGTTCTTTCTTTCTTTTTTCTTTCTCTTTCTTAACTCTTCAAGGCATCGCAGACTCTGTTGTAGAATTAGAGGCACAGGGCAGCGGTATCAAGGAGGTGTTTGAGAATCAACACGGCGTTGTTGGCACCAGGAACTGCTTTGTCTTTATTGCGTGTTTCTCCACCTTTGTTACGCTACCGACCTCGAAAATTTTGTAATAATAAAACCCCCCGGCCTTTCATGTGATAATACCGCATACATACATGTGCATACAAGCGTACCTTAAGAGCGTGCATGACGTTGGCGTTGATGGGCTCAACGATCGATCCGGTTCAAACAAGCAATGGATAAATACACCGGTTTTCCGCTTGCCGCCTCTTCGGCCGAGAGCAACCCGAAGCGTAGTCAAGACGGACTGATTTCTCCTTGGCTGGAATCTGGGCTGTGGCGCCCCCACGCAGCCAAGCCGGTCTCCTATTGAACCATTTCGACGCTTGGAAGCGGATGCCCGCCGAAGACGACCTATTTGGGAAGCGAGATCGGGGTTTGGTTGCGAAGTTGGGGACAGGTCTTAATTAATAAATGGCCGGAGCTTGGATGCCCATCATGCGCAGGCGCTGGATTCTGTTCTTTGAACAATCATACTTGACCAAACTTTGAAATTCCAGAGACAAGAGAGAGAGAAAGACTGTCAAAATGGTTACCACTTCGTTCAAACTCAACAATGGCCTGGAGATGCCCGCTGTTGGTCTTGGTATGTCTCACCCACCTTTTGAGAGGGGCCAGCATCGAAATGGCGGGGGAGGGGCAATTTAGACAGCGAGCAAGGCTAATCGAACTCCCAACGGTTTGCAGGAACATGGCAGTCCAAGGCTGGTGAGGTTCAGACGGCAGTTTCGTACGCGCTCCAAAACGGTTACAAGCTCGTCGACGGAGCTTACTGCTATGCCAACGAGGACGAGGTTGGCGAGGGCCTCAAGGAGGCTTTCGCGGCGGGCGTGAAGCGTGAGGATGTGTTTGTCGTGACCAAGGTGTGGGCGACGTACAACACTCGAGTTGAGGAGTGTCTGGATAAGAGCTTGAAGAGCCTGGGACTGGATTACGTTGACTTGCTGCTGGTGGTGAGTACAGCTATATATGCAGGATGGTTATTATGGACGCTGGCTGACATGGATGGTTCAATAGCACTGGCCCGTTCTGCTGAACCCCAATGGTAAGTGCAATCACTTAGATTCACCTCCAAACATACTAGGATGGTTCAGATGGTCTAATTCTATTTCAAATACAGGCAACCACGACAAGTTCCCTACCCTGCCCAACGGCAAGCGAGACGTCATCTGGGACTACAACCATGTCGATGGTTGGAAACAAATGGAGGCTGTCCTCAAGACAGGCAAGACCAAGGCTATTGGTGTCAGCAACGTATGTGCTCCCTCGCCATTTGCGTTGATCATTTGACAAGAGCCTGGCTAATAGGTTGAAAACAGTACAGCAAGAAATACCTCGAACAGCTCCTCCCTCACGCCACCGTTGTCCCCGCCGTCAACCAGATTGAGAACCACCCCAGCCTCCCTCAGCAGGAGATTGTTGATTTCTGCCGAGAAAACGGTATTCACGTCATGGCCTATAGCCCTCTGGGCAGCACGGGCAGCCCTCTGATGACCGCTGAGCCCGTTGTCAAGATTGCTGAGAAGAAGGGAGTTTCTGCTGGAACTGTCCTGCTCAGCTACCACGGTATGTCTCCTTTAGCATCCCTAGTTATATATTTTAATCGAAAGCGTACTTACTCTTGTATGCAGTGAGCCGTGGCAGCACAGTGCTGGCAAAGTCGGTTACTCCCGCTCGCATCAAGGCCAACCTGGAGATTGTCGCCTTGGACGAGGAGGATCTGAAGCTGCTGAATGACTACTCGGACGATTTGACTAGCAAGGGCGAGCTCAAGCGCTACGTCTATCCGCCATTCGGCATCGACTTTGGCTTCCCTGATAAATCATAGACTTAATAGAATGGAGGAATGGTTACAATTGAATTCAATTAGCATATATACAGCCCGTGTTATTATTTTACATTTACTCTCCTCTTGAAACTCTCCCACCTGCCATGTAATCGTAAACTCGTTTCAATTCCCGCCCTTTTTTTTAATGGTAGTGAAATGCTATTATGACATGTCTACAACAACCTTGATTACCAGCTTGCCCTCTCCATCCTTGACCTTGCCCGCCATCTCAAACGCACTCTGAACCTGGTCAAGGCCCTTGAAGCGGTGTGTGACGAGTGTTTGCAGATTGGGCAAGCCCGCTGGCTTGTTCGACAGCATCTCAATCGCCGCGGGATACGTGTTGGCGTATCTAAAGACACCGACAAGATCGACCTCCCGAAGGGCCGCCGCAGACATGGGCAGAGTGAGAACGGGAGTGCCCATGCCAATAATCATGACCTTTCCGCCAGGTTTCGTGGCCTATTGGATGTCAGAAACAAAGTACAAAAGACAGCAAATCAATCAAGTGTACTTACGTAGATTGCGCTCTGCAGGCATGATTCCACACCAGTGCACTCATACACGGCGCCAACCTCGCCGACCTCCTTGCCATTCACCTTGACGCTCCTGGCCTGCTCCGCGACCTGCTGCGCATACGCCAGCTTCTCGTCAATTGTCTGCGGCCTTGCCAAGGGCACGACGAAGCCCGCATCTGCGAAGCCGTTGTTGACGGCGAAGTCGACGCGGTCCTTTTGGATGTCGGCGATGACGACAGCGGTGGCGCCGTTGGCTTTGCTCACGGCTGCGGAGAGAAGACCAACGGCTCCGGCGCCGAAGACGAGGACTGTGGATTCGGAGGTGAGGTTTGCGCGGCGATGGGCGTGCATGGCAACGGAGAGAGGCTCGATGAGGGCTCCCAGATCAAGGGGGATAGTTTCGGGGAGTCTGTTTGTACACGCCTCTTGTCAGCTTGTTTCAAGATATCCCCATGAACACAGCGTATTCATATCAGAAGCAGATATTCATATGTAAAAAGAGAAGCTATAGAAACATACTTGTGGACCCATCGCGCAGGGTGGTTGATTCTCTCCTGGAGCGTTCCCTGCATGTGAGGAAACGCCTTGGCCGAGCTCCTAAACTTCATGCCTCTGCAGATGTTGTATCTTCCACTGCTGCAGTACTCGCAGTCTTCACACGGCAGGCCGACTTCGAGCGCGACGCGATCGCCCGGCTTGAGGTTGGAGACGCCAGATCCCACGGCGACGACGGTGCCGCTGGATTCGTGGCCCAGCGTCAACGGCTCGCGCACGAGGATGTCGCCATTGCGGAAGTGGCCAAAGTAGTGGAGGTCGGAGCCGCAGAGGCCGGTGGACTGGACGGTGATTTGGACCTCGTCTGCGGAGGGAGCTGGGAGACTGCGCTCTTCCTGTGGTGTGGACGGGTCAGCTTTTGCTTTGGGCTCTCTTTCGCTCTTGATCTGGCCAGTGTATAGAATCATGCATTGGGTCACGTACAAGGCGGAGATCCTTCTCGCCGTGTAATACGGAAGCTTTGACGGTTTCGACAGACATGTTGGGAGGTCAATCAATCTGGGAGAGATGGTGCTTGGGCTCTGGTCTGGAACTGAAGCTGTATCGACACAGATGGATGTAGGACGTAGAACTACGGAGCTTCCATGCGATTGATGGAATCGAGAGCCCCCCCATTTAAATCCTCTACCCAAACTAGCCACATTCCCAATACCTCGTCTCATGGCACATCAATACCCATCAGATGCCCAATACCCAATGACATAACAAAAATCACACCAAGCTCCGATATCGAACGCAGTAAGCAAACAATTCTCCGTTCCAAGTAACACGATCCGGCCTTTTCCCCAAACCGTCGGCAAGCTAAAAACTCCACACCCCAAGCCGGTCCCCCTCGAGACCATTAAATCGAAGCCGAAATACTAGAGAAACAGAAACGTGGAGAATGGCTTGGCTGCCACAGTGGTTCCGCATCGGCAACAGTTGCCGGAATAGGTGCGTCGGTTATTGAAGAATCGCGGGGCAGCTTCGAAATTGCCCCTCCATTCACAGCGTCACTCTATAATACCCTATAATTTGTCCGTTGGGAGTCGGTTATTGCTCCCATCTTTCGGCATCTGGTTTTCTTCATTTCAGATTACTGAATCCCCTTGTTCGTCCTGTTGTCCTATTTTTCCGTCAAGTTTTAATTTCAAAAATGGCTTCCATGTTCTCTCTCGAGGGCTCGACTGCGCTCGTCACTGGTGCTACCAGAGGCATCGGTCAGGCTGTTGCCATTGGGCTTGCCGAAGCCGGCGCAGATATCGTATTGATCCAGGTAAGGAAGATGGGCTGATTGCGGTGAATCAATGGCTCAATTGATTTGCGAGAGAGCGAGAGGAGAGGAAGTTTGAGCTAACGCAGCCGATGCAGAGAGACACCACGTCGACGGCGACAAAAGAGGCCGTCGAGAAGACTGGTCGCAAGGCATGGATCTTCACGGCTGATCTTGCTGTGCAAGAGCAAGTCGCAAACATTGCCAAGGACGTCACCGCCGCCGGCCACAAGGTCGATATTCTGGTCAACTGCGCCGGAATCCAGAGGAGGCATCCCTGCGAGGAGTTTCCCGACAACGACTGGAACGATGTGCGTACTGCTGTCTACTGCCACTGATTGCCCCGTTGCGAGCAATTGCTAGGATTGTATACCCATGGTATACAGAACCAGAGAAAGACGTATACTAACGCGGCCTCTGAATGCAACAGGTTCTGCAAGTCAACCTCAACTCCGTCTTCACCCTCTGCCGCGACTTTGGCCGCGAGATGCTCTCCCTCCCCGTGTCTGCCGCCACCGGCCGCCGCGGCAGCATCATCAACTTTGCCTCTCTGCTGACCTTCCAGGGCGGTTTCACCGTCCCCGCCTATGCGGCGTCCAAGGGAGCCGTGGGCCAGGTGACAAAGTCGTTTGCCAACGAGTGGACGTCCAAGGGCATCACGGTCAACGCCATTGCGCCGGGATACATCGAGACGGAGATGAACACGGCGCTGCTGAACAACCCGGAGAGGCTGGCGAGCATCAGCGCGAGAATCCCGGCGGGCAGATGGGGATCGCCCGAGGACTTTAAGGGGACAGCAGTGTATCTCGCGAGCAAGGCGAGTGCGTATGTGAGCGGACATGTTTTGGTGGTGGACGGTGGATGGATGGGACGGTAGAGGATCTTGTATACTTGAATGATATCTAGCTAGGGTTTGTAATAAAAGATTGGTTTCCTTGTCAGCGATGGATACGCATTATGTGGAAATGTATAGCTCTCTAAATGCTGTAGGTTGCTCCTTGGTTAATTGATTTGGAATGTAGCACCAGTCTCTCTGGTCTGTTGCCCAGGCAAAATGACCACTGGACGCATACCAACAGGAAGGATAGAATCACACCAACACGAGGCAATAGAGCCCCTACTTCCAGATGGAATTAAAAAAAAAATTAAAATTCTATTACTTGTCCAGCTATTTCATCCCACCCGTCTCTTGTCATGCCGGTTGACGTCTAATGATCATCTAGACCCATCTAGATTTTACTGCCTGCGCCGTAGAAAACAAGAACAAAACCATCAGCAGCTATGCATTAAAAAGCCACAGAGACTTTAACCCAGATATGACGCGTCGTAATTATTGAAAAAAATGTCTCTTTTTTTCCATGTGTGTTTCTCGTGTGTTTGTGTATTTCATAGGGGGAAGAAGAGGGAGAGGAAGGGGATTTAGTGTGATTTACTTTTGCCTCCTTCGTAGTAATGGGCCATTTGCAGGCCTGCTCGTCGGAATCCGCACTTGACGTAGAAGCCCTCGTTGGCGTCGCTGCAGTCGAGGATACTCTTGTAGCAGCCAATCTTTTCGGCGACGAAATCGAGGGCCTGGATGAGTCGAAGGCCCAGCTTCTTGCCCTGCTGGTCCTTGGCGACGGCAATGTCCTCGATGTGGCCGACCTTGCCCAAGCTGTGGATGCTGGAGAGGAGAAGGAAGGGTTAGCTGCATGTGATTGAGGGCCTAGGGGATCAGGGGCATTGGGGAAAGCGGCAACGCACAACTTGTGCTCGACTATCAAGGCGCCAGTGGCCACGACCGAGTTCTTCTCGCGGTTGGTGTCTTCTATGACAATGATGTAGTAATCCTCGCGCGCCACCATGTTGTCGTACTGCTTCTGGAACTTCTCCTCGCTGATGTCGCCGACCGTGGTCAGCACTCGCAGGCAGTCGAGGAAGCCCGAGTCGTAGTCGGAGCGGCGAAGGGCTCGCAATTGGTAGCCCTGAGGCAAGGAGGCGGAGACATCTGGAGAGATGAGGGACTCGGAGAAGAGGCCATCCTGAGGGGTGGTGACGGTGATGGGAGGGATCATTGCGGGAGACATGTTGTGTGTGGGTGTTTGGATATGAAGGATCGGTCGAGGAGCCAGCGTGACTGAGGAGAAGAAGAGAGTTGGTTTAGAAGAGGAGAAGCTTCGTCGATCGGGGAGAGGAGAGTTGGTGTAGCTTCGTGCTAGCGTCGGACAAGGAGAGGTGGGTTAATTCAATTGAATTTAATCAATCAATCGATCAATCAATCAATCAGCCAAATCGGCGGAGGCTCGAAGGCGTCGTGTGTTCGTAGACGGAAGCGAGCTGGAACAAAGGCGCGAGAAACGAAACGAATGAAGGGGTGGACGAAGAGACGGAATGACACGAAGAGACGGGAAGTTGGAGATGCGAGTTTGACGGCGATGCGTTTGGAATTCACACAATGTTAAATAAACCGCAAAGGCCCCAAAGATAAAAGCCAAAAGCAGTCCGCTAGACTCCGTGCAGGGCGAGGCTGACACTGACGCCGCATTCGGGGGGTGTGCGAATCAATCCAAATGAAAATGACATAGGGAGGATATTCTTTTGGCTTGTGGCTGATGCACATTGTATGAGGATCTTATGCACCCTTTTTTGGAGGTGGGGACTTGGAGGGCATGACCATGTGGTGCTTGCTAGCAGTGAGAAGTGGACGGTACATGTGCCTTCCAGGGGGGTTTGTGCCCCTGAACGGAGCTGAGGTCACTGTGCGGCGCGGTGCTTGGGGGGGATTCAGCGGTGCTGCGTGGTGGGTTCTAGCGCGGGTTGGCCCCTGAAGATGTACCTACAGTAGCCACTAGCGATAGGGGGGGCGTGCACCTCGTAAAAATTGCACTCGACACTGTTAATTCTTGTACAGTATGTTCGTTCTATCTCTTCTCCTGTCTCCCTCTGTATGAAATGTTACAAGTGATATCGTCATCATCATCTTATAGCATCCAGGCCGTAATCCGTGCTACGGAGCATCGTCTTGTATGGCCTACTGTTGGATTCTCGGGCTGCTGCGCCTCCGCCTCAGCAGCAAGGTCCCGCAGCCACTAGAAGCGGGCGATTGGCGCATGCTCCAGGGCATTGGCTGGGGCTGGGCCTGAGCTACACAAGACGGGTGGCTCCTCGTGTTTATTCTTGGAAACGGCGTAAATTGAATCTTGCATGGCGCCGTCCTTGTCTTTTGGTGCTGTACCTGTTTTGGGGCGTGCAAAGTGGTTCCTGGCAGAGGGTGCAACAAACTCCCGGGAGGCGTGCCGGACAGGGCCGAGATCAATGATGTCGCGATTTGGTTGTTGGAGGTTACAGAGACAGCAGCACCCACCTTGTCTAGAAGAGGCAATAAATTCGACATTCACATTTGATAGCAAAGGAACGAGTAAATGGGTAGAGAGATGGTATTGGACGTAATCATGTCTCACGTGGCGGACACACTGTCATCAATCTTATCTTGTCCGTTTGTCTCGGTCACATGAAGAGAATTCCCACACGGCAAACTCAATTTCTATAGCCTCAGTCTTGTGGGTATTTGCATTTCTCTTCTCTAATCCACTCAGCAGCAGCAAGCCCTACCAGTCAAATGGGCTCAAGGCATCGTTATAGTAATCGTCTCCCTCATCCTTCCACTCGTCGTCATCATCGTCCATACTACTACCACTATATTCTTGCTCTTCCCTCTGTTCCTCCTCCTCATCCTCAAAGAGCATCTTGACCTCTGGGAATCGAGTCATCAGACTTCGGTACGCCTTTCTCCTCTGCTCCGGCATGTCGCCATTGCGGTTCTTCGTCACAGCAGCGGCAACGAGGCCACTTGCCATCAGCGGTAACACAAACGGTACTGCCAATCCTCCAGTCGCTGCCGCAATCAGCAGAGGATCTATATTGGGAGCACCTCGTCGTGAACCTTCAGCCTGCTCCGACCTAAGCTTGCAGAGCGCTCGATAAACCTGTACACATCTTGTGCGTAAGGCTGGACCCATGACCAAGAAGGCGAAGATGACGGCAAAGTCAACATCTTCCCAGTGCATCCTCATGTACTTCCAGCCCTGGCAAAGTGGCCGAAAACCTTTAAAATTCATTAGCATTGAAACTTGGCTCCTTCACCCAAGGGTATGCTTACACTCGTGGCATTTCTTCAGAGCGTCATACTGCCCGTCTCCGAGTCCAATCACGTCGATGGCGATAATCCTTCCAAGGTCATAATTGTCCAGGCCCGGGCGAGCGTATCCGCGTCCTTGGGCCGTCATGGTCCAGTAAGTCCCAGTCGCTATTTTGCTCCTCAGCGTTAGATTCCGATTATCCCAAATCGCCTTCTCAACCAGGCAGAGCGCCAGACGAGAATCGGCATCCCAGGAGCCGAACACTGAAGGAACAGCGGACACATCCTTGCTCTCGCCAGGAATGAACTTGTTTGGGGCATCTCGCATCCTAAAGGGGGAGTCGGGGCCACGGTAAGTCTTGAGCAAGATGCCATAATATTGTGTGAATTTTGGAGCTGGTTTCTCAGCCCCGGCCGATGATGAAGTCTGGCTTGCTGATACTGTTTGGCTTGCTGATACTGTTTAAGAGAAAGGAAACAAGATTAATGGCCAGGTTCCGTGTCTAGGTGGATTGATGGTTGAATGATTGTTCACAAACCTTGAGAGATGAGCAAATGGATGGCTTGGTTAATCCATTCAACCATGAGAGGCCCAGTCACTTCCCAGAGCCGCACCGCCTCGCATTTGATCCAAAAAGCCGTGCGGACAAGGCGCATGAGCACATAGTCCAGGATTGCTGTGGCCTGGCTCTGTGGTTGTCGAGCTCCCGTACGGGAAGATCCGCTGCTGTTGGTGTAGGTGCTGTTATCATCTGCACCGATAATTCTCTTGAGCCAGGCTGGGACTCCATCCCATGCGTCCAGCGCCCCGTGCTTCAGATCAAACACCAGCGAGGTCAGCCAGGCCAACACAGGGACCAGACATAGATTTCTCCATATGATATACCGCTCTGGCCACAGGATGAAGATGAACGTCACAACAGATACAGTGATGACTGCCTGACGCTTTGCGGCTGCCCTATTCTCAGCCAGGGCGTTCGCATTGGCTACAGGCATGTTTGAAGAATGGCGGGCCGCCTAGTGAGTCAGTCAGCATACGAACATGGAGGATCAGCGATCATGCATGAGGCGGTGTCTCACAGTGCTCTGCACGATAATGCTCGATGTCTTGGTGTGTGAATCAAGAAAAGAAAAAGAATGAAAACGAATGTCGACGGTTTATAAAAGAAAATCGAATGAAGAAAAGAGGATGCAACTCCCCAGCGTCGCCTATGAAATATCGGCGAAGCTGCGTCGAGTCACCTTTGGATCGCGGGGTTCTGCCCACACCGTTACCAAGTGGTGATCTTACAAGTTGATGCCCTTTCTCTCAAATCACCAAGCACCACAGGTCTGGCATCAGTTGGGCTGCGCCTTGCAGCAGAGATTCGGTCAATCAGTCAAAGCCCTCGGCCGGATGCTGGGGACGGTCGCTTGCAGGCGAATGAATTGCAGTCGCTTCTCTATCTTATGCCCTCTATTATACTCCCTACATGCAGCCGGTCAAGCATCTCATGCCTCAGCGGTGGGCCGCATGCACTCCATGCCTGTAAGCTGGTTCCAAAGCCAGCCAACCAGAGTCGCCAGGGTTCCGCCTCACCCTGCATCAACACGTGTAACGAAGCTGTAGGTGAACGGAGCTGGCTCAAACGCCTCCACTCCGTCTGTCTGCCAGCGGATTGCTATGCTACAGGGGATCTAGAACAAGGTGCACGTATGACTCTGACTACCTGTACATGTATGCATCTATGGCGACGTATGACCCCACAAACCACATCACATACTTGTACCCATTCATCAACTTACAACAGATCCATCAGTTTATCGGAACACTGGGGAATATTGGTACCAAAATTTTCGGGAATAGTCTAGCACGCACGCGACTTAATCAGCAAGCATTCGGATTTGGACCCTTCACACCGCATCAAGAGCTTACCTGGAGAATCAGCGTGCCATCCTCTACGACACACTCGTTATAGGTGGAGTGCTTCAGCTGGCCCTTGTCGACGATGCGAAAGACAACAGTCGCCTTGTCAATGACCTCGTTAAACCCCTCATACAGCATGTCATCCTCGCCGAATTTCTGGTACTCGAGGTACTGCACCAGGGCCTCGTAGTACATCTTGAGAAACATGCCCAAGTTTCTCTCCCAGCTATCTGGAGCGTCTTTGGCGGCGCTGAGCTTGTCAAAGACCTGCTCAAATTGCGGTACTACTGTGATTTCCTTCTTGAGGATCTCGCTGAGTTTTGTCTTGATTGATTCTACCTCGGTGTCCCAGTCATTTCTGATGGCTGCGCGAGCAACAAAGCTCATCGGCCGGTGACTGGCCACGGCGGCGCTGGGAGCTGCATTGAGAGCGGCTTCGAGATTCTCAAGGGAACAAGCGTAGTCAATGTTGGTGCCTAGACAGCCCTCTCGAAAGAGAATGACCAGCTGTCCCGTGGGAGAGACTTCGCATCCGCAGTAGGAAAACTTCTTGTCTTGGTCCAGATCCATGGTGATGGTCTGGGCCGAAGCAATCGTGTTGAGCTCGGCCTTGCCCTCTTCTCCATGACTGCCGATGAAGCGATCCAGCTGATACAAGACGCCATCAATATAGCTAATCGAATTAGCTCAACTTCTGAAATAAGGCGGTGCTAACATACGCGGCAATCATTGAGCCAGGCGATTCTGTCGCATAGCCTTCCTGAGCATATGCGCAGACCTGGTGGAGATTGATATCAATCTTCCATGGCGCGCCGAGCAGATCGGAGAGCTTCTTTTCATACTCGGCTCTCTTGTTCTCCCACTCGTCGCGGACTAAATAGATGTGGGCGGTCAAACTTTGCTCAATTCACAAAAAGCATACAATTCATATTCGGCATAAAAAGATGAAGATGCTCGAAATTCATACTCGGTTGGGAGGGCTGTGATGCTGAGAGGGGAGCTACTGACTGTTCTTGCGGACCGCGAGGGAGAACTTCTCGACAGGAGGAAGGCGACTCATGATGTCTATTTTTAAGAGCTGTACCCAACAACAAAGAATCAATACGAGGATATCCTCCTTCATCGGCGCCTTTATACTGCGGCGAGATACACAAACAGCGCCCCCTTTCACCTCGTCGATTCCGCCCACCTGTCCGCCTGCCCAGCCATTTAGTATTTCGACAGCATAAAATTCAGGCTAAACGACCAGCTAATGGAACGCCTCTTGGCCTGAGCGCATCGAAACCCGAGCCATGGCAAATCGAGACGAGCCCGGCGCGTCATTAGCGCCCTACGGCTGAGAGACCGAGGCGGTCTTTGTCTGGGCGAGACATGGATAAGGATGAGGTTCCTGTACAAGTATGCCTCGCTCTAGCTACCAGCAGGAGCCAGGAACATGATGAATAGTACCCCAATTGAAGATGAGAATGCATTCAAGCATTCATCTGGTCCTTTTGTTGTCGTCTTCTCTATTTTTCTCTACATCACGAGGGTAGTTTACGTCCTAAGATGGCACTGCCAAACCAGCGGAAACATGGCAAACCCCGGCAAGATATCCAATCAAATTCGCCCTGTCTATCTATCTGTCTGTCTGTCTGTCTGTCTGTCTGTGTGCCTGTCTGCCTGCTTGATGAGCTGAAAGAAATGTTGAGCTGTAACCTGGCCTGCATGAGTAAAAGGAAGGGAAGGCGGAAAGCAAAGAAAGCTATTAAAGGAGTTGGAGAAAACAAAGAAATCAACCAAATCCAATGTACCACATATGAACTCGATAACGAATCCAATGTATCACGTATGAACGCGATGACGAATCGTCTAGATTTTGGTCGAAGGCAGAAAAAAAGCGTGTATCCATGTGATAAATGCGTGGTTACACCTTGGTACTAGGCACAGGCACTGATGGGTATAAATAAGGCAGAGAACTCATCAATCATGCTAATGATAATTCCCAGAGCTTTAAAAGGCACTTGGACATTCTGCGAGCACTCAAATCCTTTGCAGATTATCTACCATGGAGGCCCATACCCAACAGTTTGGCCGCCAGAGGTGCGAGACAGAAAGGTGAGTCAAAACATTCAGAGCCACACAGCTTCTAAGGCATACCAGCATACTTCGGTCGTCTCTTATGCTAACAACCACATGTCAACAGGTCTTTGCACGAGATCACTGAATATTTCTGGCACAAGGAATCTGATGTGAATGCGTCGCTACACTATGTCGATAGTGTTTTTGATCGTGAAGTCGAGTGCCGGCGTCCTGACTGGACTACTACTTGTTACATGCTTGAAAGAGTGTACAACTATCGGGAGAAGATGATTGAACAACTTACGAACCTTGTTGTGGCTTGGTGCATAGCCATGGAAGAGCTCGCAAACGATAAGTCGAATTCGCAGTGGAAGGATGCGATAGAGCACAAGATGAGAGAGAGGATTGTGCTTACGCTTCGGGTGAGTTATTACGAGATGACAGGAGAAACAGAGAAAAAAAACAGAACTGACTGACCACTTGTGGTTGCTAAGAAACCCAAAGACATCCCGTTGCCTTCTATCACATTTTCAGACTCAACCAATGGCTTTGACCTCCACATCCCAATCACCAAGATGAGAAGTGATGCCAAAATCTATGTTCCTATGTTCAAGGCCATGCTGCTCTTGGCCTTCACCAGGAACGACGGCTGTCTCGTCATCTCATACTTGGTCACCAGCAGGACAGGTGGATCTACCAGGGCCCCTCCTCAGGACATCCATCAAGAAGAAAAAGAGACGGAAAACAAAGTTGCTGATTATTATTATAATGATAATAATGATAATAATGATGATGATGGGAAAATAGAAAGAGAAGGGGAAGGAAAAATAGAAAGAGAAGGGGAAGGAAAAAGAAAGGGGAAGGAGAAGGGGAAGGAGGTAGCAGTGGATACGCTTGCAGAGCGTAGATCGAGGAGATCGAGGCCCAAGCGAGGGGCCTTTTTCTGCGATGAATCGTTATTTCCATCCATGGATTTTATTAACCTAAATTCTTTGGATACCTCGTCGATGAGAGGGCAAAAAGCGCAGAGGCAGCGGCCGGGAAGCGCGTGAGGCCAGGTGAGCGACTGCACTGGACGGACGGTGATGCAGGTTGGTCAACCCGAATACTGAGAAGCTATTGAGGGTCTAGAAACAGCTTGTTTGGGGTCTTGCTGCGTATTTCAATGAGTAAATGGTAGATTGCTTCCTAATATCTTTTTCTTCCTCTCATATCCCCATCGCCAGTACGGAGTAGGAATACATTCTACTGCTGGTATTCGTTAAACGTTCATGATCTCTAAACTGGAATGTCTGTGCATCAATCACCAGCGTAATTGGTTTAGTGGTAAAATTCTCCGTTGCCATCCGAGCAACGTCGGGGAGCCCTGGGTTCGATTCCCAGATTACGCATTGGATTTTCTTTTTGCATTTCTTTCCTCTGCATAACCTTCGCAATTTATCTTCACTGGCGATGTTTTTTTTTTTACCACTTCTCCCACTGCTCAATCACTCTTGCAGTCACATCACTTGTGTCCAGTGTCGGTTTTATAACTCGTCTTGGATTTGTACCTTCTATGTAGACTGAGAGGCAAATATGCTCTACGTAGTATGAAGCCTGCTAAACAGCAATAAAGGACGATGAAACCCCCAAAATGACGATGAAATAGTCTCGATATGCACGCAAGCTGTTTGACTCGCGGCTGTAGTAAACTCAAATGCCCTCCCTCAACGGCTTTGTTGCCGTGAATGAATAAAACTCCAAGTGCCGACCCCTTTCCATTTCGCGCGTCAGGTAAACGTAGCAAGCCAGATTAAAGTTTCCTTGGGCGGGTGTGGGTGTCGGAATGCATCGATGATGGTACCAAAAAGAAATGCGACAGAAGCCAGCTCAGTGAAGAGCAGCGTTCAGCGGGTGGTTCTCGAAACGGTACCGAAAAGAAATGTGACTGAAAGCCAGCTCAGTGAAGAGCAGCATTCAGCAAGTGGTACTCGAAACGGGAGAGAAAAGAAATGCGACCGAAAGCCAGCTCAGTGAGAGCAGCGTTCAGTGAGTGGTACTCTAGGCGGTACCAAAAAGAAATCGATCGAAACCAGCTCAGTGAAGAGCAGCGTTTAGTAAATAGTACTCGAAACGGTAGAGAAAAGAAATGCGACCGAAAGCCAGCTCATTGAAGAGCAGCGTTCAGCAAGTGGTACTCTAGGCGGCACCAAAAAGAAAAGCCAGCTCAGCGAAGAGCAGCGTTCGGCGAGTGGTACTCTAAAGGGTACCCTCTCCGGCAAGGGGTTCCTTGCCTTTGTCGACAGATTGGGTGTTGCGAGGCTCAACATTTTCCTTGGTGGTGCCCTCAACGCCGCTTCCCGCAGCATCTTGAGCGTCCTTGGCGTCGTTGATCTTCTTGACCACATTGCCGGCCGCATCGGTGGGAAGGGGGGTAAGTCCATCCGCCTCCATCATGGCAGCCAAGCGAGCGGCTCGGCCTTCCTTCTTGCGTGGAACAGGAGCTAAACGACGAGGCGCTGTTAGCAAATGGTTGCAGGGGTGGCGATGTAGCAATAAACAGGGGAGGGGGGAACATTACCTCTGCCGTTTTCCTGGACATAGAAGCGACGAAGAAGCGCCACGGCCTCATCACGGCCCCAGCCACCCTCAATCTCAAAGCCTCGCTCAATGTTGCCGCCATCGCCGCCTCCAGGAGGGAACGAAGTGCCAAGGCTGCCGCCTCCAGATTTGGGCTGGGGATGGGCGCAAGCCGTCTGGCCGGGGGTGGAATTGGCATGGATGCTAAAGACTCCACCAGTGCCTCCAAACTTGTCGTTGACAGCACCAAAGTAGACTTTCTTGATGCCAACCTGTCGAAGGAGCGAGGCACACATGACACATGGCTCGACAGTGACATAGAGAGTGCTCTCTCGGAGGATGCTGCCATCCACGCGCTCTTGGAGCAGCTCCTTTTGGCCGTAGGGATAGAGGTGGCCCTTGCGGCCGTCCTCGTTGCCTTCGTCGGGGCGTCGCCACTCTGACTCAATGGAAGAAGTGTCAGACTGTCCGTCTCCCTTGACGATCTTCTTGGGTGGAAAGTTGGGCTTGAGGGAAGTGGTCTTGGGGACACCCGGTTTGGCAACCGAGAGCAGGGCAGCGAGGGCCATGAACTCTGCGTGGCGAGTTCCATTACGAGTGACGTTGGTGGCATTCATGCCACGGGCAATGACTTTGTTGTCGTGAACGACGACGCAGCCGACAGGAGTCTCGTTGGTGCGGAGAGCAAGTTTGGCCTGGAGCCGCGCAAACGGCAGATGGTTAGCGAATGTCGCCAGAACGAAGAGTTTTGTGACGCGAAGAGTTTTGTGACGAGGATGGAGAGATGGAGAGATGGCAGAGATGGCAGAGATGGGGAGATGGCAGAGATGGGGAGAAGGCAGAGATGGGGAGAAGGTAGAGGGGAGAGGTAGGAGATGGGAGAAGGAGAAGAGAAAAGAAAACTCACCATGTCCAAGGCCTCGCCGATGAACTTGAGATGCATGGCGCGCTCAGCGAGCACAGCAGGGTCGTTGAAGTCGATGCTGCCATCGTCTCCTGGAGCCGAAATCGGCTTGGCCACGGCAGCGACTCCCTCGTCGGTGCGCGCCACATTGAGGTTGCTCATCTGCTGAGTGAGGGCCTCAACATTGTCGTCAGTGCGCACCATGTTGACGCTGGTGATCTGCTCAGCGATGGCCTCAGCCTTGGCGTCAGTGTGCGCCACGTTGACGCTGGTCATCTGCTCAGTGAGGGCCTCAACCTTGCCGTCAGAAGGCTGCTGCTGCTCCTCGTGCTCCTCGTGCTCCTGGGCGACGCCTGCAGCGGCCAGCGGCATGCTGCTGACGGTGGGAATAAACATGTTGAGGCTCATGGTGGACGAGTCGTTATAGAAGTCCTGGTAGTACTCACTGTCGTCACTGTCGGGAGTATCTGCTGCTGCCTCTGCTTGGTGGTCGCCGGCGTTGGAGTTGTTGTCTTCCTCAGAATCTTCGATGAGGAGGGAAGTTTCAGGAGTGTTGGGAGGGGCGGGAGGAACAGCTTGTCCCTCATCCACTTCCTCTTCGTCAGAGCTGTCGCCAGCTGGCAAGCCGCGACGGAACCACTTGCGCAGGGCCCGTTTGGCACCTGCCAGGCTAATTGACTTGACACCCGAGGCGGCCATAATGGGCTAGGGGCAGTGCTGGTGAATGGTGAATGGTGAATTGCAGTGAAGAGCGCCGTGCTAAGGTCCCTTGATGGGGATTTTTGTCTTTTTTTGAAAATAAAAATTTGTTATTCCCTCTGAATGAAAGAGAGAATGAGAGAGAGAATGAAAGAGAATGAAAGAGAATGAGGAAAAATTTCGATGTGGTCGGTTTGCCTTTTGGGGGGGCTTCTCTCCTGCTCCTTCCTCGAAGCCCGTAACCCCTCACGGTGTGACCGCTTTTTCTGCTTGGGTCACGGAAAGAGCTGCTCTGGCCTATTCTGCTTGCGAGAATATGACGACAGGAATATGCCGTATAGTTGTAGAGAGAAAGACGATAGTGCGCCTATCTTCCACGCTGATGCTTAAGACGGCAGAAGAGAGCCTGTGGAGAAGCAGGGGCCTTGCTCTGTGACCCTATTGCGAAGAGAAGAAATGCCTTGTGCGCGTATCAGCTAGTGTTTCTTCTTCGAAAACATAAAGATAGTGACCAGGATGAAGAAAAAATAGGCTCTTTGCACACCTTGTTGCCCTTGCGAAGCAGGTCAGAAGCATCTGCAGCCCTCACGACTACCGTGGTTTAGCCTTCCCGCGGGAAACTGAAGAGTAGCGAGTGAGAGAAGAGAAGGGTTCTTCTGGCGGGCCTCTTGATGAAAGGCGGGCGCTCGCAATTTTGAAATGCGAGGGTTATAGTCGATATAGTAGATGTAACGGTTCAAGGAAAAAGATGGTTGATGAGAAAATAAAGTGCTTGGTGGTGTTGTTTTTATTTTCCCATCGTGCTTCGAGGTGAGATGCGAAGGTTGGCCAAGGCTTTTTTATAGCGTCTGAAATTCTGCCGCACCGTTCTTCACTGGAAGGCCCGTGCACCAATCAGATAGGATGACTAAGCACGTTATCGCCCGACCACGCACCTCCAAAAAAAGGCCTGTAGCTGTGAATCACGAACATCAACAGCCTCACTACCCAAGTTCCAGAAGTACATAAATGCTATCTTAAAGAGAAAAGAAGAAGAAGGAAAGAGAAAAAAATTCAAACAATCACTGCCTATATTTATCCGTCTCTAATGACAGATAGGGGGAAGGGGGGGGAGGGAATATGCAGATGTCATAACACAGATTGAGAGCGAAAAGAAGATTAAAAAAAATTCTAGGCTTTTGGCCTAGTAGTATTTTATTTTGAAAACTTGGCCAAATGGCTAGTTTGGATCCCACGCTATGCTTTATGATACACCAAATGGGCGCATGGAAAATCAAATCCTGCCCAGCACTATAAAAAACACCAATTCTATCCAGGCAAAAGGGTATCGCTAGCCAGTTGGCTTGTAGAAAAAACACGTGGTTGAGATGCCCAAAACTCTCCAAACATCCTCCGCATCTGCGAGAATGCCTTTTCTAGCTCATCAAGGGGGCAACAACGGCCGAAGCCATGGCTCCGTTGATGTAAGAAGAGTAACGGGAGGAGAGACGAGACAACAAGTGTCCCGACACCAAAGGTTGGTCTTTCCGTAGGTGAGGAACCTCCACCCGCTGGTAATCCTCTCTGGATCTTGGACTCGACATTGTCGACATTATCGATGGTGTCGCGAAAGACGCCTTGGTTCCTTGGAGGATCGAAGAACGTTGGAGGCCGGACCTTATCGCGAGAACAATCGAAGCGAAAGAGAACACGGCAGAAAACCCAACCATGCTTGCGAACGTGGCGCCAATCAACAAGGCACCCAATATCGCGGCAGTGGTCTGTGTAGTATGGACTTGGCGGAGGCTTGTAACCAGAGCAACACGGGCGCCAATGGCGCGAGTATCCTCCATAGACGAACTCGCCTGTTGGAGAAGGGGCGACAGTGGTTGAATTCCGCTGTCGCTCCGAGATGCCATCGATTGCTGGTGTGCTGCAATTTCGCCACGAGGTTGCTGAGCACGCAGGCTGTTGTGATTCCCGAGATCCTCGAGGATTCTAGCATCAGAAACGCCAGGCCACGCAAGCGCGGTAGACGATGCACCTGATCCAAGGGCCATAGTATCCTCGCCAGCAGTTGCATATGCGGGCTGGACATTGGACGATTCACCAAATGATATTTGCAAACCGCCAGGCGAGGCTTTTGGAATTACACTGCGGCTGACGACAAGTTCGGGTTGGGCCTTGAAAAGTGTTAGCTGGGCCGAGAGGTGAGCGGTAGGCACAGTGGCATCGCATACCCTCGCGGGTGACTCTTCCGAGCCCGTCGAGAACTGGTCTGAATGGTTCGTGGCAATCGCCAACGTAGAGGCCGCGGGCGCGACGGAGCGTTCGCTTGAGAATTCCTGTTTGCCCGAGTTAGTCGTCTTTAGTTGCGAGAAAAGGACAGCAACTGCTATTGCGGCATGACATACGGTTCGGAAATCGTCGGCTTGGCCGGGTGATAACCAAGATGTATAACCAGCTGATGTTTCCTTTTTTCCAAAGTTAGTCACCGTCTTGCAACACGGCGGATGGGTAGTCCAGCAAAAACGTACACTTGCGATTCTTCCACGTTCAGTTGGTGATGGGTTGTACGATGAATCTTCTTGTATGTCCTTTTTTCAAAGTTAGTCGCAATTGCGCAAGCTAGCCGAAGAGAGGAGAGGGAGAGAAAACGTACGCCGCGGAACTGGAGCGCGGTGCTGCTTGATGGGCTCGTGGTAACATCGACTGATGTGCCCTTTTTTCGAAAGTTAGTCTCGACTCTGCACTCTAGTTGATGGATGTGGGCACGTACACTTCCGTTGATCGCAATGGACACAATTCCAGATCCAGAAACATCTGAACGACCAGGTGGTGCCTTCCGAGGATGTCAGTCATTGTTCATCCAAATACAGAAAATGAGGATCAGGAAACATACGCTATTCGCAATCACTTCCATGCCACTTCCAGAGTCCATCCTAACAAGTATGGAACCACCAGGGGAATGAGCTATACGAACTCCACCTACCCAGCCGGTGGGAGGTATCACACTAATACCGGCCCGTGAATCCTCATCACGGTTGGCTACCGAGTCATGACCTGGATCATACCACGGCAGGCTCGTATTGGCAGCCGCAACAAGGCCAGTCTCCAGTGGAGACACTGGCTCACTTGTGCCGCTCCAGTCAGTCGCGAGCGTATGGCCATCGGCATCAAAGCCGTTAAAGAAGACCGTTTCGGATCCAGATGCCGATGCTTGGCTTGGGCTGAGCAGCCGCGTGGACGAAATCGGAACCATACGGTCATCCTCAGAGAAGCTGGACGAAGGCGAAAAGAGGTTAAAGTCGGTGTAGTTGTTGGCAGAGCCAGCGTGATTGTCTTGCATAAACGGAAGTTGCGGTGAGGTGGATTGTGACGAGAATCCCTCACGCTCCTCCAGGCCAGAAACGGCCAGGAGCTCTTGCTGTGACGCAGGCGTAAGCGCCTTGGGAGGCGAGGCAGACGAAGATGAGGCGGAGGATTGAGAAGAGGAGAAGTAGCCCTGGGGGTCGAGGAAAAAGTCGTAGTTGTCCTCCATCTCGGCGGGAGGGTACTGGATGAATTCTTCCCATGACTCAGTGATCTGATCAGTGGACTCGAGGCTGTCCAAGCCAGCAAATGTAAAGGTAGGGTCCATGCCAAGTAGTGACATTGGTATTCCCGGATTATCATCTAATTTAGAAATCGCCACAGCAGCGGCCACCGGCTTCTGAGGCGCTGGTGTCGCCGCTGCTGGTGGTGATGTGCGTGCCTTCTTTGCTGCTTTTGTTGTAGACTGAGGCTGGGTTTGAGAGGCGGAACGCTTCTTGTGGTCGGGGTCGCAGCGGATCTTCTTCCGCCGACAGCTGTCGCAAGCCTTGATGATGCGCATGAGATGTGCGTGATCGCGCTGCTCCTTTGTCTTGGAGCCTCGGGAGGCAGAGTCTGTGACATCCTCACCATCCTTGGTCATGATCTTCATACCGGGCAGGTTTGACAGATCAATCGCAGAGTAGCGAGCGACCAGATTGCTGGACTTTGAGGTTCTGCGGCTCTTGGAAATGGAAGAGCGAGAAGAGACTGAAGGAGATGCGGATGCCTGACTCCAGTCCAGTGTGGAGTTGACTGGAGATGTGTTGAAAGAAGAGGTGGCGATGGAGTTGACTGGAGAGGCTGCGACAGGGCTGGATGAGTAGTAGACGGGGTAGAATTTGAATGTCTGACCAGTGAGCTGCGAGTGCTCCAAAAAGTCGAGCGAGATGGTTGCCCGCTTCTCCTTGAGGGGCGCAGGGCCGGGAATGTAGGCGTTCATCATGTCATCGAGTTCTTGTGAGCCGAGCGCAGGGAAGAACTGAAGCTGAGCGCCGAGCTGAGGCTGGTAGACTGAGAAGCCCTGGGGGAGAGGGGCGTTGGAGGTGTACTGAGAAGCCATTGCTGAGGATGAAAGAGGCAGATTGAATGAAGTCGAAGAGTAAGGAGTCATAAAAGATCTCAAGGAGGACGTTGTAGCGAAGTTTGACCAGCCATGGGAGTGTAAGCCCACAATACACTTGGAAAAGCCCGTTGCGCGCGCGCGCCTTTGGGTTCTCAGAGTACTTACACAATTGAACGGCCAGAGCGGATGAGGTTTTATTAATTTGAGAGGGTTCTCTCTTTGATTTTAATTCTGATTCTGGGGGTTGAACGAATGATGAGATGGTTTGGTAGGAGGGTATTCGCAGCTGCGCCAAGTTTGCGAGCGGAGAGGGGGGGTCCTGGCGCGCTGGAGTCTGAAAGACTAGGTAATACTAAACAAAGAACCAAATAAGGCTTAAGCTATGAAGCTTGAAAGCTGGGTTTGATTATCGTCAAATCACTCGATGGTGATGAGAAAGAATAGGGTAGAGGAAAGATGAGCAAACGAAAAACGAGTTCCTCAGGCGTCGCCGGTCGGGAGTCATGACGGTATTTCACTGTCCGGCCTGGCGTTGCGAAAAAGCGGCTTTGGGGAAGGAGGCCCATGCGGCATAGTCTTAATCCTGACTCTTTCGGCGTGCTGGAAAAGGACTAGCGTAAGGCGCCCTCGGGGGCTCAGCTGGCCAATAGGGCTATGCTGAGGGATCCAGCGCCCCGCTGTTCTCGACGCTGATTGGTCAAAATCCCCCACCTGATGCGCCGTCCTGGGTGGGTCCTCGGCGAGAGCTTAGCGTCACTGATTGGCCAATGGCGCCCTCTGCGCTCGGAGCCACATGCAAGTGACTCAAACATGGGCTTGTAAAAGTTCCCTTTTCTGGCCTGGGATAGCTTCACTCTGAGCTTATCGGGGGTGCCCGGCCAGGTACAGACGCGGGTGGTGGCGCGGGTACAGAAACAGGCACGGGTACGGGCCTGATGGCGGCTCCGGCGGTGCTGGGTAGCGGTACTGGGGACTGGGCCTGTACCTGCACTGTACATGCTGTGATACCTTGATAGTTGATCTGACTCCTCATCCTGCGGCGAACATCCCACTCCCAAGCAGGCAAATATACCCCAGACTCGTCAAGCTTCTGTTAGTGTGAGTACCTGTGCTGTATCTAGATCTATAACTCTTCAGTAATGTACATGGGACTAGCAGCAGGATGACAAGCACTCTGGAGATTCACGGCCCAACGATGAAGCGAAAGGCTCTCACGGCAAGCGAGTAGATAAAGTTGATGTAGCTCCCCCATCTTCAACCCGTCTGTTTTTTTTTGGTTTTCCTCTCTGGAAGTTTTGGGCCACCAAATGTGCTCGTATGAGTCTTCAGGGTGGACACGTGCCGACGCCTCAAGCCCTTTATTCCAAGTCGGGCATTGACGCCGCTCACTTTTCATCTCGGTCTCGGTCTCGTCCACGTCGTACTGCGTACTAACAGGTGCTGACGCTGCCGTCTCTTTGGGTTCAAGGCTGCGCTACCCTGCAGCAAGTGAGATATTCGAAGTCAAGCCGAGCTCACAACTTGGATATCGGGAATACCCAATTGGCATCAATTTACCTCAGCTCTTGTCGTTTTGTCATTATCGGTACAATTCATCCGTCGAACATCCCACGACAATCGCTTCCCTAGCCGCAATGTCTTGTCTAGACTGTACGAGTACAGTACGAACCAAACGTATCACCACCGAATCCACTTGCTCAAGCCGATGTCAGCAATAGTGACACTGATGAGTAACGTCGAGTTCGAGCCCAACCAGACAAGACCCGTCCGTTATTCGTGTCCCCCCACCGATACGTCGAATCGAAATCGAACCACGTCGAGAGAAAAGAAATTGACCCCGAGATTAAGGAGATCATCTGAGCAACAGCATCACCGCTATGACCAACAAACCTGCTGCAGAGATCGCACAAGCAGACGCCCCATTCAGTCATCGTGTCCGGCCCCTCGAAATTGTCTTGGCAAGCGGCCACAATCAAGGCGGCCGGCGGGTTCGAGTTTTCCGGCGAGCTCGAGAAGGCTTAGACCAACCCCACTGGTGATCCTAAGCTGATCCTGACATGTCGTAGCGCAATCTGCATCACTCCGAAGCCGAACCCGAATACCCGTATCGAGGCGAGACGGGTCGAGAAGCATGAAAAATCAACAGAAGCCAATTGAGTGCTCCACAGGCGACTCGGCCGGAATGGCTGAGATATGGAGGTCAATTGAGTGGCTTCCACCGCCAAAAATGTCATGATGGTTGCTGCGACGTTAGTAATCCATCGCGAGAGCTGTTGACCCGAAAATCAGCCTACAGTGTCACGAACTTTCAATTCTTCTCCATGGCAGTGACGCTTCGCCCTCGATCAGGCCAAAATCCAATTGATATCCCGGAAGCTTTGGAATTTAGAATTTGGCCAATAGCGACTGAAAATACAGCGAGCCAATTGCCGTCAATCGATTCCCATACTTGCCATCTACAATTTCGCGTCCAACTGAACGGCAGTCTATTGGCGACCACGTCTAGACGAGGACAGGCATGAGGAGGAATTGCATCACTCGATGTAGCCTCTCTGTCTGATTCATCGCCGGGTCTGTAGTAGAGGTAAGTCGAATAATGCGACAGGCGCATTAAATGGCATGGAAACACCCGGGGAAAATAGCAAACAGTCACGACATCGGAGTACGGCTCATGCCTCAGTGTCATGTCTCATCGTGTCTCATTACGTCTCGGTCATGTCTCATTAAAATACAAAGCAAGAAAAAAAAATTACCTCCTTGGCCGGGTCATCCCCAGCAAGTCCGCGGCATGCTTGCTCCATGCCCCTCCGTTCCTGGTAGGAGGAGGAGGGGGAGGAGGAGGAGGGGGAGGGGGGATCGCGGCAGCAGTTGTTGAGGAGGATGGTGCCGCCCGCACCACCACCGCGACCCCCCTGCTCCTCTTCGCCGGGTTCGACGAAGCCGTTGATGCTGGGTTTTTGGCTGCAGCATTTACGCGCCTCTCCTCCACCTCCCTCGCCCTCTTCCCGAGGACCTCCCCAAGGTCCTGCTCCTTGGAGCCCGTGCACTCCAAGACTTGTACAATGGCCATGCCTCGATCGAGGCTCATCTCGAGGCCCTCTGCGAATTCGCCTTCTTCTCCTTGCCAGTGTCCGTCGCCAACGAAGCTTCCGCTCTCGTCATACACCATATATTTCTTGTTGAAGGTGTGGAATTTGAGCTTTCCGTCCTGCCATCTCTTCTTCTTGCGGCGGAGGTCGTGTGTGTATAGGCAGATGAACTCGAGGATAGAAGCAGATGCTGGCGGAGCGGGAGCATTTGCTGGCACTGCGGCTGCCCTCACGGGGCGGAATGCAGCCTGTTGAGAGGTGCGAGATGATGAGGCAGAGGGATTCTGAGCCGGTAATGTTCTTGTAGGCTGGGCTGTAGATTGTAGAGCCACCCTGGGCGCTGAAACAGTGGGAGCATGAGCTGGTATGGCGTTTCTCGTGGGCTGAAGCATGGGCTGTTGAGCTGTTCGCGGTGCCGTTGTGATTAACGCAGTAGTTGGTCCAGTCTCTATTCTGCCTGGCAACGGGAACGGCCTAGGGCCACGAGTCGTTGAGGTAGAGGGCATATTAACGGAGCCAAGACTAGGCGGGCCAGTGTTTCTCACATGCTGAAGTATGGGCTGCTGGATATTGCGAGATGGTGGTAGAAGAGGAGTGCCGTCAGACTCAATGCTGGCAACGAGCCGAGAAGGAGGTCGTGTAATACGGGATGACGGTGTAGCAGAAGCATTTGCTGGTGGAGGTATGTCGTCAAACTCAATACTATCAACAAGCCGAGAAGGAGGTCGTGTAATACGAGATGACGATGTAGCAGAAGCATTTGCTGATGGAGGAATGCCGTCAAAGTCAATGCTGGCAACGAGCCGAGAAGGAGGTCGTGTAATACGGGATGACGATGTAGCAGAAGCATTTGCTGGTGGGGGAGTACCATCAGACTCAATCCTATCAACGAATCGAGAAGCAGGTCGTGTAACACGAGATGACGATGTAGCAGAAGCATTTGCTGGTGGAGGAGTGCCATCAGTGCCATCGGATTCAATGCTATCAATGAGTCGAGGTGCAGGCCGTGTGGCTCGAGATGTCGAGGCGGTGGAAGCATTTGTTAATTCAGAGTTTCCCCTCGCTGACATTAAAAACCGCGGAGGTCTGCGAAATGCTTGTGTAGAAATAGTCTGGTTTGGTCTAGCATTGTTCCCTGGCTGAGATATGAGTTGAGGCATGTCTTGATGAGCAGTCCGAGAGGCTGATGCGGCAGGAGCGGTAGTAGCTGGCGCCATGTTTCTTGCAGAGCGAAACATGGTCTGCTGAGTGACTCTAGATGCTGACGTAGCAGGTGTATTAAGTTGTTCCCTATCTTGCATCGAGTGGAACTTTGGCTGATGAGTATCTTCTGCGGCTGGTGCTTCAGGGGGGCCAGCCTGCCCAGCGCTTCTTCTGGGTCGGAACATGACTTGATAATTGACACGAGGAGTTGCAATCTGCGGCGAGGAGAGAGACGAAGAGATATAGATTCGAGACTAATGATTGATGAACCTCTGAGGTTGGCGATAGGCGAGGGCGAGAAGTTGCTGATGTATGAAAGTCACAAGTGGGTGAGAAATCTGAGGACAGAGATGGATGAAGAATTGAAAATGACTGCAGAGAGAGATGTAAAGGCGAAGCAGGCATAGAGAAAGATCGACGAGAGAGAGAGGAAATCTCCGCGAAACAATAGAGATGGAGATGCAGAAAATCAGAGGTGAGGGGCAGTTTGATTCTTCTTCCTCGAATGGCGGGGTGACTTGGTGAATAGAAGCTGTACAGTAGAGGCTTATCGCTAAAGATACAGGCGTGAGCGTGCCAGGACAGCCGTTAGCGAAACGCGACTTGGGCAGCTGTAAGCGAAAAGCTAGCGAATGACGCGACGCCAGATCACGTGACTCTCTTTGATTTTCCTAGTCTGAATTGGTGCCTAGCGATTTCTAAGGAAGGATCCATCGAAGCTTCGCTAACGAAACTCCACAATGGGTACCTTTTACTGGAGAAGATGCGCCTAATAGGCGAGAGGCCGGCATATATGCTCCGGCTAGGGGAAAATGGAGGAGGAGGATCGGTTGATGGATCTCAGGGCCCCAGACACGCTGCAAGAAAATCAAACAAAGTGGTTAGGGTAAAATGGGGGCAATTCGGGTTTCATCAGCAATTCTTTTTTTTAAAAAAAAGCGCGGCGTTTTCCTTCGTGATGTCCATTTTTTTGTTCTGTAGGGTAGTAGGCAATGATGTCCGAGACTTTGGTTCAGCTACACGTCATTGCAGCCTCACTCAGCAAAGCTAGACGATGTTTGATCCTCAGGATACCATTGATAGCAGAATAATCTACCATGACTCGGAAAAAAAAACGCTCAATGCTTAAAACCCCGCTGGTGAGGAGATGGCCAAACTACTCGTATTTTGCTAAATTCTTTAATCATACGGCGTCTACATCCAGCGAGCAGATATTTTAGTGGATTGCAATTTCATCACTCATATTACAGTGTAAGAATTGGCGGAATTAGCGTCATGATTCTTTAAAGGGCTGAATGAATAGATTGGAGATAATTGTTCATCGATGCGTAAACGGCGTACCTATCTGAGTGAGGTGAGATATTGCTAAGGTGCACAAATTTTATAGCTGTTTCGCCAGCGGCAGAATTTCACAGTACACTGTCTGAGCTAATAATAATAAAAAAACTTTCTTAGAAAAATACCCTATGTTTATCGCTGGATACATTTCCTGCGATCCCAATTCCGAATAAGCCAAGTGTATGGGGCAGCTATCTCATCGCCGCTGTCGCTCTCGCAAATAGTCAAATCCAAATCCCACTGTCGTAAATCATTCCGTGATACCATTTCTGTTCTAATCAAGAAAAACACGCTCTACATGCGAAAGCGTCGCATAAAATGACGAGACTACAGGCTCCACGACTCTCTATCGGTCGGGCAGCTTCTACATCATAGAAACTGTTACTCAGCTGATGACAGCTTCAAGGGGGGGATGGCTTCGGTAGCCGCTGCAGACCGTGGGGCAAGGACCGGAGTCTTTGGTTTTGGTCTGTTCCTCTGAGTCCTAGGGGTTCTGGACTGGGAAGCGGGTGGCCTGTTGCTTGGTGCAGGTTCAACTGGTCGACCGCTCTTTTTCTGGGCCTGGCGTCTTTCGTAGACTCCAGGATAATACTTGCCCATCGAGGCGGAGCGAAAGGGTTCGCTATCTTCATCATCATCGCTTGGCAGCCAGTATGGCTCGTTATGATCCCTTGCGGAGCCGGATAAATGATACTGGGACCGGGGCATGGGCATATCGATGTCTGCATCCGCGCCCGTGTCCACGTCCTCAACAGAGTGGTCCATGATGTGGCTCTTGATGTCGTGGTAGAAAGGATGAGTGTGGCGCACGCGAGTCTTGGGATCTTCGTGAAGGGGAAAGTAACCACTGTAACCAAAGAGTTAGTATCAAGCAAAATCCGGGACTGGCATTGATCGGTCTTTACCCTTGCTTCTCACCCCTGGCGGACAGGGCCTCAGGGAGTGTGATGGCAGACGCAGAGCTGTTTTGTCTCGATCTGGGAATGGCAATGGGGCGGCTGCCGGTAGATGCGGATGAGCTGGATCCAGCGCCGTGGTCCACGTCGGCTTCTGTAGAAGATTGTGTTAGAGGTAGAAGAGAAGATGGTGAAGAGTAGAGTGCTAGTTAAGTGTTGAATGTCAAGGAGAAGAAGAGAGAGAGCGGTGAAAACAGGGGTGAAGAAGGAAATAGTTTATGGACGCTTATATAACTATTCAGATGAGAAATTGATGAATGACCGATGAATGACAACAGAGGATCACACATAGGAAAGGGTATGGCGGCAAGCAGAAATCCACATAAAATCGGTCCCCGATGGTCGCGTGCCTGAGCCTCATGCAAGATGATTGACTCCGGATACCCCGCGATGGCTCTTCTCGCTGTGGGGATTAGACAATCGGGCTAGGCGCCTCCTATGGGGATAGATTTTGTGGATGGAGCTGCCGCCGTCATGTCCAAGTGCTGGTCGCTACCAAATTCGACCGGCTGAGACATGACTAGACAATGGGGGAAAATCTCCGACCCGTCCGTATTACGGCAACACAGGAGGAGAGGGACCACAAGAGGAATGGGAAAGGGGGGCCAGACACAACGGAAGAGAGAGAATGGGATGAACGGACTGGTGGGTCAATGGATCGACGAATGAAGCATGTGAAAAAGAACAAACCGGAACTAAGAGGAAGGGGGAAACAAAGAAGACGACAAGAAATGCCAACAAGGGAGGGGACTGCAGAATTCCAACTTACTAATGGATCGCCGGCGCTCAGGCCGCTCCCTCTCCATGTCGGAGCCAGAGGCCCTGGCTGAGGGCTTCGGATTGTAAGTCGGCATATCAGACCAGTCGTCGTCAATGTCGGTATCGGAAGTCTTGGACTTGGGCTCCCGAAGGTCAGACGAGTAGTCGTGATTCGTCTTTGGTTCGTCGGGATACCAGCGGGTGGTGCCAAAAACGAAGGATTCTGACATTTCAGACAGGTTGGACAGGATGGACACTGAGCGATTCATGTTACGATGCGATGACTGGCGATGGGGTTTGCGGGAGCGGAAAGGCCTCTCTACAGGACCGGTTCCCTCGTCGGAACTCCAATTCTCTATGCTGCCCATTCAAACAGAGGCAGGGAAGAACAGAGTGAGTCGCTAGCAAGATGGAGAGAGAGAGAATGAGGTGCTAGACGTGTGACGGATCTAGCAATGCAGCGGCGTTTCGCCTAGGACGATGCCACGATGATTGAGAGGAGGAATTGAAAAGAAGAAGTAGAGAATGGAGGTAATAAGGAGATGGCCGCAACACAAGCCACGGAAATTGAACGGTGATTTGTTTGGTTGCTGCGAGTCAAAGTGGAAATGACAGGGTGCTTCCTCGAGTAAAAGCCGGATGATGGATGTGACGGGAGGCGAAGAGACAAAGGGGGCAAGGCGGGAGAAGAAAGGATTGATGCTTTGAGCTTCTGAATAATGGAGGGGGAGGGGGGGTTATTCTCTGAATGTGTGGGAGACGTAGTAAAGAAGAAGAATCCTTGGGCAATAAGGTTGTCGAAAGATCCGGGTCGTTTGTTGCACACCAACAGGGAAAAAAAAAGGCCTGGGGCCGGGGATAAATAGAGAAATCCAAAGCCACCCAGGCAAGGGAAAATAAAGGGTACGGCAAAAGTATAAGGAACCCACGACCGAACCAAAAAATGAGCCCACCGCTCATAAAAAGGACAGAGTAATCTGTGTAAGAGGTACAGGAGGAAGATTATGCTTGCAATTCGACGCATGCAAAGTGGTACTCGTACGTGGGCAAGAGAAGGAATTGGAAGGCAAAATACTCGTAACAGCAGCACAACAGACAGCCACACACCGTACTCGGACACACAGAAAGGCACAAGGTACAGGCAGGCACAAGACGAGACGCCTCTCTTTGCAGCGCTTATTCCATGTACGAGCATGAGCATGTTGGGTACCGGATCAGCACAGTGCTGCTGCTTTGTACCGGCAGCTTTTGGGCAGGGGGCTTGCTGTTGTGAAACGCACAAATGGCTCCCTCAAGGTGCCATTGATGCGTGAGATGGGCCACTAGCATGGCCGGTTTGCGTGGAGCCCAGAGCCTGTGCAGCTCCGGTCGTGGGCCATGAGCCTATCGCAATGGCGCCGGTCCAGGCTGTTTGGGCTGGGCTTTGGGCTTCTTTGGCTGGTCTCTGGCTTTGTCTTCCCATGGTGGGCAGATTCTCAAGTGCCCAGCCGTAGTGTGTTTGCTTTGGATGAATTGCGTTGTGGACATGTAGGTGGCTAAAGACTAGTCGTCGGTGGCCCAAGGCCTTTCACGTTTGCTTGGTCCGTGGCGCCGCAATTGGGAAGTGACATGAAGTCTAGCTGCTGCTTCTGATGTTTCAATTGATGAGCTTTCAACTTGAGTTGTGACTGACCTTGTTTGCTGCTGCGCGGATGGCCGGACCACACAGGGCCGAATCGGTGTGTGTTGGGGGGATCATCAAGCCGGTCCCCGCATCAGGATTCTGCTCTTGAGAAGTGTTGCCATTCGCCCTATTTTCCTGCTCGCTCATTGTGCTCCAGTCTAGTTAGTACAGTACGTGCAAAGTGCAGCTGGCCAGCATGCAATACAGAAAAGAACGGCGTGCTTCCGCCTCTGATGGGCGTGGCTTGGGCCTATGTGTGGCCTCGTCGTCATTGGGCGCGGCCAGGGACCGATGTGACATGAGATTCTCCGGCAAGCCATCGTCGCACTCGGATTATGGTTCTTCTCTCCCTCCTCTCTGGCCCCTCACCGAGAGCGTTTCAACTTAAATAACTTTTTGTATTTTGTTTCAAGATCAGCACCAACCATGGCGGAGCCCATACAGAGTTTAGCTGCCATCTTGAATCTGCGACTAGCATCACCGGCAGAGCGAGATGAAGCCGGAGACTTTGGACCCTTGAAGATAGAACGGGCTGACATCCAAACCCGGTAGTGCGTCCCTACATACATGTACAGGACTTCTACGGGGCACACAAAGCAGGCCTGAGCAATCGGGACAGGAGGCTCCCGAACACGATAAAAAGAAGAAGTCAATCGGGCTTTGTCTCCGTCAACGCGCGCCAAGGGACTCCTGAGATGATGAATCAGTGTCATACATGTACATGCACCATGCACGGTAATGCCCCTGTACCTGTCCTCCTCGTACCATCCTGGTGCTTGCAAGTTGTGCCTGTCCCAGCAGCCTTATCGCACAGACGGGTTGGTGGGTACTAGGAAAACACGATGATACCTCAGCCGCTACCAAGGTACCAAGGTGATATTATCCTTGGACTAAACGACAACAATTATCTGCCGAAACGAGCGATGGCGCTCCGAGTACAAGCAAGACAAGACAAGACGTGGTACTTACTACTGCTGGGGGGAACAGGGAAAGGGGGGGGGGGGGGAGGTCCAGCCTTGTTTGCCCGGAGCACAATTTCGCGGTGGTGTGGAGTTTGGAGATGGATGCGAGGATGCGAGAATGCTGGGAGTACATGTACCAAGCTGATGAGGCCATTTTCCCTGGGCAAGCACCGTACCTTGCCTCACCTCGCTCCGAGCCTCTCCGCCTCTACTCCCTAGTTCGATGTACGATTATTACAGTACACAGGCATTGGCAGTTGGTGTCTCTCGGGCTTGATGATGTTGGCGGCGTAACAAAAGTATGGAGTGCGTGCATGTACAGGCATCAGCTTACCACGTACATTGGTACAGACGTTGAATGCGTATACCCCAGGTAAGGATTGGAGGTTATACGGCTCTGCTCTGCCCTCCTGGCCCTCCTCCCCTCCCAAGAACAGACAAACGACACGACAGAGGCGAGTGGCTCTTCTCCCATCTTTGCCTCATGCTTTCGAACACGTCCATCCATCCACTTTTCCCAACGTCCTCGTGACGAATGGCAGCGAAAGCCAGAGCTCGTTGGGCTTCGTGCTTCCCCCGTCTTCGCACCAGATCCCCTCTTTGCTCCACGATCCCCACGCGTCGTATCGAAAGTTTGACTTGAATCTCATCTCGTGGTCGGTTGCTAGTGGCGACACGACGGCATGCTCTGCTGCGACATCCATGCCTGTCGGCTCTCGTACAAGGGCTCTTGTTGCATGCAAATTGGCGGAGTACAAAAGGAGCGGATATGGCGGTCCTATGCAGGCCCGGTCTCTCCCACTCAGAGCCCTTGCCGAAGCCGCGCCTTGGAGCTAGTGGTGATGCTGTCAAGACAGCCCATGGGATGCAAGCTCCCGGCGGCGGCCTGGGATTTGCCTTTGCTATTGCCTTTTTTTCTTTTCTTTCTTTTGAAATCTTTGCCTCTCCCTAGCCCGTGAGAATTCCCCAAGTCTTGGCTCCAATCAAACGAGGTGTGTGCGTGAGAATGAGAGAGAGAGGTGGTGTGTTTCTGTCTGTCCATGTATGGAGCACATGTGAGCGTCTCACAGTCCTTGATCAGCCTGTGGATCCCAGTTCATCCATGAGAGAGAGCCACGCACACGCACACGAATCTGAGAGATTCGGCAGGCCAGTGATAAGATGACTGAGACATTGCGCGCCTCGCAATATTCAAATTCAATAAAGGATTGACGGGTACTAGCGATAAGCTTCATGTCTCAGCTACGCGCCTTTTTTGTTCCCTCTCATCCAACGCTACGCTTCTTTTGTGGGTAGATCTCTTTTGGCAACGCCCATCCTTGCCATTTCCTACTCTTTGTACGGCTTTAGAGCGACAATGGAGGAGACGAAGAAGGTTATTATTACATACTGGCCGTGTTTGTCTCTCCTCATGGGTGGTGTGACAAAGACCAGATGCACACCTATCACGGCCTGCTGACAATGAGTAGACCCGAGTACCTGCTCACTCACTACTGTACGGAGTACATGCAGGCTTTATTTTCAAGGCTCTGCTGCATCATGCCATGGCCTGTATGTACGAAGCATTATTACCTACTACCAAGGTAGCACTCACTTAGTAGTACTAAGGCACTAATACGTCGATGCCCCTGATCTGGTAGTGGATGCTTTTGCGCGCCTCTCTTTACATTCTCACTGAACTGACTTCACATGGATGCTAGGATCCGGCTCTGTGTCCCCAATCCCCTTGTCCGTTTGTTTTGGCGCCACGCGCTTCGACTCACTAAGCACTTCGGGGCGCCTCTGCGAGCTAGAGCCTCGAGCATACGAGGATGGCAAAGTCGATTGGAAAAAAAGGTCGGATCCAATATGAAAGCGCCAGCAGCTGCACCAGTGACGCCAACCACGTCACCCCACATAAAGCGTTATGACGAAGGGACACATATGAGATGTCGGCTTGGACCTTTTTGATCGTGGGTCCTTTTGATTTCAACCGCTTCGACTGAACACGCAGAGCATCGAGGTGCGAGTCCCATGGACGAGTTTTGGAGCAATCCCCGAAAGACGAGAGAAAAGTGTTGAGGATGGGCAACCCTGTATACCCTGCAAGGTATCTTGGGGACGAGCTTGACGTCACACGGCCACCAAGTATTGGCCTTACTGGGATCCTTTTTTTTCGTCTCTAATATTTCTCTTCCGTCCAAACCGTTGTAGTGTTGGACCGTTGCCGATCGGTGGGCTGCCATCGCGCCCAAAGGGAATAGGCCCGTGGGAAGTCTTGCCCGAGAGCGCCTCTTCTCGCTCTATTTCTCCCCGGCCGGTCTGCTGTACTCGGCTCGTTTTCGTTGGGTCTCAACTTGCATGCTGCTGCAATGTTAATCTGAGGGATATCGTCGGGCACCACTCTGGATGCAACGCCAATGCCAGGCCTCGTGCTGCTTCGGCGGTGGAAGCAGAATCGCCTCCCCTCATTTGTCTGGGGAAGAGGGACAAGGGGGGTTCTCGGCAGCCGTGTCCGTGGGCCTGAGGCGGCTGGACCAAACAGAGCTGAGTCTGGCATCATATCTTTGCCGGCCTGGCTCTTGGCGACATATCGTGTGTCCAGGCTCATGTCCTATCGCGTCAATGGCAGCCATGGATACCTACATACGTCTCCCCACACCAGCCTAGCCATTACGGAGCACAGGACGGAGCATATCAATGGGGCCATAGAAACACACGTCAGGCATTGTTACGAGTATGTTGAGAGAAAAGACCTAGAGCGCGCTGATTGACTAACCATGACAATCTATGAGCCACCTCCGGAGCCTCTTCCGTCCAACCATGTTGCTTCTCCTCTCACATGCCGCGGAGCAAACGAATGAATGGGGCAAACGTTGCAAAATCACAAAGTCCCCACGCTCTTCTCCTCGAACGAACCAGAGGGGTATCATATCATTATTACCATGTCATCCATCTCTTCCCATTTTACCCGCACCGTACTCAAATATCAGATATCGCAATCGAACCGCCAAATTACCGCAGATGAACACTTCCCATGCCGTATGTGGGATGGATACGCATGTCGAGGCTGTCCATCTTTCTTCTGCTCGCTTAACAGCGACGGGTTCTCCCTGTCGCGTGTGTGGCTTGCCCTACTTCTCCTGCCTCTTCTCCTCGCTTGCGAGGATGACAGAGAGGTACAACAGGGAGGACTAGACCTCGGCTCGACCAGTGAAACGGGTGCGAGTAATCCGATGCTTCGACCAGTACGCAGATGCAGCAACAACTGCAATCAGCCAGAGCAGTGCACCGGTCAAGTCTACCCACACGGCGTGCTTCATGCGCTCAATGTCTCCGTTGCCATGGGCGTTTTCGTAAATGTAAAGCTGTGCGAGTTGACATGTCAGAATCAGGTCATGAAAAGCAACAACGCTGGTAGCCTTTGCATTGCATTGCATCCCAGCCTCTCCATCCCCCTCTCTCTCCGTAAATGCGTTGTGCAACGCATATTTGATCAAGGTCAAACGTACCTTGCCGAAGACACCAAACAGAGTGATCCACAGGATGAATAGGATGAGATCCCAGGCGACGATGAAAACCCCACCGGCTTCTATGATGAAAGGGATGAAGTAGAGGGCACACGTAGCCGCCGTCAAAGCGCCGACAACGACGGCATAGATCTGTGGGTTTGCAAACAGTTAGCCAAACCTATTCTGCCCCTTGCTTCTATTCCCAGCAGCGAGTATTGGTCATGGTTGGGGGCTCCTCTCATGAGTATACTCGTACTCGTATGCACAGTAGCACAGAGTGCATATTCGTAATGTCTGTCAATATTACTCCATGACTCCATCTGTGCGACTTACCCATTTCGAGTGTGTGTAATTGTCAAACTGGCTCGCCCGCTTCAGGTCGGTGCCGTAAAGGCCGCAGACGGTAATTGCGAGGGCAAAGCAGGCGACATGAAGCGCTGTAAAAGCGTAGTAGCTGATGGAGAGGCTGGATTTTGCCATGGTGTTTGTGCGCGTATGCATATGCTTCGCTCGGTAGCTGCGTTTGGCTATGCCCGAACTAAGACCAGATCCTTCGATGAGCAAGACAGGGCGAAAATAGCCCGACTGACTAGTTTTTCCCGAAAATGGGCAAAAGAAGGAAAAAGGCAATAGTCTGGACAACCGTTTACTCCTTGCAGCCTCAACTATTGCTTTGCAGGTGAGGCGTATAGAAAAAGCCAAAAATCAGAGGGCGAGTAGGGCGCTTCTCTTCAGCCTCAGCCAAGGCAACGTAGAGAGGGAGAGGGAGAAAGAGGAAGAGAGGGGGGGAATTGCAGATGGAAGCGGTACTCATTCTCCCCCTGGCTCTCCATCATCACGATCGCATTTCTTATCCTCATGCCTGTATAGGCGAGCAATTCTGCTGCTCATCTCCCTGATTTCACCACTCAATACTACACCATACCTGGTTTCTCGTCAATGACGTCAAGTAAACAATAAACAAAATCATGGAATGCTAATACTAGGCCAAGCTAGATTCGGACACTTACACGTGATCCTGGCATCGGGTTTCTCTCCTAACTCGATTCGCGGCGGCTGGCTTCGCTTGGCTTGGATCCCTCTCCAGCCCTACGTCAAAACCGCCAAAACTAACGACACTATTGCCGCGATCTGCCTTGTCCATCGCGCTCTGGTTTCCCAGCCAAGTAGGACTTTGCAGGGGATGAAGAGAGACGAGGCTAGAAGGCCGTCATAGCGCCCATTAGCATCAGGCCCGGCTTTTTACTGACGGCGGCCGCCTCCGGGCGTCTCCACATTTGCCTCATCTTGTGCCTCACCTTGAGCTGCTGCCTTTTGGGAGCCTGGCGTGGGTTTCAATATTTTGTGCCGGATTGCACTGCCATCTCCGCCTTGAACGGAAAACTCGTGACTGGAGCTGATTTTATGACTTTGCTCCTGGGCTCAGAGGTTTGCTAAGCCCCCCTGTGGTTCCTGTAGTTTCTCAACTGCCTTGGGCGTTACGAGAGACAAGATGGAGTACCTGGACGCTAACATGGACCAGTTTTGCAGGGGTCTGGCTGTCTAGCTGGACGCTTTGACGCGATTTCACTCTCCCATGCTGTGGGATCGATGATACGAGACCCTGTGACAAAGTCCAATAACTCGCAGCAGCCAATGTCCGCGACCGAACCTCGCCCGGCTGCCTGCCTGCCGACGCTCGCTTTCCCAAGCACTGCCGGGGATGGGCCCCGGAGGATCAAAAAGGATTGGGAGGGTTTTTGAGCCGATTGAAGGCGGCGGGGCGCCGACCGACTCCCCGGGTGTGTGAGAACGACAAAACGAGGCCTCGAACAGGAACAGAACGCAGCAGGTGAACAAGTTGAGTTCGCAGCTAGTGGGCAGCGCAGCAGCGTTCGGTCTGCTGACGATCCCATCAGGCTTAGCACCGAAGCTTTGTGGAAGCTCGCAGGAATGTTTGCCTGAACGTCGAACGCCCTTGTCTATGCCTCGCAGGCCTTCAAAGAGGTTTCGCCCTATCGACGGGTCACCTTGCAGGCTGTTTCCCATGTTTCGCCCTATCAGCGGGCCATCCCACCTTGTCTGACTCTGGCCTTGAATAGACGCCTGCGCGTCATATCTTTCGACTAGACACACAATGGCCGTTGTGGAAAATTGGGGCCCTCTGGTCGCTGTTGGCCATGGCCTGGAGCTGTTGCTGATGCTGCCTTCGGTGAGCCTGCCTTTCTCTGGCAGGCAGTTTCCTTAGGCATCTTTCAGACAGGGCGTAGGACTTGTGAGTCAAGCCATCGTGTGGTTTTGGCTTTCGTTCTGAGCCATGGTTCGCGGTGCGTCATGGGAGGAGCATCCACGAGGATATACATATATATAATGGGAGCCAATCTGTCGAGAGAAGAGAAAGAGGGCATCAGCATCAGCCAATTCAGCAGTTTACATACTTACACAAACACCTCTTAAGCAACTCACAACCAATCTCTCTATCCAAACACTTCGGCTTCTTCACTCTTCAAAGTACAATTCAATCATCATGCCTCGTGGACAGTAGTATGTTGCCAACATCCAGATATCTGCTGCAACCAACACTGACCTCTTCTTAGCGTCGAATCTTCTGACTACCGATCTGGTAGCCGCAAGAAGAGCTCCGGACGAAGCACCTACTCTTCTTCTTCTCGATCATGCACTGGCTCAGTCAGGCCAAACTACTGGCGATGCGTACGTCCAACAAACAATTCCATTTCCCTCCTCACCAACAGTAATGACTAACATGTTTGCAGTGCAAGTGCTCCGGCGGCTGGTACAGCTACCAGATCAACGACTCTTGCCCCATGTGCCAGTCCTGGCGCTGCGACAACTGCGAATACTCTATGAGCTAAAGCCGGCCAAGATTCCATCATCTTCGACCGCAGTTGGCAACCCTGCTGCTGTACTACAACATGTATTCGCACTTAGATTGGCATTAGATGAGCATTCAGCGGAATTCGCATTCCACCACTACAGAGCATGAGAGGAGTTTGGGATTTCTAGCATATTCGGCTACAGCGTTGGACTTTTGGATTCATTCATTTGCATTGTCAGCATTGGAAACAGCATTTTATTAGAGCATTAGACTGGCGGCTACATCTTTGAGCAAAAGCACCACTCATTTCGATCCTTAGAACCTGAAATAGACTTGCATATCACATGTTTCGTTCCGACTCACATGTTTGTTCACATGTTTTACCTGCATGCATGCAAATGAACCATCCGGGGCACCGTGCTGCTGCTAGGCTCAATGGCTGAGGAAAGCTGCCGTTCGTTGCCTTGCATGTGAGTAACACAGTTCGTGCATACTGTAAGGCCAAGACGAGGCGAGGCAAGCCCAAGGCAACCATTTTAGGCGGCATTGACTCTTTTTCAAAACGACCATTCATGTTTTGTCCCAAAACTTTAGGCTACGCATGACTCTATGCCGGTGACCGTGTTTAGTGATCTTACTACTAAGAAATGCTTACTGTGTGCAAGGAATATGGAGCTAGCTAAGAGCCTCCATACTTTATGGGCGAATCATCGTCAATATGATGGCTGGCTCGACGAGGGGTCCACCTTGACTTGTTTTTTGCTTCCCTTTTCTCTCTCTTTTCTTTCCCATCTTTCTTGAAAGGGGTGAGTGTAGAAAATTGGTCTGACCGGGGGGCGTATGTGGGAATAATTCGGACATGGGCCAATGGCTCAGGGTTCTATGATAGGTTCGTGGACGTCGAGTTTGAGTGTGCTTGGATGGATCAATGGCGGTAGGTAGCTAAACCGGATTGTGCCATGGGAATTGCGAGCGGTACTCAGCAGAGCCTCAACATTGGTGTCGGTAGTAGCGGGCCCCTGTCCAAGTAAGCAGTCGACGACATGGGGAATAAGGCGATGAATCCCCATTCTGGCACTAGCTTTCCAGAGTCGGATTGACATCAGCCACAATGACATGGTCTGGATCGATGCAAGATGCAGGTTTTGGATTCTCTTGCTTTGCGAAAGCGGCAGTTGTATATTACTGGCTCTCGGCTGACTGGTCAGCAAAACCCCTGGCTTGAAGCCTAGATATAGCTTCACCAAGAGGCTCGTAAAGCCTTTGTGCCGAGACTAGGCACCACCTCTGATACAGTACCATTGAACGATACCATGTAGCTTCCGCGAGAGGAAGGGTACGAACAAGGATCGTCGAGGGGGAGAAAAGAGCATACGAGGGGCCGTGTGGAGCAAGAATCGTAGAGTCAGAGGCAGTCGATGTCGCATCGTATCAGGAGGTAAGAAATCGATGAGGGTGTAAACCGAGAAGAAGAAGGCGTCTTCACCTGCTGGTTGGATAGTTACTTGAACCGGGCTCAATGATTGAGGCGGCTTGTTTCGGGAGACGATTAGGCTGACATTCTCAGGATTCGCATTTCGGATCTAGGAAGTGCGTACTTTTCCGAGCTGTCATCGATTGGCTGGTGGCATAGAAGAGTATTCGCTGATTCTAACGCATATATCGATTAGTATGAGCATAAGGAGATGCCGTAGGGATTATGAAGAACTGAAGAGATAGATTGACTACCTTAGTAGTAGCTGGAAGCTGGAGTACCTCGAGATTCTGGGCTTTGCAGGCATCTCTCTCGCCGTACTACGTAGTGTCAGCCTGAGCTAATTCGTAGGAAACAAATAGCAGAGACACCTTTGAAGCTGACTTGGAATTTCAAGCTGAATCTGTCGTCAGGGCCAGGGCTCAGGCGGGCTTGGAGGAGAATGTCTGCATCAAGATGTTGAGGCCTGACTCCTATAATGGAGGAACCATTTTCCGGGACCCTTTACCAACTCCAATGTAGTAGATGGTGACCGGGGATAATGACCTCGCGGTTTTCCTAGGTCCTGATTGATGAAACAAGCCTTTCTTACGATTAGCCGGGACTTCTTGCTGCCTTGCATAGAGCCTCCAGGCCCCGATGGTGATCCTCAGAATCTTCGACAACCCACAGCATCCTTGGCAGATCTGCCAGACAGGTCCATCGGAGTGCCCTTCTACTCCGTACAAGAGCCTACAGCGAGGCGACCCAGTATGTATTACTGGAATACGAACAATGGCAGAAAATTACTGTTGGTGGCTGTGGACTGACAGTTTCCTCCGCAGATAATCGTGCCACCTCTGATGCCTAGGAAAAGCTGATAAAGCCAACCAATCGTTCGATATTAAAACCAAGCAATAACCAAAAGCATTAGCCCACGATCTCGCCACGACAATAGTCCTCTACTGAATCCCTCGAGCCAGCCCATCTTGCGAGCGACCGAAGCCACTTGCGAGAACAAGGCAAAGATGCCTCGATACAACTCCCACTGAAGCTGGCCTCGCAACACCACAGAAGTGAGATGCTCCATGGCTACCCCAGCGTTTGATCTTGAAGCAGTTGGAGATAATAACTGACACTAATCATAGAGCAGCAAACATGTTCCGTCTCCGTCCTATCAGCCTCGCGATCAGCAAAACCTCTTCGCATCCGACAGTAGACACATCGAGAAATCGGGGGAGCCAGAACTGTGTTCCTCCCGACGCATTCCTAGCCATGAAAGAATGCCTTGCACTACCCATATGGAATTGCGGAATCGCCAAATGGAAGAGTACTATACCCAGAGCTCGGTGGAAATACCCTTCGGGAGGAAAGACACCTAGAGGTCCGGAAGACGAGAGCTGGAACACATTTAGTATTACACTGCTCGTGTATCGTGTATCATGCATCAAGCAGATGCAATCTACCTACACAGGACCAACTCCCCAGGCTTTCCTACCTTCGCGCGCCAAGGGGGTTTCTGGTGATTGCTCTAGTGACGATGTCTAAGCCAACATTATTTTGCCGACTTGGCCGCCTTACAAGTCCAAACAAGAAAAAATCAATTGACAAACCAGCCTGATTGTGACTTATTGTGTTTTTTTTTTTTTTTTTTTTTTTTTTCAATCAGGCGAATGCGTCAATACGATTTTACCTTGCTTGTTGCGATTGTAAGCTGTGACGCTGATCTTCAAAATCCTTACAGCGCGCTTTCGTAATCGTTACAGCGCTGTCACGACAACGGGTCAGCGTCCGGCACAGCGCCAAACGCAGCTACAGCACCAGTCCGGCACTAATTGATTAGGTAATTAAAAAAAGAGGGGAAAGCTGTGCCAGCTGGTGCCAGCTGGCTGGATTGGAATAGATTGGATTCGGTTGAGAATAGGATTGAGAGTTGAATTGGAAAGGGAATTTGAGCCTATAATCTTACGGATCTACAGCTTACGGTTATACTGCTGCACCATTACTAATTACAAGGTTATGCCATGCGAAAATCTAGGCAATTGATAAATAAAGGTAATGAACGAAGGAAGGAAAATGAAGCCATTGCGACGTTGAAATCGTGCTGCCAAGCCGAAATCGTGCTAGCGTTTTTGGCTGGCTTTGCTGTGGAATACTGGTGCAGGCCTGTAAGGGCATTGCTAGCTTCATAAGGCTGTTAGCGGTTGTAATCCTGTCAGAGGTTTCTGGCGATTTGTAATGCACAACCCTGTAGATTCAGCCAAGGTCCTGACGGGCTAGGAAATTCAATTGAACTTAAGATAACATCTATGTAACTTTTAGCCTTACGGCAGCGTAAACAGCGTTGTAAGCCCTAGGACACGGTCGCTGGTCTTGCAGCAGGATTCCTAGCCTAAAAATCGTCACCGGACATGTAGTTACCAGAAACCCCCTTGGCGCGCGATGGTAGTTGGCACCTAATCTTCTCTTCTCTTTACTGCAATCACCGCCAAGAAACATTTGGGACAAGGCAAATGCAGATACATCTTTAATTAATTCGGTGCTCATTTCGAGCGTCGTTAAACTCGTTACGCATATGACTCATGAGTGAATTCTAGCAAATTTCCGTACTCCATATTCCCCCCTTCTGCCCATCCGGGGCTTGACAGATCCGTTGTAAACCACATTGCATGACTTGAGATCAAATTCCAAAATCCTTAACATTGAAGTCTCCGGCGTAGAATGGGTTCAACATGGCATCCCAGTCAGGAGTGGGCTCTCTGTTGTTGAGAAGCGGGAGGACATTACCCTCCGACATCTCCAGCAGGGCAATCTCCTGTCTCTTCTTAGCCCATGCATCACTCAGGAGGACATGAGCTGTCTCGACTGCTTCCCTGGCCATGTGCGTGCCAAGGATAGTCGCGATGCGCTCGAGCTTAGGAACAACCCACGAAACCTTGGTAAGGGCGGCACGGGTGTCAATAGCGAGCAAGACGCAGAAGAACTGGAAAGGGGTGCCCAAGACGTTCCACCATGGGGCTTCTCGGTTAGCCAGTTGAATAGCTACCTCGACGGCGGTGTGGCCAATCTGAATGATGTTGGCCAAGGTCTCTTTGCTGATGGCAACCTTAAGGAGACGCAGGCGGCGATAGAGGCAGAAACATAGATCTCCTCTGGTAAGGGCAGGAAAGCCCGAGATGTCTCCCAGATCGAGAAGCTGTTGAATGGCGGTCTCAAGAGACTTGCTGAGGGCCATGATGTCGGCATTGGTATTCTCGCTGGGCAAGATTCTAGCCATGCGTATTTGAAGACCAGTCTCACTGTGGTTATCAAACGGGGTGGCTCGAGGGTCAATGCCGTTAATGTGAACCCTAGTGCGGCCATATTCGTAGGAAATGATTGTATTGATACACCAAGCGAGCCAGAAGGTTCGCTTGCCTCCTTCGTCCTCTTTGGCCCGAACTTGGCCGCTCTGAGTGACGAGGTCCGACTCAAGATCGCGGTGAAGTCCAACAGCCTCCACAAGGTGCATGACGGTGCAAGACGAAAGCCAAGTCAGGTGGGGTCTGGTTGTCGCGCGAAGATATAGGGTTCGGAGGATCCACGCGTTGATTTGGTCAATGGAGGGCAGACGACTGAAAGTCGAGTCCTCGAGGACATCCTTGACATGCTTAACGATTTGCGACTCCAGAGGGTGGCCTTCATTGAAAGCAAAGAGAGAGCCGAGGGCAATGACGCCTCCAATCGTGGCACCAAGGATGAGATCCTCGTTTCGCCGGTGGAAGTAGGTGTCACACATCTGGAGAAAATGTTGCGAGTCAAAGAGGTGAAATGCCTTGTTCACAGTGGCGAAGTAGATGTTAGCGTAGTGTTGACAGCCCTCCAAGTTGACGTATTGAGACAGTGGGGCATGAATAGAACCAGGTTCCTCATCGCGGATGCCACAGTTCCAGGCAAACGAGTGGAGGCGTGGGGGGTTAGCAGATTCAAGCTCCATGCCGAGTTGGTTAGGAAAGGCTACAGCCGAGTTCTGGCTCATGTATCGGCGTCTAGCCGGCTCAATGATGCCGCGGTCGAGGGAAGGAACTGGAGTCTGGTTGACAATAGACTCTGGCGTCTCAGAGATGCGGATAGGTTGCGAAGGCTGACCACCCTCGAGCACCACATCTGGGGCACGCATCTTAAGCGTTTCGCTAGCCGCGGAATCGTCGTCTCGGATGCAGTCGTAACCATATTGCGCACACATCCTGCAAGGGGTAAGGTCGTCACACTTGCGCTTTCGGCGACGGCACTCTAAGCAAGCCTTCCTAACTCGTTGACGGCCAGATAGGACTTGCAGTTGAGCAGGAACTGACTCCTCGTTATGGACTTGGCTTTTCTCCATGGCGGCTGAAGAGGGGAAGAAATCTGAGAAGCTTGGGGGAAGATATTGATGTGGCCGCGTCTCGTCACGCAAGTGACGGCAGCTGCGAATATCTTACCGGGCTTACCAGGGGCAGGTGCTGTGGTTTTTTAGCTCATGTCGGTAGCTGCGACCCACTTTTTTAAAGTTAGTTTAGAGGCAAGACGAGCTTCAAGCTATTAGGACAAACGAGGACAGACAAGGACGAATAGAAATTGATTGCTACCGAGAGGCGGTGAAAGCAGGGAAGAGGGCGCTGGGACTTTCCTTGAGATTTTGAAATTACGGTGAGTTAGAGGGCTGGAAAGGCAGCAATGAGCAGAATGTTGTGTATTGCGGGACGTAGCTTTGGCTGTGGTGGGGTTTTGAGTATATAGTGATGTGCATTGGGCGGAGCGAGAGGGAATGGCCTTTGGATTGGAATATTGGTGATAGGATAGGGACCAGAGGCAATGGAGGCGTAGAGATGCATTGTAATGTCGTGAATCCATGTGTAGCCTGTAGACGCCTTTAGAAACTAGGTGTAGGGTAATGGTGTGTGTCGTGGAGTTCGATAAAAATGATACGTCGTCGTAAAGTGGCTGTCTTAACGTGAATCCCGCGATAAAGAAATCACCAATCAATGATTAATTCCGTACTGAGTTTGTTTTTTGTCACGGCGACTACTCGGGGCGTCGCATATAAAGACATTGATGTTGTCTACCAAAACCCAGGGAAAACCTGCTTGGACCTCAGCTCGGCGTTCCGATTCAGCCGCTGTAGCAAAACATCTGTTGCGAAAGTAAATTAGCGACTCGCTCTCCCATGTTTTCCCCAAGCCCAAAGTCCGCAATTTGACCTACCCGCGATATGCCAATGGCCCGAAAACCACTCCAGGTTTTCCCGCAGCTGCTCGAAGTCTTCGGGCGCGGCCCCCTTGACATAGGCCTCGTCTAGGTCTACCGCCGCGCGGTAGAGACAGCCCAGCCCAGAAAAACACATTCTATTGAGGGACCCATCCCTTTTCCTCATAATAAGCCCCTCAACTCGGCACATTTCGAACACTATGTTATAGGCGAATTTGAGGTCGAGGTTGAGCTTTGCGTCGCCGGAACCGGTCCCTAGGCGTTTTGCCCTCTTCTTGTAGGCTGATACGACAGCACTGTAACATTTGTTAACATTCATGATTCATCGAAAGGGTTTAAAAAAATTTAAAAGAATAAAAAAAAGTACCTTAGAGCCATGGTCACACCTTCGCACACTGGATATGACTCCCCTTGGGAGGTCGCTGCATGCTGCCGGACAAGGTCGTGGAGCAGCTTCTCAGCCTCTACGCAATCTGCTGACTCCGGATCGCCATGGACGGCTTTTATAACTTCGCCGATTAAGAGGGCTGAGTAAGCTCTTGTCCGGAACTTGACCGTTGTGTTCATGAACGCGTATTTATCTTTATTCATGTAGGGAACGGCATCCTGTGGTAGGATTCCGCTAGTTGGAATAAGCAGAGAGGCCGTGCCGTCTGCACAAGAGAGTACGATGGATCTGCCACTTCGGTTAGAATAATACTGGGTTGATAAACAAGGAAAATTTTTGGCCTGGAGGGGAACTAACCGATCTAAAAAGACGATACCGCCCCAGCACAGCTTTCGAGCGGACTCTTGAGCGTCGTCAAAATGCCTATCCGTGGCCTTCTTCTGTGAGGCGGACATGTCCAATTGCCTGATGAGGCCAAAGCATGATCCCAGTGTTGAGCTGGCCTCTCTGGCCATCCCGTGTCCACACTCATATGTAGTTAGAAGCAGGCCGGCCTGCAGTATTGCAAGTGAAAATGTATCACTGGTAGGTGTATTAAGGAGTGCGAATAGGCGCCTCGTAGTCCGATAGAGCGTGCTGTTGGAGGTGTGATTAGGATGGCGGCAGGGTTGCTGGTTGACCAGGAGCATGCATAACAACAACAACGCCAGGGGGTTGTAGTAGACATCTGGATTGTTCTGCATAATTCGAAGATTAAACTTGGTTTTTGATTCGTCCACGACGGGTATCCAATCGTGGGCTGTGGCAAAGTATCTAGTTGAGACTTGCTCCACGGAAGTGCCGCCATAGGTGAAGATGTCCTTGACTAAGCTCATCAATCCCTTGGAATCGACTTGAGCATAATGTGGCTCTTGGATTTGGCAAGCTGTCCATAGGAGCTGCTTCTCGCCCGCCGGGGTCAGTTCGAGGCCGCAAGAGTCTCGTCTGATGGCTAGGGGCTCGCTCCACTTGAGCTTGGTATCTGGTTCCGCCGCTTCAATCGGCGTGTCATCGTCATAGTCGCATCTGATTAGTTTTCTGTATACGAACGGGTTAGCATCGAATTCTCCTGGGTCGTTGATTGGCGACCCTTTGAGTTGGCGGAAGCCCGCGACACACTTACGCTGAACATCGCGAACACTTAGGCAGTCGCTTGTCACATCTCCGCTTGTGGAGACGGCAGTGGCGGCAGGCCTTCTGAGCTTTGCTCTCGATCAATCTCTCAGCTGGCATCTTGGTTTTTGGCTATCCCACGGTGAAACTGAGAATGTTGTTACCTGGCCGACAAGGATGGGATGAACAACAGAGGCATGTTACCGTGCCAACAAGGTGCCGGCACGGTGCCAAAAGTGACCCACTTGTGCCAGCTGGTGCCAGCTGGTGCCAAAATACAACACGTTACCATAATCCAGCACATTGCCATAGGCCAGCACTGTTCCGGCACGGTTCCAGCGATAGAGCCCTATCTGGCACCTCTTTGGCACCTCTTTGGCACCTTGCTGGTACCGTGCCCGTCTATAGTACTATGCTGGCAGTGGGCTCGAAAATACTGCACCATGCCATCATCAGGCACGGAACCAGACCTCCAGAGGTTTCCACTCTGGAGTGTTCCAAGGATTTGCCCCTAATGGACCTAGAGCGACAAGGGGGCGGCCGCCTCCCTGTCACAAGACTATGCCATATCGAGTCGTTCTGGTGGCTTCGGATTGGCTACACGAGGCAATTGGATAGCGGCCGCTCCCATGATCCATAATAAGCATGTCTTCGAGTCATCGGCCGCTACCCTGCTGGTTTGTGTATCCATTTATGCCAAGAGCCCCGTCTAACTGTAGTGGCGGATAGGGACAGTGCCATTGTATTGGATTCTTGTCGCAGACGCTACTACACGTGGGTATTGATGATCAATCCAGCATCTTGAAGAGAGGGGGGGATTGCCATGCCATGATTTCTAATCTACCTCGCGGACAATGGTGCAATATTTTGACTAGAGAACTGTCGAGCTGTGCTACTTTTGGTTCATGTATATAATGGTGTCTTACCAGCGACTGCTTCTTTCGAGAGAGAAAAAGAAGTAAGCCAGTTTTCCCACTCTACGCATCTGGTTGCCAGAACCAATTCGAGACCAATAGACGTTTCTATTGCTACCCAGGAGCTGTCGAGCCAAAATGCCGGAGTTTGTCAACATTCCCACCTATACCAAAGTGTTTCACCACGAGCCCTACGCGGCCATCTCCCCTTCTCGTCCCGAGCTCTCTACCAAGGGCAAAAATGTTGTCATCACTGGCGGAGGAGGAGAGATTGGCGCGGCCATTGCCCTGAGTTTCGCCCAGTCTGGCGCTTCAAACATCGCCCTTTTGGGACGTACGGAAGCCACTCTCCTCAAGAGCAAGCAGACGATCAACGCAACATATCCCGAGACAACCGTCCACATCATTACGGCTGATGTCGCCGGCGAGGCATCGGTCACAGCTGCTCTCAGCAAGTTTGCTTCCGTTGCGGGCAAAAAGCTCGACATTCTTGTTGCCAATGCTGCTGTTCTGCCTGATCCGGGAACGCTGCTGGGAACCGAATCATCTCTATGGTGGTCTGGATTCGAGATCAATGTCAGGGGCCAGTTCAATCTCGTCCGAGCCTTTGTGCCTCTGGCTGAGAAAAATGCAACCATCATGAATGTGACGTCTTCCGTCGCCCAGTTCCCCTTTGTCCCCGGGTCCAGCAGCTACCACGGATCCAAGCTGGCAGGCGTCAAGATCTTTGATTACTTGCATTTCGAGAACCCCGAGCTGAGGGTCCTGCAGTTCCATCCCGGCGTGGTACAGAGCAGCATGTCGCAAAAGTCGTTTGATACTGGCATTCCGAGACCTACTATGGACACCCGTAAGCACCCGCACCGTTCAACAAATGGATATGATGTGAAATTGCTTCGACTGACTTGAATATCAATCAGCTTCTCTCCCTGGCGCTTTTGCCGTTTGGTGTGCGAGTGCCGAATCGGAGAGCCTTCGAGGCAAGTTTTTGTGGGCGAATTGGGATGTGGAGGAGCTCAAGGAAAAGGCAGACGCGATTCAAGGCCAGCTGACGTTTGGCCTTCTTGGCTGGCCATAGCGGCAATTCGGATGCATGTACATACCAAATGAAGAGAGAGATGCTGTATCTAGACTAATAGATCTTTGATATCAATTCCTGCTGTACGGATACTTGGGTGGAATTTCGAAATGACGGCATCTGGAGTTTACTGCTCAATTTAACAGTCGCTGGTATTTCTCAATCAATCGTGCGTGACGCTTCCCACTATTCACCACGCGTAGGTACCCGCGCCCTGTTAGGACCGCCTACTGTATAGTCTTGCTTATGTAATGCATCACGTGCATCCAGCGATACCTCGGAAATAGTTTCCTTCCACCAAAGCAAAAGCGAAAGCGAAAAGCAAAAACCTCACGCGCCACGAACGCTCTGCAATTACTCCATGCAGGTCATCGCCATCATTTCTGGCGCCTTGATTCGAGATCCGACCTGCAGGGGAGCGGCCGCACCCCTGTCGCTTTTTTTCGCCGCTAATCAGCCCTCCACCGCTGCGGAGTTGCGCTAAAAGAACGGAGTAACGCCACCATCGAGTCTCTTCAGTGTTACGCGATTCCGCAGCCAGAGCCGCGACAAATTAACTTGCCAAGCTTGCCAAGGTAGCATTTGGAGAGAATCGTCTTTTCCGAAGCATGGAGCATTCATTAATAATCCTATTCCCGCCGCCGTTATCAAGGCTGCGGGTCCAAACCCGCTACCATTCTCGATTTCCGCCGCAGAGGCACGGACAGTCACAATTCCCCTTGCACTCGAATCAAGTGCCGTCGCGGGTTTGCTTAGCCTCAATGTACGATGAGTTCTCAATCCGATTCCGGTATGTGTAAGACGATGATGATAAATCGCTTCGGCATTGGTAACTGAGATGGTCTCTAGGTACATGTATGCATATGCAGGTATATAAACGCTCTCCTCTCTGTGACACTTGACGACGCATCAAGCAATCGCGGCAGCTGCATATTTCTGCCACTAGACTCAGATTTGGAACCTCGCCCTTTTTGCAATTCATCATGGCCAACCAGAATGTCCCACAAACTCGGAAGGCTCTTCGCAGACGCGGCCCTCACGTAGCCGAGTTTGTCGACGAAGCTATTCCCTCTCGAGGCTCATCCGATGTGCTCATTCGAGTTCGTGCTGTTTCGTTGAACTACAAGGATCTAGCCATGTTGGATGACAACTTTCCTTGGCCAGTTCCATCCAACATTATTATGGGTGCAGACGTCGCGGGCGAGGTTGTTTCGGTTGGCGACAGAGTGTCGCGGTTTGAGGTGAGCGACCTGGAGCAAATACTTGCCTGGTGATTGCTGCTTACCATCTCCTAGGTCGGCAGCAGAGTTGTTGCTGTTCATAATTTGGACAACATTACTGGGCGAGAATTAACGGCGCGAGGTATGACTGTTTCCGGCAGCTCTTTTCTCACACGATGGTGAATGTTGACGGTGATATAATAGCTCCTGGCCAAGCTATGGATGGCACCTTGGCTACCTATGTAGTCTTTCCAGAGGTCGAGCTTGTGAAAGTTCCCGACAACTTGACATGGGCCGAGGTTGGTTGCGTTGCTTTAACCATATCATGATAGCTGGGCGATGACTGACGCTTCTTAGGCTAGTATTGTTCCCTGCGCTGGAGTTACTGCCTGGTCGGCCCTGAACATGAAGACCAACAACTTGTGGGGAAAGACTGTGCTTGTCCAAGGTAAACTCTCTTGTATAATAAATGTCCAAAAGATGATCTCTAAATTGCTAATGCGGGCGGTAGGTACGGGAGGTGTGAGTATTATGGCACTCAGCCTAGCTGCCAAAGCTGGTGCCACCGTTATTGCTACTTCTTCGTCTGATACGAAGTTGGAGCACGCGAAAAAGCTTGGTGCTACCCATGTCATCAACTACAAGCGGAATCCCAACTGGGAGGAAGAGGTGTTGAAGCTTACCGGAGGCCTTGGGGTCGACATCGTCATCGAGCAAGGCGGCGCAAGCTCCCTACTTCAGAGCGTACAATCGATAAGGCGGGAGGGTCAAATCTCTCAAGTGGGATTCCTGTCGGGAGATGGCCAGGGTGATATTTTTCGCCTGGTTCAGCTGTTAATCATGAAGAAGTGTAGCATTGTGTAAGTTTAAGCGGATGACATCTTCTAGGTTTGGTTTGCCGGACGCTAATACTTTTGCTTCCATCCAGAGGAATCCAGGTTGGATCAAAGGGGGATCTAGAAGACCTGATGGATTTTCTCAGACAGCCACACTTCAAGCTGGACTCATGCGTTGATCGCGTATTTAGCTTCGACAAGTCTCTGGAAGCTTTCGACTACATGAGAAATGGTAGCGCAGTTGGGAAGATTGTCGTTGAGTTTTAGCATGGTAAGCTAGCATGGCCACATGTCGACGAGCACCAAGGGCTAATTAAAAAGATAACAGGATTTTCCAGTACTGGGAATCAGTACCAGATAAAATAGATTTTATAAATAAAGCACCAACAAGACAGGCTTGCTAAAATGCAGTACATACATATTGTGACTGAGCAATTCTAATCCACAGTACCGCCAGTACACAAAGGTGCAGTGTCATGAATCATCACTTTGGTATTGTTCCTTTTCCCTTTCCTTCCTCTTTTCGCCTCCAACCAAACCTAATCCTACGCAGTCATTCCCTTAGTCCTTCTTGCAAGCAACAAAGTCGTTGCCGCTAGCACCAGTGTGGGTGATGACGGAGTCGAAGTTGCCCTTGGAGTCGAAGATGACACGGTCGGCGCCGGGGCTTCCGCCGGTGTAGACCTTGAAGGTGTTCAGAATAGGGAACTCGTACCAAGGAGCAGCGGTAGGGAAATTGAAGCCCTCGTAGTCGTTGTACTGGTGAGGGTAGGAGTCTATGGATTTTCGTCCAAAGTCAGCGATTTTGGTCAAAACAGAAGAACCCTGCCAGAGACACCGAATTCAACTCACCCTTGGTGCTGCCAGACTTGTACAGGCTGTATCCAGCAGAGAGAGCATCGTCGATATCAGACTGCCAGTAGCAGACGGAACCGCAAGTGTAAACACAAGCAGCGCGCTTATCGACCAGGGTGCTGTCGATGGCAGCAGCAGAGGCGCTGGAAACAAGGCCGACGGCGGCGGCAACAATCTGCGTTTGTTATGCGTTAACAAGCAGTTTTCGGACTATTAGGGAGCTCTGATGCTCCAACGGGTGGCCACGACATACCTTGAAGCTGACCATTTTGAAAGATGGGGAGTGTGAAAGTGAGGAGGAAGTTGAGGAGGAAGAGCTGGCTTGGCTGTACTGGGATGATGGACTACGATGCCCTGGATCGCATGGACACCCTTGAGCATTATATGTCCGGCGCTCGAGCTATCAATGATAGCAACATCATGACCAGCATCCTCCAGATCCAGATCCCGACCTCCCTTGTTGGGCAGGTCAGCCCCCGTCTCCCGCAAATCTCCTCCACGGCCCCTTGTCCTAAAAGACGATCCTCCGCAGCCATCCTAGTTTGATATCCTCCACCGGTTTCCCTCACATCCATCGTTCGGCACCCTTTCAATACAATCATGCTCGTCAATTGTCCCTCGTGGCCTCAACGCCACGTTTTACCAGTCCATTGCTCCTCCTCCACGTGAAGATACCAGTGGCCGTGGCTCAGCTTGAACAAATGTTCCTCGGTCTCCAGGACCTTCTTTTTTCGAACTCGGTGCCCTGATTAGGAGACCGAGGCGGTTGATGCCGGTTAGGCGGGAAACGCGGTATGCGGTCGGAATACCGGCATCGTGAGGGTTCCATTTATTTTGCTTGCCGCCGTGACTGAGGGGCTCAAGACTGCGCGCGAGCGACGATCGCAACGGTTTTATCAGTCGGTATTTGCCGGGCAACACCACGGAGCTCCCCGTCGTTGTGGCAGAAGTCCTTTGTTTTGATTCAAAAAGTGCAAAGGACCGGCCCAATGGGAGAAATACTTGAATTGAGGGTGTGCTTTGAAAAGGCCTCTGCCTCTCAGCTGCTTCATTTCAGGAAGGCCATGGGAACAATCTGCCGTTATCATTGGGTGCCATTGCCGGTTGATGGTTGTCCAATGCTAGTCTGCCGCTACCGGGCAATAACCATAACAAGAAGGTAATCTGGCCCTTTTTCTGGGATGGCGTACATTGTCGAGTTGTGGGCTCTGAGCAACGCCTTACTTGTCTTAGATGGGATTGCCGCCAGCAAGTCGATTGGAGGTTAGCGATCGAACCAAGCCCATATATCTGGAACCTGTCTACGGAGGATTAATATGGAGCTGAGGTATTGACGCGCTTACATAAGCTGCAGCGGGCGTTGAGAGCTGGAGAACTGAAGCTCTAGAGAGAAGCTGCAAAACAAGGGTTAAAGCGCCTAATTGAAAATTTGGACGTAAAAAAAAAACATGTGATTGCTGTGTAAAGATTGAACTTTTTTTATACGATTTTCTCGATTCCTAAACCAGTCCCAAGTCCAAGGCATTAATCTGCATTGTGCTTAGGCAGATTTACACCCCTGCTAATCGCTTTGCTATAAGCGTGGCGTGATGCACACACAAAGGGCAGCTAAAACTGTGGCTATCTCGAAAACGTCAAATTAAAGCGAAGCGAAGAGTAATCAACACAATATAGCCTTTTGCGACAATATATTAATCATAGGAAGGAGAAATTTTTTTTTTTTTTTAGAAATAAACTTGTTCTCTTCACATGCATTGTGGGCTTCCTGTCTTGTTGTGATATTATCCGAGTGCCCTAGGACGCTATGGATGCTTTTTACTACCTGAGCAACAGGGCACATGCACCGCTGTTTAATAACAATTCGCTTCCTGCCTGGTACCTAATCGCTATCTCATCTACCATAGTACTAATTCTTGGAGAAATCTATGCTTCGTAATCATAAATCGTCTTCCCATAATCATGACCTGGGTATCTTCTTTTACGCCATCACCACGACATACTTTTCATTCGTCGTCCTCTTCAGCAACTTGTCATACGCCTCCACTGCCTGATCAATAGGCACTGAGATCCATTTGCTGTCGGACTTTAGCTTCCCAGATTCGAAATGCTCCTTGAGGGCACTTAATCGCCGTGCCATGTCCTTCGCCGAGGGGTTCAGCGAATTGCAGCCCAAAAGACTCAAATCGGCGCGGTAAAAGTCACGCATGTCGAAGCTAATGTCTCGAGCGCCCGCCTTGGGGGCGGAGATAAAGGCAAGGCGACCATTTTTGGCGAGCTTCTTCAGACTGTTAACCGTTAGAGCAGGAGATCCTACGGTGTCGAGGACGACGTCGACTCCCTTGCCCTCTGTCAGGGCATCCACGGCCTTCAGTTCTGGGTCCTTGTCGGTGTTGACTTCGCCTCCATCGTCCCGAGTGGCCTTGATGATGCGAGCGCCAATGTTTTGGATGAGCTGGACGGCAGACGAACCAACAGCGCCGTTGGCCCCTATGACGAGGACAGTGTCGGATTCTGTGATGGCTGCCCTCTCGACCATTTGCGAAGCTGTCGTGAAGGGAACGCCCAGCGTTGCCGCCTCGACAAAGGATACGTTCTTCGGCTTCAGGGCAATGTCATCCTCGTGAACAAGACAGTATTCCGCTTGGAATCCGTCCTTGGTAAAGGCGTACGCGTGCCCGCTGGTGCCGTAGACCTCTTGTCCGACCAATTCCCGAGGGCCTTCCTCGACGACTCCCGCATAGTCCCTTCCAACAACCCGGGGATATTGCGTGTATGAAAAGAGCCCCGAGGCATTTCCGACGTCGCTGGGGTGGATCGCCGAAGCATGTACCTTGACTAGTACGTGGTTTGGTACGAGTGCTGGCTTTGGCACCTCAGTGAAGACGAGACGGGGGGCTTCGCTGGCAGTTTGGCGAAGCAGCTGAAGAGCTTTCATTGTGGTTGAGGTACGTGACGGCATTTCGTATGTCTTTCTTTTCCCGTCTCTTCTATACGAGGCTTTGTTTGTTTTCGTCCTTCTTTTAGATCAAGTGAAAGAAATCTATTCGCTGACTGAGCTGACTCGTTGCAATGTTAGTTCACGATTCATTGTGGACTATATCGCCTCTGAGGGTACCCGCCCTTTATATCGAGCCATTGATTACCACTACGGCAGCTATCCGCGAAAAAAAATCGTCTCAAAGGCAAGAGAATCGAGCTTCGATTCAATTCCAAGCCACCTTTGGACTAAGACATGACGATGAAGCCGTCGCGCCCCGAATCTGCAGCGGACTCAGACGGGTGCTGCGGCCCTACAAGCGGATGCGGGTGTTGCGGGTGTTGCGGGTGCTGCGGCTCGTGGCTTGCGGCTATTGCGGATGTGATCTCATGTGGGCTATCCGTGTTATTACTGAGAATGGATCGATGTTTGGTAAGCCATTTCTCATCATGTTGCACGGACGAAGGAACATAATACATGGGCCATTTGCAATAAATCTCCAACTGAAAAAATTGATTTGCAAAGCATGACTTTGACATTTGACATCGAAACAGTTGTGTCAAGTGTGTCACATTTCGTCCTACGGAAAATAACACCGGAATGTCTTCCGATACGCGACACTCAGATGACAATCACGGGGCCTTAGTCTCCGACGGAGAAAAGGAGTACCCAGATCGCCATCTGCCGGAGCTAGAAGACGACAAGTCTTCCGCTGAAGGACAGCGCGACGAAGAAGAAAACGATGAAACCGACGTGGAAGCATTGGCCTCAATCACACAAAGGCATACAAACAATGATCTTACACTCGAGCTTACCCCTAGCCATATACCTCCTCCTCAGTCTTTACTCGTCGAGATCCCCTTTATCGTCACGCTATGTCTAGCGCAATTGCTGGCTCAAGCCGGATTGGGCCAAATCATTGCTCCATTGCACATCATCGGAAATAGCTTCGGCACACAAGATGCTGGGCAACTTAGCTGGATGCCCGCAGCCTACAGTCTCACTGTGGGCACCTTTATCCTCATTGCAGGCCGACTTGGTGATCTATTCGGCCACAAGATCATCTTCGTCATCGGCTTCAGCTGGTATGCTCTCTGGAGTCTGTTGGCCGGCGTCAGCGTCTGGTCCTCGTCCATCATCTTCTTCGATGTCTGCAGAGCCTTCCAAGGCATGGGCCCTGCATTTGCCGTGCCTTCGGCAGTGGCCATTATCGGCCGCACATACCCCCCTGGCAGGAGAAAGGCAATGATCTTTAGCATGTTTGGTGCCACAGCCCCGGGAGGCTTCGTCCTCGGCGCCGTGTTTTCATCAATCTTTGCTGAATTTGTTTGGTGGCCGTGGGCGTATTTTGTCATGGCCATGGTGTGCGTTCTCGTTGCAGTTGCTGGTGTCATCATCATCCCATCAACTCCAGGTGCCGCAAATGTGCGATCTCAGGCACGTCTATGGGAGATAATCGACGTCCCTGGTGCTGTTGCCGGTGTCAGTGGGCTCGTCTTGATCAACTTTGCTTGGAACCAAGCCCCCGTCGTTGGTTGGCACACGCCCTATGTCTATGTGCTCCTCATCGTGGGGTTCCTTTTCCTGGGCGTGTTTGCCTGGATCGAGGTTCACGCGACGTTTCCCCTGCTGCCGACAAAGCTATTCAGCGGCCATCTGGGCTTTGTCTTGGCTTGTGTCGGCACTGGATGGTCCAGTTTCGGCATCTGGCTGTTCTATCTGTGGCAAATCATGGAGCTGATCAGGGGCCAAAGTCCTCTTGTGTCCAGTGCGCAGTTCAGCGCCGCAGCCATTTCTGGAGCATGCGCAGCCTTTACAACTGGCCTTATCCTCGGAAAGCTAAGACCGAGCTTGGTCATGGGCCTGGCCATGACGGCGTTTACTGTTGGAGGGATCTTGATAGCGACAGTACCTGCTCATCAAATATACTGGGCTCAGACGTTTGTTTCCATCGTTGTCATGCCCTGGGGAATGTAAGTCTTTAATTTTACCTTTATACGGATTGTCCTTTAGCTGACCCTGACATGTAGGGACATGTCGTTTCCCGCCGCTACCATTATCCTCAGTGAGGCTTTACCGAAAGAACACCAGGGGCTTGCTGCTTCTCTCGTCAACACCGTCATCAACTACTCAATCTCCATCGGCCTCGGCATCGCAGGCACGGTACAATCGCAGATCAGTCCCGGAACTACCGAGGAAGAGCTTCTGCGGGGCTGCAGAAGCGCATTTTACGTCGGCATTGGCCTCAGCGGGCTTGGCGTGTTGGTCGCCACGCTGTTTATACTCGACGAGAATAGGAGGCATGTCCGAGAACATCGCCAGGGAGAAAAATAAAATTATGGAACACGACTCTAATGTATAATGTTGCTCTTGCGTATTACGGAGTACTTATAGACTGGCACTTTAGGATTACAGGGATATAACAGGACTGAATAGAAACAGCCGAGCATGTATGAATCATGCAACATGGTTAATGATACGAATAGACATTACTAGCATATGGCATATATACCAATTTATAAAATCATTATCCTTTCTGCGTCCCTTCATTATTTCCAAATTTACAGAGTCAAAAACGACACAACACCAAAGATTCCGGCATAACCCACCCAATACATGGTTCCCATTTCGTAATATCGTCCCATTGCGGCCGATGTCGTCGTCGCGGCCGCCTGAGAGTTTGTGCCTGTCGGCTGAACGACTCTTGTTCTTGTCCCAGTCGACGAAGAGGGAGAGGAGTCATTGCCACCGCCTTGCTGGGAAGAGGAGCTAGAGGAGCTAGAATCCAGTGTCGGAGTTGCTTGAGAACCTCCGGAAGCGGTAGCAGAGGCAGTATCAGAACCATCCGAAGCCGAAGCCGAAGGCGCCGTTGCTGAAGCATCGCTGGTGAGCGGAGGGCAGCCGAGGGGTTTCGTGGTGGTAAACTGCGAGGGAAACGTCGCGGCAAAGGAAATCACAGAGCGCACGGGCGCTTTGAACTCGCCGCAGGACAGCGCAAACATGAGATATTCACCACCCCACATGGCCTGGCACGAGCCGTTGCCATAGTCGCCGTAGTTTGCGTTGGGAATGTAGTTTGCGATTCCGTCTGTGCAGGCGCAGTCCTGGAAGAAGAGCAGCGACGGTCTGCTGCCGTCCGGGCAGTAGGGCTTCTCGTCGACGCGGAAACTCCTTGAGAGCTCGCCGAGTGGCGATGCCGGCATGCAGACGTCGAGGGAAATCGGCGCCGTCTCCGCTTGGATGCGATGCTGGCACTTGTCGTCGGAGAAGAAATCAAGGCTTCCGCCGCGGGAACCGGTCGCGGAGACACGGAGGCCAAGGCCGAGAACGAGGACGGCAAGAGTCTTGGCGATGGAGGTCATTGCGGCTGTGGGTAAGAGGGATCCCGGGTTTCAAAAACGAATGACAGGGACGGAGCCGAAGCTGATGAGCAAGCGGTTCCAGATCCCGAGCTTGGTGAAAATCGTTGTAAAAGAGCGTATGGTGGTTCTTATGTGAGAGATCAAGAACGCGTGATATCCATCGCGCACCAAAGAAATTCGTCTCGTCTCACGATCCCGTTGGAAGCAGCCGGCCTGCCTAGCAAAAACGGAGCAGAAGCCGCTGTAGCCTGGGATTACGGAGCACGAGATGGATTTGTCCAACCCTGTGAGCTCAACCTCCTGACGCTATACCGAAAAGCACCTGTCATGGTTCGGCACTCTAGCCGTTTGAAGGCTAGCGAGATCCGCCGATTCGGGAGCCAAGATATCGAGTATTGCAGTATATCGGACTGTTTGAATGTCTTCTGGCTTTGGCAAGTACGGAAACGGGGACTGAGGTTTGTAATCCGAATGATCTCTGTCAAGTAGGATGATATTTACAAGTTTCATAGAAAGCATCTCGGTAGTCTAGACAGCTTGGGCTAGCGTCTTGCCATGGAGTCTGCTGTGCTGCTTGGAAGAAACCATCGCGAGCAGTGGCTGCATGGTATATAAATAAGGCTTGAAGAAGCTGAATCCATCATTCTGAATCAAGTCACCAACTCCTCTTGTTGTGAAATGCTTAAATCCACCATGACGGGCACATTCAGAAAAGTTGTCAAGGCGACATTCCTCGTCACTAAGAAGGAGGGACTCAGCGACGAGGAGTTTCGGAGTCATTACACCGAAATCCACGCCCCCATGGCTATCGAGGTTTGCAAGCGACACGGCGTTCTTGACTACTCCGTTGTATGCTTTCCCCTCGTCTTTATTTCGGAAGAGAAAGTCCGAGATGTTTTTTTTTTCTTTCTCAGGCTGAAAAGATATCCTGGAGCCATGCCAAAGCGGAAAAGGGCTGACCATCAGTAGCATTTTAACACCGAGTCGGAGAAAGCGGCCGCTCGCGCTGCTTTTGGAGAGAATGCCGCCTTTATTGGCTGCGATGCCATCACGACATTCATCTTCCCAGATATGAAATCCCTTGTTGAGTCGTTTGCGGACCCGGATTATGCGGCAAAGCTGGCTCCTGACGAGAGCACCTTTACTGATCGGTCAAAATCGCAGTTTGCCGTGAGCGACGAATTTGCGGTATTGGCAAACGGACAAGAGCCAACAATGAAATGAGATTGATGGTATAAATTTGTCAAAACATAGATTCCCTCTGTTCTTGAGATGTGCCTTGAACTAGGCTGGGGTGATTAGTGGTGGGGTTGTAAGATCGGAGTACTCCGTAGTTGGATAAGGAAACCGATGTATTAGATGAGGGACGCCGAATGTATAACTCCGCAAGTGCTTACCTAGAGATCAGATCTTGTCAAAAACCAGCTTGCACGCATGCATCTTTTTGATTGCTCTTGGTGGTGCAAATGATCTGCATGGCGTGACTCCGTCAGCTTGATATGGCTGTTCAAGCTTTGCCGTGTAATGCCTTGTAGAGTAACCTTTCTGTATGTGTGTATATCCTAATCCGGCAAGCTGCCTGGACATGGACTTGATCCTTGCCACGATGGAGTGGATGGTGTTTCGTCAAGGTCGTGTCGGAGAGAAGCGATTTGAGTCGAGCATGCTCCAGCGGTTCGTGGATCGCAATATGCCGCATGTTGCCATATCTGACGATTATCTTGAACATTAATTAGTATTTCGGAGTAAAAAAGTATTGGGTAATGATCGAAATCAGCGTAATCTTACTTGAGTCCATCCTGATTGCTGGTTGTTATCTTGGTTACGAGTGTGCCACTTCGGTCATTTCTCACCCCTCACTTCTGCCGAACAGACCCATCAGTATCCTAAACCGAACCGCGGCAATAAGGTGGAGGAAATATAATTTCCAAAGCAACAAAGCGCTGTGTAAGATGCCTGTACGCCAGAATCAGCACGCGGCTCCAAACTTTGGGCTTTCAGACCGTTAACTAGGGTCGGAGTGATCGGTCTTATGGGTGTACTCGGTATAGTGTGGAGACTTGCTGACCCGAATAGCCGTCGACGTGAGGAGAATCAATTCATTGAAGTATAATAAGAGCTTCAACGACGCTCGAAAACGATGTTGAATTATTTGGGTCGATTTATGACGTGAGACTGGGAATTTGATAGCTATACTGCCAGGCGGTGTACCAGTCAAAGGCAGCTGCCAAATTTCAACTTCCTGCTTGACCACGTAAAGCGCAGCTCCTTCCTAGATTTCTTGACCTTAACCCTCTATAATTTCGAAAGGCTTTTCCCGCCTACCAAACAAAAACACTATTTCTTTCATCAGCCCCTGGTAGTCCTTGAAGACAATTCTGCATCACCATCCCCGGCATCATGGCAAACCAAAGCATAGAAGACCAGGGCAAGATTGACCTTGCGGAGTACCTCTTCAAACGGCTGATCGAGCTTGGTCTTGGATCCGTTCACGGAGTCCCAGGGGATTACAACCTCACTGTTCTCGACTATATCAAGCCCATGGGTCTTCATTGGGCCGGCAATGCAAACGAGCTCAACGCAGGCTACGCAGCTGACGGTTATGGAAGAATCAAAGGCATATCCGCCATCATCACCTCTTTTGGCGTTGGAGAGCTCTCTGCCATAAACGCCATTGGAGGTGCATACGCGGAGAGGTCTCCAGTCGTGCACATTGTTGGAACCGCCCCCATGGCAGCCCAGAAGGTTGGAGCCTGTCTGCATCACACTTTGGGCACTGGAAACTACAGAGCATTCCCGGAGATGAACAAATGGGTGACTGTGGCCCAAGCGAATCTGACAGATGCTGAGACGGCACCGGCTCTGATTGATGCAACCCTAAAGGCATGTGTCTTGAATAGTCAACCTGTGTATATCGAGCTTCCAACAAATATGGTGAAAGCTCAAGTGTCTGTTCCGGTCACACCTATCGACCTATCAATCCCTGGATACGACGAGGCGTATGAAAACGAAGTGGTGGACAAGGTCGTGAAAAGGATTCAAGGCTCTACAAAGCCATTGATTCTCATGGACGGATTGACGGCTCGCTTCCGTGTTACCGAAGAGGTGAACACATTTGTACGATTGACCGGCTTTCCTACTCTTTCCGCACCTTTCGGAAAAGGCATTGTCAATGAAAGCCTGTACAACTACTACGGTATTTATGTCGGAGACGTTGGAGATGCAGTTATCAAACAACAAGTTGACGACGCGGACCTAGTCCTCAACTTTGGGCCCCTGCATTCTGATGTCAATTCCTTTGGCTTCACGGCTGTGCCCAAGGCGGATGTCACAATTTCTTTGAACATGCACTCCATCAAGTTCGGTAACGAAGGTGGCCACGACGGCGATGTCATCTCTATCAAGTCATTCATGAGGAAGCTGGTGAGGCGAGTCAGTGCTATTAACCTGCCCGCTGTTCGAACATTCAACCAGGGCCCGTCTTCTTCGCGCCTTTTGCTGAAGAATCTCAAGCCCTCCGCCGACGACGCAATTATCGACCAAGACTCTTTTTGGCTTCGAATGTCTGAGTTTCTCCGACCTGGAGACCTTGTCCTCGCGGAAGCCGGTACGTCCTTTGCAGGCACCAGTACGATTGTGCTTCCAGAGAACGTTATCCTTATAAACTCCGCTCTCTGGCTCTCCATTGGCTATACGCTTCCTGCGTTACAGGGAAGCGCTCTAGCTCAGCGAGAACAGCGCAAGGACGGTAGCGATGAGGGTGCTCGCTCATCTGGCCGTGCCATATTGTTCATTGGAGACGGAAGTCTTCAAATGTCCGCTCAAGGCATTAGCGATATTATCAGGAGCCGACTTGACGTTACGATTATTGTCATCAACAACAATGGCTACACTGTTGAGCGAGTCATTCACGGCTTCCACGAACACTACAACGATATCCAACCATGGAGGAACACCGAGGCTCCAAACTACTTTGGGGCACCGCTGGATGATTCCGAGTATCCCGTGGTATCAGTGCAGGCCAAGAATTGGGGAGAGCTGCGAAGTGTTCTGCGACGCAAAGATGTCCGGGCGGGCAAAGGTCTGACAATGATTGAGGTGTTTATGGACATGGCAGATGCTCCGGCTCCTCTCAAGAAGCTTTCTGCCTATGTCAGCAACAGGAACAAGACGAACGGTTCGTAGGCGGATGGAAGGCGGGATGGATTGCTGATGAAGCTGTGCGATATGATGACGAGTATTCAATTGTAAGATTTTTAGGTCTCTGCTGTCAATTTGAGATGGTTTTATCACGATAACACTAGCTACTTGTTCCGTACACAAATAAAGTAAAGTGATAAAGTAAAGTAAATTCTGATTAAAATTCTAAGCGATACGTGTCTCATTACATTAGTCAATATGTTTATGAAGGAATAGTGGTCAATTAACAAGCGTGGGGTGCTCGGCCAAACTAGCCCAGAAATCCATCTCAAGCTCCCAAGACTGCGAATTGATATAAGGGTCCCAGTTATCAGCAACATCGGAATTCAGAAGTTGCTGCGAATCGCTGGCCCTCGAAGGTGCCTTGATCGCGGTGAGTGAGTCGAGCAAGCTCTGAATCGTCCTCGTCGCCTGTGAGAAGAGCGCGAAGTTTGGTTCGCCTGGCTGAATCCACGCTCCGATGGTGATTTCGGCGACGAGCACGCTGAGAGCCTGTATCATTTTGGAGCGAGAGAATTGGCGCGAGTCGGGGGCTGTAGAGTTGAGAAGGGCGAGAGAGATGATTCCGGCTGCTGGTAGTCCGTATTGGGCGACCTGGACATCATTAATTGTTGTTAGAAAGTTACGTAAATATTGTACGTTATGGGATGGACTTTTTACCTTCCAAATGAGGCACGTTCCCGAGTTTGCCATTCGATCACGGAGGATGATCGTTTCTACGACGATCGAGAGCATTTCGGTTGAGGTCCTCAACAGCGCTTCTTCGGGTTCAGCCACTTTGCGTTGAGAAAGAAATCCTAGGAGAAAATGCGTGTGAAGATACTCCAGTCGAGCCCCAGCCAAGAAATCTCTTGCAAAGGGTCCTAGAGGACAGTCTTTAAGGCTGGTGGTGAGGCGGTAGTGAGGAGGCAAGTCTTGCCACTGCTGGTCAATCTTTAGACGAAGTTCACTGTGACGCTGTTTAGTAATGGAATGTCGGTAAAGGTATCTTGACGGCGACTAACTTGATAATGCTAGTCTCACCGGAAGCTTGGCGCTTGCGAAATAGTTGGAGTATTTCTTCTTTGATGACTGCGAACAGGGCTGAACAAAACGTATCGGAAGTGTAATTCAAAACTTGTTCACTGTTGGGCTCTTCGACGTCTCGCTCTCGACCTGTTATCATGGGGGACGACAAAGGACTGCCCCTGCTCTTTCCAATGCCATCGGAGTCTTCCCAAACGCTCGCAAATTTGGTCGGGAGCTGGAAATAGCAAAATTCCTTCATGATTCGCGGAGGGCGCCCAAGGAAAATGGCTAAGCTCTTGTCAGCTGCGTAGATGCGGGCGAAGCAAGATCTACGCAGCTCAGCAACAAACAAAGGGATGTTGGAGCAGGCTTCGTCTATTTTTTCGTGATAGCCAAGAGCAAACAGGGAGCTTGCAACATCTCCCATTCGCCGCCAAGAGTGGTAGCCTGGTGGCAATCTTTAGTGCTTGTTCAAATGATTGATCGATTGCTCCTAGTTAGGCCATGGGGTAGAACATACTCTGGTCGCCGTCAACTTGCGAGTGGACGATTAGATTCTCATACTGCAATACGAGTTGTAAATCATTCAGACAATCCAACGCGAGGCACGTCTCCAAGCAACAATCTCCAATATACGTCAAAGCTTTGATAAGCCCGCGACGTCCCTCGTCACTGTTGTAAAGTGGAGCAAACGAAGAGGTATCTAAAGCAGCTCGACTCGCAGCAGCAAGGAATATGCCAAGACTTTCCCAGCGGATGTTCCTACCAGACATCTGCGAAAGGTACTCGGAAGCGGTGGAGTGTCTATGCACCGAAATCGGCCTGTGGGTGTTCTCCAGTAGGACTCTTGCCCTTTGAGCAATTCCAACGCCGACATCGTGAGCATTGCTTCCGACAGGGGTTGACAACTCTCTCCAGTCAACAGCCGCTTCAGCACAAGTCTCGACGAAAGGCTCCCCTAGCGCCAGACTGACTCCCTTTTTGAGCCAGAATCGTATTAGAGATGCCAGTCCGGAGACTTGCAGTTGATCCAAAAGGCTCAGCGCGTGATTGGCTCTATCAAACGTTGCTTGATCGATGAATGTGTCTGCTGGAGGACTGGGTATTGGCGGCTGGACAGACTCATCATGCTGGGAGACGGCCACCCAAGAAGGGGCACGTGAAGACACCTGGTTGAAGATGTTTGCGTGACTCACATCGCCAAGATAGCCAGGATTGGGGTACCGACGAGGACGAACTGACGAGGCACCCAGAACCTCTGCGATCGGCGAAGTGTCCAAGGGCGGAGTGGTCAGAGCTTCCACGTGGATGGACTGCCTCGCACTAGAGGCACGAAACAACACATAGGTCAGTGGCTGAAGATGTTCACAACCAACACGAGATTACCTATCACGGCTTACCTTCGCTCTCTGATGCGATCACTGTGGCTCTTTCTCCGGAACGGCCGAGCTCGATAGAGACAGAGATCAATCTGATCACGGCTGCGGCATCGGGCACAAGTGGGCCGCTCGTGGCCGCAAGCCAGCTTGGCCCGTCGGCAAGGTTCGCAAGCAGCGTGACGAATGCTCATTTTGCAGTTCCCAATATGGTGATTGGAAGGAGATGCTGTGGTCTGATGGAGAGAATCGCTAGCAAGACGAGAGTTTACTCCGTACGATTTACATGCAAAAGGTACGTACATATACGGAGAGAGTCTCGCTCCGACGGACCGGAGCCCCGGTTTCTCCGATCAGCCCCACCATACACCGACGCCTTTTCATGTACAATCATGCACTCCAAGCTTCTCTCCGGATTCATGGCCTGCATTGCATGATTAGCTGCGACTCCGCAATTGGCGATTCGTTCTCGTTATCAACCGCAATCTTTTACGGCATCAGTGGAGAAGACTCTCCCGGCAGGCGAGATCGGCCCCCCCACATCGTTCGGACTGGGCCACGGAGAAAGACGGCAAGGGCGCGTTGTCAAGGAGAGAAAAGATTATTGCTATTCATATAGTGGCTGTTGCTGGCGAATTCGGCCCACGTTTGTCTGTATTGGGCCCGCAGTTGGAGTAGTCATCGTATACTCCGAATCAAGTTTGATTAGCGGAGCAGCTAATAGAGAGGTATCCCGTCTCGCGGATCCATCTGGGGCTTTTATAAAATGTTGAGTGCCGCTTGAAATTCAAACCCCTGTATGAACCATCCGTACCCTTATTCAGCAGCTTTACGAGAATTTCAAAGCAGCATCTGACAATATGGGCAGCGTCTCTAGGGAAGTTGACGAATGGACCGAGGAGCCCAATCTCCATCCGAAGAGGCGACCAATCTCAGCTGCTCAACGGGGAGTGGCAGCAACGAGCAGCAGCGAGCAGTTCAAGACCAAGAGTTGCAAGCACAAACCAGAGGCCAGAAGATGGCATCGTAAGTTTTGCCTGAGAACAAACCGTTTCAAAACAATATTGTATTCAGCTGACCTCCCTTTCTTCTATAGCATACATGAGCACAGAGTCGACTAGTCGAACGGGATCAACACTCAAAAATGCTGCGAAACATCTCTCGAATCCAGAAGTCATCTCATTAGGTGGTGGAATTCCTCTGAGTGACTATTTCCCCTTCGAGGAAGTTATCCTGAGACCATCTTCCCTCGACAATCTCAATGACGGGGAGAAGACGTCCTCCCAGACAACACTGCATGCTACCAAGCACGACATTGCCGATGGGACTAGTGAATACGATCTCTCCGTTGCTTTGAATTATTGTCAAGGCTCTGGATCGGCCCAATTTATGCGATGGATTGTAGAGCACACAGAAATACTCCACGATCCACCTTACGCTGACTGGCAATGTTCCATGACCGTTGGCAACACCTCAGCATTCGACATGTGCTTGAGAATGCTGACAAAGCCCGGCGATTGTGTCTTAGCTGACAAGTATACATATTCATCCGCAGTAGAGACCGCCATGCCACTGGGCGTCAAATTCATCGGGGTCGATATGGACCGCGAAGGCATGCTTCCTGACAGTCTTGATGAGATACTCGAAACGTGGAACCCAGAGAAACACAACAACGCACGAAAGCCTTCAGTTTTATATGCAATCCCGACCGGCCAGAACCCTACGGGCACCACTCAAAGCTTCCAACGCCGCAAGGCAATCTACAAAGTAGCCCAGAAGCACAACTTGATCATTCTGGAGGATGACCCGTATTACTTTCTGCAAATGGATGAGTATGTCGATGGTGCTAGTGCTTCTGAGATTCATTCACCAGTCGAGTTCCTCAAGAAGCTTGTCCCTTCCTATCTCCGCCTAGATGTTGACGGACGAGTCATGCGCATGGATTCTTTTAGCAAGGTCATCATCCCAGGGGCTCGTTTGGGCTGGATTACAGCCCCTGAGCAGCTCATTGAGCGATACAAGCGTCACAGCGATGTTTCAACTCAAAGCCCTGCCGGCCTGAGCCAGTTGATGTTTTTCAAACTCCTGGATGAGCATTGGGGACACGAAGGTTACACAAGGTGGCTGATGCACTTGCGCAAACAGTACACTATGAGAAGAGACTTCATCGTGTCTGCCTGTGAGCGCTACTTACCGAAACACATTGTTAGCTGGGAGCCAACCAATGCAGGCATGTTTGTAAGTGAAATCCCCGGTCTACCTTTTTTACGACCCGTGGCTTACCACCATCCCGCAGCAATGGCTCAAGGTAGATTGGGAGCAGCATCCCGATGCCAAGGACAAGACAGCGGAACTTATTGAAGAGGAAATCTGGCTAGAAAGCATTTCAACCGGAGCATTGCTTGGTTGCGGCACCTGGTTCCGCGCATCAAAGGATGTGCCTTGTAACGAAGTATTCTATCGAACTACTTTTGCAGCAGCCCCGCTGCCCAAGATTGAGGAAGCTGTCAAGCGCTTTGGCGAAACAATACGCAAGGTGTTTGAGCCCAAAGAGGAGAATTGAAGAACAACTGAAGGCCCCGTGCGAGCGAGACACTCAACTCGACTTGACTAGCAGAGCCACAGTCTGTGTACTAGCAAACTATTTTACGTTTGGAACTTGTCAACGAGGTGCTACAGTACATGCTACGTATAATTTGGCGAAAATAGACTATTTTGATACCAACATTCAGCATCTTCCATGTGACGTGCAACAGACTCGACCGTGCAATACAGACAGCAACAGCTACTGACGCTTTTTCATACCAATATGCGTCAGCATGGATAATTTTGCCAGGCATGAGTCCTCATTGTTAGCATGGGCGATGCTGTGTTCTAGAAGATGTTGAGTCTAACATTCTTCGCAATCATCTTCGTTGGGGATGCTGTATTTGACGAAGCCGATCGTATCCCATGCAGCTAACGCGAACAAAGCCAGAACCAATACTTTTCTGAGGTTTATTCGACGGATCATTTTTGTTCTAGAACAAATAATACGGCTGCCATCTGACCGGCGATATTTCATTACAGCCTGTATGCAGCTCAAGAGATTCCGTCACAGGAATGACATGGATCGGCCATCTACATTTGCGGAAGATGCTTCACAGTGTGTCCTCTGAGGAGTTGCCAAGGGCGTGAGCAGGGATCCAAGTACCGCTTAATCAATCGTCCGAGTTCGTTTTCAAATCGCCAAAATTGCATTACCAATTCTTACAAACGGATAGATAGTTGCAACGCAGTCGCGCACCATGTTTGGCTGGTGACAGGCCGAGCAATAGGCTATCCGGAATGTGGTCCAACGCTAACCGCGATGACACTCAGTATACTCTTGAGCATACTCACATCAAAATGGCACCGGAATGACGCTAACATATTGACTTTTCGGCTCCGATGAACTCATAATGAGGGGAACAGATGCATCATACTCTGTCTATATAAGTCATCGTCTACTCTCATTGCTGCGTCCTTTGGCGAATAGTCTCAGCGGAGATTGAATCACTCTTACTAACGTGTCAGAATGGCTTCCAAAATGCCGAGCACAAGCTCTCCGGGTCTCGGAACCAGCTCTTACCGCCGAAGTACACTCCCACTCTCCCTCATTCGGCACGGCGGCGGCCTCGTCGGGTGTGGCATGCTCTTTGGCTTCCTCGTCCCTTTGGTTCCCTACCCACGCCTGGGTCTTACAGCACACATTCAGTTTGGCGTTCAGGGCTGCATGGTGCTCGTCGCAGGCTTGGTACTCCAGTCTGATCCTCTGGGGAGTTCCCGCAGCCAAGATGCGGAGACGGAGACTTCTGGACAAAGATGCCAATTGGCCGACAGACTGAGCTGGTGGCAAGAGCAAGCAATATACTGGGGCTGCACAACGATCTGGGCCACGATGATTGCTGAAGTAGGAAATGCCTGGTGGGGAACCAGAGGGACGTTGCCGATTGCACACCAGGCCGCGGGCTTACTTGGTGGTCCTGAGGCTGCAAGGTGGATGGAGATGTTTATGGCTGCTACGCATTTCCCACTTGCTCTCCCATTGGCCTCGGTGGTGAGTTGGATTCCTTATTCTCTGAGGTGAAGGGCCTGTTACTTTGCGAGACGGCCACTGACATGATCTACCCTCTTAGTGGCCCATCATTTTATCGAAGCTATGGTGATTGCATTTTATACGTGGGCTTTTGGGAATCCCTCATCGCCAAATAACCGCTTTCATTGGAACAATGGCGAATGGAAGCAGCTGGAAAAGCGCGATATTGGCTGACTTTTCGCTCACCATTAATCCAGAGCGAAAAGAATTCCTGTGCCCGCTGGCTTTCGTTCAGTAAAACTACCTAACATTTAACAGCCAATGGCGACATTGCAAAATTCACTGCATTTTATTAAACATTATTCATAACAGAAAATGGCTGTATTCTAGGAATGAAACAGAGCTGTGGTTGCGTCCAGAAACAATGTAATGTCCCCACGATGCTTTGCGCTTCGGACAGGCTAAAGACATATTATTTTGATCTACCAAACGACATGTACAAACTTGAGAATAGAAGTCTACTCTGAATATTCATCAGCTTCAGTGTCTCCCGCAAAAGCATACTGGATCATTTCTCGCTGCCACTCCAACCGCCGCCGACTTTCCTGTCCTACTCTGTCGTCAGCAAGTAACAGGGAAACAATGTCCTCGTGTTGCCGGTTTGCAGCACGAAAGAGGGGGACTTCGTTAGAATCATCCCTTCTGTCGGGATCAGTATCCGGGTGTTCAAGTAGGATCTCTACTATTTCCGGGTTGCCCTCTTCAGCTGCGATGCCGATAGGGGATGCACTACCGGCTGGCGCAAGATTAACATCGATATCGGGGTGCGCAACAAGAAGTTCGACGATTTCAGGTCGATTGGCAACAATGGCAGCGATGAGCGGCGTCACGGGGGTATTGGGGGGAATAAGATTAACGTCAACCCTTCCGGTATGGAGCAGAAGCTTGACGACCTCTGCGCTTCGACCCCAATCCGCCGCAATGAAGAGCGGCGACCGGCCTGTAGTGGTTCGATGATCTGGGTCGACAGAATCCATGGCGAGAAGACGCTCAACTATTCCATCTTCTCCCTCCGCAACAGCGAAGACCAGCGCCGTCCATCCTCCTATATTCTCAGCATTGACTTGAACATCTTCATGCGTTAGAAGCAAGTGGGCCAATTGTCTTTGACCATATTGGATCGCAGTGTGCAGGGGCCCCTCTTTGAATCTGTTTCCCCAATTCCAGTCAACATCTGGAAGGGTAAGAAGATGGCGCACAATGTTGATAGATCCACGCTTTGCCGCCAGCCACAGGGGAGTGACCCGTCCGTTTTCGTTGTGTGGAAGCATATAATTGACCGATACCCCATATTCAAGAAACTTCTTAAACATATCAACACAGTCATAAAACACAGCCCGTTCGAATCCGGAACAATCGTCATGCTTAATGTTCCACTCATAGAGAATTGGATTCCCCAATTGATACAGAGATCGGGATGCTTGAGAAAGCGACGATAGGGTCCTGAGATTACCCTGACAGGCCAATTCTTGCATGATTTTGGTGCAAAGCTCGACAGGTAGATCGTGGAACGACATTTTGAGAGATTGTGGTTGGAATGGTGAGTGAAAACGAAGATGTGTGTTTGATCTGCTTTTCTCTCTCTCTCTTCTCTACTCATGGGGACTGTGTCCGTGATTTATACAAGTGCATTTGCGAGGCGTATGTCCTGCTTCTATCCTGCTGGCTGTGGATTGAAGATCAAATAATGGACAATGTCCAAATGTCGACAAAAGGACGCGTCATTAATGAACATTGGAGGAAGGAACCCTTCAGCACAAGTTTAGGTTCGCAGCGATTCATTTCAGAGTCTCAACGACATGCCTGTATGCGCGCGAAGAACGTAATTTATACAAAGATACTTGCGTTGATGCTACATTTAGTGGGTGCGACACGCAGCTTGATGGGCTTCCGAGGACAGCGTATTGAACACTTGGATTGATGTCATCTTGAACGTACAGACGGTGGAACAAAAGATGAACGAGGATTAGTTCAACAACAAGACAAATGGAACATACTGGAAATCATCTACAAAACGGACAATTGGAAAATAAAGCAAACATGGAACACTTCAAGACGGCCACGACCATTTCTGGACACGATGTTGTTTTCGGAGCAGGAAAATTTTCGCAGGGCTGGAAATGTGTCGTGAGCACTAAAACACTTCTTCATTTTGGGATTTGTCCCCATTCAAAATCTTCAGCAAAGTCAACAGAACCCTCGCGATTGTATCGTTTCCATCAAGGAATATTTTTGAAATGTTCATCAAATCGATCGCGTAAGTTTTTAGCCGCTCTGAAGGAAGCAGGCGGCATGCCATGGGAAGTGGATAACCACTTCAACAAGCGGTTCCATGGTCTAACGGTTATGACTGCGGATTCTGATTCCGCCAGCGAGGGTTCGACTCCCTCTGGAACCTTTTTTTGTCGATGCATGCTGCTCTTTCTGTGTATCGTTTTTCAACGAGGATGGTAATAATAAATGAACAAACAAGGGGTGGATTTTTTTTAAAAAAATTTTTTTTTTTTTTTTTTTTGGAATCCTGTGCGCGGTGTTGGTGTCAAAGCCGAAAGCATCAAAGTCGTCGCATCACATCCAAGCTCTCTAAAAACCCATTATACTCTGGGACCGCCCACGGTTGGTCCAATTGTTGCGTCACATGCATTGCCGGTAGACGGTTCCGAGTCTCCGTGACTCTGGACGTACTGATGAACACCAGATCAATATCACAGTTGGCTGCGGCGTTTCCCGCCAGTGCGATAATTGCGTCTTCGGTCACCAGCGGTGGACCGGTGTACGGTTGGTCTGTACGGATGATTCCTTTTGTCCCAGCGTCCAGACTTGCACTGACGCGTCGGCGTACTCGAAAACCTTGCAGCTGTCTATCAACGAGGTTGTGTTATCGTTTCCTTTCGTGTCAACGATTCGTAATTTCTTCACTGCTGCTGCGGCTATCACGCTCAGGGCAGTCATGATGTGAAAACCCATTCAAAACCATTCAGCTTGGAACACGAATAATGGACATGATTCGTGTTAATTTTATGAATAGAACTGATCTATACCACCCAGCTCATTCATTTCCACCCTAAAGAAACCGTATGAACATAGAGAGGCTACAGACGAAGATGGTTCAGATTATTGCGAGTAATTCCTTCGACTACCGTATCCACGGGGGTTCAAGTGCGAGTCTACAATCCATTACCTATCTACGGGATGTTATATATTCACCAAGAAATACAGGGACAATGTAATTCAGTCACCCAACATGACTTCCTTTTAATCCAGCTACATCAGAAGCGGCAATGCCACGCAGTTCACGGTTGGATGGTAATTTGCCTCAGCAGCTTCTGCGTTTCTGCCAACGCTGCCATGGCCAAAGTCCAAACTTTTCCAGCAAGATTTGCAGTAGTTTACATGCTCATTGAGAAGGGCGGTAATCACGACGACGGTTATATCATGCGCGTCATGTTTCAGAAATTTCCATCACCGGAAGCCAAAGCTGTTCATCAGTTTGCATAGTCCTCCGCTGTTAATGTTTCTAGCTTTATTCCCTCGTCAGATTTAGAAACGACGAGCGGAGAGAGCGTGTTGCTACAACGGCAAGGGCAATTGTTCAAGCCAAGTTGGACCGCAAGATAAATTCAGCCATAAGCTGGTGTAGATGAGATGCTGTACGAACTGTCGCGTATTACAGCAGACAGCAGTTCGCACAAGCCATCTGTACGTGTCCATCATCTTGTCGGATTTCTGCAGCTCCTCGAACGCGTCTTCGGGTTGTCGAATGCATGTATACTCCCGACAACCGCGAATACCGGTTCCCAGCAAGGAAGTGCTCCGACACAATGTCTCACGGAAGCCGACAGCTTGTCATTCGCATCTCCTGGATCTCTGGGAAATATCCGTCGGATCTCGACCGAGTTTTTGTGACCCTAGCGAGACCTGCAGGTCTATCGAGCTGCCGCAAGGTCCACATGATCCGATCGAAGAAGACATTCCGAGTCTGGCGGCTCGATACGTGACGGATCTCGTTCGAAGGCGGTGTTCGGCGTTGACGGAGATGAACCTGCTTACGAGTCAGCGCGTCAGTAGTTTATTCTGTTTGGAGCCGTCGTCTCCACTAACCTTGGACAGTTGGATCTGGCGCCATTACGGGCCGGATCGAAGATCGTAGATGGACCGGCCGGCAGATACGACGCGTGTGCCGGGGTGGATTTTGCTCCTCGACGCGGTGCGTCTTCGTCTTACCCAAGCCAGAGGCACGACGCCTCTCGAGAGCTCGTTTAGATGGCGTCTCTTGGAAATTTGTGCATGTTGAGCATAAATATTACTACGCGGCTGTGCAAGATATTACTAAGACTAGGGAGTTGTGCATGTTTGCTTTTGATGGGATTACGTTTCATGTTTGCACCATCTCAGCCCACGATGCAACGGGTGCTCTGAACAAGCTGAAGAAGTGTCTTTACAACTTGAAATACCTGAAAATAATATTGTAAAGCGGAAGGTCATGTGGGATTCCACGTAATAATCCAATATCACCAGGCGGAACAGGAAACGATTTGCGTAATATTCGATTCTTATCGTCAGTCACATAGCAAATAATATTGAGCCTCATTTAATATTACCTTACCAAGCTAGGCCAAGTGCCAGCCGCTTTACTCATTTCAGCTCTCAGTATTTAATGACAGTCTCGCCCTGCTTAAGGCGTTCTCTACTTCTTTCAACTCCTCTTCAGCTCGGCTGGCCCCCAAGTTTTGCAGCTACCTTTCTCCTTGCTCAACTCTCTGGGTGGGAAAATATCACTTTACAGAAGGTGTAAAGGCATTACAGCAACATTAACTACCTGTTTCTCTAGTGATTGTTATCAGCTGAAGCCGTCTTCCGTCCCTGTAAGTCATCATTGTCAGATATTGGGAACCAAGCATGTTCCAAATCACAGTTTCACTCTGCTAACAGTTCCGTTCCATCTCAGATCCAGGTCTAAGCTAATCAGATTTTGATCACTTGGCACCTGGCACTTGGCACTGCAATTTCTCCTACCACATATGCCCACTGAGTCTCAAAAATCGACCCCCCCACCCCTAGGTCAGCCTGCATTTTCCTCCCCATTTTCCTCCCGCACTCGATTCACTACGCTGCCAAACCATGCACTCCTGCTAAAATGTTTTCCGTTTGGCACTCCTAGAAACCTATTCAATCTCCGTCAACCGAGCAAGCCATGCCACGAAAGGCAGCGGCAAGAAGATCGAGTAAATCAAGGACAAGATCCAGACGCACACCATCACGCATCTACGGCTCGTCACACGAGGACCAAGTAGGCCGCCCGATGGTCCGATTTCTCTTGAATGCATATTCTGCAGAGCAGATCAACCGGATGTTTGACGAAGAATCCCGCTATCCATCACAGTCGTCGCAGTCTCCTGCAGGTAAGTACCTCATAATCTGTGCCGCAGAGAGCCTTCTCTCACGTAGCATCTTGGAAGATTCACGTTGTGAAAGTGACGCAGCTAATTATTCCCAACAGAAGAAGAAGAAGACGACCAAATTTCGATGCTCCCCGAGCCTGAGCCAAAGGACGTGCTCTCTGACCCAGTTTCTGAGAGTTTGATTTCGCCTTCGTCTTCAAGTGCCTCTGGCTGCGGGATCGCCAAATCCAAAATGGCTGAGATTCCAGCCTCCAATACTGCTCAGCAGACAAAAAAACAAGCAATCACTACGGCGCGTGCAGCCATGATATCCAAAGGTCATATGATCCGCGCTATCGCGAACGCTATTCAAGAAGAACGTCCAATGCCAGCTACTGCCCCAATGCTTGGAGCATCATCAGTTGGCACTGGTTATATGGATATCACTCACGGCGGCTACCAGCAGCCCTTGATTTACCAGGGAGCGATGCAACACATTGTCAATCCGATGCAACCTCAACAGCAGCAATATAACACCGCACTCTGGTCAGACCCGATGCAATGGGTCAACTTTGATGGCGAGGACAACAAGCGTTTGATGTAGTACATGAAACCTGAGATGAGCCATTGTTCACGGTATTCGGCGGCAGCTGTTGTTGTGGTTATTGATCCTATTCGTATACTTCGACTTCAGCCTCTACTTCCTCCTCTCGTTTCCCTGATTCTACTGCTTGAGTTACTCAAACTTCTACTTATTCGTTTTCTTCCCCTCCTGCTTCTGCGTTTTCTTATACTCCTTATTCGACGTTTTCTATTTGCTCTTCTTCTATCCGTTCTGGCTGTTCTCTTGCCTCTTTCTCTGTCTTTACTTTTGATTCTGTTTTGGCTGCTGTCGAATTATCTTCTTCACTGCCTGCTTTATCTTCTTCTCCGATGTGGATTCTGAAATGTTGCGTGGTATATTTTCTTCTCGGATGTGGAATCCGAAGTGTTGCGTGGTATATTATCGTGAGGCTATCGATCAATATCTGGATTAACGGTATGTGATGTTGAAGGCATACATCTATTTCTAGATTAACGGTATATTGTCATGAGGATATCAATCTGTATCTAGATTAACCAATTTGATACTTTGCTTTTTCGCTCAGCAACGGAGGGTCGATGCTCATCTTGATATTTAGTGAATGATCCCTATATCAATTCCTCCACGTTGCTTTCTCCCACGGGCTGTCCGACTCCAACCTTCGAATCAATTCTACGCAATTCTCATTTCGTGAAGCGATGCTGTAAGGGAAATCTTGAGGATGGTCAATCAAGCCTGGTGTGTGCTTGAGCGCTGCCTCAATCGGCTTCCCCTCCGCATCCACCGCATGGGCAATCTTGAACACTGCTAGAGTCTGCGATATGGTGTGAAGAGATTCTTCTGTGCGAAGAAACGACCAGGGCAGATTCTTCGTCCATAGCCAAAAATGCCTGAGGGATTCGGCTCGTTTCGGGGCGCCAGGTAACGATCGGGGTCGAAAGCCATAGGTTCGCGTAGGTCTTGGGGTCATGCAAGAACTACCAGTTGGCCGCAACGGTATATGAACCTTTTGGAATGCGGTAGCCTCGGAAAATGATTTCTTCGTCGCTCTTATAGGCGGTGTTCACCGGCGCAACTGTAAACCAACGGAGCATCTTCATGAAAGCGTTAATGTAAGGTAAGTTGGGTCGATCTTCGTAAGTTGGGAGACGGTCAGTACGAACAACTCGGTCGAGTTCCTCTTGAGCCTTTTCCTAGGCTTCTGGATGATGGATCATAGCCAATACAAATGCTATGATGGCCGCAATGGTAAATAACATCTGAGCAGTTCGGATAATTGAAAAAATTGAAGCTAGCGACCAACAGGGTAGGGGAGTGTGATGGGATGTAGAAAGATGTAAAATGAGCTTGAGCTCCGTCAACTTCTCTGATGTTACGGAAAGTGATATTCGGATGCAGGTAGCAGGTTTAGCTGAAGATTCTTGTGTGCAAATTGTAACAGTATTGAAGCTATCGCCATTAACCTAGGTATGAATACATTTTGAGCCCACATCCGAGGCTTCGCTCCCATAGCAGCAAGAAAAACCAATCAGCAACAATTCCAGAATCCAATCTTCAATTGTCAATGCGCCGCGCAATCGTGGATATATAAGTAAAAACAGAAAGCCAAATACAGTATGCTCCGTAGAAGAATAGTGGTAAAAAAAAAAAGCTGCGGGGCCAGGGTATCGCCTACTGCCGTCTCATCCACTCTATGATCGAGAGCACTGTCATCATGACCATGGCATCGAAATCGCGCCCCCTGTCAACATTAATCTGTAGCCATCCTGTTTTGTCGAATGTAAATATGGCGACAACCTCGCCTCGCTCGTCAATGAGCTTTCTATTTCGCAGCCTTGAGTGGTGTAGCTTTTTGCCGTCGACGCCCACATGGTGGGTGCGTTTCCAGATGAACTCTTCGCGCTGGCCTTGGCCCGTCTGGCAAATTGTGCCATCGCTTGCGAAGGAGACGGAGATTCTGCGTTCACAGCCGCCTATCTTGGGCTTGATGAAGTCTTCCCAGACCATGGTCTCGGGGTCTGCGGGATCGCCGAATCCAATCTTGAAATGCCGTGAGAACTTTGGCATGTGGCACACGACTAGGACAGGTGCGGTCTTGTCGGGGCCGTCGAGTAATGCGAGATCTGGAGTGCCGCCCCGGGGAAACGGCGAGTTCTTGACCTTGTAGAGGATCTCCTCGCCTTCTGGGATTATTGAATAATCGTACTTGAAGACGGGCTTCGTGATTTGAAATACCCGCGACATTTTTTCTTTCTTTTTCTTGGGGGATCACGTAACTTGGTATTTGATGAGGTGAGTTGCCGTGAGCGCCATTGGGACGCCGAGCCGAATTTGAGGCCGGCTGTTCCTTTTGTATGCCATGCTGTCGCTGAGGCTGAACATGCCATTCGTTTCACGATAGCTTGGGCAGGCATCTTGAGCAGCTTGGGCTGGCTAGTGACCGACAGATTGAGCCACAGCGCCACCCGGATTTCTCGTACTCATCGCATTGCTCGCTAGTCTCAAGTCATTCAGTGGATTCGGTGCACCCATGCGGTTACGGCAGCGAGCTAGGAAGATTAGTGCGAGGCAGTTGGTTTGATTAGCTGGGGGAGGGCTGACCTGTGCCATGCGGGATTCGTCCCTGGACCGCTAGGGAATACTACTCGTAAATGTTCCGATTATTTGCAAGGAGCTTCTTTGGAGGGAGCACTGCTGTGTTGGAGCTATGGCGTGCCGAACCGAGTTGTTCTGTGGATGAAACAACCGTTGAGGCCAGGGAAGATGTGAGACTGCGATTATGGACCACCTGGGCCATTTTGGTACGGTATCGTAGTGGATGGACACCAACCTGATCGAGAGCATCAACAAATGGACGAAATTGGTAAAGTCGAGGGATTTTGGGATTACAATGTGACAAAGGCAGCGCATTCACACATCAATTTTCACAGCAAAGCAATGAACAGCTACTATAGTGGTAACACCTTCTGTTGTTCACAAGTTGACTTGCGCCCATCATGAACAGCTTCGTGTAATGTCCAGTTCCAAGTCACATCTTCAAGTCTTACTAGGACTCGTTCAGGCCAAAACATGACCAACGAAACCACATATCTTCGCCTTCTGAAATCAAAGTGCTTCTCTCTACCAAACGTGATGCCTTACTCCGTACATGACGCACGCTCCCAACGCGTCAAAATGGCCATTTGTCCGTAATAAACCGTGACGCGAGTCTCTCCCCCTCCGTCCAAAACTTGATGCCTCATCCCGGAGCTGCAGCTTCGCCGCCTTCCGGGCCATTCTGCCGGCCCACTGCGCTCACCGCTCTTTGGCTACTATTTATTCTTCGCGCGCCCCCGAGAAAGCGAAGCTTTTCCTTTTCTCTTTTCTTCTTTAGCTCTCTTTGCCTTTTGGCTTAGATCAAGTGTAGTATCTGTTCTTTTCAGTTTAATCTCTGAAAGGTCTCTAAGGAGACCAATCGTGATTATTCTTATTTTTGTCCTCGGAGCGGCTTCCTCTGTGCTTGCGCATGATTCTGCTCACAGTGTCCCTGGTATTACACTGCCTCCAGGCGACGCGACCTTTTCATTGCTTGCTTGGGCTTGCCCGAGCAGTGAAGAAGAGAATTCACACAGCCAGTAGAGTGAGGGGAAAAGTTCGGTCGGTGTTGAGTAGGAGAAAAGCAGAAAAGCCTTGGTGTTTTTGCCGTGGTGATGCTGTAGCAAAATGTGTGCGATGGTGGGAGAATTGCTGAACAGGAGGTTTTCACAACACTGTTGATTTTTGCGCACGCGATAATGATGCTGGCTTCTTCTATTCTACTCCCATCAACCGCTACAGTGTACATCTTTTCAGTATGTAGAAGTCGTGATACTCAACCGCCCTCCGTCTGCCAGCAGCACGCTTCCATCCACGTATCCTCCGGCTTTGCTTGTCAAAAACAGCATCGCTCCCCCAAATTCCTCTTCCGTGCCCATCCTCGCCAATGGAACAAACGACCCCGGCAAGCTGCCCTCCTCTCGAACCTCCTTCTCCGAAGCTTTGATATCTCGTTCCGTCATTTCGCTCGGATACAGCCCTGGCGCGATGGAGTTGACTCTGATCTTGTGTGGCGCCAGCAGTGTTGCGAGCTGCTTGGCAAGCTGTCCTGCTGCCGCTTTGCTGCTGCCGTAGGCAAATCCGGCTTTGGGGAGACGCGCATAGGTTGCAACAGAAGTTGTGACGATGACCTGTGATTTTTGGGCAACCACCGCTTTCTTGTTTCCCTCGTCGAGGAGATCCAAGAACGCGAGGACAGTGTAGAGGACAGCCGTGACGTTTACGTGAAAAGACTGTGTAAATTCCTCCATGCTGTATTCCCAAAGACCCTCTTGAATGGCCTTGATATCAAGATTACTGGCGTTTCTAATAATGTCCGAATTATCAGCCGTGATGACTCCGCTGTTGGCGAAGACGATATCGCAGTATCCCACTTCTCCGCGAACTCGATCAGCGGCTGCTTTCAACGAGTCCTTTGAGGTGACATCGCAGACAACAGGCTTGATGGCCTCCGGCTTTGGACATGTATCTCTTGTGGCGGCCAAGGCCTCCTCTCGTCGCCCGAGGACATAGACTGCCTTGGCTCCGTTGGCGGCGAGGGCGTGGGCTGTGATTCTGCCTAATCCAGAGCCTCCGCCGGTGATGACAGCAACGAGGCCGTCGACTCTGAAAAGAGACTCAACGCTATAGGGATTCGGATTCGAAGTCATGTCTTGTTTTTGAATTGGCATTTGTTGGAAATCTTGTGAGAAATTCTGGATGGATTTGCTACGCTGTGGGAATTACTACTCTACGCTTCCATCAGTTCTCGTTGGAGATGGAGAGCCTGCGCGAAACGGCCCACTTGGAAGAGATGACAGACATGGATCTGCCTCTGAATATTACGCTCAACTGTGAGAAGACATGCACATAGACAACCTAGTGGAGATGATTTCGATTTTCCAGTAATAGCGTAGACCCCAAATTGTCGACGGTGCTGACGACCAAACCAGTGAACCAAATTCACCAAAACTCGAGGTTCCAGTTGCGGTCCAATTCGCTTAGGGGCTAACAGTGAAGCGAAGCGCTGAGCTGAGTCTACCGAAGGGCTGTTTCAGCGCAGCTAGGCATCACGGCTGGCTGTTGTGGTTGATTCTCAGTGGACGCTGGGCGCTGAGACGGGTCGCTACGAGACACTATCGGCTTCAGCTAAGCGAGGGATGATAGCCCGTACAAGACTAGACGAGTACCTGACCTGAGCAAAATCTACATCACCATGCAACTACATGTCCAGCACTGGAATCCATCGAAATTGTGTTGATGTTTCACCATCCAGCTCTGCATTTCAGGTCCCCGTATCGACGCTGCCGTATCTGGAACCGGCCCCTCGACACATCATTTCAACCCATTCCAATTGCCTCGGCCAGCATGTCATGCATGAACAGCACTGCAAAAAACGCACAATCTATGGCGTGTCGCCCCTTGCTTGATAGGATAGCAACCGTCGATTCGATCTAGTCTGGCTATGGGGCGTCGAATTGGACGTGGGATCCTCCCATTGGTGGCTGATATGGCTGGCCAAGGGGCCTAAACGGACATAATCACATGTGAAACTCGATGGGCACCAAGTTGGAAGTCAATATTGGCCGTGTTATGGATGGCTGCACATGATTTTTGCTCTCTAATAATCGGCATAATTCTCCCTGCAGCGTCCAATATGACCGGTCCCAAGCGATGTGCTATCTAGACATGTCGACATCTCGCAATTTGCATTGTCCAACCAGTTGAATTGGCCTGCCACACCTCCTCAATCGCAACCACAATGGCGACAGACGCTGTCGCGGCCTCTAAGCAGGCTCAGCACAAACAAGGACCGACGCTTCTTCCGTCGCCCGTTGCTCAAGCCGTCAGCCTTGCTGCTCGATCTACGTCGCTCGCTATACGCATTGGGTCGGTGGTTAGCAATGCAAGTCTCGATGCTGCGAGACTCACTACTCTGGGTGGCCTTGAGCTGGCCCGGGGGTTGATTGAAGGCGTAATAAGCCGGGCTGCCAAAGATACTCTCGAACAATCACGAACCGAGCTAGCCGTTCAAGATGCAGAGACGGTCCTAGAGCGCAGCCTTGAAAATCTACATTACGCTGTCACCCAGGCTGTATTTTGGACATCCGTCAGCTTCCGACTCACAGGCACAACGATTTCCACGGCTTCCGCGGGATCGCAGCTTCTTCTGTCGTCGTTGGACCAACTTTTCGGCTCGACAGACTCTTCTCGAGCCGTTGCCAGCATTGTCACCCTTATTCGACGTGAATTTGAAAATCCTGCTACAGGTCTCCAAGGAGAACGGGTTGGCGTCATTGATCTGACTCTTGCACTCAGCACGCTCGCCTATCTACAACGAGCATGCCGCAAGACCGCTCAAGAAGAACGCCGGAGACAGTCATACGAAGAAGTCATTTGGGATGTTGTTGTCCTGGAAGATGGCGACAGGGTTGATGTTGATGAAAAGGTGTTTAGCGAGATCCGTGGAGGCTACAGCACCCAAGACAAAGACGACGTTCCATCCTCACCTTCTAGTAGTCCCTGGACTGGAGCGGAAGATGATGAAGCTGTAGTGTCTCGTCTCAAAAGCCAGATCTTAGCCTCTCTGACTCCAGGTACAACAGTATCTGTCTCCAATTCGGTGTCTTCGGTCCAGACAATTACTGTTGACGTTCATGGATCTCGGCTCCTTTCCCTGCCAACGCCTCCGGGCGCAGAAATAGTCGAAACAAAATCTCTTACCTCGGGGAGTCACGTATCATACTCATTATCTGATCAACAAGATCAATCTTCTTCTGCATCCTACCGAGTGGTGTACAAGATACACCGCAACAAGAAGGGGACGTCATCTTTCCGCGGCGAGGAAGACTCCAAAGACGAGGCTATCGAAATAATAACAGACAACCAAAGTTGCAGCAGCGACGAAACTCTCGCTCCGGGAACACCTACAATAACCATCCCTGAAGGCCCATCCCCTCCCGCATCACCCACAATGCTGCCCTCTTCTACTTTTGCGCTACAACCGAGACCATCTTCATCGGCTGAGACAAGAAGACGCCACAAAACGCAATCGCATGATTTCTCAAAGCCAACAAAATCGAGCTCTCGCAAACATAATGCCGACTCTGCCAAGGCTGTTTCTTCTCGATCCGCAATCCCTTCAAGAGAGCCGATATATCTCGAGGACTTGGAGGCCATGGCAAACCAAAAGAAGCAACGCACACCAGCCCACAACTCAAAATCGCAAGATTCACATAGAAAGACGCAGACCGGAAGAAAGTCAGAAGCGGCGGCATCATCCAGGTCGTCGGATAAAAGAACAGGCTTGAGGCATGTTCTTCGAGGGAGCGGCCCGTCCATCTCAACTATCTGGACTAAGGAGTCGGGTCCGATGGACTATATAAGTGTCCAGGAGAAACCAAAGCTTCACATCAAACCTCCTCATAGAGATGCGGCGAAAGAATTGCGGGCGGGATCCCCAACCAGCGATTTAGTACCAAGATCACCCACTGAACATCACAGCGTCTACCTTGCACCACCAGGCCATCGACGAAATCGGTCGTATGCCACCAGCATCTATAGCGTGGGCACCAACGACTCACAGTCATCCTTGTTGTTGTCCTCGTATTACCAAAAGAGTGCTTATAATACAGCTGACGCTCTTCATGCTCTTCGACAAGAAGGCTTCGTTGATGGAACCTTTCCCGAGGGCCACCTCCTCCCCAACATTACTCGATATATGCGATTCTCATCTGCGTGTTATGGTTCAAACTTCCTCAGACTTACTGGCGTGACGAACGAGACACCAAAGCTTGGCGTCTGGGACGGAGTACACCATGATGTACGGCATTTCGCTCATCACACGGAATCACAATCTGACAATATTCTTCTTGCTTCATTTGTTGATCCCAACGGAGGCAGCGATGCCACTGGTGCCACCGGTTCTGGTGTCCCTTTGGTCCATTACATCTCGCTCGACCACGCAGCCAAGGCAGTCGTCCTTGCTTGTAGAGGGACATTAGGATTCGAAGACGTCCTGGCTGATCTAACCTGCGACTATGATAGGCTCGTATGGAGGGGCAAAGGCTACAGAGTGCACAAGGGCATCCATGCTTCCGCCAGGAGACTGCTGTACGGTGGCGACGGTCGCGTTCTGTTGACGCTCAAAGAGGCCCTACGCGAGTTCCCCGATTATGGACTTGTCCTATGCGGGCATTCACTGGGAGCTGGCGTCACATCTTTGCTGGGAATCATGCTTTCTGAGCCTAATCCAATTGGTCCTGGCTTTGTCACTTCTGCTGAACCGTATACACTCAGACCTCCGCCAAACGAAGCTCTTGTCAATGTGAAGCTGAGCGACATCCGGCCTCCATCCGGCCGCCGCATACATGTATATGCGTATGGCCCTCCCGCCGTCATGTCATCGTCTCTTCGCAAAATCACCCGGGGCCTCATAACCACGGTCGTACATGGCAATGACTTGGTACCTCATCTGTCATTGGGTTTGCTGCACGACTTCCAAGGAGTCTCTTTGGCGTTCAAGCATGACGAGAACAATACCAAGTCCGAAATTCGTCAGCGAATCTGGAATACCCTCCAAGACAATGTCTCAGAGAGATGGTACTCTTATCGCAGCGCGAGCAAAGTTGCCAGTAGCGGCGGCGTCAGCGACGAGGAGAGGTGGATGCTTCCCGCACTGGAAAACATGAGGACGAACATGAAGGGGAAGAAGCTTCTTCCACCGGGCGAGGTGTTTACCCTTGAGACGCAGCGAGTGCTTAGGAGGGATGCGTTCCTACTCTTGGACGAGGAGCATATCGGGCGGCCTGCGCAGAGGATTGTGCTGAAATATGTCAAGGATGTGGAGGGTCGGTTTGGAGAGCTGCGGTTTGGGACGAGCATGTTGACGGATCACAGTCCGGCAAAGTATGAAGATGCTCTGAACAAGTTGAGAGTTGGAGTCTCAAGTTAGTGTACATGCTTTCTCTGATGATTCCGCGTCATAGTTGCCCGACTCTGACAAAACGTAAAAGGCGCTTTTGGTATTCACTTGGGTGGACGAGAGCCCAGTTAATTGGATTTATGGAAATAGACGCTTCTCTTTTGTTTGTAACACGCATGCGATCATTATATACCTACATTTCCTTCTCTCTAAAGAAGTAATCATGATATGACATTAGTGTGAAATATACAAAGTGCCAATAATATCTGCGTATACATAGAAATGGAATCTCATCATCACTTCATCAGTTCACTGCTCGTTGGGTTATTCCGAATAATACGTTTCTAACAGCATCATAATCGGGATCATGCGGCTCGAACCTTGCTAAATCTGCGTTACTTCGAGGGATCGCGCACGTCTGCTGGACATTACCTGTCTCTGGGCGACAATGAGTTGCCGAGGCCCTCGTCACAACAACTCCAGCATGTGATTTTGTGTTCTTGTGCGAATTATCATGCTGTTCTTGGTATTGGAGGGTGCTGTCACCTATTGGTGGTGTGATCTCAGACTCCAGCGTCTCGTAAAAGCTGAATATCTCGGTTTCTGGCTTTTGAGAAAATGCTTGGATGAATTCGGCGTGCATTTGATTGAGAAGTTCGGATCCTCCCTGGCGAAGGGAGTCTATTACTTGCTGATTGGGGTGTCCAGCAGTAAGCTGGAGTGATGTTATATCCATTCCATCGTGAGGTACGCCGAAGAAGACCACTCCGCGAATTGCGCGGAAAATGTTCATCTCAGTCTCTCCTCGTAATTTGGACAAAGTTATCAAAGCCTAGCTCTTCCTTTAGCCACGATATATGTCAGTTTCATGGGGGTTAACTACCTGTTTTATGACTAGACCTCCAACGCCATGGCCAATGAGTATTGTTGGTTTGATCTGGGAGGAATTGCCCAGCGCCGTGAGGACTTTGACAAAAGCTGTCCCCAAGGCTTCGAGAGTCACCCGTCCATATTTTCCGTCCAGCACAGACTGGTAGCCATATATCATGACTCGCACCATGGGCTGCCGGCTTTCCGCGTCGACAAACTGAGCTGGTAGAATGTCTCGTAGCCATACATGATTACTTGCCACATCCTCAAATGATTCCAATGGACGTCCGCTGATGTTGCCAAGGGCAATGATACTGCTTGATTCAGTGATGAATCATGATTCAGCCGAACGGTATAAACATACTCTACTTTGTAATTCTTTGCCTCTGGTAAATATAAAGAAGTGATGCCAAGCAAGTCATCGTCAATTGCTAGATATCCGCTATTGGAGGATGGATTTCCATGCGGCCCCTCTAGTGATAAGTCCCATGGCTTTGGGTGTTGGGTTACCAATGGACGGCTCTTATATACCACTGTAGCGGTAAATGATCGACGATCGACTTCGGGGACAAATGACTTTATGACTGGGCAAGAAGAAGGATCATGTTGTTCCAGACAAGATCGCAGACGAATAACGCTCCAGTCCAGAGGCACTCTTCGGACCCGAAATGTAGTTCTTTGACTTGGGTGTTGCTGCATCTGGGAGGTCGGATGGATTCAATTGACAAAATATTATGACTTGGCAATGATGAGAATAAGACGAATAGTGATAAATTGTTGCAGAGATCATGAGTTGAGACTTAATATTGGAGGACTATTTCTATAGATATATATATAATTCTAGAGCCTCATATTTCCAAGCTAGGTAAACAAAAATAAAGCATCATTACCGCCATTTGTTGCTTCGTATTAGTGATTTGGTTGTTTCAGCTGGCGGGTGGTGAGAGGCTAATGTATGTAGAGAGATCATGGAACCAACAGATAGTACTATTTTGACCATACTTTTCCTTGTATTCTATCGGCAAACGTCTATTAAGCGCGACAAAACAAGTCTAATGTTTTCCAGGGTGTTATTGGGGTTTGATGTGGTGATATCGCTGGTCAATTTGGCGCGGCCCCGCTGCCAATGGAACCCAGCGCCTATGGCCGAGATGGGGGCCGGCGGCTATTTGCTCGCTGCTGTGAGGCTGACATCTAAAATTCTGAGATCCGAGTATTGCTTTATATGTTATTCATGTGGAAATGCCGTAAGGGAGGCTAGGCAAGGTGAAGCCAGTAGAGTAGGTAGGTGGTCTCTTCTAGGATCTGAATCAATCGTCAGCATCAAGCCATCTAGAACAGGGGCTAAAGCGTCAACGTACAGAGTAAGAACTCGACAGGGTTCGTTTTTATTTAAGCAGTTCGAGTTTCCCAAATCATACAACAAGCTTGTCTTTTGAATAAGCAAAGCGGGCGCCAGTAAAGAGCACCGCTCCCGCCATAAGGACAGCGCCACTAAAGATGATGCCTTGAGAGTAGCCGCCATATGTGTCGATCAGGGCTCCGGTGATTGGAGTTCCACCCAAGGCTCCAAATCCAATGAGAAATGTAGACATTCCTAGATAGGTTCCAATCTATCAATGTGTTAGACTGTGTGGCCTTGGGTATGGTGAAAACAACACAGGGGCTTACTTTGCTAGGGTGATCTGCTGTGTGCGCAATGGTGGTAAACATGAGAGCGATAATGATGCCACTTGTCGCGCCGAATAAAATAGATAGAACAATAAGTCCTGCTGACGAGGTGATCTTCAACCAGCAAAACATGAGTATTCCAGAGGCGTAACAGGCTACAGTGATGACATTAAATTGACCGAGATGCTTAGCAACGGCACCGGCAAACACTCGGCCCAAAAATGATCCTGCATTGATCAAGGCAAATAGATAGGATGCAAGGCCTGGAGCCATTCCATGTACTGAACCGTAGTCAGCTAGGTAGAAGTACGGCGTCCAAAGTCCCAAAATGGCCATGAACAAGGCTGCCACTTGGAGAGAGAATGCGGGGATCTTGAACGCCTCTAGCAAAATGAATGCGCCCTTTCTTTTTAGCGATGTTGGTCGAATAGTAACGGCCGCAATTGCTAGCAAGAATAGAGTCAGGAAGCCACAGATACGCTGACCCCAGGCAAACCCGACGCTATTGTCTTGGAGGAGGTTTGTCATGATTACTGGATAGATGATTCCCCCAAGGGGAGAACCAGTGGTGGCAAATGCCATAGCTATCGGTCGTCTCTTGAAGAAATAATGCCCAACAATTGAAATAGCCGGAGTGAATATCAGGCCAGACGAGATGCCAATGAAGACTCCCTGACAAAGAATGAATTGGTAGAGCTCGGTACAAAGGCTCGTGAGCATCATGGCGACGACGAGTAGAAGAGAGAATGGCCAAATAATAACCTAGGCGATCATAAGTATCAGTAATAGCCAGGTAGATGCCATAGTTGGGAGAAATATTCATCGTACCATTGCTCCATAGCGGTCTGCGAGCGGACCAGCGACCAAAGCTGCCGAGAACTGGGCAAAGGACTGAATAGCACCGATCCATGCTACATCAGATGGAGAATTGCCGGATAAGAATGTCTTGAGATAGTATGTTTCGTAGACTCTATCATAGGGAGGCGGTTTGTGTTAGCTTTCATCCTGCTCAATACTGGATCGCCGAGTACCAACCCAAAGGAATTAACATAGCCAAAGGATACAAACAATATGCACCAACATCCCAAAACAACCAACCATGCCCGTAGGCCTCCTTCTGCAAATTCATGCGAATGGGCCTTCGCCTCAATGGGACTCTCAACAGCTTCCTCAACAGCTTCCTCACCCCCTAAGAAGATTGCCGACTCGATCTCGGTGGTGCTACCCGAAGACATGGTAGCAAATGAAAGGACTGGGCACTAAGATTTAGAGTCCTTGGTCACAGGAGGGATACCACACTACACAAGATAGCCGATCGCAGATCTGCTTGAATTTAATTTATACCCAGAAGTTAAGGGTGCATGAGCTTAAATATGGTTAACCACGGCTATCATGGCACGGGTATCATGGAGCAGCGGCATCTCCGAATCGCCGACGATCCCACAAACGTGGTGCTTCGAGTCAACATAAAACGTCAACATAAATTCCATTCTTATCTGATCGTAATAGCCTGTGCTCGATTTACGAAATAACTCCAGGCTGGCGGCGTTCTCGGTGTAAGGCGAATTGAAGCTTGATTGATAACATCACGTCTCTTCTGGGAATAGCCTCGGAGGAAAAAGCAAGAATTGGCCCACAACTGGAGAAGGTGGAGAAGAGCTGATGACGGAGATGGTCGGTCATTTCGCAAGCCACCCAATCATAACCCGCCGGGAATCTATAGAATATCTCCTTGGAATCCTGGACGGCTCTCTGCAACCTTGATATGTAGATCAAGACAGAATTTGAAATCCAGTACAGATTCTGCACCTGCCAAGATGACAGACGATCCGGAACGGGTGTGTCCGGCTCCGACAATAGCCGAAGTCGGCAGTGAGAAAAGCACAGTCAACTTGCAAGCTCCAGCTGTAGGCTCCATTCTCAATGCCGAGCCTCAGGAAGTTCGCACAAGGAAGAAGCGTCTTCAGCTGAGCTGCGGCGAGTGCAGAAGGAAAAAGGTAATGCGAAGAAAATTCGTCTTCTCAGGCGACAATCCCTTGGATTTCATTTTCTGACCAAAACACTCAACATTAGCTCTCCTGTGATAGAGGCCGACCCTGCCGCCGTTGCGTCAGGACGGGAAGAGCAGACCAGTGCGAATTCGAAACTACCCCGAGGCCTCTGTTGCTACCAATCAATCAAAGCGCTCAGCTGGAGCAGATCAAATCCGACCAAGCCGAGCTTCAGAATCTTCGAACTGAGATTTTTCAGTTGAGGGAGCTGCTCTCAAAGCCCACGACTCAGCAAGGTAGAGATCTCTTTACAGAAGACGTCGATGGCGATGAGATTCCAAAAAGAAGTGGAGTGGATGTCAAGGACATCATTACAATCAGTCGGAATTCCATCAACACCAACGATGGCCCGCCGGATCCAAGAGAGAAATCCCCACGGGGATACTACAGGCGACATACTCTCTTGCGATTCTTTTCAGAGGTAAAATTCCAGGCCTGGTTCCATCGGAACAGAAATACTGACCACTACTAATCCGATGCAAATAGATTCCGCAGCTGTTTCCATTCATCAAGGAAATAGCTGATCAATGGCTTAAGCCTTACGGGATCTACATCAAGAAGAATAAAGCCGGCAAAGATGACGGCTGGAAAATGAAGATGGCAGGCCAAGAGCAGCCACTGCTAGAAAGTCTTTTGCCACCGAAAGGTGACACTGATGTGCTAATCGCCATATACCTTGATCATTTCGAGCAGCTCCATCGTGTCGTCCATGTTCCCACATTCAATAGGGAGTATATTAACTTTTGGACCCCTGGCAAGACACGATATCCTACAATGGCAGCGATGATACTGTCCATGATTACAGTGTCGATTTGTGCCTCTGCCCACCTTGTTGGTTCTACACCAGTCCCTGCCGCCTACCGGAATATGGCTGAGCAGTGGATTTTTGCAATTGACGACTGGCTAAGACTGCAAAGCACAAAACACCGCAAACTCGTGCACTACCAAGTCGCCTGCCTGATGTACATGGCCAAACGGATGAACATAGTTGGCAAGAAGAGATTCTGGAAAGACACCGGCTCTTTAGTTCAAGATGCCATCATGGATGGTTTGAATCGCAATCCTTCCATAACAGATGCCTTTTTCATAAGGGAGATGAAGAAGCGGATATGGTACACCATTCGCGAGTTGGAGCTCCAGAACTCGTTTGAATGCGGCCTACCCACCCTTCTTCACACCATCGATTCCAATGTCTCAGCGCCTACCAATCTTGCCGACGAAGACTTTGACGATACAACCAAGCAGGCCCCTATTTCAAGACCCTCCAATTACTATACGACGTCCTCTTACCAGTTCCATAGCTTCCGCAGTTGGGAGCTACGCCTCGAGATATCACGACGGTTATTTGGATCCGGATTCTTTAGGGCTCTGGCCTACGACGACGTTTTGCGATACACTCACGAAATCACAAAAGCGATCAATGACCTCCCTCCTTGGAACAGCAGCAGAAACGACAGAAAAAGCGATGCAAGACTCCTCTTGTCGTACTCAATGCTAGAGTTTCAGCTCAAGGAATGTCTACTAACCATCCACCGACCATACATCGATAGAGAAGGCGGCAGCTATCCTCTTTCGGAGAACATTTGCTACCAAACATCACGAGAGATTCTAGTTTCGAGTATTCAGCTTATGGGCTTAGGTGTTCAGAGTTTGGCGCAGCTGCGCGAAGATCTTGCGCTTGCTTCACTGCATATAACTCGTCTTACTCTATTGCAACCAGAAGGTCAGTCTTTCCCATCCCCTCGAGCCCTTTCTTTCCAAATGCCATGCTCATTTTCGGATAGGCTCTAATAGCATCATCATGGTTAATGCACCGTCGACGGTCGACTTACTGGAGCAATGCCTCCCTATCATCGAAGACAAATACCTGCGCTTCTCTGATCCCTGGACATTTTTCATCATGTGCACAGCCATCATGCTCATCAAGATACATATGGGGAAGGAATCTCGACAAAATGCCAAGTCATCTTGCGCACGCAGATTTCTGGACTTGTACTACAAGAATGTATGGATGCGCCAGCCCTCTGATCTCGCTCAACAGCAAGCAATCACCCAAGACATTGTCAATCAAACAGCCGTAAGTTCCACATTGGCCACCTTTCAATACACTTCTTTTTCTTGCACGCCGTTCTTGATCAACAACCCAAACTTATGTCCGTGTCTAACATAGGCTTCCGCTACCGGCCCACCACCTCCTCCAGATGGAAGCGCTCTTCCCACGTCAGTGTGGCTCGACAGCAGCTACCCCGATGTAAGTTGTAATCCTAGCAACATAGCTGCAGGCGCTAATATTCCGATAGGTCGGAAGTGATCCTTTCGATCTCGCAGTCGAGTTGGACGTGTGGGAATCGGGATTTCCACTGCCCGGATTCCCAAACTGCTAAATCACAAGCCGATGTCGTTATACCTAGGTACCCAGAATGGAGATTCAAGATTACGATATCGGAGCTCGCTGCTGCATGCTGCAGCTCTCTTGTTTATCCGCACGTATAATATCGTTCGACTGCAGCGGGCACGTTTACTATTGGGGGTGTGAAATCCACCTCATTGGGTTCCACATGCTGCTTCTCCGCACTCTTATGTCTATAATGTATGAATGAATTCGAACGATACTCCTCTTGTTTTCTATATCATCTTCATCACAACACGATCGAGAGTTACCTGCGATATCTGTGCATTGCATTCGAAACCGTATCAATGGCGTTAATCCAGCCTTTTTCCGTCTCTGGAAAAACCGCCATCATAACTGGCGCCGGCTCTGGTCTGTTTCGCACTGGTGTCTAAACAACTGAATAATCTCTTTGACTTACATGCAATTCGTGTTAGGTATCAATCTTGCTTTCGCGGAACTTCTTCTCTCCCGGGATTGCAACGTCGTCTTTGCGGATCTGGAGCTGCGGCCAGAGGCAAAAGATGTCATTTCCAAGTACCAGAGCGACGAAAGAAACCAGGCTTCCTATATCCGGACAGACGTAACCTCATGGTCCGACCTCACTAAAATGTTTAACTTTGCCCTTGAAACTTATGGTGATTTCGACATTGTTTGTCCTGGAGCCGGAGTATATGAGCCTCACTGGTCCAATTTCTGGCATCCACCTGGGTCCAGCGAAAGTAGGGATGCGCTCGACAAAGATCACTACGCGCTGCTTGACGTCAATCTGACGCATCCCATTCGTGTAACTCAGATGGCAATATCGCATTGGCTGTATCCTCGCCCGCCGGCCGAAGGTTCCAAATTCAAGAGTGCTCCCCCCAAGGTGTCCGTCGGTAACCCGAAGAGGGTTGTTCACATCTCTTCAGTTGCTGCCCAGATTCCCGTGTTTAGAGCGCCGCTATACGGCGCATCAAAGTTTGGTCTTTCAGGCTTCATCCGCTGTCTCGCACAACTAGAACCTCGATTTGGCGTGCGCGTGAACGGCGTCGCCCCTGGTGTCGTGCGAACTCCTCTTTGGACGGAGCATCCGGAAAAGCTGATGAATGTTGACGTTGCCCAAGACGCGTGGGTCACTCCGCAAGAAGTGGCTCAAGCAATGCTGCGATGCGTTGAAGAAAACGTCAACTTTGGGGGAACGATCCTGGAAGTTGGCGCAGGCAATACTAGGAGAGTAAAGATTTACAACGATGCAGGCCCGGATCTAGATCCCGCCAAGGGGCTTGTTACCAGCAATAGTGCTCTTGGTGATGATGAAGTTGTTGACTGGCTACATGAAGAGGCCATTTGGGGAGCTCACGAATAGGATTCTGAGCTGTCGCATATTATGTGTTGATTACACATCTTCTTTCGTCCAAGATTCCCAGAAGGATGAGGTTTCAGCCTTGTGGGGAGGCAGCAAGCATACAAACAAGGCACTCCTGCATCCCGAATAGAGTGAATGCTCTATTCTGTTAGTGCAAATGAGAAACTGTTCGGTCCAGCGTCATGGGCTCCACCCAACAAGAGAGTGTGCATGATTCCAAACCCATGAACACCAAGCGCTTACAGCTGAACCAGGCCCCACGGGCTTGCATATATTACCCGCGATCACCAGAAACCAATTATGCCTCCTATCATGTGGGATTCCAGGTTCGCCCACCCTGGTCTGTGTATCTTTTTGCTTATTCCCGACTAAATTTAGGGACCTGTGGCGCAGAAGACTGGGCGAACATGATATAGCCTGGAATCAGAAGTTGAGTATTTGGCATGTGTTTTGCACAGTACCAGGACGTTCCTATGAGTCGCACCAAACAAGAATGCCGACAGGCATAAATAGGGGGAACTGATCCCTCTTGAACGGAAAAACTTGACCTCATTGTGCTTCATTGATTCAGTCTTACGAACCTAACTTGAATAACAACTGTCTGTTCACAGCCGTCTTGATCCTTTTGTTTCCCTCACACAACACAACAGCAACTCTTTCAACTCAGCAATGGCTTCTATTCTCCGCAAGCTCTTCCGACGCAAGAAGCAGCCCCCGCTGGTCTGTGCCGTGAACCTAGACGCCGAAGGAAACCCTGTTGGCGAGCATCCCGACCATGTGCATACGGATGCCTGCTTCATCAGCTTTGAGCCTCTTGCTGTAGCGGAGCTTTTCCAGTCGCAGTCATGCCAGTCATGCCCTCCAGCTCTGCCCGGCATCCACGCCGCTACTGCAGACCCTAATGTGCTTCTCCTGACCTATCCCGTTACCCTCTTTGACCACACAGGATGGAAAGACACCTTTTCGAGCCTCACCAACGACGCCCGACAGCGGGCCTATGCCAAGCGGTGGGCTCGCACGAGCCTGTTCACCCCTCAGGTTGTTGTCAATGGCGTCGCTGACGGCAGTGGCCGAACCAAGGAAGAGATCCAGCAAATCATCCAACAAGGCAGAGACATCCAAAAGGCTCGTGACTGGCACATTTACGTGGATGCAAACGATACCGAAGTCCGTGTCGACACCGACAAGCAAGAGGCACCTCCCCACGAAGTCTCCCTCGTTGTTTATGCCAACACGGACCAGACCGTCAAGGTTGGCAAGGGAGTCAACAAAGGCAAGAAGATTAACCACCGCAACGTCGTTACCTCTGTAACGAAGATTGGTGACTGGGTTGGAGGGAATGGAACTTGGTTTCTGCCCACGCCGAGAAGTGCCTTGGCACCTGATCAGGGTGCGGCGATCATCATCACGGAGGGTGGTCTTGGAGGACCGATTATCGCAGCAGCCAAGATTTAGAAATGGACATGTCGAGAATAGAAGTGTATGTAGTTTAAGATACCAGATGAGCCACGGCCTCTTATTTGTATTCGTTGCTACTTTTATGCGAGACCACTTTAGCCCCTTGTATTGCGTCGGCGCTTTTGTTTGCCTTCGGAACGGCCTCTGAGTTTGTGATTAACTACTGCGTAGTGCTGCACCTATACCGTATATCCGGTCCGTTCACAAGAAGATTTGTCATGCCATACGAACCGAACTGGCCCAAGGTGATCCGTGAAAGGAAGTTGAGAAGGGAAGCACAGACTTCATTAACTGCGCCGTTAGTTTCAGGTAACAGTTCAGCAATTACTAGAAGTTGCGGGTATATTTGAGTCTTCAAGGCGTTGAACGTCCTTCCTAATGAACGTTCGTTTGTACAACGCCTTGCTGAAAGATTGTAACCACAGAGGATGGCCAACATGGAGTTGTCCACAACGGAGGAGCATCAACAACTACGTCGATACAGCCCATACCACAACTGAAAATTCTGCAATTCAACGGGGAAATTAGCAACTCCCTGCTGATCAGCATGGCAAGTCCAGACTATCGATTCATGAACAGGCTCCATCAGTTGAGATACTAGCGATTTGTCACTTTTGTTGCGATAGCAGACGAGGTCTTCAGGGGTCTCCTGGAACGACGGGGCTCCCCGCTAGACAAGTGCTTATTTCTGTGTACTTACATCCATTACTCAGGATTTGTAACTATTCATCCTCGGTAAATGAGCAAAGACAATTCCCTGAATGAGAAGCATCTTGCATGCAAGCAAGAGTGCCTTGAATGAATCTTGTGAAGACCAGGCTCTTCTTCAACGTACGTTAGAGTAGTAATACGTATGACGCATCTGGCACATCTTGTAGAGACCAATAGACGCGCTTTTCTCTTGTTGTTCCGTGTGGGATACGACGTGATTAAGGTCCCCATCCTACCAAGATAGTTGGCTCTAAGCGAGTTTAACGAGACTTGCGACTACTGGTGATGTGGTAAGGTGATGTGGTAAGCTATACCCTGTTGCTTACGTTGACTGAGACACCAAAAACAAGCCATCTACTGCCCTATTGGGTATTACACGAACCAGAGTGTGTGTATAATCTTAAGCGAGACTCTTGCTAACGATCCACAGTACCCGCTCCTCCATGTGGAAATAGCGATAGTAAATCAGAATTCCCGAACTGTATTAGACTAGAAAGCTGATAGTGGCTCAGACGTTTCTATATTATCTCGATACTGTATCCTTGACTCTTGTCAAACTCCAGGAAATCACCCTCCTCGAGGTTATATATGCTTCCCGTGAATGCCTCTGCTACATACGTTCCTTCAATGTCAAAGTTGCTCGTTGAGAATGCTCCCACACGAATATACTGGCCTCTCTCGGCCGTCCTCTGAAGCATCAGGCCTCTTATATCTCTCTGACTCCCAGAGGGGCGATGCGCAACGTATAGCAAGAATAGACTGGGAGCACCGCCTCTCTCGTCTGCCTCGGACTTATCCCAATCCATTTCAAGGCCAACAACTTCAGCGCCCTGCTCAACTTTGCATATCCTGCCTCGAACACGTAGCCGACAGCTAGTGACTCCATCAAACAAATTAGCAGATCTTCGTTCAACATCACTCAGCTCTACCACTATATTTGGGTGCAGGTTGCTCATCTCGGCTGACTCGATGGCACATGTCAAAGAAGCCCATGACCATGTTGGTGCTATTCGCTCCTGACTAATATTCTGCTGCGGTATAGATACAGTCTCTGTCTGGGGAATCCTGCGCCAAACTAGAGCCAGTGGAAGATGCGCCGTCCATATACCAGCGACATATTCATCTGGCGGCTGCAAACCGACAATCGAGAATCTCTCAGCAAGGGCCGACACTGCGAGTAACCGATCTGCGGGGAAGCTCAAAGATGTGGCAGAGTATTGGCGCACGACGTCATACCAAACTGCCTTCATCGTATCATCTGGTAATTCTGCTGGGTAAGAGGCACTCAAGACTCCTCTCATATCACCAGAGGAGGCCGGATCTATAGGCTCTCCCACCGGTCGGATATCCGACGCCAAGAGAGAGTTGCATTCCCAGAATACCTGATGTCTAGTGAAGTGAAGTACGCGGGGTGACAATATCCGCTCTTGCATGACCCATCCTCGCCTGTTCAGCTCACCTTCATCGGATTCCACCAATACTTTATTGTGGAAGGCAACCAGGTCAAGCGCTTCATCGGATCCAGGAAGTTGCAGAGTGATTTGGCAGGGAGTAGTCTTCAAGACATCTCTTTGGAAGATGAGCCCGTCAGCTCCGCTCGTGGAATCGGTAGCAGATATGTTGAGCGAAGAGTTGTAGTAAATTTCCCCCATTAAGGCAATCTCTTTTGCTTTCTCGGAATCGTCATCTTGCATGATGCACATCGAATCTATCCAGAGATAGCGAATTCCGAGACACTTGGTGACATACATTGCGTGCCTGAACAACTTTGCATTGGATGACCCGAGCAGCTCCAATGGGATATTGCCACTTAAAAGAGTCGGAGCCGTCTTCGAATTGAGTATAATGCTTGGCGAATTTCCCCATCGGTGACTCAGTGTCATGTAATGCACATCTAGAGGAAGAGATTTGGTAGACACGATTCGTACTGGTAATGCTGCATCTATATCCAAGGCCTGGAACTCTTTTCGTGTCATTCCATTACTAGAGTAGGTGTGAGGCGGCTGATCAGGCATCACATCTACCAGTCGTAGCGGCAGCTGTTTCTTCATCGGAGGCCTGGCGCACTGCCTGTGGGTGGTTGTGGTTGATGTGCAATTCTTCATCCAAGCTTGAGTTGTCTGTAGAGCTTCGAAAGACCAGGTGCTTGGAGTATCATGCAGGCTCACTGCTGCTTTGGCACCTGAGGCGGGTTAGTCCTCCAACTTTGTGTCGTCATTGGATAAATGGAAGCCATACTGGTCTGAATCCTTAGATCTTGAATGAAGTCGTGTTTGCGAATTTGAAAGCCGAGATCAAGCAGTTGATCGTCTTTATCTCCCCACATGACCCATTGGACAGGGCTACGGGGATCATATGCATCCAAGATGTGAGGAAAGACGTGAGCTATCAGTGAGCACATGTGGCACGATTTCCCTTTGTTGTTCGAGACTAGCAACGAGTGCTGCTCCTCTGTGAGTTTTATTGCAACATCATCTGATATGTTGCCATCTTCTGACTCGGAAGTGAGGAGATGGGCCGCATGCTCAAAGAATGCTCTGCAGAGTGCGCACACCTGATTCAAGGATGATATCATCGCTCCGCTTCGTGAGATGAGGTAATTATTGAGCGGTCCTATTGTTAATCTGAAACCACAAAACGTGCAAATTCGTCTCTGAATGAGAGAGGGCTGGTGGGTGCTGCTGCATTGTTCTTTTTGTCGAATCTCACCAGCCCCGCAGCAGCTCGAAGGATCCGTATTCATCCAGCAGCTGCAATATGCAAGTTGAATGGCATCAATCAGATGTTTTTATTCAGTTCCTTTGAATCACTTTTTCTTCATTTCACTTGATCCAAGCCACTTGATTCAAGCTACCCTTATATATATAAAGCGTATCCCCCGATTTCTCGATTCTTCATGACAACCTGCCTCCTACATCTCCAACTTCCGGCATCAGTCTCGAACATGCACACCCACATGCGCTCAAGAAAAGCCATCACGCATGCATTTATATCATGCACTCCATTAATGACGCAAAATCATCACGATAATGACAGCTATGAAGCCTGCGGTGGCTCTTCCCGTCTCAAATCACTCCAACTTGTAATCCCAAACGCCCAAGTCGAGATTCTTCAAGAGGGGCGCACGATGCTTGTACTGAGGATTTTTATGCAGTTATACGGTACAAGAGTTGCTACTACCGGGGACACAGTTTCCTATACCGCGGTGCTCGATTCTTGTAAGGAGTTGCAGCTCCCAAACTTGGGACAGTCCAGCGCCTAGAACCAGGAGAATTGCAGTTTCATCAAGCCGGAAATTGACCATTGCGAGTTCAAGATGCGAGGAAATTATCACCAATGTCACCAAGTTTGGCGCCTCAGATCGAGAATCTGGTGTTGTAACCCTCTGGCGCTGCCATATTCTGGTCGCGATTTGGGTTCGCCATGACCAAGTTGGACCTTGTCAGACCGATTTTGGTCGCCTCATCAGGGTCATTTCGCTTGATCATGATGTTTTTTGAGCTCAATTATCGCCAACTTGGATGCTCAACCCTGGATTCGTGATGTTTTGGTCCAAGTTTTTGGTGTTTTCATCCCGCGAAATTCCCAACGTGAGATACCATTCGGACCAAACCATGGCTGACTTGGGCCTCGTCAACTCGAATTTGGTGTCCTCATCGAGGCGATTTGCTCTCATCTTGGATATTTTTAACTCTGTCCAGGATCAAATTATCACCAACTCGACCTTGTCAGTCTCATTCTTGGTGTTTTCATCCCGCAAAATCTCCAACATGAGATGCCATTTGGGCCGAACCATGACTGACTTGGGCCTCGTCAACTCGAATTTGGTGTCCTCATCGAGGCGATTTATTCTCATCTTGGATATTTTTGACTCTGTTCCAGATCAAAATTATCACCAACTCGACCTTGTCAGCCTCTATCTTGGTGTTTTCAGCTCGTTTTCCGTGCCATTGAGTCCAAGTTTTCGAGCTGTCAACCTGATTTTGGAGTCCTCATCAAGATGATTTGCCCTCATCTTGGATCTCTTTGCATCCAGATTTCGCCAAAGTATCACCAACTCTGGTCTTGTCAACCGATTCTTTGGTGTTTTCATCCACCTTTTCTCTCCATTGAAGCCAATTTTTCGACCTGTCAACTCGATTCTGGTGTTTTCATCAAGGCGATTTGGCTTGATCGCGATCTTTTTCGCTCCCAATCATCACCAACTTTGACCTGGTTCACCCGATTCTTGGTGTTTTCATCTGCTGGTTCTGCGTTTGCATCCAGCTTTTTGATGCCATCATCACCAATCTGAATCCCGAGAGTTCGCTTTTGGTGTTTTCATCGAGGTGATTTGGCTTGATCATGATCTTTTCCGCTCCCAATCATCACCAACTTTGATCTTGTCCAACCCACTCTTGGTGTTTTCATCTGCTGGTTCTGCATCTTCATCCAGATTTCCGATGCCAATCATCACCAATTTGCATCCCGAGAGTTCGCTTTTGGTGTTCTCCTCTGGCCCATTTGCCCTGATTGACTTACCAACTGTCTCCAATTTTTATCATGGCATCCCGGTTCATGGTGTTTTCATCTTCTGCTCTCGCCATTCTGCCCGGCACTTTGATGCCAGCCGTGTGTAGCTTGTCACCTGTTCCACCTCATCCTTGGTGTTTTGGCCGCCCACTCCCTACCACCTGGCCAAATTTTGTGCACCTGTTGACGCCCATATTCAACCATCCCATCCCATCTCTTGGTGTTTCTACCCAATTTTTCCATCACGCCCATCGCCAACATTGATCTGTGCACTCGAATCTTGGTGTTTTCCCGCATCCCATCCCATCCCATCACCGCACCATGACCCCCAGCATTACTCAGTCGATACCATTTGACAATAATGTATTGATGCATCCAAGATCATTCGCATCAACTATTTTGGAATTGGTAAGTAGTAATTAAATATTCTTTCCTACACATCAAACGATTGTATTTCTGTAGTATGTTACACTCTCCTTCTTCTCGTGCAGCTGCAGCTGCCGATGCTGCTCCTGGTGCGAGTTTTCTGTCCGCAAAGTGTACAGAAATGAAGCTATTCAGAGTGCCCAGTACCTACCTCACGGTGTAAAGGACGAAGTTGCAGATACAGCCGCGCACAGCCGCAAGGGACAAGATTGATGCCACTTTGCAGATATATTAGAGTGATTCTACCATGCTTCTACAAATATAAAAGATATTAAAATGATATTTGGCATGATCCTTCGCATTACTACAGGTGATTTGAGTCCCGACCAAGGATGTTTCTACAGCAGGCGGTCGCTGAATCTCAGCAGATATTGCACTGAATGCGCACACATACGCGCTGCAGGCAAATGCACTCCCTCCTCCATCATGCATCAAAAAGAGCAACGGTACGCTGCTGCTTGCCTCGCAGCCTACTTGACAGACGCAATCCAAAATGCAGGAACCCGTCATATGCTGCACCCGTTCAGAAACCGATTGCTCTCGTTTCCAATCACATGTGGCTCGCCGTCTTGGAGAGCAGTCCTGAGGACGCATGCATGGCAGAAAACACTCTATCGAACGACAATAGCAGGTCTATGATGCCTCTCTATAACATGATTCGTGTCCAAGGCGGAGTGGAATGGTCTATTCGTAAATCTATCGTGGGTATCATAATGTATCACTAGAACAAAGCTTCAGTCAGCTCTCAATCCACAAAAGCGCAGCAAAACGAGCATCCCAGATTCATCATACATTCATCATCACACTCTTCTAGAATCATCCCGTCATCTTGTCCCGTGATTCCTCCAGCTAAACTGCTTAATCGCCGTGACCGCGACCCAGGCAAACGCAACTATCGCGACGGTAATGCGAACCTCTCGCGCCAGCTGGGTGGCCGACTGCGGGAGCAAAAATGTATGGGCGTGGCTGATTTGCCCCGAGTGCTGGGCCGAGAGGAGGAACTGCTCCATTGCGCTGATTGAAGCTGTTGACGATGCAAGTGTTGGCTGCAAGAGAGTACTGGAAGAGCTTCTAAAAATTCAGTGTAGGTTCAATGCTTTAGCTTGTGATGATCTGCTTTAGGTGGGCACGGATAAGAAACGAGGCTAAGCCTATTTTGGTCGTAGGCGATAAGCTACCTCGTTTTTCCCCAGTCGCCTGCTCTGTGAAGCTACAGAATACCGAATACCGAGACAATTTAGTTGGTTTCTACATATTTAGAGCAAGCATGTAATTAATGAAGAACTGCATCTAAAAGTAGTAGAATATTGTAATCAGCAAAAAAACCACAAGTTAAGTCGCTCTAATGTAGAGACGAATGGATAGCTGCACTGCAGAATCGCCAGCAATCCATCACCACCAGGTGCCGACGAGCAGGTACTCTACTCCGCACGATCAACAGCTTCACTCTCGTGACAGCATCCAAGTTGTCTGCACTCGACACACGAGTCATGGCTGCTACGAGTACCTAGACACAAAGTTGTCGCTACATGTGACACTCGAGGATTCCTTCCAAGCCCCCAGGTACACATACAACATAAACAAGTCTCATCAAACCCCGGAAATCCACGTGTACACCGCAGACTTCGGATGCATCACCTCTCTTCCCCGTCAAAGGGCATGTCGAGCTTCCCAGCCAAGGACCATAAAATTGCAGGGCTTCTACCAATCCAAAGCACGAAACTCGACAGGATATCACTTCTCACGTTACACAGACAGGGAGAATATGCTTCATGCAATGCACAGGAACGACATCCGGTTGGAGAGTCCTCCGGAATACCGGCCCGTGTTCCGGACGAAAAAAAAATTTTTAAAAATATCTTCAACAGGGATGGCAAGGTGAGGCTCATGACTTGCATGTTCTGTGGTGTTTGAGAATGGGATCGACCAGCTGGGGGGGTTTACTGTACATGTTACACATCACATACAGAAGCGAGGCTGAGTTGAGACTCGGCCATCCTTGCTGCTGCTCCTCCAACTCCTTCTCCAAAAGTCCAATCAATCCACACGATCTTTTTCCCACACAAAGGGCCCTTTTGGAAAGCAAAAAAATTCGACATCTCCACTCCCCGTCCGGCAGTGGATTTTTTTACGTCGCGATTCATCTCCAATTGCCCGTTTCTGCTGCCATCACGAGCTTAGTCAAGGCGTCCTCCGGGCCTCATCGGCCGGCTCCGACGTCCAGCCCCGGCCCTCCTCTCCACAAAATGCTCTTTGTCTCGCCGCCGGCCGCTTTTCTTAGTCGTGCTGCCCCTCCCCCTCATGCCATTTCTGGCCTCGTCTGGTCGTGAACATGGTTCTATCTTGGGTTCCATTGTTGATTTGCTTCCTGAGCCCTAGATGCAACCCAGACGATAGCCGAGTTGAGCCTCGCTAGTTTTCTCTCCGACAAAAAGTTTTTCTGTTCTTTGATCCCAGCATTTGTTCACGCCTGAAGCCTCTTCAACATCTCTTTGATTTTCGAATTCATCCTTGTCAGATATCCCTCTTCCCTGCGCGAAATAATCAATCCACACGAATAAAACCCACCATGGCGGCCGAATCGCAGTCTCACGATCTCCCCATGGACCTCCCCATCATCGATCTCGACATCTACCTCAAGAATCCCGCCTCGTCTCCCGAAGTCCAAGCAGAGTGCTCCCGCGCCGCTTCTGCCCTCATCACATACGGCGCCCTGCTGCTGCACGACTCGCGCGTCTCCGAAGCCGACAACAACACCTTCCTCGACCTGCTGGAGGACTACTTCGCCCAGCCCGAGGCAGACCTCAAGCGCGACGAGCGGCCCGAGCTGAGCTACCAGATCGGCGTCACGCTCGAAAACACCGAGAAGCCAAAGTGCGCCGTCGACGAGCCCTGCCTGGACGTCATTCAGCGCCTGGACCCCAGCCAGCGCCCGCTCGACATCTCGGCGCACTCGCCCGACCCAAAGTGCCGTTTCTTCTGGCGCATGGTCGAGCTTCCGCCCTACGAGACGCAGTTCCCGGGGCTCAACGCGGAGAACATTACGCCTGATGCCGCGCATATCAAGGAGAGATGGGCGCCGACCATGAACCAGTGGGGGAGCTCCATGAAGAATGCGTCAGTCTCACTCTCCACGTTAATGGTTCGCCAAGAGACTCTCGGCAAGAAGCTAACACCAAGATGGCAGCGTCTCCAAGCTCTCTGAAATGACGGCCCTTGGCCTCGGCCTCGAAGCCGACCACTTCAGCTCCGCCGGCCGCTACGGGTATGTTCCTCTCCTCGTCCTTCTCTTCCTCTTCTCTTAAACTAACATGACCCTCTCCTACAGCCCCCATCTCCTCGCCCCAACCGCCTCCGACCTCGCCAAATACGGCGCCAAAGACACCATCCTCGCCGGCTTCCACACCGATCTCAACTTCCTCACCATCCACGGCCGCTCCCGCTACCCCGGCCTCAACATCTGGGCCCGCAACACGGGCTCGCGCATCCCCGTCAAGATCCCGCCTGGCAACTACCTCCTCGTCCAGGCCGGCAAGCAGATCGAGTACATCACCGGTGGCCTCATCAAGGCCGGCTACCACGAGGTCGTCGTCAACGAGCGCACCCTCGAGGTCATCGAGGCGCGAAAGAAGCAGTTCCCCGACCGACCCCTCGTCCGCATTTCGAGCACCCTGTTTTGGCATCTCAACTCCGACTTTGATCTGGCGCCCGTCCCCGCGCTGGCCGAAAAGGCCAAGAAGGTCCGCGAGGAACAGGCCAAGCTGGGACGAGACGAGGGCGAGGAAGTACAGTATCCTGCAACCAAGGTTGGATTTCAGGTGCAAGAGTGAGTCTTTTATAGTCTTTGTCCCCCCACCTAATATCAACTTGCGAGATGAAAGAATTGAACTGACATGTTGGTAGTGAGCTGAAACACATTGCTTTGATGGCATGAAGCATGAAGCGATACTGGAGCGTTTATAGCTGCGGCAGGCATTTTGGATATACCCAAAGATATGACCATGACATGAAGATATGAAAATAAACACAATGATCGAACCATTTTGATCCTACCAGTCACTTGGTGATGATGTTTATCACGCTTATCAAGTTCATTACAGCAATGTTACACACTTTCAGCTGAGTTGGTATCCAAAAAAGATGTATTTTGTTCATCTGCAAAACAAAACATAGGTATCATAACTAACTCCAGTCTCTCCCCAGGTGTATGCCCATTCGATGCTCTCTCTAGATTTTATCCCATCGTACATCATACCCGAAACGTTTATCCATCAACGAACTGAAAAAAAAAAAATTATTACTTCGACACTTTCCCTCCCTCTTCTTTCATATTATGCTCATAAGCATTGTTGAAAATTGTTGAAAATTGCTTTTATACAAGCACGGCTTTACATCTTGACCTCGGCGGTCTCGGCGGTACGGCTCACATCGGCGTGGTCTTCAGAGTTGGCGTCTTGCTCTTTTTGCAGCGCGCTCTCTACGACGGTGGACTCAGGTTCACGCCAAAAGTCCTTCTTGCCCTGGAACAAGCGAACCAGCCAGGGAGGGAAGAAGCCACCAGGAATGCGCCATGTCCAGGGCTCCTTTTCGTCGTGGTTGGGAGGCACGATGCGGCCGCGGGAGACAAATCTCAAGAGTCCAACGGTGGAGTTGATGATGATGTACGACATGACACCGGCAATGAGGCCGTTGGCAATGGAGTATGTGAAGGGCATGATGGCGATGGCCAGGAAGGCGGGGACGGCATCGCCCATGTACTTCCAGTTGATCTCCGTGACAGACGTGGCCATCATGGATCCGACGAGAATCAGGACACTGCCGGTAGCCCACGGCGGGATGGAAGCGAAGATGGGGGCAAAGAAGATGCTGATGAAGAAGCAAATGCCGGTCACGACAGAAGTGAGGCCAGTCTTGCCACCCTCGGAAATACCAGCACCGGATTCGACAAAGGCCGTGACGGGCGGAATGCCAAAGAGCGCACCGATGGAGATGCTGATGGCGTCGACCATGTACGCAACGGCGGAACCCTCGAAATCCTGGGTAACAGGGTCGATGAGGTTGGCAAAGCGAGCCATACCGTACAGCGTACCCGTGCAGTCAAGGATATCAACATAGAGGAAGGTGATGAGGGCAAGGCCAAATTGACCACCGTACGCGCTCACGTCCCATTCCTGCACGTTGAGCGTGTGCTTGATGCGATGGAAGTCTACAACCTTCTTGAAGAAGTTGAACGAGTCGTCGCCAACGGGCGTGTGAGGGAAGTACGTGATGGGCGTGGTTCGGGGCCAGGAGATGATGCTGACGAGGATGATGCCGAAAATGACGGCGCCCTTGACTCGATACATCATGAGAAGCACGGTGAAGATGCCACCACAGAAGATGCCAATCCACATGGCTGGGTGACGCATCTTATCAAAGCTAGGACAAGTGCCGTCTTCGAGCATATTGGCAGGCGAGCAGCCGGCAAGCTCAAGGGGAGTGTCGGTGGCACCGGTAATGATACCAAGACCCTCGCTGTAGGTAAGACCAATGAGGGTCAGGAACAGGCCAATGCCCACACCGGTAGCCAGCTTGATGGAGTGGGGAATGGCACGGGCGAGCCACTGTCGCATACCAAAGATGGCAAGACCCAGAAAGATGAAGCCCTCGACAAAGATGGCAGTCAAGGCGACTCGATAGGGGACAGGACCAGATCCGTGAAATCCAACTACATGGGAGTCAGAATGCAGGGCTCTCTTGAAGATTCAGGGAGGGGTGAGAGACGAGTCTCGACTTACCGACAGTATACGCAAAGTAGGCATTCAGACCTATGCGATCACATTGAGTCAGTACGATGTTCCGTTCCATACATGGTACCGGTCTTGTCACCAAGAAAACCGGAGTTGCGACATACCCATTCCAGGAGCCAGACCGACGGGGCTATGATGAAAGAGTCAGAAGAACAGTCCCACAGTATCTTTGAATCAGATGCGGCTTGTCTTACAGGTTAGCCAAGAGGCCCATGAAGAAACTGGCAAAGGCTGAGATGGCGGCGGTTGCGGTGACGGCGTCGCGCTTGATTTCCTGGACGCACAAGCTGTACTCGACGTTGTTGTTGCAGATGGGGTCTGCGGCGCCGCCATTGCAGACGCAGGTGCCGCCTGAATCCGAGACAATGGACGAGTTGACGGCGATGATGTAGGCCATGGCGAAGAAGGTGGCCAGGCCACCGCGGATCTCGGTGAAGAATTCCGATCCCTTGCGCTCCTTGGGCTAAACGGCGTGGAACGAGACATGATGAGCAAATGATTCGATCGACACGGATGAGACAAGCTTCACTGCCGTCCCGGAAGCTGCCGCGCCACGAGGTGTCTCGTGACGTGGCCGAGACCTAAAAGAAGCAGAAAAGAAGCTTCGACTTACATGGCCACAGCCCTCCAAGCGGAACCACCAGCCCACCGGACTGGCGGCGACCTTTTTGTTGATGTTGTCCATCCACCCCATGGCTGCGATGTTGTCTTCTGGAGACGAGGGATCGAATTCGAATGACGAAAGGACTATACGTCCTCTAGAAGGGAAAGAGAGAAGACAGGGGCCGGAAAGATTTGCGCGATGAAAAAACCTCTTGTAGTTTTTCGTCTCGCGTGGTTCGCGGTGGGGCAGGTCCCTTGGCTAGCGATAGCGGTGGCGGCGAACAAAGAGGAAAAAAAAAAACGAGACCAGGGGCGACGCTGCGGGGTGCTATGGGTGTGATTTGGATTGGAATGCTGGTTTGAGTGCTGATTGGCGGTTTTCGAGAACGGACAGCCTTCTTTTGCCTCTCTGTTGCTAGAAGTGGCAGATTTAGAGGCGTTGAGGCGTTGGAGGCGTCGAGGCGTCAATGTCAAAGCTGGACTTTATTCCCGTTGGGAGCAGCCAACACTGTGTCGTACCAACGATGGATGCAACACCCGCGATCTGCAGTATGTGCGCGCGGGGAGGGAACAAGGAGGAGAGGAGCCGGTTCGGTTCGGTTGGTCCGAGGCGATTCGATGCCCTCGGCCGTATTTATAGCGGGCAGACGCAGACGCAGACGCAGCAAGACGAAGCAGCATCGACGATATGATGTTGATATTGGGACTAGCACAAGTCCATGTCCAGTAGCATCTGCTGGCGTCGATAGCTGGGCGTTCGGTGATTTGCGCAGGCCGAGCTGAAGACGCATTACATGACAATTGGCGATTCCATTAATCGATGAATCACTTAATCAGTTGCGCGCGCGCCGGAGCGTGTGGGAGGGCAGGCGGTGGGCCCGTGAAGCTGGAGAAGGAGCCCCCCATCGCGTCTCTATGGAGTACATGTACATGCCGCGCGCCGTGATGTGACTGTGCGGCACAGGTATGAAGTACGTAGTATGACGAGCACGCGGATATCCGCTGTGCTGTGCTGAACCGAACGTGAGCTGCACCAAACTTGAGCTCAGCTGATAACGAGCCGCTCTATCAGTGGATATTCATCTTCCATTGCCCAGTTAATAGCGGGCTCTAGTAATACTCCGTAGATGCCTGGCCTCATCACCAAATATTCCCGTATCATCCCATTCGCATGGCAACCCGCGCTCTAAACCCCCCAAATATCGCTAGCACCAGGCCATTCTCCCTCGGTCCGTCTGCTAGCGCGCACACTCACATGCGCACCACATGCGGTCAGATTGCCGCTGAACAAAGACAAAAAAGAAGCTTATGGCCGTGGTCAGATGCTGCTGCGCTCCGAGCGTGTACGAGTCGATGCGATGCATGCGCATTCATTCGTGTTTCATGCCGTCTCCTCAGTCCATGCGTATAATACTACGCACTGTAATCATCAAGGTGCCTGTTTCTGTTTTTCCATTCTTCTCAGAATATCCCCGTGCCAGAAACCTGTACTCCGTAGCCTCTCTCTCCCGTCCTGGAACCATAATAATAAGAATAAAAAAAAAAAGCCCCGAGAGCCTAGAAGAAATATCGGCTTGTCGGGCCCTCATTTCCTTATCTCGCGCCCCTCTAAAAAAAAAATATTTTCAATTACATATGTATCCCCCTTCATCAAGCCTCAAAAAGGCCACAAACGCCGTCATGGTTGCCTAACCGGGCTAGACGCTGTTCGAGAATTCCGGCATGGAAGGAGACTAAGAAAAACCAGCGACAGCCAATCGCACCGCATCGATAAGCAAGCCAAAATCCGGGCTTGATTCCGCACCTCCAGACAAAATCACCTTCTGGTCCGGGTCTCCGTATTGGCGAGGCGAGGAACGAGGCCAGTATGCACAAGTTGTGAATCCGCACGTTGCAGAGCCTGGGATCGGCTCGTTATCAGCATCCATGGCGACCGTTATCTTCTCCGCATTCATCGAGATATCGAATCGCCCGTATCTGTACCTGCGTCGTTATCTGGACATCGGCCTCCGCAGTATAAACAACAGTCCATCCCCAGATTCTCGGGAGCCTGCGAGATGGAGGGCGGCGACTCCCGCCGGACGACATGTCGGACCATGCCTGAGCTGAGTGCGAATTGAAGCTGCTCACAAAGCTCATCCAGCAAGCCAGCAATTCCCTCGGGGATGGTGCATACACGAACAACTTGCTCCCACGAGAGACGATGAGCCCGCAGCCTATCAGATGGCCCTGCCTACGGAACACATGCTTGGGCTGTGCCTTAAAACTCCGGTCTGGCCTCTCTTCAAACGAACCCAGCGAACCCGTGATTCATCTTCTACACACATAAGCAAACGTGCTTCAACACGAGGGATCTTTGAGGCATGCACTCGCACGGCATAGTTACCTGATCGATTCAACGGTGCCGTGAATGCTTATCCCACGCATTTATCCGAGACTCCCGTTCAGCTGTGCAAGTCGGCGACCTCCAACTTCCCAGAGACACTACAAAGCAGTAGTCTCAAAAGGGGGCATGGCCCGAGGGCAGCATTCACACGACACTTACACCCGTGGCGCCAGTCCTCACCACATATACTTGGTTCAACCCTGTTGACGATTACACATCCAAACGCCGGTTCAACTCTTTGGCAACTAAATTCTCACAGTTGCCTTGAGTTGTGAGCTTCATGCAGTCAGTCGACTCCTACCATCCCAAGCCTCTTCAACATGAGGCGTCCCGGCAATTCATGAAACAGCCATGTTGGATACCAGCCTTTAAGATTTTGAAAACTTGGTGTTTTTGGTGCAAATGGTGGCCACTTAGTAGGGGTGGCCGCTTAGCATGTGGTCTGACTTACAATCCAGTCGGTCAAGCACCGTATCACCGTATAGTGCAGTCGCGCATTATTGGATTCTCACGTGCCTCGCCTCGTCTACTGACGCCGTCTGTATGACATCCATGAAAAGGGGTGCATACATCGCATCCCCGCGGCATGGTAAAGTTGCAGATTGCCCATCATATATATACTAGTATGCGTAAAGTTGGCAAAAGGCTTCTCGATCCTAAAAGTCGGTCTACCCGCCGTTGCATAACAGCACACTTCGACAATCGTAAGCAAAACGCTTTTAGCCTGTTAATCCGCATTGGAGATCTCAAACCCACGTACCTGGTCTCCCCCAAGCCCTTTAGCTTCAAACCCATAAGCCGCCATTCCATCAACCGACGAGACAGCGGGCTTGGCCAAAAAGCCAGAAGCCAAAATCTTGCCACCCGTCGCGCGCCAAGTTTCCCAAGAAAATGGAATTTAAGCGTCCGTCCTAGCCTTCCCGTCTTGCCGTGCCCACACGATTGCCGCGAGTGCCAAAGCGACAGAATGACAGAAAATTGTGATGAGTTGAACTTACTCAGGCTAATCTCGCCAATCCCTGCTCGTAGGTTCCCCTCTGAAGAGATGATGCTTTCTGCTCATAATAACGGCGTTAACGATGAAGACTTGCGGACATGGCACGACACGAATCTGAAACGCTCGAGTAGCACTATAACGAAATCTCCTCACCTTATAAAATAAATCCTAACACAGAGCATGTCCCTGTCAACAAAGACCACATGACATCTTTACATGGATTCCCACGTCTGCCCTCCTACTTGTGTACATGAATACAAAGCAGCAAGACTCGCGTAGACGTCGGCCCTCGCGTATTATAGCTGCCCACCGCCAAGCGTCGTGCTGACGCTGCAGGCTAATACTACCTGCATCCCCCCAAGCGTATTCTCGGCTACGCGGAAAGCCCCTATCGGTTCCCAGGGCCCCCTCCCCCCACGACCTTCCCCCTGTAGGCGCAATCATCAACTCAGTGTAAGTTTTTGTGAGACCGGGGTGCCGATCACGAGAGAAGGGGGCTCAAATTTGAAGCGAGAAATGATCTCTCAGGGGTTATGTCAGCATCACAGGCATATCATGTTGCATTTGCATGGCGAACGGGGCTTGGTGGGCTCTCTATCCACATGTTGTCGTCGAAAGATAGGCCTTGTTCGAGTTCCCATTTTCTTTCTTTCTTGCCTTTCCCCGGATGGGGCCTCCACCGTTCGAAAGATGGGCCTTGTTTAAGTTCCTATTTTCCTCTTCCATTTTCCCCGATATGGATCCTCAACTGTTAATATGGGTCGGTTCAAGAAGCCTGTTTCATCAATATCGGGCACGGCGGCTTGATATGCATGTATGATCCATCTAATAGTATTAAACGAAATGTGCTTGCCTTACGAAAAGACTGGTATATGTAAAGATTCCCTCCCAAAAACAAGAATTTATATGCCCTGTTTCGTTCTACATCCCTGCCCTTGTGTGTGTGTGTTCATATCAACATGAAAATCTTGGAATTAAATGTAAAAAAAAGAAATGGTCGCCCAAACTCTTAATGGTGCGGCGGAAGAAGACAAAAGACAAAGGGAATCAAAGCGTCTCCTCGGATCGGTTAGAGTAGTGGCTCTCTGGGGCATTCGCCTTGACTTGGGCTCCCATATTGGACACCAGGCCCGCCTCGTCGTGGCCCAGCTCGAGGGCACTCTCGTCGACATCCTTGTCCACGGCCGATCTGTCGACATGGTATGATCGTGTCAGCATGATTTCGCCGCGGCCGGTGATGCTAGAGTGGCCGGGATTTTTGAAGTATGAGGAACCGCGCGTGCGTTGGACGTAGAGGGCGCTGACGGCCGGAAGACAGGCACATATCAGGCCAATGCCAGCTTCAGCGTTGCTAATTTTGACAATCATGTTAGCTTGAGTCATTCGAAAGTCCCGTTGCATAGTAGAAACGCAAGACAAAGTCCTTACCCTGACAGAATGACCTTGATAAAAACCATGGTCATGTTGGGGGAGTTGCGCTCGTCAACAATCATGGCCAATCGATAGATGCTAAACGCCGTAGCAACTCCTCCGGCACATAGGAGTCCCGCAACACGGAGGCGTTTTCGTCGAGGCAGTTGTAGCGACCAGGTAAGGGGCGTCGGCAGCAGCAGGATGGCCAAGTCGCTGATGACGCTGATGATGGAGTCGGCCGTGACAATAGCGCTCTGGTTCATGCATTTGCTGGCGTCCCCTGTCCAATACGCAGAAATTGGCCAACATATGAAGATTTTGATGAAGAAGCCGGAGACATAGTATGCGACAATCATGCCGATGAAGATGTAGATTCCGATGAGGGTTCGCCGGTGGACCGATCCAAAGACTCGAATGATGATGATGAGCAGGGCCAGCTTGACGGTCATGGCCATCGGAGCGTAGAAGATGGTGGCAGCATAGCAAGACTTTAAACTGGACGTTAGTTTTCCACCCAAGATGCCGAGGGACGTAACTGTTACCTTGAAGTATTTCTCAACCTCTTCCTTTGACACGTCCCATATATTCAGACCTCCACCATGTGAACCGGCTACCTTGTCGTCAGTGGGATGGCTCGCGATAGCTGTTAAGGGGTCAGTTGAAAACCACACTTACCAAAGCATGCAGTGATGCAGTACCCTATCATAAGCACCTAAATACACGTATTAGCCCTCAATGACACATCAAACTCTGTCTGTCGAATCGTCATACATAAGCCGAGTAAGTTGCATCTGTTTCGATCTCAAGTCAGCCTTTTTTCCGGTACGTTTACCCCTTTTGGATACGACTTCACCCACAGTCATCTGATGTAAAGCCGCCTCCAAGCACTCTAGATTTCGCATAGTATCGTATGGCAACGAAGATGGTGACAAAGAAGATTGTCAACGCTTGGGTGACATAATTCACCGTCCTCAGGACATCTTGCGGGTGAGCAAGGTCAGGGATGACGCCTTCAGGAGGCGGAGCAGCACCGGGATAGCTCATGGCAGGCAAAACTTCATGATTCTGTAACGTAAGGAATAATGTTGAGATGTGCCGAACGTAGAAGGAACAACTTGTGAGCGATAAAGTTGACACTAAGTTGTGAGAAAGAGGAGTAATCGAAAAGATAAAGGGCTAATGCAGGTGTAACAAGATCCGTCTGGGTCCGAAAGCCTCGAAGAAGAGGGAGAGAACAGAAGGGATTAAAAAAAGATTCATTAAAAAAATAGATGCCCTTGCCACACTCGGCTACCAATCGCATCATACCCACCACTCTCCCCGATGGTCAGCTTCACAAGCTGTCATGTTATGTTGTATCGGTATTGGGTCTTGATCCTGTTCGTCTAGGCCTGCAGCTTCAGTCCAGCCATGAAGATAGTGTGTCCCAAGTAACATGCCAAAGTGGACCGGGGACCAGGGACCCGAGCCGTTGTGGGCCCAGCTGCCAACAGAAGATGAATTGGGATAGGCACGGCGCCGTTAAAGAAACCAAGCAGGGGTCATGACGGTGAAGAAAGGCGCCCCCGTGCGAATCGGAAACCGAATCTAGTCTGCCGGGGGGCGAAACACGGCCAACCAACCGCATATCTAGTACAGTACGAGCATGCTGAACCAACAACGAAGATGCTAGTCATGGCACCCCCTCATTATGCAAATCGTCAAACATTGTCAGCAGCCATGGACTTTACGCCTGAGACTTGGACTGGGGCGAGCATGAATGGGCTTGCTGCACCGCCCAACGCCATCATGGAGACCCGACATGGTCTAAAACCACCGTCATGATGATCGTCTGCTCACCTAGTGGAAAAAGATCGTGTGCTTTCGGCAAAAGAACTCCCTGGCCCACGATGTTACCGCTGTGGAGTCACTTCGATGCATCTGGATGGAGTTCAGTGGAGTGCCCTGCAACAAATTTCTCTCAGATCCATGTCGAGGCTTGGGCCTGCGCTTCTCGATAGCATTCAGCCGTCGGTTTCTGTCAGGGGGGGGGGGGAGGTCGTTGATGCAGTCGAGTCCGGTTGTCGTTTTTTACAGTATGTACCGTACATGCAGTCACTATACTTGTACGGAAGAGGTGTTAGGGTTGCAGTAGATACCGGGGTCGCATTCTCTTCTTTTGGAAAATGAGCGCTTTCCCTCCTTTTCTCCTCTGGAAGAGTTTCCCGAGTCATTCTGTTAACGGATAGCTTTTTGCAGCTCGTGTCTTGGTTGAGTAGCATTGCATATCTGTCTGCCTGGTTGGCTTTGGAAGTAAATTGCAAGAAGTAAGAAACAGTACACATCACAGGACAAGATGGGCTCCCAATTCAACGTCGGAAAGGACTCGAAGCTGTTCGAGCCGCTTACCATTGCCAACGGGAAAATCACTCTCAAGCATCGCGTTGTGCTCGCTCCCTTGACGCGAAACCGTGGCACGCCGCTTCGTGAGGATTCGACTGCTGAGAATCCGAATCGCATCTGGATCCCCAATCATGTCATGGCCGAGTACTATTCGCAGCGGGCAACCGACGGCGGTCTGCTCATCAGCGAGGGCATTCCACCTTCACTAGAAGTATGTCACTGTCCCAGTTACCGTAGCATCAAGACGCCGGGGAGTTGACTTCGAGTCATTTAGGGAAATGCCATGCCCGGTGTCCCTGGAATCTTCCTGGAAGAGCAGGCCATCGGGTGGAAGAAGGTTGTCGACCGAGTCCATGCCAAAGGCGCCTACATCTATGCCCAACTCTGGCACTCTGGACGCGCCAACATCCCGCAGCTTACCGGAACACCCATCGTGGCCCCGTCCAGCATCCCCTGGGATGATCCCAACGAATGCTTCATGTATCCCGCTCCTCACTCGGCGACGCCTGTCAAGTACAGCGAGCAGCTACCCCTCGAGCTGACGGTCGATCACATCAACAAGACGATCCGCGACTACTGTGCCGCCGCAAAGACGGCCATGGAGCTTGGCTTCGACGGCGTGGAGCTTCACGCAGGCAACGGCTATCTGCCGGAGCAGTTCCTAAGTTCCAACATCAACAAGCGAACAGACGAGTACGGCGGCTCGCCAGAGAAGCGCTGCAAATTTGTCATTGATCTGATGGCCGAGCTGGCCAAGACGGTGGGGGAAGAAAACCTGGCCATCCGACTTAGTCCCTTTGGCCTCTTCAATCAGGCTCGTAGTGAGCAGCGTCTAGAGACCTGGGGCCACTTGTGCCGCGAGCTGAAGAAGCGCCACCCCACTTTGTCATACGTGAGCTTCATTGAGCCGCGCTATGAGCAAATCTTTTCCGAGGAAGAGAAGCAACAGTTCCTCGACTCGTGGGGGCTTCCCGACGTCGACCTCTCCTTGTTCCGCAAGATCTGGGGAGACACACCCTTCTTCTCTGCCGGCGGCTTCGACCAGTTCAACTCGTGGGGAGTCGTGGAAAGCGGCAAATACGATGCCTTGCTGTACGGCAGATTTTTCATCAGCAATCCGGATCTGGTAGAGAGACTGCGCAATCGCTGGCCTCTTGCTCCGTACGATAGGTCTCGCTTCTACGGACCGTTTGATGATCCAACCATCGGATATATTGATTATCTGGCATATGACGAGAAGTTTTGATTGCACGTAATGATTAATGGGTTACCGGGAGACGCATGTACGTGCAAATTGAGCAGGCATGTTGTTGGATGTTTTACCTGGGGTTAGCTGTTAGCGTTGTCTATGCAATTTCAAGTCACAATGGTAGCAGTACTGTGCATGGAATATGATGATGATGATACCATTGACCGGGCTGCCGGCGTTTACACAACTGCCGCGACCAGAAGACAGCTGAAGATGGTTGCGAGTCAGGGCAGCGGAGCAGCTACATATTTTTCCGTTTTCCCCGGCTGAGATTAGGGCTTCACGCGGACCAGTAGAAAGCGGCTACAGATCGGCCGCAACGTATTCATATCGAAGCCTTGCCGAGCCTTGCCGAGGGTTACATACATAGTAGTAAGATTGTGCCGATATAAGAGCGGCGGAGGATTGCGAAGAGGTGATCTTCAAAGCCGCCGGCTCGTATTAAAATTAAAGCGCAGGGCCAGACGGAGTCATCGGGATCTAGCGGTTATCAGGCCCACGTCAAGTTCAGCGGCCGACAGGGATCTCCCTTGGATACCAGGGGTCCTCGAACCATGCTCGGGCAACTGAAGCTATCCATAGACGATCGCACGGGCCGGCGTTTGACACGTCCGCTTGGGCTGATAAAACGGTTTTCTCAGGTTCAAAATGCGATCTATTTTGGCGCTGCGGTTCAGCTCCAAGTTTGCCGAGGACAGAATGCCTGTGCGTGAAACATGCTCCATACTTGATGTCCATGCTTGTACTCTGTACTGTCGATGCATCGTAAATGACTGATGCTCACATGGACGCCATTCTCCACGATTGCCCCCAGACAGTCAGCTCGTTAAACGGCGACATGACGCATGTAAATACGGTCAACTGAGACATGCCCCAATGCCAGCTAGCTAGCAGGATGTCTCAAGAGTCAAGCCTCAGTCTCGAGCCTCAGTCAAGCCACCGGAAAAAGGGGGGCCGCAATAGGCTACTCGTACACTGCTGTGAGACATGGCGTCGAATATCAGGATAATACCGGGTAGCTGCCACGGTATCCACCTCGGCTCTTCGCCACGAGTTCGAGGCGCCGTATCTGGGCTTGCCAAATGTCAGACATGAAAGCAAACGAGAGACATGTCGATAGGAATGATGTGTAACCATGTCATGAACGGAAAAATCGGACTGAACCGGAGCTGCTGGGCGGCAAACGGAACTTGGACCGGAGCAGGACGGCGGACACTCCGACCATCAACTGGAGCGTCGCACAGCCTTTGTCAGCTCCATCAAGGCACTGACAAAATAGTTGCCTGATCGATTTGGATTTCAGTGCGCACGCCGGTAAAGGATCAAGGCATACTGTGCCACCAAAGGATTAGCCCAGGGGATCGGAAGTTGGGGGCGCGGATTGTTGGCGGGTGGCGGCGCGGATCGAGCTTTTAGACTCTCGGAAACGGCTTGGCAGGCGAGAACTCACCGAGCGTCCAGAAGGGCTGTGCCGTGTGGTCTGCACATGGATCGAATGTTTGTTTGTGGGTGAGAGATGCTGTTAAGTCTTTGTTGGACGACATCTCCAGTCATGTTTCTGTGTCAAGACGGCACGTGAGGGTTGTCGAGTGGCTGCCTACGAGGAAAAGTGCTAACCTACAGGCGCACATGTCGAAGTACAAAGAATTGATCAAGGACTTACTGCCTGCTCCAGCCTCGGTGCGTGTAACATTGATGTACATGTGGTATTTTGAACAAAGAATTCGCCGTAGGCAGCAGCAGCAGAGCCTCTTGATTCTTGTGCGGAGTGAGCATTCGGCCAATGCTGTTTTGTCATTCGTGATATCTTCACATATGAGTGTAACAGTACGTACTCGCCATCTGGTATATCAAACCCCGATATCGCTGATCAGCTGCGAATCCTTTCCCCCCAAAAGCGCTGATGATACCCCCAATCAAAGCATCCTTGCAACAGTCATCAAGATCTTTAAAAAAAATCCCTTTAAAAATTCTTTGAGCTCATTGTTCAAACATTCAACTTCTTTGTCCCCCCAAGCTCCGCCACATGAAAGCGTGCCTTGACGTCAGGCGACTTTTGCCCTCCATCAGGCGCCCCGTCGGAGTCGCCCATTGGCTCGCGTGACGTCAGGAGGCCCCCAAAGCCTGCAAACCCAAACCCCCCTGCAGCCTCTCAGCGCGCCCGGATCGCTGGAAACCCGCCATCAAGTCGCTGCAGGACCCAAAGCCAGATGCACCTACGAGTCCGGGCACAGTCAATCGGAAGCCTGGAGGCCTGCTATGCGAGCCATGGCTTGCTGTAAATCGCCGCAAGCTTCGAGCATCATCCCCTGTAAGGCTTCTGACCTGCACAAGTCAGCGGGGCTTATCACTGCCGTCCAACCTCAGACATACGAGTACAACAAGACCTACATGCGGCATCATCCATCCGGCCTATACATAAAGCTGCGCATTTCCCTCGTTTGATGCCGCCCTTTTCTTGGCTCTGCAATGTCTCTCTTTAGCTTTTCCTGAGAGTTTAGTTACACATTCATCCATTCTCTTGTCCCCCCCAGCAGAGCTTCAATACCATGCCCTTCTCCCCGCCAACGCGGTATCCAGAGCCGGAGCCCTCCCAAGGCCTCAACCACTCATATTACCATCCTGACGAGCCTCTCGACTCGTCTCAAGGTGCTTCATCATCTCGTCGCCGATCCGAAAAGAGCCGTCGACCCCCGTCTCCCGGGTATTCGCCCGACGACGACCGCAAATCCCGGCGCGGCAGCCGTCGCGAGCCGTCACCAGGATATGCAGATGCGAAGCCATCCCGCAGTCGCAGATATCCAGACCCGCCGCCCTTCGCTGCACCCTCTCCTCCGCCACAGCGAGACCTTCGCTCGTCCCGCCGTGACCGCGACCGTGATCGCGACGCTTATTCGCCGAGGGACTCACCGAGAGATTCGCAGCGAGATTCGCGCCCCCGAGATGCTGACCGACGCTCACGAGACATGTACCCCCCTCCTCCGTCAGAGCCACGTGAGCGCCGTCACAGGTCCTCGCGCCGCGAGCCATCCCCAGAAGCACCCCGGCGCTCTCGATATGCCTCTCCAGAACCCAAGAGTCGTTCTTCACGAGGCCTCCCGACACCCCAGTTCGATGACCGGAGCAGCAAGGACCCTCGTTCCTCTCGCCGGTCCCGTGGAGGGGCATCATCACCGCCGCCGCAGCAGTCATCACGCTCTCGCAGCGCTATAGGTCCCCGCGATGACGGCGGAAGAGATGGACGAGAGCGGCGACATCGCTCACAGCCACGTTCACAGCCTCGCGACATGGATGCGAGCCACGTCTCAAGTCGTAGCCGGGACCGGGACCGGGATCGAGGCCATGATCGCAGCGGCCGTGATCGTGCACCGGCCACCAGCGGTGGTCACAACTCCTCACTCAAGCGCCGCAGCACCATGCCTGCAGTGGCCAACTCGAGCGCAAAACGCACAGGCGGCAGCAACACCGCCTGGTGGAAGAGCCCACTGGTCCAGGCCGGCGCTCGCACCGCCTTCGCTGCTGGTGCCCAGGCCTTTATGCAGAACCGCAAAGAAGCCGGTCCTTGGCTTGGGGCAAAGGGAGCCAAGGTTGCTACGGCTGCTCTGACGGCTGCCTTGGCTGACGGACTGGCTGGCGCTGGCAACAAGAGGCGTTGATGAGGAGTCATGTGCCAGGGACGACGAGTCACCTTTTCTCCCTTTCTTTTCTATTTGTTCTGTTATGCGACAGCGATGATTATGACGACGATGGCGGCAATGGCTTTGTTTTATGTTTGATCAACTTCGCAAACTGGTTTTGCCCACGGAGGACTTTTTACCCACACGACGATACGAATTCAACAGATCTAAGGCGTTTAACAGAGCGCTACTACTGCTAGTTTTATTTTATTTTGCTCTCCTTCTTGGTGCGAGATCAAGATAGACGGCTCCATTTCAAGGATACCTCTTCTCTCACGGGATATACATGCGGCGGCATAATTCTCCTTTCCTCACGACGACGACTTTGACAAATTTTCTCATCCTTTAGCCAATCCCACTTTCCACTTGCGGTAGATAGCTATGTATGATAATATAGGAAATATAGGGTAGCTTATACCAACCAATTCTTACCAAGTCCCTACCTCTCGCCAATTGTGAAGACACCATCCTCCTCCCCCTTCCCCGTCCAGCAAATATCGCGACTCTTTCTCTCATCGTCCTTGAGTCCCAACAACCACCCTCTCGCCCATTCAATCATCCAAGGCACTTTGGCCGAGCGGTCTAAGGCGCCGTGTTCAGGAGCAATCCAGAATCGCGGTCTAGAAATAGGCGAGGGTTCGAATCCCTCAGGTGTCATGAATTTATCTTTTTTGTCTTTTTGCTCCATCCTTGTCTGAAGCATCTTGTTGAAATCTTTCTCTGCTCCAGTCATTATAGTTTCCATGTCATTGAATTCATTGATTGCATTATAGTCGCTGTCAAGCCAAAGCTAGATCGAACAAAGATATCCCAACAATCGCCATTGTAATTCACATCCATTCGCAAGCACATCGTATATACCAGTCTCTTCAATAATCGTGATTCAAATCTCGCCCCCTTACGCCTGCGAGCCAATGTTCCAAGGCTTGCATTTGGACGCAATGCACAGGCCATTGCAGCAAGCTCCCACGTACTGGCCGTCCGGACCAAAGCAGGAACCTTTTTCATGAATCAGCATACAAGCATCAGAGTCACCCGACTATCCTTCATCCGCAAAGCTTACCATAAGTCTCAACGCAAGTCCCCTGGCAGGTGATGCTGGTAACCGCCTGGGGGGGATCAATCACAACCTGCTGTGTCACACCGTCGGCAGCAATGGTGCTGCTCAGATTCTTCGCCCCGGGAGTCTCGATAACACACGCCTCGAGAACGTTGAAGTCGGGGGCGTCAATCCGCTGAATTGGAAGGGTGCTGTATGTCAAGACGGGGTTTCCATCGGCCGGAACAGCCAGAGGGTAAGAGTGATCATCGCCCTCCGAACGAAGAGTGACGTGAGCAGTCTGCACAGTGTCTTGGGCCAAGGAGAAGCCGGCAAAGAGGCCAATGGCAACGAAAGAGGCGAAGAACTTCATGTTGGGCGGTGAAATTGAGGCTGCTATGATACTTGGGATGTTGGGTGTTTTGTTTCAAGGGCTTGTTTGTTCGTTTCCTGCTGTTTCCTTCAAATCGTCTTCTAAACACTGGCGGTATCACCTGTTTATATATTCTTGCGGCACCCTCCCCTTGCAGCCTAGTCTGGTAAGCAAACTGACGATCTTTTCGCGTCTCACTCTGTGCATTCAGGGTCCCGACGTCATTTGCCCCCTGATGCCCAGATCAGAATACGAGAAAAAGAGAGAAAAAAAGAAAGTAATCAAGAAGCGGTCAATGCAATGCAACTTTGCTGTACTCGTGATGCTGGATCCATCTGTGACGCCTGATGAGTGAGCCTTTGTTGTTGTTGTCTATTTTTATGCCCCTTCATTTGTCAACCCGGAAAACAAGGTTGACAACAAGTCTAATGCAGAGATATGCCCGATTAATCCTTCTGCCGAGGGGCCGAACCGCATCTTCAATGGTATCAACACAACAGGTAATGATATCCTTGCCTTACCGACCCGGTGCTTTAGTGCTGCCATTCGGAGTTTTGACAAAGACAAACCTGCTTCTTCCGGTCCCATGAAGCTCGTATCTGCAGGAAGTCGACAAGAATGCCACGCAGCGGCATCTGATTAGATAGATCTGCCGTATGGCCTGGAAATGGAGAACACAGGGAACCCCTGTGTGAGATGCTAATATCCCCTGATTGGGGCATGGCCGACGGGCCGATGCTTGAACAGTGTATCCCTCAAGGTATAGTATCCTATACCAGTGGTGTGAGATATATGTTGCGCATAAATAGTATCTACATTCGTTGTGCTCCCTTTCACATTGAGAGAGAAGAAACTCCAAATCATGCGGAGTATATAGCACACCGATTCCATACCAAGCGGTCAAATCCCGTCGCTAGACTTTGACGTCGGCAACTTGTCAAGGACAGGATAAACTGGGGCATTCACCCACAAAAGTCAACCTATCCACAGACATCAATCACAACTTCACACGGAAATGTCAATCATTCTGCCCGGCAAAAAGAAAACATCACAGAAACCTGAGAGAAAAAATTTGACCGAGACAGGGGTCGAACCTGCAACCTCCTGATTTACTTAATCGTAGTCAGACGCTCTGCCATTGAGCCACACGGCCTATTTGATTGGTAGTCAGGGGGAATATCCTAGCCTATGACGGAAGATTGGAGTTGAAAATTTCGCTCACAGCCCGCAAACTCTTGGATCACGCGGCAAATCAATGTTCCGGGTTGTCGCCTTTCGCTCGTCCATTTCAGAAGTCCCGCCATTGCGAGGGTCACATTCTCCATAGTATTGTTCCGCAAGCAGCGGGACTGATTTGCCTTTTCACAAGCACAATGTTGTCTCTTAGATTTATTCTGTATTATTGACACTTACCAGGAGGCCAGATAGACCCTCCCCTCGTAAGGACGCAAAGACCCTTCTTCAATCTTGCCGTCATACGAAGACATGATTGGCACAAACTTGACATCGGCTCCCACTTCAATTTCTAGCTCGTCAACAGTGGGCTTCTCCCATTTCTTCGCCTCGCCAGTAAAGTTGAGCACAACGACAGCCTTGGCCGATCCATTGGACGGCGGCTCCTTCACAAAGGTGTAAACATCCTTGTCCTCCTCCCGTAGTGTCCTGTAGTCGCCGTATACGAGCAGATCGGCATACTCCTTTCGGAAGAGTACTGCCTTTCGCCAGTAGGCCAAAACGCTGTGCGGATCATCAAGCTGCGAAGCGACATCAATTTGGCCAGCCAAGGGGTGAGGCTTCATCCAGGGCTCTTTGACCTCCTTGCCAGACTTCTCCGCTTCTTCAGAGAAGCCGCCGTATTTTGCTTTCCCATTCCATACCATTGGAACACGGGGATGGTCTCGCGCGAAGTGTGCCAAAGAGGTGAGCGCCTTGTCCATGCCTTGGCTGTTGCGGTGTTCCCGGATGAAGTCAAGGTAGAGACAACTGCTGACATCAATGTAATTCTCAAGCGGATAGCCCTGCTCTGGGACATTGATGGACCCAATCTCCTGGCCCTGGTAAATGTACTGGGTGCCGCTTAGACACGCCTGCAAAAGAGCCAGCATCTTTCCACTTGCAACTCGATGCTGAGGGCTGTCATCTGCAAAGCGCGTAATTGATCGCGCCTGGTCATGGTTCTCCAAAAAGACTGTTGTCCATGCGTCCGTACCTTTGATCAGATTTTGAGTCCGAGCGATGGCTTCTTTGAACTCGGGTAGCTGCCAGTCCTTGGGCTTTGCGTCGTACCTCAGTGGACGGTTGAATCCAACGTTTACCACGTCGAACTGGAAAACCATGTCCAGCTGCTTTGCTTCTGCGCTTACATATTGTAGCACGCGCGCCATATCCGGCGTCGCCGGAAGCTCACCAACCGTGATGGCCCCATATCTTGCCAGAATCTGGTTCATTTCGCTGAGGAACTCGTGCATTCTGGGACCATTGCAGTACAGCATATCGGCCACTTGATATGGAGCTCCAGGGTCTAGTTCCGGTGCATCAGGAAGACCGGGTGGCTTGCTGTACATGTTCACGGTATCGATACGGAAGCCATCAACACCGCGTTCAAGCCAAAACTCCATTGCTGAAGCATACAGGGCTTTGCGTGTGGCAGGGTTCTCCCAGTTTAAGTCCGGCTGCTCCTTGGCAAACAAGTGAAGGTAGTACTCGCCTGATTGCTCGTCCCACTCCCACACGCTGTCGCCGCCAAACTTGCAGCGCCAGTTGTTTGGAGGAAGACGCTGGCCAGTGGGCGAATACTTGGCCGGTCTCCAGATGTACCAGTCACGCTTCGAGTTGTCTTTGCTTGAACGGGACTCCTTGAACCAGGGATGCTGATCGGATGTATGATTGATAACAAGATCAAGCATAATCTTCATACCTCGAGCATGGGCCTCGCGGATAAGAGTTTCCATGTCTTGTAGAGTGCCGTAAGGGGGGTAGACGTCTTCATAGTTGGAGATGTCATATCCCATGTCAACCTGAGGGCTGTCGTACATGGGACAGATCCAGACCACATCAACGCCGAGACTAGCTATGTAATCCAGCTTAGAGGTGATGCCTGGGAGGTCACCGATTCCATCTCCATTAGAATCACAGAATGATGCCGGGTAGATTTGGTAGATGATGGCATGTTTCCACCACAATTTGAGACGTCCAGGCACAGTCATGTTTGGAAGTAGATCTTGCAAAAAGAATTTGGAAACTTATTGATGAGGCTTAGTAAATGAAGTCCTCAGTCGTCGTAAATGAAGCAAAAGCCGTAAAGGAAGAATTGTTGTCCAGTTCAAAGAGTAAACGGCAAAGAGAAACTGGGCTGTTTACTTCGTTTTGGGCACCGAAAAGGGGGGTGAATTCATCCAAGAATTCCAGCATAGCTTTGGAAAATCCCGAACCGGGCTCTTAAATCCCCGTGTAAACCTTTATTGTCCAGCGATAGCGGAGAGCTCGCCCAACAGTTTTGCAGCACTACGCTGCTTGGAACTCCACAGTTATGGGGGGTTGAACATGACCGAGAAGCTTGTTCTTTCAAGTTTCCACTGATAGGAGCGGCGGACGTTTACCGAGACTCATAATCATCATCTCCGGAGTAGCACTTGTAATGTCTATTTGTCGATAGTTGGCCGAGACCCCCCTTCGTGTTGCCGGCTGGCGTAGATACTTCCCAGAAAAGGCGGGGGAAGTTCTCGTGTGGACCGGCTAAAATCGCAGAAGGAGAGTCGCAAGCCATGATTAGCTGAATGTCGGACTGACGAAAAAGAAGAGATGTCCATTGGACCATTGTCGGCCCGATGCTATGCCTTTTTAGCATCAAGCTCGCCGGCCGCTCTGACACCGGGACTTCATGATCGTTGGTTCTTACGGTTTGTAATGGGTCCTTGGCATGTTATTCCCCGTTTTCGAGGCCACTAGTAGTGTCTCATGGCATGGTAAGCATAGATAATTCGCTCCGCGTGCCGTTAAAGCAAGGCAGTAGCCACTCCGATTACAACCTATTTGTCCCTTAAGCCCGTGACAGAGGTTGAATGAGTGGAGCCTGATGTTGAGACCCATATCTAGGACTAAACACAGCTTGATCTCGGCAAGGTGGCGTCGTGTCAGGCCTACCTGGACTGAGAGACTGCTTCTTCATGATGCTGTTCTCAGATGTCCAAATTTTGAGCTAACAGTCGAACCAGCTGAAGAATAGTCTCATCTTGGCGCTCAAGAATCGAATCACCTGCTAGAGTTCAAATTACTATGTCGGGCCGACATCCTGCGACGACGCAGGCAATGGTTCGAGTACTGTTGTCAGCTGCAAATCGGCTCCCATGCTTCAGTACATCGTGGGGTCCCCATGGGGTAGTTGACGAGAGTTGCTGGTCAGCCCCCCTCGGTTGCGTTTTAGATCATCCCAGACTAATATCCTGAAAGGTGGGCTATTGGTATCTTGCCTGTTTGGGTGTTTGCCACAGACCACGACCACCTTCAGGTATGCAGGGCTCTCATGAAAGTCATTCATCGCCCTCCAGATGTACTGCTGGTGGGTAGCAAGCAGAAACAACAACAACATGAGGCAGATCAGTAACTGGCTGCTGAAATCAAAGGATCAATCCGAGCAGTCTTTCTGACACTCACTCAAAGTCTGGTGGTGCGACTTTCATGTCTCGGACCGACAGGGCAGTCTAGACTGGACCAACTTGGATGCCGAAGAACCGCAATTGACACTCCACAAAGTCTGCAGGCTCCCATGATGCCTCCACGTTTACCCCGGACGAAGCTAGATGACCGACAACTCTTCGGATCGCTTTTAGACCAGGCGGAGGTGAGCGTGTGCATGCGTCCAACTAACTGCCAGTGGCGCACTAGTTTGGCCTGAGCTAAATTGGACCATATTATCCGCTTAACGCCCACGCCGTGGCTTTCGAGGTTCCATGTCATCCCGTCAATAGCCACGATTCTTTTTTTCTTCTCTCCCCTTTCACCAACTCCATTACTACACTATTGTGTAGAATCTTGCTTGGGGCCGGACTTGCTCACGACGCCTGATGATCGTGTATATAAGTTCCAACCAAGTACCGCTTTTGGAATCTTGTTTCCTCTCCTCTTTTCTCATCCAGTCCCCAATTTCCCAGTCTTGAGCCTGTGGTGTGGATGACTTGAGAGACTCTACTTTGCTTCAAGGCTTATAACCCCCTTTCAGTTTCTTCCTTTGCTGCTGCCTCATAATATCATCAAGATGGCAGAGAGTGAGGACATAGAGCCGCACCAAGTGTCGGCACCCGTGCCGACCAAGGTGGACATTTCGACTGTCCAGGAGGCTGCGGCGGCCACTGATGCCGAACACAATATGGGCTTTGTAAGGTCCTTCAGGCTGTATTGGAAAGCTTGCTTGTGGTCCATCTTTATCTCGACTTGCATCATCATGGACGGCTTCGACACGGCCCTCCTGCGGTCGCTCTTTGCGTACCCGGCCTTTCAACGTCAATTTGGAGTCCTACAGCCCAACGGATCTTACCAGCTCACGGCCGCCTGGCAGTCTGGGCTCACCAACGGGGTGCTCTGTGGCTCAATCATTGGCCTCTTCATGAACGGTATTCTTGCCGATCGCTTTGGATACCGCAAGACCTTGATTGGTGCGCTGATTGCAATCACTGGCTTCATCTTCATCATCTTCTTTTCCAAAACGCTACCTCAGCTCCTCGCTGGAGAAATCCTTGCCGGCATCCCGTGGGGCATCTTCCAGACGCTGACAACCACGTACGCTTCGGAGGTCTGCCCTACCCATCTTCGAGCCTATTTGACGACGTATAACAATCTCTGCTGGGTTATCGGCCAGTTCATCGCATCTGGCGTGCTCCGCGCCATGGTCTCTAGGACGGACGACTGGGGCTATAAAATTCCATGGGCACTGCAGTGGATGTGGCCAGTGCCCTTGGCAATCGGCATCTATCTTGCTCCAGAGTCTCCCTGGTGGCTCGTCCGCCGAGGAAAGCTGGATGAGGCCAAACACTCGTTGGCCCGCCTCACCAGTCGCAACGTTGAGGACGCCGATTTTAACATTGACGAGACGATATCGATGATGATTCACACCAACGAGATGGAGAGGGAATTGACCGCGGGCACCACGTACTGGGACCTCTTCAAAGGCGTCAATGCTCGCCGCACAGAAATCGTCTGCATGGTCTGGATGGGCCAGACTCTCTCCGGCTCAAACTTCATGGGATACTCGACATATTTTTATCAGCAAGCCGGATTGGCCGTCAGCAGCTCCTTCAGCATGTCCCTCGGCCAGTACGGCATTGGGATTGTCGGCACCATTCTCTCTTGGTTCCTGATGACTTGGTTCGGCAGAAGAACATTATTCTTTACCGGTCAAGTGTGCGCATGCCTCATCCTCTTCACCATTGGCTGCGCGTCTTTCGCGGGCTCAACCAACACCGGTGCGCAATGGGGTATCGGCTCCTTGCTCCTCGTTTTCACCTTTGTGTACGATTGTTCAGTTGGTTTGTCTCCCGCGTCATCGGCGATCTCGTCTCCATAACACTAACACGTAGACTATTAGGTCCCATTTGTTATTCCCTCGTTGCCGAGCTCACATCCACCCGTCTGCGAACCAAGTCTGTGGTGTTGGCACGGAACATGTACAACATTGCCAGCATCGTCGCCAACATCCTGACACCACGCATGCTCAACCCCACCGCATGGGGCTGGGGTGCCAAAACAGGCTTCTTCTGGGCCGGCACCGCATTATGCTGTGCTACCTGGACCTTCTTCCGCCTCCCGGAGCCCAAGGGCAGGACATACGGTGAGCTGGACACCTTGTTTGAACAGGGAGTGAGTGCGCGCAAGTTTGCCACCACCGCTGTGGGAAGGATTGATGCTGGGTTTGAGTCTGTTTCGATTAGAAAGGATGGAGGTTCCACGGCCGAGATTGAGCAAGTAGCGACCAAGTCGTGAAGCTCGTCGTCTGGGGAACAGGTCTAGACCATACGAGTACTCTCCCGAAACAAGCCGTTTGTTTTTGTTGCTCCCACAGGCTCGAGTGTTTGTTTATTCACGATCCCGATTCATGCTGTTGTGTTGTTTTACCCGTGCTTCTTGTCTTGTAATGCAAAATAGCCAAAATGGCCTAGCCAGTTGCAGCCTCCGATTCAGACGCTCTTCTCTTTTGCCTGCCGTATTGAGCACTTGCACTCGTGATCGCACTCCGCAATAGCATGGACTCCGTTCTCCGAACTCCATAGTAGAAAAGAGCGCTCCAAAGCCCATGGATGCAGAGCAACACGTGGGGGCGAAAAGCCACGTTCTCGCCCAGAAGCTGAAAAAAAAAAGTCCTTAAATCGCGAGGCAGGCCGCTTCTTCGCCTTTCCCCCCCACCTTTCTCTCCGCCAAACACAATACAGCCCGGCTGGTGGGGGAATACAGTAGACCAAACAAATCTTGGTTTGTGGTTTTCTGATCGCCATTGTTTATTCTCCCGCATCGCCTCCCCTCCCTTGGTCTTGCCGCCGTGTGAGCGTGTGTGAGTCGGCGTCTCGATCCGTCCCAACCTCCAACCTCCATCCGTAGTCCCTCTCATTGCACCGAGAATCCCGGCCCGGGGCGGTCAAAGTGGTGCCGCTCTTCTTCTCTTCTTCTTCTGCTGCTGCTGCTGCTGCTGCTGCTTCTGCTCCTCTCTCTCCTCGCATTCCGGCTGCTGGACCCATTCGTTAGGCTCAGATTAGTGCCGCCATGAGCTAAGAGCCCCCGATTCCATCTCATGCGCATCCTCCATGAGTAACAGAGCGGCACAAGCATGCGATGGATGCCGGGTGCGCAAGGTGAAATGCAACAGCACTCAGCCTTGCTCGCAATGCTCACATCTGGGCCTTGCGTGCATCTACTCGCCATCGACTAAGCGCAAGCCCAGTGTCCGCAACCGCCTTGTCACGCAGCTTCGCAACAAGTCCAATGTAGCAGCAGCTTCGCCAAGTCGCGGCAGCACGTCTTCGTTGGCTGATTATCCGGAAAGGCCACCGGGCCCGGCGGTTACATCCATCGCTGGGATAGTGAACCCAGAGCAAGATGCGACCCCCGTCGGCGGCGGCGTTGGATTTGGTTCTGGAAGAGGAGATTCAGGTATTGGAGCTGGAGTTGGAAGCGGGTTTAGTAGTGTCGGGATTGGCTCGAGGACTGCTGGCCTTGGCGTAGAGCCCTCCTTTGACGGTTCTGCCTTCAACACTTTCAACACTGGATTCTTCATCGGCATGTTGCCCAAGTATGAAGAGCAGGTGTACCCAGTTAGCCCCATCATCACGAGTTATGAAGTGCGCCAGGCAATCGACAGCATGCATTCCAACCTCGACGACGCGGCCTTCGTCTACGCGATGGGGGCGGTAACAATCAATCTTACGACTCCCACGGTGCATGGGGAGGCGGGGGCCAAGATGACGGAGCTGATACGACTCGGCCTCAGCGCGTATAGACGGGCAGACTCGATGGCCGACGTCAAGAACGGGAGGCTGACTGAGATGCGGACCACGTTTAAGCGCATCATGACGTGCATCTTTCTTGAGGTTTCCATGATGGCCTTTAATCGCTTCGACCGCAGCTTTGCCACGCTGCGTGAGGCCATGACAATGGTGCAGATGATCCACGTCCAGCAGTGCTCGCACAACGCAGTGCCCCTTGAACCGCGTGACGTGCCCAAGTTCCAGCGCGTATACTGGGAGGTCTTTATCCACGAGCGCTTCTTGACAATACTCTCTGGGTTTCCGTGCATCATGACGCCGCTGCCTACGGGCTTACCTGTGCGAGACACATCGATCCCGGCACATATCGATGTCGGATTCAACCGCCTCATCCGTCTGTTTCAGATCATGGACGGGCCCTTTCTGCTGTACTGGAATGCGCAGCAGAACCCGGCGCAGCCCGTGCCGGGGATATCACTACAATGGATCGAGAGCAAGCAGGCCCAGCTCGACCAAGACGAAATTGGAGCTTCCGAAGCCGAGCAGGCGCTGGTTGATAGCGGGCGAGGGTCGTTTACGGAGTTACAACACGTCGATTTGTTTGTGACTCGACTCTGGATGCGCACGCTGCTGTGGCAGTTTGGGCTTACGCACCGCTTTCTTCGCTCGGCGCCATCACAAAACATCCACGAAGGCCTGTCAATCCACTTCCCAGCGCACAGGCTGTCTGTTCAGTTGCGAGCCCTGGTCAGCCGTCTGGAAAACGTTTCCACCATTGTCACACACGGCATTGGGCTCTTGCAGAAGATATTTGAGATTACGAGCACGGTGGCGGACGTGCTTGCCCTGCCAGTGGGCTATGGCCAGTCTCAAGAAGAAGTAAGAAGCCGGATAGAAGATTTTGCATTTCTGGTCAAGTTTTTGTTCAGCTTTGAGAGAGCGGAAAAGGAGCAGCGAGACTATCTTCGTGACAAGCTCGAAGGGCTTCAGCAGCAGTACCCCATGGTGAACTTTGCTGACATGGTTGGGTTGAGCCCGTACTGATTCTGAGTAACACAGAGTAGCACCTGTAGGAAACTGGCATATGATTAGCATGTTTCTCTCTCTCTCTCTCTGTCTCTCTCTCTGTCTCTCTCTCTCTCTCTTTTTTTTAATTTCTCCCTGCATGAGCTTGGGATTCATGTGATACTTGGTGCAACCCGAGGCACCGTATACGACAGCTAATATTAGAACTTACACCGTGCTCATGGCGTCCTGTCCCGATATGCCCCCATGCTTGTGTGAGGTGTTGTGCCGTGTCTATGGCGTCGTTGGTGTGAGACAACCAGCCGCACCTTGTGGTCAGAAGCTTGAATTTGGCCCAATTGGACGAATCATTGCGAAGCCCGTTGCGGCATACCATGTGCTCTCAGAGAGAGAGCTGGAAAAAAAAGTAGAAAAAAGGATCCCCCTGTATGTTATGCCACTAGGGGATGCCGGATGCAGCGGCCGAGCTGCCGTGCGAGTGCAGCAACAGCAGCAGCAGTCAATGCCTTTGTTCGCCACACAAGGAGTGCTTGACTATTGATTATTGATTATTGTATCATCTGGGTGGACAGGCTAAGATCGTCGGCAAGTCGTAGTCGCAAGACCAAAGCGGGAGCGGCGTGGGGCCGAGCGCCTAGAGGAGCTCTAGTTGTTCTGGATGTTTTGTCGTCTCTCCCTCGAGTCCCACACTGTAACGGCTGATGAATGAAAGAGTGGATGGCGAGTAACGAACGAGCTGAAGCGGAAGATTGATGTGAAGTTGATATGATGGAAGAGTTCAAGTTGTGTGTTCTCTCTCTGTATTTCCCTCCTCTCCACCTTCTGTCCTTCTCTCCTTGGGTGCTTCTATGCTGGGTCACGGGACAGCAGCAATTGGGATTGGAAGGCGCTGTAAAGTCAATCCAAAACACGCGAGACACGCGAGATACTCGCCTAGCATCGCTTCACGATGGACGGCAATTGGGAAGCCGTGCTACAGCTTGTTGTAACAAGGCAAGACAGACAGACACCACGCCCGTACAAAAGTACATACATGTACCCTCTTGCATGCTGCCTTAGTACAGGTAAGGTAGGTACCTACCTGGTAGGCCCTATGTCGGGTCAATTCAACATCAGGCACATGTACCCATATTGCCATACTCCACTGCTCATGCAAGCAAGTGCCTCCGAAATATCAGGTGACGCCTAAAAGGCTTCACATGCCAATTAGACTTGCAGCCGTTTAATCCCAGCTTTCGGTGTCGTGTCGCAGAAGCCAGAGGAATAAAAAGGCATGCCATGCCGGGGAAATAACAAAAGTAAGAAACACAAATGTGACGTGTACTTGGTCTGAACAAATCACAGCTCCCCCTTGCATATGCTAATGCATCTTTTGTTATTGCCCGGTACTCCGTCAGCTTCTCCGTATATCGGGTGGACATACGAGTACTTTATGCTGGCAGAAAGCCCCGACTGCTGTCTCGGGTTCGAGACCTCTGAGACTCTTTTGGCGCCCGCAGGTGACTAGATCGGCATTCGCTGGAGCGGCTGGCGCGGCCTCTCACGTACAGTACCGATACCAGACTGTGAGTGAGCCGTCTCACCGCCAGAGTTGTCGAGGATCATAGACGCCCAAGTATAGATACATCTGCTGCTTGTCTTCTTTTTACCTCTTGGTTTCTTTTTCTTTCCATTCCTTTTTTTCCATATTTGCTTTTGAGCGGCTGATTGCGAAACAAAGGGCTGCTTGCATTGCGCCAAATCAACACAGCTTGCAGCTTACACCGGCCCACGATGGCTTCAGCTGCCAGCCAATGAAACCGACCACTTGCCGCACTACTAGCGCTGTCTTGTCTGTCTTGGGTTGTCCCGCACGAAAACGAATTGCATGCGAGGGGGGAGGGCGTTTCTACCATTTGGCTCTGCATCTGCATCTGCATCTGCCTCTGCCTCTGCCTCTGCCTCCAAATCTCCATCTCTGTGTCTGTGTCTGTGTCTGTGTCTGCAGCAACTCTCCAACTCTGCTACCTACTTATTAATAATATACCGTCTGTCCACGGAGCCGTCTCCGCAATTTACGTCTTACAGGTGGGCTCCTGATTCGATATCCATGCGCTGTCATGAGTCCAGATCCAAGGGCCTGTTCGTCTTATCCACCACAGCCTCGCGCAGGGCCCAGTCCCGTCCTCGGGGCTTTTGGTGGCCAGGCTAGTGCTTCGTACAGTAACAGTAACAGTGCAGTAGCAACAGTAGATGGGGTTTCTTCTCTCTGCTTCGGCTCCTGCTGCCCTTTTTTTTTTTCAGGGTCCCCCCTCCAAAATCAAAGCCGCCTCCACTCACGATAGTGGCATGTTTGACTAAGGCACCAACGCCACGAGAAATCGCTGCGGCCGGGCAAATTACACCCGTAACAGCCGCTCGGCCGCCTTTGGCACTATTTCCTGGGAGCTCTAGGCCATTCCGGCCGCTACGGTCCCGGCCTGTTTTGATTTTCACCTGTCAACTGCTCCTTCTTTGACCTCGTCCTTCTTGCCACCCGTCAACCTCGAGGCCGTACCCGTAGTCTGTCTATCTATCAAAGTTCGAGCCTTTCCTGCTTGAGACTGAAGCGAAGCCCCAGTCCTCCGCCCGAGATTTTGCGGGACCACGACCGCTGATCCCCTCGTACTGCACTTCAACCTCGCCTGACCCTGAGGTTCCGCCCTATACAGTATCCTTTGTGCCGTGCCGTCCCTGTGCCCTGCCCTGCATCATCTCTATCTCTCGTCTTTTTCATCTCTCGCCTTCCATCATCATACTGGGACTCTACGCATTCCGTTATCTTCTGGCCCTCTCAACGCCGCTGGTCTGGGAACTGGGCAGGGTCGGGCGCTGTCAAGAGAGCATCATCTTTCTCCTCTGGTCTCGTGGATCCCGACAATCGACGTAGCATTGCAGCTTGATTTTTGCAAGGGACTATTGCAACTATTTTCTTTTTCTTTTTTTCGGTGTGCGTTTGGGATCTCGGGAATAGCGCCTGGCTGCGCGCCCTCATTCGGCCAAAATTTCAACCTTAGAGCGGAACCTGTACGACCTCCAGGGAAAGAGAAGAAGAAAAAACTTGCCTTTTCCCGCACAACGCCATCGGCACGTCAGATAGACGCAGCATCAGACAATGGATGGGCGCCCTTTGCCGCATTACAGGGCTGTGTCCGAAGCAACGCGCCAGCGCGAGACGTTCAAGTCAGTTTGGCATGATAGAGTTCCCACTCACTTCGCTCATTTCCCCTTCCCTTGAGTCAAGAGACGACGTTGAAATCGTCTGAGAAATCATCGTTTGATAAATACCGAAGATTGTGAGAGAGACCCCGGCTAATACAATGTCTGACAATAGATATGACCCGACACTCTTGTCCAATTCCAAGGTGAACAACGCGGGCGTCGCTCTGCCAAGCTCTGAGCTGACGCCGTCGCGGGACTTGGTTCTGACCGCCCTTGCTCAGCTGGCTGTCTTTCAGACGGGCACAGAAAGAGCCTTCATCTCACTTTTTGACGTGGAGCATCAGTATTTTGTCGCTGAAGCAACTAGGACGTTGCTCACTTCACCAGATGACACCGATCTTGGCCTTTGGATGGTTGGCACTGCCATTCCTCGTGCCCACAGCACATGCGAGTATACCCTTCTCGAGTCAGATCGTCTCGAGAGGGCACGAGAGAATGCAATCCTCACCGACCCAGCTCAGTTTGATCACTGCGAAAACGATGGCGATCCAACGCAGCTGCCGGTCCTCGTGGTCCCGGATCTCTCCACTGACGACCGTTTCAAGTTGAAGCCGTACTGCCGGCCTGGAGGTGGACACCGCTTCTATGCGTCTGTGCCTATTCGAACGCAGAGAGGTATCAACATTGGCGTGCTCTGTGTCGTGAGCCCCGAGCCCGATCGCAGATGGAGCGACCACTATTCGAATTTGATGCGTAGACTGTCCGTTGCCGTCATGGATCATCTGGAGGCGAATTTTTCAAAGGTGGCCTATCGTCGCAGCGAACGCATGATTCGAGGCCTCGGCTTCTTTGTTGAAGGAAAGGCAACCGAATCTTCCTGGGCGTCCGTTGCTGGTAGGGAGACGTTTACCGAGACACCAGATGCCTTGTTTCTGGCTCGACAAGGGCTCAAGGGAGAAGCTGAAAATGCCAACGGGCCGCCTGTTTCCGAAGCGACAGCCCACTCAACCCCCAACTCTGAGCGATCTCTTTCCCCGGATGGGGAACGGCTCGACCCCAATCGCAAGAAGGATCAAGCAGGGAAGCAGACGGCAGAGACGAAATGGGCCGACAACTTTGTTCCAGGCCCAAACCCAATGATGGACACATTTTCTGAAGCTGCCATTATAATCCGCGAGTCGCTGGAGACGGATGGGTGCCTCTTCTTGGACGCAGCCCCTGGATCGTTTGGCGAATACGGCAAGAGAAAGGGCCGCTCCTCGGGCCACCCTTCTTTTCGAGATATTGACAGCAGCAGTGACGATAACGACGAAGACGACGATGACAGCGGAAGCGATTTTGAAGAAGATGGAGAGCTGGAGTCTCAGCCCGGCGAAGCTGATGCCACCCCCGGAGCTAATAACGGTACCAACTCCGAGGCCAAACAGTGGCCAACAGCCCACGTGCTGGGATATGCGGCGACCGAAAGCCGGCGGTCCAAGTTTGAGGATGGCTCGCTTCGTAGGATCAATATGCCGCAAAAGTTCCTCGCAAAGCTCCTCCAGCGGTATCCCAAGGGCCACATCTTCAACTTTGGCGTAAACGGAGAGCTGCAGTCGAGCGACTCGTCCGACGACGACGGCTGGTTGACGGATCTTACCCAGGATCCCATTTCACCACTTCAGCCCGATCCGCCGCTGCCCCCTCAGGACGACGCCTCCCAGTCTAAGCGACAGAGGCGGCCTTGGGCGCGCCACAACGAAGGAAAGATTATCCAGGAGGTGTTCCCCAAGGCCAGAAGCGTTGCCTTTGTCCCCGTCTGGGATCCCAGAAAGCAGAGATGGTGCGCCGGAGGCTTTGTCTATACCCTGACTCCGACACGCATCTTTACGGTGGGAGGAGAGTTGAATTTCCTGAGAGCCGTGAGCATATTGGCGATTGCAGAGACGCTCCGCCTGAAGACTTTTGCAGCTAACCAGGCAAAATCGGATGCCCTGAGCTCTCTGTCGCACGAACTGCGCTCTCCCTTGCACGGAGCCGTGCTGGGCATCGAGTTGCTTCGCGATACTGAACTGACCGTCTTCCAGGGCAACATTGCTCACACCATCGAGATTTGCTGCCGTACACTTGTCGACACAGTCGACCACCTCCTCGACTACTCCAAGGTTAATAGATTTATCCAAACGAGGCGTACAGGAGGTCAAGCATCGGAGCCTCGCGGACTGCGACCAGGCACGGCCAGATCAGTCGAAGAAGGCATGCTCAGCCTCTACAAGCACATACGGCTAGATGGAATCGTCGAAGAGGTCATGGACGGCGTCTACGCTGGCTTCAACTTTATGCACATGGCGCTGCAGCTCGCCAAGCACAAGAACTCGGCGCACTCGTCGGATTGGACGGCTATGCGCCGTCTGGACGCCATGCAGGCCATGGAGGAGCTCGGGTCCAACGGCAAGATTGCGCTGGGCGAGGTGACTGTCTTTCTAGATATCGACCACGCCTTCAACTGGCGATTCTACACGCAACCCGGTGCCATCCGACGCATCGTCATGAACCTCCTCGGTAACTCGCTCAAGTACACGCAAAAGGGGTCCATCAAAGTGCGCCTGACCCAGTCCAAGCCGAAGCGCAAGTCGTCCGCCGATGCCATTGTCCACATTATCGTGTCCGACACCGGCAAGGGCATTGGCGAGGACTATCTGCGCAACGATCTGTTCAAGCCGTTTTCCCAAGAGGACCATCTCGCCCCCGGAACCGGCCTAGGCCTCAGTTTCGTCAAGCAGATTACTTCGCAGCTGCGGGGCCGCGTCAATGTCGACAGCCGTGTCGGCGAGGGCACCATTGTCAAAGTCTCGCTGCCTCTCATGCAGACACTGACGCCCCCCGACGGCACCCCCTTACTCGCCGAGAACGAGGGTGATCTCGACAAGCACGTTGCCGAGGCTGCGGGTCTTCGCGTGCGCCTCATGGGCTTCGATATCGGCAGACGGGCTAAGAGACGAATGCTGGACGGGAGCTACACCGAGCTGTTGACAGAGGTCGAGCGAATCTGCCGCGACTGGCTGGGCCTCAATATCATCACCGAGGCCGAGGCCGAACAACAGGCGCCCGACTGCGTCATCTGGATCGAAGACACGCTCGCCAGCTCTCCGCTGGAGAATCTCATGCAGGGACCGCCTTGTGTGGTACTGTGCAAAAACACTCTGGTGGCATACAAGAGCGCAGCGCAGTTTGAGCGGGTGAAGGCGCATCGGATCTTTGAATTCGTTGCTCAGCCGTAAGTAATATCCCTTGTGCTATAGCCTTCCCACCCTTTTTTCTTTCCACCATGGCTAACTTGCCTCTCCTACTTGTTTTAGCATGGGACCCCGTAAAGTCGCCAAAGCGGTGGCAATGGCATTCAGGCGCGGCCGCGAGATGAAGTCAATGCCTCTATCCCCCATCACTCCTCGCCAGGAATTCCTCCCCGTCGTCCCCGACATCCTCAGCGGCGTCAAGACCCAGTTGCCAGCACCGACCCCGCGTCTCCAAGCGCTGCAGAGCCTCCTTTCCGAGAACGAGAAGCCCGTCAAGGCCGAGATGCCAGCAGCCCCCGAAGCCCCGTGCGATGCAATCACCGCGCCAGAGTTCCTCCTCGTCGAGGACAACAGCATCAACCTCGACATTCTCTCCATCTACATGAAGAAGCTCGGCCGCCCCTACCACACGGCCACCAACGGCGCCGAGGCCCTGAGCGCCTACAAGCTAAACCCGAAACACTGCAAGTACATTTTCATGGACGTGTCGATGCCCATCATGGACGGCTTTGAGGCTACGCGCCGCATCCGTGCCTACGAGCGCGACAACCAGATCAAGCCCGCCATCATCTTCGCCCTCACGGGCCTTGCCTCGGAGAGCGCCCAGCAGGAGGCCTTTGGCAGCGGCGTTGACCTGTTCCTGACCAAGCCCGTCAAGCTTAAGGAGCTGGGCATGATTCTCCGGTCCAGGGGACTGCTTCCCGAGGAGCCCTTGGTGGTGGTGACCAAGAACGGGACTCATATGGCCTAGAGCAGTTTTTGCTCCATTCTTCGACGACCTCTTTTATTTGACTTCTTCTTTTTTACTAATTTGCATTTCCTTTTTCTTCTTTTCGTTTCAGATTTGATTTCTTCTAATCTTTCCTACTTCAGAGAGGAAATCATTCAGGGTGTCATAGGGCAAAAACAGGTTCACAGGCCACGCCGGCTAAAAGGGATGGGTTCTGGAAGGGATCGTTTCATTTTTTCATCGTTTTTTCGTTCATCTGAACGCACAGTTACACGACTGTTGATACTCGGGCAAATTTCAACAGAAAAGCAAAAAAAAATTCTTACCAAAAGCATACGACATTTGAATCGGACAAAATCTTTGTCAAACACGATAGCAAAACGATCAGCATGCTTTACTTTGCCAACAGAGTTGCAATAGATACACACACTTAGGGCGACACGAGGAGTATACGGGACATAAGAGGAATTATGACGATGTTATGCTATTCTATAATCTTGCTTCTTCTTTCTTTTTTTTTTTTTCGGTTCGGTTCGTGCGGTTAGGGAATACTAGTATTGCTTTACTCATAATGAAATCGTCCAGTTCTAGTTCTGATAAATAACTCATATATGCATGTTCTGATGGGTGCACGTGCAATCATGAAGACAGCAGCACAATAGGCTCGCCATTCGACACATTCAAGCACAGCTGCCCGTTGCCATCTGCGGAATACGTCGGGCCCTTGCCCTCATCAAACACATTCTGCCACTGGCCATTAGGAACCTGCGTGCCGAAGCAGTGCTGGGCCGAGCTGCCGCTGCCGCTGTTGGTCGTAAGGGCCACCATCTTGCCGCCAGCACGGCTGAAAGCATATGCCGCGCCGGCCACATACAAGTGCTTGTGGTCATTGTCGGCAAGGCCCCCGACGGCGTGCTTGGCAAAGGTGAGCTTGGAGATGGTGTCGTACATGTCGGTCTGGGTGTTGAAGCCGCTGCGCCAGAGGTCCTCTCTATTGGCGGGGTCGTTGCTCCCTGAATAGGCCTGCTCGGTACCGTAGTAGACAATGGGGATGCCCCGCGAGAGGATGGTGTAAGTCAAAGCGTTCTTGAGCAGAGACGTGTCGTTCTTGATGCTGAGGAAGCGAGGGTTGTCGTGATTATCGACAAAAGTGCCCAGCGCAGTCGGATCCGGGAACGAAGCGCCAATCTGATCATGCATGTTGACCATGTCCTGTGAGGAGCCCTGCTGCAGGAAAAAGCGAGTCATGGGGTAATAGATGGCATAGTTGAGAAGGCCTGGCATGAGGCTGGCGTAGGGCAACATAAAGTTTGGGTCTCCGTCAAAGACCTCACCGATGCAGTAGACGCCGGTGGCATTGACAAAGCCGGGCCAGTAGTCTTTTTCAACGTGCTTGACAGTGTCGATGCGGACGCCGTCGAAGCCATAAGTCGAAACGAGGTTGGAGACCCAATCCTGGTAGAGGCTGCGGATGGTAGGGCTCTGAGTGTTGAGATCCGGGAGGCCGCTGATCCAACAGTTCTCGACACTGGTCTGGTTGTTGTAGTCGATGTCACACTCTGGGTGATACGACGAGTTTTCGTTCAGGGGAGTGGGGAGATCATCGGAGATGTTGGCATATCCCATGTGATTGGCGACCACGTCTACCATCATGTAGAAGCCCTATTTCCACTTAATTTAGCACGACGCACGAGGAGCAGAGGCATGTAGGATAGGGGTTGTATGATAGGCATACTTTGCTGTGTGCGGCATCAACGAGACTCTTTAAATCGTCTGCAGAGCCATAATGAGAGTTGATAGAATCGATATTTTCAGCCCAATAACCATGGTAGCCCTTGTCACTGTCTATCAAGACATGGATATTAGATGTTCATTCAGTATATGGTGCGTGAGGCTGTCAGATTCACTCACTCGTGACAACAGGCGTGATCCAGATGGCGTCAAATCCCATGCCCTTGATGTAGTCCAACTTGCCCTCCAAACCTTGAAACGTACCACCGCAGTAGTCTCCCAGGTTTCCGCATGCACTGCCCCCCGCATCATCCGCTCCGCGAGCAATGCGGTCCGTAAGGGCAAAGTAAATGGTACGAGACCTCCAGGCCGCCGTGTCTGCGGAAAGGACCGGGAGAGAAAGCTGCAAGAGCAGCGGCAAAGTGAGATGAAGCTTCATCTTTGGCAGTTACTTGAAATGTCAAGGCCAAGCCTGTGGAAGTCGTAGTCAAGCTGCTTCTAGCAACTGCTCAAGAACAAAGAGCCGATTGTTGGTTATATATACTTGTATGTGACCATCACGCGCTTCCCCCTTTCGAACGAAACGATGGCACGGCGCATAAACGACTACATCCACTCCGCAAAACGTCAATATCCACGCCTGACAAGAAAGAAGCCGCACCACTTACAGACCTCCTGTTATAGGCATGCCATGCCGCTGATCCCAGATCTGCTAAGTCACCCGTCAAACACGCCCCCGACAAAAGGGCCGAATGGGACGGCATCCACAAGTCTATTCGCCAGAGCCCGTATGAAATAGCCGTCCTGTGACATAGTATATCCGGGGGCTTTACTCATGGCAAAAGCAAAAGCGAGATTCATGGAGCAGGTAGCGCGGTCAAGTCGAGCGAAGCAGCAGAGGAGAAAGCCCGGAAACCATATGCTAACCACATGCTAGTGATTATTGCTCTGTTTGGCGCCATCCAGTCCCGGGCCATCGAATCCCTGCGGTTTGTCGGTTTCGGCACATCTATTGGCGACTCGCACCAGGCCGGTGGCGTCGGATTGGAATTGCGGGGGTCTCGCCCAAGCTGGAGACTGAAGCTGAGTGGAGGGGCAAAGCCGCGAGGGAGATTGCCACGTTCTCTTGAGACACAGACCGCCCGAGGTTTCAGAACTGCCGGCAGAATCCGCAATCACCACCTACCGATCCGAGCTTGCGGGCACTAAGCCTCTTGCGCCGAGCTTGCATGCTAAACCACCAGATATCGGCATCACCATCAACTAACACCAAGTCCTCCCAAAACAAAACAGCTTGCAATCTGGCCGCATAAGTAAAAAAAAACTCGTCCGCCATGTCCAAGCCGCCCATCCCTAACCTCCGCGACATCTCCATCGCCTCACCATCCCGCTTCCGCCCCCGCCTCGTCCTTCGTTCTGCCGCGCCCCCAACCTCGGCATCTCCAGAGCTCGTCGCCCTCAACATCGACACCGTCTTTGACCTCCGCTCGGGCCTCGAGGTCACCCACTCCACTGGCGTCTCAGATCCAGCCTTTGCCGAGCAGTGGCCCGGAGGCCCGCGCCGCGTCCACGCCCCCGTCTTCGCCGACACCGACTACGGTCCCGAGGCCGTCGCCGTCCGCTTCCATCAGTACGCCTCAACCCATCCCGTCCGCGGCTTCGTCAACGCCTACCGCTCCATCCTAAAAGCTGGCGCACCGGCGTTTGCCACCGTGTTGACGTACCTCTCGTCCGACGAGTGGGACCCGTCTGCAGAGAAGCCCATTCTGGTACACTGCACTGCGGGCAAGGATCGCACCGGCATCCTATGTGCCCTGATACTGAGTCTGTGCGGCATCCCGGACGAGAACGTAGCAACAGAGTACGGCCTTACCTCCGAAGGGCTGAAGGATGCGAAACCCGCACTTGTGAAGCGGTTGCTGGCGATGCCTGCTTTTGAAGGGAATCCGGACGGCGCCGAGAGGATGCTGAGTTCAACGTGAGCTCATTTTCTGTTTTCTCTCCACCAACATCTCCTATTATTAGTGGCGACTGACAACTGTGCAACAGGCCTGAGAGTATGATGGCTACGCTTGCCATGATCCGTGAGGAATGGGGCTCTGCTGAGGAGTACATTGTGAAAGAGTGTAAACTCTCATCCGAGACCATTGCCTGCATTCGACAGAAGCTCCTTGTTGCCAACTAGGCATTCCCCTTTTGTTGCCATTCCGCACTATAGACGTTGATCCTACTGTATTGACAAATGAATTAGACGTGTCATGATGAATAGCATGTTTTGCGTTGGATATATATATATATATAGTATACAGTAATGGTATACATTGGTTATTATACATGGTTCGTGTGGTGTATGCTTACATGTATGTATGTTAGTAATACAGCTTCGTCTTAATCTCTTTTTTCAATCAAATCCATTTCCTTTCAAAGTCGTTTCGATGTCATTTCAAATGCCGCTCCCTCCCGCCTGTCATTCATGCAAGTCTATAGCCACAGAACCTACGGCACAGACGTAGGAATCTTGACCAGACCACGCTTGCGATCATCAAACGGTGCTCCATATCTCCAGCCGGTGCCCTTTCTTGACCGGCCATTTCGTCCCACATCATCTGCATTGATTTCCTTGAACCGAAACTCGTAGCGGTCCGTTGTCACTCTCGTCGTCGCCTTCTCCTCTCGCTGTTGCTCCTGCGCAATGCGTCTCGCCACCTTATCTTCCTCTTTCTGCGTCGCCTCCTTGAATTTGGCAAGGCTTTCTTGCCGGGACTTGCCCTCCAGAATCTCCCGCTCCATCTTGATGAGCTCAGGCTGTGGTGATCGCGCATCAACACACAGCATGGTGTCGTGGAAGGCCTTGGCAGCGTCTTCTCGGGTAAAGTGCCGTGACTCTGATACCGGCACGAACAGTTGCTGCATCGTCAGCTTGTGGACGTGAATCTCGTTGACAGGCTCGTGCGGCAGGTTCTTCTCGCCCTCGCGGTAAGACGTCTTGGGAAGCATGCTCATGACGGCTTTGGCATAGGGAATCGCCAGTTTTTTCCCCTGTTTTCATTTGACCGGTTAGCACAGCTGTATAGCAGAATATAGTATGGCTGATAGATTGTAATAAAAAGAATGCAGAGGTCGGTGTGTTATCAGAACATGTATAATCGTTTTTAACCATGAAAATAAGTCTTCAAGACTAATCGAATTTTTGAAATTGTCTCATCACGCAAAATGCACACAACTCTCTGTCTCTCTTGGGAGATCGAACCGGGAGAAAAATGCCTAAAGAAAGAAAAGGGGGGAGGTCAGGAAATTGTAAAGCTCACCTCTCTCTGCCATTGCTTCTCCACCTCCTTCAGTCTCACAACAGCCGCTACCCTCCTGACATCGACGCCCATCTCTGCTGAAACTGCCTTTAATGACTCTCCTCTCCCCATGACCTTGTCCCAGATCAGCTCTCTCGTCTGCTCATCCAGCACCGGCTGGCTTCGAAACAGCGGGTTTAAAGGAAATGGCTGGTCCTGCAGCGGCCCTAAATACCTCGGGCCTCCTCTGGGGTCGGCAAACTCTGAGCCTTCCCTGCCCTTGAGCCATTGAAACATCTGCTGTCGAGCCCGGCTCATCTTCTGTTGACACGGTGTCGAGCTGAAGCTTCGCACGAACGGCGCTGACTTTGACTTGCAGGACTGGGCAAGACACGCATCAACCACGGGGGCCAGCGGCGTGGAAGCCGCAGATAGTCTGGGGGCCATGTCTTTTTTTGTGAGTGTGCTCTTGGCAATGTATGTTCAAATTGGTTCGGCTGGATCAGCTACTCATTGCGAATCGAGTCAATTGCTCAAGCGTCGTCGAGGCTTTTTGTCGTCATGTCTTTTGAGCAAATCTGGAAGAAATATCAAAAAGCGAGCTTGGCCACAAATTTTCCGCTTCGGTATCTTGTTCTCCCGCTTCCGGAAAGGAGGGGCATAAGGCCATTGTGGGGGCAAGGGTTGATGCAAGGGAACAAGAAAAAACACCATTACCTAAGCACTAGAGCTCATTAGCCGCAGCTTGAAATAGCTTCAAGGGCAGCGACAGGGAACAACATGATGTTTATGTGGGACAAAAAAAGAAAAAAGAAAAAAAAGGGGGGGAAATACAAAGCAAAAAAGATACTTGTCATCTGTATCAATAGTCAGCTGCACCGCGTCTGGGTTAAACTCGAGGTGATAGCTGCAGCTGTGCTTTCTTTTTTCTCACAGGGAGCTATCCAGACTTGACTCGAGAGCTAGCATGTCACCGAATTCAAGGGATAAGAGCCTGGGAAACTAACATCCCACGTATATTAAGCCCGCCGCCACTCGAGTGAACCGACGCAAAAGTGCGTATATATAGATAGTACTCAGCATGCTCGCCGCCATACCTTGATGCGATGCGTAGCTTTTATGCCGAACAAGAGAACAAAGAAAAAGAAAAGAAAAGATGAAAGATAAAACCATCCTCCGTTCAAAAGCAAAAGAGCTTGAACCGGGTCAGCAAATCAGCGCTAGATCAATCCTCCTGAGAACCTTTTTTCCATGTATTTGAATTCCTCTCCCCCCAGTGTTGCGGGTTGCCCCTCGCCCAGTATGAAAGCCATTTCAAAAGAAAAGAAAAAGTCCTAGACTCCAGTCGATAACCATCCGTTTACGACGCCGACATGATCGGGCGGTTCTTTTTTGTCTTGTTTTTGAAAGCAAGTGCTCTTTTGTTAGCGGCCGCGATCGATTCGGCCTTGGCTGAGAGCTCCTTCCACATGCGCCAACCCTCAAAGTCGATGAGTGCCTGCATGCAGCCCCATTCCATTACCTTGCGCTCTAGCCAAACAAAGTTGACAGGCTTTTGAGAGGAAGAAGATAAGTCAGTATCATGTTTTTGTGCGGGAATTAATCAAGCTTGCGTGTGTAGACAATAGTCAGGCACATACCTTTGTCAGAAAGTCGTTGCAGCCCGAGGCGAGAGCTTCATGTCGGTCACTCTGGAGAGAGCTGGCCGTGAGGGCAACGATAATAACAGGGCTCTTGAACTTATCAATGTCCCGCAGGCGATCTTGCTCGGTGAGCTCTTCGGTGGGTGTGGTCTCAGGAATGCCGTCCGGCGCCGTAGACACGCCAATGTTATTCAGTCTTTCCAGTCGGCGAATCTCTCTTGTGGCCTCCAGTCCGTTCATACCAGGCAGTTGAATATCCATGAGGACCAAGTGGAAGCCGCCGTGTCTCCATTTCTTGACAGCATCGCTGCCGTTCATGGCTGTATCCCATCGCACCTTGAGCCGCTTGACAAAGGCCTCGAGCAGTTTCAGGTTGATTGGGTTATCTTCAACAATGAGGACATTAATCGGAGGCACAGTGGCGGTCAGAATGGATGGAGTGGGGGTGTGGTGGTAATCCTGCTGCTGCTGCTGCTGGCTCCTCTTGCCCTTCTTGTTGGGTCGTGAGCTGGGCAAACGAGGAGATGACAGCCGCTGGGGAGGAGGAGTGCCCATCCGAGCCGACGACGTTATTTCATGGCCCGGTGATTTGGGCAGGGAGCTCGAATGTGACACAATGTGCTCTGATGAGCTCGAGTGCGTTCGCGAATGCGAGTGCCGAGAGCGATAATGCTGCGCACCATGAGCATTGGCAGCAGTCGAAGGCGCCGATGGTGGCATGACAGTGCTGCCGCTACCACCTCCAGCGCCACTCCCTCCTCCATTAAGCAGGTTAGGGGAAGGCGTATGGCCTCTTCCGGTTCGAGGGTAGTCTTGACGATCGTGGCGCGGATCACGGTCTCTGTGCGCAACACGCCTGGTGCCTCCAGGAGAAGGAATGGGAGGAAGTTGGCCCGAGCTGATGACGGTCATGGAATGGGGTATGGACCCGCTGGACTGCGTGGGAACAGCCATGGCAAGGCGAGGCGACGACGTGTTTCCGGTGACGGTGGGAAAGTAGCCTTCGCTCGTCTCGGATGGACGCCCATCTTCGGCATAGTAGGTGGCTGACGCAGAACCGGAATAAGGAGCGGGTGCCCGTGGGGATGGCTTGGGTGTTGTCGAGTTCCGGGGAATCTCGATGACGAGAGCCTCCTTGACGGTTTGGCCTGAAGGGTAGTAGGCATTGAGGGTTTTAATTATGTCTTCCTCGGGGCCGAGGGTTCGAGTGCGTTGCTTGTTTTGCGTCTCCTCGCTGGCCTGAATGCGAAGAGTGAGGTCGGGTGAGTCGAACGTCTTGCCCAGCGAGTTGCCATACTTGCGCAAAATCTCGTCGCGCACGTCGTCAACGAGGTCGCCGGGGCGGATGCGGATCTGGGTAGCTGAGGCTTTAGGTCTCATGACCCAAATCTTGCTTGGAATTTGTTCAGCCATGATGCTGGCATCGAAATCGCCGAGGTCTGCGAGGTCGTCTATCGAAGATGAATATCCGATCAAGTCGTCGTGGTGATGAGCGATGACGGATGGTGCAGAGGGAATTGACGAGGAAGAAAGAGGAGTAGGACCAAGGGCTTTTGAAGAGGCTGCGAGAACGGCAGGAGGGGCTTCGGCTGTTGGGGTTCCGATCGCGTTGGGAGAGGCGGTCGCGGTGAGTGCGTCGCGGCTGCCGCTGTTGGCGGACAGAGACTTCTCGGCTGATTCGTCAAAGGTGACGGTTTGGTTTGGATCACGGCTCGCTCGTCGAGGCGGCGCAGGCGGGCGCGTGGACGTGTGGACGGCGGCCGACGAGGTTGAGGTGGAAGTCGGGGTGGCACTAGAAGGCACGGACGCTGGCGACGACGACTTGGTGGTCAATGGGAGTCCGGCTTCAGCTTCGACTTCGGCTCCAGCTTCGACTCGAGCAAGAGGAGGAGCAGGCGGCGGCTTGGTTGACAGAGGCGACGGGGAAGTCAGATTCAGCGGGCCATGACCGGCGCCGGGTGTGGGTGGAGCGTCGATGCCGCGGCCGGTGGCAGCGACGTGCTCAGCAGCAGCCGGCGAGGCGGAGGCCTGATGCTCGTACGAGGACTGCGGGTACGTCGACCGCGACTGCGATTGCGATGGCGAGGGCGATTGCGACTCGTCCTCGTCGATGCTGTCGAGGCTGGGCAGGCTAGGAATGCTAGGCAAGACGCCTGTGCCGGGCGTCTGGGGGGCGAGAGGAGGAAAAGTCAGCAGCGCCGGAGGTGTTTGCAAAGGAGGAGACGGAAGCGAAAACGGTGGCGTCTGCTGGCGTAGGCGTTTCTGCACCTGTCTCTGCTGCTGTTTCTGATTCTGCTGCAGATCGCCGCCAGGAATGGGGCCGGCAGAAAACACAGCACCGCCTGTGCCTGTGCTCGTTGTACAAGTACCAGTACCGCCAGCGTCGGCGGCAGTAATACGAGGACTAGCACTAGCAGCGTCGGTGGTGCCAGCAGTAGCAATTCCCTGGTCGCTGTTAATAACCGCCAAACCTTGTCCGTCAAGCTGGCTTTGGTCCGTTTCGTGGCGGCTCGCTTCTTCACTGTTTAGGCTTCGGCGCGGACTCTGACCCTGAACGCGGGCCCCTGCCGAGGCCGGGAGCTGGTGCGGGCGCTGTGGTTGCCGTTGGTCTAGCGCTGGTAGTGCCTGTACCAGCAGTTCTGCAGCCAATGCCTGGTGCTGGAGATTGCTGATGGCAGCGGGGGAAGCGGGATCAGAAGCAGAATCAACCGTAGTGGCTGCCTCCGCGTCTGTTGTTGGGTTCGTCTCGACGCCTTGAAGCGGTCGTTGGTGCTGTTCGTCGTCGCCGGCCCCCTTTTCACTTCCGATGCCGCTGTCGAAATAGCCCTGGGCATACTTGGACAAGAGTGGTGTGGTTGCTCCCGTTGGCGCCACTGGCACCTGCGATGTTGGTGATACCGGCGAGACTGGTGATAGATGGAAAGCCGCGCTGTCAGGGACGCTGCTTCGCTTCTCGGCGTCGGCACCCTGCTTGGGCTTCGACCACATCCTCCAATGCTGCCTCGTGCGCTGCTGTTCAGCCTCGTTGTTTGTCAGAGCAGAGTCACCAGCGTCACTGGTATCGTCGCCGCCGCCGCAGCCTCCTATTCCTACTCCTCCGTCCCCCGTCATCAGCTCCAGAGACAGTGTCAGTGTCTGGGTTGAGGGCTCACGTGGGAATGGGAACGAGGGCCTCCTCTGGCTGATGATGCCGGGCGTCGTGGGCGGCGACAGAGTGTCAATTTCATCACCTGGTATTGACACCTCGGACTGGCGCCGTCGCCGCCTAAACAGCGTTGCTTTGAGCTTGTTAGCGATATCCGGCCCCATCCTCCTTCAGCCTCGTTTGCTGCCCTTGAGCAGAAGCGGGAGCGGCAGCAGGATCAGGCGCAACCAAGATGTGTGCCATGCAAGACAGACAAGGGGGATTGAAGAGAGGCTGAGGGGGGCGGAGATTAGAGAGTCGGGATCTGATGAGTCCTGGAGATTATCCGAAAGATGGAGATGGCAAGGGACCAGATGGGCTGAGAGAAGACGACAAAACACTAGAACCGAGAATTGGTTGAGTGAAGGGCGACTGGTTGGTGGTGGATAACTAGAGAGAGGAGGGGAAAATAATGAATGCCAAAGAGAGACAAGTCAGTGAGTGAAGAGGAAGGAAAAGAAGAAGCTCCCGAAGTCGAGAGAAAGCGAGAGAAGGAGTGTCGAGAGTCGAGAGTCGAGGAGAGGTAGATGGCCGGAACTGAGTGAAAGCCGCCGACCCTTAGGGCATCACGACCGCGCATGCAGCTCGCATGATCAGTCGTATCTAGGCGCTTGGACTCGTTGCTACTACTCTTGCGTAGTTGTTTGTGTTTGGGGGGAGACGAGGCGAGGCGAGAAGATGAATCAGGTATTATGCGAGTGATGGCTCCAGTCTGGAAGAAGGTACCCGTGCGGGAGCACTACTCGGTGGAGGTGCCAGACGTTGACGAGGCCTCGCCTTGCTTTTGGTCTTGCTCTGCCTTGTCTTGCCAAAAGCAAGTCGAGCCAAACGGAACCGAGCCAAATGGGCTGCAGCCTCTTGGGTCCAGCCCACTGCAAGCACAGGTACCGGTACCTACGGGGGCGCCAACAGGGGGGCTGCAGTCAATGCTGGCTTGGATGGATGGGTGAATCCAGGAAGGGTAGCCCGCAGGTGGGATTAATACCAGACCTGTTTGTGCGGCCATGTAGCATTGACAAGTGCCGTCAATACTCAATTGTACATGTTGTATGACCAAGTAGTGCGTTCAAATGCATTGATACAGCCGTTATTCATCTGGATGGATGGGCCGTCTTGGCCTGGGCAAATTCGTCCTGATCCTTGCAGGGGAGGGCCATCACCTTGACTCGCATCAAATAGCACGAAGCGACCCTTTTTTTTCTTCGATCCCCCAAGCCCAAGCTCCTCCCCCCCCATGCCCCATACCATGTTCGCGAGATGTGCTCAAGCTAGCATTGTCTCTGATGCTCCGCAATGGCAGCTTTGGCAGCACCTTGCTCCTTACTCTGTGCATGTACCTGCACGCAAAAGTCCATTCAAATCGCAGTGCCTTTTGCGGTAGCTCGTGGACAGACGAATTGAGCGGCTGAGAACGAGGAGTCGGTGTATCATGGATATCTGAATCCCCACGAGTCCAGGTGCTATCCGGACCGGTTTGCCAGCTTTGCTCACAAGCCTGGACAATATTGATGCTAGCTCAGGTGGCCACTCCTTTATCGACAGCCGCTGAGGCTACTGTACAGCACAAGCTACAGGGGGGTGAGGGGTCCAGATGGGAACCAGGGAACGTGGAAGGGGAACCTTGGACAGTTGAGGCTGCTGGAGAGTCTCTGATAGGCGTCCTAAGCGGATGCGCCGGGGGCAATCATCCGCCTGCAAGCCAAACGCCGTCAGGGATTTGGGCGAGGAAGAGGGGAGACTTGGGGAGGCTCCGGATGGTGGCGCTGCACCAGCAATTTAGTGCTGGCTTTGGTGTTGTCGCTCCAGATTTCTCAATCCATGTCCGTCGAACAGCTGGTTTCGCGCATGAAACATGGAATCTCGATTCCGCCTTGATGTTCGATGTCCAGCTCGATGTTCTGTATCGTATGGATCCTTTTTTTTTTGTGTGCGTGTGTGTGTGTGCGTGTGTATGCATTTTCTGTCCATGGCCCCCATGCCCAATGGGCTGTAGGGATTACCTACCAGGTGGTAGTACGAGGACAGTCGTGGTTGTGTTAGTACTTTGCAGCGGGTTAGTAGCACTAAAAGTTTCAAATTGGAAGCTTGTTTATGCATCAAATCATTCAAGCACAAGCAATCGTCCTGATGATGCCCATCTCCGTCCGAGCCTTTTGGTGAAACAGCCCTGCACGTGTTGTGTTACTCCGCAGAAGGATCTTGGGGAAACTTGAAAGGCAGACCAGCCAAACAACCAAGAAAACCGGGCCATTCCCAAACTCGTGCGCTGTGTCGCTGCTGGCATTTCCGCCCGTCTGTACAGAGTACCGACATAGTAGCCGGTGGTGTATACGAGAGGGGGGGCTGCTCTCTTTGCCGCTTCGCGGTTGACGCCAATTCGTCGAGCCCCGTCCAGTACATGGTTGCAACGCAGCCAACCTGCCCCGTAAGTCATGCTCTGCTGCATGAAGCGTGCGCACAAGAGGCTCAACAAGGAAGTGCCAGACATGCACAGCAGTCAGCTATCACTTAGGGATCAGCTTAGGGGGCATCATTGATCCTGTCTGTAATGCAGTCGCCAGACAGCGTCGCCCCCTCACACGTGAATTGGCTGGCTGTGCGTGTCACAACAAGCGCCACGGTTTGGCTCGAGCTGGGCGGGCGTTGGTGCGCGCATGGGCTATTGCTGCAGCTATCGTACGAGAATATTGACTTGCGAGGTTGGCATGGCCTGCTGCCATTTGACCAGCAAACCGGCTCGCCAGCCGCGGCATTGAATCATCAAATGTCAGACTCGACGTCTTTCGTTTCACCGCGTGTACGAAGCTGCATATCTCAGCCATTGAGTGCAAGTGCGTGTACTCGTGTACGAGTACCAATGCAAACCCAGGGCTGCGAGGAAAGCCCGCACAGCTGCTGACAGATCAACAAACGGGTGACAGGTGGACGGCAATGTGATGCATCACAAATATACGAGTGCTCGGTCAGCCACAAGTCTCAAACCGATGCAGCTTTTGAAGATTTGCTTGTACCAGTACCGCGTCAAGGCTCAGCGTCGCCACCGTCGAGGGCACATGTGCTCGCTTAGGCCGGCCACAATACCAATGTTCACAGCACATTGGATTTCAACATGATGTGAGCCTTTCTGGCTCCCTCCTCTTCTTTTCATTTTGTGTTTCTCCCTTGTTTTTATAATTGCCCTTTTCTTCCTCTTCCTATGCTTCGTCTCTTTCTTCCCCTCCGGTTTCTTCTTCCTTGCTTCATCTTGTTGAGAGCCAAGTTAGTTACCCTGCAGACAATGAGTGAATGACAAGAGGGGGAGAAATGTGCCAACTCAAAATCTTGGCCATGAGAGGGGCGCGACGATCTTGCCCGAGCGGCTGTCAAGTTGGAATAGAGTGTGCCTAGGCTGGGCACCAGCAAGGTGCTCAACTCCACAGCAGCTCCTTCGTGGGACTGGCTAGCAACGCAACTGGCTGCGAAGCTACCTAGCATACAGTACTCAACTCACAAACAACCCAGAATGGCATGGATGCTCTCTTGTTTCTCCGGCATTGAATCGGAGCTGCTCCCCGCATCCAGCCACCGAGAGATCGATATACCTTGCACAAGTATAGCATCAAATGCAATGCTAGTACAAGTACAGGCACGTACGAGGTTCAGGAGCACGTCTTGGTGCTGTGCCGTGCCGTGCCGTCCTGGTACTGGTGCTGGTACTGCTACTCTGCACTGCCGGCGTGTCATTCGCGCCCCAAAAGCCCCCAGATCCTGCACGAGCTGAGCTGCTCCAGGGATCGGGGACCTGATTGATGGAGGCCAGGCCGTCAATTCGAGAGCTGGCCAAACCCGTCGGCGAGAAAAGTGGAACCCGCGTAATAACTCCGTTGCCCCCCCACTCGAGCTCTTCTTGTACCTGCATTGCATGGGAATTGCCAGCACACAAGCTCTCCAGCCTGTTCACGGCCAAGCTTGTATCGCCGTGCTATGAGTTGTCTCTTCTGTCTCATATCCAACGAATCTGGTCTCGGAAACTCTGAAGCCTCACTGTCTCACATACGCCGCCGGCCAGCGCTAGCACCCGCATCTCCTGTGGCTAGTCGCGGCACAGCAAGTCCCTCCTTGGGCACAGCGAGGCCATCATGCCGGCGTTGTGGCCATCGCCCTCTCCAGCATCCCTGATGGAAACCACTCCCGATGACAAGGGTCATGATTTGGCTCTGGACAGGCCTTTCCCCCGACGCCTCAGTTCGCCCGCCAAGCTCGTTCGCCTTGGGGTGCGGAATCGCCGCCACGAATACCTGGTGAAGAACCCGTCGTATTTTGACAATCTGGATCATGAACTTGCTGGTATGATATCGCATCTCATAATCTTGATTCCCTTCTAAATGTCGACCAAGACGTCATGTCGACGATCCCGTAGCACCGAAAAAGACCCAACTATCCCTTTCCAATCCTGACTTGACCTGAAAACCAACTGTTTGCGGTATCATGTAGATCCTGTTCTGTATGAGCGCCTTGTCAAGAGATTTCAAACCCCAGCCGAACGAGAAGCAGAAGGAAAAGCCAAGGGCTATGGTCGCACCCTTGAAGCAGATCTCGTGAGAGGCGAGACGAATCTCTCCAACGTCTATCAAGCACCAGAGCAAGGCAGCCGAGCACAAGAATATGCGAGCGTGCCGGGTGATGGAGGCGCAGGCACCAATGCTTGGGACGCCGACGCAGAGAATAAAGAGCACGGCATGCAGCTTTGGCATGCATACATCGAAGCCCGCTTTGTCGAGGGCCTAGATGAAGAATTCGACTATGAAAAGGTCGATGATGATTATAAGTACGACACTTTGGCGATCCAGGACGCTGAGGATGCCTGGTTCGATAACGAAGAGCCAAGCTGGGTGGATGGGGACGCGCAGTGCCAAGCTAGGCCGGGGGAGACAGGCATTCAAGATTTTTGAGTCTTGTTGATAGAAGGCATCTATAAGTCGCCTCTACTGAGAGCTGGGAAAGGTAAATAGCTCTCCGGGTCGCTGAGTACCGTGGCGTTGTCGGGCGTGGTATCGTAGGGCATAAGATTACCGCAAGCATCTGGGTTAATGTTCTTTTGCACCAGCGCCAGTAATGCGTTGCAAAGATTGTTTCGTATCGTGAGAATCCGTGTCGTGAAGACAGCATGGCAACAGTCTGTGTCCATAGACCTTGTATCCATAGAACCTGCACCCATAAAGGACTATGTTTGTAACAGTTCGCAGTAAGCGGACAAGTTCCACGCCCTGGCTCGCTCCCCCTCTTCGCTCAACAATGGATACATGAAACGGTGTCGCCATGTTCGTGTGGTCACGACATAGTCGGAGCCGTGCCTGTTCAGTATCCACAACACTGGACCTATAAGTTGCGACGCCGCGTATGCTGTTGAAAGTAAGAAGAACACAGCATATGGGGTAAACGCAAAGCAGAGGGGCCGAGCAAATCATGGTGAATAGTAATAGTAGCAACGGCCTTGTTTGACGTTTGACCTGCCTGATTGAGAAAGTAGATATTCTCCACATGACGTTGAGCAACAATTTGTGTCGCATTCCCGGAGAACCAAAACGCTGCCACTTTCACCGCAGGAAATGACGAGAGTATGAAGCCGTAGCTGGAACATCGGCGAGGTTCGTCTTGTCACCCAACTCTGTCGCGATCACGAATCGATCAACGTTCATGATTCGTCCGAGACTGAAAGCATGAGATGATGTGCTTTCTGATACTAGCTGCATCGCACTGCATCGTAATGGTGGAGCAGACATCTTTAGGTTGCCCACTAGATGATATTACAAAGTAGTTAGTGCATGTGCCTCTCATATCCATCAGAATCAAACGTAAAGCTCACACAAGCGTAGTCCCATGTCGGGTATTGAGATCGAGTAGAGTCCTGGCAATGGCTTGCCCTCAACGAGAGCATGAGCCGGCTTCTCCAGTTTGACCTGAACGGCAGGTCATCTGATGACTCTTCACCCCGACAGGCTCAACGTTTAGTGCCTCTACACTCGCAAGATGCGAAAGAGTGGCCATCCATCAGATTTCTCAATTGGCCTCGGCATATTGTCAGCATGCCTCCCCGCAGAAACTGCCTCATCAATAGGCTTCTAAACAGGAATTATCCCCTGCTTGTCATCGGCAGTCAGAGATTCTCCCGCCGCTAAGGGTCGTTATGCTATCCGTCGGTGATTATGACTTTAGCCGGCCCTGTTTCAACTTGGGAGAGAGAGGCAAGTGGTACAACGCCATCTCTGAGCAGAGCTCGAATGCGGGGTCCAAAGGGTAATCATGAGGTGAATCGTGCCGTAGAGTTCATCTCAATGTCATATTTCGAGAAGCTCGTGGCAGGGGCTGTAAGCCTTTGCGGCCAGCATCGACAGATCGTCTGTTCCGACGGGATTATCGACCCGCGTTTTCCGGCATAGGGACTCTTCTCCTGAGTCCTATAAGTATGGCCCAGAGAAAGCAATGGGAATTGCAATCCAGAGTGTCGAAAAAAGGACTCTTCTACTGGTTGCAGTCGGAGGAGTCATTGGTCAACATGCGTATATCCTTCAAGTTGGTTTGCACGTTATTGTGCTCTGGAGCTGCTGTGAGCGCGCAGTCACCAACAGTGAATTTGGGGTATGCGACATATCAAGGAACGACCTCTGGTGGAATCAATAGGTTCTTGGGCATGAGATATGCCGCAGCTCCGTCAGGAAGTTTGAGATGGAAAGCCCCAACAGCTCCTCCTACAGTGTCTGGAGTCCAACAGGCCACTCAGGTGTGTTTCCCGGTTCAGCGCCTCTGCCTTCTCCATCACTGATGTTCTTTATTCCTTTTCGTGCGTAGTTTGGGAACCTTTGTATGGCCACCAACGCGGGGCCATCGCCACAGGGCCAGAGCGAGGACTGCCTCTTCGTCAACGTTTGGGCGCCTTCAGGTGCTGGCCCCAACTCCAAGCTCCCCGTATGGGTTTTCATTCAAGGCGGAGGCTTTGAGAGCTTGGCTTCTGCAGGAACAGATGGTAGTGGAGCGGTGGCCAACTCGGGAAACAAAATTGTCTTGGTGACCATGAATTACCGAGTGGGAATCTTTGGGTTCCTTGCCAGTTCGCAGATTCAGGCCAATGGAGTAGCGAATGCTGGCCTGTATGACCAGCAAGCTGCCCTGCAGTGGGTACAGCAGCACATTGCTCAGTTTGGGGGTGATCCGACTCATGTCATCATCCATGGACAGAGCGCTGGTGCAGAGGCCGCGTCGTTGCAACTTGTTTCGTTTGGAGGTAAAAACCAAGGGCTTTTCGCAGGGGCCATGTTTGAGTCCCTTCCTGAAATCACCCAGCCAAAGGTGTCGGAGATTCAGTTCCAGTACGATGCTCTTGTTGGCAACGCTGGATGCAGCTCCAGCTCTGACTCACTCTCTTGTCTTCGTGGCCTCAGCACCACAGCTTTGCAGCGGTTCAACGTACCGATTGTCTATCCTGGCCGACCAAATGCTCCGAATTACCCGTATGTACCCTGCGTTGATGGTGTGTTCCTGCAAACTGGCGCATATGAGGCCTTCCAAGCAGGCAAGTTCATCAAGGTTCCCATGTTCTTTGGAAGCGTCACAGATGAAGGGACAACCTTGGGCGCCCCCAACGCGGCATCACCAAGCGATATTCAGACCTTCTTCCAGAACAATTACCCTCGTTTGACGAGCCAGAATACGTCTGCAATCATCCAGCAGTATCCACAGAACATACAGCCTCCATTCAATGGCCATGCTGCCTGGTTCCCAGCTGCGGAGCTTGCGTATGGAGACGTACTCGTCACTTGCCACGGGCTCAACTTTGGTAAATATTTCGTACAAGCCGGGCTGCCAATCTGGACATACCGCTTCAATGTGTTGACCCAGAACAATATTGCAAGCGGAGTCGGTGTCCCTCATGGATTTGATCTGGGTGCAGTTTTTGGAGGTGGCTATGACAACTCTGACCAGACCAACGTGGCCCGTTTGCAAGGCTACTACATATCCTTTGTCCGGTCGCTAAACCCCAACACATTTGCTTTTTCTGGATCGACGTCATGGCCGCAGTGGAACGGACAGGCAGGAGGGCAGAGGCTGGTGATCAACAACAACAACACGGTTGTTGAGGCTGTCCCGCAAGCTCAGATGAGCCGGTGCGCCTTTTGGGAGAGCTTGGCAACACAATTGGAAATTTAGTGCAATTCGAGTAGTGATAGTGGAAACTCTTGAGCCATTGGAAAAGGTCTGGACATCGAGTGATTGTGTGCGTATATGTGTTTTGGGATGAAGAGGAGGCCATGCATCCGGCGTGAGTCATGATGTCTTGTTGGATAAAGTCAGAACATGTACTTGCTTCCCAGGAGGCATACAAGAAGAGAGACACCTACTTGTTGAATAAGCCCAAATGAAGGCTGGGCACTTTCGGCCCGGTCCGTAGATGTGTGCTTTCCAGATGGAATGAAGAAACCACATTCTGCACCGCAGTCTCTCGCTCCCCCTTCTCTCTCTCTCTCTCTCTCTCTCTCTCTCTCTCTCTCTCTCTCTCTCTCTCTCTTTTTTTTTTTTTTTTTTTTTTTTTGGGGGGGGGGGGGGGGGGTGGTTGTTTTTTTGGAACCACAAACTCTTTTCCCCTTCTCACCCAACCAAATTTTTTTTTTTGGGAGCACACTCTCTTTTTCTTTTTTCCCTTCTCACCCATCCATTTTCTTTTCTTTTTTTTCTTCTTCTCACCTCCTTGGCTTCCCTTCCCCGTCTCCTCTTCCGTTCATCTTCCTTGTTTCCCTCCCCAGCCCCTTCCTCTCCGTTGCCAGGATCATAGACGTCCTAGACCGCAAGCACAGCACCACAGAAGAAGAATTTGAAAGGCGTAGCAGGATATCTGGCCAGAAAGTAAGTGTTTGTAGATTGAACAGTGTGATTGGGATGTTCTGACCTTCACCTGAGCCTGTTGGGGCCAGCCATTCAACCCAAATTGGTGCGTGGGATTGAGTAAACGGTAACATTGAAGCACCGAAATTGCATGTCAACATGCGTCTGTGAGAGCAGATCTGAGGAAGAAATCCTTCAGATCTGTGGCAACTTGGAGCTGGCAAAAGGCAAGTCGAATGCAGAGACAGCATGGATGTCCGCAATGCGTTGTGAAGTGGAGTGTTGAAAGGCTGCTGCAATGAAGCCGCACGTGCCAGGAGGATGCCGTGGGTGAAGACATTGGCGTGGCAAAGGGCGTTTGAGCCTGTTGCTGAATGGCCATAGCATTGGAGCTTGGGCTTTTGGTGGAAAAAGTGCGTCAAGCATGTTCAAGGCGACAGGTTGGAAGACGTCTTGCTAGAGAGGAAATCAGCACATGTCCGAGTTGCTCGAGGCAGGGTGTCTCGTTGCAGAGACCATGTCGGGAAATGATCAATCATACATCACCAAAAGTTGACAAATCGCTGGTGGAAGAAGAGGCTATCAGGAGCCAGAATGTGAGAAAATGCAGACATGTTGTGTCGCGGTGTCTGGCTGGAGTCGTGTTTGTGAGCAATGAAGTGGACGGACTGGAGATGGAGGAAATAAAATGAAAAGCAACATATCGCTGTCCCCTCCGCAAAGACAGAGTTACTTACCCCGCACTCTGTCTGCTGCTTTGTCTAGACATTTCCTATCCTCGCTTCTGTGACGTCTTTGTCGCTTGTTTTTCGCATAATAGGCGAGCTTTACAAGGCAGTTGCGGTCCAAAAGTCTCTCGGAGAGGAAGTCGCCAATTGATTCAGCGGTGAAAGCTGCATGTGAATTTTTTCTAGGGCACCTCGGCAGTCTTTGATAGAAAGACGTCATTAAAGATAACAAGTGAACATGCTGCAATTTCGGTCTGAAAGGGATGTACCAACAAAGATGCGCTGCAGGACCTCCAGCACTTAGGCCACCACTGAATAGGGGCTGAGGCAAAATATTAACGAATGCGCATGTAGAATGCAAAGACGCAGCATAAATTCTCTTCACCAGCCAACGTGGGTATTCTTCGACGTTTTATTCTCCCTTTGAATGCCTGCCCCTGGTATTGCGAGTACAGGTAGTCACATGTCCTCAGCAATCGTGAGCCATACCTGGATTTCCTTTATGCAATTGCGCTGACCAACATCCTCTGTACCAGGAACCGGTATTCTACAGCCTCCGATATCCTGATTGGCAAGAATGGTCTCTCAGACATGGACAGTCTCGAAGGATTTCATCCGCGTATCCTCTCCTTTCTCCCTGACGACCGAATCATTGTCAACGCGACGGCCGAGATACATCTCATGGAAGGGAACACTGGTTTTTGAGGCTCTCTCGACATGCTACACTTGCCAGAGAGAATCGCGCCCTGCGATATGGCCGCGACCCCATCAGCCCAAATCACCCACGGCTCATATTACAGGCGTCCAGGTGGCGTTAGGATACCCTCGTTGATCGGGTACGGGATGGTAGCTCGATGGGCTGCTGCGCGTGCAAATTAGTGATGGCGCTTCAGTTTCTTGGAATGGGGACCGTTTGAGTAGAGTTACACTACAAGTTGATGCTCATGGTATTGCGAAGGGTGGACGTTTCGAGATTTTGATTGGGATGCGTGGCCTCCATCAACCACCTTGTGCATTTGCGAGGGCATCTTGACGCAAATCAATTTCTCCATATACCAGCAGTCTTGACTCTGGCGACCATTTTTTGGACCCTGTTCTAATCTGCCACTGCGCTTCAACGACAGTGATTCCACCCTTCGTCCCCACGTGTTGGATAATCATCTGTTCTGCAGCATTGTTCCGAACCACGTCGAACACTCGACATCTGCTTGAACAGAAGCCGCAACGGTAGAGCCTCCTTCGTTGCCATAAGCTCCGAGGACGACCCATTATTTGCTGAAGATGCAAGGGTCATGCTTTAAGGTTGGAGGCCCTCTACCTAACAATTACAGCTCAACCTGTCAGAGCCATTGTTGGACTGCTTGGAGCTAGGCTGTATCTATATCTTGTCATTTGTGGTGTCAGTCCACCGACGTTATGGAATATTTTTCTCCACTCCGTTGCCAATTGAGATGATGCAACAGACGAAGATCTGACATGGAGTTGTACCATCCGATTCAACGGTTAACCTCAACACTCCCCAAGAATCTATACAGGCATCTAGTTTAAGCTTCGCATCTACGAGTTTTGTGGACATTTCTCCTGTACAATTGGCGCCATTGAACTAGTGCACTTCGACATACGTTTCTGGAAGATGGCTTGAGCGAGCCCTCATTAAAACCTCCAGGTTTGACTGCAGGTTTCCAATTCAGATCTTTCAACAGGCCCAAGTAAGCAACCTGATGGCTTCACATAAGCGACAACAACGATAGGGAGACTGGGGGAAAATGTTTCAACATTGCTGCGTACCTCTGCAATCTTGGAATAAACTAAGCATTGTCAAGTCGTCGCGATGTGACCAACATGTCTTCTCATCAACCGGTTCAAACTCTATTTAACGCCGCCGATCCTTCGTGGCTCAAGCTGAACTACAAACGTTCTAGAGCTCCGAGGAGATCGACAACGGATTCGGTAGTCGCTACTTGGGATGGACTTTGGGGCTATATGACGGTGTCCCTCTTGGCCCAAGCTGTTTGAGTGTACTCGTGAGGTTACTGGGGCTGACAACTACGTGGCGTTGAGATTAAGACAATAGAAAGCGTGATGAAACGCCTTACGCGGGGTAATGGAACCTGTCAAACATTAAAATCGATTCCTCTCTATCAGATATCATTCTACTTACCTCTTCTTGTTCTGCCTCGCTTAAGCATCGGTCACAATGTCTATGCAAACAGCTATCCAAATCAAGGGCCCTGGCAAGGCCGAAATTGTCAAGGATACTCCCATGCCAAAACTTCGCGACGACTATATTATCGTAAAGACAGCGGCTGTTGCTTTGAACCCGACCGATTGGAAGCAAATTGATTACTTACCCAGCCCCGGAGCGATTGTGGGCTGTGATTATAGTGGTATCGTAGAGCAGGTTGGTTCTGCTGTTAAGCATGGGCCGCGCGTTGGTGATAGAGTCATGGGAATGGTTCACGGCAGTGAGTACCTTAATTTCCAGAGTCTCGGCTGAGGAAATAACGCTAATGGGTTGTTTGCCATAGGCAACCACTCGAACCACGAAGACGGCGCGTTTGCAGAACATGTCGCTGCCAAAGGGGATCTTCAAATAAAGATCCCCGACTACATGACATTTGAAGAAGCTGCAACATTAGGTGCTGGTATCATTACCGTAGGCCAGAGTCTCTACGAGTCTTTGGAACTGCCTCTGCCTGACGATCCCCCAATGCGGTCGTTTCCTGTCTTGATATATGGAGGCAGCACTGCAACAGGCACCCTTGCAATTCAGTTTGCTAAGCTGTGAGTGCACAAGCTCCAATTGAGGCACTGAACGTATAATTCCGGGGTATTGATCTTGCTCAGGTCCGGTTTGGAAGTCGTTACGACATGTTCCCCCCAAAACTTTCACCTTGTTCGCAATCTCGGCGCGGACCACGTATATGACTACAACTCACCAAGCTGCGCACCTTCTATCCGAAAGATTACCAAGAATCGACTTTTCCATGTATTCGACACTATCTCGACTCCTGAAACGGCAGAGATATGTTGCAACGCCATCGGCAGCCAAGGCGGCAAGTATGCTGGTCTCAGTGGCCTGGAAGAGCTCCCGCGTGACGATGTGACCAATCTTCACGTCATGGCATATAAGGCTTTTGGAGAAGCGTTCGACTTTGGAGAAGAAAAGGTTCCTGCTAACCCTAAAGAGTATGATTTCGCAGTCAAGTTTATGGGACTGGCTCAGGAGTTGCTGTGGCAGGGCAGGATTAGGCCGCATCCACAGAGCGTGAGGACAGGAGGATGGAATGGTGTTTTGGATGGGCTACAAGAGATGCGGGAGGGCAAAGTATCAGGAGTGAAGCTGGTTTACCCTGTTTAAGGTGAAGGATATATACGACCTAGATTTTGACTTCATCCTCGCTGAATGTCTTTGCTTTCGCCTGTCCGCGGTACGAGGTGAAGCTAGAATTTGGGTCGGTAGAGCCACCAGTACACAACTTATATAAGCACACGCGCTAATTATATTCTCAAATATAGTTGAAGAGGGCCACATAGTCAGTCAGTGTTGTTCAACTAGGAAGGGGGGACCAACTGTAGGAAGGGGTCTGGTGGCTAAGCTGAGCTGCAAAATAACGCTCCAACTTAATACACGCTTTCTTATCGGACGAAAGTATCCAAAATTTGTTGGCTCAGGAGTTACTTGTGGCTTTTGATGATGAAAAGTGCAAGGCGGGTCGAAACCATGTACGCCAGCTGACCAGTGTGCGCATCTCGTGTACACGTACTGCCACAGCACATTCACCTTGATAGCTTTAGTGTATTCATCCTACGTGATTCAGAGGCCAAAGCCAAGTGATTTGTTATCTTCTTGGCAGCAACATTCTTCATAACAAAGTGCTGTTTTTGTTACTGTCCAGCGCACCTAACCTGGTTTGAAGATCAAGTAGCCGAAGGAGACACGATGGCTAAAGCATTTGGTCTCCTGCCTCTTCTGCGAAGCACAACGAGCAATATCCTTCACATCGAGCGAAGCAAATGCTGAATACCCTTTCAAGATCCCAGAACGGTTATCAGATTTACCTACTCTATCCAGAAAGCGAGGCGAGATTCGACATTACGAAGAAGCTTTCTGGAGACATCCACCTGCTTCATGATCGATAGGACGCTCTGAATTCCGACCGATTCCTAGCTGAAGCTTAAGCTTTTGAATTCTCTTAGCTCCTCTGTGTTGCAAGCCCGTTATCTAACAGCCGCCGTTCTCTGATATAGTATGCAATATGTGCGCCTCACAACAGTACTTATTATGCCACGAATATTAAACGAGCTGGATTAAGAGGGCACTGAATAACCCAATGCCGTTCAATGTCGCAACGCAGGATATCCGGAAAAGAAAATGCGGTAAGCAGACCATCAAACAAGGCATGGACCCAAGCGTTTGAAACGAGGATAAGGCACTGGTAGTGACAGTGTGTTATTACTTTGACCATTCATGTGCAATTATTTTACCCATTCTTGTGGGAATAGGTGGGATTATCTTGACTATTCGACTCGTAACTCCCAATATATCATATCAAAGAATTCTGCACAACTGATTGTCACCGCCTGGATTTTAAATACACGTTCCACCTCGCGGTTGGCCTTCACTAGGAGGCGTTTCATCAGTGCGTCCAACGACCAGTATACAAACTGCTCAGAGTGATTGGAGGGGTGAGGCTCTCTCTAGTTTGGGAGGCGGAGACGGGAGAGATAAAGGATGATTATCATACGGAAAGATATGCTCGGACAAAAGAAAAAGCAATCTTCTTTATTCTCGTATGCTTTGGTAGCTCTTGTGGACCTGTGACAGAGAAGCTAGTGCTTATTTCAGATAAGGCACCATGCCATCCTAAGAACTAGGCGATGACCAATGCCTTGATGTCGACTGCCGTGGATCTACCCCACGCTCACGATCATATCCATTTTCTTGCTTGGTTTTGAACACCAAGTGGAGTGGAGTATCTTTGCCATCCAAGCGATCGAGCAGTTCCTTGAGCTGCTCGTTTGTCTTTTCAGCTTGCAAAGTTAGCTGCTCCCGATAGAAATCGAGGTCGGGCAATTTGGAAGGCTTCTTGTCAACAACCGTGGTTGACTGAGCACACATTTTGCGGCTGAGTGGTGCTTCAAGAAGATTCGAATCAAAGCCTGAATGCAACACAAGGCAATGTTGGAATCCCCTTTTTAGCTTGACTGTTTGGAGCCGGTATTCAAGGGAAACCTGTAGGACTTGATCAGTTTTGGCCTTCGATAGAACCCACGACTGGTGTCTTACTCTGCGCTGGTAGAAACCAGCAAAATAACAAGCTTCTTGTCGTGTCTTGACTTGAGCTGACGTTGATGAAATAAAAGGTTGAATGGTAGATTATCCTGCTAACACGAGAGGATTCTTTTTTTACCACCACTTCGCGAGGCTCAAGGTCTTGAGAAGCTGTGCAGTCCAAATATATGAGGTCGATTGCCGGCAGCATTATCCTAAACAGGAAGTTACAGACTACCAGATGCTTATACCAATTAGCCTCATTTTTTCTGGGGACCTTGACGTGGTTTGCTCTAATTTCCGCCACTTTATTGGCCTTGATATGCCCTGATTGGAGATGGTCTGCCGTAGTCTGCGCTAGACATGTCATCCCCTTGCCTATTCGAGTAGAAAAAGGATTTGAGAAAAGTGAGTGTGTGCAGCCGCATGTGAACAACAACATGATCCCAAGAGATGCTGTATCTTCACGGCGCAAGTTCCGAAATGGGAAATTGTAAACTCCCTGAAGCTGGCTATCCGCGGCATGAATTCCGCTTTTTCCTTTTTTTTTCCAGGAACTATTTCTTTTTGATAGAGTTTGAACATGCAGGATACACATTGATCAGATATACAAAGCCTCAATCATGGCGTGCTTGGACCCCTCGCGCTCGGCTTGCCTCGCTCTTAACTTTGGCTATGCAATGATGCTAATGCAGTGTGTCTGCATGGAAGTGTGGATGGACTGGCGGAATGAACGGACGAATGAAACTTAAAAGAATAGAACAAATCTGGATCGTTGGACGTGACTTGTCGGATTTACCGGACTTGATGGCAGCTCAGCTCTTCTGTGGAGGACTGGATGAATCATCTTGAGCCAGCTAGAAAGTTTCAGCCCATCCAAGAAATGCCTGAGGTGTGACTAGTCAGTGATTTCATCTCGTTTTCTTTGCTGATAACCCCGGCTGTGGACAAGACGAACAATCACACGCCGTTCAAGCCTCTGGTTAGTATCCTAACTTCTTTCAGGAATTTGGCGTCTTTGTCCTTGATGGCCTGAACATACACGAAAACAGTTTGTTTGTTACGCCACGATGCGCAACGCGAGCTTTCTTTGTCTTCGTGAAGAAAATAAAATACGATTCTGATAAAATCCCACGGCAGAAATATACGGAGAATATCAAAAATGTGGAATATTCATCTCTGTGCTCCCCTTGTAGCCAACGAAGATTGACATGAGACGGTGATGTTGTAGTGAAGGTATTTGAAGCAAACTGGATGAAGACACATGCTGGCAAAGACGTGGACGACCCACCTTCTAGCTTTCATCACAACCTTGTCTTTAATAATGGCGTCTTTTGCACGATTTCTTGAAGTCAAGTTTGCCACTTCTACGACCGACTGATTTTTACAAAATGCTCAATGGAGAGACTGCTCCAAACCAGCAAGTCATTGCCAACCTAGCTGCTATTACAACGAAAGGGGCACATTAAACCATAACCCACAAAGGACATGATCACATTCTCTGCTGCGACCATACATCCCAGATCATGCTGCTCCAAAAAGAATAAAGGAAGCCTACGTTTGGACATATCCCTGAAGGCTCCATGCCCTGAGCCAACACTCTGCCAGGAGTTATAATGCACAGCACAATGATAAATTATCTGCATGAAATAAGCACCAACTAATCGTCATTGCAATTGAAACGTGAGAAGAGAGAGAGCAGTCTGACGTGTGATAGCCCACGGACCTACAAGGCAAAAGCTTCTGAGTCACAAATTCGAAACATTGCATATAGAGCCTCCGGTTGGTCTTCAAAAGGCTGTGTGCAGAATGCGGCGTATTCTTTCATGGCCGTAAGGCATCACATAGACGAGCCAATCGCCATTTTAAACATAAATGCGATACCCATACTAGAAATGCCCTCGCTAAACATCATACATGTAGACTCTCCAAAGGCAACGGCTCCTTCGACTCTCCCCCGCAAAGGATGCCACCCACACGGCCATGCGAGAAGAATGGAGGCACACCATCGCCTAGGCAGAAAGCTACGTAGTGTGAAGGATGAGCTAGCAGCGTGCTTTTAGGCTTGCTCGGCATCTGTTTCGGTGCCGAGCTGGACCAACATGCCCCTTGTAACAACATACGAGTACACAAGTTCAGATACACTGCGAGAAGAAGCAATGACACAATAGGAATAGTCAAGTCAGTGTTTGTCTGAGCCAAAAGCTTGGCTTCCTTGTGAGAGTCAAGCTGTGTTGGTCACGGGCCCAAGAAACCAAAAGAACCTTTCCAATAGAGCTGTAATACTACCAGACCCGCGTATTAGCCAATCTCTAGTATAAGAGTCGTGTAGCACTAACCAGTTTGTTTGTGTATATTGGATATTTTCTACATTCGCTTGCTATCTTGAAGCTCATGCGGGTTACAAACATCCAGCCACCAGGACGCGTATAGGGCAATATTAACTACCAGAACGTACATGCCGCACCGGCATATCAACGCCTCATGAATAAATCACCAAGGGGGATGAGAATAGAGCCAAATGGATAGAATTTATCTTATAAAATGCCTACCCAACAAGCCTTTATAAGAGAGATCCATGCCATCTCTTCAAAGAACTCAGGACGCCAAACGCGTGAGAGGTTTCAGCAACTAATTATCGCCTTAGAAGCATCTGAACCTCCTTAATAATCCTGCCAACTATCAACCCTTATACCTCCAATATCCGATTAGGTATCTCATAAACGAACGTAAACCTAAAGAGAGAAAAAAACCGAAAGACGAAAAGACGGAAGAAACAGAAGAAAGAGAAGCCCGCATTACATGCTTAATGCGCTTCATGGTCTTCCGCAAAACACTTGAATCGATCATTTGGTTGGTGGAATTGATACGATTCTCCCCGAACAACTCGGTCAACCTCCTCGCGCACAAACGGATACACGTCTCTCCATGCATTGCGCCCCATCCAGCAGTCCAGATGGCCGTAGCCCGGCACAACTCTTCGGCGATACTGGATGCCTCCTCCAGGGAGGCCGGCAGATATGCCAAAGGCATCGATCAGGCGTTCGTACGTCTTCTCCGTGGCTCGTGGGGATATGACACCGCTTTCTTGGCCAATGAAAGACATGATCGGAATACCGCGCAGCCGCTCAATGTGCTCTGGCTCATTAAATTCTATGTACTCGGGCGCGTTGGAGCTGACATAGCCGCGGCTACCCATTCGCTTCAATGAATTCATCATATTCATGCTACCTCCGCCGAAAAAGCGATCCATGTTTCGATGCGTCTCCTCGTTGAGGTTGTGGTGGTTCCAGCAACGTCCAAAGAGCAATGTCGCGCGGTGGCAAGCAGCATTCTTGCACATCTCCTTTCTCGTTCCCGGCCAGAATCGCAACAGCTGGTTCAAAGTTTGCTGGGCCAAAGAGTCTGCAGTCGATGTGCTGCAATCCAACCAATTCCCCAAGACCGAGTAATATATCTTGTCCAACCCCAATGGCAATCTGGCCTTGATCATGTTCATAGTGTTCCATATTGGATTCATAAACACCTGACTGCAGGTGATTCCCAAAATCCACTTAGATGGGATAGTCCCATCAAGTAGGCCACTGGCAAATGCGACGGCTCCCATGCAGTGAGCAATAGTGTAGAGTTTGCTCCTACCGTAGATCCTCCGAATTTGCTTGATGCAGGCTTTAATATCGAGCCTTGAATCGTATGTTGTCCAGTCCTGTTCTCGTGTTGACTTTAACTGGCAAATACGATGCACCGTCACGAAAACACGGTAGCCAGCGCGCGTAAAGTAATTGACGGCGTTGAACGGGATAGTCGGCAATGAGAATATTTGATGGTCAACAGATGCGCCGGGAATCATGAAAAGATTCTCAATTTTGACAGGAGTGCCCCGTGAATCAGTGGCAACAGCGCTTGGGCTTGGTTCCCACATGTGGAGCTCGGTTTCGACACCATCGCTGGCGATTATGGTGTATGTCTGAGATGGAGGCGTATAGTTCATATAGGGGACGAACCCCTGTTCTGGGTACTCGAGAGGGCCTAGTGGCGTCAAAAAATGTGACAGTGACTTGGATGCGAAGAAGGACAGGAATTTAGACATGTTGATGGTCTTTGTGAGAAGGCTGCTGCCAGCAGGAGAGAGGGTCATCATCTCTGAGGCAAAGTCCTTTGGGTGTATATTCAAGATGCCTCTGGCAACCACTTTCTCACCAGCAGAGATGGGCATGTATTGGTAAAAATCGGCAACATCGTCATGCCAAACGATGCGCTCCTCATTGGAATCTTCATTTCGAATATCCTTTTCTGTTATCGTAACATAGAGAGTCGTTGTAGAGCGCCACATCTGGAGGGGGCTAAGAGAAACAGATGCGTCAACCAATTTATACCCACGGAGGCGAAGGCGTCGACCGTTGGCACCAGTCATGTCACAATCATACGTCAATTTGCTGCTCCCTGTGGTTTCGTGAGCTCTCTTGAATAATCCCAACTCGCCCCTCGATATCATAAACGGCGAACCCTCAATTGTTGGGCAGACAAATGTGCCTGTGAGCATACTGCTAGGCTGAGATTCCTCCCTCAGCCAGCTGCCATCAAGAACTGTCGCGCTGATCAGCAGCCTGCCAACCTCTCCCCGACCTTTGCCAGCACGAAAGTCTGATTCATATGCGGGCTTGTCATCAGCCGCCGCATTTAGTGATGTCTTGTGAATGAAGCCAGACATGAGCTCCGTGAATTCAAGGCTCTTGAGTCTGAGCATTTCGGTTTTGCTCAGCTGATAGGGCACTTCATAATCAAAGCCTAGGTCCGGCTCATACGAGTGCCAATCTTTTGGCTTGTGTGCTGGCTCCCCAAAGAGATCCAAAATATCGTTCTTCTTCTCGTTGATGATTAGACCGTTCTCTCTGGCATACGCCTCGACTGTACGTTCCGCTAGGGCGGCAATAGTTGCAAGCGGATTCACTCCAATAGAGGCAGGAATGACGGCTCCGTCGACCACGATGAGGCCGGGATGAGTCTCTGAGGTATTGTTGCCGGTAAAAACTTGGCCAATATGATTTGTCGCGCCATTTGCTCCAGTATTGTCCCGCGACATTGGTGCGCCACTATGAGGAGAGCATTAGAACCAAATCATGTTACAAAGCGTAAACAGGTTGGGGTCTCTTACCCAAGAGGATGAGCCGTGATCTGTTGTTTGTTCATGTGGTAAAGCGGAGTATACACCAGGGTGCCGCCAACGGCATCTGTTGCCTTCTCCAGAATGTCATGGAATCTCTTGATACGGTCACTTTTTCCCACTCCTTGAAACTCCAAAACGGGTCTGTCGTTTTTCAGACTCAGAGTTGCTTGACTCCCTGATTTGGTCAGCAAATTTTACACTTGCTATCCTAGCCTAAGGGAGTGGAACTTACCATCGTGGGACATGATGAGAAAGACTTGCGTGTTTTCCAGGGTCCCTTTGTTCGAAAACGGCCCAAGCAACCTGCTCTTCCACAGGCTCATTGCCTCTCGAGTTCGCTCAAGCAGCGACATGTCAGGGGAATGGCTACCTGGCGTGAGGTCTAGCACACACTGTAGCAGCTGGCAAAATGCTTGTGGCATACATCCCTCTTGGATCATGAAGCCGCTGAGCGGATTCTCCAGACCCTCCCTGTTGTCGATGGCAGAGGTAATGGTTGGGCCCACGGGATTTTTTGGATCAGGCGATGGCTTTCCGAGAGCGTTCACTTCCTGCTTGCAGTTGTGTCTAAAGAGTAGGTGTTCTGTTAGCTTTGAAGAGTGGCAGAAAAGAGAGCAGTATACTAACCCAAATGCCAGCACGTCTCCATTGCCACTCATTCCGCGGCCAACCCAGTCGCTCGTGCTCAAGCCCATCTGTTGACTCCGCAGCAGGATTTCCGTCGTGCCAATCGCACCAGCACCGAGGAAGACGGCTTTCTTTGCATGCACCCACATCAAGTCGCTATTGGTGTTTTCCTCTGCGAACCTGCCACGGCCCCGACCATGCCACGCAAAGTAGATCAAGTAACCGCCACGATCATCCTGAACCTTTTCAATATACCTCACCTCGCACTTACAGAACATTTCGGCACCCCAATTCCATGCATCGGCAAGATATGTCACCAGCGTCGTGGTTTTTGACCCGTCATTAAGGCCTGTGCTGTCCTGTCCGGTAAGTGTTGACGCTGACATGTTGACCCCTGAGCTATTAGGGCCAGGCCGGAAGCGCGTTGTCAGAGGAACCTTGCGGAACTTGTCACCTAGCCCTATAACCTGGGCTTGGTCCCTAAAGATTTCTGACTTCTTTAGCGTTGGCCAGTTATCTGGATATGGTTCGGGCTCGAGCACATCTCTAACTTTTTGGTAGTCTAGGTCGGGAATGGGAGGGTTAATATAAGTGATTTCCCATGAAGACGCAAGTCAAGGAAGAAAAGATATAGATAGAAAGGGGAATCGGAAATAGCTTACAATTATCCAGGAGTGTAGGGTCTTGTCGAATTTCGGGCGGCCAAAAGCCCATTTTCAGGATATCTTTGTCCGCTTCGAGGAATACATTGGCGTTAATTAAGCTCGTACCACCTAGCCCTGAGAGTTGGTGGGATGCAAGTATCAGTGAATGCTCATCGCGATAACTAGAGAGATGACACAGGCAGACGGTACTCACCATTACCAAGAAGAGCACTCTGATCGCGACCGAAGAAGACATTGAACATGCCAGTGGGGTTTCCACTGTTTACAGCAAATCCACCGAGGGAACTGGGAGTGAAATCTCCACTGAATCGATACTGTTTCAATGTTTCGAGCGACGTGGTAGGGTATTCTCCTGGCCATCTCTCTTCTCCCCTCTCCAACAAGCAAACGGACTCGCCTGCTCGAGCCATGCGTGAGGCAGCTACGGAGCCTCCATAGCCAGAACCTATAACAACGCAATCGTATGAATGTCGCAAAAGCTCTACCGGTTTCGAAATCCGCGGGAAGGCATTTGTAGGAGTGACGGCTGTGGGGAGTAGAGGCTCGGAATACGTCGACATGTTAGAGGAGTCTCCATCTTCCGATCCACGGGAGGAGGTGGTCGATGGCGGAGTGAGATATGCGTCAAAATCTCTATTCGAAATCGGCATAAGATGGTAGTTGTCATATGTGCTGACAGAAGAGGCGTCATATTTATCGGTATGCTGCTTCTGTTGCCATGTGGAGTGCTGTTGTAGCGTCGGTAGAGAAGGTTGGTTGTGGAGAAGGTTGGAATTTTGCATCTCGTGTGCAACACCATCTCGATTTACCTTGGCCATGATGAACCGAAACTCTCCGAGAACAGAATCAGTGAAGATACCCGAGGTGCCTAGACCACGCTAGACGCCGTTTGCCGTTTGAGGCTGGTGGTGGGTGCAGAGACAATAGAAAAATTGTGTTGTTGGTTGCTCACAACTCTCCACACTCCTAATTGAAGAATGGAGAAAAACGCCGCTCGTGGCAAGAATAGGCAGTAGTGTCTTGGACTGTGCTCTGTGTCAGACCAGATGAATGAAGAGAGGGACCCAGTTCCGTTTTTAACTCTTGGAAGAGCCTGGCTATGCCATCTCACAACCAGCTTCTCTCACAGCCGGCAGTTCCAAGGCCCGCCGCGTTGGCCATCATTGCGTCCACAAGAGGCATAGCAGCTCAGTTCGCTGCGTCTACAAACGGCGATTTGCAAGGATGACGATGGTTAAAAAAAATTAACAATAGAAATTTTTCGAGTTCCAGGGGCACGGGGGTGCCATTGCAGCACGATGGATGGGGATTGAGGAGAATGTCACCTCACTGGGGAAACTTTGGAGGGGGGGTGGCAATGGCAGCTGTAGCCAGTCACTACATTGGAATTACAAGCCCAGAGCTTTGGCACCTACGCCTATATCCATACCTTCTTGGTCATGGAACTGGCACATGGGAGAGTCGAGTTGACAAGAGGAGTGTAATTCACAGCTCGTCTCTCTCCACCCCCCCTCCAGACTCTATCTACTCGTATTCTCGTGGAGTGCCGAGGCTCCTTGGCATCCGGTGGTGGATTTGAGACAAAAGAATTTCTCTTTTGGTCAGATGAATAGATGCGGCATTATCAGAGGTGATTTGATTGGAATGTGAGGAGTGATTCAGCTGATGCGAAGCCTGTTGACAAGACGTTGAGATTCCCTCTTTCCGTGTAAGAAGCATACATGTGGATAGGCATGACTAAGCAAGCATCCAGATAGGGAGAAATATCTCCAACGTGTGCAAAATATTTTCAACGTCAGCCTCTCCTACTGACCAGGCCATTACCATTGCCATCACTCGCGCTCCGTCTGTTTGTCTGATGCTTTCCATTCATTCGTCACCGTCCTGCCGCGTTCAACAAACCCTTGGTAAGCTGGCGAACTATCCGATCCGATCTGGGAGCGTTCATACGAAGAGCCCCCCTGTTGTTGCTAATGCAGGGAACAGGGTGTCAATTCGCACAGTCTCGTTCGTTCTAGGGCCTGTATTGGCTGCCCAGGGTGCTGGAAAACTTGCCTGGGAGGCTCTCAGCTGCGATGCTAGCAGGGCATCATCCCATCCAACCGCCCCCACGGACAGGGAGCAGGCCAATAATCTTCCTCATCCGGCCTGTTGCGGACAGCCGAGCGTGGGCCCAGTGTTGCTTGCTCTGCTGAGCCGCTCTTTTATGCGTATCAACCATTGACATCTCCACTGTGCCGCGCAGCTACAGTATTGCTAACATAGCCTACCCGACCAACTGCCTAGGTACCAAAGAGGCCTTCCAGGGGTCAAAGATCCGCCCAAAACGTGGTTGACCTGGGTAGCTCAATCATTGCAGCATCACAAGTGGAGCTACGAGGTGTTGACAGCTTTATCCTCCCCGTCGCTTGAATGCGTTCGCAGCAGCTCTCTATTCTCAGCTGCAGGCTAACTTCAAGTAGGATACAGGCCGAGACTGGCAGCAACAAATGACGTTGACGACGGGCGCAGCCCAGCAGCAGCCGAGTTCTTTCATGTGTCTTGTCTGGTCCTGTCTTGACGCCGCCAAGGACAGGGCCAGGGGAGTCGTCGGAATATGGCGGCATGTCCTGGGCCTGTCACAACGCAGAACGTTTGTCACAGATGGTATTCTGGTTCGGTACGGGTTGTTTCAACTCCGGCAACTGGCTTATACGGGCGTCCTGACCTGAGCCGCGGTGACAGACGGTATGTTGCTGTTGCAGCAGCCGTCTTTCATACGCCCCCTCCTTCACAGAATTGTCGGTACGAGCTCGCTCGACATCCACCTGAGCAGACAGGGGAGCGGAGAGGAGGTAGGCATCATTATCGCCAAAACTAAACGTATCTAGGCAGCCGGAAGAGTGAGAGCCAGCTCGCCTCTCGACCACTCAACTTCAGATGCTCCCAATGCTTCCCGTTTGAGGAAAGCAATGCGTGATTTGCGCTCCCTGTAGATTGCTTCTTCGGTGTTGATTCGCTGGCTAATTCAGCCCTCTACCTATGAATCCTCCCTCACACGAGATTCTGCCACTTCTTTACAAGTGTGGTAGGGAGTTGGGCTAGTTCTGCATGGCGGTCCTCACTGTCATGGGCTCCAGATGCTTCACCGTACCTGGTTGTAACTCGAACATCGGTTTCTCTTTCTAGTACCATGTCAACCGTCTCTCTGTTACACAAATCCAGCGGCTAACACGTGGAGCAACCACATCTCCGGTGACCTGCATCAGCCACCGCGGAGGTCTCAGCTCGGCGACGTCCAAATGGGCGTCACACACACACACACACACACTTTGACACTCCCCAGTCATTCTTGATTGGAGATGTGCGGCGGGTGGATTCTACAGCAGGAAGACTAGATTCCTTGGGATCCCTGGATCCGAGTCCTATTCGTCCACGGGTGAACATCTCGACCAAAGTTGCATCAAATGCCGGGCTAGCCGCCATATCAGGTTGCAAGTAACATCATGTGGATGTTCTTGAGTTTATTAAACTTTGGGCTAACTTATCCGCAACATGCTCGCCGACACTTGGCTGTCGTCCTGGATGTTATGTGAGGATTTTGCTTGGAGTACCTGTGGATACGTACGCGAACAAATCTTTACATACATGGGTATGTACACTTGCTATGTGACTGTGAACAACTTTGCTCCCTGTTACGGCAAGTCCTCCGGCCTCTTCCGGCCTTTGATCTGTGGGTAGGTCGGCGATGTAGTCATATTATCGTCTTTATCTTCGCATTATTGGCTCCTGGCAAGTTATTGCCGCACTATATCGGGATATCTGAAAGAGATGAAGATAAAAGAAGAAAAAAAAAACCTGAAATCTGCCAACACTTTTCGACGGAGCTGGATCCATGGGTTGCAATTGTCACACCAGGGTTACATATACCTAGACTCAATTGGAAGCTAGCGAATCCAGCCATTACCAATCGTTACGGCAATATGCAGCTCGCTCCTGTTAAGCACTCTGAGGGGCAAGAGACTTTCCCGGCTGCAAGGAGCTGAACACCAGGATGCTTTATTCTAGCGACAAGCTGCTAAGTATGAACAGGGGCATCTCGAACTCTCCGGTGCCAAATGCGTCATAGAGCACAGCTTCATTCCGCATATCCCAAGAATCTTTTACATGTGAAGGAGCAGTGGATTCATCATCTCGTCCGGCACTTGATAGCGGTCCGCCGGCCGGCCAGCCAACAGAGCTCGACACCCCCCTGGTCCAATTTAAGCAGGAAATGACAACTGACGAATCATGGGGCCCCTGCCGCTACATCCCTCGCGTTAATCCTCGCTGAAGAATTTGTCTCGGAGGCCGTCGCAATGCGTGATTGCAGAGTTAGAGTTACATTGCAGCCTCGCTAACGATCCAGCAGCCTGGTGTAAGTGCTCATTGGCATGCTAGTAAGAAGCTTGACATTGATTGGCACTCAGATCTCACTAGCTCTCTTTTCTTTTTCTATTCTTTTCTTTTCTTTTTTTCCCCTCTGAGACAAATTGGTCAAGAGACAAATCTTCAGCATGTGAGAAGGCGCAGTATGTCTCGGATCAAATCGGACGTGATGAAGTCGGACCGCGTGCACGGCTGCCGTCCATCATCATCATAACCATCACCAACGACGTCGTGCTTGAATCCATGCAATCACACACACCACCGTGGTTGAGAAACACAAAAGGAAGTAAAAATAAATAAGCAGCCTGCATAATTACTAACCTGTCCCAACAATAGCAACTACTAACCCTCTGTCTATAGAGTTGAATCCTTGGCTAGTGCAACCCTGGCTCAGCGCAACGGCCCGTGAAAGGAACCGCGGGAGCCGCCCATCTCATCCGTCTTCCCACGAAGCCTAGATTATTTTCGGTTAGAAAGCGTGCTTCCTATATTATCGAAGGTTCCCCAGTCTTCCGGCTTCCAACAATGAAATGCCAAATTTGACCTCGCTCAATGAAACGGATTGTCGAGAAAACGCGTACATGTGTGCATGCGAGATCATCTACCAAACAAAATAGATTCGTCACTTGGCTGAGTCATCAGCGGCAACTAAGAACTGTAAGACATGCATATTAGTAGCGAACAACATGGATGTGAGTCGTTACAGGCACGCATGACATTAGGCCCGGCAGCCACAAGGCAGAGCTTGTCGATGGACTCGTCATTCAGGCGATGCGACAACCTTGAACGATGCGTGATGCGTGTCTCATCTTCATGAGCTTCGACCACCCGTCTCAGTTCATAATCCCCGTCTTACTCGGCTCTCGCGCCAAGTCTTCCTTACAAAAGGCCAGGATTTGCTTTCATGCGCTAAACAAGGATGGCCCATCTCCGTCATCAAGCCTCAGCGATGAGGTCCTGCTGCCTCACACCAGCTTCCCCGCATGAAGTAGCCAGGCGTGATCGTGAGCTCAAGTCAGGCCATTCAGTATGAGCTATCACCAAGCCCGGGTTCGGTATGTCGTCACCAATATTTGTCCCTGAAGAAGCTGTCTCAGTTCGACCTGAGATCTAGAAGCGGAAGCCAAACCTAGTTCACGAGGCATCTTACCGTATCTAGCCAGTGCTACAATTCCGACTGGTCAGCTATGAGCGGACAGCCCAAGGATTCCCCGCCAGCTGAACCGTTGGAGCCGTGGCGTACACGTGGACAGCGCATTCACCAAGACTGTCTTTGCAGCATGGCATCAGCCCGGAGCGGTTCAGCTTGGGAAAGGGTCGCGGGCGCCAGAAGACACCGGTGACGGTGGAAATCCATGTGCCGGCTCAGCCGAACCAGGGTTTCATTTTCAATTGTCATTGTATTGTGCCGCGTCCATCAGCTGATTGTCTTTTGTCTTAGGTATTCGTATTCCATCCAATCGGAGAACATAGAGGCCCCAAACACCACGGTGAGCTTGACGGAGTTCCAGGTCAAAGCCATAGACTTCCCTCGAGCCCTTGACTGTTATGGCTCAGATCTCCTCTGCGTGAAAATCAGACTGCGGGGGAGCTCTGTCTCAGCTACGTTGTATCCGCTGCTCAGTTGAGGCTTCTCTAGTGTCTCTGAACAGTCCGTGATTCCGTCTGTGGTGGTGTGTCGATTCTTTCTCAGCAACTGCGGGGTGACATGTGAAGCTTCATCCTTGCAGTCCCATGTTTCATGTCCAGGCGCAAGTATTCAGAGCACTTTTTCGTAGACGGGTTGATCTATCATAATCTTTCTACGATGATGATGTATTTTCAGCGTTTGCTAATACCTTTTGCGTAAGCCTTCCATGTCATGGGCCGTGGTGGAATAGGGGAGAACCATGCTGTCCAAGGGTGCAACAAGTCCGTAGCATCTGTCAGAGTTTAGTACCCATGGACTGGTAAAAGAGGACCTGATGTTCCTTTGTTAGTGGCATTAGAGTACGCAGACGGGAACTGAGTGTCGGCAGGTGATGAATAGCACAACGCAACCAAGGGCTCTGAACCACCAGCAAAGTGACAGCTCACACATCTCAAATGTGTAGTTCCCACGGACGTTGAATCTTCCAATGTTTTCTTTTTCTTCTCCGCAAGAAGCGGTAGTCCCGCTAAATATACATACACAATTGTTCCCGTTTAGCTCTTGCCCGCCGCCCGCTCTGCTTCCAGTTCCCTCTCGGCCTGCTGATAGTACTTGGCCGTGTCCACGCCGTGCTGGTTGTGGTTGACAAAGTTGAACCACGGTACTGTGCTGAAGAAGAGCGCAGAGTATCTGCTCTGTCGGGCCGCAACTCCCTGCAGGTGCGGGCTCAGTTTGCTCTCGCCATATAGAGGTTGTCCCGCCTTGACCTTGGCAACCATCTCTCGCATGTCCATCTCCACCTCCCTTGAGTTTTCGGTGGCGCCGTAGAATCGAACTGTCAGGGGGTTTCAAAGCGTCAGTCTCGACCGTTATCGTCCAACAATCAAACAAGCCTCGGAAACAGGGAACACCACAAAAATGAGGGGTCATGCAAAAAGAAACGTACGGGCTGATCGCTGGTAAAAGTAGAGGAAACCGCCGGCCAAGCCAATGAATCCGGCCAACCGCATGGCTTTGGCAAAACCACCCCTGCCAACATGCGACGGGGCGAGCCTCTCGAGGGCATAGAGAGCAGCCGGTGCAAAGGCCGCAGAGGTTGCACCAGCTACGTAGTCTGACGTCCTCGCATATCCAACAACCCGCTTAAAGTGACTGCCCAGAAACCCATCAGCATTCGTCAATTCGGCTTGCGCGCCACACAAGATTGTCCTGCCAGGCAGAAACCCAAGATTCCGAGGGGGAAAACGTACGGATCGTTGTCGATGAGCTAAATCCCAGTCAGTCAGCCATGGGCTCCCCATTGCGCTGCCAATTGTGCGCCAAACATACCGGATAGCTAGTCTCGACGACCTTGCTGGTCCCGACAAAGGACGTCGGGCTCTGCTTGGTCGTTGTCGAGGCCATTTTTGTCGTAGATTTGCGCCCCCAAAATGCAGCACTCAATTGGATCGAGAGATCTGAGGCCGAAGCTGCAACTTGCGATTGTTAGTGCCTAAGGAAACAAGATATCACGTGGGAGCGTTTGGCTGTTTTAGATCACGTGAATCAATTAAAGATGGTGGATAGCTCAAGACGCGGTCCCCCACCATGATAAGATAGAGAGAGACGCGTCTAAGCTTGTAGGAGGAGTGATGGCAACGCTGAATTGACTGATTATAAGCAAATTGAAGACAAAACAAGACGAGAAGAAAGGAAAAGGAGAAACAAGTTCAACATGCCCTCTGCAGCTGCATTCGAGCGTCTGCTGGAACATGGCGATGATTTGGACGACTATGGTCTAGACGACTCGGACAATCCATTTGCATCTCCCACTCCCCCGCCAGAATCATCGACCAAGAAGCGAAAGGAGCCAGACTCTGGACTGGGAATTGAGGAGGAAGTTTCTGTTCAGAAGCGAGTAAGAGTGCCGAATGTTAAGCTTGACGAAGAAAGGTATAGGATATCCAAGTAGCAGCTAGATTTCTAAGTTGATTGCGTGTTGACGCTTCTGTCGCCAGGTTGCTGGGTCCTGCTGGAATCCCCAAGCTGAGAAAACGAGCCGCCGGCCTCAAACTAAAAGGAAAAGGCCACGAAGTACGCTTCTCCAAAACATTTTCCATTCTTTATTGCACTTGCTAATTCCCTTGTTCATTGGCCTTTAGTTCTCGGACGCCTCTCGACTTCTCTCCTTCTACCAGCTATGGCTCGACGACCTCTTCCCCAAAGCTCGGTTCCTCGACGCCCTCGCCATGGTTGAAAAGGCCGGTCACAAGAAGGCTCTTGTAACCGCAAGGAGCGAATGGATCAATGAAGGTCGTCCTAAAGCCAGCGGCAATGACGACGATGATGATCTGGATATTGGAGCTGTGGCCATTACGGAGGACTCGCAAGCGATTCCCTCGCAGAGGGGACAAAAGACTCCAGAGAGAGACGATGACGATGTCCCTAATGATGACGACTTATATGGCGCTACACCTCGAGGACCAACGCGAACTACAAATGCTCTCCGTCCCGCACCGTCAAATGACGCCCCTGACGACGACGATCTGGAGGCTCTCATGGCCGAAGCCGAAAGCATGGACAGTCGACCCGTCCCCACTGCCACGAAACAAAACAGCACGTCTGACACGCATCACTTGGACGAAGAAGACGATTTAGACGCCCTCATCGCAGAGGCAGAAGCGCAAGACCGCCCCGGCGGACAGCCTACGGGTACTTCCTCTTCCAACGAAAAGGGCCACGATTTTGCGGACGACGAGGAGGCCATGCAGGAGATGGAGGGGCTGTGGTGAACTAGCTTGGCTACTGGTTGGAGTGGAACATTGACAAGAAAGTGTTGTAAACGGAATTTGGATCGAGGTTCACATCTAGCTGGCGTTTTCGGGAGCGGGTTTGTTTTGCATTGGCGTTGGATGGGTTGGAGACGATTTGATGACGAGTTGGTATGGCCAACAGATAGAATCATAAGCCCTCATACTAGCTGTATTTGAAACAACATTGAATTTGCATATGAAGAGGTTAAAGATGGTAATCTATTCGTCGAATGGGGACATTTACGGATGAAGAAGTTGAGCAAGACGGTAGCAACAGCAAGATCGATCATACTACTGTGTATTAGGGACTCTTTTACGCATTCACAGGCAAGGCGACTAGAAAGTGTAGCGGCAACAGTAATATTGTATGTTGCTATCTAGACTACAAGGTATCGTAGTGGATTAAAAAAAAAAAATAAAGGCTTCATAAACGGCTTTTTGTTTCGAGCCGTGAAGTCCATCTCGCTTTGCGCCATATAACCTTACATAGACCTAGCCCACCCTTGTGCGGCTAATCCCGTCTGTCCAACCCATTTGAAAAAGTAAACAAGGAATTCCAGAAACACCAACTACTTTGAAAACGACGGAATCTGATATTGATGGTTGTGTTGCCGACGTCGTCGACGTTGGTCTGCTGAGGCGGCGCTTCTCTTGGGATCGAGAGCCGCGGCCTGCTTGCGCTGCCGAATCCTCCGTTCTTCGACTTTGAGGGCCCACAGGAGGGTGAGGAGGACTTCCCTAGACGGCAAAGTCACGCTGCGTAGAGATTGGGTCAGTTCGCTGTCGCCGCGCGTCGCACAAGGCTCGGAGGCCGAGGTCCCGTCCCGATCGTCGCGTCCCTCAGACACCAACCGCAATGCCTCCAGCGTCGCATCCAGAAGAGGACGCGCCAAGCTGGGGCTGCTGGATAGGATGGTCCGAAGAGATTTGAGTCTCAAGGTCGTGGATCTCGAGGTCGAGCTCGTGGTCCGCAGCGGCATAGTTGCTCGCTGCCACAATGTCATAGGCGGCGTGGTTTGCGTCGTCTGTGAGGAAGTCGTTGATGTCGAAGTCGTAGTCGGAGGGGAGAGGATTCGTGAAGCAGGTGGCAGAGTCACCAACCATATAATCGTCGTCAAGAGTTGTGGAGTCGGGCGAAGCGAGAAGTGAGCTTTCGAGGACATAGCGATCTGCATCAAGGGCCGTTGACAGGCCGAAAGCAGCGCCGAGGCTGAAAGGAACGTCATCCTGATGAACAGGGTCCAAGCCAAGGCAGTTTGCGCTGGAGTGGGAGAAGACAGGGACAGGGGCATCTCCACCGATTGACACTGCGGGTCGCACAACATCTCTGCAGGACGTTGTGTCGAATCAGTGGAGACGGTCTGTTGGCTAATCTTCTCCTCCTCCTCCTCAGCTTCCTCATCTTGCTCCTCGTCTTCCTGGGGGAATTCCTTGTCGGGGATGGGGGTGAGTGCGGGTGAGAGAGAGGCGGGGTTCACGGTGGGGTTGACCGCGGACCGCATCATCTGGTCCATCAAGGACTGTTCAGTAGTGATGTTTTGGCCATCTTGTGAGCCGAATAGTTGTTGTGATAGTGTGATGTTGTCTTGGAGAGAGTCGAGGGGAGAGGATGAGCGGGTGACAACACCGGAGCTGCGTCGGAAGCGGTTAAGCTCCTCGACCAGGATCAGGTTCGTCTTTTGGGCGTTGTGGAGGAGCGTCTCTAGTTCCTTGTTGCGCTTCTCAAGAGCCTCAACCTCGAGCCTCTTCCTCTCTCGCGAAGACTGCGCAGCGCGTCGGTTCCGAAGAACACGCTCAACGCGACGCTGCTCCTTTTCATCTTCAGTCTTGGCTCGTTTTCTATAGGCGCAAGCTGGTTAATACTACAAGTCATGGTGCAGTGCGAGACGAGTTACACTCAGACATACCTAGGAGGGAGGTTGGTCTTGGGCTCAGGAAGGACCTGGCCCCATGATTTCCTCTTCTTGACGGGCTTCTTTTCTGATGTGGAGGAGTCTGCTGGTGTGCCGATGTCGTCGTTGTCGGCCTCTGGTGATTCGGGAATGGCAGACAGACGAGAGTCGAGCCCGTCGGCAAAGGAGTCCGGCGTCATCATCTCCTTGGGGTTGAGAGTTGAGGGTATTGATGAGGAGTCGGCGAAGAGAGATGAGAAGTTGTCGCCGGGAGCGGAGAGGAAGGATTCGGCGGGTGAGGCCTCGTACTTGAGGAGGGGAGACTGCTGGAACGCCATAGTTGCCCGTCTTGTCTTGGACTTTTTGGTGTTTTTGGTAGGACGCTCTCTTTGAGTGTGCTTCTCTGGTCTCTCACTTGCACAAAAAAATGGGGTGCAGCAGTGCTTCTTTGAGCTTGAGCTTGAGCTTGAGCTTGAGCTTCTGCTGTTTGTGCTGCTGCTTGTGCGTATTTGCTTGTGAAATGCGACCAAAAGTTGTCCCGGGGCAACGGTCTGCTTTTGTCACAGCGCAGTGGAGATGTCGAGTGCAATCAAAGCGCGTCCCTACACAGTGACATGACAGGCAACCAGATGGCGCCAGTCGAGTGAGTCAGCGGATTGTGTGGCTCTGCTCAGTGGATGAGTCAGTGAGATGAGGACAGAGTGGCTTCTTCGGTTTTGGGCCTGGTGAGATCCATGTCGGCTGGCCTCAAGGCGGCGAAGCTGGTCTCTTTATCTTGAGGACACGTTGGCCTCGAAGGCGGCAGGGATGAGTGCCTGAGGCAGCAAACGGGCAGGGAAAGGGGTGGCTTCGGATCAATCGAAACCAGGCAGGCCATTAACGAAACCTTGAGAACCGTATCAGGGCGGGGCTGAGCCTGGAATCGGGCGGGGCGCCACCAGGGCCCTCACAAAGGCCCTCCGAAGGGGCTCAGGGGGCTGTTGGAACTGATGATTAGCGGGCTGGGGGTGGGCCGGCACTAATCTGACTGCTGCAGGGGGGGGCTGTGAGAGGGCGATAGTGCGTGTTACAGCGGGTGGGCGCGCTGGAATTGGAATTGGGGTTCAGGCTGGGTTCAGATCACACAATCCTCGTGCTGCAATCCCTCCGAGCGCTCGTGTTTCCCATTGCCAGCGTTGCAACCCGGCAGGCAAAAGAGGATTCCGGCTGAACCGAGCCGTTGTCCGGGAGGAAGTGCAGATGCTGCAATATTAGGCGGGATTCCATAGAAGAGGCAGTGGCCGAGAGTGCGAGTAATTTCAATTTGAATGGATTTCAATTTCAGTTTCAATGGCTGTCTTATTGAGTGGTTCCAGATGCTGAACCGCCGAGACACGTGCAACGCCCAGTCTCCAGTCTCGACTCGCCGCAAATCTTATTGTCGCCCAGACTCAATGCTTACTCTGTAGTCGTGCTATTGATTCCAATTACTGCACATACTGTATCAATACTTACTGTGCAGCCCAAGAAACATGACATACATGCATGCCAATCCGTGCCAGTGCCGGGATATGCTTTGTCCGTACAGGCGACATGTTGCCTACATGAATGTGTACATGTACCTTAGCACCTGTAGCATGCATGTATGTACAAGGATGTACATGCAGAGACGTTGCGGATGCTGCATTTTTGTTGGGCTTCCTCCTCACGTTGCCATGCCACTCTGCTCATCCAGTGCCTCCCATTGGTATCTCCAAGTACTCCGTATTGTCCTGTCCTTGGCGCGTTGTTGGGCCTCAATTCATCATTCTGCTTTGTTGTTTCATTGTGCCGATCTCGTACTCCAGCAGAGAGGAGAAAGGAGAACTGGAGAATCAGAAAGGGGGTTGGACCTGATGGATCCTCAGATTCCCACTCTTCTGTGGGCGATGCCCTCTAATACCAGAGACGGTGTCCCAGTTACGAGGTGCGATTCGCCACTCTGCTTCTATTCTAATGCTGTCCTAACGCTATTGTCCCGCGCCACCAAGAGCCTAGAAGTGCCTCTCGAATGCTGCCTGTCCGTGTATCTACTAAAGCGTATGTACATGAATGGGCTCCGTCCATGTAACAATACGTGGTGAGCTCCGACAGGCACAGCCCACATGCAACGAGCTGGTCCGGCTCTTGGTTCAATGGCAAATGGCAAATGGCTCTTCTCTTCGTCTTCAACTGGCGTTGCGCACGTAATCACTAATAAGACGCCGTTTCTGCGGAACCCGCGTAAGCCCTTGAGACGCAGCAACCGTCTCGCCTCCCGCTTCCGGCCTTGCTCTCGTCCAATGGCTCCAAGGACGTGCAGCGGTTTGCTCTCCAGCTTAGCCCTTGTTCCTTGTTCTTTGTTCCTTGTGCCCTGATGACCTGAGCATATCCCGCGTCCTGGAAACTGCTTGTACAGGAAAGAGGTAGGACTGTAATACTATAGCCCACATGATTCTTCCACTCTCGTCTCACTCCTTGTCCGACTGCCTGTTTTGGCCTCTGTTTGGGGTCTCACCAGATTCCCATTCCGTCTCACACAAGCGCTCAGGCCAAGGGCAGGGCAGGGGGCCAAGGGAAAGAAGCGAGAAGAATCACATCGATCGAACCGGCGGGTTCGTGCAATGGAACCCTAGCTGGCGTTTCGCCTCGGAGCCGACCAGGGCAGATGTCGCGCAGACAGCAGCACAACACTGCACAATACAATACATACTACAATGCTACCGTACGCAGTATGAAGAGCCGAGCAGAGCAAAGAGGGGGGAAAGGCAAATACCCCTCAAAAAGAGCAGCCGGATACTACGCTACAGTGGAATTGAAGCTCAATAGTACCAGAAGGGAATCTCCGTTGGTGCCTTGCATTGGGAGCTCGACTCCAATAGAGCAGTGGCCCAGAGGGTACATAGGGCGGGCCTTTCTCTCTTTTCCTTCGGCCCTATCTCAGGCAAAGTGAAAGAAGGCGTACCGAGTTCTGCACCTAGCGCTTTGGTGTGGCAGCCAGTGCTCGATAGCATCTCATCTCGGAGTGCGGGCCGTTGGCGCCGCCCCTTTTCCTCGCCTCCAGACAGTCGAGAGTGAGAGTGAGTCGCCAATGGATGTAGATGGGCAGGTATTCTAAGCAGATACGGTACAGTACAGCTCTCGTAGAGGTAGTGTCGATGGAATTGGCTGAATACTCTGTGTAGCAATGACACCGCGAGACTGGAAACAATACAGTAATACTACTACATCTCCTACACACGTCCGGCAAGACATTCCGTTGTCAAATCACATACCCTTGCAGTCCAATGTCTCTAGCTCTCCGTCAAACCGGCGTAATAGCAAGAGACCCTCCCTCCATCTTCCCCTTGATTAGGCCGACGATCCCCCTCTTTCTCGCGGACCCCCAGATTCATATTCACTTGCCTTTCTCTTTCCGCTCTACCGCGACCGTAAATGTTCCGGCCTCCAAACGTTAAAAATCGAGTCCATGTAACCCAACCGGGAGAATAGCTCCATTCTGCCACAACTGGGTTGCAGTTTACCCGACAGTTGCTCGGCTCTTCTCTGTCTATTTCTTCCACAAGACTGGATGAATCAACTTCCATACTACGGAGTACTATGTACATGATTCGACTTAATGTGCGACGCAAAGAGGGCATCCGCTCCGTTTCCTGCAATGGCGCCCAAGTGGGCAGACTGCAGCCCTCGGCTTCTGGCCTCATCCCATGCATGCATATGTTGATTCTGCCAGCCCAGTGCGTATACGAGTACGACCATGACCATGCTTCCAAACTCCAAGCATGTGCGTGCCCTCACGCATGTGTGTACTGTACAGTATGCGGGGAAGTTGAATGTCCGTGTCCTGCATCCTATCCCACTCCCAAAACGCTCGCGCGTGGAGAATACATGCAAAGCAGACCAATGATGGGACAAAAGAGGAACAAGAGGGAGTATCCAATGGGTACATGTAGTTCCAAGGCCTCTCACCGCAACTATTGTATCAACATCAACTTGATAACGCCTAACTCGCCGCCACCACCACCACCAAACTGTGCAGCGACATGAGCATTGCGAGGTCAGACTTCCCAGTGGCTACTCGTACGAGTCTCTCTGCACATGCCCGAGCGTATGGCGGGGCCAGGTGCCTTGCCCTGCCTGTGCGTCTCTCTGTCTGCATGCGGTGGAGATTCGGAAAGCTGCAGGAAGACGTCGATGCTTGCGAGCGAGAAGCAAGAGACTGGGCTTTGTTGGGCGTTCCCACGTCCGGTTTGCATCCATGTCGGTGAGTGTTGATCGACCATACAGCTAAACCAACAGCCTCGAGCATCTAGACCCTTTTCACATGCAAGAATCGTCTCCTCCAACAGCTCAATTGTGGGGGGACTTGCGCACTGGACCCAAGGCGAGCCATGTATAGCTTGCCACGTTGGACAGCGCCGTGAAGATGGTGCGCCTGCACGGCAGTAGAGTTCTTTGGGACGGGATCTGCCTGTATTGGGTGCCCATTTGAAAAGTACGCTGCACTCCGTAGATGCATCAGGAACAGGTTTGAGAAGTGATGGCAAGGGTATATGCACGGCCAAATGATACAACTGAGCCCAACAGAATCCCAAGAGGATGCAGCAAGGTGCCCTGGCTGTCTGTTATCTGCAGACCGCTTGTTCCGTTGCATGGAGCTTGGCTTCCATCATATTCCACTTGCAGAGCTGATTGCCGCTCGGTAGATGTAGACCGGGCACTTGAGCACGACAAGGTTTTGAAGCCTTGTCTTGTGATGAGATGGGTATAGTCCATTGTCATAAAGTACATACTGTATCATTGTCTCATGAGATAGGTATGGTCCATTCTCATAACAAAGTACATACTGTAAATAGTATCAATCAGCTACTATAGTTGATGGGTATCTGGCCATGGTGTTTCGAGACAAGTTTGGTTCCTAATCCATCCATCCATCTATTTCCACCGGAACTTTATTATTAGAGTTGTGCTATATCAGAACTCAACTTATAAAAAAACGACGCCACAGTATTGAGTTTTGTCGCGACGCGTACGGCGCGGCTAGGTGCTGCACGCGTGTAAGTTGCATGTAACGCATCATTTTTGACCCCAAGGGCTGAGATATGGTGTGGGCTTTGATGAAACCGAGAAGAAACCCTTTGTGATGTACTATTACTAAAGACTCTAGGGTATACTATGTCAGGTACATATCATGAGTTCTATATGTTCTGAGGCTGAAGCGTTGTTACAGTAGTATACGTACATTCTCGAACCTTAGATATCAACAGTACCTGTACTCAGCGAGCAATTGTAATTACACAATTGCATTACTTGACTACAAAAGATAGTATAACTATTTGTGTATCTTGTATCTCATACCAATCCACCATCACGTTGCTATCGATCCAATATCCATTCATTCCGGCCATGACCCAAACCATCGACCTACCCTGCACGAGACGCCAAAAAGTATAATCGAAATAGAACCACTATCTGAAACACACCCCAGAAGCCCGTGTCGAGACATTGGAAATTTGCCGTGGCTCAGATCCAGCCAAGCCAATATCCAGCCAAGCCTCGCCGTGCCACGCGTTGTAATTAAACCGAATATCTTTCTGCCTACCAGGCAGCGCCCACCAACATGCCACACCAAGCTCGGGCTTGTTTCCGCGCCTCGTATTGATAATTGGTTGTGTCGAGTAGCCTATGCGATTATCAATCAGGACACGGTTTCAAAACGACAG